CAATACCTTGTATGCATTACTGAGCTATGCAGTAAATTGTGATATGTGTAAGCTACCACTGGCTGAAACATGAGACGACAGTCGAATGATGTAGTCCAGACTGTATTTGACCTTTGACCCGTGAGATGCCAAGGGGTTTGTATGTAGACGACAGGTCATCCAGTATTGAGTACTGTAAACCCCCAGCGGAAGAAAGGCGCGCTACGGGTTCTTAGCATAGGAGAGGCGTGCCTATGCAACTGTGAAAACCTCATTTTCTTCCGACGACCGCAGAACTGGACACAGAGCATACCTTCAAGATGAAGGATGATCGGCAGACCGGATCCTCCTCCTCCTCCATCGTCCTGCTCTTGACTCGATAGGGAGAGATAGAGAGAGGAGTTTTTTTTTCTTTGGTGCTCCTCTTTTTTCCCTTTTCTTTTTGAGCTTCCTTGCGCAGTAAGGAGGATCGACTACAAAGTAATCTTCAGGAGACACACCCATGCAGGCAGAATATTCGCCGATGGGCTTTCAGGGTCCGGGTCCGGTGCAAGGAAGCTAGACCCAAAAATTCTGAAGCAGCCATGCGATACGCCGTCTGTCTGCAAGTTGTGTGGTGTGGTGTTGCGTTGCGTGCCTCTACCCGTCTTGATCAGTCGAGATGGTTGTTTCAAAAAAAAAAGAGGATGATCCCTTCCGAGTCTTTCTCCTTCCGAAAATTGGTCCAAGGCGATGCTCATTTCTTCCGAACGTTTGAAAGAGGCCATGTGAGGCTCATGGCGTCTGAACCGAACGCCAATTAGGCATGCCTTCTGAACAAGGGAGTGATTTCACTCTTGATTTTTTTCTTTTTCTTTTTGTTCCTTTACGTCCACAAAGGGAGGGCTACGGACCCCATGGTGTTGTTGTCGTGTTCCTGAATCGGTTCTGATCACGTCACGGTGGGCCCTTGGTCTCCCTGTGGGAGAGCGGGAGAAGAAAGACAGAGGAGACAAGTAGCCGGGACCAGGGCGTCGCGGCGATGACGAATGCAGGCTCCCGCTGTGGCGACCCTTGATCAATATTTAGAAACTTTCGGCACTGGCAAGGCTGTGTATATATGTGTGTGTGAGAGGCTACGTGGATGTTTTTTTGGTCGAAAACCCCGCCTCGCGACTTTCGAGACCACGGGGCGAGACTGGTGTGAGCATCTGACTTGAGGACTGCGTAATCACCCTTCTTCTTGGTTCAGATCTTGCAGATCTTTTCGATCTCTAGATGATCAGTAGGGAGGAGAAGGGAAAGGGAAAGGTAAAAAACGAGAGGGACAATCAGCTGCCCCTCGTATTTTGGACGAGATGCAAGAAAAAAAAAGGAAAAAAATAAGGTCTCTGGATAGACACGGGGGGGGGGGAGGATCAGTGGTTGGTGGTCAAGGTGGCGCGGTGGCAGGGAGATGATTCGTGATCAGGGAACTTGCCTCAATCAAGATTTTGCAGAAACGGGCAGTGGGTCCCCCGTAGAGGCGAGAATTTGACCCCAACACACCTGCCCACTTTTCATACGAGGGAGGGCATACTATGTACAGCGGTACCTAAGTAGGTAGCTCAGTGGCTGCTGCGCCGGCAAATCTTTGATCAGGTGTGGCTGGACTTACGAAAATACCCAATCAAGTTAGACCAACGGGTCAGGGATGAGAAGGGAACGGTGTCCCCAAGCTGAAGATGGTCCCTCTCACCATCTAGACCCGGTCTATGCAATTTTACCTTGTGAACCTTTTTCTGGTGGCTGCTTGACATGTGCTGTGGACTAAGAGTCCTTCGACTACGACGAAGAAGGACCGCCTGAGGGTTTCCCACGATGTTGCTCCGCAGCCTCACACACTCTCTTTCCCTCCCACATGGCACAAGCTTTGTGTCCGATTGGCGGCCCTCCCCAAAAGAGTTATCTGCTACTACTATAGTGTGATCATATTCAAAGCGCCAAGAAGGCGGCCGGGCGGGCATGCGTAGGTGTGCTACTATTTGCGGCGTCACCTAGCGCATCACGTTTTGAAAGACGGGACGACAAGACCGGTCCCGTTAGCAAGGCCTTAGGGGTCCGAGTGCCAAACATTCCTTTTCGTCTAGTTTTTCTCTTGTTGTTCTTCTTGAGGCCTTGTCGTGACGACAACAGTGTCGGAGGAGGTTGGGGAGTGCGCACATGCATCGACTGATCTATCAACTGTTCGGTGGTGGTGGATATGTTGAAGATGGGTCGCGACCTTTTGTGGGAAAAATGGGTCAAGTTTACAACAGGGCCGAATTGAAGAGCCGTGAGACCCCACGCGACGGCGATCGCCTGGAAAAAACAAGGAGGAGAGCTGAAAACGTGGTGATGACAGAGAGAGGGTCTTGTCTTGTTGTTGGTGCGGATTCGCAAATAGCGGTTAGAGGCTCGCCGTCGAGATAGGGAAGAGATATGATCGTAGTACTGTAGGCCATGATGACCTCACTTGGCTCCTCTATCAAGTCCACCTTGGCTCTAGTGCCTACTGCCAACTTTCCGAAAGCATGGTTTCCTCTGCAAGAAAAGATCGGACGGATAAGGCTATGTGCTATGTGTCGTGGTGAGCTAACATACAAACGTGATAGCACAATTGAAGTACACATTCCAAAGCGTGGAAGGATTTAATTTTGCCGAACAGATCGACGGAAAGCGTTTGAGGCTTAAAACTGACCTAGATGGACAATTTGACAATGTACCATGGTATATCGCGCATCAATTAGATCGATATGTATCGCATGTATAGGCCTTGTTTTATCCATAGTAAAAATAGCCACTCTATCCCAGGCCCGACCCCAGTACCATGAATCAGACTTACGTATGTAGGCACTGTCGTACATGTTGTGTCGTGGCTTGGAAGGGGGGGCAAAAGAATGGGCTCCCGCTCGTGTCGCTGGTGCAGGTTCCAAGCTTTACCAAATGGTTGACATGTTTTGCCTCTCTAGAATCATAACTGTACAGTAAATACTTGCTATTGCTCCTTCCCGCGCCCCTTGCCGTCGTCACGCATTTGCAAGTGCCGTCTTCACACGAAGGTACTGTGCGGTACCTTCTAAGTTTTCAGCCACACTGCACCCCCTTCCGAAGAGGGTTCGATACCATGTACCCATGTACCGCAAATCCAGCGCTGCCACCTCCCCGCCGGCGCGCGCTAGCTACTGCCTACGAGATGATACCCACCCATCCCTGTTGGCGTGTGCGCCAGGCTCTTGCCGAGTTTTGCTTGGGCTGCCTGCAACAATGCCTGCACCACCTAGCACGACCAATTTATCTCGGCTGTCTGCGACCAGGCTAACCCTGGAGCCGCTGATTTCCCCTGAGCTGTTGTTGCCCTGTACAGGGCCCTGTGGCCTGCAGGTGCCTCCTCTGCCTCCCGATCTCCCGTCCCTCCCTCCCTGCAGGTTACTGGGAAGAGGGAGGGGGGGGGGGGCAGTGAACGTAGACGCTGCGTTGGGGGGAGGGAAAGAGAAAGAGAGAGGAGTAGATAAGGGAAATGTTCCCGTGTTAATTAAATAATTTTAAAGGGGGTTGCTGCAAGCTCATGTCAAAAGTGGATGTCTGCTACTCCTTGGCACATTTACCGCTACCTCTCTTCTTCCACTTTCACCTTACCTTCTTCTAATCGCTATCTGTCATAGCACACATCCACCGTCTTTTTGCTGTTCTGCTGGGGGAGCCATTTCTCTGGCTGCTAGGCCAACCAGTAACTCTGACCCAGGCCCTGATCATCTTCAAGCGGCCCACCTAGGCCATCTCTTTTTGGCACTGTCTGACTGTCTATCACTGGTAGTGTCCGTGCCCCCCTGGTCGACTTGGTCTGTTAGCCGCCCCTCCCCGCCAATTGCGTCCCACTCTCCTTTTTACTCCATCCCCCCCCCAAGTGCCAATCTACCATAGTACTTATTTTTTGGGTACTTGACCATATCTTCCGACCATTTCTCTCGAACTTCCTTTTTACTTAATTTCTCTCGTTGTACATCTTTTTTTTTTGGTGGCAGCACAACACTTCCTTTTTGTCCTTTTTTTTTTTTCATTGTCGTCTTCTCCCCCACAGACGACTAACAGGACGGGAATAAAAGATACCTGCCACTTTGTTGTTGTTGGTTGTCTCGTCTTTGCTTGTTGTCCTCGTTGGATCCTACGTCTTACGGCGTGCATCATCGCTATCCACCTTGGCCTTGTCAACTGGCCTTCGCCTGTCTCGCCTTTTTGTGTGCAATCAGCGGACCTCAGACTCGATCTGACCTGACCTGACTGACCTTTCACCGGCCCGCCCCCAGCCTGCTTCACCTCTTGCTGTGGCTTTGTTGGTCGCCGGCTCTTGTTTGACCCTGATCCGGTCTCGTCCTTCGTTTGCTACCAGTCGCTCAACCATCCTACCGGAGACACATCAGTACAAACACCTTTCTGGATAACCAGACCGAACCGTCATAAATCCTACCATCTCTGTCGACCAAGCAATCTCGGGCCCTATTTCGAAGATTCGACTGGGATTCCAAAAGAAAGAGAACCTTTACCGCCCAACTCCCCTACGAACACACGCTCGTGCACTGGTTCACTCCGGTGTCGAAGCAAGACCAGGTACGAGAGGAGGACAGACACACGAGAGCACCCAGCAGTATAGTAGGGTTGGTCCAACTCCCAAAAACACAAACACTTACACAAGCGAGGAACCATCAAGGCGGCCAATGAACTCACCAATCTCCCTCTCCTCAAAAGACCTCAAAATCATGGGTGCCAGAATGCCCCCTCCGCATCGTTTCCTCAACATGCGGAGTCCTTTCTCCCGAGCAGTCCTGCTCGCCGGCTTCGTCATTGCCATGATCGTCCTGACCATGAAGGCCAACACCTACGACGTGCGATCCGCCGTCATCAAGGCAACGACCACCGCCAAGCAGGCAATAACAGCACAGCGGCCCATGGACTCCTCGAGCGAGTTCCACGGTTTCGACTCGGACAACTACTGGCCCAGCGTGCCAACCAACACCTCCGCCATGATGAACTGCAACTATGACACTCAGCACCTGAAGAAGCTGCAGGACCGGTATGAGCTTGGCGAGCAGTTTGAATACTTCAAGCGCTACATCCAGGTCTCGCGCCAGGACATTGACAGGCAGAGGATGACCAAGCTGGACCAGTACTTCCTGCCCAACACCGCCAAGACTGTCGACCTTGGAAAGAAGAACATGAACGAGCAGTGCCCGGAGCCTCTGGTCGTACCTGTCCCCAAGTCCCCCGCACCCGACACTGCGAACCTGACCGACTTTATCTTTGGCGTTTCTACTACCTACCAGCGTTTCACCGACAGCGAGACCAGCCCCATCGATGACTGGACCTACTGGCTGACGGACAGCCATGGCAGCACAAATGGGGGCAAGCTTGTGCTCCTGTTGCTTGATGCCACGGACGACGAGCTGTACGACGCGTGGGACCGGCTACACAAGGTCGGAATTGATGCCGACGTGTTCCACTCGGACAGCTCCCTGGAGATGGCTGTCCGCTACCTGACGCTGGTGCCAACGCTGTTCAACCACCGCGAGCGGCCCAACAAGAAGTGGTTGGTCCTGTGCGACGACGACACCTTCTTCCCTTCCCCCAACGCCCTTGTCGAGGCCATCTCCGCCTATGACCCGACCAAGCCCCTGTACATTGGCACCTTCTCCGAGAACGTCGCCCAGATCGAGCGCCACGGATCACAGGCATATGGTGGCGCTGGCGTCTTTATCAGCATGCCTGTGGGCCAGATGGTCACGGAGCTCTACGATCAGTGCAAGACGGCAGAGAAGCTTCAGGAGGCCGACACCGGCTACGGGCCCCAAGGCGACATCCTGCTCCGCAAGTGCATCTACGAGAACAGCGACGTCCGGTTGAGCCTCGAGAACGACCTCTGGCAACTTGACATCTATGATGACCCGTCCGGTTTCTATGAGAGCGGCATCAAGCCCCTCTCGCTGCACCACTTCCACGGCGGTGCTTACCACATTGCTTATCCCTTCCAGTACACGAAGCTCGCCCATATCTGCGGTGAGGATTGCTTCATGCAGCGCTTCATGACCCAGGACGATTTCGTCCTGTCCACTGGCTACAGCATTGCTCAGTACCCTGAGGGCGCCGACTACAACTGGGATCAATTCGAGAGGACATTCAACCCTAATGACGACAAGAACTGGCTCCTGGACCACGCATTTGGGCCTCAGCGTGGATCGCTCCTCAAGACCGGCGAGAAGATCGCCTGGGAACTGAAGTCGGCCTCCCTGAACGAGGACAACACCGTGTCACAGGTGTACGTGCGCAAAGCCAAGGACGCACGGTGGGTTGATGCCGAGGGCTGGCCAATGAGCCAGGTTGACGGTGTCATCGAGCTTGTGTGGCTGCCATGAGCGCCGTGAGCTGTCGATGTTGCTTGCCTACATCACGCGCACAAAAACACACTTCTGCTCGCGGGTGTTCCAGTATTGATCAGGCGAGGAAACAAGCTGGGCTGCTCGATCGACTGTGGTCTGAGCTTGAGGGCTAAGAAACGTCAGCCCTCAGCACGCCATTCCGAGCATCAGCGCCTCGGGCGCCGTGACCCTGCAGCAAATTTAGCGTGCTCGGAACACTGGCCAGACCCTCACTAGATCAGCCACAAGCCGACGGGATGGCTACAGGATGCGCCCATCCTACGAGCAGCCCAGGTCCGACTATCGTCAACATGCGCAATATATTGCGTCTTGTACACAATCTCTCCCGTGCCGAGCCTGGTCGTCGACACTGGTACTTCGCTTCTGCCCCGTTCTATCGGTGGCCTACTTTGCAAACCATTTATCTGCACCTTTTTTCTCTTTGTTGCCGGTCCTTCCACATCTCCACGGCGAATGATAATGCATAATTCTCGGTGGGATCAGTTCGGGTGCGCACCTGCACCCCAAGGACCCAGGACACGACACAATACTTGACAATGATCATTTACACAAACGCTCGATATACACAGACTTTTGCATTGCATACGGCGGTCAGGGAGACATTTTTGCCCATGGCGTTCAGAGTTACATGCGGCGCTGCTTTCGCATACATGCACCTATCGGAGGTGTTTCATACTACTACACCCACCCACGCCCACACATTATTCCAGGCGTTGAGGAAATGTATTCACAAACATTCCTTCCCGATTTCACTCAGTTTATTGGCGATTGTTTGGGATAGACTTTCAAACCAAAGAGCATTTTGTTTGATCGATTTTTTTTTTTTTTGAGCACAAGAGACTGGCTCTGTCTCCTGGGGTGTTTCATGGCGGGGGTTGTCTATCAGGTTGGCGCCTTTTTCTTCTGCGCAAGCGTGGACTCTTGGATCATGCAGAAAAGAGAAGTCTTGAAATGTTCAAATGAGAGAGCACCACCAGCTGAGCGAGACGCTCTGTTTGGATGATTGTACATACGGACGTCTTGATGGAGGGGGTAGATATTAGATGGATGATCGATCCAATCCAACTATGTTCAAATAATTTCGTCTCGCCTTCTTCCCTGGGCCTCTTCCGTGTTTGATTGTAGACAAACCCCCGTTCTACACGTCTTGTGCTAATGCAGTCGTATCTAAACCCGTCCGTTGGGCGGGTGGATGGGTTGATCTCCTTCTCTAATTGCCACACTACTCCATCCTGCAGGATACTTTTAACAACCTAATTACAATAGTCAGTCCTCGTAGTCCCCAGCCCGGGACCGGATGCTGGTAAACATTACGGGCGGAGGGCCCTGAACCCCGACGCCGTCGTCCTTGGCAACCCTTCCTGCGGCCTGTCTCTTTTTAATGTCTGTATAATCCATCCTATTGTTCTCTGATTACCCTTCATCCGGGACTGCGTCCTGATTGTTTGTCCGTCGAAAGACTTGCCATAACCTAAGCATCTGCAAGCAATAGATTTCACGCACTTGGCCATCCCAAACTGGGAGCGGGATCCGGAGCCTGTGCAGAGATGGTATCTCCCGGAGGGGAGGAGGAGGAGGAATCTCTTCCGGAGCATGTCCCGTCCCAGCCTGTCTATTTTGTTTTGTTCAAAACATCAGTCCTTTTCTGATCCCCCCCCCCCCCTTCCACACACATATTCTTCGTCGGCCCTTTACAGTCACAGAGAAAGGAAGAAAGAGGAGAAGGAAGCTGTGTTCACATCTCGACGGTGCGGCGGGAGGTGACCCGCCGTTGCCAAGTCTCGACTAAATTATATGGCCTCAACCAGCTGCCAAGGAGGAGAGGGATTGGCCCACCAACTAAAGCGAAGCAACCTACTCTGGTCGCTGGCTACAAGCAAAACAGAAGAAGAAAAGAAAGACCACCGAAATAGATATGGGATGAGTTAACCCCCCACCCTATCGTGGACACATTCGGGAAAGAAGGGGAAAAAAAAAAAGAAGGAAATTCAAAAGAAAAGCAACGCTGCTATCTATCTCGCCCATGCATGCACAGATTGTAAGTGTGTGTGTGGAAATTAATTTCCGACGGCGGCCTGCTGTGGAGAGAGATAGAGATGATGTCTTCTATCCTATCACCACTCACTAAAAAGTACTTGAGTACTCAATATGGTACTTACTCACTCAGTAGCTCAGGTTTTCCCAACCTACCCTTCCTCCCATACTTTCCTAGACCGCTGCAATGTTTTTCGTCACCATCCTGAAATGGCTTAAGGTTCGGGTGATTAACTCAGCCGCAGCAGGGAAATCTTGGGAGGGAAAAGAAATGAAGTATCTCTTAGCGCAATCTTGTCAGAACCTTGGGCTTGCAGGACGGATACCCACCAACACCCCCCCCCTAAGCTTGAACGGGGGATGGTAAGTTATCACTTTTTTTTGGGGGGGGGGGGGGGCCGTTGCAATGCTTCCCTTGCTCGATAAACGGAGCCTCAACTCTATTTTGTCGTACTAATCACCAATTCATAGTGTTGGGCCAAGGCAAGGCGAACGTTTGCTGCTCAAGTCAGTGCTATGTAGACGAGGCTATAACAGTAGTGCAGTGTCGATGGCTGCGCAGGCAAGGAGAATGTTTTTGACAGCAGCTTTGTCAATGGTAGACAATGAGTGATAGATATTTAGGCAGGAGAAGCGAGGTTAAGTTACAAAAATAAAATTAAAAAGGCTCACAATGCGGTCTACAAGTTGCACAGGTATCATCCCAACGCCATTGTACTCAATCACCAACAATGCCAGATCACTGCAGTCTGCTCAAACAGTGCCACAAGTCTCTCCTTTTCGTGAGAAGCAATATTCACGATGACGACTGAGCACCCTTGGAATCTCCCGCGCCGGCTCTGGTAGGAGCAGCACCGTCGTCCACATAGGCAGGCGGCTGCTCCTGAGCACCGTCCGCAGCACCGGATGCCATCTCGGGCGCCATCTCCGAGTAACCCGGTGGCGCACCGGCCATGCTGTTCCTTCCGTGCCTCGTCATCTCGTCGTCCAGCTCCCTGCGTTCCCTCGCCTCCCGCTCGCGGTTCATCCTCGCCTCATCCGCGGCCTCAGCGGCTTTGGCGCGCGCCAGAGGCGTCTCACTCGCTGCCCCGGCTGTAGGTGATCCTGCTTGTTCTCCCACGTTCATGGCCGCCACCCCAGCTGTGGCATCGGCAACGTTTCTCCCATCTGCTGGGCGCGGTGGCTTCTGAGGAGGGTTCTCGCCCGCCGCCCTGTCAGAGACGGGGTCGTAGCCAGATGGGTATGCGCCCTGTGCATTGCCCATGCCGTAGGTACTGTTTGGATCGGGCCCCATCTGGTTCACCCAGGGGCTGCTGGGCCCGCCCTGCTGTTGGCCGTGCCAGCCCTGGGCGCCCTTGATGGTGTCGAAGAGCGGTTGGACGAGGCCGACCCAGCTGTCCCTGCCTGGCACGCGGGACACCTCACCCCTGAGGATCTGCTGGACCGAGACTGCAGCACCGCCGTAGAAGGCGGCGTTGGCGTCTTTCCTCTCCGTGACGATCGTGCCGTCGACCTGCACACCAGCGTAGAAACCGCGAGATTTGACGTACGAGTAGGTCGGCTGCTTCATGGCGTTTTTGAAGGCAGATGGCTTGCGCTCCTTGCCGGCCTGAGGATGCTGGGCAGATCCCGTGGCAGCGGCTCCCTGCTGCTGGTCGTATGCCTCTGCTGCCTTGTCCGAGGCGGGCTCGCTCACGGTCGGCACACCTTGGCCCTCTGCCGCGCGGCTCTTGTAATCAGCCATGATAGGCGAGGTAGGCTTGCCATCCGCCTCCCGGACAGCCTCCTTGGGTGGTTCAGGCGAGTTCCTGCCCTTCGCCTTTCCCTTGTCCTTGCCCTGCGGAGTCGCAAAGTCAACACTACCGCCTGCGCCCCACGGGCCCGCGACAACAGCTAGGTCCGACCCAAGCGACACCCTCGTCTGGGTGAAAGCCTCCAGCGCCTCTCGGGTGTTTATGACCACGACGCAGTCGTAGATATCGATGCCCATCATGAGCCCAGCCCCCACGCTGTGGACCTGGATGCCCGAAGGCGGCGACCAGCTGCCGTCAGGAAGCCGGGCGACGATGACACCGGAGCCTGTCGCGCCCGAGATGTGGAAGCCCGCGCGGGCTGTGGTGAAGATGGCCAGACCGACGGCCTTGTTGATGACCTTGGAGGGGATGGTGAGGAGAGTGCGGTTCTTCTTGGGCTTGGCGGGCGCAGTGGTGGGCTTGCCCTCTGCGTCGGTCGTGGGCGCCTCGACGGTCTCGGGTGCTTGGGCGTCGGTGTAGATGCCATCCTCTGCAAGTTGGTTTTTCGTTAGCTATCTTTGATGACCAACTCCAGAATAGAATATAAATGTGATGATCTTTCTTTGACTTACTGCAGAATGCTCTCAGTATCCTGCTTGCCTTCTCCACCTCCTTGTCCATGGTGCTGGGCAGGAACGCCTCTGCGCCCAGCTTGTTCGCCAGCGCGTTGAAAGGCACAGCGGCCTTGTTGCCCATGGCGGCAAACCGCTGTCCCCAGCCAGCCTTCTTGGCCGAACCATCACCGTCCGAGGGAGGAGGTGGTTGGTGGTGCGTCTGTTGTTGTGGCTGCTGCTGCTGGGTAGACGGAGGAGGAGGATAATCGTAGAGATCGGACTGGGACTCAGGAATGGGATATTCGTTGGGATGCATCGCGAGACCGTTGTGGCCTGGTGGAGGTCCAGGAGGAGGAGGAGGGTAATACTCTCCCTGCGAACCTGTTGGCTGGCTCTTCTCTGCCATGATGACGTCGATTGGTGGTAAGTCGTTACAAGTTGGGTTAGGAAAGATGTCGACTACTAGCAGTGAGGGTATCACAAGTGTGGTGATTGAAGGTAGTAGGGGAGGATGAAGAAAGAATGAGGGTACGGGGACTTGTTTGCTGGAGAACGACTTCTTTTTCTAGGGCAATGAGGTTGTATTTAAACTTCTATCTGGAGGGGCGTCTGGGTCGTCTAGGACGCGCAAGTCAAGAGCTTGGCTCTGCGGCTTGGACCTTGGAAGGGCAAAACAAGCTTTTCCCGCGGCAGCTGCATGTACGCCTGAGTGTGTTTGTGTGGTCGTGTGTGTCACCAGCCAGCGGTGCCAAGATTGAGACCATCGTACCAAGTCATATGTGAGTGAACGGTATTGTGGCAGTACTACTCTAGTGCTGTATGGTGCTGTACCGTGCCATAGCGGGCTGGAGGGGCTCATCGAAGCACTGACATCATCCTCTGTGGCTCAGAGGGCTCCAGGCCTGAGGGAGCCTGGCAGTGATTGGGTGCCACCTGTGGACGGGTTCCACCGTGGCGGGAGCTTCCACCCAGAGCGTCCCGGGAGCGAGGCAAAAGCGAGGTTCCGGGGTGTCGGAGCCATTATCAGGGTCCTCTCTCCGGGTGCTTAGCGAGAGTACCTTCAGAAGGGTTTCAGTGGGTCGTCTCGCTTTCGCTCCTCGCGTAAGGCCGCAAGGCCCTCCAGCAATGTGGATTGGGTTCTTGATTCAACTACGACTATTCGATCGGACATTTTCATGCCTGTAATTCTCACTTCGCGGTTCCTTTTTTTTCTTCTTTTCTTTCTTTTCTTCTTTTTTGTCTTTCAATTCTCTATTAGTATCATTAATATCTTTAGAAGAGCAGATGCAACGAGGACTGAGGCCAGTCTCCGAAGCATGACCAAACTACTGATACAACATGCGACTGAAGAGGGCTGCGCGGTTCGGGTCACAGTCGTACAAGCACCCTAGACTTGCGCTGTGAACGACAATATACAATTGCTACTGACCATTTCCAGCTCAATACACCTTCAGCCCACCGGCGACCTCCCCATAGTTCCTCACCAGCTGTGCCCTCCTCTCCTCGCTCCTCACCGCGAACCTCATTTCGAAGCAGCTCGGCTCGAGAATGACATGGCTGTTGGTCGCCTGCGTATCAATCGGCACCTTGGCCCCTGTGACAATGTCGATGGCCTGGCCCATATTGAAAGCCCACAGCAGGCCCGCCCCTGTCACGAACAGCTCGTCGTCCACGATATCCATACCAAGACACTTGCGCCGGCCGTAGCCGAAACTGTGCATGCCGAACTTGCTGTCGCGGAAGTTGGGATACCTGGACAGCGGCTCCTGATATGTTGGGAACGACGGGTCGAGCCAGCGGTCTGGACGGTAGGTCTCTGGGTCTGGGTATTTGGACTCGACGCGGTTGATAGCCCTGTTTTTGTTTTGAGATTTAATGTTAGAGATGGGACGATGATGTTTGATGCATGTGCACCTGGCTGCTTTTTCTCTTCTTTTCCCTCCTTCTAGAGTGTTAGGGGTGGGACATGTGTTGCTGACCACCTCATCTCACCACCTCGTGCACAGATGGAGCTGTGACATGCGGCTTGACGGCAGTGACGAGCAGCGGTTTTGTGTCACCTATTGGGAGGACCACACTGCTAAGGGCTGAAAGGGATGGGATGGGAGAAGGGGGGAGGCTTACCACTCGCATGCTAGGACGATGGTGTCCTTCTTGATTTTAACACCGCGGTACTCATCATCGCGCTCAGCCTGATGGGGCACGCCTGAGGGAGTTGGGCGCAAAGATGTCAGCAATTACTCAGTGGCCACAGGAAACAGCACTGCACAGCACAGATATTGTGGCGAGCTTACCCAGCGGGACACTTGATCTCCACCGGATCGTCTCCTTCAAAAGAGCCCTCACAATAGGCATCTCGGCAAAATCTTGGACGCAGGGCATGCGATCTCCGCACACACCGTCGATTTCTTCCTGCGCCTTGCGCTGCCACTCTGGGTGCAGTGCCATGGCCATCAGGAAGAACTTGAGCGGGCCGGCGATGGTCACTACGCCGACGAGGTTGAAGAACCCTATGGTACAAGCCGCAAAGGTCTCCTGGTCCTCGCTCTGTTCGAGGCTGCCTTTCTGCTCCCTTGCCACCTCTGCAATATACCTGTAAGCCCAAGTGTCCTTGGGCAGCTCCCCTCTCCGAAACTTCTCCTTTGCGACCCGGTAGTTGTTGGTCCACCACGCGCGCTGGGCAGCCTCGCGCTTGCGTTCAAATGCCTTCCACGGGTTGAACGGGTCCGGGATGTGCCAGAGAGGTGTCATCGTGTTCACGATTGGGCCCGATACCGACATGCAGTGAAGCGTGCAGTCGGCAGACTCGCCGTTATTCTTCCCCTGCGAGGCCTCGTCCCACGCGAGCCGTGACATGATGCGCCCGCAGTGCTCGCGCGAGTGGTCCAGGAAGCGGATCGGGTCTGCCGCGAGCATCATGAGGTAGCGCTTGGTCTCGGCCTCGATGTGTCCGTAGAAGTGGTGTTTGTGGGCGTCTGCCATCGCCGCGTGCACCCACTTGCGCTGCTTTGTCCAGTGGTCTAGAGTGGCGGGCGGCGAGAGGGTGTCAGTCGTTGTCAGGTCGCCCTTGGGCGTGAAGATCGAGCATGGACACGGACTTACCAGTGCGGTCCATAAGGGCAACGTAGCCTACACCCTGCTTGTGGTTGAAGAGGGCTCTGATCTGCGGTCGACCCGAGTAGATGTGGCCCCTCTTTATAAGGAGCTCTTCTGCGATGGTTTCGTCGGAGACAATGACAAAGGTCTGGCCGCCCATGCTTGTCTGATAGATTGGTCCATGGATGTCTGCCCATTCTTTGAACTTCTTCCACATGGAGTACCTCGGCAGGTCATGAACCCTGCCCACGATAGGGAACTGTCGAGGGCCAGGAAACTTGATGTCTTTCTTTTTCCTCCATTGTAGCAACTGTTGTATGACAGACAAGAGAATGCTCGGAACCGCCAGGTAGAGGATGATCAGCGGCACATCGAAAGCCATCTTGCACTGCGAGTCAATCGTGTAGCCTTAACTCGACATGTCCGAGAGGTCGACTGGGAAGAGAGCAAAGAAAAGAACACTGTTGAAACGATAGCGAGCCAGAGGGGAACCTCAGGCCTTTTGATGTCCATCATTATTTCCCCGGGCGTTCTTTTGGGCAAAGCCACGTCCGGGCCCGACAACAAGTGTGCCAAACTTGGCAGTAATCCCAAGTCGTGGGTCGAGTACCGGCTACTAACCAGACTCGAACAATAAGAGTTATTGGTACAGCGGTTTTGAATATTTGGGACGAAGTCACCCAATATGGCCTAAAGAGGCTTACCTGCAGCGATCTTACGTGTGTGTAAGGCGGAGGTGGGGTCCGATGGCACGGCAGATGTGCAGCCCATGGCTTCACCAGGGCTTACGGTTCCATACGCATAGAGACATCAGTTCAGAGCTGAGCTTAAGGCTGGGCTCATTGCCGCCATTCCCAGCCAAGAATCAACACTTGATGGTCTATCGAAGACTTTGCAGTGGGTGTGCGTGTATAGCCACCTTCCTGAAGCGAGACTTCTGAGGATCGAGGGGATGAGGAGCCCCCCCCCCCCCCCAAAAAAAAAAGAGCATGGCGAAGAAAGGGGTTCGAGAGTGATGGGCCTGCCCAAATGCACGTCTGACGTGACATCGGACTGGTGACAGCACAGGACCTCCCCTTTGACCTCTCTCGCAGGCCAAGTTTTGCCCTGCGGTTGTCACGCGAGAATGCCTTGCTCGTCTCAGGTTATGCTGAGCAGTCGTTTTAGGCATTGGGGATGTCCGTAGTTTATAAGGCACATGGCCCGGCCCTGGACCCGCCCGCAAGGCCTCTAAACTAGTTTCATCGGGAAGTCTAGCAACCTTCAGCAGCAAATAGACTCCGCCGGACCGTGCCAACGGTGGTGGGCCCAAACGGGAATGAATGGACCTTGTAAGTGCCCCAAAACAACCGAGATGGCTTGCTTCGCGTTGGAGAACCCAGCACGGCGATATGGGAAACGGGCAAGTGCCTGTTCTATGTGCGTTTCCAAGAGCGACGTCCGCGCTCACAAAAATTCGACCTTGGCCGCAGTCTGGGCCATCGATCGGCCCCCAAAAGAACGTCCAAGTGAGCAGCGAAAGAACATGTGGAAGGTGGGGTGTCCGGTCCCGACACTGTCATGTCGACTTAGCATTCACGGTTGTCCGTGTACATAGTAGTCTCGGATAGGGGAAGTGAGAAAGCGCCAATGTTTCGGTACAGAGACACCCTAGCACATCCCGATGCCGAAGAGTGCATTAGGGTCGTCGGTCGCAGATCGAACCTGTTCATGGCGGGATTAAGGCGTCGGAAGCCAAGCCTGGATCTCGTTGACGTTCTCATCTGTTGTTGTCGAAGTTGATTTTCGATTCGTTTTCTATGGTGCAGACAAGACAATGACGGTCGGCTTGTAAGCTAAGTTTCCAGCTTGTCCCTTTCGACATTGTGCAAAGTGAATGCAGGGCTTACGACAGACACCCATAATCTCGGCAGCGCCGTCATGGATATCCAAGACCGCCGTGCGAGGCGGAAAACAAGTCTTTGGACGTGTCTCGGGACCGAGGGCCCAGTCCTCGGTCTCTCAAGCCATAGCCAACACCAGGCGGGCACCAGCGAAATCTTGATGCCGGCAACCAAAGACCTTTCCGCAGCCGTGGCTAAGCCTGACTCCTGACAATCTCGTGCTCTGTAGTCCAGGCTCTGATAGTAGCAAGAACCAAGTACTTTGGCCATCAGACCCGCGAGATGATGGTGCGACCGACAAGGATTATTGGTCAGTCTGTGGCTCATCCCAAGGAGAAGCTCAGCATCGAGGTTGAGAGAGCCGCGAGAAGCTGGAAATGTGGCTGCGAGTCAGAAGTGCTGCACTTCGCTGGCAGTCTGGGAAGACGTTGACTGAACCGCTTGATGCACAAGGCTGGCTGATGCACATGGCTGACTGATGCACAGCCAGGCGAGCACCATTGTGGTTGTCGTAAAATCAACTCATAACTCTACAAGTACGTGTAAGTATCAAGTACTAAAGGTAGGCAGGCATGCAGTCAATGCACGAGTTATGTAAGCGTCCAAACTTAGGCAGGACGGACCCCACCTGCTTTACTCAGTGCCTGCCATGTTTGCCCCCCCCCCCCCACCACTAAGTGCAGCGCTTGGCAAGGCAAGCTTATGCTGGCTAGATGAGGTCATTCTCACCAGCGGCCTAAACAAACCTGCTTGGTAACTGGCAAACAAAGGCCTTGTCCGTCATATCATCGTGAGTTTAGAACCGAGTCGCAAGTCGCAGCAGAATCCAACACACAATACAGAGCGTGGTGGTCCTTTTGGATTCCCACGGATGCAGTCATGCCTCCTAGCAACAACCAGCTCTCGATTCCTTTCCGAAAATCAACCCAGCTCTCCATCTCGACGGCCATCCGCCAGTACATCTCCAAGAAATATGACCAGCACCCGGATATGTTCCGTCATGACCTCGAGGTCATTGATGCCCTCCGCAGAGATGCGGTCAACATCCGTGAGGCCCACGCCAGCGGCATCAAGAAGCTTCAGGCCTACGCTGCCCAGCTCGTCTGGATATCGGGCAAATTTCCCATCGACGTACGTGCTTGCGCCCCTGCACCCCTTGCCCTGTCCGGTCAGAATGCCTGTCTTAGAGGACTAATGGTGCTACTATGGCAGATCGGCGCAGACTTCACCTGGTATCCTGCTCTAGGCTACAATACAGAGCGACCTCTCGTCCAGAACAACCTCAAGTACGAGCTCATGAGCGTCCTGTTCAATCTCGCAGTGCTATACTCCCAGCTCGCCCTTGCCTCGAATCGCTCCAACACCGAGGGCCTGAAGACTGCTGCCAACTATTTCAGCCAGGCGGCAGGCGTCTGCAAACATATGAAGGATGTGGTCCTTCCCGAGCTGCGGATGTCTGCGGCTCCCGAGGACATGGACGAGAGCACCCTGGATTCCCTGATGCACCTGCAGCTGGCACAAAGTCAGGAGTGTTTCTGGCAGAAGGCAGTAATAGACGGCTACAAGGATGCCTCGATATCCAAAGTTGCTGCCAGAGTGAGCGACCTGTACAACCTGGCGGGCGAGGCCGCCATGAAGAGCGAGACCATCAGCAGTGCTTGGATCCATCATATGAGTGCAAAACACCACCACTTTGCGGCAGCTGCGCAGTACCGGGCTGCCTGCGACTGTCTCGAGAAGCGCAAGTACGGCGAGGAAGTGGCCCGGCTCATGGACGCTGTGACATGTGTGAACGAAGGGCTGAAAGAGAGCAGAGGCGGATACTTGAGTAAAGCTGTATTGGATGATCTGAATGGGTTGAAGAAGAGGGTGGAGGAAGACTTGAAGAGGGCAGAGAAGGACAACGATCTGATCTACCTGAGTAAGTTGTGGCTGGCCATTTTCGTGCCCCTGGTGGTGGTGCGAGATTACTGACTTATCCAGATCACGTCCCTTCGAAATCCGAACTCAAAATCCTGGACCGCGCCAACATGGCTGTCGCTCGTGTTCCCGCAGAAGTCGCCAACCCTACTGAGCACCTTGGTGACCATGCCGAATTCGGGGCACCTTTGTTCAGCAAGTTGGTCCCATACTCTGTTCACGTCGCAGTATCTATCTACGAGGAGAGGAGAGACCGTCTGGTCAACCAGAATATCATCCAGGAACTTGAAGTTCTGAACGAGAAGCTCCATGAGATTCTTTCTTCTCTAAATCTACCCGGATCTCTCCAAGCGTTGGAAAAGCCTCTCGGTCTCCCCGGCACTTTGGTGCAGCATGCCGAGGAGATTCGGCAGGCGGATGCACTCAGCAGGATACAGAGGAGCTTCGCCGACATCGACAAGCTCAGAGCGAGCGATCGCGCTGTCTTCGACGAGGGCAAGTCGCTGCTGGCAAGCGAGGAGGAAGACGACCAGCGCTTGAGGATGAAGTATGGCACTCAACGATGGATGCGGCCGGCAAGTCAAGAGGATCCCCAAGGTGCCAAATTATGGAAGCAGGCCACCGACGTTGAAGGGTATTTTGCTTCAAGCACCTCCAGTGATGCCGTAGTGCGAGACAAATACCTTGCCGTGGAGAGCACCCTGTCCATTCTGGCCGGGTCTGACCGCAGCTTGATGGACGCTATCCCACAGAGCCGAAAGACCGAGATTCCAGAGACTATCAAGCCTGCGTTGGGCAGGCTGCGTGGTGTTTTCAACGATATACAGCGTCTTGAGTCAAGACGCCGGCGCCGTGCCGAGGCTCTGCGGGAGAAGGCCAAGGCGGATGACATCAAACCAGATATCATGAAGGAGGCTGGACGACTGGAACGGACGTACCCCAACACACAGATTGTGCCCGCACATTTCGAGGAGTTTTTTGAAAAGCGTCTTGACAGCATGTACGAAGCAGACCTGCAGCAGATCGAGAAGGAAGCGGCAGAGCAGGAGAAGATGCTGGCGGACGTGACGCGGGCGAACAGGGATTTTGAGGCTCAGAAGAAGACCGCAGGCGACAGAGGCAACAGGGAGAGAGAGGCGGCCCTCCAGACACTCGATAATGCATACTACAAGTACAAGGAGATTGTGAGCAACGTGGAGGTGGGCAGGAAATTCTATAACGACCTGAGCAAGATTGTTGGGTCGTTCAGAGATCGATGTCGCGATTGGGTCGCGGAGAGGAGGAAGGATGCCAGGGCCTTGGAGGAGTACGTTGATCCATGCCGCCAACACCTATCTGAGAGAAACGTATACTGACATTGTTGTAGTGAAATCGCCATGCCGCCACTATCATCCCTCTCGATCGGTCAGCAACAACCACCAGCCCAGGCCGCATATCAGTCTCCCACGGGCCCACCACAATCATTCTATCACAATACTGTCCCGGCTCCTGTTGCGCCAGTGTCGCCGCCCGCGGAGGCCCGTATACAGTCATGGGCTCGGGAGGATGACGCACAGCCGCCAGAGCAACCTCAACCACGGGCCATGCCCCCCCTCCAGGCTATGTGGCAACCAGGCATGGGCATCAAGTTCGCACCGTCGTCGGCTCCTGGTGGGGGTGGACAACCCCCTGGCCAGGGTGCAAATGGTTCTGTCGGAGGCAAATGGGATCCTAGTTCTGGGATTCGATTTGGATGATGATGCAGTGAAGCATGCAACAGAGCCCAGTGCTTTCTTAGAGCTGGCCATCGTACTACAAATGAGTCTGACTTTTCATGGTCTGGGGAATGATCAGAGTCATTATTTTTCTGAAACCTGCAGGTGGGTATTGGTAGGATAATTCTCAATCAGCAATCTAAACCGTCAATGGAAGATACCCTTTTGCTGCATTACAACCATGTTCTTAGCCATCGGCAGCCACTGCTCTAGGCCACAGTCATACTCAAAACGTGCCCTTCAACACTCTTGAGGCTTGAAAGACAAGCTCGCCACAGATAGATCACACATCGTGGCAGTCTGCCCATGATACTGAATTCTGAGCTCTTCAGTGTTGGCTCTTCTACTTGTTGATGATAGGGTCTAGCAGGCTTCCTTTGAAGACAATTTGTTTGAAGTAAGAAGAAGCCCGTCTGGACTATAGGTATCCCTCTAACCCGGCTTTGAGATACATACATATATATCTCCCGGGAGTTCTTCCTTTTCCTCGAATCAACTACATAGTGAGAGGGATGATGGACATAGGATGATGGACCGCGAACAGACTATGTTCGAAAAGGAGAGGTGTGAAACCGAATGCGGTTGATAAATGTCAACCAGGGAAGGAAATGACGCGTGCAACATTCGCATGTGATGTCTCGAAAGTGGTGGCGTGACAAAACGAAATCTTGCATGGAGGTGAGCGGAAGTAATGTACTGAGGATTCATCTTAGCCAAATGTTCGAACAGTGGATGTTTGAGTTCACTTACCGGAGTTGTCATAGATCTGAAGGATGGTGAACGGAACAATCATGTTATTCAAAGCTCCAGATCGAGGGGGAAAGGGCGAGCTCTTAGGCCTAGGATGGGACAAGAAGCAAAGCACTTACACATTCGTCGAAGCACTTCGGCGAAAGACTCTTTGGTCTGGAATGGCACAGTGTCGGACACCAATACGAGCAGCCCATTATGCTCGTTCGACAGAATGCGTTAGTATGTGATTCATACATGAAAACAGAATTGACGATTTAAGTGCGCAAAGAAACACAAACGTACCCTCTTGTGTTGTCGCCATGGCACAAAGTCATTCACCTTCCACATATCAGCCAGAGTTCACAAGGAAAACAGTCGCGGCATTTCCGAGGGCGGACGTAGCTTGAGGGTTGTCTTGAAGCTGGCTTGATTCCTCCCTGACTTGCTCAGTGAGCAGCGTGAAGATGTCGGTCTCATGACAGCTGTTTTGATGATTCATGTGAGTGCCTGCGTTGCTGCAATGAATTAGTATACTAAGGTGGATGCCCGCCCACCCACATTCCAAGTTGGAAATTAGTAGCTGCAGAGACTTGTCAATATAGTGGAACAGACTAGCGTGAAAGAAGAAAAAAAGAGTATGAGAATAGATTGGATGCCCACCCGCCCACGTTCCAGATTGAGTAGAAGAATAAATAGAAGGTATCTGGTGAGAATAAGTGGCAATGATAGATAGCAACATGGATGGCACAGAAGCCGAAATGGAATGTCGTATGATTATATGTCACCCACCCGCCCACGTTCCAAATTGCCTGATATGAAGAATTGTGGATATGAGTTGTGAAGATAGATTGGGCACTGGAGAAATAGAGAAGCTGGATCATGCTGAGAACAGCAGTATGTTTATATGCTGCCCACCCATCGACATTTCAGATTGCGTAAACTTATAGGTCATGGAGATAAATGGTAATGATGCGAGTGTCACGTTAAGTGGCAGATAAGTAGTTATGCTACATAGTAAATAGATAGGGGTCATAGGGTAGGCAGATTGGGGACAAGTTGACGAGGTTAGGTGGGTGTCATACGGTAGATAAATTGAGGGGGTAGATGGAAGACTCACCTTCGGACTTACCTGGGGAGAAGAGAGAAGGAAAAAAAAGGCCATCTCGAATTTAGGAAGCAGCCGGGCTGCGTATTTATATTCGTCGAACTTTTCTCAGCCTAAGACTAATGATCTGTTGACTTTGACAATCATGTGTGCCGATGCGGGTAGACTCTGCCTAGGCACACTGGCGCGGACACGAAAGTCAGAGCGCCAACCCTAAGCCTCGCGATGTTGCCCTAGCGCCGCCTATTACCAAACTTCTGTCATTACTTGTCCGCGACGCGACCCTATGCCACGGGTGATAGTGCCTCCGTCTGAGTGATGCTTGCATATCCCTTGTAGTCATTGCTCAGTGAGTCACCCGACTCCTGAGCAGCCGTCCGTGTCTCCACTTTGCCCGTAAAAGCATCTTGTTGGGAATGTGGTGGTACGGCTGTATGAAGAGCCTCTTGGCAACCCTCGCAGAAGTTGCGTGTGGGATCCTTGCGCTGTATTGTAAACCCGACAAGCAGTACGAGTACCGTCCATGCTGTATGCAGAAACGCAAAATCAGCAACGAGTACTGTGAAGAATAATGTGCCGCCGGACTTGATCCGAGGTACCTGGCAAAGGTAGTTGATGGAGAAGGTACTCTGCGTCGCGTTTAAGTCAGGCAGAGGCGTGGCGTTGGGATCAAATGAATCCTGCGCCAGGTTGGGGTCTGTGGTTACTCTCATGCCATCGCGGTGAGTCGGCCACGCCTCGAGCTCCGCGGTGTAGTTGGACGTCAGGTTGGCGAGCAAACTTGGGTCGACGAGCATGTTTGGTACGGCGGTCTGGTTGCGACCGAGATCTGTCAAGACCGAGAACCACATGGCCTTGCCTAGTATATCAACAGACGACCAGATTGATGGGTACGGAGTTCCGGTTCCTCCATCGCTCTGCATCAGCACTGGCAGACTCGAGTGGTTGCAGTAATTGCCATTCTCCACAAAACAGGAGACGTCAAAGAAATCTCGGCTCTCGACTTCGGCGGCGGTGCCGATGGTCGTGTTGGCGCTCCGTGTCAGGGTGATGACTGCATTATAGAGATCGTTCTCCACGATGCCGTCGGCGGCCAAGAGGTAGTTGCGCGCAAAAACCATCCAGTACATCTGCAGAAGGGACTCACCCCAGTACAGGCTGGGTTGTGCAGTATTGTTGCGGGCCAGAAAGCGAGGCACGGTCGGGTCGATGAGATTGTATGATGCAACGAGGTCGAAATATGTAGGACCACTCATCGAGTCGGTCGGTGACGTGTCGGTGTCGATGGAGCATGTTGCATATGCTTGGATGAGCACGCCAGCTTTGGAGACGGCAGATTGACGGGCGTTTTGAGTGTAGCGGCCGAGCACCTGAATATTGATCGAGTTTACGTCGCAATCCATGAGAGGCTGCTCATGGTACACAAGCGAGCCTAGGGTGACAGTCGTGCCGGCACGGTTGGCTCTCGAAACTTTCTGCAAGGTATAAGGGAACGCGCTGTTATTGGTAAAAGCGTCGGAATTGAGCGGAATCGTGGCATCGGCACAGGTTGCCTGTGCTTTACTGGTCATCCATGACGGCCATTTGCGATCGCCATACAAGTGCGGGTTCCGGACCGTGTCGTTTGGGGTATTGGACGATATGGCCACGAGCTCGTACCCTGTCGTTATAACATTGACAAACGAGATGACAGCCGTGACTATGACAAGCAGGGCAATAGCCACTGGTGTGAACCACCTGTAGGGATATTTCCGGGAGACAGTATACGAAAAGAAAGATTCAGACATCTTTGCTGTTGCAGATCCCGTCGTACGTTCCCAATGCTCTTTGACTTGTGAACAATCATGCTGACCACGAAGGTAGTGATATTCTCGCGCCCTTTTATTCTACCCGTTGTACAAGATAATCTCGCGGGGCGAAAAGTCTCTTACAGGGATAACGGGTTGCGAGGTCATCTGATGGGAAGTCCGAGCCACACTTTAAACTGCAGCCTTGGAAGGTGGCGCGCGAGCTAGAAAGCGGCTCTCGTCTAGACTCATCCTCCTATGCCGATCTGATATCTCATCTGCCCCTGCATGGCTCATGACTGACAGAAAGCCGTTACACCATTGGTACAATCTATTTTCGGCCCCCAAAACGGGGTGATGTTAGTGGAAATTTGATACCATGGTTGTGAACCAAGATCCTGTACCTGTGGAGAGCATGTAGGGGAACATCAAATGGTAGGAAAATTGATGGATTGTATAAATGTTTGCTCAAATGCAGAGGCACCTCTATCTACTATGAAAGAAGGGGTGCCTCAGCAACAATTCTATTTGAGCTGGCAATGCTGTGAGTGCCAAAGGCATTCACTGGTGATAGCTTCTTTTCTTGGTGACCAACGTGGTGTAAGCCTAATCATTTAGCTTCTTGCGTGACTCACTAGCTGGCCAGCTAGTGAGTCGAGCCAGTGAGTCGATGTCGATCCGTGCCTGGCAGCCCTGGCTTCCACACCCAAAATGGGACCTTTTATAGCAGCTGCCATAGGTAAGTACTTATAGGACATGACAATAGATACAGCTATACCTTTTCTAGCAGCTTGAGCAATGCTGCTGTTTTGACTATATTAAACTCAATCGCAGACACATGAGGGGGTGGATCCTTAATCTGACGAAGGCCAATATGCCATTTTTCTTGCCCAGCAGAGTGTTTTTTTCCCGCACGAAATGCTGAGTTACAGCACATTTTAAGCATAAATATAAACTACTGCGAGGCTTAATATATGGGTCAGCAGTATATACCCTATCAAGTTGTGCGAGCGAGTGACCTCTCGAGCGATCCGAGGCATTCGGGCTTCCATTCAGCCTACCGAGGCTTTAAAGTCGCTCGAACCAAAAGTGGGAGAATTTTGAATATGAATGAAAGATCACTGACGATGGTAGGTAGTACAGTAGACCTCAGGATGTGAAATGTGAAATACGGGTGGGTTCTGAGGTTGTGCAGCTATAAGCGTAGCTCACCCTTTCGATTTATTTCAGACAGAACAACAATGACAACTATCCTTCTCCCTTGTCTTGATTGCAAATTCTCTAGGCAGGTTTGAGTTCAATGACAGACGCTGTGAGCCAACTACCCTTCGCTATGCATTCGTCCAGGACTTGGTCTTGTCTCGATTCTATTCGATCGGAAATACTCTCGATGTCATCAGCATCCACCGCATCATCTGGCCATCCAACAGTTCGCAAACTAGGCGCGCAACGACTATAAGCCATGGCACATGAACAAAATGTTGGGTGTATATGTGCACTGTCCCGGCTGAAGATTTGGAAGGAGGGGTATTGGTCTTTTGCTTTGGGAATAGGACTGGGTGTAGCCCCGAGCGTGAAGACGTGATAGGTGGAGTATTCTAGCTGTACGCAGAACTTATCGCGTTTCGTGCCAAAACTATTTTTGTTTTCACAGTCGTTACTTACCAAGCAGCTGCTTAATATGCACATTACTGAGCGTAGGTCAATATGCTGACGAAACATATAACAAAATCAATGGGATTGGTTCAGCCCCTACACGTAGTTCCGCACTACCGGCGGGCAGAGATATCAGCTTATTCCTTAAGCGTACTCTACTATGCAACAAAAGAAGTAGATCATAGTTTCACCTCCACAATCGGTCCTTGATATTCCTTCCTGCCTTTCACGGCATACCATAGAACGGCAAATAGCACCGTGCCACCAAAAGTAAGGAGACTGAAGTTCATGGTCGCAGGTGTAACGGGGGTCACTGGGGGCCAGAAGGCCCAGAACCACAGCACAGCCAGGTATACACAGGCGAAAATGTTGTTTAGCACTCCAAGGACTCCAGGGATGCGCTATGGTCCCCACTGGATGAGGCCTGGCTCGACCTTTGAAGTGCGTGGGTTGTATGACTTGACACCGTCCTTCTGCAGCCGGCGGAACAGGAGCAGGCCGCAGCTGAGGAGGTATGACGAGTAGAGGCCGACTACGCTCAGATTGACAATGTTGTTGAACGCGACGCTCGACCCGAGCGTGATGAGTGAGAGCAGTACGGAGACTATCGTGGTGAAAGCGACGGTATAGATGGGGATGGATGTACGCTTATCGAGCTGTGAAGGGATATGTCTGGTCAATACCTCAATCCACACGCAGGCTCAGCGAGGAGAAAGGGGTCTCGTGCCTTGAGAATTGCTTCCAAAATGGAACTCCGCGGTCTCTTGAAAAGGACCAGACCATCCTGGACGACGATGCTAGGACACCCACAGTGCTGCACACGCTGAGGACCACCACTATCATGCCCATGATAGCCGCTCCGGCAGTCGAGCCGGTCCCAACCTGGAACACGTATAGGTATGGATATATATCCTAACGTGTCTACGGAGTCCAGAACATCATCGAGGTTCCCGAGACAAAAGAAGATAGGCGAGCAGCATTGCGAACCCCAGAATGCCGTTAACCAATACGCTGGTGTTGATGGCTCGTGGAACGACCCTGGATGCATTTCGAATCTCCTCGGACATCTAGTTTAAGCCGCTATGTTAGAATAAATAAGTCTAGTATCAAATCGAGTATGTCTTACATGGACGGCTGAGTCGGCACCTGCAGCAAAGTCAAGGTCAGTCAAGTTCTTCACTAAGACCCCTACATATGAACAGGCTTACCAATGAGGGCAGATACAGAGGCTGGTAGGCCAACCATGAAAGATAGACCATCTGTAGGCCACGCGCCCAGATTCACAAAAGTCGTGAAGATGAACGCGTCGCCGTGGGGGCCGAGTATCACCAGCGGTATCAGAATGGCGAAGAAGCCCAGAATGTGCAGGACCAAGATCAGTCCTTCGAAATGGGCGAGCGTCTTAGTGGCAACCGTGTTGATGAACACTGCGAAGCTCAGGATGACCCAACAGAAGAGCATGGCCTGGTACGGCTTGGGGACGTAACCTGGATTGCACATGATGATGACGCCCTCCAGAAGGGTCCCAATGAGATATGCGGCCGACGCAGTGACTGCTTGCCAGCCTATGAAAGTTATCCATCCTTACAGCCGGTTAGCCACACGGGGACGAAATTGATGCACAGGCCGTTTGCTTACCAGTGATGTAGCTCAAGAATCGCCTGGATGAATCGGGGGCTAACATGGCAACCCAACTATACACCTACATATCAGCAAGAATGACAGGGTGAAGGAGCCGACTTCAATCATTGCTTACTGATATTGACCACCGGCGGTTGGTGCCCTATTGGTGATATTACTTTAGTCAAGTTGATCAAACATAACAACAAGGGGCAGCGACTTACATCGATGCCAGTTCAGACAAGACCGCAAAAACAGACAATGTGCCGATCCATACTATGAGGTAGCCCCAGATGACGCCAGCTGGGCCGCCACTATATTTTGTTCGCGGTCGGAGGACAAGGGATGGTTAGTAGAGGACAACACACTTTTCAAGGCTGTTTGTCGAGACACTGCGTACTGTTTAGCTTTGTGTCAACATGATTTGGATTGTCCCCGCATGTACGAACATTAATATTCCCTCCCAAGTGATCAACACTGTGCAGGAGAAGCCCAGGATGGACGTAAAACCAAAGTTGCGCTATTCAATATCAGAAGACGATGCCATTGAGTCATACAGACAGACTTGCCTTTAATACGGGTTTCTTGCCCAGCGCAATCAGATCTTTATCATCTTTGCTGTATTCTTTGTCATCCACGGCCACAGTACTGGCGACTGGGTGCTGGAGCTCTATTTCCGACATTGCCTGCCAACGTGCGGTCCTTCTGGTTGATTAAGGGATTTCTGGCGCTGTTAGGCCTGTCGAACGGGGAGACTCTCGTTATGTCACTTGAATACCACGTGCAGGTGGGAACCAGCAGATAATGAAAGCTTTCTAGTTCCAGTTTGCACACCAAAGCTCATCCCTTCATGCGACACAGAGCCTTTTGCCTCGTTGAGCAGGTTATTTAGCTGGTATCAATGTGCCGAAATTCCGTTCGTACTTTGGCCCAGGAGTTATTGCGCCCGTTAGTGGCAGCATTTGCCCAGGTTACATTCACTACTGTATCGTCCCGCTGCATGTGTAGTCAAAGGATTCACATCCCCATGCCAACGACATAATGTGGTACAGTACTATGGTAGGTCGTAGTGTGCGATAGCGAGTGGGGGCCGGTAGTACATAGGTGGTGGTTGGCGGGGTGCTGTTTGCAAGCCGCCGTTGGGTGGGGTTCAATGGGACTTTGGGATGGAGGCTCCAGGAGGGGTGTACTATGGTACGAGAGGGAGTATCGGGTCCTCGCTCGCCGAATACGCATGCAAGTAGAATGCAGTTGGTCAAACCCCATGTATTATTATACCAAAAAATGACACTACATAAGCTGACATTATTCATTTCCAAGGTTGTCACCATTATCTCGGTCCTTGTCCTCTCAAAGATCTTCTCTAGCTCTTCTCGTTCACCAAACAGCTACTATTCTGCCTTGCTGAATCTAGCGCCACCGAATGAATCGCCATCATGACGACCGGATATGCTACTTTCAAGGTGGACGGTCTCTCTGAGCCCTGCCAGACTTGGTACAAGGTTTTTGGGGATCTAACCAAACCCGCAACTCCCTTGATTATACTCCACGGCGGACCAGGTGCATGCCATGACTATCTGCTCCCTCTGGCTGATCTCGCATCTTCGATGCCAGTCATCTTCTACGATCAGATTGGAAACGGGCTGTCAACACATTTGGCCGATAAATCTGGTGATGAGGGTTTCTGGACAGTTGACTTGTTTAGCAAGGAGCTTGACAACCTCATCTCTCATCTAGGCCTGAAAGGCCGGCCCATCAACATCTATGGCCATTCATGGGGTGGTATGCTAGCTGCGGTATGGGCAGCTGCATTGCCGAGTCCGTCTAACCTCCATCGTCTGGTTATCTCCAATAGCTTAGCAAGCATGGATGTATGGCGAGAAGCGATGACAGCCTTGCGAAAGCAGCTGCCTGATGATGTCCAGGCTGTTCTGGATCGCGCTGAAGAGACCAAGGAGTTCGAGACCCCTGAGTATGAGGCGGCTGTCGAAGTCTTCTACAAGAGGCACCTGAGCCTTGCCAGACCATGGCCAGCGCCAGAAGTCCAAGCTGCACTCGAGTGGTTTGCAAAGGACCCTACTACGTACGGTACAATGTAAGCTTCTTCTGTTTTCTTAGCTCTTCGCTTTCTTCCTGCAGACAACAAGTTAACTATGAGCAAAGGTATGGGCCAAGCGAGCTCTACATTTCAGGCTCGCTTCGCGATTGGACTTGTATCCCGGATCTACCCAATATCAAAGTTAAAACGTTGCTTATCAATGGGACGGAAGACGAGGCTCAAGACGTGGCAATGCAACCATTCTTCGACCATATCGAGAAGGTGAAGTGGATTACACTGGATAATGCGGCGCACTTTTCCCATGTTGACCAGCGGGAGAAGTACATAAAAGTTTTGGGGCCCTTCCTTGAAGAATAAGCAATGGACAATGAGCATCATGCCATGGATTTCCTAGATAGGATAAGTCATTTGCCACCTCGTATCATTGGAGGCTGACCACAGCATTATATATGCAGTGACGGTATTACTCTGCTACTGTAGCCTGAAGGTCTCAGCTCAAGTGGCGAACATAGCCTCACATGGCTCCTCCTGAGACCTGAAACTGTGTGAAGGAATTCTACACTGGTCTCAACCGCACGTACCTAGTGCTGTTCCATCGCGTACGCACGCCAGTGAGGTGACCATCCTAGCAGCAGATACAGAACAGGATCGCTGTACTGGTTGGCTGCAAATTTTTCTACTATGACTAGAACGTTGCGATAGAAACCCGTAGCTGGACTCTGTGGCAAGATCCAAGCCTGACGCATGCACTCGAGAGATGCAATATTTTTGATAATTACCTGCGACCAATGCAAGGCTTGAGACTATCCACAAGAGTAAACCTATTCAAGATAAGAAAGGAATATAACAAAAGAATACTTTATAAAGAATATAGGATTCAAGACGATATTCTTAGATTTTATCAAATAATAATTCATAAGTTAATGTTAGTAAAGATCGTGTCAATTTTGAGGCAGTAATTGTTTATTATTCATGTCATAAACTATTCATGTTAATAAACTGCCAAGCGGCCGCGCTTTTGCTGAGTACAAATCTAGCTCCTTTACATACGGTGGGGTTGTGCAGGGGATAGCCCTGTAATGCTCCACGCACCAGTATTGCATAGATGAGTCGTGGCATGCTTTGGTGCTGACTCCTTTCTTACCACAAGCAGGACAAGGTAGTACCAGAACAACAAATAGTCAAGCCTGCTGATCGTCCCGTCATGCCTGAGACAGAACAGAAGCCACAGTCGTCAGATGACACCTTTCTCCGCGAATCGTACGGTCGGCTTCGGCAGACCGTTGACTCTCGGCTGCGGGACGATCGAGTTTTGCCCAAGCCTGTCGATTACGAAGCGGCACGACGAAGTCTTGTTCAGGGTTTCCCGCAAGGACATGGCATAGGGCGTGATGCAACGCTGAACCACCTTCTGAACGATGTGGTCCCTGGGCTCAACGGCCAGAACCTCTCTGGGCGGTACTATGGCTTCGTCACTGGCTCCAGTCTTCCGATCGCCGAGGTCGCCGACAACATCGTCTCAGCACTCGACCAGAACGTGCAGGTTCACCTTCCCGGGCAGAGCATCTCTACTGAGGTAGAAAATGCCGCTTTGGAGATCCTCATTGGCCTCTTGCGCCTCGGCCCTCCACAGAGCTGGCCGGGGCGGACCATCACGACTGGTGCCACGGCGAGCAACATCCTGGGCTTAGCTTGCGGGAGGGAGGCGGTCATACGAAGACGCAACCCCACGGGACGAGGAGTCTCGGAGTTGGGTCTTTTGGCTGCTTGTCGAGAGGCGGGCATCCAGGAGATTCAAGTTCTGACGAGTATGGGTCATAGCTCGCTCTCCAAGGCGGCGAGCGTGGTGGGCCTGGGGTGTTCAGCTGTCAAAGAGCTGCGGTTCAGCGAGGAGGAGCCGTGGAGACTTGATATGCGTGCAGTGGAGCAGGAGCTCCAGCGAGAGGGAGTGGCATCCATCATTGCCGTCAGTGCTGGAGAGGTTAATACCGGACGGTTTGCAACCTGTGGTCAGGGCGACATGATAAAGCTCAGAGAGCTGGCCGACAAGTTCAAAGCATGGATACATGTCGATGGTGGTATGTCACCATCTTGACAATCTATGCAATTCCAAACGTTTAAACAAGCTGACGGACTCTACCCAGCATTCGGCCTCCTCGCCAGGATCCTTCCACAAGAAGACCCACAATATCAGCATCAGATCAGCGGTGTTGAAGGTCTCGAGCTCGCCGACAGCATCACAGGAGACGGGCACAAATTGTTCAATGTGCCCTACGACGCAGGCTTTTTCTTCTGTCGTGATGCTACTATCCAGGAGCAAGTCTTTCAGAACCCCAATGCCGCATACCTCACATCATCCACGCCGTCCTCCGCCCACCAGAGCATACAGAGTCCCCTCAACATAGGCCTGGAAAACTCACGCAGATTTCGTGCCCTTCCACTGTACGCCGTCCTGCTCAGCGAGGGAAGGGACGGCTTGCAGAAGATAATCTGCCGGATGATCGAACTAGGCAGGAAAGTTGCAGCTTTCATCGAGAGCCATCAGCATTACGAGCTACTCCCAACCGATGCCGGGCTGAAATGCACGTGGATGGTTGTCCTGTTCCGTGATCGGAGGCCCGAGTACAACAACGTGCTGACGGAGAGGATCAACCGGACGCGCGAGTTGTATGTCAGTGGGACCAGCTGGGCAGGCCAGAAGGCTACACGGATTGCTGTAAGCAGCTGGCGGGTCGATGTCGAAAAAGACGTCCCCATCGTGGTAGGGGTGTTGGATCGATTGTCTAGAACGCCACCTGATGAGGTCAAATAATTGTAAGTAAGTAAATGAAGTCAACCGCAATAGGAATAAGACGTCGATTTCAGCATTAAATATATGAAGCCACACCTGAACTCGTGTACCTTGAAGAAAGAAAAAAGTATGGTCTGTATATACGAGAGACTGTCTTGATCATTACCAACACTTTACACAAATTATGGAGTCAAGTGAATACAAGTGAGTATAAGGGTTACTCCAAGTCTGTTGCCACAAGTCCCTATTCATTTTCCTTTCTCCCCAAGCCAATCGAGAGTTGAGATTCTCATCCTTCGACGGCCACACATAGCACCTTTATTATCGTGTGAATCAGTAAATGATAAATCGATGCCGAGCGCCGAGATCCACTCTCTACTTATTTAATTAGCGCCTGAGAGATCTTGCTCATAGCAGTGCTAAATTTGCAGGATCTCGGCAACAAGTGGAGTCATTGCCGTGTTCAATGATCTCCCCAGCTGGTCCAGCATTTTTTCCAACTCAAGGCTGACGCAGCGCGCAGATGCGCAAGGCTTCGCGCAACATATGATGAAAGCACGACTGACTGTGTAGCCAGCCACGACCAAGACAACCCACCACAAAAGCTCTGCAACCAACTCATAATTACAACAACTCCCCTCTCATATTCTCTATTCTATTATCACTTTTGCGTCCCAGACAGCAACAAAGCAACAGCCTCTCCTTGATAAAATATCTCCTGCCACAAGCCCACCATGAGCGACTTATCCTTCCGCAAAGCAACACCATCCGATGTGCCATCGCTGCTCAAGCTCGTCCAATCTGCATACCGCGGCGAGGCCAGCAGGGAAGGCTGGACCACCGAGGCTGATCTCGTGGTAGACGACCGCATCGATGAACCAGGCCTGCTCGCCAAGATCAACCAGCCCCACGGAAGAGTCCTGATTACTTTTGCGGCGGCTTCCTCGCCCGCGGGCTCTGAGCCCTTGGCGTGTTGCGAGGTCACTGCTCTCGAGGGGTCGAGCGAATCAGCGACGCTGGGCCTCTTCGCTGTGAATCCGAAATTGCAGAACGGAGGAATCGGTCGCAGGGTGCTCGCGGAGGCGGAGAGGTGTGCGAGGGACGAGATGGGCATCACGGCCATGGAGATGAATGTTGTCTGGTCGAGGGCTGAGTTGCTGGCGTGGTATGAGAGGCGAGGCTACAAGGTGGTCGAGGGCGAGACGCGCCCGTTCCCGTATGATCACCTGCCGAATGGAAGGGCTGGAGCGTTAAGACAAGACTTGTATTTCAAAGTTTTGAGGAAGCAGTTGGTTTGAGATTTGTATTCGGCTCTCACCGTCCCAGCTCCTCGACTGTTTTCCCTGTCTTTTACTTCTTATAGACTCATGAGCAATGAAGTAGAGGTCCGTACTTGAATTTACAAGTGATGACGATGGTCCATCCTGATGTGCTCTCCCATAATCCCATCTCGTTCTGTCGTCGAAAGGTCAACTCCTCGGCACGTGTTGATGCCGCCACGTTTCTGGGGACGGTGTTTGCCTCCACTTTGACATCACGCACTGGTCCGCCTGTACTCTTGGTGTCGGATAATATCGGGCGTGGTATAGCTTCGAATTCTGCAGCTAGACGACGAGCCACGTGATGGGCTCGAGCCGAGTCTTTCCACCATAACAGGCCCTGCACTTCCTCTTTGTCACCACGGTTTAACTCATGTTCCTGATTTGAACCAATTTGGTAGTCATGCGCTGCCTGTGTGGGGCTCTTTTCTTCGGTATTCACCAGGTAGCAGCGGTGGTGGACTACCCTCGATTCTTTGACGTAGACATTATCTTCCCGCCTCAGATCCATGCCGGCGAGTGCCCAGCCATGTGGGAAGGGGACAGCCTCCTCAGGCGCAAGATACAACTCGGACGTATTTTCTCCTCGGGCTAAGCTCTTCCCTCGGCTCATCGGACGGTGTTTGCAGACATCATCCAGGAACTCTTTGACAAGCACGATCATGTCCTGTACCAGGTCTTCATCCTCCTGCATTGCGCGCCTCAACTGTGATCCGTGAGCTTCGATGATCTGTTGAGAGGTTCGGTCGACTGCTTGAGCAAGACTCGCGTCCCTTATGGATGGTGACGTCGAGGTAGCGACGAAGGGTCCTGAGAACTGAGTCGGACTTGTCGTAGTGTAAGGTGGAGGAGGCTCTAAGGTCTGACGGATTCGTCTGGATGCGCTTCCATATCGTTCGCACGACATTGTACATGAAGTTCCTTTTTTCCACCCCAGAGATAAGCCTTGTTGCACGCGACCGATAAGCGCCAGCTTGGAGATCACAAAGATATCTCCTGTGCGCGCGGCGGCGCGACAGGTTTCTTATAGTAAAGGGATCTTGGCAGATGGCTTAGGGTATAGACGTCACTTGTGTGGTCCATGTGTCGATAGCTCCAGCCGGATCTCTAGTAGTCCACTGGCCTCGTCATCAGCGCATGCTTCAGCACTCAAGTAGGTTAAGATGATCTTAGAGCGGGCTCTATATGTTTTAGACTCGCCAACGTATATTTTAGGAGAATATTCGAGCCATGTGATCGAGTTTAAGTACACCTGGAGCTCCCTTAGGTCGTTTCGAGGATTCAGATATGTTGAGAAGCTCAGAGTATTCGTTGCTTAGTGCGCTGCCCATTTGTCTCGTTAGAAAATGCTTGAGCTTTGTGACACCTTCTAAGTGAACTAGAGCAAGAAGAGACGAATTAAAACATGAGAAACGCGCGAAGAGCTGCCAGGTGATAGCTTTGATGAATGGCGAAGGTAGTGGCTGAAAGCCGTGTTTAGACTCGTAGCCCACTACCAGTATGACGCACCGGCCAGAAGATATTTGCATTTTCTGCCTACTTTGCACTGATATTCATGGAGAATGCAGCCAGAGAGACGCTCGCTGGCTGTGAATTGCTGGTACGTCGTTCTTCTTCTTCTCTGTCTCTATACGTGCTTGCCCCTTCTCATATGAAATGCTACTGGACTTAGTATAGCGTACCGAGCCTACCGATACGAAATGTTTCTTCGGGTACTTATATAAGAGGGCCGCTTCGTTCCTGGCTTTCCAGCCTTGGCAGGGTATGTAAGGGGCCACTTTACCATCAACGAGCTCCTCCTTACGATTGTCAACATTACCTAGTACGCACGTCAGGATACATTCATTTACGTCGAAGAACTCCATGTCGAGATTTGCTAATACAGGTCAACCTCATGCCGCCCTTTTACAAAATCTCGGCACCGAATGAGTACCTCGCCATCACTGGCGTAGGGATCAGTACTGTCCGAATATGCAAGTCGGCCGTCATATGGCCACTTCAAAGATACATCCGCTTCAGGTAATATGCAAGCTGCTTGCAAGTCCCCCTTCTACTCATCTCCGGCATGTTGACATCCGGCCTTTACCTCAGCGTGCAACCTCACGACTATGCCATTGATCTCCAGGCCATGACCAAAGAGAAGTTGCAGTTCCTCCTCCCTGTCGTGTTCACAGTCGGGCCCGATGTCGATGCCAGGGGCGCAAATTCGTCGGGCTCTCGAAATGTACAGAGTCAAGTCAACGGCGAAGCCCAGGAAGACTATGTCCGCGATGATTCTTTGATGAAATATGCGATGCTGCTAACGAGTGGTAGCTCAAGGACATCTGATCAGAAGACCAACTCATTCCTGCAAAACATCATCAAGGGTATCATCGAAGGCGAGACTCGTGTGCTCGTGTCGTCCATGACCATGGAAGAGATATTCACGGAGCGTGAGGAGTTTAGTACGTGCGTTGATCTTTCATGTTGTGAGAAATAAAGATATTACTAACTGACAGGTCGCAGAGCGCCGAATCTTCCGAAACATCCAAAGCGAGCTGGACCAGTTCGGCCTGAAAATCTATAACGCGAACGTCAAGGAGCTGCGTGATGCCCCCGAGAGCAACTACTTCGAGTCCCTGGCGCGCAAGGCCCACGAGGGCGCTACAAACCAGGCCCGCGTCGACGTAGCCGAGGCACAGCTGCTCGGCAACGTCGGCGAGGCGAAGCGCAAAGGCGAGCAGGAGCGAGAGATTGCCAAGATCAACGCCGAGACGGCGGTGCAGAAGACGGAGCGGGACAGCGACAGAGCAGCCGCCGAAGCCAAACTCGCCACGCGCAAGACCGTCCTCAGCCAGAACGTTGACATCGCCAAGATCGTGGCCGCACGCGCCACTGAGTCCAGAGACGAGGAGCTCAAGCGCGAGGTGGGGGTCAAGCGTGCCGCTGCCGAGATGGAGCGCCTGCGCGCCCATGATGTCGTCAAGGCCACGATTGCCCGCGAGGCAAAGCAGCAGGCGGCCGATGCGAAGGCGTATGAGACCCAGGCTGCGGCCAAGGCAAGCGCAGACGCCCGCGTGTACGAGACAGAAGCCGAGGCCAAGGCCGCCAACCAGTCTGCGGATGCCCAGGCGTACGAGACGCGGACGGGTGCCGAGGCCAAGGCGTATCAGATGCAGGTCGACGCCAAGGCGGGCGCTGACGCCCGAGCGTACAAGCTGGAGACGGAGGCGCATGCAGAGCTCGAGGCGGCCAAGCAGACTGCAGATGCCGAGGCGTGCAAGACGAAGACGGGTGCAGACGCTGCTAATTATGCAGCCAACAAGAGCGCCGACGCCGGTGCGTACAAGACGCTGGCAGAGGCCAAGGCAGGTCTCGAGGCCGCCAAGCAGACTGCGGATGCCAATGCATATAGAACGCGGTGTGACGCTGATGCTGGCAACTATGCCTCCATCAAAGAGGCCGAGGCTCAATCGCAGAGCCTGCTGAAGGAAGCAGAGGGTATGGCCGCGATGGCCACTGCGTACGGCAGGATGGCTGACGCCTTGGGCGGGCCTCCTGGTCTTCTGCAGTACTTGATGATCAAGGATGGCACCTATATCGAGCTTGCCAATGCCAACGCCAACGCCATCCGCGGGCTCCAGCCCAAGATCTCCGTTTGGACCACTGGCGCACGGGGTCGCGAGGGTGGCTCGTCGAGTAGTACGGAGACTATGCGCGGTGAGCTGATTCTTGAGGTACGCACCAACTGCGGAATCTGAATACTAATCAACTTCATGACCAGATATATATCAAATGCTTCCTCCCCTCATGACGACTATCAATGAGCAGACGGGCATCACTCTTCCAGAGTGGCAATTTGGCCGGATACACGAACAGATGGCAGATGTTGAGAAGAACAAGCAGATTGCAAAGTTGGACTCTGAGGAATAAGGTCGGGTGTTGATGAGGCTTGAATTGATTGTTTGCAGCATCTGAGTTGTCAGTTCATTTATGCTTGATTTCTGGCGCTTGTGGGATCCAAGTGCCCTCTGAGGGTGGTTTGCACCATGGACAGTCTTTGGGAAGTTATCCCCATGTGCAAGAGAAGCTGGGCAGGCTGCTAAGTGATGGCGATGTCTAGGAGTGCACTCAGGAAAGCACATGAGTAGTAGTACACATGGGACAAGACCAGAATGGATGGAGCACTTTGCCCACACCAAGAAGACGAGACAGAGACGAAGAGTGCTACCTGTTCCTCCCTGGCTGCCCAGCTAATAAAGCTACCCCGGGAGCTGATGTTCATGTACATGACTGCAGAAGGCGGCACGTTGAGGATTCCTGGCTCCTCAAGGCGGAGGTCACTTGACTGGAGGTTGTTGGTCTTTGCAGCTCGATGTCAGGATGAGAGCACTGTAAGTAAGCAAGGGGTAGTGCCTTATTGTGCTTGGTAGGACACGACACTTGATCAAGCCCTAAGGCACACACAACCAAGAAGGCAACGAAGCCAGCCTCCGTGTGAAACAGTTTCCAACCCTCTTCTCAAAGCATTGTCAAGCTTCTTGAGATAGGTCAACTTTTTCCAACTGGCAAACGCAGAATTTCCAAAGAAGACGGTACAATCATCGCCATTATCAGTCAAACAGTTTCGACGGTGTTCGCAACCTCATCGACAACTCATCGACATTCTTGCTGTGCCCCGTCAGAACCAACGTGGCCGAGGTGAAGGAGTTTGACCACAATCCTTCAACAAGAGAGAGCCAAACGACCTGGCACTTGCACTTTGAACCTTTCGACCTCTTCGTTTCCGACTGCTCTCGGCGTTGCGGCCGAACAAAGCACCGATACGGCTCCTTCAGTCGATCGTCTGGCGACACTCGCAACCCCACCTACCTGAAGAACGCGGTGGCAGATCCGAGATGCCTGTGACGCAGTCCCTCGACAAGGACCTTGAGCTGATCGAGCTCTGGGGTGGAGCCGCCAAAGATGCCTGCTTGGCCGAATTCATCACAGGTGTGGCGGTACGCAGCACACTCCCCTGCCCTTCCCTCTCTTGAGTCCCTCGTGGGTATTTAGATAACACTGAACACTGGCATTGTAGTCTATCCTCTGGTCCTTAAAGGGCACCTGTGGCCCCGAGCGTGACCCCAAGCGCATGAGGATCTGGAGCCTGATTCAACAGCTTCAGTGTAGTGTCTTCAAGGACCCCCCTTACGACCAGAAGGTGGCCAACCAGATCCGTATCTGGCTGAATGATCACTTGAACGTCGAGGGAATCGACCTGACTCTCGACTTTGAGCGGCTTCTGTTCACAACGAAAAAAGAGGCGGAGGCCATCAAGCAGCACGTGGCTAGAATCAAGGAGGCCCAGGAGGAGCAGCGCAAGAGAGAGGGATGGGTTGTGATCGAGAGGGAGGACGCTGTTGAGGAGTGGGATTTGGTCTGATCCTTCACCATGAATAGTCGTCCTGCATATTTCCACAGTGCTTTTTTTCTTTCTTTTTCTTTTCTTTGGCGGTCTTCAGCGAGTGCCACTGTCGCTTGAGGCTTGCGCAGGTCGGAACTCCTATCAGAGGCCGCAACCCAGTACGAGCAAAGAAGAAAGGTTGTATTAAGACAGATTTCAGTCTGTAATACCACGCAACTGAGGCACTCCCCAAATTGTGTCTCGCAAGGATATGAGAGATTCTGGCGCCTGTTGAATGTTTCGTGATCTTGCAGGCAATGAGGATGTGGTGGTGATGGACGATGATGTTACACAGTCGTTCATCGTGATATCCTATCATCAGTCAGCAATTGGAGCAGTGTGCTCTCCTGGGGTTCTGAGTGGACAAGTCACTAGTGGGGGAGGCACTTTTGATGTAGTTGATGCTGTTAGTAAATAGCCAGAGAAGCCTACCGTTCTTTATCATACAGTACATGATGTTGAGTACATAATCAGCACGGCTCAGCCTAAGATCAGTGCCATCCCTGCACTACCATCCGCTAGGCCTATTCAAACCCGTTCCGACCCGAGCAGAGCCATTTTTCACGCTGCTTGTTGTCCAAGGCCCGAGCCCGGCTAAATAAAACTTTTGTTGTTCTTTTACGTCCCAATCCCAGCATCGTCAACAGCATCACTGCTCCCTCCACTCCAACCTCCGTTCTACGACGAGATCCAGTTCTCCCCCATCTCCACTCCATCCTTCTTCTGTTTTTCGTGTCTTCCTGCTACTCGTAGCCAGTCTTCTCTTCCAACAGTCACGATGGCCTCGCCTACGCAATCCACCGGCTCGACCAAGGTCGATGCCGTCGTCCAGAAGGCTGCTGCTGCCGCCCCCGGCCAGCTCAGCGGCGTCGCTCTCTACTCCAGATTCGCCCTTGCCGGCGCCATCTGCTGCTCAGTAACTCACGGTGCTCTGACGCCCGTTGATGTGTACGTCGAGCTCTTTGTCCCTTTGCCCTCGTACTCCTGATGCCGCAGCCCTATCTTGGCCATTCAGCTTTGCGACCGACGCGACTACCGCCGTGCGCACCCGTCGCCTTTTATCACAGAAAACCACCCCAACGGCCGTTGAGTGCGACCAGCAGATGGATATAGAGTATCAACAGCTGACAATTGCCCCTTCTACAGCGTCAAGACCCGTATCCAGCTCGACCCTGTCACCTACAACCGCGGCATGATCGGTGGCTTCAAGCAGGTCATCCAGAACGAGGGTGCCGGTGCTCTGCTGACCGGCTTTGGCCCTACCGCCGCCGGTTACTTCCTGCAGGGCGCCTTCAAGTTCGGTGGATACGAGTTCTTCAAGCAGCAGTCCATCAACCTGGTCGGCTACGAGAACGCCTCCAACTACCGCACCGGCGTCTACCTGGCCTCGTCTGCCTGCGCCGAGTTCTTCGCCGACATTGCCCTCTGCCCTCTCGAGGCCACCCGTATCCGTCTCGTCTCCGAGCCCACCTATGCCTCCGGCCTGCTGAGCGGCTTCAGCAAGATGCTGAGCCAGGAGGGTATCGGCGCCTTCTACGCTGGCTTCGGCCCCATCCTTTTCAAGCAGTAAGTCTCGACATCCTCCACCACCACCCCCCCCCCCTTGCCTGTCTTTTATACTTGCCAGTCTTGCTTACACGTTCCCTTGCCAGGATCCCTTACACCATGGCCAAGTTCGTCGTCTACGAGAAGGTTGCCGAGGCCATCTACCGCTCGTACCCCAAGAACGAGATGTCCGACGGCGCCCAGACCACTGTCAACCTGGGCTCTGGCCTGATCGCCGGTTTCGCCGCCGCCATCGTCTCCCAGCCCGCCGACACCATGCTGTCCAAGATCAACAAGACTAAGGGTCTGCCCGGTGAGGGCACCATGACCCGCCTGGTCAAGATCGGCAAGGAGCTTGGTCTCCGCGGCTCCTACACCGGTATTGGCGCCCGTCTGTTCATGGTCGGCACCCTGACCGCCTTCCAGTTCGCCATCTACGGTAAGTCACCCTCAGTCCACCAATTCCTCCCCCCCCTTCGCCCCCTTCACCACTTTGCTACCCCTTCAATTCCCATAACCATAATGCTAACTGGACGCAGGCGACGTCAAGCGCGCATTGAACGCTACCGGAGGAGTAGAAATTGCAAAGTAAATGCATCACAGACGATAGAAAAGATAGAACATGGAAGAATTGGTGGGGGAAGGGGCAGGAGCCGTGCGGTAGAGTGTGGTAGAGTTGAGCACAGTCCGGCAAGGGCAGGGACAGGGTTGCACTCAGAGGATATGCATCCACTGGGTTGCTTCGACATGAAAACTTTAAGACGTCTTCTCTGGCTTATTCTGCATTTAGAAGGGACGGCGTCCTGGCGAGGACGGGCTCAACTTTTCTTGTTGGGACCATCTTGGTGGGAATCTGGGCGTAGAGAGCGTCTTGGCAATGATGATTGGCCAAAGGCTTTGTATAATACTCCTTTCTGTTTGTGCGAGACCATAGACTGGGGTTAGATGATAAAGATGCTATATACGCTGCTTACTGACGGGTTTCGATGCATTGCTAATTGCTACACAACTCACTACCTCTGAGCAACCTCTTACAACTTGTGCATCACCTTCTTTCCCTTCTTAGTTCCACATCAACGCTTGTCTTCTTTCACTTCCCGTCTTGCGAAGCCAATCCTTCTTGTATTTCAACCTGTTCGGAAGGCAGTCGGGATGCGATCTGAGCGAAGCCGCAGCCGCGCTCACAGATGCTGATGATGAGCAGCATGAGCAGGGGGAGGTTCAGCACCTTTCGTATATGGCAAGGTGCTGAGGTACTCTGGCGTATACAGCTGGGACAAGATGAATGTGACATTGTGCGTGTCGGGAAGAATGTACGAGCGATGTCCACATTCTTGCCGCTAAGCTCTGTTTTCAAGTGGCGGAGGTCATACATAACCATGTAGCTACTGTTATGGGAGGCTTCATGGCTCCTGAGGTTGTGAGGGAATAGGGGAGACTTACCCATGAGTTATTTCGATGAGAAGTAATCTCACTCTTCAATTACTGAAGTGGGTGGACAGGAGGGAAGACGACTTCAACCATCGAGGGTCCATCTCGGATCCATCTCTTGAGCTCCAGAGACCAGAGTAACGTAGAAGCATTGAGCTATTCGAGGATGTACAGACGAATACATAATGTCATACACATTGAGAGACTGCCGCCCAGCCATCCAAACTCCCGCTCCGGGCTCTATCAAGATGCCTCATCTGATTGATATGCCCATAAGGTATCATTCAACAATTGTGTGAAAAAAAAGAGGTAAAAAGAAACGCTCTGCCACGACACTCTGATGGAGAGGGAAGAAAGGAAAGAAAGTGAGGGACGAAGAGGCAAAGCTTGGCTGGTCGCTAGAACGCTACCACCACTCTTTCCTTCCCTCTGTCCCTCCTTTCTTCGATCTCTTCCTTCCGTCACCGCGAATTCTTCCTTCCATTTGTTATATCCACCGTCTTGGTAACTGTGATCCCGCTCTTGCTCATTGTTCTCATTGGATAGCCCAGCTCAAACTCCTTTCCTCCAGCAGTGATGATGCTTTCTCTCCTGGACCCGGCCAAGCCATCACCACCAGCCTCTTTTCCACCACCTGCGCCACCACCAACGCCATTGGCGCCAGGAGTAGCAGTCACACCGCCGTGCACCCCGCCCGTAGCACCCGAGGTGGTGTCGCCCACGCCTAGGATCCTGCGCTGGCTCCAAGAGTCCACATCGGTGGCTCCCACGGCCTCCTCCCAGGTGGCGTTGGCGCCAAAGTTGCGGATGTACGACGAGCTCTGTTGGTGGTACTTGCTACCGGTGTGATTACTGTTGTGCTCCTTGGTGGTCCGAAAGGAATGCACGCGGATACCGAGGGCCTGGAGCATCGAGCTGACGGCGGGGCGGCAGACGGGCATGCCTATGCAGATCATGGTGACGGCCATCTCGGCGCCGTGCCAGAGGTAGAGGATCGCGGCTGTGAGGGGAGAAAGACAGAAAGAGTCAGCACCAGACTGCTAAGAGGGAGGGGGAAGGGGGGGCGCAGAGGAGGCAGGACGAAGAAGGAAGATCAAAGGTTCAGCATACCAGACTTGGCATCGGCGTTGGTGGCCGCGGGGTAGATGCTCAGCGCCCTCGCGATACCGCACCCAGCGGCGATGACGCCCAGGCTCATACTTCCCTGGACGAGATACTTCTCCCTCCTCGGCCTGGTGAGCCTGTGCAGCAGATACCAGGGCATGGCTGCGTACCACAGGTCGACGGCGACGGAGAAGGCCGCAGCGGCCTGCATCCAGTGCATGGCGTCGGTGATGTCAGTGCACAGCAGGCTGGAGCCGCCCAGTTCGCCGAAGCAGCGGGCCCACATGGCCAGCATGGCGCCGAGGGAGACGACGCCCAGGACGAAGAGGGGCCCGATGATGAGCACGCGCCAGCAGAAGAGGGAGTGGTGCTGCGGCACAAGCCGCATGAGGAACGAGATGAGCGACGACTTGGCGATCAGGAGACCCAACGAGGCCAGGTCGAAGAGGACGTTCTCGAAGACGACCGCAAGACGCACGTCGGCTGTGGTCATGACCGAGAGGAGCTGGCTGCCCAGGCCATGGTACGAGTAGAAGGTTATTATGGCATTGTAGGCGAGGAGGATGGTCTGGGGCAAGGACGGACGGACGAAGCCGATCATGTCAGTCATTACTCATTCTACGAAGTGGTATCGTATTGGGGGCGACGTGCTCGAGAAATGTTCCAACAACGTCTTCCCATCCCATACAAGACGGATATTCGACTTACAAAAGCGATATTATAGAGATAATCCTCTAGCGCATAGAACTGCAGGATCTTGACTCGCGAGTATAGGCGTAGGACGACGAAGACTGAGGTGACGAAGAAGAGCACCCAGAGGACGATGATGACTCGTATATCCCACTCGGTGATGGGATAAAACGACAGTCTCGAGCTGCCGACTATCGTGATGCTGTCCTCGCTCTCCCGCGGTGCAAGTATTGGGAGCACCGACATGTTGACGACATACCCACGGGAGGATGATGGGTGTGGGGTGATGCTTTGAGGGACCTCCCTCGGGAAGAAGGGGGTTTCGTTGGTTTTGTCTGACGTCCAGTACTGAGGTGAAATTTTGGCCCTGATTAAAGTCTTTTTTTCTTTTTCTTTCTCTCCTTCTTTTCTTTTCTCCTCCTTCTCCTGTCTCTTTTCTTCTTCTTGTCTTCCCGTCTCTTTTGTCTCTGCCGTCTTACCGCCCTACCGTCCGAGCGTAAAGTTTGACGCCGTGGACGGACGAACGACGGATGTTTCCGCCACGTTCTTTTTTGCTGCACTGTCAAGCAACGGACGGGCTGTTGAAATTGGTCTCGTGACCCAAGATTGATGTTGGGTTTCAAATAAGTTAATATTGAGATTTGACCCCGACAGAAAGAGTCAAGTATCGCAAGGATATCTCAAAAAAAGATATTTGGGAGGGAGCTGGGACCATGTGTTGCTGACTGGGTTGTGGGCGGGTTATTTGCGTTTCTCTCTTCCCAGTACAACTGTCGCCCGGGGTAGGAGATGAGATCAGCAGATGGGAGGAAAGTGGAGGGACAGAGCAGAGAGCCGTCGGCCGACCGTGATCGTCACCTGGCCCTAGACGAAGTGAGGTGACTGCAGCTCGTCCTTCTCTACTGTTGGCTTACACGGACTCCGACGCGGATCGACACGGGTCGACCCGGCCACTGCAACCTGATGAGGGAGGGAGTGAGGGGGAAAAAAACAAGATAGGAAGAGATAGAGAGATAATCGTAAAGAAACATGAGGAAAAAAAGAGAAGAACAAGAGGACCGGAACCAAGGAGTCAACGTCACGCCGTTGGCCAGCTGCTCGTTATAGACATGGAGTGACAGACAAACAGGGGACGGCAGCAGCAACGCATATGCAAGATCAAGAGAGTGACAAGGGACTAGGGAGGGACCACAAAAGAGCGAGAGCGGGACGGACGGAGGAAGTTGCAAGGTGGGAGACAGAGATGCCTCGCGTGAGGCCTACTGCAGTCACTTTCATGACCCATGTCGACATTTTTAAAGCTATTTACTTTAGGCAGGAGGAAAGACTAAAAAGAGAGGGCCACTTCGGAGTCGACCCTCATTCCAGGGTTAGAGGATGGATGGGGAATGGGGGTGGGAATCTGCGAATGGGCAGAGCTGGGCTGGGGTCTTGCTAATAACACCATAAAAATCCTGCCGGGTGCCGTTATCAGTGCATGTCGCCTGCGCATACATAGTACAGAATAGTGAGAGAGAAAAAGGTTATCGTCCTCCCCACGCTGGTCTTGAAGGAGGTGTGTACGCCACACGCAGTCTCACATGCGAGGAGGAGGGGTGGGAGAGAGAGAGAGAGAGAAAGGAAGGGGGTGGGTTGGTCCAACAGCTCGGGTCTGACTCCTTCGGCCCATCACAGGAAAGAGGGAAGAAAGAGCAGAGTAGGAAAAGAGAGGGGACAAAATGAAAGAGAGAAAAATGGGACATGGACAAGACGGGTCCGGTCCAAGCCAATCCGGCACAGAGGATGTTGCTTCGTCCGCTGCACCTAAGAGGGGGGTTCTAAAGCATGACAGACAGGCCAGTCGCGTGGCAGAGAGACGATGCAGGCTTGGGCCGCTGCGCCGCTTGCGCCCCTCCGCACCAACGGCAGGGCAGGACAGGGCAAGAGACCTACTATAGCGAAACTTGAGAGCACCCGCGGTGGGTCTTTCTACCGAGGAAGAGAAGGGAGGGGGCCTAGGTCTTCGAGGCGAGGGGCAAACTACTCGTGGAGTCGAATGGACAAATGGCATAATTCACCAGTACGGAGGCGTTACCTCCCCGGACTCGAGATATGTGGTCCCTCTTCTCTGAAGTGGTCAAAATGGTCTGTTACTGGCCACAAGGGCGGAAGGGCGCCGATCCCGCCTGTTGGGATTGATGTTGGCTTCGCAGTGGGTCCCTTTCTTTTTTCCTCCTTCATTTTGGCTGCCAACGTCTGTCCTCTCAGTGCCTGGCAGGTAATGCTCTGGGGGCCTCGCCCTGGTCCTGGCTGCTTATCTCGAAGGATTCACGGGCCTATAAGACACACCCATCAGCTCTGAACATGATCTGAGCGAGCACCACGGGTGGCGGCGCCCCCCCAGCCAAGCCTTTTCCTTGGCCCAGCCTGAATCCTGTGTGATTCACCTTTCCCACTGCGCCTATGTCTGTCTGCCGTCTCGAGGGGATCAAGCACATGTCGTGCAGGATGAACCAATAGCCTACCAGGAGTCAACCATTTCTCTTTTCTTTTCTCGACCTGGCCCTGTCCTGCTGCGGCCCTGCTGCACACGTCTAGCCGCCATCGTTCTCGCAGCGGAGCATGAGTGGCCGCCCCGCGGATATAAGTCCTCGAAAGGGGAACGTCATCGGCGCTAATGTTCAAACCTGTGAATACGGCCGTGTCTGCGGGCCGAGGCTAATAACAAGGGCATGAACATACACACAAGTACATAGCCCAATGTTTTTTTACATAGCACATCTCAGTATAATAATACACCTTGATACAGTACAGTGAACGGAAGAAAAGAGAGAGACAGGGCCCTGCCCAGTGTCAGAGGTTCTAGTCCACCCACTCACTCACGCACGCACATACAAATACAGTAGTAGTCGTACTACACAAAACATGCCATCAATCAGGATCAAGATGTCAAGGGCATGCAAAAGTCCAATGGCACATCGGCTCCGAGAGAGAGATGAGCTGTGTTCGTAATGGGGAAATTGCGCGCGGAATGATGGCGCACACGACATGCATATTACCACAGTACACGTATACACACACACACACACACACACACATCCACACCCACCAATTCAAACAAGCGCGCGCACTCACACAATCACAAACACTCAAAACACATGTGCTCACTCATACCCTCCGCGGTATTTTCCGGTCCGGGCGAATCACTAATTCCTCGTTCGCAGTGCCGAACGCCGGATAGACACATGACTAGAGCGTTCTGCCTGTTTATCTATCTAGCTTTCGCTTTTTTTCTTTTCTCAATATGCAGGATTTGTGTGGCTTGGGCAAGGTTTTGGGCCTGTCCTGCAGTGAGACAGCAGACAGGTTGGGCCGGATGCGTCTGAGTGTGCAGCATGTGGCGGCGCTGAGCGTGTTCAGCTTGCTGACCACGCATACCTCTACAAAATAGGAGCCATCCCTCGTGCCAACGTGCGTCGGAGCACATCTGCGCCGATCCTGAACGCCGCGTTGGGTTTCGTCGACACGACGGTGTGGTCGCACGACACCTGGTTTCCCCTTCTCCTCCCCCCACTTCCAGCCTGGTGGTGGTGCTACTACCACCCTGAGCTCGCGTCGTACGCAAGGAGAATAATGCCACGCGAACGTGTGGGTGCGCCGATGTGCTGATACGCTTTCTCTCTCTCTCTCTTTCTCGCCCTCTCTCTCTCTCTGTGTCTCTGTCTTCCTCTTCCTCTTTCGAATCCTCGGTCCTTCTCTCCTTCTGCCCCACCTTGTGTTTGCGTGTTTGTGTTTACATGTGCGTATGCGTGTGTGCGTGCATATTACACATTCTGCGCATATGCGATCATCGCTTGTCATTCCGCCAGACCTTCCAAATGCTGCAAATGCCGTGCCGATCGAAGGGTGGAGGGGCGCCTTGTCGGGTTTCGACCATCAAACGTTGCGAGTGCCATGCGATGCGTTGACACTCATCAAAGATGGGACTATCCCACATGCGTTTGCGTGCATTCATCCCACGTGAGATATGACGCGGTGATAAGGGGATTTTTAAGACTGTGGTAAGGATAATTCAGCCCAGCCTTGTTTCCAAGACAAGAGAAAGTCCAAAACTGCCACGAGGCTTGGCCGTGCAGTGCCGTGGGCTGGCGCGGGGCCGCCCCAGCCCGACACTTCTTCCAATATGGAATGTCGCATTGTCGTCTTTTTTTTCTTAGGACACATGCAAGAGTGACACCTGGCGCCGTGTCAAAGAGGAGCCCTATGAACACCTGATGATTGATCACCTTTGTTTAAGATTGAAGAGGCACCCGAAACCTTAGGGTTGGGCGGCCGGTCCACGGGTGCTGAAACCCCGACGGTGACCGACCACATGCACGCTCTTCGTGGATCGTGATGAGATGGTGGGCATTGTTGTTGAAGACGAGTCTTCTTTCTTTCTGCTGCATTGCTAGGCGTCCATGACTCGCTCTCGTTTCCGTATGGGTTTGATTTCGACCCATGATGGGGGGAGGGAGAGAGAACGCAACATATCACCACATGCAGTTGTTATCTCGAGGACAGCAAAAGTGCTCTCTTCACTCCTCTTCCTCCCCTCCGTCCAAGTTTCGTGCAGCCACCGCGCCAAAGCTTGCGAGGGCTCCCTCTATTCCCCAGGCATTTTGCAACTGCCAACTAGGACAACTTTCTCTCTCTCTCGACGTCTGACGAACGAGAAGTCGCCTTCCTCCCCTCCCCCATCCCTTCCTCCAGATAAAGCCTTGACGGTCATCGGGATGCCTGCTCGGGCAGGTGTGGGTCTTGGGGAACAACAGAACCTGACCCAGCGGTGTTATGAAGACCCGAGTCTGGCATCATTGGTGGGTATCCTCCTCACCATGCTTGGTATGAGATCTTCAGAGAGCTATCTTGCAGCTTGCGTGGTGTCTGGCCCTGGTGTCGGCGTTCACGCAGTTCTGACTGTCCGCTGCTGGCCCTCGAGGAGTCCGAAGGCTAGAAGATCCGTGGGGCAAGCCTCTCATATTACCAGGTAAACGGGACTCGGGAGTGGTATTCATGCATTGTAGACGTCAATTGAATATTTGATCCTCGATTAGTGGTACTGCTTATGGCTATGAATGAGTGTATGTCGGTGAGATCTCACAGCTGAGTACTGTCCTCTAGAGGAAACGTAAGCATTAAGTTGTTCATATTATGCAGGCAAACCAACTCTACCTAGATGGGTCGACTGTATTCGTATCATTCATTGTGTGTGTGGCGGCCTCACAGCCTTCCGTCTCTCATCCTTCCTCCATTGTCAGCTTGAAAGCCAAGCTATTTGGAAAGTAATATGCGACTATCTGCTAGAGCTTAGCTGTCGAATCCTCACGGGTCCTTCGGCAAAATGTTTATCAGTCTGAATCCTCCAGATAGATGTCTGATGAGACTGAAGCTACCTAGTAGGGGTCTACTGATGCTCTGGGTTACTTGAATTATACCTAGTAGTAGTCACATATTATGAATCTTGAACCTTCATCCAAGCTTTAACTAGGGATGCTGAAACTAGTGGCCAATGTATGTAAATCTTGAATAGTGGTCCCTCTATTTCTGGGAGAAGCAAATCAAGTCCTTGACAAGTACAAGTGTTATAAGGTCCTTGCATGTTATTGTAATACATCATGATCATTACAGAGACTAGTAATTACCCTAGTTGAGAAGCCTCCATCAGTCTTATGCATATTTTCTAGCTGCTGACAAGTGTTGAGTTAAATGACTGAATATGAGATAGTGACTCATGTTGTTTTGCAGCCAATGTCTCAAAACCATGTTCACTATTCAACCAGTGGTATTCAGCTGCCCGATGAGCTTTGAAGCAGTCATATCCAGGTGACCATAGTACGAGGAAGTACATGAGATGTTCTAGACCTGTAAGAAGGACAAGTAGATACATTATTGATATTCATTATATTATATATACACTCCAAGTCTCCTGTAGTTTACGCTAATGAAGTCCACACTCCGAATCTAGAGATCATACTTCATGTCTACAAAGACTGTCCTTCGAGTTTGTCTGTTACCAGAAGGAGCCAGGACTATTCCAATTGATGAGCTTCAAAAGTCAATGAAGATCCCAAGAGAAGAACAATAACAGAAGAAAGATCTGGAAAGTTTCTCTCTCCCCTCACTCACCTTACCTTCCTTTAGCTCTCAATAGACTGATGAGCAGTAGCAAAACGTGCTGAAGGAAGCTTGAATATAAAATGGTGCACGACTTAATGCTACCTCAGTCGAGTTGTCATAGGGAATGATCATACTGCTGATACCAGCACTAATCATGCTCTGTGATCGTGTGCGACCACATGTAGTGTTTCGAGTTGAAACATTTCAAATTGATCTTAAAATCTTAGGACAAGATATACAAAAGCAGAAATCACTTGGTGCAGTCATCGTCAACACTATTGTCAGCTGCAAACTTGTATACTAGAATAGAGACCCTAATCGAAGCAATTTACCAAGTCCAAAACCTCCCCTGCTAAATCTGCTAATTTAACTCTGGGAAAATGTGATAAGAGAGAGTGCAAATAGAAGAGTATTGAGAATAGCAAGATTTGATAATCACAATGCACTGGAACATTAGAAACAGTGTTTTCCTTTTTCTTTTTGCTTTTCTTTTCTTTTTTTACTCCACTCTTGTTCTTCTCTCGCTCTCTATATTTGTCTCGCTCTTGTCTGGAAGATGTAGTGAGCCATTTGGGCAGGAAGTCGGAAACCATCCACAATGTCGAGTTCAATTTTGTTTGTCCTCGTAGTACTGTTTGTGGTAAATTGTAGGCTTTCATATATCAATCGTTCTCCTCGATCACTTGTTTCTGAGTCCCTTCTACAGCATGCCTTAAATTCATATCTTTGTTCCTAGCATTTTTCATCAAAGAAAGGGAATTGAAAGAGAATTGAAAGGCAACTACTGGTATACTGCACACATTATGTAGTCAACAATCTTCGGAGCGAAACAACTAAGGTTTTGAATACATCTTCAAGAGCTGAGAAATATATCCTCTTTTACAACATCCACGAGATGACACTTTACATAGCTAAGAAATCTACCGACATTTTGGTACAATTTCCCTTGATCCTTAGTTGCTCATGAATTCATTCCCACAATACTTACTGCTCAGGATAAGAAGCTTGACTACTCAAGATACTTGAATAATCTGACATCTGAATTCAACCCACTCCTTGTAGCATTCCAGAAAACTTTCAGACGGCTTTAAGCTCACAGGGACATGACGAGGCTGTCACTACATGAAGTGCCACTTGGTAATACACCCCGGTAAGGCTGTCACTCGCTGATTCGAGCCCTCACAGCCTCGACTGGCTGACTGAAGAGGCTGTAGTACGCCCCATGTGACCTGTCACACGATACCCTCAACCTTTCATACCCGCCTTACCCTCGAGGGTACACGTCCACCGTAGCTATTACTTTTCAACATCGCGAAGCTCACTTCGGACTAGGGCACATCCCCGTCTAGGGTTTGACGATGTAATCAAAAAGCAAATCCTTCTTGAGCTCACAAATAATAAGCTACCTTACGAAACTGCTTTCTTTTCAGTTGCCCAACCTCAACCCCACAAACATTGCAGACTTTGTTCTACCAGCTCGCCAAACAATTTCAAACCAGCTTGTTCTCTCCTTCTCTTCCAGTCTTCCAGATCCATCAATATCTTCATGTACGTACGTTATCATGTCTACCTATAGAAGAGCATTGACTGATCAAAAACACGAGCAGACAACGCCAAGATGTCCGACGGCAGCAGCAGCTTGTTCCTCCCACAGGAGGAAGACTATAACGACTTCATGGCCATGCATGACACCCCCGGCCCGCAGCCCGCCCGTCCTGCCTCGCCAAGCCAAGATGACCAGTTCGCGGCCGCTGGCGAGGACCGCGTGGGTGACTTCGCCAGCACCCTGAACGAGTTTATGGCGATGCATATCAGCACTGCCTACCAGGCAGGTTCTGCAGTCTCGGCTGCGGCGACGGCGGGGGGCCAGACCGAGGGCGTCGACGCAGCTCAGCTCGATGGGTCCATGAACGACGCTGCATATCAAAGCTTCCTTGATCTTCTGGCAGCCCACGCCAACCCACAGCACGCTGGCCCTTCACAGCTTGTTGACCCTTCGCTCGAGTGGGATGACAAGCGTCTGGCCCAGGAGGCAAAAGGCTGGCGGAAGTGGTCTGCTTTGCATCTGGTAAGAAATTATTCTCCCCCCTCGCATCCTACCAATGACCACAAAGATCACGACCGCCTCAGCACAATCAGTTCCAAACCCTAAACTTCCTCAATCTCCCAGTCTTGTTGCTAACGAAATGGTCTGTGTAGGAGGATCTCGACCCCAATGTCCCTGCTGAGGCCTGGTACAAGAGGCTTAGACAAGCAGCCTCCCACCTCGATCTCCCAGAATGGCCTGTAGTCGTGTTCGGTCCGAAAGACAGGCTCGAGAATTTGTTCAAGAAAGAGCTCGAAAATACTATCCGGCAGGGTATATTGGCCCCCCCCGAAACCTCGAGGATGTTTGTAGAACGGCAGAGCTGACACACATGTACTAGCCAAAGCTTCGTTCACTTGGGGTGCGCTGCTCACCATGACCTTTGAGATCCTCATGACGAAGCTTCAAGTGCTGCCCAAACCCGGGACCATCACCTTCGTTCGGACGTTACAGACACACACCCTCATACATTACAACGGTGGCGAATTCAACGGCGAGGCCCCACTGCTGGTCGCCCATGTTGGTCAGCCTCACTTCTCCGTGCGCAAGACACTTTACGCCCTGAACATCCCTGGGCGCTACAAGTTATTGGAGAATGAGGGTTATCGAAGGGTCAGCTCTTGGAACCTACTGGTCCCAGAGTCCCTTCGGCATTACATCATCCCCACCAACCAGATCCTCTTCAATCAAATCGGACAAGATACCATTGACAATCTTTGCGTGCTCGAAGGCCTCACTGAGGGTGTCATAAACAGAGTTCTGGTATACGCTCTTGAAGGAAAAGCCGATGAGCTCTTTGCGGACGTCGTGGAGCCAGAGAAACATCACGATGACTCGTTCCAGACACTTGTCCCAGGACACATTCTGTCGACAGAAGAGGGCGCAGCGCTCGACCTCTTATCCTTTCTCCAAGCTAGGTCAGTCGTAGCGCCAACCGAAGAACCCTCCAACACGCCAGCTCCGGATACAGCAGGAACTGGAGCGACAGATGCCGGAGCAGTGATGGCCTGTACTCAAGGGGTTGACGAGGTGGGGAAAACTGACGCTGAGCAAGAAGCTCGTGAAGCTGAGAAGAAGAACCGAAAGGCCGACAAGAAGAAGCGTAAGAGTCAGAGATACAAGCAAAACAAGAAGATGAGGAAGTACGCAGAGGAAGAGGCAAAAAAGGCCCAAATTGACCAAGAGGATCCCCATGAATGCGAGGACTTGCCCGCAGCAGGGCCTTCCATCGCACCTGCCCAGACCGGAACTTTGCACCAGTCGCAGCAAGAGTACACTGTGATCCACGAACCTATGACGCAAGGCGCCACTGTCGAGTCAAAAGAGGAGGGTCACCCCATCGAGACTGACAATGAGGGGAGCAAAGCTAGCAGCGCTGGTGAGGATGACCACGCCGTTGAAGTGACGAGCCACCAAACTTGGTCACATGACAGCGGAGAGTCACAGGTTGAGAAGTTCTGCGAGGTCGAAGATGAGGATCCAACGAAGGTTTCTGCAAAGCCTGAGACGCCAATGAAGACCGCGGAAGAGAAAGGAGGCCCAGAGCAACGAGTCGATTTTCCAGGTGGATGCGAGCCCGTCTCATACGAGGGAATACCTTCCTCCAAACCTTCGGGCAAAGAAACCTTCCGAGCTGCCAGGTGGCGCCCGAGACGCAGTCGACCGCGTAGCCAAACCCTACCAGACAATTGGCGCGTCCCAGAATGCTGGATATACCCTTTTCACACCCTGAAGACAATGCCTATCCAGCCAGTCAGGGGAGCAAGAGAGCAGAAACCTCTGCCACCAGCAGGCCCAGCATACGTGACCCAACAGGCACAGAACATCACAAGCGCCCTTCCAATGGGCCTCCTATTACCACGACCGCAACCAAACGTCGGCCAGCTTCCCCCGATCAATGCGTTATTGGACTGTGGACCAATCCCTAGTCCGCCTGTCCCTTTCTTCACCCCAGCCAATACGGTATTCCGCATCGCACCGGCCGCTAATCAACCCCTTTCCCCTGCCAATGGCTTGTTCCACGTCCTACCAGCCTTTGATCGATCCCTGCAGTTCTTCCCGGCCGATGCGCTGTACCACATCGCGGCGGATGCTCCTCGGCGTCCTTTCTACAACGAACTGTCCTGGCATGCAGCCGGCCCGCCTCTGGGTCAGCAGTATCACCCAGTCCTGCTTCCACGCTGGCAGTATTGCCCCGGTCCATACTTCGACCCAGCTATTGTTCACTGGCAATAGAGACACTACCGGCATGAAGGACTAGGCAGGCTGAGCAACACCAAACAACAAGCATGATGCCAAAAGGGAAGGTCAGACCACAAGAGAAAGGGGCAAGAACAGAGCAATACAAATGGAGAGGAAGAGGGCGAGGGAAGAAAGAGCCCGTCTGCAGCCCATGGCAGAACTTGATGCACTCGAAATCCAGTGGCTGTGAATATTCTTCTACGAGTAAAGGCCATACAGACAGGTGTTGGACGAAGAGAAGGAAGATGTCTCTCCCACTATGAGAGGCGTGTTTTCGCTGGAAAGACTTCTGTCGAGATTGGGGGATGGATATCCCTGGTGGCGTTGCACATGACGGCGTGAACAACCAACGCGACGACGGTGGTTGAGTCGCCAGAGACGACAGCGCGCAGGGCTGAGATGGGCGAGATGATGATGCCAGTGAATAAGATGGTTGGGGTTCAAAGTTCAGAATGAACATGACAGAAGTGACTCGGACGTTATCATCTGGAAAGAAGCAAATGCTGATCGCAGGAATGGATGCTCGCTAGAAAATTCGATGAGCCTATCCAACACATTTCGTATAAAGGCAAATTGACTGCGATGTCTTGAGAGTAGAGCAAGATCAATGATGAATTGCATACTTCGTACATAACGCCACTTTTTGAAGTTCTGATTGCCACCATATTGAGGAGACAATTTCGTCTGGTAGGTCGGTCTGAGAGATCTTTTTCGCGGTGTTGCGGCCAGAAGAAATAGCTCCTCAGTGTGTAGACCTGGTTCCACTGTAGCTAGCGTGTTGTCAGGCCAGGGGCCCTGCCAGGACAGATTGGTCCGTGCACATTTCCATGGATTACAGCGATCCAGGATCCCTGAAAGAGTAACGTCAGCGCTGGAAGTCGCAAAGTGGCCTCGCGATGCTAGCTACTGTAATATTACGCCAACAACAACTTCGTCTACTACACCACACAACACAACGCACCATACCAACCAACTCTCGAGACCTCTATGTGAGGGCAGGTAGCTGCTCTGCGGCATGATGCGCCGTCTCAATCTGCTACTTCTTGCTGGCCTGCAGCTGTCTAGCGCCAAGCAGCCCGGCTTCAGCATCCACGATGACATGCTGGCCTATCCTCAGGTGCGTTCTCCTTGCTCTGCAACTCGTGGCAAAGGGATGTGTAGCTGACGACAAGGGGCCCGCTACTTCCAGTTTGAGGTCGTCTTTACCGACTCCTTTATCTCCGAGCTGGATGCGCAGCGACTCGTGGAGTCCTCTAGGTCCGCCCAATCGACTTACACTGCCGACTTCTCCTCCCAGACCGACCTCACGAGCCAGATCCGCGAGTCCGCAGCGGCAGACAGCCCCCGAAATGGCGAGGCAGATGACGGCAGGCCAGAGGTCTCAGAGGACTACGAGATCATGAACATCCCACCCTCGAAATATCTCTGCTCCGTGCCGGTGCTTGCGCCACCCCCGGCGCCGAACCATACCGCCACCGAGCTGGCCAAGGCTGAGGAGGCACGCGAGCTGGCCCGCGCAAACAGCAGGGGGTGGGAGCTCATGAGCGGTCTCGACAACACGTGTCTCTATTATATATCGGGCTGGTGGAGCTACAAGTTCTGTTACGGCCACGACATCGTCCAATTTCACGCCCTCCCCAGTGGCGTAAAGGGGGGCATGCCCGTCAGAGACCCCAAAACCGCCGAGTATATCCTGGGCCGCGTTGAGCAGCGGCCCATTCCGAGGAAAAAGGCAGGGGCGAGACAGAGCAACACCGACAGCGAGCTGCAGACGGATCTGGACAGCGCGCAGAAGCCGATTGGTGGAGGCGACTCCTCTGAAAGCCGGACGCCGCCCAACACGGAGCTGCAGGTCAAGGGCGACCAGCGGTTCCTGGTGCAGCGCATGGAGGGCGGGACGCTCTGTGACCTGACGGGCCGCGATCGCACGATTGAGGTGCAGTACCACTGCAACCCTGGCTCCGCCAACGACCGCATCGGCTGGATCAAGGAGATCACGACGTGCTCCTACCTCATGCTCGTTCACACCCCGCGGCTATGCGAGGACGTCGCCTTCCTCCCCCCCAAGGAGACCCACGCGCACCCCATTAGCTGTCAGCTGATTATCGACTCCGAAGAAGAGATCGCCGCGTGGCGGCTGAGAAAAAGCATCGAGGCCGCCGAGCGCCTGGGCGTCGGCCAAGAGGAGGAGGAGCATGAACATGAGCAGGGCCCCAACCAGGGGCCAGGAGGATCACAGCAACAAGGCGATAGCAGGTTCAGAGGCATGGAGATTGGCGGCACTGTCATCGGCGGGAAGCGGCTACACAACACGGAAGACGGCCAGCCCCTCCCGAAGCTGAAGCCGCCCAAGGGTTTCATCCCGGGCAAGGGGCCCACAAACTCTGGTCCGGTGGTGGAGACGCTTGCCAAGGCTTTCAGCAAGTCAGAAGGTGGCGAGGTAGAGATGATGAGCGATGAGGAGCTGGAGGAGTTGAACCTGAGCCCGGAGTCGATTGAGCAGTTCCGCAAGGAGCTGGAAAGAATCGCGGGCGAGAAGGGCTGGGTTCTAGAAGTGGTCGAGATGCCTGGCGAGGCCCTCGAGATCAGAGGGATTGTGGACGATGACGACGACGAGGAGGAGAAGAAGAAGAACGAAGAGGAGGGTGAGGGCAAAGGAAACGAAGGCAGCGAAGAGAAGTTCTTCAAGGAAGAGTTGTAAGATGGATTATTCTGGCACTGAATCTGCCTTTTCACCAGCAAAGCAACAAGAGCATCTTCTATTTTCTCCCCCCGATGATTTTTTGAATGTAAGCTGCTCAACACGAAATTCAGCGCCTTGTTAGACTCCTTCATCAGTGATGTTGGATACCTGAACAACCAGAACCTCACAACACTGTAATGAACAGATCTTCTCGTATTGCGGCACGCAAAGACGCATAGTCACGGCTGTGCCAAAGGAGGGTGGTTGAACCAGGGACAGCATCGATCGGACCGACTGTCTAAGCAATATACCCATAGTAGCGTGTTCCTGAAAGCTTGAGGTCTTCACCAGCAGTGCGGCTCAGCGGCAGAACTCAGGGGTGTGAGTGGGTCGACGGGTCCATGAAGAGGGCTTGAGCCTCTCTGAGATCCCTTCTCCCTGCAGATCAGATGGACCCCTTGGTTTTTTGATTATTTTATGGGCTCTTTCGCTGCTTATAGAATAGAGAACGGGCCGAGCAGAAGAGGCGTGGCACGGCTGACACTGATGTATGGCTGTTGTGGCTTGCTTTCTTGGTTTGCATAAGTTCAAGTTCTGGCCTTGTCCTATCCTTGTTGTTTTTCTTTGGTCCTTAAATTGCCGCAGAGACGTTGACGACGGATGCTGCGAACCCGCCCAAGAAAACCACAAATAAAAAAACAGGCCATCTCACCCTGTCAAAGGCCTAACTCAACTCTTGAGAGGCATACAAAACCCAAAAAAACAACAAGACAATGACGATATGTCGCTCGTACCAGTGAGTGGGCAGGTTCCGAATCAGGTGACGATGATTTTTATTGTTCAAACCCCCTTGCCTTCTCACGCCACCGTTCGAGTCGTAAATCTGGTTGACTAGAACTATTACTTTGCCGTATTATGTCACTCACTATATACTTCATGCTACTACTGCTGCTACTACTGCAGCTGCATACTGCATAGTGCATAGCGTGGTACTGTGCTTGCTGTGGCCAAGTTAGTGTTGAGCAAGCATCACCACAACAAAATCTGAACCCTTGTAAAAATTCCCCGCATTTCCTGAATCGAGAGGGAGCGACGGCCCTCTTCAGCGGCCCAAGCGCTTCCAGCCTCTGCAGCCACAGCAGCAACAGGCAGTGCCCAACAACGCCAACACCGCCAACACCGCCAACAAACACCCTAAAGTCCGGCACTGTGCCCCCCTCCCGCCCCCCACTCTCCCAGCGTTACAGCGCCTCGCCCCCCTTACCCCTCCAGTCTTGGAGTGCCGCGCTGCAAGCCAGCAACCAGGTGGGCCCAGTGATTGGCGAGATCTCATCCGTGTTCCGCCAGGGCCAAAAGGCAGGCGCAATGCTATCCCATTCTCCTTCTCCAAAATCCGCTGCTTGCTTGCTCTCTTTGGCGCACACCCACTCCTTCCCAACCCTGGCACCATCGTCATTTGTCCTCCTCCACCCAACCACCCGACCCAGCAAGCAAAAGGGAAAAACGACGAAGGGTACACATACAGCCGTGTCTAACCTCGTCGACCTGCTCGTCCTCCCTCTGCTCTCCACCACCGTCGCCCGTCGCCCGTCTCCGCTTCAATCACCGCTGGATCCAGCAAAGCACCTCAGCAGCAAGCACAGCCAACCCACGGACACATTCTGTGGCCCCTCTATTGATCATCCATCCTCGAAGGAGCCCTTAGGTGCTTTGTTTGGTGGTGACGCTCACTCACTCACACTCATACATACACACAACAGCTCAGCTCAGCCCCTCTCAGAGTCTCACCCAACCCCGCTGCCTGCTGCTCTCATGACTCGCCCTGGTCCAGCGGCCACGTCGAGATGATGAGCAAAGCTTGAGTGAAGCGGATGTTCCGACCCCTGCTGCTACGGCAATAAACACGACGGATCACTGTGGCCCCTTCCCCATCATCGGCTCTTTGTCGCTTTTGTCGCCTATCGCCCTGTGCAGCCAGCCAGCCAGCCAGGAAAGGATGAAGACCGAAGACGAGTACTCTCCCGACCTCATCTCTGCCGTGCCGCCAGCCCCCACCGCCGACGCCGATGCCGCCGCTGCTGCTGCCGCCGGATCCTCCGAGGACCTCGACTGTGCCGCCACCGTGCCCTCGGGATCTGCACAAGACCCTTCAGCCTCGTCAGCATCTGCCGCTACTGGCCAGCCTAGTTCACCGAACAAGCCACAGCATCAGCCTTCAAAGAGGACAGTGTGCGACCACTGCCGGAGACGACGTATGTGTGACTGATTCCCTTACACACACACACGCACACACGTGCACAATCCCCTACCTCCCCTCTCCCTGGTTGCAGTCCCACCTCACCTCTTCCCTCCCCTCCGTCGCCACCATGGCGGGAACCTACTGTGTTATCTCCACAACAAGCTGTGTGTCCTGATGCCAGGAAGGGGCAAGGAGGGAAGGGCCGGGGGGGGGGGCGCGTTGAGTTCATGTGATCAGGAACTAATACATACCCTCTCATCATCACTTCGCCATGTCGATTGAGGTTCTGCCGAGCTGTCCTACACTCATACTGACAGCACTCACCAGGTATACGATGTGATGGACAGTTCCCATGCCAGCAATGTATCAATGCCACGTTGACCTGCAAGCGAGACCATGTTCCTCGAAAACGTGGGCCCAAACGTGGTCATGGTCGGGTCATGTAAGTGAGCCCTCTCTCACTCACTGCTGTCCACCATCCTTCATGCACCCGCCGTCCAGCACCCCGTCATGCTAACCTGAACCACACTAGCAATGAGTTGAGAGCACGAGAGTTCAAGGACAGTCACAGCAGGGACAACAGTCCGGAGCTGGAGCCCGTGTCTACCACCTCACAGGTACCACAGGACGTATCCTGGAGGAACAATGCTACAGACCCTCGCAATGGACCCGAGCCGAGGAGTCTCTTTACCTCGGACCAGTTACAGCCCCTTCACCGTCCACACCTCCAGCTCATCCCCAAGTGCGTGGACCTCTACTATGAGCACATCTATCCCATTATGCCCCTTCTCTATATGCCAGCTATACGGGCCATGATTGGGAGGCAGATGACCGCACCGGAGAAGAATCTTATCTATGCATTATGTGGTCTCACATGCATGCACATGTCAGGCAAGAGCCTTCATGTGGACGGCCCAGCATCGTGGGAGGATGCGGGACGTTTCTTCCTGGACGAGTGCGTGTCTAACAGGCAGTCGTACGACTTCATGGAAGACGCCTCTATCAGCGCTGTCATATCGTCCTTCTGGCTGTCGACATCGTTCTTCGAGATCAATCAGAACCGAAAATCATGGCTGTACCTGAGAGAGGCTCTGACCCTGGCCCAGGATATGGGTCTGCACGACGACTCCACCTACACCAATCTCTCTCCAGAGGAGGCCTTATGCCGTCAGCGTGTCTTCTGGATCCTGTTTGTGACGGAGAGGTGAGTCTCTAGACAACCCCTTAGGCGTTTCTGCGTCAACTCGCTCACGCCCAGCCAGGTCCTTCGCCATTCTGCGGAACAAACCGATCACTTTTAAAAAAACGCCATCGTTGCCGACGACGAGGCATGCTTACGAGTCCCCAGATATCCACACGGGCTTTCTACAGCTTGTGTCATCCTACACGCCTCTTGATGAGTCGTTCGTGTCAGCCTGGAACGACGGCTCCGATCCCCGTGTCTCTGCGACTACTTACCTTGCCCTGCAGAACCTGCTCGCCCAACCGCCATCTTTTCTCCAGCGCTCCCGCGCATCAACACCCTCCTCAGACTCTCAACCGGTCTTCTCGGCCCCTGTCACGGCAGCACCATCGGTCGCCGGCTCAGACGAGGAAGCAGATATAGAAATTGTGCAGTCTGAACCGACCGCGATCCAAAAGGCCGACCTCCTTATCACCCAGCAGTGGCTGCGCCTCATCGTGTGGCAGAGCTCTTTTCGGCAGAGCCTGTTGAGCTGGACCGCGCCCCACGAGAGCATGCATTTTGCTTTCCCCTTAGCCATCGCGCGGTCGACCGCGGGCGTGTTGCAGAGCCTGCCGAGTTCGGCAGTCGAGGTGCACGGCATGGGCATGTTTGAGAAGATCTTTGAAATCGGAACGTGGTGCATCAACGTGCTCGGCGCTATCGACCGCGCAAGCTCGACGGGTACGCCCATTAGCGGGATCCGAGGCACAATGGGTATGGACTTCATCGGGACAAGTGACCTCGGAGTGCTGGGCGTGAGTAGGAAGGGCGTTGCCATCGACCCGCTCGAGTTCTTTGTCCGCACCCTCAGCGCGACTCCGAATAGCAGGACGCAGTTTGCAGAGAGGCTATTGATGTTCGCACAAGAGCGACCGGGGGGTATGAGGATGGCTCTGACACCCTCACTGAACTCGCCCGTCCTCCCGCCTGAGGGCTTAGTGTGGCCCAGCTTCGAGACGGACATGGCGAACAGCGATGTGCCTATAGGCAACATCTTGGGTGAGGTTGTCAAGGACGAGACCGAGATGGACACTAGTGACAGCGTCTGGCAGACAGATGGCGCTATGAGTCTCGGTCCCAGCCCCTCTGTGCCAATGTCCTCACTCTTGGGCGACTCGATTCTTAACATCAACACGAGCTCCTTTATGCCAGGAAGTCGTGCCAACACCAGCAACACCAACGCATTTGCCTCAGGCAGTGGCACCAACACACCAGCCACAACCGATCAGCAGAGACAGGCCGCAGCCTCCCTTTCGATGCCCTCCCTCAACACCAGCATACCGCTCACAAATTGGGGCACTGACCTCAGTGCGGCTTCAGGGGACTGGTCATACGACATCACCAGCCCGACACTCGACTCGACGGCATTCAACAGCAACACCAATACCAGTGGCAACAATAATAATAGCGCATCAGCATATAACAGCGGCGCAGGAACGCCAATCGGGGCATTTACGCCAGGACTTTTCTCCCGGCAGGACTCTGGGGACAGTATATACCAATATCAGGAGAGGAGGCCGCAACCACCCTTCAGACCCGGGCTGGGTGGCGGCGGTGGTGGCAGTAGCAGCAGCATCGGGACGTCAGGTTGATTGACGGAGGCACAATGAAACGAATGAGTTAGTCGGGTAGCGAGCGACTGACGATTGGTTGGGTTGGGTTGGAAAGGTTTGGGATCTCTTTTTTCGATTTTCCTTTTCTTTTTAAGCGGTCATATATATATCTGGTGGCTGAGCTGGCGTGGTTCGGAAGCACCGTCTTTTGAAGCTGAAGTCAGAAGCGAAGTGCGTTATTTGATGGACTGATGTCTTTGTTCAGGAACAAGAGGAAGCGAGCATCTATCATCCATGGGACGCACCAGTTTTGGGAATAATTAAAAAAAAAAAAAAGTCGCACAATCCATTGTTCTAGCGACGCGCAGCAAGCCTTCCTCCGGATGTCCGATTCCTCGATTGAGAAACGATGACGATGGTTTATTGCGAGTGCCATCTCTTTGGAGCAGGCACAACCAGAAAAGGGGACGCACAACCAAAGGATCATGTAATGGGGGTTCGTGGAGATCTTGAAAATCTGGTCTGTCTGTTGTATGTGTGCTTTACATACTAGTCGTGTGTGGTTGATTGTCGGGAGCTTGAGGTTCAATGCCCTGATCCCCTACTCACTACAATGACCTGGTCCCCTTTACCACATCATGGCCACAGATCCTAACTCTGAGAACTCTCCAACAATCGGTCCTAGTCAATGGTGTACGACAGGATTGGGATGATGACCGTCTTGTTCGCAGGGATCACGCAGGTGGCGTTGTTATACGCATCCCTCGTGCAGGCGATTTCAAAGTCCACGCTCCCACTAGCCGTGATAGTGCTCCCATTTGTACAATCCCACGAAGTGATAGGGTCAAAGTCAATATGTCCAGGGCCAACAGCTGAGTTGCTATCACCAATACTGTGCCCCAACAGGAAGAAGAGGTATACATCAGTCATGAACAAGGCCAACGCGGATATTGGTACATTGATATTTGCAGACAAAGAAGGGGTCTCATCAAACTCACAAGTTTACATAATATGCTACCCCGCCACAAAACACAATACCGTCACCGACCTCCCAACGACGAATGGCCTGTGGGTTCGTCTCGGCGCAGCTCGAGTACCACGGGTACGTGGAGGCGATGCCGATGGTAATGTTGTCCGGGGGGCCATAGCCGGCCGGCTGCAAGGGGAGGCCGACGAGGCATGCTTCGAGGCCGCATTCGAGGCAAGGGCCGGCGTTGCTGTCGCAGGGGATTGCTTGGCCTGAGGCGGTGCTGTTTATGCAGACGTTGGCTGGTTTTTTTCCTTGAGAGGTTAGAGTGGGCGTGTCCTCTTTTTTCTCCTCTCTCTTCGTCCCGGGTGCCCGCTGGGGGGCGGGGTGTGGGGAGGATGGAGGAGAGAGAAACTCACGGACGTTAGACTCGTCGGCGCAGTCTAGGTTGTGAGACGAGTTGAACCATTCAAAGGTGGTCACCTCCCAGACGGGGATGACGTCGCATTCTGGTGGCGGTGTGAGACGTTGTCGGTGGTTGATAAATTTTGCTCTGGATAGGCGCAGGCACGAAAGGAGGAGGATGGCGGTGCATTTGTACATAATGAAGATTGAATGCTGGACGAGTAGGATTACTGTAGAGTTCTCAGACTGGAGTCCCTTGTCGAATATCGCTACTTATAGGGGTCCTGGAATAATATAACTCACTCAATTACGAGTACTTGCGAGGGAGTTGGAATCATCGTGAGGAATATCGTGTATTTAAGTATGCTCAAGACGAACGGGGGACATCACACGGCACGACTTTCCATCATTACATCACACATTGATTCCTCACCTTGGCCATGTTTAAATCCCACAACCGTATGAGATCGTCCCGGACTAGAGGTCCGAGCTGAGCAAATAGCTGCAGCCTAGAGACCGGCGTAACGTGCTGAAGATGTCAACTAGGCTAATACGAAGTATGACAGCACACACACTCCCCAGACCCAGGCCAGGGTGCTAAGACTCGTTGAGTACCACCTCGTGGCGCGTATCGGAATACAACGTTACTGTACCGACCGCAGCAACACCAAAGACGGCCAGGAAATCGAGGCCTAAGAAGAGTTGCTTCTGGCGAGAGGAGAAAGATTGTGGAGTTTGGGGGGGGGGGGGGGACGCCCAATTCATGACTTCATTGGTTATCTTGCTGCGGGACCCGCAAGCAGCCTCAACTATGAGAAACAAATGAGGGCAAACAGGATAAGGTCTTGTCGAGCACCATGCAATTGTGGTGTGACAAAAAAGAAGAAAAGCAAAAAGCAACATGTCGGAATTCTTGTCTCATCAAGCCGACTAGCAAGCCACTTCCACGCGGCAGCCCAGCTTCTGTGCCGAAGGAGGCGTTTATGTCTCAACACACGGGCCGCAGCGGTGAGGGTTGTATGTGTGGCTGCCACACTCACAGGCGAGAACAATAGTGTCAGCCTTGGAACGGCGTCCTCGGCTCCATGAGATCCATCCTCGTCGCCGAGGACGGCAAAGACGGCTCAGGTTTTGTGTATCAGCACCACCGCAACATCCAGCGTACTTTACACCGCTGTACCCTTTCGAGACACAGTTGGGCCAGGTTGATCATGGAGCCGTGTGAGAAGAAGCGGTTGGCCCGGTATCTTCTTCTTTTTTTTCCCTTCTTGTTGTCATGTTCTCCTCTCTCTCCTGTTTAGTCTTCAAACGATGTCTCCATGTCGTCGTCCACTACCGCGTCCACGTCCACGTCCACGTCAGCCAGCCCAGCTCCTCGATCCAGCACGCCGAATGCGCGGGACGTCATGCCCGTGGTCGAGTCGTGCTGCTTTCCCCGGGGCACCTTCTCGGCCAGCGTCCTGAGCGCCTCGGCACGGATCGGGATGACCATGCTATTCAACATGTCGTGCCTCGCCTTCAGTGCCGTCTCGCCGTCCTTCTTGAACAGGTCGGGCGGCTTCCAGTTGATATATATATTGCCGTGCGTGGGGCGGACGTGGAACCCGCCATTCTGCCTCTGAAAGTAGTAGTGGCAGAGCCGGCAGGTCGGCTTGCTGGAGCCGATATACCTCCACGCGTTGAAGAAGTTGGACGGGTGGACCAGCCCCTCCCGCTCGAGGGACTGGAGCACGAGCAGCTCCGCGTGGACAATGGGCTGGAACGTCTCGTCGCTGACCATTTCCTGGATCACGTCGTCCAGGTTCAGGGACCTCGCGTCCTGTACGAGGCTGTTGTAATAGAGTGCCATGTCTTGGTTCTGTGTCATCGTGCGGAGGATCCTCTCGGCCTTGATGTCCTTATTCTTGTCAACGGGGTTCTCGTCAGGCGCAGACGACCGGACAAAGACCACCTCGTGGTTGTCGAAGAGAGCTGGGAACGTCTCGGCCGCCACCAGCAGCGCCTCAACGCCTAGATCGTAGGAGCGGAGCCTTCCGGCATGGTGCCGCAGCTCCGACCAGCAGCTTGAGCTCTGGGTCATGCTGCTGTGGGTCATTCTTTCGGTGAGGATGGTGGCATTGGCGTCGCTGGTGTACGTGTGTATGAGATCCAGCAGAGGTCTACAACGCTGGGCAACTAGAAAAAAACACCCAAGACACAAGTTGTTAGTATCGGTCATGCTTTACTGGCTGTTCACCACACTTTAGAATGGCGTCTCACAGGTGTCCTCGTCGAGCCTCTTGAAGTCGGCTTCAGAGGCTGCGGTTCTCAGTGCGTTTAGCTGCTCGAGAGTCCTCCTGTCTGCCGGCCTAGTCTCGATGCAGGCTCGACAGGCTTTCGTCAGAGCAGTTAAATAGCTGTGGATTCGTGTCCGGCAATGTGTCAGTACTTTTGTCAACACCCGTTCGAGCTGTTGCCTTGGCGTGGTAGTATTTTTCAAGGTCGCCAGCAGATCCGACACGAACTTGGAGATCCTCTCGAGGCGGCTATTGTTCATCCTGTTGCATGCAAACCGGTACTGAACGCGGTCCTGCATGTCTAGCACGGTGAAGGCAGTGACGGAATCGCCGCCGAGCTTGACGTCGCAGAACTGGCTTAACCTGTTCAAGAAGTTCTGATATTTGACCTCAAAGCAGTTGTCGCTCTGCCATGTTGGGTCCTGGGAGGCAGGCTGTCTGTTCTTTGCATACGCGTGCGTGACGGCCTTGAGAAACACCACGGCTGTGTAGAAGCGATGCCGAAGGTCCTTCCCGATCGGAGACGGCAGATGTGAATTCCGCATACTTGTTTTCTTGTTCGACGGTTCCTTCTTCGGCATTGACCTTGACCGTTTCACTTCAACAATGGTGTCGTCCATGATAACGGCCAGGCCTCGTTTAGCAAGCTATCTGTGCCTGCTACTTGGTGATGCGACTAGGCAGATTACTGGAATTATGTTTAGTTCGTCTCAACTACGCCATCATGTGAGCTCAGAAACAGTACCTAGACCGAATGGAAAGAGCCTAAACCTGACGAGAAGACACAATGCCGTTATCTTGAGCCCAAGGTCCATATGCAGGTGAGAATGTGCACAAATGAGGGAGACGGGCTGAAATGTTGAGCACTCAGGAATGCTTCTGATCAGCAGGTTATCGGTGTGATAGAATCAGTACCATGGCAGCATGCTAACCAGATCAAGATGCTTGCAAAGGTCTGGTATGAGGAAAACATGGTGCAAAAAGGCTAGTGCCCGGTACGTCCAAGCAACAAAATCTAATTATATACCTCCCAACAAGAAAACAATAATTGCACATTGGCAGCTGACGCATGGGAGCCCATGCTCTGGTGGAAGGCCTCCTGCAGATGGAAGTGGGGTCGGATTCAGCTGCTTGGTTGAGCCCACATCCCACATTTGTATCACCCCTCCGGCTCCGCACTTGACAACGGACTTGGGCTTCCCTCCTTTCCTTCTTCTTCAACCCCACGCGCTGATGATAGCAGGTCTACTCTGTCGCTGCCACCGCTTGCCACCGCTGCTACTGACGACTCATTGACAATGGAAGAAACTACGTCTGATGATGAGTCCATGACTTGGTATCATGACCTGGCCGGACTCACTACTCCTGATACTACCATGCATCAGAATATGTTAGACAGTGTGACGAGTTTCGAGGATGACATTGCTTGGATGTCCTTTGAACCGAATGCCGGGCGGTCCCCTCCAGGTTGGTTACCAGGTGGCCGGACTCTTGCTTTAGCTTCCCCTGAAATCAATTATGCTTACCCACCGAAGCAGTCATGGACATGTTCGCGTTTGGAAGCGATGATTACCCCAGCTTGATGGAGGATGGGGTCGACAACTATAGACCCTCCAGCTTCACAGACATGCCGTCTTCTCCTCCTTCTCAAGTTCCTCTAGCACTTGTACAACACTCTGTTCTGGAGGCGGGAACTTCGCCAGGCAACACCTCTACCGTCTCTGACGCTACGCTGCCTCCACTTGATCGGTGCCGCACCGATGACAGTCTCGACTCGGCCAGTCATATGCAGAGCCCGGAGTTTTATCTGGATCCAACTCTATTTGACAACCAGTTTGGGTATCTTGCCCAGTGCAGCGCGGCTCCTGGCACCATTGCAGGCACGCTCGATAATTCTTACGACCCCATCATCCCCGTGACTACCTCTTCCTTCCCTGGCCCTGCGAACTTTATGTTCGACGGGGATTCAGTTCAGGACTCTTAGAGTCCTCCCGCTCCCTTTGTCACGGGGTCTGAGGACTTCGAATTTAGCGACCTGCAGCACGACTTCACGCTGGAACCTGCCCAAGAGAGTTATGATAACGCATGGCAACTGAGCCACACGGCGGCCACAGAGCCAGACTTCGACCCCATATCTCGGCATCTTGACATGATCAATGTTGATCTGCAAGAGGCAACATCTTCCGCAATGGCTATCGAACCACCAGCCGAGACAAGCCCATCCATGGAGGATATCGAAGGTGTCAGTGGTCCACCATACCAATGCCCATTTCCCAATTGCGGATCAAAGCAATACGGAATGAAGAGTAGCCTGAAGTAAGCATGCCGATCTTGTTCTGTGAAACACCTGAATTTGGATTCGAGGCTGACGAATTTATCTCTCTCTCCTTTGTCAAACAGAAAGCACTATTTGATCCATACAAAGCCCATCCTCTGCGAGATTAGCCTGTGCCCTCGAGCAGTGCAGGGCAATGGCTATGCAACAAATAATGATATGCAACAACACTGCTGGGTTTCCCATCGTGCGCATGCAATTGCAAGAGGCTTCCCTAAACCTGAAGCCGAGTGCGGTCTTTGCGGCAAGATACTTACGAAGAAAGCCAATTTGCCAAGACATCAGGAGCGGTCATGCCCAGCACGACCTCGTAAAGTAGACTCTACGAAGGAGGCTGGTACTTGATGCCAGTTGCTGACAGGACAATCACGATACCGCTCATTTGACTTCTCGGGATTTGGATTATATGAATTCTACTTGGTTTGGGTTTTGAATTCTTTTTTTTCTGCTCTTTTTCTCTTTCATTCTTCTTTGTGTTGGGGTCATTTACTCGGAGGGATCGCACTGGGAATGGAAATCAGCGGGAATTTCTTGTTTTACATGTTTATCAGGTCTTGTACCCACGTTTCTTCGAATTGTCAGCCTTATTTCACAATCAGTGTCCAATACGATAATCGTGCTCAAACACCGATGATCCTGAATCTGCGTCTGTGCTTTGATATGTCCAGGATATTTCTTACGACGTAGGTCAAAGTTACCTGTCGAAATCATGCCGAATCCTTTCCTGTAAGTACGGACCCTCTCGGAAGCTGAGTGGGACCAAATACCTCGCTGTCATCATCGAGTCCAACGAATTCAACCCCGGCCCGCGTTTATGCAACTGGCTTACAAGCCGCTAACGGAATGCGGTTCATAGTCTCCCCATGTGCATTGCAGTAAACCCGACAATGCCTCAACCCACTATGGAAATAGGATACATGCAACCGGCTTACAAGGCTGATCGAATTAATTTTGATTCATTGATCAGCAGCTCGAGGTATCGGCATGGGTACTGAGTTTGAATACTATAAAGTTGGCTTCGCCGGCCCAAATCTCAACTCGCATTACTGCCATTTCACATCACTTGTGTCTCAACTTTTGGAAGAGTACCAACACTACTAGCAGCTACAGCCATGGGTCAGCTCAAGGGCCAAACAAATTTCAACCCAGAGAGGGATATCCCATCCCTCGAAGGAAAAGTCATCTTCATTACAGGAGGTAGGTAGTTTTACACGAATGGAATACGTGATTACTTGCTAACAATGTCGTAGGAACTGCTGGACTTGGGGCTGAGTCCGTGAAAGCACTGGCCAAGCACTCACCGCGGCACATATATTTCACTGGTCGTAACTCCTCGGCAGCTGACGCCCTTGTCAGAAACATCAAAGCAGCGCAACCTTCGGCTTCTCTGTCGTTCTTACAAATGGACATGACCTCTCTGAGCTCCGTAAGAACCGCTATTGATCAGGGGTTCACTCATGACAGACTTGACATCATGATGTGTAATGCTGGCGTTATGGCAAAGCCGCCTGAGCTTACCAAGGATGGCTTCGAAGTGCAGTTCGGCATCAACCATCTCGCAGTACGTCTTCCACATCATCATTGTGTTTTCTTAGATAGGAACAGGTGGCCGAGTGTCTTTTTGAGGAGCGCCATTCACCCGACTACTCAATTCCATCCTTTACAAGCACAGCTTTATGCATTGGCTCCTCTCCTTTATAGAGGACCAGTACTCTGACAGCGAAACAGCACGCATTGATGATTCGTCAGCTCACTCCTGTCCTTTTGAAGACAGCGGAGGACCCAAACTCGGATGTGAGACTGGTTTGTCTGACCAGTACCGGATGGAGGGGCCATCCGAAGCAGGGAGTTGACTTTGATCGAGTCCGTACGACACAAGAGTCGACTGGAGGCTCATGGATTCGATATGGGTCAGTCTCAAGTCAAGGCTTACATCTTGCGTTCGAAAATGTGACATATCGCCATTGCTGACTCAAATCGACCAGACAATCAAAGCTTGCCAATGTCGTCTACGCAGCTGAGTTCGCCAGGCGCAACCCTTCTATTCTCGCTGTCTCAGTACACCCTGGTGTCGTGGTAACTGATCTTGTCAATGACTTAAACCGAGTCAAGAAGACTTTTGTGTATGCCACGAGCTGGGTGCAGGGTATCAACCTTTTGCAACCTGAACAAGGGGCGCTCAACCAGCTCTGGGCAGCTGCAGGAGCGACGAGAAGCGAGGTGGTCAATGGCGCATTCTACATGCCTGTCGGTGTAGAGTCTAACAGTATGCTCGACAACGTAGCTACCAGTCAGGATTTTGCAAAGAGGCTGTGGCAATGGACTGAAGAGGCTTTGGCGGATTACTGAGCCGAGCCTTGGGCTTGAGCCAGCGCATGAACTGATGAGACCGATCAATTTATTCTGCAAAATCAATCAGATTTCAGCCTTTCTATGTCCCATTGCGCCACATATTTGTGTATGAGAATTGGTTCTTCTGACGCCAATGTTCTGCCCTCCCAAGGAAATATGTCGCTATGCTATACCTATGTAAGCACAGCTCTCATAGAATCCTTTGGGCTTACGACACACGCATAAACTCCAGACTCAGCAACTTAGAAATCTGAATTATCACGTCAGGCAACTTTCAAGGTCACAAGCCCGACTTTGCGGCCGCCATACTGCGAATTCTGCCAATGGCACAACGCAGCTGTAGAGCACAAGCCCTCTTGCGCCTGTGCCAAGTCCATGCCACCAGACCTCCTTTGATGCCTACGATAGTGAGGCAACAGTTGCTCTACCATCAGCCGCGGGTGCGCTTACTTGGGCGCTAGATGATGGTTGCTGGACCATCACGGCCCCAAAAATAGCCGCGAGAAGGCAGGACTACGGAGAAGCTTATAATGATAGTGCTCACCTTCCAAAAGGGCTTTGCAGCCTTGACGGGGCGCAGTACGCTTTCGGCGCTCCGCCTCAGCCCGCTGGCGGGCACCAGCACGGGAGGAATGTCCTCCGCGTGCCCGCCGGATAGAGCCATCCCGAAGGCAAATGCTGAGTTGATCGTGCAAGTCATCGGATATGTAATATGCTTTGAAGTCGTGATATGTCATTGAAGATGGATATAAAAGGCGCTCGTTGCCGCCGTGCTTTGGGGTTTGTTCAATCATCATCATCATCACAATTACAACAAACCATTATCTGAGTCTCGATATTCAAAACAACAAGAATCATCTTCCTCTCCAAAATTTCAAATTCTAATCAACTCCCCTCTCCATCCACAATGTACACTCAGACTTTTATCTCGACTATCGTGGCGGCTGCGGTTGCCCGTGCTGCCCCTACATCCACCGGCCATGATCTCCCCTCTCGCACCGTCCCTCTCACTGGTGTCACGCACTCAGTCGTCGCCGGTCTCGGCGGCCAGCTGATCTTCGACCCGGACAACGTCGTGGCCGAGGTTGGCGATATTGTCGAATGGCACTTCCTCCCCAAGAACCACAGCGTTGCCCAGTCCTCCTTCGCCAAGCCGTGCGTCCCTGACGCCGACCTTTACGAGCCATTCTTCAGCGGCTTCCAGCCAACAGCTTCTGGACAGGCTCCTGATGTCTTCCAGATTGTGGTGGAAGACACAGACCCGATCTGGTACTACTGCGCCCAGACCACAGGAGACCACTGCCAGAACGGCATGGCCGGTGTGATCAACCAGAACTTCAACTCTGCCAACACCTTGGCTGCCTATAAGGCTAATGCGGCCACGACGGGCGTCAGCGTGATTCCTCCTGTTGTCCAGGGTGGCCTCGTAGAGCCTAACCCCAACCCCAACGGGGGATTCTAATAAATCACTCTTTGGGGAAAGTCGAGCAGAACACTAAGGGGAAAAGAAGATCAGAAAGAGGCGATGAGTTGCAACGGTGAATTCAGAAGTCATTATTGTTGTCGTTTACAGGTTCAAAACCATATCTACAGTCCTTTCTTGTTGTAATTATTATTATCATGAATTTTATTGAGTTGGAAATAAGCACTGAAAAGGGTTTGGCTGGAAAGATTTGAGGATTATCACAGTTCGGACTCCTCACTTTGGCATTCGCTCTTGGTTTAGCCACTTCAGTATCTACTTAGTACGTACTAAAGTAGTTTATGATGGGATGATAGAAAGTTTCTTCCTGATAGATGATTGTCCAACTATTTAGTCTATGAAGATAAGCAGATACTATTCCTTGGTCACCTTTCATAACTTGCCAGTGACTACTGTTTCTTTTTGTCGAATAGTACCTTCTCTAGTAGAGGATTCCACAATGATTTATGAAGTTCCAAATTTTCCCATTCGACTTGACTGTGTACTTCCTTCTTCCACTGTCCACATACATTTTCACGCTTCGCGTTGACAAGATACCTAACTCATTTGATCAGGATGCCTCAACGTGATAATGACACACTTTCCATTGGATCCTCTCCTACCTTGCCTTGCATTGAGATGACTGTTGAAGTCTTGCACTGGTCGAGCTGTTATTTTTGTTTGGAAATTATCAGTCATGACTTCGTATAAAAAATGCCACCACCAAGAACCTACACAAGTCCATGCCATTACACGCCGGAGGTAGGGCCTTTGCTATCGGTCTATGACCTACCTCTGCCGAGTTCTTTTGAACGTTATGGACCCGGGACTTCTGTTAATGAACCTGTCACATGCCACCACTCGTCATGCAAAGCCTGATACGAGCCAAGAACTTCCTGATTCACAGACAGAAGGACAGCTCCTCCAAAAAATGAGCACGTGGACGGAGTATGTCGGTCCGGTAGGGGGAGCCTTTGCGGCTCTTGCCAATGCGAAGGCAGAGGGATGAGTACATGACACATCGGTGTGTGTTTTCCCACATTGTAGTTCGCACCCTAAACACCACAGGCAATGCCGGGAACGGGCCGCTGTATTCAGGCAACCAACCAATGACGCAAACATCAGATCATTATTCGAGGATCGTCGCCCACGACTAATGGATCCGAGATCCTACTACGTGCGTAACGAGCGCGGTGGGGCATGCCTTCACCTGGGGAGATGACTGCAGGTGACTAACAGGAGGTGTCGTGCAGCTTGAACGAGATGCCTTAGCGGGACTGTTGGGGGCGGCATACACATGTAACGAAAAGGAAAAAAACAGAACAGCCTGTAAGCATGAGGCGACAACTGCTCCGGATCATCTTTTCCGACGTATTCTTGTGTACATGCTCGGGCGTTTTCGGCTTGTTTGGCCGCTTGCTGACGGACGGATTGGTGTCGTCTGCCAGGCAAATAATCCAATTCAGTATGTGTTGTTGGCGATCCAAGGGTCCCCCCACACGTGCAGCGTGGATCTTTTGCATTGCGTTTTGGCTGCCACATCAGTTGCTCCCAGTTGACGTCATTTCTACGGAGTTTGTCTATACGAGATGTAAGAATCCACCGCAACATAGCTTTGCGCATGTCGTGCAGTCTTCCTATCTTTTTTCTACTTCACAGCTGGAAAAGCTGTTCTGGACTCAGCTGCGGTGGATTTTGGGATTCAGTCCGTGATAAGGCTCTCAAGACACTAATGGAAGGTAATTCCCAAATAAAGTTTCACAGGGAAGATGGTGTAAGGTGACGTCATCCCGCAAGTAGGGCCCGTAGCGTTGGGTCAGGGTCCAACACGCTGTTTTACAACTAAACCCCAAAGATCATCATCGGTGTTTCAACAAATGCCATGTCATGCATGACATCCCTACCTAGACCTGGCCAAAGACACCCAGGTTGAGGTCTGCTGACCTAACTAGTCCTCCATCTCGGTCTAACATTCTTAAAATGGCCTGATTTGAATCGTATGTTAATGTAGATCCCTTACAGATATTCTCGTTGCCCCCAGTCACACGCTTGATGCCTTGCTCAGCTGGCCAGCCTGGCCTGACGTCCGCGGCATTCATATTCCCCGCAATACACGAGGCAGCCTGCGAGATCGACGATTTGTGCTGTCCAGATGAGAAAAGTACGGCTGGAGAGCCGTCTTTCCGATGCGTCGCCCTCGTGCTCATACTTTTGGTATTGGTAATCTCATCAGGCATAGACCTGTCTTCTGGATTTCGAGAAAGAGATGTCATATAAATTGAGGTATGCCAACCCACTCATTTCGTTTCTTCCGACAGTTCTATATCAATAACACCAAGGTTTTCTGCTTAAGCGATCTAATTGGCGTCTGGTATCCTGCATTCGTTAGTTATCCTCCTCAGGTATTCTGAGCATTGCCCTCGAGCTTGACTATTCTTACTGCCTAGCCCTTACTCTCTACCTCAAGATCAAGGCTGTCTTGCTGCCCCCTTCTCATCTACGTTCCAGCGGCACTTTAGCCACCCTCACAACCTTATCTCCGACCAAGGCGTTGAGCTACGAATCTCATAAAGCCAATGCTCAGGACCTACAATGGGTTCTACCTCCACCACGGGTGGGGCACAATACCTAAGCTTTGAGTACGTTTCATAGCCGTCGTGCTGCTCATCTTCATACACCTCATGTCACGTCACCTCCTCCTCTATCTTATCTCTGAGATGCGATGCTATGTTCTTCACGAGCATTGCGTCATCCCTCCCCGAACCGCTGACCAATTTCGCCCCCCTTTCCTCTGTGCACAGCAAAGAGGGTAGCCGACACAACAACTACCTCCCTCAGCATCGACCCAACATTCCTGTGCCCCAAGAGCCCCAGTACGCCCTGAATTTGTTCACCTCTACTACTGAAGCACAGGGCGCCATTCGGGGAGCCCTTGGCCTGCGGAAGACCCAGACTGTGCACCAGTCCATTGCCCGAATGGGCAAGATTTTGGATGACATTGATAATGCTATGGCACCTAAGTGAGGCATAACGTGAGTCCAGTCCCTGTAGTTCTTCGTCCCTTCTTTTCACCCTAATTGTTCTTTCATCTCTTTGAGCACAAATTCGAATATTTCCACTCACAAACCATGACTTTCGGAAGTCGTCACAGCACATATCCAGATGTATAGTCATTTCTGTAGGGTCACACTTTTTGTCAGACTGCTTATCAAAATTCAATTGGGTCTCAAAATCAGCCAAGTGTTTGTTGTTATGTCGGGATTCATGATTCTCATTCCTGAATATGATGCGTAGAGCAGTGGTAGTGCCTTTGATACTTATTCTCGATTGTAATTGCCTGCTAGTAGTATTTGCCCAAGCCCCAGCCTCGTATCGAGTTTCATATATTGAAGAATTCCGAGTCGGTGAGTATTTCCCAGATTCTGATCATAACGTACAGGAGAAAATAATCCCAAGGCCCTTATCCAGTGTGTCTCTCGTTGGTCAGTTGCGTTATCAATTCCGAGTAGAAGAAGTCTCATCCGTGCACGTTCTCTGGCGGGCCGCTTGTGCTGTCGTAAATCTTGACTCGCGGTCAAGATTGACGTCTACTTAGCGGTGCGTACTATATTTAAGAAACCTCTGGCTAGAATCCGGCTTGTGGATCGTCTATCCCGGCTCCGCTTGAGTAGATTGAACGGATCCACTTAAAGAGTCGATTAAATAGTTCAGATACGAAAACTTTTAATTCTAACCTGAGCGAAATTCAGTTCAGGTCCATAGAAAGTGCCTTTACGAGGCCTGCCTAATACTTGCGATGTCTGGCCGAGTTGTGAAGCCACTTGTTGCAGCGTTGATATCTCTGAATGCTTCCCTCTTTGGGCTTCAATACTACTACACTCGACCTCTGTCACCTCGAGTCGAAGACCCGCTATCACAGAACACATCTAGCTGGTCTAAAATCTCTCAGTCAGATCCGCTCAGGGGCCTTCGAGGTGAGCCATTATCCAAGAAGGACCAAGACGTTCTTTTCGTTTCAATTCTCATGCTCAAAACCGCCAAAATCATCCTTCTCTGTACTCTTCATAGAGCGCAATAACAGATAATTACTCACTGATTCCATATAGATCGGCGTCTTACTGATCCGAAGACTACTATCAACGACCTCATCATCCAAAATGATGAGCATGGGGCCCGAGGTCCCATATACAAGTTATCGGACAGCCCTGGCAAGGGCATGGGTCTCTTCGCAACGGAGGCAATCCCTATTGGCGGCAAGATCCTCGAAGAATACAATGTTATAGCATGTGGCAATGAAGGCGAGAAGGGTGGCTGGAAGTTTGGTCCCAGAGATCTACAAAGCTTCGTGGGACAGGTGATGAGCCTCTCGCCGCAGCTGCAGAGAGACATGTTCAAACTGCAGGGCAAGCAGGTCTTGTCCCCCCCCCTGATGAGCTACTACGGGAAGATATTGAGGGAGGAGGTCTACTGCGCCGATGGCTCTCGGCTCTCGTGGCGAGAGTCGCTGAGGCTGCAGGATGCACTGCGCATTTTTTACACGAACGCTGCGACGCTCTATGAACCTGACTCTACGTGGTGCCTTCAGCGGCCTGTGGAGCAGGAAGTTGGTGATGGTCTCTTTTTGACCTTTAGCAGGATCAATCATTCTTGTGAGCCAAATGCGGCGTGGGATACCGGCCGCAAGGCGGGAGTGATGGAGGTCAGGGCGAGGAGACAGATCCAGGCGGGCGAGGAGATCACCATCTCTTATATAGGCCAACTTGATAGGCCAGTCGCTGAGCGGCGCAGTAGACTTCGTCGATGGGGGTTTGACTGCCAGTGTAAGAGGTGTGGTCCTCTGCTTGAGAATGGGTCAGAAAACAGATGATGCCTACGAAATTCGATAACAGTTGGATGATGCACTCATTATGGACCCCTTATTGACGTGTGCTTGAATTCAGTCTAGGTAAATAGTTAATCAAGCAGAACTTTTATTGCAGATTTTCCGCGTGTAGATTGTAAGTTATCACTAAGGTCTACATATACTCCTCCCCCTTTGTGAAGCACATTTATGAATCTTGGCCAATGCTGGGCGCGAAGAGCACAGCAGGGCTTCCAGAGCTGGCATCGTAAGACATCACGGTGTACCACTTGACAATATTTTGTTAGTACCTTATCGATTGATGAGGGCTTCTGCTTGGATTGGGTGGTGGATTGTTTACTCACGTTCTTGATGAATACGTCACCAACGACGTACAGGTTCTCGATATCAGTCAGGTCTGCTCCAATAAGACCGCTGAGGCAGAGGCTGGACAGGCCACTCGCGGAGATGGCAAGATTCGACTGGATCTCGTCCACAAGGGTCTGGTTGCCCAGAGCGAGGTCCACAATGTCTTCATCCGAGACAGCGCCGAGGTTGAAGTCGAGTGGGTTGATCTGGAAGCTCTCACCAGCAAACTCAATAGCCGGGATGTAAGAATCGGATGTGTTGCAGGGGAACATGCTACAGGGAACCAAGGTTAGTACATAATTCCAAAGGGACTAAGTCGTCAAGACTTCACATGGAGCCGCCTTACTAGATGATCTCCCCCTCGAGAGGAAAGCCGTAGGTACCGGGGATCTTGGCCATGATCTCCTTAGCCGCGGTCGTGGGAGCGACAATCGTCGTGGTTCCGGTGTCGATGGCGGCCTGGCCAGGAGTGTTGATGCCGCCAGTCGTGCCGTCCACGGTGACTCTGTCAAGAGCAACTTGCCAGTATGTCTCGGACGTAACAGGCACAGTCGTGAAGTCACCAGTATACTTGGTGCTATCACGCCCGCCCAGCGCCATCTCCGAGTCGTCCTCAGTACCGGAAGCAATGCGGCCCAGGTAGAAACCAAACTCCTCAGCATCAACGGTGCCGTCTGCAATCAGATTCTCGAAAAACGTGGTGCCGTTGTCCTGCGCAATGGACGAAAAGGCCATGCCACAGATTCCATCGGCATCGATCGCCTCGAACCCATACGCCGAGGTGACAGCAAAGAATGTCTGGTTCGGCGACGTGAGCCCCGCCACCGTCACGTCGTCGACCCAGTTTGCGCCCTCTGTCGAGCCCGAGCCGTACTCGATGGACGTGTTGGTGCCCAACGACGTGCCTCCTTGGTCGTACTTTGGATCAAGAGGGTGAACGCAGCCGTCCAAAAGGGTACAGCTCTCGCCTGGGACCCAGATGTCGGACGAGCCGGTATCGAAGATCAGCTGGAAAGTCTGGGGACTGCCATCGCCTGCGCCAATGACCACGGGGCCGTAGTAAGCGGCGTCCTCCGAGGTACCTTCGTACTGATCAGTCAGTGCCTCGTATGACTGGCGCCTGGCCATGCGACGGGCTGAGCCTTGGGCGGCCTGCTGTTCAGCCACCGGCGCGTAGTAGGGCAGCATAGGCGAGCCCCATTTGGCGAGGGTATGGTTGAGAGAGGCGTAGATGCCGGCAACATTAGCGGAACCGTCAGCTCGGGTCATAAGATGCTTCTTGGCCATGGAAACCTTCTTGAGGGACGGCGCTGTAGCCTGCGAGGGCGTAGAAGCTGGCAGTGCCAGTGCCCCCGTGACGAGCGACAGAACAGCGGCTGACCTCATACTGGGCAGTTCGAGTAGTGATGGATTGAATGATGAGGGATGAGAGGAGAGGAGAGCAGACAGAGAAGAACAGGTCGTTCATTCATCTTCTGTCCCATCATTTATTGCTCGACAGCAACCCCATTAACCTGTGTTTACCCAAAACGGGGCGGAAGCTGAATCAGGCAACACGCAATGTCCAGAGAAGCATGTTCCTTTTGATTCCGAGTGTGCCTGCCACAAATGGACGAGGAATTCTGGGTTTGTTGGAGGTCGCTGGCACATAATGGCCCGTTTGTGGAGTAGCTGGTCCAAACAGGGCCGAAATTGTAGGGTGACTGCCGAGCCATTTCCCACTTGCGTGTCTTGCAGGTTGATAACACCTGCCATGTACAATTCACAGCTGAGGGCATGAGTTTCAGGGACGAAATCACGGTTCGCATCCTGAGTTCCGCGGTTCGTTGATCTTTTCTGTGCTCATTGGTCTGCTCCGTTGGCTTGTCAATTCGCTCACTCCGGCAACTTCCTCTCTGAGACGAGAGATGTGGGGACGGTTGCCTTTCGAACCCCGAAGGTTGCTATTGGCACAGACTCGAATGGTCATGAAAATCGGACTGGAAGTCAGTTCCGAAGAGTTGATCTGCAGTACATAAATGTTAGAATCTTGGTTCATGTGAATCGAGTGATTATGCTGTTGAGTCTGGCTATCATGGTGATGGAAATTCATTTGGGATTTGGGGGTGTGGGAATTCAGGATGAACTGAGGAAGATGTCACAAAGCTTGAAGCGTTATAGAGCTCGACTCTCGACTGATTTACATGATAAAAATGAAATCGTACCCTTCTGCTCACATTTACGTCGTTGTCGTATTCCAAGACCTGTTTGAACACAGCCTGGAGTGTAAGCGGAAGTATCACGACATTAATCATACAATGAATTGGGAGCCTCCGCGACATAAGTACATGTAGTTGAAGTAGACCCGTCGCTCGCCTTCGATTCTAGCATGCATATCATCTGACAGAAACGACCTACCTCCGCCGTGACATAGTCTCATCAGACGGAGAGAACTATAGGAAGATGAATATGGAGTAATTGCCCTGCGAAGCGCTCCTGAGGTCGTTGTGTGAAGCCAGGAAGCCGTGTCGTGTTGCGGTAATAGCGGGTCACTGAACCCCTAACCCTGTAAATGTCTCAGTCATACACCGACCATCTTGGAGCCTGGATTAGTCTCAATCCACCCTTTTGTGTCTTTGTGTTCTTCAAACAAAATTCACAACACTCTTTATTGACCCATAGCACCGCTTCAAACTATCTTTGTGCCACCTCGTAAGTTGCTTGAGGATAGAATGGCTCTTGCAGCAGTAATCGCAGATGGAGGAACCTACAAGAAAACCCCTGCTGCCACGTGACGTGGCGCGAGATTCCAAATGCTGGGGGCGGCCTCGCCGCTCGCGTCATCAGAGCCTCGAAGAGAGTTGGCGTGTACCTCTCTGGCTCGATGGCCTTTCACTCAATAGTAGCCCACTTAGTTGAACCATCTCTACGGCAATCCTTTGAATGGGTTCCATTCTTGCAATGCAGTGATACTGCGTGACAACAGCTTTTACTATCAGACTGTCATCAAATTATGTTGTGACTGCCATACGAGGTTACGCGTCTCAACCCTCACATCCCCTTCCAACCCTGGTACTACATTCACTCCGGCCGAGTACCTCTCTCTCTGGTCCACTTCGGTCAAGATGTACCATCACAGACCTGGGCAAGAGTTGAGAGAAACGTACGATACACGCCCACCTCTTTCCACGACGCGGCTCAACGAGCTCAATCGCCAGCCCAACACGCCCACCCCAACTGCCACACATCAGCATCGTCAAACGAGTAAGCCGGAGGCGGCCCCGACAGCAAGCGCGACTTCACGAGCAAGGCCATTATCACCAAGGGCAATGGATCGGTTTATGTGGCAGAATGAACTCGGCCTCAGCGATGCCTCACCTTCACGTAGTGCCAGGACGGGCGCTGAGGCACTCTGGAACTCCCTAGTGGAGGGGCCACGCCAGCAGGCAGCCCAGCAGCCAGATGTGACTTCCTCTTCCCATAATGTTCCAGGCTCTCGCCCAACTGGTCAACCCCAACCACACGGGACTTTGTTAGGTCACCTTAGAGAACTGTGGTCTCCAGTCGAAAGCTGGGGCTGGGCCGATATGAGTGAGCATCAAGCTCGTGCCGCCGCGGAGGCTCAAGCTCGAGCTGATGAGATGGATGCTCGTGCCCAGAACGACATTCGCAAGCTCCTTCGTATGCCCGAGATCGAAATCCCAAAGAAGGATCGGGTGGCAACTCCCATACAAATGTCTTGTGCGCTCATGGAGCACCAAAAGATAGCCTTGAAATGGCTCAAGGATCAGGAAAATGACAGTCACAAACGAGGCGGTCTGCTGGCAGGTACGTCATTTCTGATACTCATAACCTCTGCGTTGAATGCACACATGTCTTGATTCCCACCGCTCTACGTCTTTGGTGCCTTCCCTCTCCTATCATTCGGTCACTGACTATGACTTCACAGATACGATGGGGTTGGGCAAAACCATTGAGGCTTTGGCTCTGATTGTGGCCCACAGACCGTCAGGGCCTGGCCCCAAGACGACTCTAATTGTCGCTCCGCTAGCCCTGCTGAAGCAATGGGACAGAGAGATCGCTAGCAAGCTGAAACCAGCTTACAAGCTCAGCACCTTTATCTACCATGGCCAACAAAAGCGTGCTCGCGCGGCTTCTCAGCTGCACCAGTTCGACATCGTGATCACCACGTACGAAACCATTGCTTCAGAACACAGAAGATATGAGGACAGCCGCCGACGAAGCTCTCGAATTTTTGGCCATGGAAACAAGTTCTACAGGATCATCCTCGACGAAGCCCACAAGATCAAGAACCGGTCTGCCCTGTGCTCCAAAGCCGTGGTCGAGCTCGATGCCAAGTACAGGCTGTGCATGACTGGAACGCCCTTCATGAACAACACGGGCGAGATCTACTCGCTGATTCGGTTCCTGCATATCAAGCCCTACGATGACTGGCAGCGCTTCAGTCGGGATATCGAGCGCCCGCTTCACGCTTGGGATGAGGACGTTCACAATGAGGCTATACGTAAACTCCAAGTGCTGTTCCGCAGCTTCACTCTCCGCCGCTCCAAGGACAGCTACCTCGATGGGGTGCCCATCATCCAGCTACCTAAGATATCCATCTCTATAACCGCGGCAGAATTCAACGAGGACCAGCATGCTTTCTACGATGCACTCGAACAGAAACAGCAAATACAGTTCAACAAGTACATTAAAGGGGGAAAGCTTAGCAGAGTATACACTCTCATCCTGGTTCTTCTTCTTCGTCTTCGCCAGGCGTGTTGTCATCCTCACCTCATTAAAAATCACGGTATTCCCGACGAAGCTCAGTTGGACGGCGAACAGATGGTTCAGCTCGCGTTGAAACTAGATCACAACGCCGTGAACAGGATCACAAGGAAGAGGGATTTCCAGTGCCCGCTCTGTGACGAAGTAGCCGAGGTCCCAATGATCATCTATCCTTGTGGTCATGACATCTGCGCCGATTGCTTCAGCACAATGATGCAATTAGCCAGTGAGGCTCAAAAGGGACCAGAACAATCTTACCTTGGCATCCCACTGGACAATACTGCGATGGATACAGTGTGTCCGCATGTTGGCTGTGACTCTGAAATTCATCCAAAGAAGGTCCTTTGCCAGAGTTTCTTTTTAGACGCTTATTCGCAAGATGCCTCGGAAGATGTGGCAGAGAACTCAAATTCGGACGACGGAGATACCTGCTGCACTTCGGATGAAGATTCTGGCGGAGATATTGATGATGACGGCGAAAGCCTTGAAGACTTCATCATATCTGATGACGATGAAGAGAGTCAGGTGGATGCTAAAAAAGAAGTGGTTGAAGATGGATCTGAAGGACAGTGTGTGTCCTCTATTGACCGCAAGCCGACTCGTGGTCTGGATTTCGACAGTGATGATGATAATGAGGGACCAGGCAAAGGAACTGGTAATACCCATCATCATGACGGAGGAAGCGAGGATGCAAAGGGCAACTTGTGTAATGGCAGCATGTCTCGTCCAAGTCCTTTCGCCTCCAGCCACGACGAGGCACAACAGACCTCCTCCGATCGAACAGCCAAGTGCGCTAGAGATACTGCTACGGATGAAGACGAACATGAAATCCTGGGCGATGCAGACGATCCTTGGACCAGTGCGCTTGCTCGCTACCGAGCCTTGAAAAAGGTTGAGCCCGATGACAACTCAGATCATGACGATTCAGATTTATCATCGATCGAAGGCTTTACTACCAAGGCAGAAACCAAGGTCCTTTCGACACAGAGCACATCAAAGAGAAAACATGGCCCAAGTCATGGGCTGGCATCCTTGCCCAGGAAGCGGATCAAGGAGGAGGATGGCACAATGGCACGAAAGAACCGTCACGGATCGAACTCCAAACCGCCCAAGAAACACAAGAAGCAGACAATGGCCCAGCTGCGGACGTCTGCGCCCACGAGCAAAGCAGCCAAAGCCAAGTACCTCACTCGGCTCCACACCGAATTTGAACCCAGCGCCAAAACCGATGTGACCATGAAACTGCTCCGCTCGATCCGCGAAAATCATCCCACAGAGAAGACCCTTGTCTTCAGCATCTGGACATCTTTTCTAGATCTTCTCGAGGTCCCTCTACGGGACCAGGGCTTCCGCTACCTCCGCTACGACGGAAGCATGGCATTTGATGAGCGAGATGACAATGTCAAGGCGTTCTCGGAGAAGCCTGACGTGAAGGTCCTGCTCGTCAGTCTGATGGCCGGCAACGCTGGTCTGAACCTCACGGCGGCCAGCCATGTCATCATACTCACGCCCCACTGGAATCCATATGTAGAGGACCAAGCGATCGATCGAGCGCATCGGATCGGCCAGAAGAGGCGCGTCCATGTCCACAAAGTCTTGGTGGCGGGGACGGTGGAGGATCGCATGATGGAGCTGCAGGAGAAAAAGCGTAGGTTGGTAAGCGCGGCTCTTAGTGAGGAGGGCGCGCGGGGCGCGGGTCGTTTGAGCGTTGACGAGCTGAGGAGACTCTTTGGCATACACTGAGGCATTCCTGCAGTTGGACATGCTACTGATTGATTTGGGAGCCACCATTGGCATCAAGGCCGAGAGTGAATAATGGTCATCTAATTTCTTGTCTTTGCAACTTCGTGCACTCTGCCATCGAGCAGCACATACTTAGTCTATGCGATCTTCATTTCAGAGTCTTTATTGACGCCTTTCATTGTCGTCCTTCCTCTTTCATCTTCTTTTGATTTTTATTTCATCAAACGTAGAAGCTTGAGCAAGCATACATTGTCAATATGAAGGTTTGTCAAAAGCATAAATCTACGTGGCATGCACGTCATCACCAACAACTGAACCATTGGCCAGTCGGGGAATTCAAAGCGGCTCAGCCACGGTGGGTCTGGACAGCCAGCGGGGAGGGATTCCAGGATTGCTGCCTCCTCACATTACATAGCCACAATCTAGAACCCAACTGGATTCATGGCCCTATAATACTGAAGTTGGCAGATTTCCTCTGACACACACAGTCTGTCTACATTCAACTTTCTGTCTCGGTCCCTCGAAAAATTCCGGAAATCTCATTCATGAAGGAACCATCCTCGTTTATCTACTTGATGAGGACGTGATCAGGTATGGCACAAGAGGAAGCCTCGACCAAAACAAGCAGTGAGGAAACGAGCAATCAGGAGTATTGTATGGTCTTATAATTGCAAGACATCTGCTGAAATATGGCGACTAAATCGTAACAGTGGACAAGTACCGGGCCGGATATCCTAGATATACCGCACTCTTAAGTGCTCATCCATCGTTCTACAACTTCCGCCGCTTTACAAGAGTGCGCATGCGGCTCCTCCTCCAAAAACAAGACGAGATCACGCAGCTGGAAGATGAGTTGGATGAAATCGACGAGAAGGAAGACCGTCCCTTGTTTCTTGGTGCTCTACGAGCAGATACAAATTTGGAAAGGCAGCGGGTACTTCAGTCTCTGAGATCCGCCCTCGATGAATACGGTCAGGATGATAACAATTTTGAGAGGACGAAGCTCGGCTGATCTTTCGGCAGATGACATGATAGAAAAAAGCCGACGCACTTTGTCCCTGCCGCCCGCGGCTGACAGAGACATCGATAACTTGAAGACGTGGACCGAGGCAACAGGTTGTATCAGCCGCCGCGAAACCGAATATTTGGAAAAGCAGCAAGATCTTGCCAACCTCATTGGTAGTTCCGACACAGCAATCAGCTATTGCCACTCACTAGTCGAGAACTGTGTCGGTTGGCTGGACGAAAACATTGGACATGTATGCATGCCGCTAGAACCTCGGCCTCGAACGAAACTTCAAGGCTGAACTTCTTATCTGCAGTATTTTCCTAATGCCAGAAAACGGCGGCACAAAATCACAGCAGACGATTCAGTCCTCATCCTCGGCCCAAAGCTGCAACGCCTCAGTCGAATCCTAACCACCATCTTCGCGACGTTGACCATACTGATCCCAACCGTTATACTGCCCACCATGTCAAGTATGGTGGGCCAAGTTCTCGCTGGGTCCTTATCCTGCTGTCTTTTCATTCTGATCGTCTCAGTCTTCACAGGAGCCCGGACAGGCGAGATATTTGCGGCTGGAGCAAGGTGAGCCAATCTTTCAGGACGAAACTCCATTTGCGGAAGCTAAAAGAATCGTCTGGTAGCTATGCTGCCGTGATAGTGGCGTTTACGACACAGAATTCTACCCAGAATTCCTTGCGATGACATTTCACACCGTCATGGAAAGATTGGAGTTCAAGGCTGCCTCACCCTTCCTGCGAGTCAAGACTACCCTCAAGCAACTTGAGAGCCTAGTTGGGTAGTTTATTTCGAGCGAACTTTTCAAAGCGTTTGTCGTTTCTGAATTTACTACATAGAGCACTATCACAAGCAATTAAAACAAAGCTTCTAGAACTACAGAAATACACACTTATCGATTTCCTCCGCCAGCCCGTGATTGTCAGTCGATATTTGAGGAGCGTCAAGTCTCCTATGTCAAAGCTACCACGTTGTTGAGCGCAGCGAGAGTTTCCGCCCCCGTAATGTTTCCACACCCTTCAATTACACATTTTACCCTTATCGAAATCCCTGAGGTACTTTCTGAATCTCTATTCCTGAGACTGCTTGTGGTATCCCAGTCCCTAACCAGTCGGCGAGATGGTCTGAGAGTTCAAGGCTAAAATCCTCTCGAATTTTCACGAGCACTTGAAGAATAGATATTGCCTTGACATTATTTCCTGACATAACCTCCGAAGTTGGCGGCAGGGGCTTCAAACACATCGGTGCGCGTCCGGACTTGAGCGTGATGTGAACAGGTGTCGCCCACAGGTTCTGCTGACGGGCGCATAAGTGACCGTGCAGATCAGATATATTGACGAACCCCGTGCGAGCAACAGCTTCTCGCATTCCCCGGATCAGCGTCGTCGTGAACGATCTGGGTCCTGGCGATGGGGTCTTCATCGCCATCGCAGCAGCAGCCAGGATCTCAAATCTGCCCTGTCCTCTCCATGGATCCCGAGCGGCTTGTGCAGCGTAACAGCAGTCTAGGAGCAATAGGATATCGGCATTCGATGCGCGCATTTCGTCTTGAATACGGTACCAATCCAATGTCGGATCTCCCTCGTCAAATCTGGCCTGGTTTTTAGCACAGCCCATGTCTCAGAACGGAAAGCATACTCACGCCGCCCAGACAGATCTACACTCTTCTCCGCCATGTCGATCATCGTTCCGGTCTGAATGGCCCCCATAATGAACGATGAGGAGGGAGGGTCCGCCCTGCGCGTTTGCAAGTTCTGTAGAGATTTTCCCGAGCAGCTTGTAATACCCGACCTGGGCCTGGGTTGGAATTGCAAACTCCTCTACAGGATACCGAAATACTTCTTCAAACAACTGGCGCACAGCGCGGCCTTCCGTCTTGTAAGCCTCATCTCCATCCTCCCAGTATACGACCAGGACCTTGACCCTGGTATACGTCCCTTGCTGAACGGCAATCTTGAGGTTTGCGTTGAGTTTGCAGAGTAATGCACTTTCGTTGTTAGAGGCCATTGTTGTGCGAGCAGTATCGGGACGAGGAGACAATTACAGAGGGATTCAGACTTCGCAGAAGAGAAGAAAATAATAATACAAAATTTCTTCAGAAATTGATGTGATAGAAGGTCGTTGAGATATGTAGGAGAATGCCGGTTACAGTATCCCAACACTGGCTACAATTTATATCTCACCACAAGATCTCATGGTCTTTTTTGAGGCCCGTCTTCAGGCGTTGGTCTCAAGAATATTTCTTGGGTAGTTATTCTATATCCACTGTAGCGATACGCTTACTCATTGAGCGGCCAATGGTAACAGAAGAGGCTGCACAGCCCCTCTTATTTGTACTTCCAACGGCATAAGTCACGGCGCCTATAGTATTGCTGGCGCACCCCGGTCAGCCCCACCTGGCCGGCATATCGACCTCTACACTCTGATTCTATTTTCCCTTCGTTAATCTTTTCTTTATATAGCTCTTGTTTGTTTCGTAGGTCGAACATCATCCAAAAAAGTAAGAGTTACTTAAGTAATTAGAGTAACATGCAAAAGCTGAATAAGGACAACTTATTCGTCCCTGCAGAAGTGAAGAATCTCGCTAGGGAACATCGCAAGGAAGACCCGAGTATTGCCCAGTTGCTCTGTTGAGCCTTCATTCGCTCCCAGTATCCGCGGCCCCCATCATGACATGCACCGAGCAAGTCATGTCGAATTTATACGGCATACCTTCGAAAGCCAGATTGAGCTCTCCGTGTACCAGAATCTCTGTCACGTTCAGATATAGCTGCACAACTGCACGCTCTTCATCAAATCCAATTATAATCATGGGGATCTGTAACCAGGAGAAGGAGGGGAAATGGCGTATATTCTACAGCAGTGGATATACTTCTTGAGATCTTATTATGATCTGGTTTTTAAATAAACGCAACACCTGTATATTATTGCTTATTATTTTAGAGTCGATATTCACACTTTTTGGTAGATCAAAATCGAGAAGAGGAATAGCAGTATGAGCAAGCTTGCGTGGGCTTGCTAGGCGTCACTTTTCTTTGAGACCAGGTGCTCGTTCTCTGATAGGTGCCGTAGTAATCATAATACACTCAATATCTACATCATGTGGACTTCGTATTCCGATCTAAGTCAACACTTTAGTTGCTCTTTTTGTCACCATGGACTTGGCGCGGCGCTGCCTCAGGCGGGCCATCAATCCCATACCTGATCCGGTGCCGGGAAGCTACCACGCGGTCATGTAAGCACCGAGTAACCATGGAGTTAAGGCTTAATTGTTAGTCTGATCTTCTAGCTCTGACCACAATCGCTGTTTTCGGGAGAGCGACTCGCATGCGTGTTGGAAGCGTCTTTTCAGTATAAATATATTCCTACAAATCCTCCCAAGTACTCACTGGAGCTTCATTATTCATATTCCGCAGTAACATATCATAAACTCACATTTTCCAATCTTTCAATCATGGCATACTCAACAGACTCAGCTTCGTCCGTGTCGGCGAAGAAGCCCGAATATGACATGGCCGGTCTCAAATGCTACACCGAGACCGGAGGGATCATCACAACAACCATGTTTGACGTTCCAGGCTACCGGATTGTGCGAGTTCTAGGCACAGTCTACGGGATGACTGTAAGGACGCGAAATTGGGCAGCAGGGTTTGGCATGGGGTTAAGTATGTAGTCACCCTAAGTGCTGATATCAGCCTGCTGTGAAATGATATTCGCAAACTCTGGGTCCGAGATGGTGAGCGCTGATATTCAACTTGGACAGAGAGCATGGTCGGCGGCGAGCTCAAATGGCTCACGAATATGGTGAGTTATTTCCCAGTCATGAAATGCTACCTCAGGCAGGTACGGATGCAAAGAAGGGCTTCTCGCCTGACCAAGGTCTAGATGTACTCTGCTCGGAACGAAGCCGTCTCGCGGGTATGCGATGAGGGTCGAAAGCGAGGCGCAAACGCTGTCATTGCCATGAGGTTCGATATCGCGGACTTGCCGCCACGCTACACTCAAGTCTGCTGCTATGGCACTGCGGTCTTGCTGGAGAAAGTAGATCCTGATGCCACTGATGTTCCTCAGCTGAAGTCAACTGCGCCTTGAGAAGAGAACTCATTACCAGGCGGTGATGCTCATCACTTTTCTTGCCAGTTTACCAATGCAGAGCGGCTTGACAAACGCTGCAATACAATTTTGTCTCTGCCAGTGTATGGCGCGATGTGTTCAGGGGGACGGGGTAGAGAGGACTTGAGAAGTATGTAATGTCAATGCTATTGTCCTATATTATGAGGCCATAGACCTGGATGGTCTTCTACGCACTGTGCTGCTCTCCTCTAGCCTACGAAGTCAATTTGTCCAGCTTGAGGCCAAACGATGACATTAGTGCCTGTTCTGGATTTTACTAGAGGTGATGCACATCTGCAAACCAAACCCAAACAACAAGATGTAAATCAACGCCGTCCCATGCCATTATGTATTTTGTGGGGACGAAAAACACCAATTGTACTATTTTGTGCAAGTTCGTATCCGTCAGAAGGGTGCTCAGCGCTTCTTCAAGTGCGACGTGTAAGTTTCTTTAGAAGGCTGGATCGAAGACTTGGTCGTTGATATTCTTTCGAGATCGATGTGGAATCTGTTTACGAATGACGGTCAGTGGACGGTCCTCACGTGCACGCATGAGCAAAACGTAAGGTATAGAATCCACATGCCTTTCAATATAGATTCGGAGTCTGTGCTGTACCGGAGCTCCTCCTCCTTTTCTTCGATGGCCTTGGCCTTTTGTGAGGTAGGCTTAGGGCAAGGTTTCGCAGGAGGCTTCGAGGTGGAATTCGAGGAACTGGCAGCAGAGGGGCTGAAAAGTTTCTTTGAGTCACAACCCGCGTCCTCCATGGCCGCCATGATATAACCAATTTCGGTGGAGATAGTCATGTTGAACTTTTTCCTTTTCTCTCTTCTCTTTGTTGTATGATGTGTAGGTTCGCTGGCGGTGGCTTCGGAGTCAGAGTTGGGCAGTCGTGGTGATCTCGATTGCAATCGTGTTATGCAGGACAGGTGATGAGTTGATACTTTATCGACTTGGATCTTTAGATAGGCGATGGAATCTGGGGGGCTTACGACTAATATATAATTTACGTCTACAGCTGCCGAGACCAACGTGATCTGTCATCGCGTCCCAGTAAGATGGTTGAACTCAGTTCCGAGAAGTGCCAACCTGGGACCTCCCACACAACCAATGAAGGAGATGCCGCGCCAGCCACCCGCCGTTCGGCGCTCTGTCTTGAGTCACCGGCCCCGCGCCAAGTAGAAGGGGAGACAGGAAAATAAAAGTTGACGGCTCTCAGACCGAGAACCCTGGGCTTGAAGTGGATGGAGCGGGCCAATGGGGCGGCTGGTGTGCTATAGCGTCTTAGTCTTGCGCCCTTCTGTGTCAAACCCGCCTAGTATTGCATACATCTTATGTGGGGCCGAGCCCCGAGCGCCGCTGTCGGGGCATCAACTTGCGCAAAATGCGTGTGACGAGTGAGTAAAAATTGGCTTCAAGGAGGATACACAGCAGTAAATCTTGAGTATGACACACCACTGAAATATTCTGCCCGGTATTGAGCACTGGATAGTTGTGGTCATGGATCTTGAAGAAAAAATAAGAAGCCGGGATAAGACTCATGCCTGGCGGTCTCCTTGGCGACATGGCATATATTGGCCGAATTCTCTTTTTATGTATACGGATGGATTGATGAACTACATGACTTCCTCACTGGTCATTGCATGTTTAATAACAATAACTGTCTCCATATTGATAGCCTTTTCTCACATAGTCAAAGTTGCTGATGTTCGTAATGACAGGTCGTTCTTGAGAAGGGCTCATTTTCTGACAAATGCATTTCTTTTCTCTTCATTCTGTCTAGCTTGCTGTTTTTCTCCGCCGTCACCCCCAATTTCCTTCCGTGTCTTGAACCTTCGCCCATCTTCTTCAGTTTTTTTCCCCTCGTCTTTTGACATGACACATTAAGAGTAGTGTGGCCGTACCTATCCACTTCTCCTCTTCACATGCACATGAAATTTCCTGTTTGACTAAGCATGCATTGGTAATAGCTAAATTGTAAATAATCATGGGACATGCGATGGCTGCAACTTGGCTGCTCCATTAGCTTTCAAGATTCTCAACCTCGGCCCCACCCATGTGTCCCCAAAAGAATTCCTATTTGTTCTGCATTAATTACTGTTCATTTTGCTGCCTGGATTATAATCTGCAGGTTGTATGCTAGGTGTGAGCGTTTCTGCCCAAAACCAACTGTTTCGTGACCCGCATGTTGGATATATGTAAATGCAGTCTTAATCGATGTTGGATCTTGAGATCTAGCGTTCTGGTTTCGTATGTTTCGTGACCTGTATGTTAGATGAGTTACGATATACTGAATTTCTCCAAATAAATTTCTCGAGTAAAATAAAAGGCATTTCTCTGTTTTGTTCAAGAACGATTCGATACATTTGTTCGCGATATCGTTATGGAATGAATCCCAGTACAGACATGCAATCCGACCTTAAACGCTTTGTCGATATAATCGATGATGAACATGAGACGCTAATATTTCAAGATATCCTCAATGAATCTCTTAATCCTGATGCTGAGAAGAAATCTGCGCTGGTGATCTGGCAATAATTGTGAACCTTGTCGATTGGCTGAGCAGTCCGAGTGAAGTTGCTGTCAAGCAGTGCATTCTCAAGAACAATGTAGCACAAAGCAGGCTTACATGCTGAGTGCTCTGATTATTAGTGAGATCATATAGGACTATGATCACTGAATCAAGATCATTGATAACTAGGCTGACATGGGCGCCTTTTTGCTTGCCTATCTAATAACTGCAAAAGCGACATTCAAGGTCTTGGAGCACAAGTTGGAGGGCTGGTGCGCGAAAAGGGTGCGGCGGGCAAGGAGCATTAAATGGATACGTCTTCAAACACGGTGGCGCCAAGCGTGCTGCTGTTAGCCTCACTGCTACTTATCTGCTAGCACCTCGTATTCTCACAATATGATTCACCGGTTATAAGCCACTCGACATGCAGGTTAGAAAGGGGCTAACACAAGGAACTTTGCCTGAAATCCAGCATTTTAGGCAATAGTAATGATAACAATGATATCCGACTTTCCCGGCTTGCGTGCAAAGCACAAGTTCCTCACTCTCCCAAAATATAAGAAATATGACTTATAAGTCCGCAGAGTTCAAGGTGTTCTGTCTTAGCGGGTAGCTAGAACAAAAGAAAACTACGTGGAATCCCTCATGCAAGCAGGGTTGGGTTGCATTGTCAACCTTACGCTTATTTCTCAACCTTGTCTGTCTTGAAAAACCCAGACTCGGCACGGGACGATCAATCGACAATATGAAACCGCAATCGGCCCCTGTGATGGCTTTTTGGCGGCGATGCGGCTCACGACCAGGGCCCACATCCTTGTGCCAAGAGGAAAATCAAACGTCAGCAGAAGCCACCACAGCAAGATTCTACTGCATTTTGGTCTGATGGCCTCATGAATGACCGCCCACGCCGTCTCTTCAGGGCCGTCTCACCTTCTCAGATGGCGTGGGCCCGAGGGCAAAGTCTGAGGGAAAAGCCGTCCCAAGGCGTGACAGCCGCCGCCCGGGAGCAGATACGCCCAGTGGATCTCAACTGACAGGTCTGACTTCGGGTGACACCACCATATCGTTCGTCCTATCCCCCAATATTCGTCATGTTCCTCTTCTTCTTTTCTTCTCTTTCGGACGGCTTTTCCTCTCTTTCTTTTACTCACGTCAGACGGGCAAGTGCTGTGCAACATTGTCAATCGTTACGGTTACTGTCGCGGTCCCACACCTTCCCTTCTCACCAATCTTCTTCTTGCATAGGCTGTGCCTAAATCTACTTTTTTTTTTTTTTTTTTTTACCTCTTCTTTTTCTTTTCATACGGTCTTTTCTGCAGTTGAACTGCCTCCAAAATTCTATAATATTCGGTATTGCTGTGGCAGGTCTGCACCACGACTGAACTCGATACTCCTTTCTACGAAATCAAGCAGAGCCTCCACAAAAGTTAGTTGAACAAAATGCGTATTCCTCTCGCCGCCGCTGCCACATTGAGGGTCTTCCTCCTCCTGTCGGCCGCATTCTTCTCGGCCAGCGTCTTGGCCTCACCCATGGACCCCAGCCAAGGCAGCATCAAGATCGTCTCGCGCCAGACGGCCGGCAGCCCGCTGTTCACAGAGCAAGCCTGCCAGCAGTACAGCCGCATCGCCAACCTATCGGTCATTGGCAGTAACTCGACGATGCGAACAACCTTCCTCGACGTCAGCCCCGCCGGCACACTCTCTAACTCGGCCATGCTCAATGAGGCCATCAAGAACCTCCCGATGCTGACAGCCGATGCCAAGCTCAACGAGGCCTGCGGCAACCTGACCACGGTCGCGACCACCGAGGCCGCCAACAACTTCACCAAGGGAATCGTTGCGCAATTCACCTTCACGGGCAACCATGCTTCGATTGTCAACGGTCCTGTCGTGGCTGGCGTGGTCATCATGTGTCTGGTTGTCATGCTGGGACCTATATCGGCTTTGTGAGCAGCGCTTTTGGGGCTATGTTACGAGTGGGGGTGTGAAGAGAGATGGAAGGAGGTGGGAATAGAGTACGACAGGAGAGGTTGCATGTGAGCCGGAAGAAGACCAGGGTAGCCGGACGCTGCTCAAGGTTGAATACTTGGTAAGGAGTTCGTGGCCGATGCTTTTTACTAGCACTACACTCCTTGAGGGTTGGGAGTGTGCTCTCTGTGGCAGACACCGACGTGAATCAAACAAATTTCTAATCCCAATGAATCACTGGCGAAGAACCATGATGAGATCTGTACATTAGAAACAAGGTTCACTCTGTTAAGAGAAAAATATCCCGTTCGAACCGCGCAGAATTTTTGAGTACGATGCTATATATTTCTCAGAGTACGGTAATGTATTGGTTGATCATGGCCAGTCATTGATTTTATTTCGACACTCCAAGGCCATGTTGATTCAATACTAGTTATGTTCTTTCATTTAATGAAGATCGTGGGCCTGGATCTGGTGGAACAAAACTTTTTACGCGCCTGAAACCTCTTGTTCCATGCTTTTCTTCTGTATTGTATTCATAAGTAATGCAAGCATCATGCGTGCCTTTCTGCATACATATTGTTGTTACAACTATTCGTTTCCTCGCGATTGCAATGGAGCCTCTAAAGGTGATGTCACAAGCCCTCCAAGCGATATTTGACAACACAAACTGGGAAGCCTCCTTGACGACGGCCATTATCTCCTGTGCTTGGATCTGCGGCAGCAAGCAATGGTCGAAAGGTAGTATGTGATTTCCATGCCTTTCAGAAAGCAACTGAAGTCGTTACCTATATTCTGTTATTGCTGATATTGGTCATCTCGTGAATCTTAGAGGCCCCGGTCTTCTTCTGTGACGACTCTCGTCCTGCTCATCCTCCAATCCCGCACACCTCTTTCTCTGACGTGGCTCTATAGCCCCGACCACGAGGTCCCCAGTCTCAACCTTCTCGTACACCAACATTGTCGCCTCGATGTCGCCGCGCACGGAAGCAGGTGGCGTGAACCGCTACCACTCTTCCTCCTCGTCCACAACGCGCTCCTTAGTCCTCTGCTCCTGTGCCTCTCTGGCACGTCCAGCCACAGCCTCCATATTCTCATATACATATCCATCAGTGCCGCTGTAACGCTTCGATGTCAAAAGTCTTGTTGGTGTGGAAGCGTGCTTTCCTGCCGTGGTAAGGGCTTAGAGCGTCATCTCAAACCGCCGTGAGAAGTGGTCAGTGGCCGAGACTCGCTCATGTTGACAAGGAGCAATTCTCGGACTGGTAGTAGAGACTTGCAGGGAGCAAAAGCGCGAATGACCAATAACAGGGCTCGATGAAGATGAAGCGTGCGAGTAGAAACATCCTGTTGAAAGCCATATCTCACGTCATACTCCACTTTCCAGCCAGTGTGAAACCAGCATCTTCATTCTTCTCATAGTTGTTACAAGACGAGGACGAAGGAAAGGGAGACGAGAAAGAAGCGTTGACGGAGGACGTATTGTAGGCAACAGGAGGACCGATAAGATTGACTATCATGGCCGGGCCCATCCAGAAAATGAGGAAATCCCGAATATCGCACCCCTGTATGGCCACGCCGGCGATGGCGCAGTGCGTCTTGAGGTCCTGTGATCGGAGCTGGTTCATGGTGGTTTTTGACTTCCATGACACTCTCGGCCACGGTTCCGCCAGGGCAATGTGAGACAGCGCTGGAGATGGTGCTATCCTCGGTGAGATCGTAGGTTGGTGGGTTGGTAGGCACCCAGGGTCGATAGCCGGCAACTGGGTAGGCATATTCCTAAGACGACTTGGACGATACAAAACTTGGCTGGGAGGTATAGCAGCCAGAAACTTTCGATACAGATGTCCCTTTCGACATTTGGTAGTATTCAAATTTCTGTAACGCCCCTCCCCCTTCCCGCCTGCTCCCAACCGCTGAAGGGAGAAACAGATGACCAAAGCCTCGATGTTACTGAATTTTCTGCAACATTGGGCAGAATGATCTGAGGGCCTTACTGTTTTAGCGGCCGTATTAGGTTTTGTAAAGTTGTCTGCCAAATGAAGAAGGCTTTTTCTCACCTCTGCCAGATGGATCAGTCTCGTGGCTCATTCGTCAGTGTCAATGAACTGAGGTTTTATTCCTGGCGGTGATCATGCGACTGTTTTTACTGGCACCACACTCTACATGATCGCCACCGCGCTTGCATGCAATTTGGTGACAGAGGCTGAGATGCGTTCCTCCAGTTAGTTGCTTTGTACAACAGATAAATGTCATGCATCAAACAGAACTTTACATGGCTTACGACACCACAACTACGACTGGATCTTGCGAAGCATTCCCTCGCAGCGGCAATGTCAAATTGCAGCTCAATTTGTAGTCCAATTTACTTACAGAATCGATAAGCCTCAAGAGACGAGTGAGCTTCTCAAAGATGTATGAATATGCTCCTGCAAAATAAGAAGCCGAACAGGTCTCGGCGTGTCTCAAATTGGGACCCAAATGATCACACATTGAGAATGGTGTGCAGGACCCGAATATTTGTGCATCCTAGCATACAAGTGATTACCCTGGCCCGCCGTCAGCACCGGCAATGGCTTTCCGAGAAATTTCGAGTGGCCCACTGGGCAAGTCTTGTTCGACAATGACCAGGATGTCTCCATTATACTTGTAGCCCCAAACATAAACCTGGAAATGCAAGAAAATGTTTAAAGCATACATAATCCGGCAGCGACGTTGAAATAAGCGACTGGCTGAGGTAAGCATTTATCTTCCCTTACCGTCCAACCCATCCCCCCCCCCCCCCTCTCCTCTCTTCTAATCGCGAGAGACGGAGCATTTCGGCCATGGAACAAGCAGCAAAGCGTAAAAGGCGGGGCAGATTACGACCGGATCAAATTTTATCTCTATGAGTAATCATGTAAATAAGAACAGCCTGTCGGGATAAGGAAAGAAAAAAGGCTTGTCCTTGAAGGTTCATGTGATGATGATGATGAGGGACATCCCAATTTCGGGAAATGGGGTTAGAGACTGCGAAGCTGACGACCACGCGCAAGATCCGCAGCGAAGGAGCGTAGGATTTCCGAAGCGTTGAGGTGGCAGCAAAGACAAGGGGACCGACGACAACACGCCTATCTGCAACAGATGCCTGTGGTACCGGGCCCTGCCCATCCCAATCTTGACATTGGCGGTCTGAAACGTCCGGGGTTTGTTCGTTGTTCAATGGAATCAAAATCCGAAGTCTGAGCGAGTAGCAGTCTGACACCGTACCGAGAGATGCACGGACAAACCCTTGGAGCTCCTCTGACCAGCACTTGCCCACGACCTTGGTTGTGAAAAGCGAGGTGAAGAGAAAGAGGGTTACTGCTGGTGCTGCTGCATGGAGGAACGCGCTCCCTCTTGAGATTCTAAATTACCTAACATCGAACCCTAATACTAGGAATGGCCCCGCGGACGCGTGTTTAAAATAAGCTTCCCGTGAACATTTGCCATTTGAGAGTGGCCCTTCAACACAATGAGGACGTGGGGCGTAAATTGGAACCTGCAAGCGCTGGCATAGCATGCACGCGCACAACAAGAGTGATTTCACTCGAGTTGATCGATCACACTTGAGAGAGAGGAGGCCGCCTGAAGGGGCGTCAGGGCCAGAGCCACGGCCCAGCATCAGCAGCCAATTCGCGGCAAGGAAAGACAGCGACAGGTGGACAATTACTGAACGTTGACGCTAGCGTGGGGTCGGAGGAAAGACATGCATCATGATCAGAGTTCAAACTTGCTGTTTTGGCTGTTTTGTTGGCTGCGAGTCGAACGGCGAGCGTGGCAATAGGGGTACGCACCCAACACAGCCCAGGAGGGCTGTGTCTGCAGCTAAAAATAATGCACCACGTTGCTACTTGGACGTTAGTAATAGTACTTACTGTTCTGCGTAATGCAGATGTGACAGTGCCACACAGGCACTAAACGGGTACTCTACATAGCAAGCACCAGCGGATGTCGGGGTCGCCCACTAGCACCGGTGAAAGCCGCTGGTGGAGCGACAGTGCGGGTACCTGCTGTTTTTGCTGGACCAGCTCCATTGCGCCAGTAAATCACAGGCGCAATGCCGCTGGGGCGCAGCTGAAACCAATGGGACCCCCCTGGACCCCAGTGATTCTCTAATGGACCCCCCCTGGCCCCATTCACCAGGACCCTGCATGCATCACATTCATCCCCCTTCTCTCAAAGTTCCGTTCCCTCAATGTTCCATTTCTTTGTTGCTGGAACTTAAATAGCGATCCCCCTTTTTCCCAATCCCTCCTTGCATTGCCAATAAAGAGATAAAGCACACGCACCTTGCATTCTCTGCACTTTCTTTCTGAGGCAACAGACAACAGCCCTTCCCGACATTCATTGAACGATTACGTCGATTCTCGTTGAACCAAATTTCACCCTTCCAAAAGAAACCCCAACCAAAATCCACCAAAAATGCCTGCTGAGTCGATGGAAATGCAGCCCAACATGGCCGCCCAGCCTCCTATGGCCACTGAGCAGCCTGTAAGCAAAGCCCAATTCCCACACTATCCACCGCCAATTGATCCGCATTACCGAGAAGAGAGGGAAAGAGGAGGTTCTCCCAGGCATCATCGTCTTGGCTTTGGTCTAGGCGTCTGCCTTGGCGATCGTGTCCAGAGCTTGGCACCCACAAGGCTTGGGTTGGCCCTGTCCTCTTCGAGCCTGGGGCACTGAGAGGTCCCCCTTTCCTGACTGGATGGATTCTCTTGTGCTCTCTCTCTCTCTCTCTGTGTGCCTCTTGGGGTTTGATGAGAAAAAAAGACGCCTGTACTGACCTGCCCTGCGTTTACAGAAGGCCGAGGAGCCCATGTCGATGTCCCTGCGTGGTGGTGGTTGCATCGAGGACGTGAGTCAAACAACTTTCCTTCCCCCCCCCCCCCCTCGGCTTCTCTTGAGAATGAGGAACGGGACAAGTCGTGACTGACGATATGATATCTTTGTGAACAGCTTTGCTGCTGCTGCTGTGCCGCCGAGGCATGTTGCTGCCTGGACTGCTTCCTCTGCGGCGAGGCTGCTGCCAACTAAACCCGGCTTACACGAATATGACCGTGACGAAAGAAGGGGCAGATGTTTTATTTTTCTCGAGACGAGACGCGACGGAAGATACTTTTTGATACCACTACCAATGCTATAAACAATATTTCTCTTTAAGAACAAAAAGGATTTAGACCGACCTAGAACCATTGGGAGCTTGAGCTCCCGTCTCTTACCATATTATTGCAGTGTCAACGTCGCTCTGAGGTGAACTCTAATCCGTGAAGCAAGGTGGAATGCAATATTATATATCATTATCAAAAGACATTAGGGTTTGATCATATAGGTCGAGGACATATACAGGGTATCATCTCCCATCAGAGGAACGCCAGCCTACTGCAACCAAGTCTGCAGGTTCAGGAGCACCCACGCAGTACACACCCAAGGCACCCACGGCATCCAGCTAGAGCCGCCACTGCCGCCAGCCACTGTCCTCCCGGCGCTGTTCGCCTGCTTCATCAGCTTCCCGACGTTGCCGATCGTGGCCGGCGAGATGGTGGTGTTGTGCCAGCTTCCGCTGGTGAAGTACGTGCTGTGCACGCCGAGGTCGACGACGCCGTCAATCTGCTCCTTGAGGCTGGCCATGGTCGCGTTGGGCGGGCCGACAAACTGGTGCACAATGATGACGGACTGGGGCAGGAAGGCCGAGTCATGGGGCAGGCCGTTGCCATTGGTCAGGGCGGTGTAGTCGAAAGGCACGTATGGCTCTGGACAGTCCGCCGTGACGCCCGAGGCGGCTGGGTTGGAGGTGTAGCACGTCTCCTTGGTGACGACGGCGCTGGCCATCTGGAAGAGCTGCGCCTCATAGGTGGCATTGGACACGGTGCCCACGTTGAGTACGACAGTGTACAGACCTCCTTGGTCATCCTGATCCGCCTTGGCAGCCTCGAAGGTGGCGTTGGCGTAGGTCAGCAGGTCGGCGTAGGTCGAATAGTTGCTGCTGGCGGCGCCAACCTCGTCGAACCACAGGCCGTGGATGCTGATGTTGACCGTCTCGCCCGCGGTCCACGTCGGTGCCGTCTCCCACTTGGACCACTCCGCGATGTCGGCACGCACATCAGCCGCGGCACGCGCGCCGTAGTCCGTCCAGACGTAGCCCAGGGTCTGGGCATTGTGCAGCTTGTTGATGGCCGCGAGGTGGGTGGTCCAGTCGCGGTTGCAGCCGTGCGGGATGTAGTTGGGGTCGGTTTGCACGTTGCAGTAGCCACCGTTGTACCCCGTCGGGTCGGACGTGTTGAGGGGTCCGCTGTTGGGATTGATGACCACGTAGAAGTGCAGGTGAGGGTTCGCCTGGATGGCGTCCACGGCCGCCTGCCAGTCTGGGTTCGTCCATGTCGAGTTGCCTGGGTAGACGTACAGCGGCACCATCACCTGGGTCCGTGCCAGGACTGTCGCCGCGAGGGCGGTGAGCCCCAGTAAGCCACGCATGCGGGATGATGCACGCAGTTTGGTCTTTGTCTAATAACCCCCTCCTCCTCTCCTCGGCCTGCCCACCTGCCCTGCGAATGAGCCCTCCTCGTCTCGCACAAGTGGCTGCCGCCTGGTGAGACTTGGATGCAAGCCTCCTGGTCCTTGCTCTTTTCGTTCGTTCTCCTCCTCTGTCACGCCTGTCAAGACCCAACCAATGCTCTTATAAGCCCTCGTTGTGCGAAGCATCGGGTGTGGCGGCGCACCTTGTCTCTTTCTCCCCCTGTGTAAACGACGTACGACTTGAGATGTTGGAGAAACGAATGGTTTCTTTGAGCGAGTGGCTTCGAAGCTCTGCTTCGGGGTGGCTGTTGAAGGGTCTACCGAATCATGCAGAAGACAGACCATCCATCAAAGCATAACAACCAGCAGCTAGGGAAGACGAGACTTAAAAGAGGAAACTTTTGACAGGGACTACCGAACGTCAATTCTTCCCTGCCCACCCCCACGGTACCTTCTTCCCCTCCCCACATCTGTAGGCTGACGCCCTGGATGCTTCGAAAAACAAAAAGGGGGTTCCTGCCTGTGTGAGCGGCGTCCACTAGTTCGGGCCCGCAGAGGGGAGAGAAAACTGGTGTCTGTCCAGAGCCTAGAACGCTTTGCGGAAAAGCGCTGTTAAGTGATTGTGACACTGCTAAACTGTCTGTGACTTGGCGCAGCCGCTAACCGATCTGGCATGCCTGCCTTGTGCCTGTGCTGTGTTTCGTGCCGAAGAAAGCGTGCAAGAGGGAAAGACACACCAGACACGGACCAAAGAGTTACGCTGGACTCTAACAAACAGCCTGGGACGATGACCACTCAATGGTGTCATGGTCGGATATGTCGGCGTGTGAGATGTCTCATACGGCAGAAACAAGAGCCAGCAAGGCACGGCCCGCGAAAAGGACGGTTTGAGGTACTGTAGAAAAGTAGAGTGGAAAAAGAAAAAAAGAAAACTTAAAGGAAAGCAGCGTTGCTTAATTCTGCAGCTGATAGTTTTCCTCTAGCTCATGCATGTTAGGCATGCTTGTTGCTGCTTTGGAAGGTCGAATCGTCTCCCTCTTTCTTCTACTTCTTTCTCTGTCCTGTATGTCCTCCTCTTCCTTCGTTGCTCATCAAATTGCAGTATGCCTCGGCAACGTCAATGTCAAGCCCAAGTCAACCAAACTTTCCCACAGCGCTTGCCCCAGGTCGGTCGTGTGCCTGCTGAGATTCGTACGCTTTTGGCACTCTTCGCGCCGTCCCATTACCAAATTTAGACGCGGCGCCAGAGCTTTCCCCCAAGCTGTCGGTATTAGCTCCCAACCCTTGTATGGCTATTGGCTTCTAGATTAGCACCGCCAAGTCGTTACGGTCAGCCAGACTTGACTTGACAACTTTGCACCTGTTCATCTTCTCAAAGTCGTCGTCCTCGTAGACCTTTCTCCACTGCATCGACTGTCCTCAAGATAGTAAAGCGCAACATCACGCGCTCAATCAACCCTTCGCAACATTTGTTCCTGCTCGGCTTTTCTCGGCTCGGTATAAACGTGGCTCTCGCCCTCCGACACGGGTACGGTACATGACTTGAACACCATAATAGTACCTGGGCGACCCGCTCCGCCCATGTCCAACGCTGCTGCTGCTAAGATATCGACCGTCTCTACATCTTTCTCACCATCGACACCGCCCAATTCAGCATTGTCCCGAGCAAGCAACAGCTTGCAGAAGAGAAAGAGGCAGCGTTCTGGTGAACTTAACATGAGTCTTACCTGCATGATGCTGGGTGAGCGCTACTGTGACGCCAGCATTTCGATATTGACACAATATGCTGCCCATTTCCTACCATTGATTGATGGTGGTTTTTTTGGTTTTTTTCTTCTTCTTTCTTTTAAAAAAAAAACCTTTGTCGTCCACGAAATTTGCACCTGGACACGCACTTTACATAACACGATATCGACACAAACCCAAGACTTCTCATTCGCAAGCCTTTCAAGAACGTCATGGCGATGCGGACCATCGACCGGAACGGCATCGGACTGGCGCTCCGCTCCCGCTGTGGGCTCCCGCGGATCAACCGTGCCAGATCCCATGTGGCTTATACCATATAAACAACCCGATCGCATGCCGTCTACTTGGAAACGTGGTCTAGGAAGGTTTCGCACCCAATTGGGAGACGTTGTCTCATTAAAGACTACTCCTTTTCCCACAGCTCTACTTTCATCATCGCCCCCTCCCTCTTCTCCTCTTAAGTCGCAAAGGCACCACCGCCATACCCAGCAGGCGGGTGCAGTCCGTCAGGCACTTCAATGATATTCTCATAGTAGTCCGGGTTCGTACTGCCCGCCCATTTCGCCTTGATGGCCGGCGACACCGTCCGCCCGCTCGGGCTCTCGATGTCCAGGTTCGGCGCTGGATACACGGGGTACGACGGCGCATCGTTCATGACGCCATCATAGCTCTGGTTCCAGAAGTACGAGTCGAACGGCCCGTAGGTCGCATTGTCCCACTCGCGCAGCGGGTCGCCCGTGAGCTCGGCGACCCAGGAGAAGACGTTGGCGCCCACGTCCCACCGGCCGAGCGTGTGGAGATCCCAGTTGGCCTCGACGGTGGCGATCTCCGAGTAGTGGTTGTAGTAGTTGCTGTCGGTGGTGCCGACGAGGCTCTCGGGGACGGCATCGCCCAGGAGGATGGCAAGCACGCGGTTCTGGATCGCGTACGTGGAGGTCTCGTCAAAGGTGACGAGCACGAGCGTGTTGTTCATGAAGCGAGTGTCGTTGAGCAGCGGGGTCAGGAAGTTGCGCGTCCAGGCGCCCGCCACGGTGACGGAGGTGTCGTGCCCGTCGTCCGTCATGTTGGGCGTGATGAACATCCACTGCGGCAGCGTCTCGTTCTCGAGGTCCTCGTAGAACAGCGTCAGGTTCTTCATGACCGCCAGGCGGTCGGCCTTGCCGGAGTTGCTGTTGTAGAGAACGGGAGGGTTGTGCTTTCGCACGTAGTCGTTGGCGCCCGTCTGCTGGTTTACCCACGCAGATCCCTCGAACCCGGAGTAGGGCATGTCCTCCTCATACTCACCCCACGAAATGTTCTTCTCCTCGAGCAGGTCGACGATGGACGAGATGTTGGCGTCCAGGAAGTTCAAGTCGTCGTTGTCCATGCCAAAGTAATCACCACCGTGCGAGGCGGCATAGTTGGGCTCGGACGGGTGCGTCAAACCGAAGTAGTTCTCAAGTGTGATGCCCTGCTGAGCGAGCCAGGCCAGATTTGCTAGAAGAGCATTCAATATATTGTCATGTCTACTTGGGACAGATCTCAAAAGAGAAAGCGAACGCTCTTGGGAGGGGGAGGGGCAGCAAGAAGGGGTTCTCTTACGGTCACCGATGGCCAGATCATAATCCGTGTTCTCGAGCCAGATGATGGCGATACGGTCGAAGGCCTTGCCCTTGACATAGGTCACAGGGCTGGACGTTTTGGCGGTGGCCTGCGCGGCGTACACATCCTGGGTGGAGGTGGCCGTATAGGTATAGTACTCTTGGGCGACGGCAGAGCCGGTGGCCACGGCCAGGAGGCTGAGAACCTGGGATCTCATGGCTGCTGGTGGGTGATGCCTGGCTAGAGCACGGGGTGAAGAGAAGTGACTGGCTGAGTGCTCGTCCACACACGCACACGAAACACACTGCGTGAGGCAATCTCGCAAAACCTCAGAAATTCAGGCTAGGACGTGGAGGAGGCCCTTTTTTATACTGATTTCATACCTGCCAAGAATAGGGTAGCATTAACCCATACAACCTCACCGAGGCTGGTGGGCCCCTTTCCTGCTGCACCTGCTGGGAAGGCATCGTGGCGCTGTTCAAGGGTCTAGGATGGCAGGATACTAAGTTCACAGAGAGGGGGTCCTGGGGGAGGGGGACAGCACGAGGACAATTTGGTTCGCTAGCAGGGCATCGAATGCAACCCCATCTACAAGGCCGGCCAATGCGAGCTGTTGAATAACAAACGATCCCGCACATAGGCTGAGAATTGCCATGCATGTGCGGCGGCGATTCGGCATCTTGCGGCGTACTATTACAGTAGGATGTACGTTGTAGAACGTTCTTCCCATGATCTGTCTCCCGATCGAGGCTTATCGGCGGTGTTTAGCGACCACGACTGGTTACTGATATCCATCTTGTCTGCCAGAGAGGCCATTTCATGCGTCCCTTCAGGGGCTCATGTGCTTCAAAGATTCGTACCCAAGATCATGAAGACTTCTTTCTCTTCAACCTCACCTCCCCAAGAAGGCCGGTCATGCATGCAGCAGAATGCTCTGTGCCATGGTCCGGAATGCGGCACACGAGAATGAAGATCCAGCCCAGCAGAAGTACAAATGGCGTCAAAATAAATTGGTGTCAGCAGCGGGGCATATCAGCTCTGCAAAGGTGGCCGAGAGGGGAAGGTGACAAGAACATTGCAGAGGTATTGCTTGCGGGCGGTCAATTTGGTGGCCTGTCTAGACCATAACACGTGGGTGGTGTTTCCCCCGCGGATTGGCACAATCCATCTATCAAGTCCTCGGGTTGCCGGATGGGGCCCCTGCAGCGATCGGCGTAATAGAGTCTAAGCGAACCCACCGTCAACTTCTCTGGTGGCTAAAATACTGAGAATTCCGTACACACGAGGTAACGTCACCGATTTAGCAGTGAACATACCATTCTTGAATCCAGGTTGGCAAACAAGAGGCAAATTAGCTTCTAAGATGCTAGTGGTCAGGTTTCAGCTGGTGTTGTCGGTCGATGATGCCGTTGTGAAATTAATTGTAAAGAAAAGTTGGGAGCGACTTTGCTGCAACGACCCAGTCGATGGCTCTCGGTAGGCTGGAATTGGCAGGCAACTTCCCCAGATCCAGTTCATCAATGTTCCCACTCGGCACCGAAGCTGCACATGTTGTACGGGAGTTAGAACTAAAATCTTGCCTACGTTTTCCAATCAGATATTGTGATACGAGAGCAGATTCTTTGTGTTAGCAAGTCCAAGTCATAAGAATATAAACTTAACAAGAAAAGTTATTCAAAATTCAGATCTCAGGTCGAGCAAGCCTCTGCTTAGGTAAGGACAAGGCACTGTAGTTAGGGTCCTTAAGCTGTGACCCATGCGCGCAGTACCTACGCGTCGCGTCTCGAGCAGCAAGCCCCACCACTTAATCCAGGAAGCAGCAGGCCTGTGGCGCGCGCCCTCACCGAGACCAGCGAGAACAGCTGCACAATTCCATCTCCCATTTCAATCACGACACTTTCTGGTGTTCCATTCACTGCACAGGCTTCAAAATGTCTGATTACGAGGACGAGATGGATGTTGACGTCCCCGCGCCATCCAAAGACATCACCTTCTCTTCCGACAACACTGCGAAGGGCAAACGGAGCGCTGCTAATCTGCCAGTCGAAGCAGAAGACAGCCTGCCATGGTGAGCATCTTCAGAGCTGCTGTTGACCCTTCAGGGCTGGTCAGAGTCTCAAAAAGTCAGCTGACCTCCATGCAGGGTCGAGAAATACCGTCCCGCAACTCTTGCGGACGTCTCGGGCCACCAAGACATCCTCGCAACCATCAACAAGTTCGTCGACTCCAACCGCCTCCCCCACCTCCTCCTCTACGGGCCCCCGGGCACAGGCAAAACCTCTACCATTCTCGCCCTGGCCCGCCGCATCTATGGGCCTGAGAACATGCGCCAGATGGTGCTCGAGCTGAATGCCTCCGACGACCGTGGCATCGACGTTGTGCGCGAGCAGATCAAGACCTTTGCCTCGACTAAACAGATCTTCAGCATGGGCGGCTTCGGTAGAGGAACTAGCGCCCTGGCTTCTTACAAGCTGATCATTCTCGACGAGGCGGACGCCATGACCAACGCTGCCCAGATGGCCCTGCGGCGCATCATGGAGAAGTACACAGCCAACACACGGTTCTGCATCATCGCCAACTATTCACACAAGCTGTCGCCGGCCCTGCTATCGCGGTGTACAAGGTTCAGATTCAGCCCCCTGAAGGAGGCGGACATACGCGTGCTGGTGGACAAGGTTATCGAGGAGGAGCAAGTCAAGATCCTGCCCGAGGCAACGGACGCGCTGGTGAAATTGAGCAAAGGCGATATGCGTCGAGCCCTGAATGTGCTGCAGGCATGTCATGCATCCAGTGAGTTCACCTCCCTGCCAGCATTCTTCTCCGACCAGGGAACTGACAAACACCCCAGGCACACCTTTGCAACCACGGGACGCGCCGAGGATACCAGACAAGGACATTGTACGAGAGACCGTCACCGTCGATACCATTTACAACTGCATCGCCGCGCCACCACCCGATGCCATCCAAGATATTGTACAGACACTTCTCAACACGAGCGACGTTACTTCTTGCCTGACAACGATTAATACCCTAAAGGTCGCACGAGGCCTCGCTCTCGCCGATATCATCACTGCCCTGTCCGAGGAAGTTGCGCAACTCAATGTGAAACCGGAGGTCATGATCACCTGGCTGGATGGTCTTGCAAACATCGAGCACAGAGTGGCCGGAGGTGGTTCAGAAAGCGTTCAGACAGGTGCCGTGGTTGGCGTTATGCGGAATGGCGTGGAGCTCATGGGTTGAGACATATGTTCTCAAGCAGAAAGAGAAGGCAACTGTTTACGGACAATTGAAATGGGAAGGAGAGGGCTTACAAATCTTGTGCTTGCATTTGATGGTAGGCGTTTTGGTAATGAGTGGAATTATGCACGATCACCCAACACTGTGGACTGGCTGACATTACATGGCCTCTTGCTTGCTCCCCAAAAGAATCAAAATCACAGCTAATCATACATCGATCTACTTTACATCTTGTCTATACTGTCTCACGATTCCCACACTCGATGAGCGGAGACAGCCTTCTCGCCCACTTTTCGACAATCTCATCCGAAGTAACATGATACCACTTATGACTCGGATCCCGCAGACCTGTATCCTCCTCCTTCCTAGCTCGCTGGTCCTCCTTGTCGAGTCGGTACAGTACATGCAGTGTACGAAAACTCGCCACATTCTCCCGAGCTGAACCGTCACCATTCCTACCGATGTACCCGGCCTTGAACAGGCCTAGCACCAGACACCACAGTTTCTCCCGTGCAGAGTCATAAAAGAGAGGTTTACAGCCTGGCTCTGCCCTCGTCGGCAATCTACCTCCAATGCGCGTGGCCTCGTTCGTTGCTCTGGGGATGGGATCACGGGGGGCGCGGATTCCCACGTCTGCCAGGGCGGCGACCATCTCCCGAGCCGTCTCGTCACTAAGCGACCGAATTGCCGAGAGCAGGTGGGTGGGCGGCTTGAACCGGGCGTGGAGCAGGATAGAGTACAGCCGGTGCAACTCGTCATTATGGATATAGAACATGGCCTCAAGCATCTGGCAGATGGGTGCTGGGAAGTGCCATGTCAGAATGGCCCAGAGAATACGCTGGTGGGTGCGGAGAGTCGTTGTTGGCGACATTGCTTTTCTAGCAAAAGTGGTCTTCTTGTGGAAGATTTGCTTTTGTATTTCCTTTCGACTTCCTGGGTACCAGTAGTCTTGTATCGTGTGGTTCTGCTTACTTTGGTAAAGTCCTGCCCTTGAGGCCGGTTTTCATGAGGATGGCGCTGGGGGGAAGAAGAGAGTGGGATAAGATAGGGGAGAGAAAAGAGAAAGAAAGAAAGAAAGGGAAAAAACGGAATATACCTGAAGAACGAGTTACCTGGGTGCTATATATCCTCTGGGAGTGGTCCTGGTGAATAGTGTTCAAAGTGCGTTGCGATATTTACAGATCAGTCTGCGTCGCACGGGGGATGTGGACTGACCGGCATCTACGTCTTGGCTGCATGATATTGTGATTGTACTGAGAGCCTGAGTGGGGGATTTCAGGTCAGAAGAATCTCTGATTTCCATGATTTTACGGTAAAAGACATCGTGAAGATAGCCTCCGCGGGAATCACTGGGTCACAGTGAGCAACGTTGCGCAAAAATTAAATCAAGAGAAAGTTGACATGGAAAAAGGATGTCGCAGCAAAACCTCAAGATGAACAGGCATCCATGTTTGCTCGTCGAAATAGACGCTGCTCCTCCATAAAATAACCTTGCTAGCGATGATGACCAAACTCCTAACGAGACAAACTCTTTTTACCCCGCTCCACAGCATGCTGACGTGCTGCGGAACTTCACGTCTGCACCAGGAACTCTCATAGCTGGGCAGAATCATTCATACGGCCACCGTCATGTCTCCTAGTGGGAACAGCGTTCCGAGCATCATCTCCACGCTCACAGCTCGCAGCAGGAACCCAGACGCGCTGCGCAGTATATTGCGACTGCGCTCCAAGGGCCTCATCCCTCAAACGAACAGGATCAGTGACCCAAGGTTCGACCCAGCTACCGTCCAACAAGACGCTCAGGAGACGCGCATCATCATTCACGCCAGATACCCTCGGCTCGTAGAGGACTTCTTGGCTCATAAGCGACAATATGGAAGTTCGGTCGAGAAAGAACTCTACGGCAGCCAAGACTGGACCTGGGAGAAGCAGGTGGCCCGGCTAGGTGAGCACAATACTTCTTCCTTTGTGCAGCCTCATCACCTTCTTTTTCATGGTTTTTTTTTTGCTTCGTGTAAAGGCCACAGCAACGATTGACATTTGACGACAGTGGATAAAAGACCTCTCGTGTTTATGTCCAGCCAGGACCACACAATGCTGCGCGACGGAAAGGCCCTTGGTCCTGCGGCAACGCAGTGGGACAAAGTAGGGACCGAAGCCGAGGCCACGAACAGCCATCTGAAGCTCGCCGAATACCTGAGTTATGACGAGATCATGCTGGGGTCTCTTCTGGGCGTCAGCTCGCCAAGCTATTTTATCAACACGGGGGGCCGTTACAATTCTGGAGTCGTCGGCAAGCCGGGCGAGTACGAAGACCGAGGTATCATCATGGGCCTTGTCGGCGCGCGTTTCGAGCGGGCAGACCACATGGACAGCACTTATATACAGCCGCCAGTTGCAAATCCGCGACAGCACCCCGATCTGGACTCCATTTTCCGTGCCTTCGTCGCTCCCAAGAGGAGAAGTGCTGGCCTTCCTGCAGAAGAACATGGAGCGTTCGATGTGGACATGTACAAGGCGCGCATGCGGATCACAATCGATATCCTGCTGCTCGAGGCCAACGCGCGTGCTGACGCAGCAGGCAAGAAGGCATATGTTTATGTTGTCGGGCTCGGTCTGGGCGTCTGGGCGGTTCGTGGAGTCGACCAGGCAGCTTATTTTGTGGAATCCTTCGTCGAGGCGCTGGGCGAGCTTCAGGGTCGGCTGACTTCTTTGGGCACGCTGGAGTTCGCATATATCGATCCTCCTGGTGCCACGCGAAAAGTGATAGAGGCTGCAGCAGCTCCTCTGTCCATCAACGTCATCTTCTCGCGCCGTGATCCAGCAGCTAAGTTGTCAGGGGAGGCGGCGAACCAGCTACTTGTGCTCAGCTACGCCTGGGATGGGAACTCGTTTCCTGGGAATGAGTACTGGACTGGGTCGCTGATTGCGAGTGGCGACCCGGCGGCTGCATGTATGAGCCAAATCTCGGAGCTGCATAACCCTATCATCAATCCTGATTTCCTGGACCGGATAGAAATCCTAGGAGCTGGGGCGCAGTAGACAGGCAGATTCGAGGAGGGAGACGAAAGTCAAAGAAGAACACTTCGCATCGATGTAATAATCAGGATAGACTCAGAGGATGGACATCTAGATACCTTAGATTTTTTGTATGCTATTAATCGAATGGTAGGCTCAAACATGAATGGTCACCGCGTTGGGATGTTATACCAAGTAAACAACCTTTTGCAACTCCCGCGTTTTCTATGCAGGCAGAATTGCAGAACTCAACTCGGACAACAGGCTTGTGTCAGGACAGCTAAGTATGGTGGCTGTAAGGTTTAGCGTGACTATGCGTCTTTGTACTTGGGCAAATGGTGATCGAGTGAATGGTATCCCAAGCAGGTATGAATGTGTCGCGTACAAAGCCCAGAGCGCGTTGTGTGGCTCTATAAGTGTTGCCAGAATTTGTGCTAATGCCTGAGGGCGTTTGGTGTAGGGGATCAGATTGCTGTCATACTTCTGTTCAGTATTTCGGAGACCTGAAACCAAGCAAAACTCGAGAGGCTCATGTTCGATTACCCATGGCACGGGGATCTTTGGTTACGCTTCTGGGGGTTTTCTTTTTCTTTTTCTTCTTTTTGGCGCATCGCATGGGAAACACTTAACCATAACAGTGTCTAAATCAATTTTTAAGTGATAAATTCAAACCACGACCTCAGTAACCATGAGTTCTTTCTCAAATTGTGACATGAGTTGGGCACAGTCTCTCGCGATCTGACTGACGCTCACCGTGTACCTCATACTTTCCGCCTCCTTTTCAAACATCCTCCGCCATCCCTCCCACTTCGACGGTGTGACGAACGCCCGAGCCTCATCCTCAACCACCTCTTGACTCTTATGCAGTAGACGTCTTCCTGCTAAGCGGATCCAGACGGCCGCTACTTGGAACAGAGCGTCGGCAATGCAGTCTCGAGATGGTGGAGGTTGATGTCTGTTTTCATGGACGTTGATTTCATCCACAAGTGCCTCATCCAAAGCCCACATACCGTATAGTGTAAAGTCGGCAATCTCCTGCGCAGTCACCCTTGCAATGAACGCGTTCACGTTCGTCCAAGCCTTGATCTCGACCGGGTGCCATCCCGCGCCGCAGCCCAGTGAGTCGTTCCAGCACTCTCGAGCGCTCGGGCCGAACATGACGAGCCTACTCCATAGGTGGCCCGGTTCATATACCCAGTGTCTTTTCATCGCGGTCGTCATATTTGCTGGTTCTGGTGGATCGGGGCGGGCTTTGAGCCCTGCGAGGAGGTCGACGAGCCCCTGTTGTCCCTGTTCGTCATCCCATGCAATCTTCTTGGCTGCGTGTAGTATCGTGTAGTACAAGTTCCACAGCTGGCCCTCGACGGTGGGTGCATCGTCTGGCTCAGTCACTCGCGCCCTGAGCTCCTCAAGGTCCTCTTCCGGCCCCCACATCTCGAGTGCCTTTTGCGGTTCGTGGTATCGGCGTTGTAATCGCGCCATCCCCTCTTCCGTAACAAACAAACGACCGCCATCCGCAGTCGTGTACGAGTGCTCTATGGGCTCGGCTAGTTGCTGGATCGCTTCGGCTAGTGAAAGCTTATCGTCGACGCGTATAGCAGGAGTGACAGTGTCTCCGAGGTAAGACTTGACAATGTCGACGGGTAGACCCTCGCCGCAAAAATAGTGTTGTATCTCGGCGATTGCGTCAACCTGCGCGGACTCATCGCCCGCGTTCCTAGCAGCGGCCTCTTCGATGGCGACATTCTGCTTTACATAGTGCAATGGTATTGTTGGCGGAAGACTCGGATGTCCTGGCAATGCAGCAAGATCCTCTGCTAAGTTTGAAAGAGATTCGAAAGACTCCATGGAATGACACTTTTTCTTTTGTGAAATGAATAGTTTTATGTGTCTGTTTTAATACAAGTGGAAGCTTCACCACAGAGTCCATGCATATATATATGTTCACCCTGTGTTTAGAATAAAAATTGATATATCAGTAATTTAGGCAGCATAATTACTTAGCAATCAGCTCGGCAAGAGGCCAAAGGAGGCTGTGTTGGCATGCTAAAGGCCCTGTTCAAGATCCTCTGGACTCCACAGCAATTGGACCTGTAGAAGTGGGTGACTAAAGGTACCGCAGTCACTGAGCCGCGGATTTAGCAGTAAGCAAAGCGCAAATCATTACCTTTTGATCCTCTCTTGAATAGAAAAATGTCTTCTCCAACTGTCTGGTCATCTTGACTACATGTCGAGATAGCCAATCATAGTGGCGTGCAGCGGAGGCTGTTCTCACGTGTTGACTACAGAAAGTCGTCTTGACCAATTGTGTTGCAGTCAATTCAGTGCAATTCGGTAATATGTCCATTGCGTCTGTTCCATTTAATGACAGTGATACTCGCCGGGCAGTTATTATATTCTGGTTATTCTGATTTCAAACATTATGGGTCTTTTTCTATTCTCCACCTGATGCTTGCCGTGGCTCCTCATTCCGGGTCCGTTCGACCGTCGTGTTCTGAGCGGTGGCTTGAAGAAGTCTCCAGACTGCTCTCCACTTCCTCCTGCTGGCTGGAGGCTGCAGACACGCTGCTGTTCACCGACAAAGCCCGATCCCCAAAGTCGAAGAGCGCAACCTGTAAGCAGGATTTGAACGCCGTGTGACTGCGCACAGACATCAGCGCCGTCGTCCACCGCCCAAAGAACGGTGGCAGATTCTGTCCCATGGGTAGTTCGTTGCCCAGATATTCCTGCCAGCGGACCCTGCTCCTCATTCTGAGCTTCGGATGGAACTTCTCGACCGCATGCATGTCGTCGATGACCCACCTGATCTCCAGCGGTGACTTCCTTAATATGTCTGGCTCATACTTTCGGACGAGCGTGCCCAATGTGTCGAAGGCGAATTGACCTGTACCGAAGTAGTCCACAACACCTCGAAATAACTTCTCAGCCTTGCTAGGATACATCCAAAACAAGGCACATTCGCAAATGAGAAAGGTTTTGCGATCGGCAGGTACTAAAAGGGGGGGAAAGCGTTGTGTGAGTCCCGATGACTATAGTCATATTTATGGCTGGCCTGGTGTAAAGCCAGATATTAACAGATAATTACTAGGTAGGAACACTTACTATCTTTGAACCAGCCATCTGTCGTGATGGAAAGACTCCGCAAGCTGTAATCGCCCTGCGGCGTCGGCATCACTCTCTTGCGCAGATTGACGACGCTCGGCAGATCGATATCAACCCAACGCACGTTCTCCCCCCACTGCATTCGTAGGCTTCTGGCATCTAGGCCACAGCATAAATGCAGCACCTGAACTTTCTCGTTGGAATGAAGATCCAGGAATTGCTGGCACCACTTGTCGACAGTCTTAGACCGGTTGCAGGTAAATCGTACCCAGCGCTGGTCCTCGGCACTGCTGAAGAGGGTTTGCTCCTGATCTACACGACAACGGTCGAACGTTTCCTGGGCATAGGGGTCACCGAGGATGGGGTTTGGGGCTTGTGAATCCTATGCGGTTCGTGTTAGCACAGTGATACTCAAGAGTGACAGAGAAAACACGCAGCGATCATGAAAATGGGGGAGAAGCAAGGTCTTTTGAACTTGGGTCGGCAAATCCCATATATATCTACGAGGCCATGTTTCTGCAAAGATGCCTTCTAACTCGACTGTGAGGAAAACTTACCAGAGCTCGCCAGAGTGCTGTGAGCAAACCAAACTCTTCGATATGGGAGAGGTTGGCGGCTTCTTTCTTGTAGCCGTCAAAGCTGTTTGTGGAAATGGACCCAGGATCCATGACGATTTTTCCCTCTTGTTTTTTTCCTTTGCTCTGTCTCGCCCGCTCACACACATACACATTCCCAGACTTTGAGCCTTGCAAGCAGTGCTGTCACTGGTTGGCAACGATTCAAAGGTTCCGGCCTTTTGGTGCAATGCGCCCTTTATGTTTCCTACGCCAAGATTATTGTTGTATCGATCTTCTCCGCGGTTATGACTGGCAACCACATTCTATTATACACTAGAACCTTAGGGCACACGACAGCAGGATGGTCCCCCCCCCCCCGGGAGTGTTCGGTGGGGTTACATAGGACTTTAGCAGCGTAAGATGACCCCACTGGGTGGTGGGCCACGGAATGCCGCCGCGAAGCACCGGTCCTTGCTGGGTGCATACTGCAATGATTCGCTAGCCCATGAAAACCATGAGACCGTTAGGAAAGGACATCCAGTACAAGAAGAGGTCGAGTCGTGAAGAGGTCAGCGTCACATCCAGCTGAATAGCGCGTGCTCTGGGGTCCAATACATGATGTTAATGCCGTCGGGTGTTTTCGGTAGAGTGTCTCACCAGCTTCATTACGTGACTTGATAATATCCAGCGCACGACCTGTGTCAAGTTTACGACTGTCTGGGTGGGGAAAAAGAAAGCCTTACACTTACCGCCTCGCAAGTATCATGACCAGATTCTGAAGGATGAACCGTCAGCCCTGGCCCGTATTTTCTCAGGTCCCTCATCTTATCATGCGTGCGGCCAAACGGCTTTGGTTTTCGACAGAGATCCACAGTCGAGTGGGTTCTGATACTTGTTGCGGGCGTGCGTGATCAAGGCGGCAGGGCGGGCGAAAGACAGACGGCTCCGGAGAGAGTGCTCCACGTGGCGAGGCCTAGGCGGTCGAAATGAGATGATCAGCATTTGAATGCCGGTGAGCAAGGACTGCATGTATTTGAAGCACAAGCCGACAGGGTTTCGCAGCACCTTTTTGCAGAGCGCACGCACGGGCATCGTCGCCGATAGCCGAGGTCAAACGCATTTATTATACCTGCGTTCATATGTGCCCAGGTAAATATAGATCTATGCTCAGTACTTTTTTATGTTAGTTGATATAGGACGAGATCTGGTACCGAGTACATAAACGACTCAGTAGAGCTGTGCGCAGTTCCATCGCCTAGAACAGCCTCGGTGCGCTGAATCAAGCTTGGAGGCGAATGACGGTGAATTCCAGCACGGTCGTGCTAAGATTGGCATCCTTGCTAGCTGAGCAAAAGGACCTTGGCAGTATGGGCCCGCAGAAGGTATAAGACGTCTATTTACACTTAAAGATGGTACTCAAGGCTCTACCTCACAGTTTAGACACAAGCGGTATCTCCAGCGTCACTTCAGCATATTGGTCTTGCGGAAGTGCGTGGGGTTCGCGGCCTGAAAGGAAGAGATGGGTCTCAATGGATGGGTAATTGTTCCATGCAATATCCAGTACTCTGGCGCCCATAGTATGAAAGGGCAGAATAAGTAAGCAAAGGATCATAGTTAACACGGAATTGATAGCCACACACCCACATAAGTATTTTCGCCATTAGATCAAGGAGTGCTCAAGTTGGTTCTGCACGGAGTATAGCCAGAATCTCGTCATTCTTATTGTTCAGAGCTGTGTTAGAAAGGCTAACTAATGAGCGCTTGCTCGCGAAGCTGACGTCCACCCAGACAACATGGAGCTCAACTGCTCATGGCGGCTCAGGGCATCCGAGAAATCAGGATAATTTTTGTCGCGACCTTCAGAGACATGGTCATAGAACCCCTCATACAGCGCCGCGACGCTCCGAGCAACGATAGGCAAATCAGTCTCCTCTTGCCACGCAGGCCACTCCCATTCCTCGCGTCGTATCTCATCCGTCGCGAAATCGTGCACGTCGATCGTGACAGGTGCAGAGTACGAGTTTGCATGGAGGGATGTTCCGCTCGGCGAAACGACACGGATCTCGCCGAGTTCGCAGTTGATGTGCCATGTCAGTGCAGGCTCTCCCTTGAACTGCTGCCCACGACGGAAACGTATGTATAAACTGGCTCCCTTCTCGACGCTGTCCGAGGGCTTGAGGGAAGACGCGGCGATGATCAAGTCAGGGACGTCCGATGCCACCTCGCCGACAATCTTGCCCGAGGCATCGCGGAGCTTCACCGTGGGTCGCTGGAGCTGGAGATGCGTCTGCACCTCCGTGGCCTCACCAAGGGTGGACTGCAAAGAATCGAACACTTCAAGACAGTCAGCCAAAGCTTGTTCGAAACAGAAATAGGATACTAAACAAAGGATCGAATAGTTACTGACGATGCGCAAAGCCAATCATGGGAATGTTTCCTCCGACGCTCCTCTGCGCAAAGTATTTCAACCCCTCGGCCACCGTCTCCCGATCAATCGTGCCTCCAAAAGCCCGCACCTCGCTGCTCAGGACTTTGCCCAGGCTCCCGCCTTGGATCAGCTCCTTGATCTTCAGAAACACAGGCGTCAGCCGTCCCTGCAGACCGACCATGGTGTGAAGACCTCTCTCCGCCGCCGCATCGGCCAGCTCTCTCGAACGCTCCACATCATGTGTCAGCGGCCACTCTACAAACACATGCTTTCCAGCATCAACGCTGGGCTTGGCGAGGTCATAGTGCGTATCGACGCGCGTGCAGCAGACGACAAGGTCGACATGCGGGTCGGATGCAAGCGCTGTCGGGTCACCGTACGCGCGGGTGCTGGCTGGGTCGAGGCCGTAAGACTCAATAGCCTTCTTTGCAGACTCGACACTGGAGTTGCAAAGTGCCGCAATTGTGTACTTGGACCTGCCCCGCGCCGAGAGGAGATAGGGTAGGTGAGCACTGCTCGCCCAGGAGGTCACGGCGGAGGAAGAGAGCCCTATTATGCCAAGGCGGATTGGTGCCATTTTTGTCAGTTGGATGTTATCGCAATGAAATGCAAAGACACAAGACCAAGTTTGTTAGACGACAATGCCTTTGAGAATGTACACTTTGAGGCAAAGCCAGCCGTTCATGTTGGGGTAGCGTTTGTGCAATGCTGAATATGTATACAGAACTAGCATCAAGATTGGTAATCACCACCCTACTAATACACGGTCTGGTCTGGATTTATAATCACCTACATTCAATCTTCTTACAAATGGATCTCCATTTTTATGAGAATCAGAGCCTTACCATGACATCTTGTCTATAAGTTGAGTAATTACTTTCGGAGGAGATCAATGTAGGAAGCGTCCACAGCCAACCCCAGCTGTTTGCTACAGGCTTAATCTGATATTGAGATATCGGCATCGATTCCCAATCCGCCCGCTTAGACTTGAGATTATTACTGGTGCCACTGAGCAGTAAGAGAGAAGTTCTGAAGGGAGCTGGAGGAACGTTAGAAACAAAAGATTTGGATTTCTGGAGTATCTGACCAATACTTTCGGGACTCTCCAATACCAGATCTACCAGATCGTTGATGTCTGCCTATATTCCTTTTGCGGCAATGTACAGTCACATGTGTCAACACATTCGGCGAAAGATGAGGTCATTAAAGTAATCGATTCGATTGATGGCATGTATAGATGCACTAGTGCCACTGCGAATGAAACGAAAAGGCAATATGGCATCTCTCAAGTCATTGCATACACTTTTGACGAATGAAGAAAGGGTGAGTAGTGGAAGGTAGCGGCAGAGATCAAAGTAGAGTGAACTCCTATAGCGATCCAGGTCTTAGCCTGGACACGTTTCGTTGCTGGCGTCACGCACCATCGGATGCCTTCCTGATGTACATACCGGATGCCCAGAAGATGCTGGGTGAACATGCACTCTTGACGGTTTTACATAGCAATAGCCTCGAGGACAAACGAGTCCACGTGATTCACGGCTAGTCATTGTAGAGATTGAGGAGAGTTGGTTGTTCAGCACATGCTATATTATATCGGGGTCGCATGCCGGCTGCCAAGATTGGAATGCTACTAATTAAAATGTAAAGATAGGCTTGCTTCCTCAAGATGCTGCTTGATGGTATCTTCAGTGTTCTTCAGCTCATCCTTGACAAAGTCCTCCATGCTGAGTTTGATAGCAAGGACCCGGTCTTCCACCTCGTAGTCCACCCGCCTGTCAACATCATCACTGACCTCTTGGATTCGGTCGTCCAGCCTCTCCATATCCGCGTGACACGCCTCGTCCAACCTGCTGACTTGGTCCCTGATATCTTGAATCTGATTTTCGAGATTTTTAAACCTGGCCTGGCACTCGTCGTTCAGGCCCGACAAATGATCGTTTAGGCGTTGGTCAAGGCAATCTACAATGCGGGCTTCAGACGCCGAAAGCTCGGCACGCAGCTTGGTATATTGTTCAGCGCAAATCTTTTTGCAAATGGTTTCGACAAGTGAGATGTCGAAGTCGCGAGGGACAGGGCTGGATAGTCGACGCTTCTTAGACGACGTGGCTACGTCTGCGTCTTGATAAGAGAATCAGCCTCAGCAAGCACGTATTATTTTCAGGAACAGGAGTAGGCATGACTGTATTTACTGTATGCTATTGGAGGTACAGGGGGCGGTGCCCCAAGCTCATTGTACGATGGAGGGCTCTCGGCTGGCACATCATCAACGCCGATACAATCGACGACCTTGCCACCTTTGCCATGATAGAGGCTCACATAGTCGCCGAGACTGTTGCTGGGACCAAAGTCTTGGTATGAAGTCTCACAGAGCATCGTGAGCTGAGCTTGAGACAGAGCACCGTCTCCAATGTAAAGTGACAAGACATTGCGCTGGGCAGCTGATCGTACGGACCGCAGCAGGGCAGTCTGGGTCCTGTCATTGAGGCGCAGTGGTTCATGCGGTGTGACGAGGATGGGAGGCTTCTCGAGGCGAAACAGCAAGCGATGCGTCTTATCACGCAACGCCTCAGCATCGGCTTGTACCTGGGCAGGCACGGACTCGACGATCGACTGTATCTGTTGGAAATGGATCACAAGGTAGACAGGAACAGCCTCATCTTGGCGGCGTCGATGCAGAGTAATGCGAAGCCTGAGCGAGGCGGTTTTGTTTGTTGAATCGAGATCGAGGGCCAGAGATGCTGGTATAGATGATTGGGGGGATGCCTCAAGGGTCTCATCCCGGCCGATGACAGCAGGGACGTTGTGCAAATCAATCTTGAGCGCCGAGGACGTCTCAGACGATGGGACCGCTGCAGTCATTTTATATGTTGCCTATCTGTCCCAAGCAAGCATCAGCAGTCACGAACGTATCCTGAAACGAAGCCCCGATGTCATGAATCAGCTCATGTAGACACAGGATCCCACCCGCCCAGGCTTTTTCGATGCGATAGAGCAGCCTTGACTCAAAGGGTCGGTGGAGATAATTGAATGAATAAGAAAAGAGGGAGGAAGACGCCGAGGAGAAAAGGTCTCTTCGATGTCTGGTAGCTCAACGGCACAACAAGAAACACTAGGACGCGCAGTCGGCCACCTCATCCACTGGAGACGACTCTTTTAAAGCTCACGAATCCAATGAAAGGCTGCCTCCCAAAGCCCAGGAATCCTGTCGCTTGGCAAAGGGTGCGAATGGCCAGTGCTCTTGAATGGCTACTGTGATGTGCGATACAATATTTTGGCGTAGAGCTCTCGAAAGCGCAGCAAGCGTTGCCAGGACTCGCAATCGGCCAGCTCATCCACTGGAGACGTCTCTTTTAAAAGCTCACGAATCCAAAGTGGAAGGCTACCTCCCAGAGCCCAGAAATCCTGTTGCTTGGCAAAGGGTGCGAATAGCCGACGCGGCTTGCTGCTACTGCGAAGGGGTGCGATGCAGTATTTTGAGAAGACGACCTTGGATTGTAAGGTCAGGGAAAGGAAGTGGATCGAGTGTGCGAGAGGAAAGGAGATAAACCTCTGAGCGATAGGTCGGGTTAGCTATGAATCCAGGACAAAGACCCTGTGAAGGGCAGGCAACAGGCAGGGAAGGTGCCCAGTTGAAATTGCCTGTCATTCACGTACGTTGGTGAAAGAGGGAAGGAGACGATGTCAGGAGTGGAGACAGCCCAGCCACCCAATTTAATCACATTAAGTTAGAGCACGGGCCTCCAGCTCGATTCAGCCTACAACGCGCAGTCACGTGCCTTGGCAGGTCTCCCCGAAGTCATTTCTTCGTTTCGATGTTTCATCAAAAAAGACAATAAGAGAAGATTGCGTTCTCGACTGCCAGACTTTCCACCTCTTGCTTCCTGCCAACGTGTAGATGGCGTATGTGCCACAATACAGGCTTTTTGACGGACAAAGAGTTGTCCATCAGATTTGAGGAGGGAAAAGCGGACCACTTGGACCCTAACCCTCTTGCCATTAAATCATCTACATCTAGTTACGAGCCTGGCATGCTGGTCAACCTTGAGAACGTCATGACAGTTTGAACCCGAGGAATTCACATCATCCAAGGTTTCACAGCGTGATGATCGCCTTGGATCGAGGGCTATCAGAAGAGACACGTTTGAGTACTTCCTTAAAATAGAAATCCATCATGTAAGCCGTTGGAATTTGCCTTGTTCAAGCAACTTCTATCCGACCGCAACCCATTATTTCATAGACCACCATCTGTTCTTGCTGTTCTGGGCTAGTACAACTGGGTGACGTCTGTATTTAAAACTAGTTCTTTTGTATGTATGTATGTATGTATGTATGTATGTATGTATGTATTCATACGTCTTGGTGCAGAGGGCCCGTGAACCACTTCGCGTTCCAATGAATGTATACCTTGACCATCCTATCGACAAGATGAAGTATTCCAAGTCCTACAAGATATGCATCATTCAGGGCAGTGAGGTGTTTCATCCAGAGGCGACTGAATACGTGGAGACTGAGTAGGTTTCCTGTGCTAATTGTTCTTCTTCACTAATTAATGTTCACTTCTCATTTTCAGCATTTGATTATGGCGGTCCAGCATACATATCAAGAGAAATTTGATAGAATGAGAATATATGGAACTAAAACTAAATAAATGTGATTTTCACCCAAATAAACAAATTAATACCACAGTGAAGTGATGATTTTGTATGTATTGACAGTTTCACAGACATTAACATCTGGAAGTGTGAAGCAACACCCTCTACCAACATGACAGAGTGAATTAGTCGAGCTCACAGTGCCAGAATACACATAATCATATATAGACGCACAACTTCTAACAAGAACCTTTCGCCAAAACACTTGTGCTCCTCATTGTATCCATCAAGAACATCAAAACCTTCTGCTGTTCTTTAGAACAACCTTTCGATCACTCACCAAATCGCTGTTGAGAACTCTATCAAGCTGATCCCAGGTCGTCAACATGATGTTTAACCACAACCTCGTCTCCAAGGTTTTCGCCCCCATGGCCGCCCTCCTGGCCTCAGTCACTGCCACGGATGCCCCTCTCCCCATGGCCACCGGCTTCTCCTCCTATTGCGACCCAACCTCTATCGGCTTCTACGACAGCGCGCAGACCCAGCTCACGGCCATGTGTTCGGCTGCCGGCGGTGCCGGTGTCCTCTATGAGTCCTATCTCGATCTGAACCTGTGCTTCGTCAACGTCAAGGGTTCTCTGTACCTCCGCATGAAGTATGGCAACGCTGTCACCCCCTTCATTTCAGCCCCCTTCCCTTCGCAGGCTGATGAATACTAATGAGCTGGGAAACAGCGGAGGCGCTCTGCACTCCTGCACCTGCGAGATGGGCGACCAGATCACCAGTTGCCAGTTCCACTGCGGCATCACTCAGGCCGAGTGCTCTTGCCACAATGGCCACGGCAACATTGTCAACAACCCTTTCGATTTTAGTAAGCATCACACTATCAGTGTGCAGTGGGCCTGAAGTTTTTTTCTTCTTTCTTTTTCAGTGTGCTAACACGACAACGTAGATTCCTACATCGGCCTCGCTGACGACGGCGAGGGTCATGTCGTGCTGAGCTGCCAGGACGCTGGCACCATCGCGGTTGGCACGTTCACTCGCTGTGTCGATTTGGGCGATACTGTCGATTGTCCTTGAGGGATATGCAATATGCCATGAGTCTGACTACCGTTGTATGGAAAATTGGGCAGAAGATCTGTAAAGATTGAAGTACATGTGGCTGGAGGTGCGGACGCATTCCGCGCGGCCATTGCTTTTCTCAACTTCCATCCAGGCAATCCAACTGGCTAGATTCCACAAGGTAGTCACTACAGACTAGATAGTCACACAACAAACAACAGAGCGGAATGTTTTATCCATTAAAAAAGACCTTTTTTTTTTATTGAGAGAAAGGGTCTAATATGACCATGCCTGTGACATTCGGTCTCCGAACCAATCTCAAGCAACGCGCCTCGTCTTCACAGCGGAGCCGTTGACATTGGCCGCCCCGCTAGTTTGCAGAGTCGTGGGCAACAAAGGCTCAAGAACCGGCTCCCAGACGGTCTCATATAGACCCGGGCTGCCGTCGACCGCCAGACTGCCTGGCTCAAGGCTGCCAATCTCGGTCGAGTTGCTACAGCAGGGCGCATAGGGTCCCCAGAGGGGCCCAGCAGCCCACGCCGCCCAGCCGATATACTCTTCGTTGTCAGCCATGTACGCCAGGGCGTCCTTGAGCATCTCAACGCAGCCGGTGGTGTTGGAGCCGCCAAACTCGCTCACGAGGGCCTTGATGCCGTACTGCTTCAGCCACGCCGTCAGCGGGGCGAGTGTCGTGTTGAACGGCTCCGTGCACTCGATATGGCTGCCGCTGAAGTCGTAGTCCAGGTACTCGTGGACATCGACGGCCCAGTTGTTGGCCGTGTCGTTGATCTGGTACATGTACTCGGACGACGGCAGGTCGGTTCCCGTGGAGCCCGAGTTGGATGTCCACACGTGCCCGCCTGTGAAGCCGTTGCCCGGGGCGAGGATGAGGTTCGTGGCTCCCGCCTCTCTGATGGCTGTGACCGCGGCCTGGTCGTTTTGCAGGACGAGCGAGGTTGGCATGTCGTGTGGCTCGTTCATGAGGCCGAAGATGACGTGCGTGTTGTTGGCGAAGCGCCTGGCCAGCTCGCCCCAGAAGGCTGCAAACTGTTCTGTCGTCGCGGCGGCTGGGTCGGTGGTGTTGCCGATCACGCTGCCCGAGTAGGGTTGCGACGACGGGTCGTTGTAGCGCATGTAGTTGTGCGGGTCCAATATCGCGTATGCGCCCTTGGTCTTTGTGATATGATCGATGGCTTGCTTGTAATAGTCGAAGTGCTAGTATTGCCTTTTTGTGAGCGGGATGAACATCCTTCTGTGCAGCTGAGATAAAGTTATTGTACCGTCTCATTGAATTTGGCTCCGAGGCCATATGCCAACGGACACATCCGTTCCAGGAGGAAAGCGACGCGAAACAAGTTGATCTGGTTGATGTGAGCTCTTGTACTCAACGTTATGTCTCATCTGAAGGGACATGTTGTCCCAGAGAAATGATAGATTCCTCACCTTGTTCTGGTCCACGTACACATCAACGGCAGAGGCATTAATGAATTCATAGTCTACGCCAAACGTGCCAGGAAGTCCTGTGCCTGGAGTACCATATACACCAAATTCCCCGCCAGACTCTGACACGCCGGCGTAGTAGATGGTCGCCTGCGCCCCCAGAAAGAAGGATGTGAAGAGAAGAGAGGGTCTCATCATGATTACGAGACGATACTGTTCCGTAGTGGAGAAGGATAATGGTTGTAGTCAAAGGACGTTCAGGACGACCTCGTACTGAGCATACTTATGTAGGCAAACCCCCTGCTTTTTATACGCCTGCGACAGCAATATAAGCTTCACACCAAGAAATGATAACCCGGTCAAGTATGTATGTGATGCTACCTATCTACCGAGCAGCCTCTCATTCGTCCGTCATGGATCATTTCTCGAAAAAGGTAGACCTTTATAAGATCGAGCTGCTCCTTGCATCGATGACCGCAACGATGAAGGACTTGTTGAAATACCCGGTGGCACTGACCCGAGCTTTTGCCCAGCCATGTGGCATCGAACCCTGGGCGCAGACCCCAGCGGGAGGACGGCGCGAGCCCCGAATGCAGTAGGATGGAGGCACTGGCTCCGACAATCTGATTGCATGATCTCATGACAGGGGAGCATCAGGAGCTGCAGCACACACCAGAGATCTCAGAATGCTGGCCAGCGAAATTTTTTAATCTTGCAGATTCGTAAAAGAAGGACGCACCAAAGTGACATTGCGACTTTATAAGATGATAGGACCTCGAATATATGCGGACGGTCGAAGCCCCCTTGGACTTTCCTCCAAATAAGACTTTCCCCTCCGTCTGTCCGTCCGCTGGCAGCCAACACAAGAAGCTAAATTGCCTGGCGTGGGAGTCGAGACACTGGAATAGTCTAGAGACTACGCATTGGGCACGATCTACCACCGTCTCTTGAGGCGGACCTTCATGTCCCGATCCGGAGGCATCGCCGCCATCCCGGTATACCTCTCGTCGTCCTGAGCCGGTCGATCGGATTTGGTTCCGTCCAGCTTGGTCCACTCGAGAAACTCAAAATCAAACTTGGCCAGCAGGATCGCCGCAATCATGAGGATCTCCTGCTTAGCAAAGGTCCGACCGGGACAGATCCCAGATCCTCCGCCGTACGGGAAGAACATGTTCGCGTTCTTGGCCATGGAAAACTCCGGCCGCATGGTCTTCTGGCCAGTGTCCTTGTCGACAGTCTCCGTGTACTTGAGGTGACGCTCCGCCCAGAATTCGGAGGCTGGATGGCCCGGAGAGCCCCAGACGGCCTCGTCGAGGTGGGCAATCTCAATGGGGGCCAGAACCAGGGTGCCCTTCCTGATCTCGTAGCCGTCCATGACGACCTTGTCACGCGTGGTGCGCGGGAGGTTGAAGGACATGTGTAGACGCAGAGCCTCCGTGTACACAGACTGCAATAACGGCAGCGCCAGGAGTTTTGGGATAACTAGAGTGTGATCTTCCGCAAAGACCTGGTCAACCTCCTTCTGCAAGGCCTGCAAAAGCGCAGGGTCTTGGGCGGCTTCCATCACGACCCAAGTTGCGATGGGGAGGGTGTTTGAGTTTTGCCTGAGAGGAACTTTTAGCTTCTTTTCTCCTTCTCCCTTTTCTTGGACTCAAACCTGCTCCAAAAATGGACGTACGCAAGCAAGAACGTGGCATAGTATCCAGCAATGCCCTCATCGTCAAAATCCGTCCCCCGATAATACTTGAGCATCTCACGGGCCACCCTTGAGCCGGAGCGCTCTTCCCAGACGACTTCGGAATCGGGGCCGTCAAAGTCGAATTGGTCAGCAAGCCGCATATAGTCTTTCATGATACGATTGAGACGCTCTCTGGCGTCGTACGGGCGAGAGTTGAGCCAGCGAGGAACACCAAAGAACAACAGCACGGCGTCTGCCTCCCATTTCCAGAATGCGTCGAGGAAGTCAGGGTGGTTGTCGACGACCTGCGATCCCAGAAGGGTGCGGATTGCGGCTTCGGCGACCTCCATCCTACAAAACCCCACCAGGCTCACGGTCTTCCAGGCTCCCACCGGCTCTGCGTCGAGTTTGTCGGTAACAAACTTGTAAAAGACCTCGGCAAGGCCAGTGGAGGAACGCAAGTGCGCCAGGTACTCGCTGTATATGTGGTGCTGCGCATAAAAGAAGCGGTCCTGCTCGGGGAGGTCTTCGGTGCCAGGCAAGGGCTTCTTGGAGCGACCTGACTTGTCTCTTTTGATCTTGTCGAGATCCTTCTTGGGCATCCCCCACTGCCTGGCGGCCACCATTTCGATCATGATGTCGCTCTCGAACTTGCTTGTGCTGGACGTCCGAAATATCTCCTGAACGTTGGCAGCCCCGCGGACTACATATGCAGTCGTGGGGCCAAGATAGAACTTGATCACACTAGAGTTTTGGAGGGCTTCCCTATCGGCACGATAGAGTTCAGCAAGAGACTCGCCATGTGAGGTGGGTTTCTAGGTGAGAACTTACTCTACCCGCACCAGAAATTTCTTCATGTTGGTCCACCAGTGATATATGTTGGTGACCCGGGGAATGGTCTCACTGAGACATGGTGGCTGCTTCGCCTTGGTAGATTGTGTGGAGCTGAGCCACAAAACACCAACACCTGCAGCGGCCAGGAGCAGGACGACCCAAATAGTTGGATAGTCTGCTTCTGAGGCGCCGACAATATAGGCGTTGCGGGCATAGAAGGCACGGAAGCCTTCGGGCAACACCGAGGCGAGACTGTGCACATCCATGATCCAAACATTCCAGATCTCATGGAGGGATCAGTGAACCTGGTTGTAGAGGGCATGAGCCCCAAGGCCTTAGTATACATAACCTTTCTAACACGGTACAGTGATCCAATCCTGTTCATGGGGGGGAGTGCATACTTGAGTGTCTTTGAGCATTGAGCGCTTGTGGCATCACAGAATCTGAGAACGACTTTGCATCATGGCAGTGTCTGGTTCGCGATGTGCGGTACAGGTGAACATTTGTATTCCTCCAGACAGAGGGTCGTCAAGAACCCTTGACCATAGACTGGGGGACGACCTTGACCCCGACCGCGATGCATGCATAATCAGGTTTCTTGGGTGGCTGAATCGAGTCGCTCTGATCCACTCATTGGATACCGATGTGCCACCGCCATACCTGTCAGCCACTTGCGTGTTCATTTATAGCACTGCTGCAAGATAACAGTTAGCAACACGCCAGAGCGTCTGGTAACCCCGCATTGGAATTAACCCTCTCATTTAGCATCTCATCGACTGTACATAATGATTGGCGTTCGTTTTCTTTTTCCTTTTTTTCTTCTTCGGTAGTGGCTGGAATTGGTACGATGGACCAGTCTACTATAATTTATGAATAAATCCGTCGGCCTTATAATCGCGATGGCATTTGACTTATTGCTTATGGAACATGGAGGACGTTTGGTATTTTTGAACGGTACAAGAATCGGATCACTCCACTTTCACAGAGTATAAAGGCACCACCACCGTGTGTGACCCCTCTCTGGGAGATTGTGAAGTCACGTATGCAGACCCCAGTCGTGTTGCAATGTATGATTAGTTCGGCATGGTTGTAGCTGTCTCCCGGCTTGCATGCTATCTGCGCAGTATCTGCAGGAACCTGCAGACATCGGTCTACGTTGGTACTCGTGCACTACCATAGTATGTAGTTTCAACTCCCGTGCAGCGGCTCACTGGTATAAAGTGTCTCTGGCGGCGTTCTGACGATAACAGACTAGTAGTCTTGACCTTAGGCACTGATGAACAGCAGCTGGCCCAACCACCTGGCTCACATCTGTAGCAGTGTAGTCCATGACGGGCACCCTGTCAGTCTGTGTAGTATGCATCGCCTCAATCCTAGATTCCACAGTTGGTGTGGTGCCTATCTGGGCGACTCGTGTACGGCCCCCGCTGCGGTTGAGTGTAGATAGGAGTGAACACCTGTGTCTCTGCAGTGTCTTCAGCTGGTGGGCTCCGGCTCCCCATCTACCCAGAGGACGATGTTGACAGGCGGATTCTTGAGCTTTGCAAAGAAGCATCTGATGTCTTCGTCACTGTATCGTAGGCTAAAATGCATCAGCACAAAGGTGGTCCTGGGCCACTTCCTGATGACCGGCTCGAGGTCCGCCCATATGGTATGCTTGGTCTTGATGGCCTGCCCTCGGTGCTCCTCATATAGAAAGCTGCATTCGGTGATGACGACAGGGATCTCCTCCTTCAACCACCACGGCTCTGCAGCCAGCGTGGCGGCGGTTGTGTCACCAAGAAACGCAAACACAGGCGTGGTATGAGCCGCAGTAATCTCGACGCCGGATTCGCGTAGAGCCTTGAGCTCGGTGCCCTTGCGGCCCGCGTATTCTGGTTTGAGCTTTCTGGAATTGAGCTTGAAGACGTAGCCGACGCATGGTACCTGATGGTCGCAGGCAAAGGCCTCGGCGGTGAAGTCGACAGTGCGGCGCAGAGGGACAACATCGCCGTGGCGGACGCCGTGGGTATTGTGCGTGTGTAGCCAGTGGGGTTTCCCAGGAGGTGTGGTCGAGGAGGGATGTGATTCTCTGGACGTGTCAAGGACGTCGTCGTCATCGCCGCCGTCATCATCATCATTATCATCATCGATAGGCACCTCGGGATCCTCGGCTGTCTTCAGGCCTCCGGCATTGAGCACTGTCTTGGCAACGAGGAAGCTATCGAGAACCTGGACCATCTCAGCTGGGCAAAAGATGTCTGGCGGATCACTGCGCTTGATGAAGGCGGGCGTGAGGAGGACGTGGTCGCTGTGGCCGTGGGTGAGGAAAATATGCTTGGGTCTCTGCTTGTTGACGCATAATCCGGCGTCGAGCAGCAGATTGAGCTGTGGGATCACGAACGAGGTGTGCCATGCCGCTCGTGATTTGCCTGTTAGAACGTATTGTTTATGCTTCCCTGGAAATCGCCATTCAAGCACTTCCGAATGAGATGATTGCGAGAGAGGGGTTGCGAAAGCAAGCTTTGCCATCGTAATGCGCGCGGGGCGGAGAAGATAATGAAGAAAGCAAGGAATGGTGAAGAGTCAGACATGATAGTAAACTGAATGACGCATATTCTCACGAGCTCAAAAGAAGGATCAGCATCCTCTTTAGTCCAAGCATTAGCTTAATATACATGTATGTATGTATAACGTGGTTAAAAAAAAAATTTAAGAAATATATAGAATTCGTATTAAAATTGCCATATAGTCGAAATATTAAAGAATACGCTATTAATTCTTAAATAAAGTTATGCTTGTTTAGGGCCTCGCATATCCTTTTAACCAAATAATTCGCTAAGTTGTAATGATGCACTGCAGTATCCGAAGATCCTAAAGTACACAAAGGGTTTATGCTAACAAGAGCGGTGTCAAAGTAAGAACCACTGAATACGGAAATATAAACAAGTAATCCGTGCAAGTGCTTTCATTCGCCTTTGGGGCTATTCAAGTGTGTGACAAATGAATACTTAGATTGACGACTGAAGAGCTATGTCCTGGTGGTCTATCTAATGGTAATGAACGTGTCCTTATATATCCTGCTCTTCAGTCCCGTTAACTGTGTTTCCGTTGGATCACTTGGATCACCTGGGCGATCCCACTGATCCTATAACCCTAACCCTGGATTACCTAATCCTGGTTGGTCTTCTCCGCGTGCCGGGCTGCACTGTCGGCTTCTTTGTTGGCGGGGCCTGTTTCATGACCTGCATGTTGGATGGGTCATAATACTTGTGCGATAGATACATGATTGAATTTGATATTGGTCCCCCTTCAGCTGATTTCGCATGCTTTTCCGGTGGCGTTGGGAAGATGCAGGAGCAACAAACAGAGCATGAAGAAGGGGCGGCAGGGCCACTGGATACCACCACGCCTTCGGATTCAGTTATGAGTAAGCCAGACTCGCGAGGATATTGGCATTCGTTCAACTCGCTTTCTGGCCAGTCTTTCGGAGAGGTGAATGACAGCTATGACACTGCTTTTGCTTCTGCGTCGAGCTCTGGGCAGCCTGGCATTAGTCCCCCATACTCGCTGCAGTTTCCGACTCTCACCTCGACCGCCGTAGCAGAAACCTCCCCTTCTCCAGCAAACGGAGACTTCTCTTTTGGCAATCCACACAACAACAACACAACGGGCCATCCTGCCTCGGGGTCTGATGCAGTGACATCACCAGTTCACAGGCCCTCAGGTGGGCTTTTTGTCAACAACATTCCCTTGGAAGGCTTCACCCAGGACAGCAACGAGACTGGCCCTCGTCCCCCACAACCGTTGCCGACGAGTTTTACCAAGCCAGTCCCCTCCGCACCTAATACCTCTTTGTCCACCTCGCCGTTGTCTCTGTCCCTCACTACGAACGGCCAAGGTCTATCTCCAGTGTGTGCTGAGCTCGCTACGACTGCACCTCCCCATGGCACCAACGGTACAGCTACGATTCACGGTGCTCGTGGCGATACGTCCTCTGGCAATAGTCCGGCAACAGCGTCTCCTATAGAGATGGCGGGCCATCAGCTCCCGACCAGCACATCGCGCGAGGGCACCGGAGACGGTGGAAGCAGCCGCAAGCCCGTGTTGAAGATGAAAAGGACAGGCCAGAGCTTCCCCGTGAATCTAAACAACACCGGGTCTTTCCATCAGAAAACTCCCTCCTCCTTGTCAAGTCGATGGCTGGGTCACCCTTCTGCCCGAGGCACTACCACCAAGACGTCTGACTCTTCTGAATCTCCGAAACCAGGCGTTGTGAGTAATGCAGGGCAGGAATCCAATGCTGATACATCAGAGAAGCTCGTTGGAGGAACCAAAGCTGCCCAGACCCCACCAGAGCGCCGTGTCCTTCATGAGCGCCAGAGAGTCGAGGACCTCACCGACAAGACAGTCGTCATCCTAGATGACGACGATACGGACGACGATATCAAATACGAGGCGGCCGGTCGTGACGTTGGTCAAGAAGACTTGCTCGCCGAGGCACCTGTCGAGAATGCCTCGAGCAGTGACGACAGTGATGCTGACAGCGATGATGGAGAGGAGGAGGCGGGAGAAGAAGAAGAGGAAGAGGCACTGGACATGGACTCAAGTGGGGAGTCATCTTCTCACCAAATATTTCGTGCACCAGACCAAGAAATGGACGAAGCTGAGGATAGTTTCGAGGATGACGATGCGCGGTCTGTGTTATCATCAGCAGATTCTTTGCTCGCCGATGAGCCTGCGACGACCGGGCTCTCTACCAACACCCAGTTCCAGCAGATTGCTTACCCTACAACCATTCTCAAAAATGCATCGGCTGATCGTCCCTACACTACTTGGTCAGGTACGTGGCGCTCAGTCTGCCGTACATCTGTAGTTATCTGACTTTGACGTGCTGATTTATCCATGCATACAGACTCTGGTACCTTTGTTACCGCTTCTCCCGCAGTATTCCCTGACGGCTACGAGAAATGCACTGAGACCAAAGGTTTCCCCTGGATCTGCTCAGTCAGGTCCTGTAGAATGGTCTTCAAAACCACCACAGGCTTAAGTGCCCATTTCACAGTGAGTAAAGTCAGGTGCTATATCATTGTGCCTTGGGTTGACTCTATCTAGTTCACTCACAGAGGAGCGATGTTGAACGACAACATGGACGGAACTGTGTCCATCGTAGGCCTCTATAATACGAAGAAGAATGAACAGAATAATGACCCCCCCGTTGTTGTGTCCAAAAGACCATTGGACCCCAAGGAACCACCGATTCTCCCGCCATCCATACCACAAGGAAAGCAAAAGCTTTCTACGCCAGCGAAGACTGCTGTTGCACCTATAGTTCTGGACGACGAGACGCCGGTTACGGGCAACGACGATACATCCGTGCCTGGGACGAAGCGGCGCCCACCCCCTCCGCTGGCTGATCCAAAACATGCCCAAGAAATGTGGGCGTATATGAAACCCCACCTCACAGTACACCGCTCAGTACCAAACAAGAACTGGGCGCAACACGTATTTCATCTCCCGCGAGTGCGGGAACTGATATGGAATGCGGAGCGGATCGTTGGTCATCCGTTCAGAGATTCGCATCCTAGGGATATCACAGCATTGATTGTCCAGATCACGGGCGTTGAGGCGCGTGTACCCTGTGCGAAATGTCGACGGGGCAAAGGGCCCTTTGCTGGCTGCATCATGATTTCACCCGATGCACCGTCCGAGGCGAAGTCCAGCATCCTTAGCTGTGCGAATTGTAAGTGCATAATCACACTCCTGTTAACCTAGCAAGTGGATCCTGAGCTGAAAATTACTGGAGGCTATTATCACTGTGGCCAATCTAAGTGCAGTCACTGCAAAGCTACGGTAGAGCGCCGAAGACCGCGAAGCGGCCAGAAACCGGATAGCTACAACTTAAAAGTCTTGTCTGACCATGCTCGTGGGAAAGTATCGACGGCCTCAACCCAGCAGGAGCAAGCTGGCCTGGGACTAGCATCGTCCGAGATGGAGGGCGTCGAGATGGCCGGCAGTGCAAGCAGGAAGCGGAAGAAAGTGTTGACAGGATCCAAGGCTGCCGATGAGCAAGGTGGCTCAGCAACCTCTCATGACCCCGCGGAAAAGCTGTGGGACTACATGCTTCCCTATCTTCCTAAGACTTTGAACTGGGTTTCTTCTGCTGATATGCATGTCAGTAGGCTGTTGAGCCTCATACGCAGGCGGGATGTGGTATGGCGAGCGGACTGGCAGAACCATCGCCTGGCCGACGACAAGCTGCAGATTGTCGGACTGCTCGTGCACCTTGTTGGAAATGAACATGCCAATGGAGATAGGTCATGCACGAACTGCGCCAAAGGCCAGGGTCCGTTCAACGGCTGCTTCGTCCTGCCAAAAGAAGCACCTTGGGACTCGCACTGTGAGGTGAAAGGCTGTGCCAATTGCTATTTCACGCACAGCAAGCCATCCTGCAGTGTTAAGTCGGGCTGGAAGGGTAGAGCGGGCGACAAGAGCGAGTCAAGCTCCTCGCTGGCCCCGCTACCGCCCGTGGCGGAGTGGGCTATGGCCGCCGCCTACAGTAAAAAGAGGCCGCGTCTACAGGATTCGGATGTGGGTACACCGAGGGGTTCCGATCGGGCGTCCAGCGTGGAAGACGAGGATTTGAGGCCTCGGAGTAAGATCGTGAAGCTCTTCCTCAATCGCAAACCTGCTGCGTCAGCGGTGGCCTCGGCTGGTGACGTGCGGACGACCGCAAAGAAAGAAGCGGCTGCCACTGCGACGGACCCATCTGCGTTCATCAGCGCAGGCCAGTTTCAGCCCGAGGTCCCGCTGGAGATGGAAGAGTGGGAGATTGCGCCCGGACGCATCCGTGAGGAGGGCGTCGAGCGGGTCAACAACATCGCCTTCTCCAAGTCTTTCCTCGAATCCGATCAGTCCGTGCCGATCTCCGCCGACGTGACCTTTGAGGTCAAGACGATCAAATCTGGCCACTGGCTCGAGTTTGAGGGCGTGGCGACTAAGATGCGGTATTGCTCGCTGGCGAGCGGGAAGCTGTATGTGTCTATCCAGGGCCAGCCGGACTTCGCCGTCGGGCCATCTGGACTGTTCAAGATCATGCCGGGTCTGAAGTTCTCGGTGCAGAACCGTCTGTACATTAACTCGGTCCTGCACATCACCAGTATGTACTCGGATATCTAGAAGGAGGCTAGATCCGCATGGTTTCCTGAAGTGCTTCTGCACATATTTGCATATTGTGCACACTGTTCTGGGTATATAGGAGCGTTACATGCGTGTTCCACGCGCCTGATACGAAGATTCACGAGAGGCAGACTGCTATCCACTGGCCTGGATAGCATGCATATTGGGGGTCAGGTGGCTAGACCAACACAGGTTTTTGTGTGTGTACAAATTTTGGCATATGAGTGTGTATTGACTATGTATTGACAGCTCCTTGGGTACTGTGGCAACAAATGACCACAGTCGAAGGTTGTTGTGGTGGTCATGGTTTATATAGCTTGGGAAACAGAGGAACTTGATGATCTGGCAGGATATGGTCCTGCTTGAGGAGGATGAAGGTCTCCGGGCGCGAAAGCACTACGAGATATGGTTGACCCTCAGATGATGGGTTTGGGTACGGTTCGCACTCATCTGGCGACACTTGACGCCGCGCAAGATGAGTTTGTGGCATCGAGCCAATACAGTCTGTTCAAAAGCCCAAAGCTCTCTAGGTTTTGAGTCACGATGAATTGTGGTTAGAACATAGGCATCGAGGTCGAGCCAGCCTTTAGTCCGCACTACGACAGATCGAGGCGGTGTGTTGAAGCATCCAAGTAGCTATCGTCTGGATACACTGGACCAAAACTACGTAGACATCCTCCAAGGGACATCCTCGGAGGCAGTCACTACTCAGCGCCCAGGAGCCTCACGAAACCTTTCGAGGACTTCTCAGCCCACCATCTTGCCAAACCATCAACATCGCACCCTTCAATATCTTGTGGATTCTCAACCCACCACGTGGACCTATCCTTGACAACCTCATTCCCGTACTTCTTCAAGCTGCCGCCGTCGAATCTATGGTTCTTGACCGCAAGCAACAGGACTACACTCCCCACGGCAGGCGTGAATGCCTCCGGGTCGAGAAATACTGTCAGGAGCACCTGTTTGCTCGTCGACGGGTCTGCGAGCCGCGCCGTGCGCTGCTTGAACGGCTGCTTGTTGGGAGGCAGGATGGCCAGCTCGACCCCCGAGAGTGAGGTCACGACGGCGAGGACATTGACTACCCAGTTCTGCTTGTACGGCAGGTTCGGGATGGACCTGAGCGGTGTCAGTTTGAGGGGTTTGCTGCCTGGGTTGTACATCGCCCGGGCTGGATTCGTGCTGTCAGCGGCGCGGCTGGAGTGTGAGCCGACTGCTTCCTGGTCATATGAGCCTGCTGCGTCTTGTCCCTGTTGGGTGCGTGGCTCTACAGTGTTGTCCTGGGTCACGTCGGGACTGTTGATGTGCTCTGCTGTTGTTCCCTCCCTAAGAGCTAGTGGACGCTGTGTCGTGGACGTCGGCGGAGAGTCCTTGTCGTCTCGTGCTCGTTCAATGGCCTCTACTTGGGGGTTGAACACCACCAGCGGCTTCCTTTGAGCAAGAGGCTGGATGGTCTGCCGCCTGGACTCTGCCGTCATTTGCACGCAGGCAGGATCCCAGCCGACGACGCTCATATCTCGAACGATCAAAAAGACTTCTTCCTGCTCCCCCTCCTGCTCCTCCTCCTGCTCCTCGTCGTCGTCGTCGTAATCGTCGTCCTTCCTTTCACCCGCTTCTTGCTCAAGGTAGTCTCCTAGGCCTAGGTCTGAATCTAGGCCTTCAATTATAGGAATAGGACGAATCGGAATAAAACGTAGCTCGAACCAGTCCAGACGGACATAGCAGCCGAGGTGAAATCGTCTGCTATTCACCACGTGATGCATCTCCGGCACAGCCAAGGCCTGGATGCAGAGCTCTCCATCTCCTAACAGCAGCCGCACCGCACGGTAGCGAGGCGATATTGGGTTGACTTCGTCTATGCCTTCTACTTGCAGGACGGATCCAGGTGTACAGTGCTGCGTCTCGAGCATGTCTTCAATACACGGCTCAAGGGTGAAGGGATCCGAGCCGCTGGCGACCCTCACCGTAGACTCGAGATGTGGTCTGGGGGCGGACATGGAGATGATATCCGCGGTGACATGATTGCGAGGTAGGATGGACGATGAGTGGAGGGGGGAAGGGGATGAGGCTCAAGTATATAAGGAGGATCGTAGAAAGATGCAGTAGATCTCTATATCAGATAGCATTCGATTGCTTTCAGGCGGTTGGTTCCCAGTGTCGAGTAGGGGACGGGCCGCTGTGGCGCTGTAGTGATTAGCCAGCTGTAGAACCCGGGTAGTGCCTAGTTCAACGCTGTACTGTAGCAGGAATGATGCCTACCGGGGTAACTCCAGGCGCTGTGTGGGGTACCTGTCAGCCTATCGAAAAAGTCCATAAAAAGAACAACGACAACCAATCCTCCTCCTCCCCCTCCTTCATGTGATTCTTGTTCCACGTTGCAGGCCGTCGCTGTGCATTACTGTCCACCTAGTTGTGTTATTTCCATGACTATCCTCCTGCTGGCCCGGCCACTTCTCAGAGCAGCTCGAGCACCAGCCATTTACCGCCGTCCCACCACTGCTGATCCTACCAACCTGCCAACCGCCCTCAACCGCCTCCGCCTCCTCACCACAACAACCACCACCACAATGGCCCCCGATCTTCCCACCGACCGCCGTCCCCTCGTCATCTCCGGCCCCAGCGGCGTCGGCAAGGGCACACTCTTCAACCTCCTACGCGAGCGCCACCCAGACACCTTCACCCTGTCCGTCAGCCACACCACCCGCGCACCGCGCGAGGGCGAGGAACACGGCGTGCACTACTACTTTGTCACGCGCCCCGAGTTCGAAGACCTGATCGCCCAGGACGGCTTCGTCGAGCACGCCCAGTTCGGCGGGAACCGCTACGGCACCTCCAAGGGAGCCATCGCCGAGCTGAGCGGGCGGGGCAAGGTGGTCGTGCTGGACATCGAGATGGAAGGCGTGAAACAGATCAAGCAGAGCGGCATGGAGGCGCGGTATGTCTTTGTCGCGCCGCCGAGCGAGGAGGAGCTGGAGAGGAGGCTCAGGGGGAGGGGCACCGAGAAGGAGGACAGTGTGCTGAAGAGGTTGAAGCAGGCCAAGTAGGTTTCTCTCTTTTTGTTTCCATTCTGTAGGGAGGTTTTTTTTTTGGGGGGGGGGGTGGTTGTTGGCAAGTATTGGGAGGCCTTGTGAAGTCGCTGACGGTAACATTCTGCACACAGGCTCGAGCTCGAGTATTCGAAGACGCCTGGTGCTCACGATCTCATTGTAAGTTTGTGGAGGATATTCCAGGACAAGCCTCTGTTTCTTCCTTTCGGTTGCTAAATCTAGTGACAGATTGTGAACGACGACCTCGATAAGGCATACAAGCAGCTGGAAGATTTCGTGTACAACAAGCCAGCGGACGCATAAAATGGTTCCCAAAATCGCGGAAGGACTTGTTATGGAGGTATCAATTATTTAGGGAACAAAGAAAATTGATGACCTCGGATGATACCCAGATGAACATCACCATTTACGGTTATACACCACAGTTTGAAGACTGGTTCGGTGATCAATTTCATATGTATTCCGGCAGGTATCAAGACTAGACTCTAATTAGAGTGCCGAAGGGCTGAAGATTAAGAATGGGAAGAAAAGATAGAAAAGAAAGACCCGAGAATACTAAAAGAGAATAAGCGTAATAGTCCAGTCCGTGGGAAATACGTTGGTCCCATGTGCGCGAAACCACCTTTTCTTGACGCAGGAGGGTCAAGACAGAAAGGAGTTAGACCAGAGGCACCACCGCGTCTGCATCATCACAAACAGAAGAGAGAGGCCTGTCTGTCTGCCGCTTGCGTGCGCGCATTTGCGTCAACCCAGTTTCCAGTCTTCACAGGCCAGCAAAGGTCGCCTTTACGTTCTCGTCGATCGTGCGCTTCCTGAATGGCTCCTCCTAGTAGCCGTTCATAGTCATACGCTGAGAGCTTCGGCTCATCTCGCGTTCCGCGGCAGGGCTGATCGGTCTGCTGCTGCTGTGGCCCTGTGCGCTGCCCTCCTTCAGTGCCAGCAGCTGCTTAGAACGGAAGCCCTCGTAGTGGTTCTGGGACGTTGTCTCGATGAGGTCCTGCAGATGTGTTCGGAGCAGGAAGTTGCGCAGGTAGACGAACTCGCAGTGGTTCTCGTCCTCAACATTGATCACACCCCACCGGTTCTGACGACCCCGGACCTGCTTGCCGTTCACAATGATCGACTTCTCGGACCCGACGACGGCGAAGGGGACAAGGTTCTACAAACAGGTATTAGTCATGATCTAAATAAGCGTGACTTACACCCGGCCGGGGGGTGGAGGGGAGGGGGGTGCACGTACCTTGATCTGGTTGTTCAGGGCACGCTCCTCCTCGTCAAACTCGTCGTTGTCATAAGGGAACATCTTCAGGTTGTGGAACGCGAACTCCTCCTTGATGCGCTCCTTGAAGGCCTGGCGCTCATCCATGGTCAGGGTGTCGGCCTTGGCGATGACAGGCACGACGTTGACCACATCCGACAGCTTCTTGAGCACCACAATGTCGATGGGCTTCAGGGAGTGGCCGGTGGGCTGGATGAAAAACAGGCAGCAGTGGATGCGGGTGTCCTGAATGTACTTGTCACGGGCGGCAGTGAGCTCCTTTCGCAGGTAGGCGGAGTGTTGGTCCTTGATGTACTTGACAATAGGGTCCCAGCAGCGGTCGTTGTTGATCAGATCACCGTAGCCAGGGGTGTCGACAATGTTGAGCCTGAGGCGGACGCCATTCTCCTCGATAATGTGGGAAACGGGGTGAATCTCAGTGGTGGAGCGGATGACCTCGTCAGGCACGAGACGACCCTTGGACTCGATGAGGTGGGACGCGAAGATGGTGTTGATGAGGGTCGACTTTCCGAGACCAGTCTGGCCTGTGGTTGAGGGACACGAAACACGTCAGTCAACGACTCAATTGAACGACCCGACATGATTCGAGGGCCCTTGGCGCTCAGTAAACAAGTATAGACTTACCGACGCAGATTACATTGAACTGGAAACCACGCTTCAAGAGCTTGCGCTCGATCTGGCTGGTGATGCTGTCGAAACCGACGTGGCTCTGGGGGTAAACGGTCGCGGGAGCAACGGTCGCCATGGTCGTATACAGAAAAGGCTAGAATTGAACGTAAAAGGAAGGCAAATCAAATAAATGATGAAGAGAGTGTGGTGCTCGGGTTGTTGAGACCTGTGAGTTGGAAATCATGGAATGGAAGAAGGGGGAAAATGGGTGCGAAGAACGAGTGAAGGTGGGAGAAGTGTGTGATTCAAGATTGCTTCGCTGGTGATCTCCTTTGCCGTGACTGCTCGAGCGCTGCAGAGGGATTGATTGCTTGCCCAAATGACAATTTCCGCCTTGCTGGGGGGGAAGAGAGTGGAAAGGGGTCGCCGGCTTGCAGCTTCGCAGCAGGGTGGAAAGGGGGCCACCCACTTCAGCCAATTAGCGCATGGTCCCTACTCCACATACTGCTTGGGGTAGAAGCTCAGGCCATGACCCTTCAACCCCAGCCCGGCAGGCGTCGCGGGTACCTGGGTACTACTCAGCAAGCAACTTACCCCTGCGTCTCTGGGGAGCTGCAATTCGCGCTAGTGATTTTTCTGGAAACCAAACCACCTCAACTTCAAGATCTTCGCGATAGCATCTCTGAACGCGATCCACAACCACACTCTCCCCCTCCATCACCGATTGTCGGCGCTACCTTCCGAAGTCTCTCCCGCATATTGCAACGAAAATAGAAGCTAGACTTATATCTTTTGGAAGTACGAGCAGGCCGGTGCTAGGGGCGACGAAAATGGCTACTGCAATGCTGCCCTCGCGGACAGCCTCCATCATCCCACGACTCTCCGCCTCGACGACACCTTTCTCCTTCAGATTCGCCTCTCTCCGCATAAGACAGCTATCAATACCACTTCTCCCCCGACTCTCCATAGCAGTACCAGCGATATCACTAAACCTTCCTTCGCTCCCCTCATGGGAAGACATATGGGATGGCTTGCTGAAGGCAGTACCAAAGAAGAAGGTGTCACACTCTAAGAAGAGACATAGGCAGATGGCAGGAAAGGCCTTGAAGGATGTCACGTCGTTATGTCGATGTTCTGTGTGTGGCCATCCCAAGCGGATGCACGTTCTCTGCCCAAACTGTGCTAAGAGTAAGGACCACTCCAGGCATCTCAGGAATTTTGTAGCACTGACACTTGTCACAGAGTTTGCGAGCATGATGACCAAGCCTGGCCAGAGCACGGGAAAGAAGGCGCAAACAACAATCGATAAGAAGGACGGCAAAGAGTGAACAAGTTCCTCAAGGGATTTGAACAAAACATACGACGATGCGGAGGGGCCGCTCGGTAGAGGCATGGAACATACAGTCATTCGAAATCAAAAAGGCTTTGGGCTATGGAAGAGGGCCTCGCTTGTCCGGTACACCCGACACTTTGTTGCTAGATCAGTGAAGAGCGCAAGCGAGTCGCAACGCATGATCACAGAGGCCCCAGAAAAAGTGTGAACCGTTCCCCGGGCACCCGTGGACGGTCAAATTGCCATGAGAGGGGATGGTATTGGGCTCTATGGGAGCTAATTTTGGACTTGAAGTCTAAAATGACATCCATATATTGGAGATATCGCAGCCATGGACAAGAAATGTCATATTCAAGTCAGACTTGATCATTATCGTGTACCGGCCATGTTGGACGAGAATCAGCGCACGTGAGGGATAGACTATTTTGTACAGACAAATTGTTTGGTCAGTAGGAAAATCCCCAAGCAACGTAGCAAACGTCTTTCCAGACTTTTAGGCATCATGACATTGTATGCGAACTGCCAAAGCTCCATCTTAAGTTTAGTAGGAGAACAAAACAATGACAGGTGCACATGTCAGTGCAAGGGACTGACCCGCTTGGAGAATTCCATGATGCAACCATCAGAGCCTAATTGCATTGTAAAATCTGTTTGTTAGGCCACAAAACATTAATAAATGCTTTCCCATAGAAATTTGAGCAAGACAGAACCTCTCTTTCGGCGCATTGGCCAAAGTTAAGTCCCTGCCAAATTATCTGCAACGTTCATACAAGCACAGAGCTCTGTGGCAGATATCAGCTCTCTTACATCACGCCTAGCCTGAACCCCACCAACCTAAGAGCTTCCCCAGACCATCAACTTGAACAACCTCCCACAGTTGTCCTCACCACCAACTCACACATGGATCGGTGACAATGGTGAGAAACTCTCCACAACTATTAAATTTCATTATACTCAGCTGACACCTATTGTAGTCGAAACAATACCTCACCACCCACACGGTGGACAACGGTATGTTTCTCCAGCCCTGCCAACTACCCCGCCAACCTTCGCATCCACGAGCGCGTCGCTAAACCTGGATTTACAGCCCACACGACCGACATTTTCTCCTTAGCCGCAACGTCCACCGCCCTTCTTACCGGCAGCGGCTCCTCCACAATCAACATCCATCGCACGACAGACCCCAGCGGCACCTTTCCGATCTCCCAATCCCTGACTGCTCACAAACTCGGCACCCATCACATCGCAACATCCCCCCGCGGCGGCGACGGTCGGCTCGCAGCCAGCGTCGGCTTCGGTGGAGACATCAAAATTTGGCGGTGCGATGCCACCACCGGCGACTGGTCGCTAGACTTTGAGATCTCGCCCGCGGAAGCCAAGGCCCGTGGCGGTGGCGACGTCTGGGCCGTTGCGCTCGACAGCCAGGAGAAATATCTCGCTTGCACAGCGCACGATGGACGCATATATGTGTGGGACCTGGAGAGCAAGAGTGTTGTGCAGACCTACGAGACTGGAGGTGCCGGAGCGGGCAGCTTTGGGCTGTGTGTGGACCTGAGTCCCGATGGGAAGCTGACGGCCAGTGGGCACCATGACGGGAGTGTGTATGTCTTTAGCAACGAGGTCGGGCACCTTAAGTACTCCCTATCGGGTAAGTTTCCTACTCGCGCACGGTTTGGTGTGGACTGAAAGAAGGAAGAGCTGCTGACGCGTCTGCCTAGGCCTCGCAAAGCCTGTTCGGGCAGTCGCCTTCTCCCCCGGCAACTCACGCCTTGCAGCTGCCGGCGACGCGGGCGTGATCGCGATCTACGACGTCCGGACAGGCGAGCACGTTGGCATCTTGCGAACAGGTTCTGAATCCTCGGCCTGGATTACCTCCCTGGATTGGTCTGACACGGGCGAGTACCTGCTGTCAGGGTCCACGGATGGCAAGGTGCGCGTGTGGTCGATCGATCGGGGCGTGTGTGTCGCCACGCATAGTGAGACAGACAAGATTCTGTGGAGTGTACGGTGGTTGCCCAGAAAGGGAGATCATCAGGGCGAGATGTTCTGCACGGCGGGGGCGAATCGAAGCCTTACGTTTTACCGAGAGGGTGGAAAGTCCCTATAGCAGCAGAATGACGATACAATCTGCTCGCTCTTGGTGTCGGAGTATGGCAACGGTCCTTTTATGTGGACGTGGCCTCGTTCTATTCCACTGCTCTCGGCGGTGCACCAATGAGATTTGCTGAGCTATCTGATGCACATCAGCACGGCGTGTGGCGTCTGGGATCTCTACAATACAGATGGACGGCAAGTGCCAGCATGCCAAGCTCACTTTTCCCAGGTCAGACAGAGGTTCATTGCGGACTGGGACAACTTCTCAGTTGCAAAGAGGTATTGTGCTGCATAGTGCACACGAATGAGAATGTGTCTTCGGATACCACAAATGAGCCAGGTGAAGCAGGACATTTGTCTCAGCAACGTGGGCAGAGAGTCCCGCGATACTCCAGGGCCAGATCCAAAAGGTCACAGAAGTGATCTGCTGGCAATGACTGAACGATGGGAGAAATGAGAAGAGAAACTGAAACAATTTATTTCTCTATTGTCTGTGTTCCAAAAGATTTTTTTCTTTTCTTTTCTTGATGCAGCTGATTCGGGAACGCTTTCAAGCATAGCCTTCAGATCCAGGAGCCCTCAAAACCAACCACCTCTCATAGCCCAGAAAACGTCTCAATCCAATATGTAAGGCATGCGCAAATTATCTGGGGAGCAACGTGACTTGAATTTGCCCAAGTCCTGGCTTGTTTTTCTGATTTTGGGACGTTGAGAGGAAGGGAGGCTCAAAGGGGAGGGGGTGACTTCCTCTTAAGTCAAGTCATGTGCTAGCGTGTCAATTCCGCGCCAGTACGTTGCCGAGCTACGGTGATGCCTGGCTCTCCAACTCAACTCAAACTTCGACCTCAAACACATCCCAATCACATTCTCAACCACACTTACATCTCACACCGTCTTCTTACACCTTTAACCACGAACACAACTTCCATCATTTCTCCTACAAGCCAAAGGCCACATTCATATCAATTAATCTCAGCTGAACTTTCGACCCACATTTCCTCGTCGACGTCATCACGCTCTCAAGTCACGATGCCAGCAACCCGCAGATCCACCCGCAGTGCCGCCGCAAAGGGGCACGGCAAACAGTCTACTCTCAGCTTCAACAACAAAGTTACAAAGACTGGCGCTGCTAAGACCAGCGCCAAAGAGGCGGCTGCTGCTGCTGCACTCCCTTCGGGTGGCCTGTCGAAGAAGGTTATCATCGAGCCCGTAACGGAGGGAGAAGAAGAGGAAGCACTCGAGGTGTTGCCGGAAGAGAAGGCACACGAGGAGGCAGTTGCCAAAGAGGAGAAGCCTGAGGTTGAAGCGCGAGCGGAAAAGGTCTCCAACCGGCAGATCAAGAAATATTGGGAGGGGGTCGAGGATGCGCGAATCGCGAAGAGGGTGCATCAGGAGGATCTGAGCTTGTCAGAGAAAGTACTGCGGTATTTCGACATTAGTTCGCAGTATGGGGTCAGTTTGCACACTTACTGTTTCACCACCAACTTTGCATGGCTTGTTGGGATCATGGGAGGCTTGAAACTGGATACTAACGTTTTGCTAGCCCTGCACCGGTATTCCGCGAACGAAACGCTGGTACCGCGCCGAGAAGCTCGGCTTGAACCCACCAATCGAGGTTCTCGCGGTCCTCTTGAAGAAGGAGCAGGATGGCAATGGTGACATGGAGAGGTCTGCGATGGATCGGCTAATGGAATCGACTGCTATTGGTAGCATTTGAGGGTGGAGATGCGCGGATTTGTCACCATGACGAACAGTCCAGGGGTTTTCGACTCGGCGTCACCAGTTTAGCAGTCTTTCAAATATCAAAAAGAAGACTTGGGGTCGACAGTAAACTATGCTGTGCGACACACAAATGGAGGGCTTTTTTTTTTTTTGGAGTGTAAGGAGTTTGTTGAGAAGATTTGCTTTGCATAATGGTCTGGTCAGGTACAAGGGGTAATCTCAGGACGGCCTCTATCTGACCGTGAAGCAAAAGATTTGGTCATTGCGCAAATTAGTGAGAATACACTTTTTCTAGCCTCTTGAGTTCAGCACTGGCTCAGTACCAAATGCTCCTCGTCCGATGATGCGGAAGTGTTTCCTGCCCCTTCGCCTCCAGCTCCTTCATTAGATCGTACAGGAAAAAGTCAATCAAGATGGCATTAATCTCGACATCAGGATGATTCCGTTTGATCTCTCGTCTGATCAATTCCACACACCAGATACTACAAGCTACACTGTCTGTCAGCAAGAATCGCCCACTGAAAAAAGGCGGTCGAAAGGAACATCGGAAGCTCACCTCTCACTTGCATCTCCCAGGTGCCACCGCTCTGAATCATCGCCTTCTCCTTTATAGCCGTCATGAGCGGGGGGCTATATGAGATGCATCCCATCGTGCTCAAGATTTGCGGCACCCTGTAGTCTGCAAACATGGTAATCTTGCCAATGTCCCGGAACGCGCCGTAGCTCTCGCCCTGGAAGCACGCCCACAGGTCCGCGACCAGGATCTGGGCTCGCTTGAGGAAGCGAATGGGTTTCTTCCTCCCCTTCCACCGGTATTCATCCCGGAAGCAGGAGAAGTCTTCTGCCAATAGGTTGACGAGACCTGCAGCTGAGCCATTGGCTGCGTCGATGCAGTTTGTGAACCTGCAGGAGTATTTCTGCCAGGGGGGGAATTCGGTTAGTGGCTGATGGAGCCCTCATGGTAAAGGGACAACCTACTTCGTAGAGAATCTTTCCAGCTTCGCGCAAACACTCCAGACGACGTTCGAGGAGGGGTATCTCCTCATCTGTAGATGACCGGAAGACATGTCTCAACTTTTCCAGCGTGCACTCATTCTCGTCCTGCCAAAAATGCGGGTCCGTGATGGGGATATCTGGGAAAGTTGAGCTTGTCAGCGGCTAGCCAAGGAAGACCAAGAGTCTCACAGCTAGAGAAGGGGTGTCGTATGCATGTAACCGGCGGGCTGCAAACTAACCTTCATCAATGGCCCTCTGCAGCGCCGCCACAAGGCTCCAGTACCCTGTCCACGTCTTGCCTCTATACGAGATAGCAAACCTCTTGTCCTCAGGCAGCTCGGACCAAAACGAGAAATTCAGCAGGTCCATGGTGAAGATGAAGTTCACGGTGGCCTCGTCTTTGCTCTTGGGATGAAGCTCGTGCTCGGACCATGTCGCCGTCGAATAAGACTTTTCCTGCATCTGTCGGTAGATGGAATTGGCGGCTGTCTTGCAGGACCACATGTCCAGCGCAACGTCGATAGCGTTGTCGTAGACATACTCGACGCCATCAAGCACGCCAGTCTCTGGCTCGGCAGCGGCGGCAGGTTGTCCTAGAAAATGCGCCCGTAGGAGGGCAACGAGTTCTGGGTCGGCCTCATCGTCTGACATGTTGGGGATGCTGCTTGTGGCCGAACTACTCTTGCAGTGTCTCAATGGCAGGACAAATGAGGGTCTAGGGTATGGAGATTGAAAGCATTGGCGTCTCGTGCTGGACGCCTTTGATATGAGGTTGATTGTTCGGGAGGGTCTGGAGAGGAGGGACAGCTTTGACAGGGGCGCACAAGAATGGAGCCAACCAAGCATTGGGCATCTACTACTGTTGATCGACCTGGACCCTCTTAATGTTGAACCTTATCATCATCTCTATTTCTACTTCTTCTCATCACGATACCGGGATGTACATAAAACAGACTTGCTAGTTCGAAATTTAGAATATGCAATACTGGCGCATATTCTTCAGTAGGACATCCTGATTGGCGTGTATCGACGAAGGCCTATTGGTGGTCCCTGAAGCCTCCGGGCTCTTTTCAGCTGGTAGAGCCTGAAAGCTTGGGATTTGCGGGCGAGTTACGTCAGCGTTTCAACGACCGGGCCGGCCCCTGTGGCCCTGGATCTCAGCAAGAGTTTGGCACCCGATCTGGTGTGGCACGGGCCACCAATGGGTCTGCAGGACGGTAGCTGGACCTGATCTCAAGGCTGGACCCGCACCTACGTAAAGTACTTTGGTAAGTACCTCGTACCTCTCCCACACCCCAAATCTTCCAGCCTGCCTGCCAGCTGCCTCGGTAATCCTACTCGTGGTTGTAAGTCGCAGCAACTCGTTGTTGGGTGAGCTCTCACATCATATCCGTCGCTTGACTGACCATCGACACTGTTCAGCTTTTCTCGCCTTTACTCGAGTCCCTCCGCCACGTAAACCTGCCAAACTCACGCGACACACCCACGCCTTGTCCAGCGTCAGACGAAAAGAAGAGTGAGCTTCCCTTTCCGAGAAAGAACACTTGCGCGTTGATGCGCGGACCGCGACCATGAGCGCTCCTACGGGCGAAGCTCCCACGTCCTCCGCTACGCCTGTCCCTCCTCCTGCAGTCGTCCAGGCCCCACCTGCACAAGCTGCCGTTGTGCAACAAGAACAGCAGCAGCAGCAGCCTGTCTTAGGTGGCGGTGGCGGCGTCGCGCAACCAGTCTCTTCCCACACCGTCCCAGTTACACCAACTGGTGGCGCGGCTACTGGCCGAGCGCCGCCTGTGCCACGGCAACATGCAGCGCCTACTCGCGATACGTTTAATATGCGTTCAGTCGGACCTGCTGTGAACTCTCAGGTCAAGAAGGTATGTGCAACCCTCCCTGCCTCTCGCCTCGCACTCCTTGTGCACTCCCCAGTTGCCCCTACTACGAGCCGACACCTCTCATGAGCTGCTTTGGTCCTGCGCCGTTATCATCTGGTTTGCGATCGCAATGGAGTCACAGGTGTCACTCGATGACTTCGGCCTCACTCTAAGCGTCGCGACGGAGCACGTGGTCACTTCCTCGTCTCTCGAACACGTTACGCAATCTCTGAAGACTACTGTACTAAATTTTTTGCAGTCTCGGGTCTTGTTGGTTGGCGCCGGTGGCATTGGCTGCGAGCTCCTCAAGAATATTGTCCTACTTGGCTTCGGCGAGATCCACGTTGTCGACCTCGATACCATCGACTTGAGTAATCTCAACAGACAATTTCTCTTCCGCCACGAGCACATCAAGAAGTCGAAAGCACTGGTATGCGATTGTTGAGACGTGTTGTACTGCCTTGATCGGGAATTCGCTGACAAAGGGGAATAGGTGGCCAAGGAGACCGCGCAAAAGTTCAATCCAAAAGTCAAGATCGAAGCACATCATGCGAATATCAAGGAGACTCAGTTCAATGTCGACTGGTTCCGAGGTTTCAACCTCGTTTTCAACGCGTTGGACAACATGGACGCTCGGCGGCATGTGAATAAGATGTGTCTGGCGGCCGATGTGCCCTTGATTGAGAGCGGAACCACAGGCTTTAATGGTCAGGTTCAGGTGATCAAGAAGGGCGTCACGGCCTGCTACGACTGTACTCCGAAGGACGCGCCGAAGTCATTCCCCGTCTGTACGATTAGAAGCACGCCGAGCCAACCCATCCATTGCATAGTATGGGGCAAGAGCTACTTGTTGAAGTATGATATCGTGACGAGAACCTTTTTTTGGACTTGTACTGACTGTTTACCTGTAGTGAGATGTTTGGCGCAAGCGAGGACGGAGCCGCCTTCGACCACACAGACGATCAAGACAATGCCGAAGAGATCGAGGAATTGAGAAAAGAATCAGAGGCTCTCAAGAAGATCCGCGAGTCCGTCGGTTCAGCGGATTTCCCGCAGCTGCTGTTCGACAAGGTGTTCAAGGCAGATATAGAGCGTCTGCGTTCCATGGAGGACATGTGGAAATCCAGACAACCACCTCAGCCATTGGATTACAAGATCGTGATGAGTCAGGCGACGGAGGCGCTCGCAAACAAGAACGCCATATTACAAGAGGGTCAGAGGGTGTGGACATTGGAGGAGAGCTTGGTTGTCTTCAACGACAGCTTAGACCGGCTGAGCAAGCGCATGCTGGAGCTGAGGAAGGCACATGATGGCTCGGGCCCTGCGCCTGTGATTGAGTTCGACAAGGACGACGAAGACACTCTAGACTTTGTCGCGGCGAGTGCAAATATCCGGTCGACCATTTTCGGTATCGAGCGGAAGTCTCGTTTCGACATTAAGCAGATGGCGGGGAACATCATTCCGGCCATTGCCACCACCAATGCCATCGTGGCTGGTCTCTGTGTGCTTCAAGCCTTCAAGGTCTTGAAGGGGGAGTATAACAAGGTCAAGGAGGTGAGTTTCTATATCATCTAATGTATTCTCCCTGCTCACATGTGTTTCTAGGTCTTTCTGTCACCATTCACACAATCCGTACCCGCTCGCATCATCGCCGCCGATCGCCAACGGGAGCCAAATCCGGATTGTCCGGTCTGCAGCGTGTTCCAGACGAGCGCACATGTCGACTTGTCTCGGGCGACACTCAAGGACTTGGTCGAAGATTTTCTCAGGCTTCAATTTGGCTATGGTGACAAAGACATCGCTGTCAGCACTGAGGCTGGCATCTTATATGACCCGGACGAGACCGAGAATCTTTCGAAGAAGCTGGTCGACATGGGTATGCGAACCTCCATTTCGGCAAATGTATCATTTTTACTAACCACCCACCAGGTATCAAATCTGACAGTTTCATTACTGTCACCGATGAGGACGACGAAGAGCCGTTCGTTAACGTTGTCCTGCACGTCCAACCACCGTGAGTCATCTCCAATGCTTCAGGTAACTTACAGCTGCTAAATCCCCTATCAGGAAGGAGGAGCAACCCGACAAGCCCGTAACAGGACCCTCTACCGAGAAGCCAGACATACCCAAGAAGCCCAAGCAACAGGCGTCTCAGGCAGAGCCACCCGTGACGTCCCAGCCTAATGGAAAGCAGAAGACGGCCGACGACAACGCCCAGCCTCTGAAGAGACCACTCGACGACGCAACTGACCTCCCAGAGGCTAAGAAAGCCAAGGTGACCGACACCGAGACTAAGAAGGGCGATGCGGTCGTGGTCGTAGATGAGGGTGACAGTGGAGCGATCTTGATCGATGATGACTGAGCGGAAGCGTGGCTTTGGGAAGTACTCGTCACGGCAAGAACTAGAGTTGAGTCAAGACATGGCGGCAGTCAATCCGCCGTCAATTGTAAGGACGCAGTTGTTGGCATATGGATTTCGGGCCAGGAAGGCAGCGGCATCTGCCACCTCTTCGACTCGGCCCAACCGCCTCAGCGGGATGTGCTCAGATAAAGAGCTTCGGCTGAAATCTTTTGAGGCAGAAAGTGTACATTAATAAAGCGGCCCTTGTACCTATACGGCACAGTTGGGAACTGGCTGCTGCTGCAGCAGCATCATGGGCGGAAAATATGGGGGCACAGGAGTTATTGGATCTTCTAGACAACAAGATGTCCGAAGAAAGATCAAAGAGGTGGGTAGGCGGATACTCGATGAGATACCCTGCGTGAGAAGCGGGCCACAGGAACAGCCATGGGTTAGGTTGTTTCAACTCACTTTGAATCATGTCCGTCTCAATATACCCGGGAACAAGAGCGTTGACCCGTATACCGTATTGCCCTAGCTCGGTCGAAAGTGCAGACGTAAGACCTGCAAGCCATTAATGATGAGGCCAAGAACGAGAAAGAGGGAGCTTATTGAAAGACAAGATTGGCGGAACCCCGACTCACCCAGTAGTCCAGCCTTCGTAGCTGCATAGACGGCTGCGCCAGTCCCACCTCTCATGGCCATAACACTCGAGACATTGATGATGCTTGGTCCGTCGCCGCCCCAGCCCTCTCCACGCCCCGAGAGCTTCACACCACGCATCATCTGCCGCCCGATGAACTTGCACCCCAGCACGGCAGACTTGAGGTTGATGTCCAGGATTTTCTCAATGTCCTCCAAGGTCGTCCTCGCCAGCAGCGAGGCCTGCGAGACGCCTGCGCAGTTGACCAGAACGTCGACTCTGGTTGGGCCGAAGTGGCCCTTGCTCAGCTTAGCGGTGAGGTCATCCCAAGTTTCAGGGCGAGAAACGTCTCCTTCTACGCCATGGTGGAAGGCTGGTTGTGGAGGGGGGGGTGGTGGTGAGCAGCTTGATTGTGAATCTACTTGAGAGGCAGTCCGAGAGGATTCCAAGGGAGCGACGGGCTGGTCTCGAACGGAGTGGGCTGCGGCGCGTAGTGTCTCTGCGTTGCGGCCTACGAGGATGGTGCTGGCGCCGAGTCGTGCGAAGTGTTGCGCTATGGCGAGGCCGATTCCCCGGCTGCCACCAGTTATAAGGGCTATCTTGCCATGGAGGGGGGGCATTGTGTTCTTCTGGAGCGGTAGGCCATCCCACGGGTGTGTTCACTGCTAAAGGAGGGCATAAGCTTGGCGAATTAACCTGGTGAGGCTATGAGAGGTGAAAGAATGAATGATATCTCACAATTGAGCATCTGGCAACCCAGCTCGAATTATGCAGTGAGGAGATATTATTCTGTCTGGGGGGTCTTGACGAAGCAGAATCCTTGTATGCAATTAAACCATACACGTCTCGCAAACCCGCGGGAAAGCGCAGGTCCCACCAATACTACCAGGCCTCGGTACTCGTAGTATGCACACCGGAAAAATCACAGCCAAGACACCGACCGCGTCTTCTCTAAATGAATGATACAAGACTCTACGCACCCATGCACGTCTCCGTGGTGTCCAACCGCCGCTGCTACGCTGTCTCCTAAAGCATGGATTGGCGGTGCGCGTTCAGAGAACAGTTCTTCTGAAAATAATAGACGTCTTGTCAGATGTCAGGAAACAGAACAGGAGAAACCGATTCTCCATCAATCAATCCTCCCATCGTCGTCACAAGGCACCCGTCCTCGGTCTGCCCTGCTTATCGAACATAATTGTGGACCCTCCTCGGTCCTTCCTTTTACAGTTCCCAAGCCTCCAACGAGCTTGTACTACTATAACAACTTCCCTCTTGTCCATGACAACGTCAGGTGCCATCCATCTCGAGCTGTCCAGAGTGTCCAAGGGAGATCTCAATGAACACATGAGGAGGAGGAACAGGAACATTGTCCATGCATCGAAGGCCCCGAGGCTCTAGCTCCGGCTCAGAGCAGCAGACCCAAGCCCGCGATGCCCCGCTGCGGATTTCAGTCGCCGACGACGATGGCCTGAAAGACGAGTTTCCCGTCTCGGCCAATGGCCATGTCGAGCCCAAGGAAGGGGAAAAGAAAGAGGTCATTGATGCTGGCTTGAGGAGTCTAGATCACTGTATGCAATACTCTCCTCTGCCCTGTTCGCCTTCGCCCCATACTGCTTCCCTTATCGCGCCGGTGCATGCTCTTCTGTCCTGCGCGTAAGGAGCCAGACATGATAGTGATTATTGGTACCCAAAATTGCGGGCGTTGCGATCGTCTCTCCCACGACTCATACCCCCTTTGCTAAGCATGTTTGCGATCCAGACAAGCGAGCCATGCCAGCATGGCGATACCAACTCCGTCAGAGGGTACTACCTCTGGTACGATGGGAGACGCCGTACCTCGCCTATTTCCAGGATACCATGCGCACGCCTGCGCTCGATAGCTACTTTGCGATCACGGCCAACCTCGGCACGCACACGTTCTTCATGATCGGTCTCCCAATACTGTTCTGGTGTGGGTTTCCATCCTTTGGGAGGGGCCTCGTACACATACTGGCAGAGGGTGTATTCTTCTCGGGCTTCATAAAAGATATGTTGTCGCTGCCACGACCGCTGTCGCCTCCACTACATCGTATCACCATGTCTGGATCCGTGGCTCTAGAGTATGGGTTCCCCTCGACACACTCTGCTAATGCGGTATCCGTCGCCGTATACGCCCTCCTCCTCCTGAGATCTCCCGACTGCGCGTTCTCTGCAACGACCAAGATCCTGCTTGAGTCACTGGGGTATTTCTACGCTGCATCCATTATCATCGGGCGCCTGTACTGCGGCATGCATGGCTTTGCCGACGTTATCTTTGGTTCTCTTCTCGGTGCTGTCATATCGCTGATCGAATTCTACCACGCGCCTGCCTTTGAGGAGTATCTCCATGCCAGTGGCTGGATTGCACCCTTCACCGTGGCCCTCCTCATCATCATCCTTGTCCGCGTGCACCCTGAACCAGCAGATGACTGTCCCTGCTTCGACGACTCCGTCGCCTTCTCCGGCGTCATGATCGGCCTCGAGATTGCCTCCTGGCGCAACGGGCCTGACTCCCTCACCGAGCCCTTCCCTTCCCTGAGCTGGCCCATGACGATTGCCCGGATCGTGTTTGGGGTGTTGACAATTATCGCGTGGCGTGAGAGCATGAAGCCCGCCCTGCTCAAGACCCTGCCGCAGCTCTTCAGATTCATCGAGAAGCTGGGCGTGTCCCTGCCCAGGCGATTTTTTGTGCCGGCCTCCGAGTACAAGAATATTCCCAATCTGCTCAAACTGCGCACCGATAATGTCTTGCCGACCATGAGCGACTTCCCGCACTTCGTGAAGACGCTGCGCGCGCCAGCTAGAGGCCGGAGCGTGTCTGTCGGCCCGCAGTCGGCGGCCGATGCGTACGAGGCGCTTGCGTATCGGGAGAAGCGACGCAGGGAGAGCATCGGGTCCAACGGGAGCTTTAACAAGGGTAGCCACGTGGACTTGCGCGAGAGGTTCCAGGCGGACGGGTCCGCGCTCTCGAACAGCGGCGAGGACCATGCCGGCCACAGCCCACCGCAGTATGCCTCGGCGGGCAAGTCCACCGCGCTGGCGGATTACGAGCAGCAGATGGGACAGGGACGCGTGATTCTGACGAGGTCGAGGACGGATCGGTCACCGAGTCCCGCGACGCCCATGGTCGTAGAAGAGTCGGAGGACATGGATCAGGAGGGCGTGGAGCTGTTCGCGCTGAGGGACGAGCAGGATGAGCTTGGCGAGAGAGAGATGTTTGAGAGGCTGGTTAAGCCTAGAGTAAGGTATGACGTGGAAGTCGTCACAAAGCTCGTGGTCTATACTGGTGAGTTTTCTTCTTCTTCTTCTTGACTTATTTGCACCTCACCTGCCAATTCCTGCGTATACTGACATTTTGGGCTCCAACAAAAGGTATCGCGTGGCTCGCTGTTGAAGGCATACCTTCGATGCATGAACTCGTCGGCTTGGGCGTCAGGCACCTCCATGCCGGATAGAAAAAAAGAAGAAAAAAAGAAGTTATTTAAAGCCATTGACCGGAATGACACTGTCACTGTATTTCCAATGATAAGCAGCGAGAAGAGTACCTATAATAATGCCGGTTCCTAGCCTAGGGGAAGGCCAACGGAACTGTAAATTCGGATATAGAACTATCTCGCCCTGAAATAAAATTCGCACTCCGGACTAGCTTCGGAAGGTGAAGGAAATTTGCAGTCCATGAATTTTGCGTGCTCACTTGTTTACGAACGTTTCATTTACGCCTGTCGATGGATTTATGCTTGGGTGTAAATGGGGTGAACGCTTGACTTTTATTGCAACCTCAATCACTGATCTATGCTTTGGATTCGCCATCGCGACCGTCCTCTTGGCCTGTTGCTGCCGTAAGACGTATACGCGCTGCTTACAGACCGTGAATAAGCGACGATGTGCTGCCAGGCATAAATGTGTTCTATACATTCCGACTAGGATGGTCTCGATCGTTGTCCTCCGTTTTGGTGGTGTTGTCTTGTGGTTCAGCTAAGCTATATTCGCGGCAAAAGACAGTCGTCAGGCGATGAACATGCAAGTCAAGATTTGATAGCAGTGTCTCTCCAAAATGGCATGCGCCTCTGAAATGTATTTCGTCGGATCACATTTCTGAACAGCGCATTCTCCGCCGAGGTTCAAACGTCAAATACAGCGGTCGTCATTCATGCTTACCACCAATATGTGCACTGATGGGCGATCATATAACCATGTTGCGCAACCGTAGGTCAACATTGTAATTTGTTTTTATTCTTTAGATCTTGCAGTTGGGAATCACACCCAGGTGGAGTATCATGCCCAGATTTATGCCTTCTTCTGCTTCCTCAGCACCAGCCGGTCCCACCTCTGCCAAGCGGTAACGCCCTCAAAGAACGTCGTCGCCACCCACAGCAACCAGACAGTCGAGACCACAGGCACTTGGGCCGGCGCCAGCCTGCTCCTGGCCATGTATACCGCCTCGGCGACGTGAATCGCGATCATGGGCACCAACAGGAACCTCACCAACCACACATATGTTTCTGGCCCACCAGGGAAGTGTATAGCCTTCGCGAACTGCCAGAGTCCAGACCCAGGCCTGGCGTGACCGGAGAGGACAAGTGTGGCCGAAACAAAGTACCATATGACGCCCGTAAAGCTGAGGATCCCCACGCCTTGGGGCGGGTACCACGCCACCGCCGCCGCGCCACCGCCCTCGGCAGGAGGCGGCAGACCCAGTGCGGCGCGCGCCTCAATCGTCATATCGGCCAGCCTCGTCCTGCGGTCGGACCAGGTGCCCATGGGCGGGTCCAGGGCGACGTGCTGCACGCCGGCGGCGGAGCGGATGGTCATGGTGGCGAGGTCGAGGTCGAGCATCTCGGCGTCGGCGGCCTGGGCTTCGGACAGGCGGGCGTGGTGGCGCAGGATAGCAGACATATCGGCAGCATGGTCCTTGTTCATGTGGGTGATAGTTCGAGCTTTGGAGACTGGGTCGATCTCGAGGGCACTGCCGGCGGGTGAGGGCGTAGGCGCCGCGGTCGAGGCGCGGGTTGTGACCATTTTTGTGTCCTTTGCGTTTTGAGAAGAGAGGGGGAAGGTCTTCGTGGATTAGAGGTTGGAGAAACTTGTGGTGGTACAACAGGAGAAATCTTGAAGAGAGTTGTGTCTGGCGCTCGAGTGATGTCGTCGAAGTTGTAGCTTGAAGTAAGTCAGGAGGGAGGAGGAGAATGAGGAAGAGGAAAACGAGAGTTGTAGCACTTACAGCAGAATGAGGCAGCAGGTGGCGCGTTTGGTATAGTGAGCCGGCAAGTGGCTGGCAGGATGCTGTGATGTCCAACTTCTGTTGGCAAGCGTCCCTCCGTAGCTTATATACAGCAGTAGCTAGCTAGCTTTGTATGGTGGGAGTATGGGATCCACTCCTGCTTCTTCGGCCGCTTGCGGGCTCAAGAGGGGCCAAGGGGCACCAAACGTGGGGGAGAAGGAGGCTCACTACCACACTAGTGGTTCCGTCCCTGATCGAAGGTCAATCAGTACCTTGACAGAAGGGACCTTGGCAATAGATCCTAGTCTCGATCCTAAGTTCATACCGTGGCATGTCCATGCCTGTCTAAGATATTGATGATATATGCGTGTAGAGATCACTTTAGATTGCTTGCTCGTTTGCCCATGACACATATTCCATCCTCCGTTTTGAAGCTCTGTTGTGTTGAAGACCTCAGGTCATCGGCTCCATTGGTGCACTACACCCTGGAATTTGCAAATGCAGAAACTGTAAGACGCTGGTGTGGCCTGTAGTGACTGCCAAATTCAGAGAATATGACATCGAGAACACTCTCCGCACTGGTCGCTACTACCTACTTTAGGTAGGACGGGAAACAAGAGTACAACAGGACAATCCTAACACAAACATTTCAAGAACATGAAGCAGCAGCAGTCAAGGATATACATCTTCTGCCCACCACTCTAAGAGCAGAGCATCTGGTAAAGTGTGTGATAACACCAAAAAAATAAGAAATAAAACAAATTGTAGTGGGCTCACGCTGGATTTTGTAGGGCAATGCTTCCCCAGCCTCGGTTGTCTGGGGCCCCGGACCCAAGAACGGAAAGGCGCAACCAGGGTCCCTGAGTACCCACACAAGCAAACTGACTGCCTAGTCTCCTCTCCCCCTTTGAGAATCAAAAGTGCATGAAGTCAGATTGTACTGCACTTCAACAACGCATCATGGTATTCTGAAACCCCATTTCCACCATAAACGGCACGCCAGTACGCCCAGAAATTCCTGGAGGGATGCCACCACCGCTCATGGCCTCATCACCACCGGTGCTTGATGATGATAGCAACACCTCTTCCGACTCCGATTCCTCCGCATTAGTCTCGGAAAGCGATGACCCCATCACTCAGCAAGATGCTTCTCCCCACGACCATGACTCTCAGAACGTAAATCATGTTATCGATGGTCCCACACATGCAGCAAAGTCCTCATCGTCCAAGTCCAACCTTGGAACAGGGACTAGCGTCACCAAGGGCGCCGGACCAAGTCTGCACACAAGCAACGAGCGCCGCTTTCGGCCTCCCGTCACCTATAATCTCAAGGAACTCAGCAAGAAGGCTCGACTGCCTTCCAAATCGTCTCCACAGAAGGGCCTGGGTAAAGACTCTGCCAGCGGCATGCCAGCCCTCAAACCCTTAGGTAGCGAGCCCAGTCCCTTTACATATAACCTAAAGGAGCTTTACGAACATCAGATAACCGGTCAGTCAAAACCCACTCAACACAATGCCGCAAATCCCATGGAAAAGGGGTCGAGGAGACTGGCCCCTGAGGTCGAGCTCCCCAAAAGGCCTCTTGGTGAGGAAAATGGTCCGGAACAGCTTGCAAAGCGTCCACGCGTTGGGCATGACGTATTCATGCCAACTACCTTGAGCGAGCCTGGTGCTTTTGACAAGGAAGTCTCACGAGCCCAACGCCAAGATTCAACTGCAGGGCGCCGCCAGAGGAATACATCGACTGCTGCTGGCGATGTGTCAAATCTGGTCGAGTACCTTCGCCCTATCCTCCGGCGTGGAGGAGTTCCAGATCCTGCTGGGATGCTGCGCCTGGAATGCTTCAGCACATTGGTGTCGCTTCCTCAACAGCGTACCATTGAATGGAACGCTCATCACGGCTTGCCATGGACGTACAGACACAAAATTGATATCACATCCTTATTGGTCCAAATCACGGGAGAACGGCCGCCTTCGCCCTGTGAGAGGTGTGAAGCTGGGCGCGGCAAGTACATGGGCTGTTTCGTCATCTCGTCAGCCGCCAACACTGGCAGCATATATGGATGTGCAAATTGCATCTACCACGGCAAGCAGACATTCTGCAGCCTCAAATCTTGGGGGAAGAAAAAACTCCGGGATGGTGCCACCTCAGCACCTACTGCCACTATCGCAAAAGACAATGCGGAAACGGATCTTGGAACACGAGGAGCAAGCCAACAAGACGCCGCAACAGCGTCAGTGCATCAAAACCCAGTTGACAAGGTGGCACAAACCCGACCAACAAGTCTCAAAGCAACACCTCTTGTGACTGCAGGGATATTACCAGGGACAGTCACGATGGAACCGTGGGAGAGAGCACCAGGACGGATCCGCTCGGTAACCTCCGACAAGCCCGAGAGTGAGTATTATCACATTCGCCTTGACCATACCTTCAACGCTTCCAACTGGCTGACATTACAAGACATTGCGTTTTCAAAGGCATACCTGACATCTGGCAGCGAAGTCCATCCTTGCAAAGAGGCAACTTTTCGGGTCGAGGTCATTTGCTCCGGCCGTAGTTGTTATTTACAGCCCCAGACAGGCGTTACGCGTCTCTGCTCAATCGCGGCTGGGAAGCTGACTGTCAAAATAGAGGGCGAAGAGCCATTTGTCATTGGACCCCATGGCATGTTCCGCATCACGTCGCATTCGACATGTCTCGTCGAGTCCGAAGTCTATGACGACGTAGTTTTGCATATCACTTCCATCAAAACCGAAGACGATTGAGCCTACGATATGCGACCACAGCGGCAGCATCCTAACCACACCCTTTAAATACGGTGTCTTGCCATGGCTGAAAGGTGCTCAATGTTGCAGATGCCACCCTGCGTCCTGGTGCTTGTAATATGGTAAGGTGTACCCTGCACGCCACGCAAGGAATGGAGACGGGAATCCATCCACCTCGGACTTGCTGGTATGTGGCAGTGCGTGGGCATCGAGAGGATCTGGAAGGATTGTTGTACTCTAGCTGACCATATGAGCCCTCGATCGACTCGCGAAGGCTCAAGCTCGTCGAGATTAGAACAGTATTAGTCATTAGCCATCGCTCAAGATTCACGATCCGCAACACCATGGGTATGCAATCGACATCACATTTGACAATGTCAATATTCATGACTTCTCACAGATGACCTGTCGCCAGGATTGAATCTTGGTCCTAAGTTATGCCAACTCATCAGACTGACACCGCCGCACATGACAATCACTACTATATCAGACTCGTGGATCTCGGCTGGCCAGGCCACAGATAAAGGGATCGCGGTCTTTCCCCCCTTTTCCCCCTTCTTCTTCCCACTCTGTCCCAGGCTAATGCGATTCTTGCTAGAGCTGCTTGATGAAGGCACTGGCAAGAGAAATTAACGAGAATCCTCTGTCTACACCGAGAGTACGCCATGTTGCTGGCAAGCCCGTAAGTGTTCGAGAGGGAAGGCCTTGGTAGCCATCTAGCTCTTAGACCGACTGCACAAGGCAAGGGGAGCCGAGTGGAAGGCCAAGCTCGTCTCTGCTCACCTCGTGCAGAATGTCATCAGATTTGCTTGGAGATTGCCAGATAGCTACGCGTCTCTCCTTGTACCTGCCCCCTTCGGCCCTTTGGAATCCCCTATGCGGGTGCCTCTGGCCGGCCAGAATCCGCAGCCACCCCTGCACTATCGGGAAATCTCCGGGTAACCACCCTTCTATTGTGTGCGCACAATCCGAGGTATTCTCCGATGCTAAGCAGACGTTGCGTCTTCTCGAACTCCTAACACCTCTCGATTTTGAGGACGAAGAGCATCGCTTTCCACTGCCACAAGTACGACCTTGAAGAAGGGTTTTTGGGAGGGTCGACAGTTTCCGAGAGAAAACATTGCGAGGTTTTGGGGCTTGTCTTGATTGGCAAACGTCGAGAGGTTGCTGTGGCATTCTGGAAAGGGGCCGCACAATTGAGCGAAGATTTGGCAGTGATAAGGCACGATGGAAATAACGGCCTTTCTTCCGGCGATTCTCTCAATCCGACCCAAACAAATTTTTGGGTCTCTGCATAGATTGACCCAAGCTTCGTGATGCAGGCAACCCAATGTTTCAAGCGTTTGTTCATCGAATTTCATCTACAAGGGACGGCATCTCGCCCCAGCTACTCTGATCAAGTTTCCTCCTCTCCCTCCCTCGAACAACAAAGCAGCCTTGTGTCCTTCAGCAGTGAGGCGAGCGTGGAGTATCCGAGCATTGCGTTCCTCGCCAGGTCACCCATACACGGAAGGTGTCCGCTTAAAGATTTTTTCGACCCTGCTATCGTGTGGTCCTCGCGATTCCGGGCGCCTGAGGTCTGGCGAAAGCACGACCCATTTCGGTGGCTTTGCGGCTCAAAATATGAGCTTAGGGATCCTAGCAAGATCCGATCTTCCCGACTGCAAACGGGCCGTTTGACGGGTTTAGCGGTGGACCCCTGAACACGAAATAAGGTCCGCCCTGATGTCATGACGAGACCTCTTTGGCTGCAAGCCCCTCGGCATTCGTCTTGGGACCCACCCACTCATGTGTTGGCTCCGATTAAAATCATTCGTTGCGTGTCGATTGATCTGCCGTCCGGAGTCAGTCCGAGCCTGGATCTGACGACGCCTCACAGCACGAGATACGGGGATCAAAGTCTTGTCACTCGTCATCCATGCCAACAAGCATGCTACACAGTAATCGAAACTGTCCAGTGCCTTGAGTCAGGGCGAAGTACCGTGTAGAACACTGTCACATGGTAGGTAACCAGGAATCAGAAGGGTCCAACGAGGCGAGAACGCCAAATTGTGTCAATCTTCGTCAATCTTTTCGAGTCCAGACACCCAGCTTGAAACTTGCCGGTTGCGCTGAGAAAGGACTGGCGATGTCGAGAATTTTTTATTTTTTTTCTTCTTTCCCTCCTAGTTGTGATCTTGAAGACCTCGATTCCGGCGAGGCTGATCCGAGATACTAACCGGAAGCCGGCATATGTACACTGACAGGAGCTTGGCAGGCCGGCCGTTCCCGGTCAAATGAGAAACTAGGGAGCGCATCACTGGGCTCCGCGTGGTTCGCCCATGCAGAATCTTTCCATGGTGAATCCTCGCTGTTTCCTACATTGGACGACGGGAGCGGCCGGACATTCTCTCGATAGTTTGTCAAAGTTAACGGTTTCCGGTTTATTGACGTGCCTGAAGATATTTTCCAGGACTCGGTCGTTCTCTCGGCGTGGGTAGTCTGTCCGCAACAGGAGAGATCCAGTACCAGATCCATATTAGCGAGACTCCACTAGGTTCGTCGCCGAGGCCGTGGCGATCGATCCAGGCCGTGACGACGGGTTTCTCACTATGGCCGCCGCAAAAAGAAGCAGAAAAAATCATGGCTTTCAGGAGTTCCCCGGCCTTCCAGGTGGGACCTTCGATAAATTCTGTGATGACAATGCAATGATTGTCACCCCACACGAAAGCCCGGACAGTCACGCCCCCTCAAAGTAAGTGCCCAGATGGAGTCCCCAGTCTCTCCGGAGGAGGCCATGGAGAAAGTACGGAGGGAACTGGGAGGTCTGGAGTCACCCTGACGCTATACCCACAGAAGTCATGATAGAGGCTTGGCTGATCAATAAAAAGGACGTTAACTCCTCTGCGGTGATTAGTTCTGATCTTTTCTGTCGATCAGGCTTCCACCTCAAATACAATAAACCCCCTTCATACTTCCTTCTTGGATCAACACCAACCTCTTTTATCTATCCCCCTCCATCAACATACATCGCTGCCTTGCGACGCGACTGACAACAACCACACGTGTATCGCACGGTCAACAACCAATAACAACAAAATATGTCTGCCACAGGAGAGCCAGCAAGTGGCACGTCCACGCCACCGAATGGCGCCGAGAAGCACACTGATACGGGCGCCGACTACGGCAAGATCAAGGTCATGAACTTTCGGGTTCTGATTATGGGCCTGCTCATTTCACTCGGTGGTTTCATCTTCGGATGGGAAGGTGGAGCCATCTCGGGTTACACACAGATGGACAACTTCAAGAACCGCTTCGGCGATGTTGATGACGACGGCAGCTTGAGTCTCGGCAACGTGCGGCAGGGTCTCATGGTCGGCATGCTCTGTGTCGGCTGTCTGGTCGGTGCCCTCGCCTCCGCTCCCATTGCTGACAGGTTCGGCCGGAAATACTCCATCACTTTCTGGAACCTCATCTACATCGTCGGCAACATCGTGTGCATCACTACCCAGTACCAATGGTACCAGGTCGTCATTGGCCGTCTCATCGACGGATTCGGCATTGGTGCGCTGTCCGTCCTGACGCCCATGTACCAGTCCGAGACGGCGCCTCGCCAGGTCCGTGGTGCCCTCGTCTCGGCCTACCAGCTGTTTATCACCCTCGGCATCTTCGTCTCCTACTGCGTCAACTACGGCACCGAGGCCATCCAGTCTCCCTCTTCGTGGCGTATCACCATGGGCATTGGCTTCATTGCCCCCACCATCATGGCCATTGGCATGCTTGTCATGCGCGAGTCTCCTCGCTGGGAGTTCCGCCGTGGTGGAGAGGCTGAGGCCCTCAAGACCCTGGCCCTCGTCGCCGGGGTGGACGAGAACCATCCCGAGGTCCAGCACGCCCTTCACGACATCCGGGAGAGCCTCGAGGCCGAGCAGGCTGGCGGCGAGCAGAAGTGGTACGAGGTCTTCACTGCCCCCGCCATGATGCGTCGTGTCCTCATCGGCATGGCCCTGCAGGCCCTGCAGCAGCTCACCGGTGCCAACTTCTTCTTTTACTACGGTACCGAGATCTTTGATGCTGTCGGTATCTCCAACTCGTTCGTTACTTCCATGATCCTGGGCGCCGTCAACGTCTTCTCCACCTTTGGTGGTCTGTACGTCGGTCAGAAGTTCGGCCGCCGTATCTCCATGATGCTCGGTGGTCTCTGGATGTTCGCTTGGCTCATCATCTTCGCCTCCCTCGGCTCCTTCGCCTTGTACCCCGATGGTAACGCTGGTGACGCCAACGCTCGGACCAGTTCCAGCGTTGGTTCCGCCATGATTGCCTCCGCCTGTCTGTTCATTGTTGGTTTCGCCGTCACTGTAAGTTAATAAACCTGCTCCCCGCTCTGCCTCTGCCTCCATTCATCAGGCCTACCTTCTAACACGCGGAACAATAGTGGGGTCCCCTCGTCTGGGCCATCGTCGGTGAGATGTTCCCCTCGCGCTACCGTGCTGTGGCCATGGGTCTCTGCACCGCCGCCAACTGGCTGTGGAACTTCCTCATCTCCTTCTTCACTCCCTGGATCACCGGCGCCATCGGCTACCGCTACGGCTACGTGTTTGCCGGGTGCTGCTTCCTGGGTGTTCTGATCACCTTCTTCTTCGTCAACGAGTCCCAGCAGCGCTCCCTCGAGGAGGTTGACTCCATGTACATCCTCGGCGTCGTCCCATGGAAGAGCAAGAGCTGGAAGCCCCTCGAGGACCCCGTCAACTCGGATAACCTGCACCTGGCTCCCGGTGGCCGTCAATTTGCCAAGCCTGAGGTCCCGGGTGCTGGTCACGTTGACAACAACGCTGGTCCCGTCGAGTCTGCTTGAAAGACAAAAGAAAGAAAAGGGCAGGCACCAAGAATCATGTCTGAATGATACAATGAGAGGAGATGGACATGATTAGAAAGAAAGTGACCCTGGAAACCGTCATACTGAGCTGACAAAAGGGAGCATCGCTTTCGCGTAACTCGCTCCTGTTGCTCACGGGGGACCAGACAAGATCACGACACGAGCACATACGCATATATGAAGGGAGGGGAAGGGGGAAAATAAGGACGAGGGTCCTAGTTGACTTGTATATATAGTTGGGTTATTGGTCGGTGAACCCATCACACTGCCTCCTGGGCGTTTTGCATATCAGATACCCCCTACCGAATGATATCTGACACATATTTTGTCACAATGATAAGCAAGAATTTCTCGCTGTTTCTATTGTCTTCGTTTTCCTTGCTTGTGATTGTGAAAGTGTCCAATGAAGGCTTTTGCTATATATTTTTTTCAGGCTTGTGGATATGTTATGTGAGTGGCGTCTCCAGCTGGGCTGCGCTGGATTCATGGTTGAGACCCGCGCACATGCGTCTGGCTGGGGCCATGTTGAAGGAGTCACAACGTGCACGAAATACATGTTCTGAATGGTAGAAGCCACGTAGGTTACCCGCTTGAGCGTGGTTCATCGGAGATCGTCCTATCTGTCTGTCCCCTCTCCCCCCCCCCCCCCCCACACACACACACATACGCACCTGGCAAGAACAATAGAAACATGTGGGAGTGCAACAGCAGAGGAGGAACAACAAGACAATCCAGTACGAGAAAAAAATGGGTGTGGTGGGTACGTACGTACCCATTCACCGGAAACACTCCACCGTGCAATTGTTTTGGAAACGTGCTTGGCGCCTGTTGTGTACTATGTAGTCGGATTGAGGCCGAGGTGGCGTTCACGCACGAAAAGGAATGGGGCAAGAGAAAAAACAAGAAAGAAAGAAAGGAAAGGGAAAAAGTGCTTAGTAGGACGGGAAAACCCACCTCAGCCCTATTTGCGGGTATCGTGTGACAGGTTTGACCCTGTGTTTTCTCTCCTTTCGGGTCTTCTTTCCTCTCGTTTTCTTCTGTCACGTCCACCCACTCTCGCTATCGGTCTGTCTGTGTCGTTGCATTTCCTTTTCTTTTCCGGTTATCCGTACGGCAGTTGGGTTTACTGTGTGGGTCGGTTGGTGGAAAGGGGGCATTTGGTGGCGTGGTTTTTGGTGGGCCCGGATCCGCAGGCGGCTTAGGCTGGCTCTGTTTTATTAGAAAGCAAAGAGACTTGTTCTGGCTTGTGAGAGTGAGTGCCGGGTTTGGGTGTGGAAAGCAAGAATTCTCTTGATCACACCCGTAGGTGGCGATGGACAAATCTGAACGTTGGCAAGGGGGACTTCGCACAAGCAAGATCACATTGAACCTCTCCAGGGTCAAGGCGTGCATGCATGCATGTGTCCAACAAAAAAAAAAAAAAAAAAAAAAAAAAGAGGAGAAAAAAAATTGAGTCAAGCCAGTACGTAGCTCAAAAGGAAATCCTCGGGATGATGAGGCTCGAAAGTGTGCTCAGGCAATTCATCGTATGGATTATGCATTAGGTCCGCTGTTCGCGCCTTGAAAGAGTGCTGCTGAAGCGTCCGACCCCTTCACGCCCTGTCTTGGAACCGTATGTTAGTCTCCCATTAATAAAAACTTATCAGATTAGAGTGGAACAAGTGACGTGGGTCGGACAGTGCAGTCAATAGACCGGCCATATGCTCGCTGCAGTCCCAAACATCTGTGCAGGGTTAGTCTCCACAGTAGCCCAATGCTTGCTCTCTACTATGGTACCATAGTACGTGTCCATGAGGACAGTGTTGTAGAAAAGCATTCGACCGTGTATTTGACTGTCAATGGCGTCGCCGTGTGGCCAACCTGGCAAGGTAAAGATCACGAGCCAAAATTTGAGTTCAAAACCGAAAGAATACTATGACGAAAAGACAACGACGCCGCCAATGCTTGGGCATTGGCCTTCGGAAAGAATTGGTGTGTTCAAGTGGTTCTCGTAAAAGAGGAGAAACGGAGGACAAGGGCCCTTGAACATTCTCTCCTTCATACAAACATGCATCCATGCAAATTCAAGCTTGACTCGCCCTATCCTTTTTATAGGGAAGTAAGGCGTCATCCGGACTGCCCTTCACATGCTAGGTCCCTCGTCACCCTTACTTACTCAAGCAGCTCTGAATGGGCGGTCCTTCTACATATCAGGCTCACCGAGCGACGCAAGCTTGTTGGACATTTCGGGTCATTGTCTGGCGTCGTCAGCTATCACACAATATTTAGAGCCGGAAAGGTAGAGATCGCTGGGCCAGCAGTGAAGATGAAGACGCAAAAGCTCTGAACAGTGGTCATTCTGAACCACTCCGGACCAATGTCGAACCTTCCAGATTGCGTGGAGCACTGGCGAGGAAGCGAAGCGCGCAGATGGGTCTCCTTTGCCACGGCCCAGAAGCTCCGCTACACAAATCAACATACTATGGGCTGCTGATAGTCTGAATCAGGGTCATGTTGTGCTGGGGCCGTTTCAGCTTCCAGTCATGTTGTGGTTGGCTCTGCGGCCCCATGTCATCCAACTTGTCGGGTTGCGAACGAGGCAAAGTAGAAAAGATCAAGGCCATGCTACAGCAGCACGCTGAGCTGCTCCTTGCCAAGGCTGGAACATTTATGCTCTTTGTACCGAATAAGTCTCCAGCCTTGCTGTCTTTGGTGACTCAGCCTCATCCTGAATACTTTGTCGAGATATTCATTGTGTGAGCCGTGAGGCTGACCAAAGAGCTGTTCCAAGTATTATGATCGTATTTCGGACGCGCAATACTGAGGCTGTTGGAGGCCGTGCCGCATCGTGATCCATGGCCAAAGAAAAATTCTGCTCAGGAGGAGCCCTTGTGAGCGCAAAGGATATCAAAGCAGGATACTGACATTGAGATTGAAATTAGACCAAGACTGGTCTTGGTGATTTCAACCATGATACAGCATGCATGGATGAGGAGACTCCCAGCTGTTCATGACCAGAAGAATGTTGCACTGCGCGCTCTGTATAAGATGAGCGAGGCCTTCCATCAGCGGTGAGGCTGGCTAATCAACGTTATTGAGTGGATATCCTACTTCACAACTAACACCATGAGTGAGCCGGCTTTTCACAAAACGTTTAGCATGCTTGAAAAGTACGGATGCCCACAAATTGTCCCTAAATGGCTTGGGCGGATTCGGCACAGTGACACCGGCCCCGTGGCTTACTAGCGTTGCCTTTACCTCAATATCTTACCCAAATCGCAGCTGCTCTAGGCTGGTCTAGTCAAGCTTGCAAAAGTTGCAATAGAGGATCAATCAGAGATGGACTCATCAATGACGAACGTCAGCCAGATACGGTGCGACGCTATTCTTGTTGAGCGAGACAGAGCACCAAGTCTGCATCTACCCCATCTATACTTGGAAGACATCAGAAAGAAGGCCGAGAGTAATGATCTGGGGAGTAGTGATGTTCTCGCTTGGCTGTGGGCTACCATCGCCTGCCCGGTTCTGACCGCCCTCGGGTTTGTTCAGCCTCCTTCGACTTACAAGAACTTGCCACGCATGTGGTGGGTCCCAACCGGCCCGCTGAGCAGATTCGCGCTCCACGCAGCTTATTACCACGGCAAGCGGTCCTATGAGACGGTATCGATAGGGTCATGTCGTTGTACAGTTGTTCGATCAAAGCAATTATCAACGGTCGCCTTCGTCGCATACACACTACCTCGCCGTCGACCCCAGGACATTCGTTGCTAGTAACAATGCCACAGACAAGGGATATTCGCAACTCGATGTCCCTCAAGAACATCGATCTCCAAACGCCAAGACGTACTGTGGAATCTGCCTGACTGCAGAGTGTTCCATTTCGCTGGCCACGCCCACGCCGATGACCAGAACCCACCCAACAGCCAGCTACGCCTGCACGACTGGAAAGACAACCCCCTCCGCATGCCAGACCTTCTCGACCTCAACCTCAATGCTCACGCGCCATTTCTTGCGTACCTCTCGGCCTGTGAGACCGGCCGAATCAGGAATGACTTATTTCTCGACGAGTGCACACATCTGATCAACGCAGTCCAGCTCGCGGGCTTCCGGCACGTCATCGGTACTTGGCCCCAAGACATGCTGTAAAGGTCAGAAAAGACGAGATTATACAGCCGTCATGTGTTTATAAATTAGCATAACACAAAGCCTAATAGTACCTCTGGAAAATAGGAGTCAAAAGTTAGTTGGTGGCAATTGACTGAACAACCTAGATAGTTTCTATTCATGAATGATTTTGACCCGTGAATGCTAGCTATTTTCAAACGGAATAGCCTTGGGCTGTTAAAAAACGATGAGACAACCAATGCTCGACCAGGAGTTAGTACGGACATCGAGACTGAGCCCACCAAGTTCAGGTCAAGAAATATCCATGTCCAAGATAAGTTTCAAATCCTGTAGTTTGTTAGCAGGAATAAAGGTCTCGACGAGCAAACAGTCACATGCAGGTTCTTACCTCCAACCTTTCGCTCACTTCATTGTTCTGGCTTGTGTCAAAGACAAATTTTGCCAGGCCCTTCTTTCTCTGCTGCAGACTGAGCATATTCTGATTGCGCGTTAGTCTTGTGCGCACCATGGAAAATACTTCTTTCTCGCACATACCTGTTCCACTGTTCCGTTGATTATGTAGCGGAAAATAGTGACTTCCTTCGTCTGGCCCATACGAAGTGCTCGCGCGACGGCTTGCTCCTCCACCGACGGATTCCACTGCGGCTCGACAATATGAACGCTGCTGGCCGCTGTCAGGTTGAGTCTATTGCAGTGTCAGATTTTGGATGCTCAAATGCTTGTGCGAACAAAGTTTTTACCCGAGGGCTCCTGTCTCGATCGACATGAGGAGTACGGTTACTTGTGGTTCTTCTCTGAAAGCTTTCAGGTTCTTCGATCTATCAGAATAGCTTGTCTCGCCGTCTACTCGGACGTAGGTGATGTTTTGCTGCCTGAGAAGCTGAGCTAGTTGATTATGCGTCGATATCCAGTAAGAGAATACGATGCTGAGAACATGATGAGAATATGAGAATAAAAAGATGTGACAAGGCAATACACACTGTTTAATCCCTAGATTAGATTCCGAAATATTCTGTACCACAGCAGAGAGCTTAGTAGAGAAGTGTTGCTGTGAGGGGGTCATAGAGCCGTCTCGCCGGAGTTTAGGATTAGCTGGATGTGGCCGAAGCATATCCGTCGACTGCTTGTCAGAGTCCATCCCGGAATTGGAAGGAGAAGGATAGGAGCCTGAAGAGCTAGAAAAGTCCAGTGGTTGCCCGCAGTCAGGACAAAACGAGAACGATCTCAACAGCAGAGTGATATCCTCGTCACTTGCCGAACAGCGCTCGCAGCTTACATCATGTTCCTTCTGGCCAGGAAGACTGGCAGCGCGCTGATCGATGGAGAAAGTCCCGAGGTTGCAAAGCATGCGCAGCTTTAAGATTGCCGTAAACAATTTGTTGTACCTTCTGAGTTCATGCCCTGTGCTGACGAGATCATCGACCTCTCGCCTAAGTTTAGTCAGGATATCGTCGTAGAGGGACCTTTCTTCTGGTGAGATGTCCAGTTGCACAATTCTTTCGAAAGATCTGGGTAAATTTAGCCGTTTCTCGGTCCTTCTCAGACAATAAGCCTCGAGATAACCTCGAAGAGGCTTTGCAAAGTCTGGACCACCTTGGGAGAGAGGAGCCAGGATGTGCTTCTGGAACTCGGCCTTCGTTAAAAATGGCGAAAGTCGAAGGAATCCAGCAAGCGATGCGATATCATCTATCTTGTTTTGTATAGGAGTGCCTGTTAGACACCAGCGGTTTCTTGATGATAGTCCGTCAACGGCACGATATTGTTTAGTCCCAGAGTTCCTGATCCAGTGGGCTGTCATGGGTTAGCATGAGTCGGAGAAATGTCCAGATCTGTCATTGGACTTGGACTGAGGGAAACTAAAGTACCTTCGTCAAGGACTATACGATACCACAGCATTCTATACAAGATACCGCCAGCATTAAAATCTGCTACGAGTGTAGCATACGTTGTGAGGGTTACGTCCGCTGTTCTGAGTGAAGCTGGGTCTTGGGGTCGATGTTGGCCATGGAAAATGACAGTATTCAATGTTCCCGGGATAAAATGTCTGGTACTTATCAGCATCTCGAATTACAAGGGCTTTTGGGCATTTTACTCAGTAATCTCTGACCGCCAACTCTCCAGAAGCTCTAGCACATGTGAGGTTAGTTGGGTGCTTCAACCTGGGTGCGGCCTTGTGATTCTGCCTTGGGATTGCTATTTGAAGACATACGAGTCGATGGCACAACCACCAAGGTTGACTTTGTGGGCAATTTGTCGCCTCGATTGGCATCTCCGACCTTGCAAAAATTCCCATATTCCTCTGCTTCGGGCAGGGAGTGGACAACAGCGGTAAGCATGGTAAGAGTCTTGCCAAGTCCCATGACATCCGCAATCAGCCCCCCATAATACTCTTGAGGACGACAATCGCTCCTTGGACTTGTTACTTCAATTGAACACCCAGGTTATAGGACAAGGGAGACTGACCTGATCGAAGCGCCGATTCGAACCTTGTCTATCAAAACCTGGCTCCAGCTGGCTTGACCATTTTCCCGCTGTAAGATGAATCGCACGCCGTCAACCTGATGACTGTTTTATTTTAGTCGCCGTCTGTTGTTGGTGGTGTGGGATTACTTACTTCTTCAATGTTGATTTCTCGCAAGGTTGCACCTGGAAATCACTCTCCGCGCCAACTTCCGCCAGGGAGTTCAGGATGTCATTGATCTCGTCCGACATTTGCCTTCGGTCGGACCATGGCGAGCTATTGGTAATTCCAACATATTTCTGCATATCCGAGTGGTCGTCGGCGAACCTGAGAAATTGTGGGTTGAAGTATTCAATGTCCGGAGCTAATGCCTTGGGGTGTTGAAGATACGCTGACGGAGCCGCTGACAGCAAAGTAGATACTTCGTCCGCCATTATTTTAGGACCATAGATATTGAGAGATAAGCCAAACTGCTGGGAACGGCGCTTCTGTGTCTTCTGTCGCTTGGGAATTGAGCTGATATCAACTACTGCTTCAAAACGCAGCGGGAGATGCCTCGCTGCAACCAACGTATCGATTGTGCGAGTATCCAGAACTGCAAAGCTGGAACCGCTCCCCGACAGCAGCAAGTAGTAGCTATCCTTTGCTTCCACATTGAGTCGTATGAAGGTGCCGCAGCTTCTTCCGGGCAATACTTCGTCCAGTACGTTGGCGCCATCTAAGCACGCAGCCGCTACACCGTATAGCTGCATTTCCAAAGTTAGAGACACGCATGGGGCTACGACACCCTTGAGACATATGCTCACTGCACCGTAACAAACTTCACAGCTGCTAGTGTCGGCTTCACCTAGCTCGAGCTGGATTGTGTCTGCCAGCACCCTCGTTCCTCCAAGGGTTTCCTCGGCGTCCGTGGCGGTATGTGGTCGCTTAGCTGATAGACGTGATATCGGGTGCGTCGAGAGCATACCTGCCGTCTCTGCAGCGTTACCGACTACAGCTCTTAGGTGAGGACAGGTTTGCTGTTACATTCAGAGTGACCAGAGTCTTGTGCTTTCAAAGTCCAGCAGCAGCGGTAAAACTGTGTTGGTCTCATTACGTATTACTCGCCCACCTTTGGACCTGCAGGGGGGAAAAAAAGAAAAGAAAAAAGAAAGGAAAAGCAAAGCCCTCGTTAGGCAGACTGGTAAGGCGCAGTTGGCATTTTTTACACTTCGACAAGATGACTGCAGCTGAGTCCTCCTGCATGATACTATCCACAAGCGATTGGCGGACAGTCACCGACTGGCCTGTCTCCGTGCAGGGATAGCTGGCCGCTGAATTGGGGCTTATTGTCCATGTCGTGGAACGTCACCCCCCCCCCCCCCCGCACTGGGCCTCGCATCAAACATATATCAAGTACACCTTCGTTGGCAACCGGTCAGCTCTAGCCCTAGCCACCTTATTCTGACAGATAACTTCAATATTGCAGCTGGACGCGAACCTCTCAACGATTCTCTTTCCTTCAACAAACATACTGGAGCAGGACAACATCAGAAGTCACCGTGATCGTCCCATTGCTAAGAACCATGGCTGGACTGAATGCGGATAGCTTCGAGCGCGCTCTCAGAAAGTTCAAGCAGAACCTATCACCTTCTCTCGTCCGCAAATTTTCTATCTGCAAACTTGAGGATGTCAAGCAGACAATACGTGATATACAAGATCAGCAGGGAAAAGCCGGCCGCCTGCGTAACATGCGACGGCTTGACGAATTTATTGAAGCAATGAATCAATTTGGTGGGGTTATTGATGTCTTTGTCAATGCTAACCAGTTTGTCTGCTTTGTCTGGGTACGTAAGCTCCCGCACCCTCGGAAACTCTATCAGAAAGGGGTTTCGCTTTCTCATGGCTGCTAATGGCATCAAGGGCCCGATCAAATTCCTTCTCGGCGTAAGTAGATCAGGATACAAAAATCTAATATGCCTATCGGTGGTACTAATCAGAATCTACGTCCACTACAGATCGCGAAGACTCACCTCGACTCCTTCGACAAGCTACTTGATGTGTATGGTCAAATCGGAGCTGCTATACCTGGCCTTTTGCAACACAGAGCCACCTTTGAAAATCATCCAACTCTGGCCACGGTGCTTGAGGATTACTATTCGGACATCTTGAGGTTTCACCAAGAGGCACTTTCCGTATTCGAGAGACCAAGTAAGAAGGATCCCTGAACACGCATACGCTCAACGTGATACCGTGATACTGACTGACCGCAGAGTGGAAGATGATGTTCCATGCGACTTGGAAAACCTTCGAAACAAAATTTAATCCCATACTTCAAAGCCTCACAATGCGCAGGGAGTTGCTAGAAGCTGAAAAATCATCGGCTACTCTCTACGAGGTTAGGAAAGTCCGCGAAGATATCGAGACCATGTGTCAAGAGCAGAGACGCCTCGCATCAGCCACTGAGAAAGAAAAGCATAAACTCCGCGTATCAGAAGTCAGGTCCAAATTGCAAGCCGTAGATTATTATTTTGACCAACAGATCCACACAGAGGACAGGTATAGTAAAGCATCGGGGAAATGGATATTTGAAGAACCACGATTCAGGTCCTGGTTCGATGCAGACTCCCCAGGCCATGGTGTATTATACGTCAATGGGATACCAGGCGCAGGTGAGGAAAAACCAGTATTCTGAAAATTGATCGCCGGAAGATCATCCAGACTAAGGGATTTTTATTCACAGGCAAAACAACTTTGATGTCACATGTTATCGAAGAACTACTGCAGCAGGCGAGCATCAGTCACAGGCAAACATGCTCTACATATTTTTTTTTCAAGCACGATCAACCGGAGAAGAACACGCACAACAGCCTGTTAAGGGCTACCCTGGACCAGCTCATTAACCATGACTCGGCGGTGTCTGACTTGTTCATTGAAGAAGCTGCAAAACTTGCGGATGTGAACTTTCGATCTACTGCAAGTCTCGAAACTCTGGTGAAAAGGGGCTTTGAGTGCTACCATACCTCTTACTTGATACTGGACGGCCTGGATGAGTGCAGCAAGGGAGAGACAGAGAAGTCCGTCCAGTGGCTGCTGTCACTTACCAAGGGCGGTCTAGACGCCTCGACTAACCGACTACGCATCATATTTGCCGGCCAAAGGGATGGTATTCTTGACAGACTACTCGATTCCCAGCCTTCAATTTCTCTGGAATATCTGGACGCGCACGCTGAAGATATTCGTCAATATTGTCTTGAGTTTTGCGAGCGAATACAAGAAAAGTTCAAAGACTCGTCTCTCAAGCAGACGATTATTGAACTTGTCACTGAAGGAGCGAAGGGTAGGAAATGTCCGGTTCCAAAATTGTGATCACTTTTTCTGATCTTGCTTTAGGCATGTTCCTCTATGCTCATGTGGTTCTGGAGAATCTTCTGCATCAGACAAGGCTTACACAGCTCAGACGCGAGTTGCAACCTGGCATATTTCCTGAAGAAATCGAGAGGGCGTAAGTTTTCAAACCCGTGAGCATCTAAAATATGACAGGATAGTAATTGTTCTGGACTGCGTAGATATGAGAGAGTGGTTGTCCGAGTCCTCGAGCAGGCATCGAAGGCGGAAAGGAACGACGCGCAAAAGGTGTTGGGCTTGGTCATCGGTGCCAAGCGGATTCTTGCGTGGAGGGAAATACAAGCCTTCTACTGCATCGAACCTGCAACGGGGGCTGTTAGTCTCGATGAGCGGTTGCTTGTCAGCTGCAAACAACTCTGTGGTTCTCTATTAGACGTGCATCAGGTTGATGGCAACCCTGGAAGTCCTGACAATGTCGTGCAAATTGTCCATGAAACCGCTCGACAGTAAGTTCCCTACGCACTTATTATACAAAGTCATAGTGATATTGATACTAAAGCGATGGCGCATAGCTTCCTCATCATGCGGAAGGTGATAAATGTGAGCCTTGAGAACGCAAGGCTTTCGTTATTCTGCACTCAGTATCTTACCTCCGAACCGTTCCAGCCAGGGATCGGGGGCCGACAGATCAGGTCTCACGCAGGGAACGGATCTTATTCCCTTCAAGACTACGCTGTCCAGTTTTGGTTCCAACATCTCCTTGAATGTGTTGGATCTCAAAGTCAATGGGAGTCAACTCTGGGGCCAACACCAGTCGACTCAGCACGAACATTCCTGATGTCTTACGGCATTTCAGACGCCTTCTTGACAAGTCTTGAGAATCCAAGCCATACCGAAACGGTCAAGGCAATACAAAGGCTCCCATCTGACAGTCGAGAGCGTAACTCGTGTCTGAATATCGAGCTGCGGACAACAGTGATACGCCGTGAGATTGAGGAACTCCAGCGCGACCCTGAATCAACTGAAGATAGGAATCTTCCCAGGGGCCTCTGTGGTACGAGGATAACATACAAATGCTCCAAACCATGGTGCGAATACTTTCGATCGGGTTTCAATACTAGTGAAGAGCAGAAAAGACACATCAGCCGTCACGAGCTCCCATTCTACTGTTCTGAAGACTGCTTCGCGTCGGGATTAGGCTTTGACTCCGCTTCAAAGCTCGAGTCACATCGGAGGAACTATCACTCCGAAAAGACTGATCAGATTCGCTTTCCGAAACTGAAATCGAGAATAAAATCCAGTCTTTGCTCGGCTGCTCGACAAGGAGATCTGGCTACCGTGATCGAGCTTCTCGACGCGGGAGCAGACATCGATCAAACCTCCAGGAATCATGGCGGTTGCTCACCTTTACAACTAGCCGCCTCGGAAGGTCATTTTGAGATTATTAGGGTTCTAATATCTCGGGGCGCCCACATCAACTTCCAAGGGCAGCACAAATATGATTCACAGACTGCCCTTCACAGAGCCGCTGGCAGTGGACATTTGGAGATTGTCAACTTACTCCTCTCGCAAGATACAATATTCCCAGATTTGAAAGACGTGAACGATAAGACGCCTTTTCTCTGCGCGATCTCCGAGAACAGACTCGACGTGGTCCAGCTGATGCTTGACTGTAAAATCGTCAATGTTGATCTCAAATCTGCTCAGGGGGGGCCTCTCTGGTGGGCTTGTTGGAACGGAAATACGAACCTTGTTCAGTACCTCTTGCAGAAGGGATTCGACAAAGTTGATGATGTTTCTACTCTTTTGGAACTGCTTATTAACAACCACGAGAAAGATTCCACGCAGGAAATCTTGGAGATTCTTCTCTCAGCCGGGAATCTGGAGATAACGGACCAATCACGTGTCTCAGCGGCCTTGGAGTGCAGAAGCATACCACTCACCCGGAAGGTGCTTTCACACCCAAAGCTAGACATAGGTTTGTCCGTTCTGAAGGCGGTATCGAGGAGAGTGAGGAAATTAGGCTCCCAAGAGATGGACATACTCATCAGAAAAAGGTTACGGCAGCGGGCCGATGTGAGTATACCGACCCTTGACACAAGAACAATGATCAAACACTGCGACTTCTTGGGAATTGACGAGGTGTGCCGAACAGATTGAAAGTGCATGGTCCGTTGACTATGAATCAAAAGTCACACGCCGTTTGGATATTGATTTTGTACGTACCGTTGCGGTCGAGGGCTTCCATGATGCGCATTGCGTCTGCTTCAGTCGAGATGGACAATACATTGCAACCACTTCCGACAATTCAGCTCGAATCTACAATGTTGGTACCGGTGAGGAACTTTGTGCTCTTCACCACGAAAGAGAAAAGGGGAAAAATCTCGAATTTTCGACCACAACGCCACGAAGCATCTGCTTCAGCCCGGATGGGAAGTATCTAGTGACAGGAGGTGACGATGGGTTGGTTCGAGTATGTATTATTGTCCTCTTAACGTGACAATGAGACTGAACTGATACTTACACATGCATTGTAGGTGTGGGATATCCAGTCCCGTACAATCCGGAAACTCTTTAAGGGCTATAAGGCTACAATCTTGGCCGTCGACTTTGCCTGCGACAGTCACACTGTGGCTTCTGGGTGCGTCGATGGGACCGTAAGGCTCCGGAATGTGGATGCAGACTCCTACAATCGCACCTATCGCATTGAACATTCCTTCGCCACGTCTGTCAAATTCTCTCCAACTATGGAATGGGTCGCTGCGGGATTCAGGGAGGGGGGGGTCAGAATTTGGAATATCAGCACAGGGTATCTCATTACCCAACTGCAAGACGACTTTCCCATCCGTGACATACAGTTCCTTCCCGATGGACGTCTCATTAGTGCTAGCCGGGCGGTGAGACTCTGGCAGATCAAACCCGATGGCAACATCCCAACCGAATGCTTAAGCATGAACGGCCACAAGGTAAACCTACTCATCTCGAGTCGTTTCATACTTCATCACCATCTGACTTTCTACTACTTGATAGGAACCCGTCACTTCCGTCAGTTGCACGCCAGATGCCGCTTGGATCATCTCTGCTTCTCATGATGGATGCGTCAGATTCTGGGATACTCTCACAGGAACTTCTCAGCTGGAATTACGTTGTAAAAAGTTCGAGAGTATTTATGATGTTGCCTGCAGCCCCGTCGGTGGCCTCGTCGCCGTAGCCTTCAGGGATGGACTGACGCAACTCTGGTCATACAAGCGTGTCCCTGTTGCTCCGCACCTTCTTTAGAATCTTTAGAAGCACGGGCCGAGGAAAGACTTGGGACCTCAGCAGGCCCGGAAATCGCCGTGCTGGACTTGGCCTTTATTATTGGCTATAGCGCCGGCGTTACCCTTGCGAGAAGACTTTGCGGCAGAGGGCATTGTCTCTGGTGGTTGAAATTGGAGTGTCAGATAGCGTATTCTTGTGGCGGATTCGGCCAATTGGGCGATACAAATGCAAAGAGGACCGACATATTCAGATCAATGTTATCAGGGCCGTCCCTTACTCTGTGGAAGGTGTGTGAGTCCGACCGTGTACGCAGCTATGTAGGCCACAGTCATTTCCAGTCAGCTGAGAGTGGCCAACTCTTTCAGCTGTCGCATAGAAGGGCTTGCTGAGTGCGGTTCCAGCGCTAGTTGTGATTTGCATACTGTGTCATCGATGGTAGGAAAATTCAGGGCAATAATTAAGCGAGTCGCCGCTCTATATTCGAAATGACTTACTGTCCCAAGTGCTGAATAAGTAGCAATCATCACAGTGCCAGAGTGTTGCCCGTCCATGCCAGGTGGTGGAGTAGCCTTCCCAGAGGATCCTGATAAGGTCAAAGCGATGCTGTAGAAAGCGTTGGGCTTCTTCGGCCTTCCTGGTGCTTCTCATCCCTCACTACACGGCCACCGTCTGGATGAAAAGTGAAAAAGTGGGACAAGCAAGGTTTGTTGATTTTGTGATAAATTATTCTAACTAGCTGAATTGCCCTAGATAAAATGGAATTCTATCGATATGTTTAATCCATAGAATTGCTAGTTATCTCAGTGGGTTACGCAGCCTGAAACTGATCCGTGCTTCTTTTATATACCAAATAGGCAATATTCAGAGCATAAGAGACTAGTGCATCATCTAATAATTAACTTGTTTCAACAGAAATAAGAAACAGTAGAGTAATTATTCAAAAAGGCAAAAACGACGCCGCCATGATTCGAACATGGGCAACTGAGGATATATTTGTTTGAATAATGTTCATACTATTAGAGGTTATTCAAAACGTAAACGGCAATTGGAAAACGGGAAGCGGAAAACTGAAGCGGGTAGTTTGGAGACACCCTTTGACTCGGCTTCGTAAACAGACCTCCAACAATACGTCGAACGTACTTCAGTAACAGCTTCGGGCTTATTAGCAGCGGGTCTGAAGGCGATGAGTGTTAGGTTGAGACTGACTTGTTCAATTCGAGGTCAGTAATGCTAACTGTTTCCGACGTGCCACCTGCTGGAAAGAGAAGCTACAGGTGGCCCAAGCCGCTTATTAACGTGAGCAAAGCCGCCACCACTAGGCAGCATCAAAGTCAGTACACGGTGTCGAATCTGGGAATGAAAGGCAGCTCAAACAGCTACATACAACCAGTCGCAGTAACAACGTAGGAGGCGATGCCCCAAGCCGTTTGAATAGTCGCCAGATCGGTCCAGTCCCGCGAGTTGAACCAAGATCCAACCGCCAGACTCAGAGCTACCGGGCTCAGCAACGCGATGGCGAGTCTGGTAGGAGACCAGTCCAGAACAAGCTCGATCGAGTACGAGTTTTCATTCAGACAGACATTGATCCACTTGGCCCACTTGATCGCTACGTCGTCTCTAAACCGGGCTTGCTTGTACGCCAGAAATAGCTGCTTCATAGAGGCCGTTGACGCATCGTCAAGATCAATGCGTCGATGACCGCCGTGATTGGTACCAATACACTATGAAAATAGATCAGCTATCCCGCCAGCAGAGCTAGCTAGTTGGGCCCTCTTTACCTCATATACTTTGAACGCCGCGACTGTTTTTAGAGAAAAGAAACCATACATGCCCCGCAGGCGCCAAGTTGCCCATCTGAATTTGCGGAATAAGCTCTTGGCGTCTTTAACGTCAACAGAAATCTCTTGCGGCTCGCCATCCGGAGTAGAGAATATGCCGACTATCAAATGGATATCGTTCCCCGGCGAGAGAGGGGCGGGGACAGCACGACTCATTGCCATTCTAGCTTGAGGCATGCTGCCAAAACGTATCTCTTGCTCCTCCACCAAGTAGCGAACACATTTATTACGGCGTGTTGTACTCGACACAGACCTCGTCTTTATGGAGCTCTCCCGTAATGCGAAGGTCGGTGCGGGTTGTAACAAAGAGATACGAGAGTGAGTGTTGTTGGTGCCACCTTCTGTCCCAGGCCGATTTTCTGCAACTGTGGGGTCTGCCGGCGCATCCTGAGGATGCATGTGGTGATCGACTACATCCTCGGCTCGCATAGGCGCTGTTCCTGTTCCTACCATGATTGCGGGTGATGTATGTCTTGAAGATGTTTAAATCAAATTCTGTCCAAACCTGAAGTTGATATTCCACGCTTTGTCAGCAGCAGCTTTGTGAACGTAACGTGGCAGTTGTTAATTCGTCAGCCGCATCTGCAGCTAAGTAGTTTCTTTCTCTACCTACTAATACTTACTAAGCTGCGTTGTATGCCCAGTTCTATCATTTTCACCTAAACTAGAACTAAGGCGGCGTTGCACAGAAAAGACAGCCACTTTAGCAATGGGCAAGGAACCTGGCGATCCGAGTTGTATACAAACAACGCCGACCGTAGGCCGTCAGGGCACATCAAGGCCTTGGTGATGCGGCAGCAATATGGCGACGACCACCACGACGACTATAGTGGGCAAAGACATGCGCAGCCTTTGCTACCAGCTTTTTTGCCTGCTGTAATTATCTCAGGTCACGACTAGTCCTTCGGTGCAGTTACCTAGGTGCAGGACTAGACGGTATGTTGCTTTCCAGTTAGCTGCCTGACTGCAGCTTCTAGTCTCTCTAGCTGAAAGCTTGACTAACATGAGGGCTCTTTCTAGGTCTTATGGACCGAATATCCATTTGGACATACGCATAATGCCATCGGAGTATATAAAGTCGTTTGCGGTCTCCAAAGGATAGTTGCAGGAGCGAATGATAACTAAGTAGCAAGTCGTGGTATCAGAGAAGTGTTGTATATGGAGGAAAGGCATCTTCGGGTGAGAAAGGGCCACCATTGTCAGGGCTTGCTGAGGCTGCCTAGAGCAGGCTGCCTGTGAATCGCCTCCTTATGTGTCCTGCCGACATTTCAGATATTTGAAAACCTATTACTAACAATCCCAAGCCTCATTAAATGGGAAGTTGATAATACTTCCATATTCATGCCAGCCAAAACGAGCAAAACAATTGTGTAGGTTGCTGATCTCGGAAGAAGCTCGATCCGTGACAGACATGATGCATAGCATTTTTCGGGTGCTGTATACTGCTGCTACATACGATCTAAGAAGAAAAGTAGTCGGAGGCAATGCGGTCAGGCTCAACAAAAAAAAAAAAAAAAAAAAAAAAAAAGAAGGTGTGGGAAACGGAAGGATCAAACGTCAAAAACGACGCCGCCATGATTCGAACATGGGCCTCCGAAGATATTTGAATTCGAATCATGGAAGGCCAATCATATTCGAAGGACAAGAAACGGTAAATGAATCGGAATTGCCAAAAACAGAAAATGGGAAGACGGAAAACAGAAGACAGAAATCAAGATTATCAGCATCACTGTCCCAGCCTTCCCTATCAAATATTGTCTCAGCGGAAGCATGGCAACTGAAATTTGGATTGCAACTGATCCAGTTGGATCCAGCTTCGGCTGCCTTAACTGGATCTTCAGCCTTCTTCCTTCTTGCAAAATTTGACAATCTTTCCATCTCCTTCCAGCCACAATCCTTGATTCTGGTCTTTTTCAGGTTTTCTTTCTTATGCAAAATCATTCTTCATTCGACTCAGATGGCTTTCTTCGATATAGATAACGACGAGATTGACACTCTGTTGCAAGAATCCAGCGAAAATGATGATGTACCGGAGGAACCAAATCATACTGCTATCAAGAAAGCCCGATTGATAGGCCTTTGATATAAGTAAGGTCTTCATTATGAATACTGATGCATTCAATAACTGATTCTGGAAGATTCTGGGAAAGTTCTCCTATAAACCCTGAGCAGATCTGGGTGGACCTTTGTTGTCCTAGTAACAAGCAGAAGCATGCTATCAAACTTTGCACACGATTCCTGAAGGTTTATGGAACGAGGCGAAAGCGCTGAAAGGTGACCTTTGGTCCGATAGAGACGGAAAAGAAGCATACCGTCACATCCGCTGGAATGCTTCTACACTACTGGAGATGCCTAGTTATAGGATTCAACAACACAGTCCTTGCACAAAAGAGAGCAGAAGACAACTCGCTGCAATAGTCCTTGAAATTCAACGAGGGGCTCTTTACCAATAAGAGCAAGGGACCTATCTATGAAGTAATCAGAGTAAGTTTTCCAGCGATTGTAAGGCTGCATCAGCTAACCTCCTTGGTAGTAGATCGGGAGAAATGCCGAAAAGATGAGCCTGACTCGCAGTCAAACATTCGTCAAAAAAGAAGCAACAAGTGCAGATATTGCCTTATTGCTTCAAACCCTATGGCTATACGAAAAAGACATACCATATACTCCACTGAACCGTCTTGCCTTCCATTTTCGAGTCTTGATTGCAGCCATCGGTAGCTTCCAGCCAGAAGTCTATATAAGCATTGCATATAGCCAGATCGCTTTTGAACTCATACGCCATCCAACTATGCACGAAAAGAAACTTGTCACTCATTTCACCTTTTACCAAAACAAAGTGAGGAAGAATACCATCAGGGATAATCAGATGAATGTGTATGTTATTTCACTGCTGAATGCTGATATGCTGCGTCGTTGAGTGCTGCAGATTGGCTTATCCGCACTTAGCTATTCAAGCGCAGCGTGAATCCTTGCTTGAAATCGCGAACTCCAAAGCTCTTTAGCCTCAGATGCGCTGGCTATGTTCTTGAGTTATCGTGCAATATTAGGGGATGAGATTAATAGTATTGATGGAGATAAGGCTATTGATAGCTAGCTAAGGCTCTGATTCTCAAAGGTGGGTGCGTGAATTATGAAAGGCGAATCCCCGCACTTATGAAAGAATACTTAATTAAGTATGTGTTTCAAGGGTAGGGGGTCGGATAAATAATTGCGCCGATTCCGTGATCTGAAAGCACGCACTGCTTTTTTCATATCGCTTAAGATCCCGAATCACATATCATACATCAGCTAAACAACAGATATCCTAAACACCAATCCCGAAATACCTTGCAGCATGAAATCGAGAAACTTCGAAGTGCATAGCTATGAACTATACAGATCTCGGATAAAGAGACTAACTGATCCAAGAATGCTATTGCTTTCTTAAAAAGTAGAATGCGCATTACAAGACTAATAACAAGTGTAAGGTTGGGATTTTCGCATGCATTTCTGCCCAATGAACCATTACTTAGAAGCAAATCTTTGCTGCTGAGTATGGAGCAATAGCTTCAGCAGCTAGATTATTCGGTATGCACAGAAGAAGTATACTGCTAAGTTCTGCCAAGCTCAACTGATTCAAACCTAGGGATCGAGACTGGAGAAGCTTAACGTCATATATGTTGCTGGGACAAAGAGCAAAGGCAGTACTTGCGCATATATCGAGTTGTTCCTTCGAGCTTACAGAAGAGGAACATCTTTTCCGTGCAAGACTGGGCTCTACTCCTCGCCGCATCTACTCAAGATGAACGAGAGAATTCGCATCAACTTTGAGCCGCTCGACGAAACTCGCTTCGCACAGTATGTCTTCGAGATCTGCAATGGCCTATCACTCCATGATACCAACAGTGGCCTGCGTTTTCTCTAGTTGCTTGCTCTCATCTTAATTCATGCTTTTTTCCGTGAAGGAGTCGATGTTGCTATCTATGAAATCCATTATGGTGGTGAGTATGATTCTATTAACTTCTTTGAGCGCTCAGTTATTATAGCAATCACAACTATAGGGATGAACCATGTTTCCAACCTTGGACCAACTATAGAGAATATTGCTTAGCATAAAGCTGGTATTATTAAAGCGGGAGCAGCAGCATTTACTGCTCTGCAGGAATCAGGTATTTCTACTGTTTTATATACTCGAGCAGCTGCAAAGCATGTATTGCTGAAGATTGTTAATATGGATACCAATCTTCCCAGATATTTTGTAAGCGATATTCAACGCCTTAACTGCTCCTTGGTGTGGGCAGTAAGCAATGAATTCCTTTAGTGGAAAGTATCAAAAGGAAAGCTCCCTTACTTGTCTCAACAAGCACTTGTTGATAGCATCTAAAATTTCCATTGGCCTGGATGCTTTGAGATGATTCAAGTTGATCAGGTGACTTAGTGCTTAGATGAAGCATATAATGAGCTCAGCATAGCAGAAGCTGCATGATGATTTGAAGCTTCAGCTAAATACAGATTAAGATCATTTTTTGGATAAATTTTATGAATTACTCTGCTGACTATTTGCAGATAGTATCCATCTCTGCATAGCGTTTTGATCTTCATATAAAAGTCGGAAGTTTGTAACTGTGAAGAAGTATTAAAGCTTCTAGCAAAGTTTCTTCATACATCAATTCAACATGTTATTTTTATAACACACTATGAAGATCGAGGTATTTCTTATTCCTTAGCTAGTACGAATTAAGCTGATGATGATCTAGATGAGTGTTTGAATAATGATTTAGCGCTGCTGGAATGTTATCGAGAGATTTGGACAGCCACTTACGCCTCACCATGCCAGATCTCGATTGCTGAGTGTCAAAGAAGCCCTTGAGATTGCCAGGAAGGAGTGCAGTATGCAAAGAGATAGCCATATCTTAGTTACTAATAGCATTCGTCTTGTTAGTGCAGTCTCAAAGCATCTAGCCGGGTTGTTACAGGAATAATAGACTTTCAGCTAAGCATTTGGTATGGAATAAACTTATTCAGGAGGTAGTACTATATGCACAAGTTATAAGGCACAATGCGAGATGCCTGCTTGCAATTTCAGTCATGTGAAAAATTTTCAGATAGTAGCTTCGTTTGTTTTGCTAACCAAATAAGTTTGTTATTAGCTTTGACAATTTATATCTATGCTATTGCTACTTAGATGATTCAAACATTTGCAGGAAATACTGATCCTACAAAATTGTTGAGGAATCATAAGAGCGCACCATATCTGCTACTGGGATCACTAGCGATGCTGGTGGTATGTCTGCGGACTGTGGTTTGTTTGAGCGTATATGCTCTGATTTATACTAATAAAGTTGTATATCTTATGCATAACTTTCCCAGATCGACTCCATATCCGATCTGCTGTGCCATACGTTCTCCCATTCATCTTCAGGTAGCATGGGATTAGCATTCTTTGGCAGCTTAACAAGAATGTGTTGAATAAGAGTTGCCTGAGGCTGTGGAGGATAGCATAGCGTAGTAGAGACTCCAAGAAGATCGGGCTTTCCAATACTAGATTCTCTTAAGCTCGCCAATAATTCCAGATTCCGTTTACTGATACAACGCTAGCTTCCCCATCGAACTCCATGAGATGCACTTCTGACTGTAAAATACCGCACATAGTTAGAAAAGGCTGGATTACAGGATAGGACTTGGACAACTATCCTACCCTTCATCGCTAGCCTTCCAAGGATTAAAGCATTTTGCTTTGCGAAATCTCCATTCAAATCCCGCGTATCTGGATTAGTAAATCTAATATATCCACGCTCATTCAGCAGATTATGTTGCACATTATGCAAAGCTGGAGCCTTGTGCATACTGATATTGGATCGAGCATAGTTGGTTGTTAAAAAGTTATTTCCAATCCTGTTGGCTATATAGTTGAGTAATTCATCTTCGTTCATATGCTATAGCTTATTGCAAGCTGCTGCTAGCTGTTCTTCTAGCATCTGTTGCATATCGGACAGCATGCTCGCTACTTCTTGTTCATAAGTCTGTATAAGGCTTGCATACCGAGCTGCAGCTTCTCTTATTGCAGCCCAGGGAGATATTCTAAGCTCCGAAGGCAATAGAATAGTTATATAGAGTTGAGTATTATTGATATGTAATGCTTTGATTAATGCATTAAGATATCCTCCAACTTCGGCTCTTAATAAGCCCTAGTATACATTATTGCAATTGTCTTCATTAAGGCTATCCGGAGATCTTGAATGCGATCTTATATTCTGCTATATTGATTGTGGATAACAACAAACTGAGCAGAATGGTTTATAGTTATTTACTATAGCTACTGCTTGCCAGTGGCGCATATACTGCGCTCTGACAAGATGTTAACAATTCAGCATTTCCATATTTTCGAGGTTAGTACCAACAGGTTCGAGGCCCTCAATGCGAATTTCAGAAGTACAGAAGATACATACGAGCAGTGGCCTTTCTATAGTGGGCGCCTGCAGATATTGTTCGATGGTTAGCTAGAAATTTTTCTCAAGCAATGATGCATTGCTCTGTGCATTTGCTTGTATAGCCGAAGGTGTTACTGTTTGAGCAGACTGTGGTATTGCTATCTGAGCTGGCTGCAGTATTGCTGGAGCAGTTTCAGAAGAAGGTTGTGGTATTGTTAGAGCAGGTTGCTGCTGCATTGCCTGATCAAGCTGTGGTGTTGCCTGACCAGATTGCTGCGGTGTTGCCTGGGCAGGTTGCTGCTGTATTGTCTGATCAGGCTGTGGTGTTGCCTGGCCAGATTGTTGCGGTGTTGCCTGAGCAGGTTGCTGCTGCATTGCCTGATCAGGCTGTGATAGTTTCTGATCAGGCTATAGTGTTGCTTGAGCAGGCTGCAGACTTATTGCTTCAGGATGCATTTGCTGAGCATGTAATAGCAGGTTTGTTGCTTCTTGAGCAATATCAAGCAAATGTTGGTCTGTCGCTGCTCGAGATTGCGATGCATTTTGCGATCTTGCCCCTTCGGTCAACTGTTGAGTAGAGAATCTTCGGGCTTGAACAGTCGTTGGGGTTCTTGAGGGTCCTGGAGTCTTCGAGACTCTCGCTCCTCCGAGTGGGGGTCTCGGGGTTCTTGGCGTTCTTGGCGTTCGTGAGCTTCCAGGCTCGTTTTGGCCAATAATTTCCTGATCAGCTTTGCTAGGCATAGTGCTTGTTTGGTATGCCCAAGATCTTGAAGGGCCGAATCATTCTGGTGGGAAACATCTAATAAGTCAAAGGGGGGGGTTTTGGGCCGGGGTAGTTTTGGGCCACCCTGGCCACCCTCACCGCCTCTTCAACCCCCTTTAGTTTGATAGCTATTACTCAACCAATTTTGATCCAAACAACTTCATCTTTCCAGCAAACCTTTATCTGACTGTTATGAAGCCCTATTCCGAGTTTGAGCTAGCTCAGGCCGTTGAGGCTGTCAGAAAAGGCAAGTCTCAGCGGCAAGCCTCGAGGGAATGGGGTATTCCAAGGAGTACTCTTCAGGCTCGCCTAGAAGGAGGGGAATCGCATAAAACAGCCCACGAAAACCAGCAAAGGCTCTCTATTGATCAGGAAAGAAGACTAGCCGAATGGATCCTGATTCAAGAAAGCCTAGGCGTTCCACCAAGCCATTCAGAACTCAAATACTTTGCTCAGCAGATCCTCGAGGTCCAGGGAGACTCTCAGGCCCTCGGGGTGCAATGGACTCAGGCTTTTTTGAAGAGAAATCCAGAGATAAAGGTCAGGAAGACTCGCTGCATTGCCTCTGAACGAACGAATGGGGCTACAACAGAGGTAATACGGCTTTGGTTTCGTCTTTTCAATCTTCCTCATATCCAAGCTATTAAGCCAGCTAATAGATGGAATATGGATGAAGCTGGCCTGATGGAGAGCCAAGGAACAAATGGATTAGTCCTCGGAGGCTCCTCTTCGCGTTCAATTCAAAGGAAAGACCCTGGATCAAAAGCCTGGACTTCTTTCCTCGAGTGTATCTCAGCTACAGGTGCCTACCTCTTCCCTCTGGTGATTTTCAAGGGCCAAACGGTACAACAACAGTGGTTTCCTCTTGATTTGGAGCTTTTTGATGGTTGGAAGTTTACAGCTACGCAAAACGGATGGACAAACGATAAAATGGCAGTTGAATGGCTGAAAGAGATCTTCATTCCTCATAGCCAGCCAGCAGACCCCTCAGAAGCCAGGCTGTTAGTCCTGGATGGCCATGGCAGCCATAAAACGGACGAGTTTATGTGGCTTTGCTTCCAAAACAATATCCTGCTTATTTACTTGCCTCCTCATACCTCTTACGTTCTTCAACCCCTCGATCTAGGGGTCTTTTCATCTCTCAAACGGGCATACAGAAAGAAAGTCAGCAATATGGGCCAATGGGGCGATTCAACTATTGCAGGCAAGCGTTTATTCCTCAGCAACTATCGTCTGGCTCGACTGGAAGGCCTTTTAAGCCAGAATATTAGATCTGGATGGAAAGCAACTGGTCTGTGGCCTCTTAGACCCTCAAAAGCCCTCTTGAGCCCTCTTCTCCTCGAGAACAGTCAACCAAGCCGTCAGACCCAGTCCAATTCAGGCTCAGCACAATCAACAGCACCTCATCTTTCCCCAAAAGCCTCCTCAAGCCAGCCAGTTCTCTTTTCAACTCCTCGAAAGGCTAAACAGCTATACTATCAGCTGCTAGAGAATCGGCAATAACTTCGAACGGAACCAGGCCGCCGTATGCTATTCAAGAAGATAAAAAAGGCTTATGGGGAGAGGGACCTCGAGTTTGCTAAGGCATTGGAGGAAAATAAAGCGTTGAAAAGGCAGATTGAGGCTCTGAGGCCTAGTAAAAGAAGAAAGGTTGATATGGATCCGAATTCGAAGTTTGCAGGGATTGAGGATATACAGAGAGCTCAAAACGCGGCTAATCGCCACGAGGATAGTCTGAATGAAGAGAGCGATGTCGAATTACCTACTGATGAGGAGGATTGCATCGTGGTGGGTGAATAGAATAGATAAACAGTATATATATATATGGGTGTGTGTATTTGACGAGGGTGGCCAGGGTGGCCCAAAACTACCCCGGCCCAAAACCCCCCCCTTTGACTTATATACTTTCTATCAAGTCAGGTTTCCAAGATCTGGAGATCTGAGAAAAGTTTGTTGGGCGAGATTTTCCGATTTCCAGAAACCAGATTTGAAGCTCAGCATAGATATGAGCCTATTCCACATCACTACAGACTACTGTATTCGGTATTTCTGCCAGCTCTAGCTTGTATCGGTGTAAATGCTTGATATGTTCTAATCAAATCAGTTTACCACATCCGGCGATATATCGATAAATGATAGCAACTGAACCTGATCTGCGAACCAGGGCTGGGGCGCTGTTGCACAAGAACGAATGCCGAAGCAATAGGCAAAGGCCCCAACGACCCAAGCGTTGTCAGACTGACAGCAAATAAAAGCCAATACAGCATCAAGTCAGGGTAAAGAACTTACCTTACACCTGCTCAGGTGACTCAAACCGAATACAAGCACTACCAGAACCCACGTGCATTCCTAGTTCCAGTGCTGAACACGCTAGTCACTATAATACGACGATCGAAGTCATGAGTTCTCTCAACTCTATTAAATCTCAACCTAATATCTAGAGTGTTGAGGGAATGTCAACTCAGCTGTCAAGAACATCGATGTGATGCTATCTATTACATAGTCTTGAATCCCTTCCATCTCATCTACAACTTTCTCCTCAATCAAGTCTGTCAATCCTCCTATAACATCATCTCTAATCCGTTCCTCCGATGAAGCCAATTTCCTAGCAAACTCGGTCTTGCAAGCACTTAGCATTTGCCTTACGTCCTTCTTATGCTCAGCAAGCAGCTCTATGATTTCAGACTTGAGAGTATTATGAAGTCCGGCGATCTCCTGCTTGTGGATCTGAAGTTAAGCATTCAGAAGTGCTTCTATAGCTGCATAATCCAAGAGCTTGGAGATTTCGGATACAGAGCTGCTTCTTTTTTAGCTACAAGCTAATACAAATTAGACTAGTTATATATTTATAATAAGAAATACTTACAAGTAGTATTTGTAACTGTGTTATTATAAGGGGGGGGGATAGAAGTATTAGCAGTACTAGCATTTGTTTCAGAAAGCAAGTCTCCTTCTACTATCTGCGCGCCATAACCCTCATATAGTGATGGGATAATCGCAAATCCGAAGCGTTCGATACTTGGCAAGGCTTGTGCTGAGATTGCAATGCAAAGCTGGCGCATTTATGCAGCTGGGAATCTTCAGCCTGAAATGATTGCATGGATAGTAAAAGACGATTGCGCAGTTAATAAATGCAGAGATCTGAGTCTGTTACCTGCTACCTGATTTAATGTTGCGAATGTTTTAGGGAGTAGTAGAGCTGGTGGCCTAATTATATCGAAAGTCAAAGTGACTGTATTCGGACCCAGCTATTTCGTATTAGGATTAGGATCGAACCGAAGTTAGCGAATGCGCTCAGAGGGGATGAAGATATAAACACGGACACTGCAAGAGCTGCGGTGATAGCGCGCCTGTGCTCCTTCCATCAAAAGACGTATATGAATTTTGAAGAATGCGCTCTTATCATGCTGCGAGATCCAGTTGATATCGAGGAATATCTTTCCCAAGCGATTGCTGAGCTGCCAGGATGCCAAAGCTGGCATATGAAAATCGATATTATTAGGAAGCTATGTTGATTGAATGCTGTGGGAGGAATCGAATGATGAGCTGCGCAGCATATTTGGGTTCGTTGTAGTATCTGAGTGGGTTGAGTATGTCGGAGATATACCAGAGCGATCAGCCATTTCAAATTTATGTATACGATGTTGCGCGAAAGAGAAAAAATACCCCAAAAAACTACAAAACAAAAGGGGGGGGAGGAAAAAAAAACCCCTGAGAATACAGGATCCTGCCCACCCAGGCTTTTCGTCTGAAGAGTAGCCTTGACTCGAAAATGAAAAACAGAGAAAAGATAGCAAACGGGAACAAGATTCTGACTGGCCAGCTCAGCCACGCCTGCTACCCCGGATTAGTCTGCGCTGAAGCCAACACTCAGAGTCTTTCGCTGGCTGTAGGCGACGAGTGGAAGCCTGTAGGAGATGGTGCTGTTGCGCTTAACTGTTCGGGGAGTAATCGTGGACAATGAGAGGAACGCAGTAAGGATACTTGTTTTGTTGTGGTAGCGGTCGTGTTTAATCTAATAAGCTATGGATTTGTATTCGATAATCGGATTAGATGCATTCATATATGTAGCAACTTGGTTAGGCAGCAGGTTTCAGTCTTTCTCCATAATACCCCTTGCAATCAGCCCCGCTCTGGAGCGGGTGGCAGGGTGGCTGAGAGGCTATACATAGTATATGCTGGAACGAAACAGCCGTTCCTAGCGAACAGATATGATAGACTGTGACTTAGAATGAACAGGCTACTTAGCGCCTTTCAACTAGTGAACAGAGGAGCTTGCCCACAGGGGGTTAAGGCATCTGTTAGAAGCACCTTAATGTACTCAGTTCTGAAGATAGCACTGAAATCCAACACATGTCAAGGAATGTGTATAGTATGTGATATCCAGCAGACATCCGAAATTTGAAACTATTCATATTGCTGTTTCTGCATCCGCTGGTTTTACATATATCGATGAGCTCTTTGAGATATCTTTTTCAACAGTAAGCAGCGGGGAATTTGATCACAGAACTTGTCAGGAACAAGCATTGTCAGCAAGATAAGATTACTACTGCATTTATGATGCAGAATGAGTTTGAAGCTAGCTCTAACAGTTCCAGAATACCCACATAGTGCCAAACTCTACTCACTTGATTAGCATAAATACGAACTTCAGCAGCAAGTATTAATACTACCTTCCTTTTTCAGTTTAGTAGTTAATATAGATCGAGATGATCGAGATGGAGAATACCAGCAGCTTGTTAGTGCACAGACGGAGAACAGGAAACGGAGGCAGGGAAACGGCAAAACGGAAACGGAAAAAAGCCGACGCCGCCATGATTCGAACATGGGCCTCCGAAGAGAATAGATACCGTAGAATCCCAGTGGAATTTCTAGTCTATCGCATTAGACCGCTCTGCCACGGCGCCTATTGAGTGATACAGATCCTTCACTTGCAGTACTATGAAGGAGTTGAACTTGCCGACAATATGCTAATTACTTTTTGCTCAACCTTTTTCACAGTTCTTCTGAAGAAGGCTTGTATGCAAATTTAGCAATATAGTATACAACACGACATTTTTCTCAGGTTGTCCAATCACTGGGAATCAGTGAGGCATAAAGGCACACGCTCAGGAGCGAACACAATACGCCACACGAGGCTAGACTGCTTCAGGACGAGTGGTACCGGAAAGGTATTGTGAGCATGCATTCTATCTTGAGATGATCGAACTCGGAATTGCCTTCCAGAGCTCGAGAGTTCCAACACTATCCCTCCTTACAATCCCCAGGCCATCCAGACGTCTCTCACGGTTCACATCGCAATCTTCTACCATTTTGTGTCGAATTTACCTCCACCACTTGATGAAGCAAGAATACCACTCTACTTGGTAGGTATATTAAGAGAATTGATTGGAACGTCAGTTTTACAGGCGCTACAAGACTTTACTATTACACTTTGCAAGCTTTCTACGATTCACCAAGCATCATCAGGCATACTGCAGCTCGTGCAGCAGGTTGACTCGCATCTCTTTGGCAGCTTCGACGTTCCTCAGCCAACACAAAGTCGTCCAACTAAGATTAAAAGAGACACTTCATAGTAAATCCATATGTACGCTTATTAATAGGCCTCGAAACTAATCAGTATAAATTCAGCTAATTCATTAGACCTTGCCCTCTTCATATGGCTGACGGCTGGTATCATCCTGACTCTTGACTTTGTAAGGACAGGCACGACAATCTGGCTTTACCCAGACCGTTACTCGAGAGATCCACCAAAATGTATCCATGAGGCATAGACCAATCGGTGTCACCACGTAGCCGGACCAAAAGTCTCCCCTGGGCCTACAGTCTTGAGGATTGCCGTATATTCCGCATCCTATTAGTGAGAAGGAATATTAGCAGACAATCATCGGTGTGCACTGCATCCAAGTAGCAGGGCCCAAGGAGTTTTGAAAAGGGTACAGGAGTACTCACCATTGTGTCGTAGACGCCAACATTGCCCCACCACTGCGGTATAGTCACCCCTGGGAACGTGATGGCGAAGAAAATCACAATTGTAGACAGGATCAACCCAGCATCCAAGGCCGCCGCGGTGATGTAGTTGTACGTGCTCCACCATCCATGATACCGCTTCCTGATGAAGTAGTTGAACAAAAGCGAGAACAACCCCCACGTGGAGAACGAGAGGGGCGTCGCTGGTGGAAGCCAGCCCATCGCGCCGAGCATGATCGGGGCGTGGAGGTTGCGGCCGACCCAGGACAGGCGCCCGCCGATCTTGACGCAGAGATAGAAGACGCATGGGAGGATCGCGCCGATGAGCCAGAAGACGTTGAAGTACTGGTAGATGGATCCTGCTCCGAACATCCGCGTCGGTCCGATCACTCCCCAGACGATGGACGACGAGAAGAAAGCACGCCCGTTAGGACACGAAAATTTGGCGGGTTGTTCCCTACAGGCAAAAGGTGGAGGTGGTTAGTTCCCATGGAGTCTTTTTCCTAGACGGCCTTGATGAGTGAGAGAAGGGAGCCAACATACAGATCACAGACACCGTCAATGTTCCCAAGGGTCCAGTTCATCACCGCAATCTGGACAAAGGTGGCCCATATAGTTGCCACCACCTGACACCAGAACGTAATTCGTGGTGGAACTTTCTGCTCTGGTTGTCAGCAATCATATAACGATGTATTTTTTGGAGAGGATGACTTTTGTGTGCTGCTCTGCACGGCGACTGACCATATAGTGAGCCATCTTCATATCCCCAGCATAAGTCTGCGCCTGACCGAGAACAATAGTGCTATAGACTTTGAAGATCATGACGCCGATGGGTCTTCCAGGTATCATGAAGCCAGCCAGGAAAGGCGACAAAACATTCAGAGCAAGACCCAGATTGGAAATGGCCAAGATGATGCAGGTGGGCAACATGAAGACAATGGCGAGAATGACAGCCACGAAATAAGCCCACCATGGCAACTGTGAATCATAGCCTAGTGCCGTGGCGAGGCCCAGCGCAGTGGATAGCACGAACAAAACTGCATACCACCACTCAGGGGCCTCTCGATAATTTGACATGAGCTTCATATGGATATCTGGCTCCTGACTTCTTGCGATCTTGAGACGGTAGTAGATCTCCTTGCCGTGGAAAAGGCCGCAGTGCACCAGGGCGGCTGTCAGGGCGGCGAACGACATGCCGTAGTTGAGGGCAAAGGTCGGTGCTAGAAAAAGAGGTGAGTACTCTTTATACTTCTGCAGGTCGAACGTGAAGCCGTCGCCGAGGATGCGGGTGACGTTGTATTCGCTCTGGGTGTTGTCGTACGTCTGGCTCGTGTTGATGGGCAAATACTGGCTGTAAATGGCGCCGGAGTAGGTGATGCCGATGGTCACGATCATGACGAATAGAAACAGGCCGGCCAGCTCTGATATGGCGGTGTGAACTGGTGCCAGGAGAGGGTCGCCGAGGTAGGCCGTCACATATGTCCAATCAAACGTGATTGGTATGAGAGAGAGGCCAGTCCATCCTCCGAACAGCTGGTTGAGGACAACATTGTTCGGCCGTATCCACGTAATGAAGGCAAAGACCGAAAGACCTTGCCAGAGAACCCCAGGAATCCAGTAGTAGCAGAACATTCCGAGGAGGACGTAGAAGAAATATCGGTAGCGGCTGATGGTCCAGCCATTGCTATTACTCCCATCGCTCTTCGACTTGTCATGAAGCGCGTAAAAAAGCGTGGTACTGCTGAACACACTAGGCCCTAAAGAATGGTTAGATGTCGACTAGTTTGTACATGTTATGGTGATTTGGGAGTTGCATACAAATCATTGCCGCTGGCCAGACGAGGAATCGCCGTGCCAGTCCTGCCAACCCAATTCCGATGATCTGCGAGCTCAGTGTGAACAAGAGCTGAAAGCCCCATCCAAGATTGATGTTATAGAATGGTGCTCCCTGGAGCGCCAATAAAGCATCCGTGCTGTCTGCTGACTGTTAACAGAAACGAAAATCACGTCGCACAGCTCGACTTGCTCTTAAAGAATTTAGCACTGCTGAGAGAGGAAAAGGATCACTTGCAGGCGTATCCGATGCTCACGTTAGCCATCAACACAACGACAACGTGCTCCTTGATGGTGAATGGCCCGGTGTTGAAGGTCCATTTCAACCCAAACCAATTGAATACTCTGGTCGGCATAGTCCTGGCCCACAGGCAACCGATGGGGTAGACAAGCAGCTGCACAACAATGGCAGGGAAATTGATTGCAGGGCTCCTCATGGACAGGAACATATTGAGACCGCTGCCAATGGTCACAAAGATCATGCCCAGGATCCAGGCGCGGACGGTGTTGGCCACTTCTTCGCCGTCCGTGTTGCGGACAGCGGCGCGGACCTGGTCATACGGCGAGTCTTCGCTGAACAGTGCATCAGCCTCCAGAATCTCGTCTGCATCGCCATCTTGTATCGCCCGTTTCACGAGGTCGATCTTCTCCTGTGGCAGGTTTGGGTCGAACGCGTGGGCGTGTGTGATGTTCACGAGATCCTTTGTCGCCTGCTCCACATTCACCGAGGTGTCCGTCCCCTTTTCAACAACCGGAGAACCAATATCAGAAGGCTCGGGCGACTTCATCATCCGGGACGCAGAAACCCAGAGAGGGTTCTGTCAAATTTTGAGGAAGCTTTGGGAAATCGTTTTGCTGAAGTGACCACGTCTGAGGACACTCTGCATATTTCATTGTTGCGTCTGCTGCATTATAGTAGAAAGCAATAATACTCCTTCGAACTCCAACTCCGCTTTTGAGTAATGCGACGTAACATGACAAAGATAAGCTAGAGGGTATCATTCCCCAACCTTCAGTCCGGACTTGAGGGGTCGTTCGGCGTCTTATCAGGAACGATTGTCAGGTCATTGCTACACAAGGTGTGATTAGCCACATGGAGACTCCACATTTGTATCGCCGTCGCTGGGAAGGCGGCGATGTTTTTGAGATCCCCGAGTGATCTGTAACCATGCACTGCCGGCGCCGGGAATCTCTGCGAAGCGATTAGCCGTAAAAGGAGTTGGGTGGGAAAAGGGGGGGGTAGGGAAGGGGGGAAAGGGCTGCTGGTGATTCTTACCTACTCGCTGTGTGATCCGGCCGGAAAAATTGTTCCAGTGCATTTCTCTATCATAAGTCTTGGTGTTAAAGTTTGTTATGAGTCGCTATGAAGTGCCTACAGAGCCACTGATCTCCGGCTGTGTTTGGATCTAGTGGATGCTGAAGGACTGGGTGACGTGACTTGAAGCAGGATCTGTCCAGATTAAGGTTTAATTATCAATGCTGGGGTAGGAAGATCGTGACTATGAGTCTACGAGGATGATCCAAATCGACATCCATCCTCTACATAACATTACTAACTACAAAAAACATAAAAATCATAAGTGGGTCAAAAGCAAAGACAGACGGAGAAACGTTTTACGCCACAGACTGTCACATTTGTTGATTTGCATACCACTTGATAATAACGGGTGCTTCAAACTATAAGCCTGTCAAAGAATGGGAAAGTGTTGCAACATATATAAGCTGGCCAAAATGTCGTTACAACATTGTTAATGGTCAACTAGGGCCGTTGCCCTCCCCAGTGCTGTGAAATATACAATACCTCTGAATCCTACCAGCGAATTCCTTTGGAGGATTGATTAGAGATCAACTAATCATTATAGATTCGATTAGCATACGTCGTCGTAGAATCAGAGATTTGATGCGCCACAACATGACCTACCTTGGCGAACAAGTCTGCCTGTTTGATCCCCATCGTCTCTGACATGAACATGAGCCGGCTGCAAAGCCACCTCTTCTGTCTTGCCGTCGCAAACATGCTGAGGCCGGTACAGAGAAGAGGGTACAATGCGGTGACTGCACTGTAGGCTTTGGGAGTTGTCGGCGCGCCACAGGGGAAATTGGCAATTGTGGCCTTGTCCCCCGTCCAGTTGACGAAATACGGCACGCTCGAAATCACATTTGAAACCTCTTCGCAGCCAACACGCATCGTCTCCACGTAGTCAGCGGTCTGCGTATGGTCGGCTGGCGCGTGAATCCACTGCATACATCGAACCATGATGCCAGACAGCATGATCCTAGAGGCGTTGATATTGAGATGCTTGCCGGCGACCCAGACGTCTGGGAATGTGCAGACCGGGCCGGGAAACGTGGCTGCTTTCTCAAGCTCGTCGTCGTCCACGTCGGCGGCCCAGCCAGAGACAGACTTGGGCCAGGTCTCGTGACAGTCTGCAAGCCAGCGACCAAGCTCGACGACGATCTCGCGCGCACGACCGAGGAGATCCACGGCCTTGTTGATCTTTTCGGCAGTCTTGGGCCCCGACGTAGTCAGAAGTGCATCAGCCTCGGCGCGGATCAGTGTGGCTTTCATGTTTAGCATGAGAGCGATGTGGCCTGATTTGTTTCTGATCAAATGTTGGCCCCACCACTCTACCTCGCCTGGTGCTGGGTTCGCCACAAATCCGAACATGTACTGGCGTATCTAGAAGCTTTTGTCAGTCATCCTCTACTTACCCTCGCAAATAATTGCTCTTGTGCAAGATCGGTCGGCCTTGGGATGCCACGTACCGTCATTGATCGTACTAGCTGGAACATCTCAAGACCTTCGGGTGAACTGTTTTGTACCACATCCTTGCCTCGGATGCGAAGGAGAGCCTTGGCTCCATCCAGGTGATTCGACCAACCCTTCATATCACCGTCATCACATGTAAGGCCCTGAAAATTGAAGCATTAGTAAAAGAGATGGGCCTTGAGGTGATTATTGGTAGGTTCTCACCTCATAAAAGGACAGCAGGATCGCTGCTGCAAGGGAAGTATCCTTCTTAGCTCTGTCCTTGTCTTTGATGGCCTCCTGGAGCTGCACCAAGGCGGTGCTATAGTATATGCGGGATCTCGGAAACAAATGCCTGGAATTTGGTCGCCCTGCCAAAGATGCTATCGAGACGGCGGTGAAGGCCATGGGAAACGGTGTGTCTTTGAGGTTATCCCATTCAAGAATCTTCAAAACGAAGTTAAATAGACAGGAATCTTGAACGGATGAGGGACATAGAACGAAGTTGGAAAGAAAAAAGCATGTTGCCTGTTCATCAAGTGGTGTCTGTAAGCCCGGTAGCACTGGAGGCGAGCTCGGGCTGTTTTCCAACTGTGGCGATCCAGTACCGAGACTCAACCTCGTCCCGTCAAACGACGAGCTCATTGCCTTTGCGAAGCCGCTGATTGGCGAGGACAGATTTTGTTCCGGTAGGGACCATACTGCGGTGAAGTCGAAAGCGGACGCCTGCGTATTCTTAGCTGGGTCGAAGTCTAGCACTGTTGTGGTCCAAGTATTATGAACTGTAGAGCGGCTGGTGGTCAATACGGTGCAGTCTGACGGCGAAGGTTGCCATGATGACTGAGAACTTGACGAGCTATCGAATGATAGTGTTGAGTCTCGACTCTCTGGACGTCCTGTGTTCAACGAGAGCCTGGGTTGACTCGGTGACTGTCTCGCAGCTGTTCCCTTCCGTCTGGTGCGAGCCCCTCGAGTCCCGCTCTGTGCCTCCGCTGCTGCTTTAGCCCTTCGAATGGTGCTTTGCGTCTCATCACGAAGATTGATCTCGAATGGATCTCTATAGCCCGGGCATTCTCTCTTCGCCTTTTTGCACTTCAGACAATGCGGTCTGGTTTCGTCGCACTTCACTCTTCTCACCCGACAAAGCTTGCAAGCTCGGCTTGGATGACCTGTGTTCACCATTGTGTTTGGAAAGGATGTGGTGATGGGGGTTGTCGAAGAAACGGAGGTATGCTAGGTGAAGGCTTTTCGGCATCAAATTAACGTGTTGTTCAGAGAATCAATTGCGGTACAGGTTGAGATAGCAATATCACAGATCCGAGGGGGACATCACGATCTCTCGCTTGTTGAGCTGATGAAACATAGCTCCTAATTCAGGGCTAAGAAAATTGATGAAACCGAAACCTACTCTCTTGTCTTGGACTCCTTATGTTGTGTCTACAATGCTGAATGCTCGGCTTGTATTGGCTGTAGAGATGGGATGGACTGATGTTTGAAACGGTTTTGAGCCATAATCCGTTGAGCTTCACAAGGACAATCAAAATCTCATACCATCCCCCATCCCCCTCTCCCGCCCCTCGCTCTACGGTCTTCTCTCCCTTCTCTTTTTATTCGCATTTTCAAATGACAAGAATGCTCATAAATGAATGAATGAAGAAAGAAACAACCGTTATTCGACGGGGACGCCTCGCAGTAAAAGAACCGGGATAACTGCATGAATCCCAGAGGCTGTAAATATGTGTTTATGCCGCTGCGGCTTTATATAAAATATATACTAAATTTTTTTTTTCTTTTCTTTTTGCTGATTGCAGAATATAAATGGCAGTACCGGTGGCATCACATCCAAATGGTAATTTTCGTTTCCTGTTCGTGCAACTGTCACCACAGCAATTGACCATGTCAACCCTTGTAACTCAAAACATTAAAGTTTCCGACGGTCTTTCTTCGACCACTCATTCTAGTTAATGCAGTTTGGGTCGAAACATTAGCACCGTTATCAGAAATACCGCATAAATCATGCACATTAATCAAGGTTCAGGAAGCAACACGTGTATCATTTGTCAGAGTCCCCTCGTCTCTGAGTCCAAGGGAAAAACCATTTTGCACTCCGAGTTCACTTGGGTACCTGCACGCCACATACTGTTCTCTCTGATGATGCGGTGTTAATTCAGAAATTGGCTAACAGTTTCAGAAGTAATCAAAAGTCGCAAACACTCTGGCTCACCCACACACCCACTGGGGCAGTAAAGGTTCAAGCCGAGTCTTCTGAGTGCCATCAACAAGGAACAGTGAGCGATGAAATCTTGTTGGATTACATACTGCGTTCTAGAGGATTGAGGGCAAGAATATATAGACATGTGCTCTTAGGACTTTGCTTCATTCTCGTCGTCCTTTAGTTGCTCGTCCTTCCGGGGCGCGAGGGCTACCAATAAAATAGGAATATAGTTAACCAATGGATGAGCGAAATCATCCTTGAAAAGTCTGAGTGGCTCAGTTGGTTAGAGCGTTGGTCTCATATTCAGTATGACTCGGTGGATCAAACCCCGGGAATACCAATCCAAAGGTCGTGAGTTCGAGTCTCACCTCGGACACAATTCTTTTCCTCTCCTTGAGAACTGTCTCGAATTTGTTATTTTTGTTCCGGTGACGAATAATTTTGACATGATGGCCATTCCTCTTGCGTTTTGCTATACTATTACAAGTCCACTGGCAATAGTAGTCTGGTTCAGATACTCTGTGTGTATCGTTCCAGGGAATCTTTATTGTGATGCGTAGGCCTTGTCGGAATCCTCTTTGACTTGCGTTGAATCCACCTCAGCTCTACCCATACACCAAATCACCAGCACCAAAAGTTTGATGGACTGTCGACTGCTGATGCTCGCATTAGGGTTAGGTGAAGGAAAGTTTCCTGGATAGATACCTAGAGCCTTAACCATTCGTTTTGTGTCTAAAGGAGGGTCGCATTAAATACGATAATCTGTCGAAGCATGCTAGTGATATATATGATCAAGACAGAAATAGGCCAGTCCAGGCATTCTCCCAGGGTGTTTCCTATGCCGTCTGTGTGACCTTTTTATGCCCTTAAAAACGCCGTACCAAAGTCACTACGCTCAAAAATCATTATCCAGGCCTGCATCCCTGGACAAGTTCGGCCAAAGAAAAACAAGATCCAAATAGAGCCTCATCCCCGTCCAAGAATTCATTGTGCAGTGGACCACCTCCAAAGTGCCAATAAATCGAAGATCACAATGATCATGATGATGACCCTTCCGACGGTTCTAGAAATGGCTTCACCACGTCTGGCCATTCGACCCTGTCCCCGCAGTCACCCTTTTCTGCGATCCAGCTCTTCACCTTGTCCACGTCCCAGCCGCTTATGTAGCGTTGCTTCTCCTTATCCTCCTTCTTCACGGGCTTGCCCAGCTTGAAGTCGGCGTGCATGGCGCAGCACTCGTTATGCCACATGAACTGAAAGCAGTCGTCGTGCTCCAGACACGCTGCCCTGCAGCCCTCCCAGCTGGCATGCGCTGCCTTCCCCAATTCAGTCTTCTCGTCCTCCTTCTTGGCCTTCCTGATCCGCCAGTCCTCCCAGGCGTGGTCTTTGGATTCGGTGTCGATGTAGAACCATCCGTCCGAGGCGTTGTCCCAGTCCTCGCGGACGTCCCGGAGCTTGGACGAGATGAACTCGTCGTACACTTCGCTGAAGACGAGGGGTTTGTGGTTCGTGCGGTATCGCTTGCGCTCAAAGTCCCAAAAGGAAGAAATCTCTTCGCTGTTCATGTGGTGCATCATGCCGACGGCATGGCACCAGGTGTTGTGCCCGAATGGTGTAGTGAAGGGTTTCTCGCCGTTGGAAAGTGGCCACTTTTAATGAGGAAGAAATTCAATGTTAGTATCTTGTCCAACAATTCCTACCAGCGCCCCCGAGTCTCTTCTCATCTTAGGATATAGAGAGAGATAGAGACAAGCTTGTCTGGCCAGATGAACGACAGCAAAGTTGTTGTACTCACAAAGCCCTCCACTAAAATCCCAATGGTCGCATTCAGCGCCTGGGCAAACATGAAGTCTCCGCAACAGTTATCTTTAATTTCCACATCGTACTTGTTGGCGATGCCCGGATTCTTGCCCGCAAACTCCCTCATGGCGCCCCTCGACACGACATAGCCGCTGCCACCATGTGCAAAGAGCTTGTCACCAATCACGGTAGGGACGCCAAAGTACCGCTCCTTGGCCGGGTCCAACCTCCTGAGGGCATACACCATGTTGGGCCACGAGACATATGTGTCCGCATCGACGAACACGTACCAGTCGTAGTCGGGCCGGAGCCTGTAGCTCTTCTCTGCCATGTGGATGTTCTTGTACTTGTCGAGATTCCACCCGGCCGAGTCGGCTGCCTCCAGGACCTTGACACAGTTGTCCTGGTCGACGGCACACTCTTGCTGCAAGCGGTACAGGTCAAAGTCGTCGTTGTCTTCCTTGGCCTCGCTCAAGACGCTGTCGAGGCTGTCACGGACGTGATGCCCGCCTATGCGCTGGTCCAGGTCCGAGAATAGCAGGAAGTCGGGCAGGCACTTCAGAGCCGTCATGATCTGCACGGGCAGCTTGTCATACGACTCTGTGGCGCCCGTCTTCATAACGAGCAGGATGCCCGAGGTGTCTGGGAAGCCATCACAGGCCGGGTCACGAGCCGGAGACAGTGATGATTTGGAGCCATCTTTGTTCTTGTTGCCTGGAATGGCGTTGCCAGTAGACTTTTCGGTGTCCAGCGCCGTCACGGTCACCGTGGCAGTGGTGGTGAAAACTGGCGTTGCGCTTGCGTTGAAGGCATTTCCAGTGTCCGACGTTCCATCTGTAGCAGGCCGGATGAATTCGTTGAGGTGGTCTGTATTGAAATTTTCGGCATCCCAAGTAGCTCGATCCAAGCGCTTCGCCGTTATTAGTAGGACGACAGCTGATATGAAGGCGAAGAGTACGATCGTAAAGGACCTGTGCGATGTCATCCTGACAGCAACGATTGAGAGAAAATGTGAGAGAGGAAGGCAAGTGAGCGGAACCGACCAACTGGTCGAGGTTGAGGGTTGGTTCCGAAGGATAGGTCGGATTTACATTTCCTCCTTGATTGAAATGACAGGAAGGAAACAAAAAGGCATGAGAACGAGGCAATATTCGTGAGAGACACAGAAAGAGAGAGGAAACACAAGAGATGTCAAAAGAAGGGAGAGGAGGGACGAATAAAGTTAACCATTGCTGCAGCCCTGATCTGGAACCCCCTTGTCAGTGCGGCTGCTGAAAGGATCCAGCCAGCAAGCAGACAGATTTAGTAGAGTACATCCTGCACTATGTAGAACCATTTGAAAGACCTAGACATGTATAAACAGTGGAGACTTTTTAGGATTGCTGCCGTTGTGGCGTTGCTGGAATCCGGCTCTTGGCCGCTGCAGGTAAGATTGATGGTCTCGACAAGGGATACACGGATAGTAAAATGGGACTGAGACCCTGCGCGAATACTGTCTCACCCAACCGCCTCGAGTCTCGAAAGAAACTGAGAAAAGTAGAGGGAAAAAAGCGCCACGCTTCAGAATGAAGGTGTTGATCATCCCACAGAGACACAAGACTTTGATGTTGATCACGGAGGGCAAAAGAGTTACACACCAGTTGACCTTTGTGTAATAACTCCGCCAGGCTGCCCGAGCCCACCACACTGACATATGCAGCCGACACAGTAGTTCTGCCAGTGTACCTCACAAATCTGACATGACGCTACACAGCTGGATTACATCCTTGCTTCTTTTCGATATGCATTACCCCGAGCATTCGACTAGCCTCAATGATACCAATAGTCCACAATTTGGGTTGGCCTGTAGCACGTGTGAGCTGGCCAACGTGCCAACTCGCCACTGTTTTCATTCGCAGCTCCACGTTTTTGAGCCACCATGATGATTGACTGAGCAGGGATTGACCGTGAAATAGGCAAGGGATTTGCCATATTGGGCACTGTCAGATAAGCTTATTTAGTAACGCGAACCCTCTTTTCGGCCTTCTAAACACATTGGGAGACTGCTATTAATTGTCGTTTCAAACAGGACCTCGGAAAATGAATGATTTGAAACGTGCTATTATTGGACAATCACGCATCCAAACCACCTCATAATAGGATCTGGAGCCTCAGTGCTTCATTATCCATGTATATCTACGACTTTCCTCCAGATTTGCATCATATATCTATCTCTGTTCCTGGTAATGTGTCACTTCCATCCCGTGTCAGAACGACGCTCAGTAATCCTCCATGCGGCGGCTTATACAGGCCCCTCAGCGGGTCATCGCCTCTATAATGGGAGTGTTCAACTCGTTGCTGACAGGTGCATCTCAGCTGACAAACTCTAACCCCCCCCCCCCAACAACAAATTAGATATTCATTTGTGGGACAGTGCGATCGTGCTTATATGGTTTGCATTTACCTATTCTCTTTACATATTGCATTTTTCTTCGTCTTCGGTCGCATCTACTTGCCTTGACTGAAGCGAGCTGGCAGATGCACCGCACAGAATCCCCACTCCAATTCCTTTTTGGGGGGGTGGGGAGAGGGGAGAAAGAAAGATAGGTGGAAAGAAAGAGTCGAAAACAATCTTGGAGGTAGCATACGAAGATTCGAGAGGGGATGCCCTAATTTGACAAGCCCTAGGTACATGGAGAATTTCGATGACAAGAGATAAAATAGCAATGAAATTAAAACTTGTCCGACTCGGTTAATGACCGGAGCCTCCTGGCGCCGCCTTCTTCTGAGCTGTAACATATTTCAAGAAGGGACGCTGGACGACAGGTTCCCAGAACTGCGGATCACTTTGTACAGTCTTCGTATCCTCCAATTTCAGAGCTCTCACCCCCTCCAGCTCAAACTTGTCGAACAGTTCCGTAGATCCAGAATACATGACTTCCATGGACGTTGCCTCAAACTCCATAGGCGGATCGTTGCCGCCCAGGACACACCAGTACTTCAACCCACCCGGGATCTGCTCGAAGTTCTTGAGCAAGATACCGTACTGATCACCAGTAGCTTCGTTACCAATGCGCGCGTTGTACAGGTACACAGTCAAGAACCTCCCGCCAGGTCGCAAAAAGGCTGCCACGTTCTGCCACATCCCCTCGAGCATCTCGCGGCTGGAGGCGTGGTCAAAGACCCAGTTCGCCAGCACGATGTCGTAGCGGCCCTCCCACTGCTTGAGGTCCTCCTGCGACGCCCCCAGCGGCTGGGAGACATCTGCCTCGAACCAGCGGATGCGGTCGCCCAGGCCAGACCGCTCGGCATGGTCCTTGCCAATCCGCATCATCCCGGATGATATGTCGACCACATCAACCCGGGCGGCGCCGCGCTCAACGGCCTGGCGGGCTCGCAGACCGGTGCCTCCGCCCAGGTCGAGCACCGTGAGGCCGGTCGCGTCGCCCAGTGCTGTTAGGTAGAGCTCGGTCTCGAGCCGGCCGACCGGTGTATGGAATATGTACGCCTCGTAGGCGGAGGCTTGGGAATTATACTTCTCTGCGGTCTTTGGAGCTGTCATGATCAAAATATCAATCCTCCTATCAGTTGTGGGGCGGTGGATGCAATCTAGCAAGCGCTGGATGTTGAATCCGGAGCAAGGAGGAAAGTGGAGTGACTTAAAGAGAGGAGTCGGGAAGACCGGATACGAACTGCAGACTTGGTGGTTATTAGTGCTGACGTCCAAGCTGCCAATGGCTGCGAAAGCATCAAGCGATGCTACCTTAGGGAGGGGCCCTCTTGACCAGATGCTATATTTAGCTGTACGGTAGCATGCTAATCGTGTTCGTGAGAGAACTTCAGACGGCAATTATTTGCACTGCTTTGCATGTGAACCTCATCAAGTCATAAATATTGTCGAGCAGTGAGAGATCTTTCACTGATGAAATGGTCCTGGTGCCAACGAGCAATCACTTGCATATTGATCATGGAGTTTATTGACTGAGTAACTATAGATAGTCTCTGTGGGAACGATATCCAAATATTGCTAGGCCGGCAATACAATGCCGGTATCTAAGAACCGCTATAAACCGAGTACAGCGTCATATATGGAAATAAGTGGATTGATGCGCTGCAGAGAAACGAAAGAGAGAAAAATTGGAGGTAAAAATAGCTAGCTACCTAAGTAGGTGAAGCCATCTAGACAGAGGCTGCCTGGCGTAGTGGATGCCGGTGACTCACTGGCCCTCGCACATATTAAGTATATCATTCCAGCCTGCCTCCGGCAATCCTTCGAGTTATGTGACTCTCCGCTTCTTTTACTGAAAGGGCGAAGCAAGGTGACTCTATGGGATCATTTTCACTTCATGTCATATGTCCCAGAAGAGATCATGAAGAACTTGACGTTTGGTAATTAAGGTCACCTTTGTTGCCCGAATTCGAATATCAACAGACGGACGCACCGTCGCAGACCGTCAAAATGATTCTTCTCCTGGACTTACCGCAAGAGCTTCTGGACCTGATCGCAACTCACTGCACCTACTTTGAATTAATTCATCTCGAAAAGACCTGCAGACAGCTCTACCACACCACTCACAACAACGCCATCCTGCGGCAAGCGCTGGTCGATCTGGAGACATACTGGGCGAGCCCGCCGTATGGAATGCGCAACCCCCCAAAAGGAATATCTTCACCTCGGCCAAAACCTTACCCTTGTTATAGCCTATATGCCAACCATGCTCCCTGCTACACCTGCCTATCTCTTCAAGGTCCTCAGAACTTATCAGATGCCCCGCAAGCTGAGGGAATCATGTCCATGCTGCCTTGGGACGGCTGCAGCCTATGGCATCCCATGCAAATCGGTGCGCTAGACCTGGATCGCAAATGCATAGAATGCACCATCCAGACCGCCAGGAACAGGAATGAGGCGCAAGAATGGCACACGGATCTGACAGGCCGGTGGCGTATGTACTGTACGCGCTGCAACACCTACAGCGTCACGTGGCCGGACCGGAGATATCTCACACGGCTCGTGCGCTCGGGGGTATGCCTGCGCTGCTTCGACGTCGCGAACCCCGGTTGGCGAGTGTTCAGGGAGCGGCTCAGCACTAGGCTCATGCGGATACAGCGCTACGAAGCCTGGTTGAGGCACATGATGGAGCTTGGGCGACATGTTCAGCGTGACGGGCAGGCTCTGGGATTTCGCCGCGACCCCAGAAAAGTCCCACCTGAGGAGGATGTGAAGGAGGATTGGGTTATATGGAGACACGTTTTTGCAGAGAAGCCGGAAGTGGGTTGGGCGGAGCTCCATGCCATGTTCAAGGAGGTGATCGCGCCGATGAGCGGCTACTCGTTCTGGATGCTACACACGGATGGTGGGTACAGGCCCTGCAAGCATAAGGCTGAACCGCCGTGGACTGATGAGCTGGCTGCTTTTGGGGAGTGGCCAAGGTGGGAATGGATTGTTGAGGAGATCAAAGAGGCTCAAGAAAAGGGCTGCAAGTGTTTCCGTTGCGAAGAGCCCTATGATCGTAGAAGACTGATTTCGACTTGGGTCACAGTCTGACCCTTTTTGTTAGTTTAACAGTATTCCAGTACTGAGCACACCGTCGAGGATTCCAAATCCTCACTATCGATTATGTATGCAATCATTTACCATTTTGGTGCAACTTACACATCTATAGGATTATATGCATACGTCTATATTTATATACTGCTCTTCCAGCCAAGTCTTCCGCCTGCAGCAAATCTGGCGCAGTCCTATTCGTGATTCCTTCAATTGGTTGCTCTTGAGCACACCCCAATTTAAAGTGACTAGTGAGCTCAATGCTTTTCTGCCTTCTGCACGTACTGTTTCCTCTTATCGAACCCCTTGACGGTCTCCGGGAACGCGAACGCAACATGGGGACTCGACCCGTCCGTCTCTACCTCGCCAAACTTCAGCTTCGACTCCATCAGGTGCTTCTCCTTGGGCCAATGGCCGAGACACGACCCCTTGGATAGCGTGTCCAGGTCCTTGCTGCGCGAGGTCGTGACAAAGGTGCTAAAGTTGGCGTCGGCGGCATAGCCGTTCATGATGAAGCCGTGCATGCCAACGAGCAAGGTCAGGAACGTCACGCCCACGGCGACGGCGTAGGGCATGATGAGCCAGAAGGGTTCGTACTTCCACACCTGTACGGATGTCGTGATCGCGCACTGGACCGTACTGAGCTGCCTGTCATGAAGGCCGCTGTCGGACATCATGGAGAAGAAAACGTTGCGGTACAGGTCGCCTACGGATGCTGCCAGGTCGTCTCCGCCGGCGGGCAGCTGGGATGCTGGGTTGAGGAGCGTTGTCTGCGTTGTGTCTGTCCAGGTGATGGCGTATTCTGTTGAAGGGTCACTCTGGTTGGCCAGGGTGACGTTCCCGCTGAGGAGGTTGCGCAGCAGCCAGCCTGTCGCATGATAGGACCTTTTTCTGTGTGTCAGTACATGCATGTGGAAGATGATGGGACTTTTGCACTCGATTGGGCTTACCCAAACTCCAGGTAGTCAGTAGCATTCGGACTTTTTGAACTGCCGTTGGGGAGCAACAGATTGTGAAGCTGTGTGTCACTGTTGTCGATATTCATCTCGCCATTAATCCAGCTGACGTTGAACGTATAAGTCGCGTTGTACATTTCTGTGACGCTTGGTTAACCATGTCCAACTTTCTCCATTGCATTATGACACTTCAAAGGGAGGATCTATAGCTCCCTCAAGCGTGTGAGGCTTTTTTGGAGGAGGAATTGCAGGAAGAGAGACATACGGCATTCCGAGATGTGCGTTGTCAGGTTGGTCCATAGCCCGTCGGTGGCGTTTGCAGATTGCGTGACCCAGCCCAGCCACAAAGAGGGCAGACCCGTGAAGACGCCTATCTCTGGGTCATTTGGATCAGCCTGGCTCATGTTGGTCCAGATGAGTGGGGCTCCATTCTCGTCTTCGGTACCCATGGGGAGGGATGAATAGCTGGCGTAGAGCAGAGGGCCATTAGGCGCCATGTCGGATCTGTTGACCTGCTGGCCCGGTCCACCAAACTCGTCTCTCTCCTCACACCCGTAGGCGGGAGCGAAAAATGAGCAAACATATGTGCAATTTGTGCCGGCAGGGCAAGGACTGCTGGGCTGCAGTGGCCCTGTGGTGGACAATGTAGAGAGCTCAAAGAGGCGCGTCATCTCCGAAGACGGTTGGGCATAGACGTATTCGCCGTTGGACATGATGTTCCAGTTTGCGAGGCCAGACAGATCGTCTTCGGTCTCAGCGAGGGTGTAGCCAATCTCGCGGCTGAGGTTCATTACAGGAACATTGGTACAGTTGGTGAAGGTCGTCTCGTACCCGGCTGTGGACATCAGCGTGGATGGCGATGCGATTGCACACAGTGGCAATGCCCTTCAAGTTACAGAACTGTTAACAGTACGTTTCAAGGATGGAGATGGCTGGGTTTCTCCGTACCAAGACACAATGGCAAGTAGAGCAGGGAGCCAAGTCTTGAACAAGAATTCAAAATTGGCGAATTGGAACGGATCGTAGTAGACCTTCAAGAAAGAATTATGTGAGCAAACCAAAGAATCGATTTCGAGGTTTTGCTAAGAATATTAACAGTACAGAGAATGCACTTACGGAGAAGATTGCGTCTAGAGTTGACATCTTCAGGTCTCGCTTCTTGACAACCAGCTGTGAAATATTGCTCGTGAGCTTCGTGGAACGAGAGGAGATGCAAGCGACAGAGTCGAAAGGGGGGAGATCTCACCCAAGCCTGCTGCTTATAAGCTATTTCCACAGAAGCAATCAAAATGGCTTTCACAAAGAATGATAGTGCACTGCCAAACCTCGGAGGCCATTGCGTATCACCAGAGACCCGACGGCCATCGAGGCTCGCATTGTATAGATGGTGTGCCAGTGCTGTGAGAAGACCCAGAACAGCAAGACCGACCATGGATGCCTGCATCCAGTATTCATGATAAGCCTGATGAATATTGGCGGTAGTCCTTCGGAACCAACCTTGGGGACGCTGGGCAGGAACCTTGGAGGGGACGAGAGTGACTTGAGATGTAGCAGTCTGTTTCAGAGTGCTGCTTGTGCTGACGGAGGGGTAGATTGTGGAGGATGGGCTCAGAGTCCCGAAGGTCTGCTGAGGCGAGAGGGGACCGCGTAGCGTTCCCGAGGTATCGACACGAGTGGGAGTGGGAGTGAGGAAAGACTGTGGAGTAGTTGGACTAGCCAGATTTGCTCGGCCTACAATGTCGGCAGCAGAGGTTGGGGCTTGACAAGAGTTGTTGTTCACATTCGTATTGATACCAGGACCTGCCGTGGTTGAGGAATGTGGTCTGGACATATTGACGGTCGTTGATGAACTTGATGCCGAAGGGCCGGGGCTCACCATAATTCTATTAGGTGAGGTTTCGGGGCCATTGTGAGGGCCAAGGGAAGAGATTGGCGATACAGACATTGTGAGATCCCTAAAAGGATACCGACAGGATAATGCAGCCGAAGATGATAGACGATGAACTTGCACAACTGGATGAACTTCAGACACCATCATTGAGACCTTGACGGAGACGCCTACCCTTCTTATACATTACATCTACTTCCGTCCATGCCCTCCCCAGGGCCTCTTTGACCATGGAAGAGGTACTCGACCTCAAGAGTTGATACATCATGAATCGTGCGGTATTGGTTAGTCGAACTCTCCATCATTCATCAGAAAATTTTCTCAGGCTGCAGCATGTGTGCCCCAGATTGTCCAATCACATAATACAATGGTTATCTGAACCTCCAAGGTTTCTTCAGCTCCGAAGCACAATGATGGAACAGTCAGCAACGTTGCAGCACACTTCTTCCTCCACCATGCCACAGCTCAGTGTGGACAAGGTTCCGCAGGGAGTTGAACCCCTCTCAGATATGGAATGATTGCAGACTCTACAAGGTGTGTCAGCAGGGCTGAGGTGCAGATCGCCATGCGCCGGGGAATGATCGGTTGCATTTTGACAGGGAGACTAGTTTACAATGGTCACATATGAACCACGATCACCTCCAAAGTGGACCTTGTTTATCCTTGTGAGCCACCATCACGAGGTTTCATACCATCAGGCTGCTAAAATTACTATGTTTAACCTTGCTTACATACCCATCACGACTGTCAACCTCATTCGCCAGTCCGAGTTATGCTCGTTGACAGCTGGCCCCACCTTCAGCCCAAGATAAGAAGGTTTGGATCCCTCTTTTTTCAGCTCAAGGCAAGAAAGCACGGCACTTTCGAGATCTACCGCTACTTCTTGATGGCACCACGACACGTGAGACTGCGGCAATTGCCCCTGTATTGATGTAAATTCGCGCTTCTCTATCACTATCTTTCTTGGCCTGTTTGTGTGTGTGTGTCAACACGTAAGCAACATGCATAATGCCCTGTCCCAAAGGAACAATGTTGATATCGTAAGCATAGCATTAAGCTGGATCGGCCGTTGCGTTATATTATCGAGTCCCCAGCATGCGTTACGGGCCCTCCGGAGGAAGGATCTGACACCCATGCCTGAACAGTTTCTAGGAGACGACGAGAACTCTGCGAGTACGAGGCTTGGCTCAGAATTTAGTCGGCAGCAGGGTGAGCCGAGACGTTCTGGCGGTGAAGCCATAGTGACCTCTAGAGATGGTGGTAAAGCCCGGATATCATCGACAACCTTCGCTCTGAACGGACTGCCATGGACAGATTGGGGTCGCTGAAACTCCACCCAGGGGCCACAACTTACCTACTTAAGATAGGCATGTACTAGTATTATGGTACCATGATATACACCCCCCCTGAGATTACTTCATCTGCGTTTTCGTCACCGAGGATATATCCACAAACACTAGCTCTAAGCTTGGGGGCGAAAATGTGTAGAGTGCAAGTCTTGGGACCCGTAGGTGCCCTTCTCGAGCGGCCTGAAAATAATCAATACCAATATACTTCAAGACTACCTTTTAGCAATGATACAGTTTCATTGAAGTAGGCTGCTAGGTCAAAACTCAAATATTAAGGGCACACAGCAGAATTGTATACCATACATCGTATAGGCGACGAAGATACCCCGCTGCAAGTCGACAAGCCGTGATCATTCGTCAATAAACGTAGCGATGGGTGGGTCTGTGGGACGCTATCTCAACACTCACAGACAGGGCTTCTCAACTCAACCCCAGAAGCACAAATCTCAGGGGCTGTCAGCATAGATGGGACCGCAGGACAAGGAGACAGACTCTACGAGTCATTGTTAAATGTAAATATTCAACTATAGCCGTTGATTATTAATCATCTGATCACCATAGTTGTTCGACTCGATCAAATAATATCTACTCTGATTCTACTGATGCGACAATGCGTTACCCGTGAAGCTTGTTTCCAAGGTTCTCTCTCGTTGTAGTTTGTATCTCCTGTGGTTTCACGAGTCACTGGTTTTCTAAGCACCAAACCTTTTCCTCTTCTTTTCTTCGCCCTCCCTTTCTTCACACACACCGTAAGCCCGCCAGTCGTCATCGTGTCAGCCACCCATACTGGCAAAATTTTCAGTCTTGGAGTGCAAAACTTTCAACATGTATTGACATTTGTCTCTTGAAAATACACAGCATAGTGTAGCTAAGCAAAGAACTTCCAGCCTCTCCCAGACCTTCCGAAGCAGTCTGTTAATGAAAGGAGGAAGTAGATCTTGCATACTGGTCAAGCCAATCCCGAAATAGAGATATTGTACGAGAAATGAACACGTTCAAACCACACAAATATGTATATATATATCTACATTGAACAAACACACACCTACAGGGCGAAGCCTATGTCCTTTCCCCACTTCTCCGCTCTCCGCTCTCCCTCCATTCAAAGTGCATCCCCACTCATCTTTATCAACCATGACAAACGTCAAGACAATGGAAAGTCTTAAGCACCGCTTTAGTTCTTGACATCACGAGCGTGGCGGCGCTTCTTGCAGGACTTGGCAGCCGCAGTGCTGGTAGCCTCAGGAGCGGCCGAGGTAGCGGCAGAAGTAGCGACGGAGGCAGCGGCGGAGACTGCCTCAGCCGAGGAGCTGACGGCAGCGGCGGAGGTAGCGGCGGCGGAGCTGACAGCGGCGGCGGAGGAGGTGGTGGCGGCAGAGGTGGCAGCCGCAGAGGTAGTGGCGGCGGCCGCAGCGGCGGAGGACGTGGTGGCAGCGGCCGCGGTGGTAGCAGCAGCAGCGGAAGAGTCGGAGCCGAAGGCCAGGGTAGGGCCGGGGATGGGGTAGGTGCTGAAGGAGGTGTACTGAACAAGAAGAAAAGAAAGCGGTCAGTATATCTACCCCATTCGATTTCAAAGAGTACTTATTCATATATATATATATATAGGAGGGACCACTCACGAGGTTGAAGAGGATTCCAGCATCAGTCTCAGTGTAGAGGCTGGTGCCGAGGGTACCAGAAGGCAGCTCAGTGCCGGAGCCGGTGACGGCCAGGTTCACACACTGAGGGTAGTTCTGGGCACCATCGGAGTTCTCGGCGCTATGGAGGGCAATGATCTCGTGGCGGAGGACGTAGTTGCCGGCCTTGAGCGTGGAGGGGATGGTGACGTCCCACGAGAAACCGTTGCTGATGAGCGTGTCCGAAGCCCAGACGCCCGGGTTGGAACCGCTGACCAGGCCGCCCTCGTCGATCTTGATCCACTCCAGGGTGGCTATTGTGATGTTAGTGAAAGAGCTCTGATGGAAGGGTTTTGGAGGCAAAGTTTCCCCTCATCACGAGACTTATGAATTCATTACTTACTCTTATCGACTGTCGTAGGATCGTCGGCGGCCGCAATGTAGGTGATGACGGGTCCATGGTGCTATAAAGGTAATTTACCATGTTAGTAACTGGTAAAAAAAACTTTCGAAAGAGTGGTTATGAAAGTTTGTTACATACAGAGTCAGGCCAGGTGTTCCAGGTGGCAGTGACGACACCACCAGCAGCAACGGTGGCGTTGTTCAGCAGACCGTTGGTGGCATCCTTGTGGCAGATGATGTCCGAGGTGCCATAGGCATCAGGAGCAACGTAGCCGTTGTCAGAGGCGGACTCGGACCAGGCGATGAACTCATTGCCGGTGTCCGTGCCTGCAGCAACTGCCCACTGCTCATCGAAACCAGCAAATGTGTCACTGCCGATGGTCCAGCTGGAGACATAACCGTGGGCGGAGACGAGGCTGGCACCGGCAGCCAGGGCAAGAATGGCGGGGGTCTTGGAAGGCATCTTGGATGAGAAAAAGATATAGGTTGCGTGTTTGTGTGGTTTGTTGTTGATATATTTACCCGGCTGGCGGAAAGAATGAATTTGACTGTAGTCAATACAGCAAGCGGGAAAGAAGGCGAAAAAAAGAATGGATCCTAAGGAACGTCCTTGAAGAAAGAGAATGAATGTGTGGTGAGAAGACTGTCAACCTGAAGAGCAGGAGAAGGAGGAGGAGGAGGAGGAGGGACAAGATGCAACCTTCAACCGTTCTTATATCAAAATCTCTCGAAACATGGCCAGCCATCCAGGCTCCTTCTCCTCCTCCCTATAATTTCCTCCACCAAGTCTACAAGGCTACCACTCCTCCAGAGGCGTCCGCTACGGTGACATAAAGTGGAGGGAAGGGGGGGGGGTTCCCCCCATCATGGAAGGCGCTGAGGGGGCCTGGAAGGAGTCGAGGTGGGATGATGGAAATGAACGGTGCATGTTGAAGTCTTGGCGACAAGGTTGGCGACAAGTGTCGGACCTATCGTCCTGGACAGAATAAACGCCTGTGGGGCCGCCGCCCCGAGGTCCAGCCAGCTTTGGGGCCACTGTTTCAGTTTCCAACAGCTTTTCGTGGGCGGCAATGCTACCTTGCGGCTGCTTCGTGTTGGTTGTGGCTGTCTCTCTTCTCTTTTGTGATCTGCTCTGCTCTGCTTTGGATCTACTCAAGGGGGACAGAGACCTGGTGATGGGAATAAGACCGGGTGTTCATAGCAGCACCACATGCCCACTCCAGATATGCTTAAGAAACACGAGATGGGGCTTGAGAGGTAGGGGACAAAAGGAGTCAGCACCGAAGCGCGCCCGCATAAATCGATCCCATAATATTTGGAAACAAAAACGGTCTTGGCAAGTCCACTTTATATCCCGCTTAGGTGCGAGAGCGCACTATAGGCGAGAAAAGGAGACGAGGCATGATGCCTGTTTTGCCAAGTGAAGTTTGAAACATCCCCTAAGGGAATACTTATCATGGCTAGATATATCCTCCATACCATTCTCGGTAGCAAGGCGGCATGCGTGCATGTTTACAGTCTTGTACAAGTATTTTTTCTGGGGGGCCCTTTTTTGGGGGGGGGGGGGGTTGTTTCTTTTCTTCTTCTTCTTCCTTTTTTTTTTTTTTTTGGAGGGGGGGGGAGGGGTTTTTTTTCTTCTTTGGGTGATTTTCTTCTTCTCTTCTTTTTAGGGGGTGTTTCTTTTCTTCTTCTTTTTTTTTGGGGGGGGGTTCTTGTTCTTGTTCATCTCCACCTGCACAGCCCGACCTTTCGGCCCCATCCCGATTGACTCTGTCGTTTCGTAGATCTTGGGTCAGGGGTTCAAGGCTCGCTCAGCCCCCGTCTCAAGAGATACTTGACTAGAGCATCCTACAAGAGACATCTTTACACCCAGGGAAAGGGAAAGGTGGAGGAAGGAGGGGGCCAGTTTTTTTTCCGTGTTGGGGGTACAATTCCGTCTTGGCCATGTCCCGACAGTGTGCACTGCGAGATGACGTGCGGCGCTTCGTGACGTGCGGCGAAAGAACGGAGTCCCCTCAAGCCTCTCCATAGAACACCAAACACCCTTATAGTTAGTATAGATGGATGCCAATTTCGGAATAATTTGACGTTGCAAAAGAGAGAAAATTCTTCTCTTGAAAGGGGGTATCACCAACATTTGCCTACGGGGGAGAGGGATAGAGACTTGTCATCCATACTGTATAGTACTGACTGCTTAAGTACTCATACGAGCGGGTCGTTTTTGCAAAGGTAATTTATTGTTTACAAAATGGTGGTAACAAGGTTATTATGCGGCTCGCCGTAGGGGTGGATCGAGATCCCCTACCAGAGTGGAGAGGATGGACTTGCACTGGGCACAGAGCGCTCGAGAAGCTTCCGCACCAGTGGTGTACTGTGGTAGTTCGTGTGCGGATCGTGCGGATCACATGATTGGCGGCCTTATAGTATTTGACTTTATTGAGGACGTTGCAGCCTGTCTACAGATCAGCATCAAACCTTAATTGACGAACATTGAAATCATTCATCACACGAGAGTATATATAAGCATGTTAAAACCTTTCAGGATAGCCAGCGACTGCTGACCGACGCGTTTATTGTCGTTTCAATCGTACAGATAGCGGGAGGTCATTCCCAATCCGGTGAGACAAACCCAGCTCAAGTGAAAATATGCTTATGTACATGACGGCACCGATCTTGGGTCTCAAGCCCCGCTTTTGGAGACCTGCTCGGCCCATGCCACCTTCTCCTTCTTCAGCTCCCTCTTCACGTACCAGATGGTGCACAACGACCACACGCCTGCCCACCCGAACGGCACCGACCAGCCAATAGTAAAGGCCGCATCGTCGCTGACCGTAAAGATGAGGATCATACAGACAACCGCCATGGCCTCGGCCCCAACCGCCCAGAAGATACCCAGCTGACGAAGCATGCTCCTGAAGACGTGGCTGGCCTCGTATCTCCTGTTGAGGGCCTCGCGAAAAGCCGTCCCCCCCGAACCGTCCACGGCAACCACATCCTCGATGATTGTATATATACATGGTCGCAGCTGGGCGCCCTTGGGTATCGACGACATGCGAATGGGCGCAGGAACGCGGAAGAGGCGGAGGGTGTCGACTAGAAGCAGCTCTGTGCCGAACGTGAACAGCATCGTGGTCAGAGGTACCGAGAGGAGCCGGATAGGTGGCCAGTACTGGCAAGTGCCTCTGAAGAGAAAAAAAAAAAAAATTCACAAAGATTAGCATGGCTGTGCATCTCCCTCGGTTGAATATTTGGAAACCATTCGCGGCTTACATGATCAGCTCAAGCATGATGATGATCCAGGCAAGAGAATAATTCCAGTGGAAGAGGTCTAGGTACCACCTCCTGGCTCCTATGACGCGGCAGGTGCTGCTCTTCTTGTACAGCCTCCAGAAACGGATACAGTACTCGAGAATGCTGGCTCCTCCTATCGCAGCGGTGACGATGGAGAAGACAGCATTGGCGGAGAGCACCTCCCCCTTGTGTGTGGGGGTGTTGGCACCGGGCCCGACGCCATACCAGAGCCCAAAGTACAGAGCGATGGGCATCACCACGGAGTCGAAGATGATGAATGACCAAAAGATGAAGATGGCCTTCTTCCGTGTGTGCAGGGTATAGTTCAATGGCGGCGGTTCTGGCTCAAGCAGTTCTGGTGTTGAACCACCAGGGACGGCCACACCTCCGCCATCTCCTCCTTCAGTACCCGTGGTGGCTTCCGCCTCTTGCCCAGCTGGCACCTCTTCCCGGTGACTAGAGAACCGCCTGGTCATGGCCAGGCTGGGCCGACCAAAGGGCCCATCGAACCGCCTGTCGAACTCGGTACTCGACCGGACCGCCCTTTGGCCGTCCGTACGCGTCGTGGTCGGGGCATGGATGGGTGGTGGATGCTGTGGTTCCGAGTTGCGGCGTTGCTGGTCGAGGATCGGCACACTATTGGATCTCTCTCCAGCCTTGTTGGTGGTGGGGTTCCATTTGCGGTTGCTCCACGAGAGAGGAGGATTCCTGACATCCAAAGAGTGGCGACCCAAGCGACTGGGCTTCGGGTCCGACTGCAAGCTTGCTCGGGGCGGCCTTTCTGTCTTTGCGTCTCCACCACCAATCGCTGTGGCTGCAGCCATCTCTGCTGGCGAATTTGTGGACGAGGAGGCCAGTGGCTCGTCCCCCGAGTGGCTCGCCATTCTGGATAGTCGAACTCAAGGGTTCTAATTGGGCGTAAACAGGACGATGTGTACAGAGGATTCGTACAGTACAAGATAGAGGAGGACCACAAGAGGCCGTACTGGAATAATCGATGTTGTTCTGAGAAGTAATTTCCCGGCAGAGAAAGAAAAACACAAGAGAGGAAGGAGTCTCAAGCCATGTCTGAAGAACAACGCGATATGTGGTCATTCGAAGATGCAGTGACGGAATGCTGACCACAGCCAAGGAGAGCCAAGAAGGCTACTCACTCAAAACACTTGAATAGGCACAAGAATGGACGCTCAAACGAATGATCTGCCCGTTGAGGCAGTGAAGGGCAGTGATCACTGTGGAATGAGTGGTGGTGCATGGGCCCCTTCCCTTCCCTGCCACTTGCAGCGAGGGAGGGATGAGGTCATACAACAGTCGCAACAGTCCGCGTAACCCACAAGTTAAGCAGGGTGTGATGTCATACCCGTCTTGACCCACCTTGCGTGCCACCCTCTATTTCTTCCATCCCTCGCCATCCCAGGGGAGATCGTTAGGCGTTTGATGAAGAAAAGCGAATTCAAGGACATGATTTGCCAGTCTCCCACTTGGATGTCGTCTTCTCCTCTGTATTGTCTTTCTTTTAAATTTAGAAGATTTAGTACTGGCAGGTCCTGATCCAGAAACGTTGACGCTATCCTGACAGCAGCTTAAATGGTTCATCAGGGTATCGCGCCAGTGCGAGCCGAACCTCTGGAACTTTGGAGATGCACCCCTGAACCTGGCCTGGATCAAACACTTCACTGTGAACGATGATGAATCGATCACCCATAGCATATTCCATGGTACTGTTACAGTATACCGATGTAGCAGCTTATTATTGATTCAATATAATAGTTCTGGATGGCGCCGAGAGTGTCAGTATTGTGTTATTATAGGTTCGAATGAAGCATTTTCATGCCATTCCACGAGGACAGACACCCAGACACCCCTCCTCGCATGGGCCGCCAGTGATTGCGACGCTGCACCCTGCTAAGCCTTGTCGCTAGCTAGTGCCTAGAGGGAAAAGGCACCACCAACTGTAACACGTGACTACAGACTAAAAGCACACTATAGCCTAGAGAAGGATCCTGCCTGCCTGCCTGCCTGCCTGCCAAGGTGATACCTTGAGATGGTTCCAATTCAACCCTGATCCTGCCTGATTCCAGAGCTCCGTCGCCATGACTGGAAGCTCTTTCGCCCAGCAAGAATCCTCCAGAGCACATTGGGAGAAGGAATTAGAAAACCCTACGCCATGCCGTTTTCAATGGCTGAGTAGATGACAAGGTAATTACCACGGGACCGGGTTACCACCCCACCTTCTCTTCACCGTCCGTCCCCCTTCACAACCACCAACCTACAGAAGCTGAAAGAGCATGACCACCACAACAGGGCGCTGGCGTCTCAGCTGCTAACTCCGTCGTCTCCTCGTCCCCAACGACATGAGCACATGGCTGGCAACAGGGCAAGTCACATGTTCCGGTTGCCCTTGCGACGACTCGTCTTACCACCCCTCTCATGCCCTCCCTCCTCCTTGGGCGGGCCTGGCGTTACAAGGAACGGCCAGACAGGAAGCTGCAATTTCTTATGTAGGATTTGCGACTCAATGTTACCATGTCGGCAGTGGCCTACCGATCGCCTACAAAAACTGAAAGTTATGGGCACGAACAGGCCCCCTAAGGCACCGGAAATAAAAAAGAGACGTCGTCCCCACATTACACAGTAGAGCCCCTTGACAGTGCCAGGGCAAGACTCCGAATCGCTTTGAATCCTTTTGCACAGTGGAATATTCCCAATACGCCAGAGACCTCATTTTGAATTACCACACGCCATGGAGGGAGCAGGAGCAGGAGCAGGAGCTCAAGGGACCTGCTCCAGATCCAAGAAGAGAATCATCTTGTGCTGTGATGGGACGTGGGAAAACTCCACCGGGCCGAGTGTGAAGCCCCTAACCAATGTGACGAGACTGTCCAGATCTCTGAAACAGATCTGTACAGATGGCACCCATCAAGTCATCTACTATCACCCAGGCGTGGGCACAGGTGGCCGGCTGAACGCCCTCGTGGGAGGAGCATTCGGCATAGGCCTTGGAGCGGTGCGTCCAGGAGCTCATTTCTTCTTACGGCAGGCGCTCAACTGCTGACGATGCAGATGTCAAGGATATTCGAGAGGCATACAACTACGTGTGCACCAACTACGTCGATGGCGATGATATCGTGCTTATTGGCTTCTCCAGGGGGGCCTTCACGGCGAGGTCGACAGCAGACCTCATCGCATCGATCGGTTTGCTGGACATTGAGGCTATGACCAACTTTTACCCCATCTTTGAGGACTATGAGCACATGGCAGACGAGCACAGGAGCGATGAAGCATTTTTGGATGATTCGGCCAAATTTCTTACAAAATACAACGGAGAAAAGGGCAAGGCCAAGATCCTATGGGAAAACAAGCGGAAAGACGAGTACAGAGACTGGCTCATAAGGGTAAGAAGAGCTGGCAACAAGCACATTCGAGAGAGTTTGGCGGGCATTATACTGACCCGAGTACAGAGACACTGGACTCGTAATACCTTCAAAGATGGCTCTACACTCATCAGGATCAAAGCCGTTGCTGTGTGGGACACAGTAGGGTCACTTGGGATACCTCCCATACCGGTCATCGGAATCCAGGGCTCTGCCTCTCAATAAGTTCCCCTCCCCTCCCCCCTCCCCAGTTTCTAGTAGTTCATGTCCTAACTTTCATTCCTCCACATGGAAATTCACCAACACGCAGATCTCGAGCAAGGTTGAGTATGCTTTCCAGGCTCTGGCCATGGATGAACCTAGGAGCTCGTTCCGGCCTGCGCTGTGGGAGCGCCTCGAGGGAAACACGACGACATATCTTAAGCAGGTATGGTTTCCAGGCACCCACGCCAACATAGGGGGAGGGTGGTACGATCAGCAGATCGCATCCATAACACTTGCTTGTAAGTGCATCTCTCATCAACACACTCACACTTCAGGCAGCCAGGAGATGAGTCCTAACGGACAGCACCTAGGGATCTGCGACCAACTCACACCCCTCGGCGTTGAATTCAACCCTCACTCCCTTACCAGACTCTTCTACTCCTCCCTCCGCTACAGTGCCGCCCACCCGTATCCTTCCATCCCGAGCCCCTCCATCTTCATCCCCTCCTTCATCTGGTCTATCATACTGCGGTACCGAATCCCCATCCCCTGGGCGTTTACCCCGAAGCCATGCCCCCCGCCCAAATCTACTCAGCGCATTGACCAGGCAAACTGTACCGATGACGACCACCATCCCCACGGCTCGCCAGAACAACTTTGGAAGTTCCATGGCAGGCCATGGGGCCTGGGCCAGACGCGCTTTCCTACCAGCTGGTTTCAGCTAGCGGGAGGTACGGTGGTTAGGAGGCCCGGGTGCTACATGAGGGTCGATCCGGACAACAACAAAGATACGACGGAGCCACTGCTAAATACTAACGAGAGAGTCCATTCGTGTGTCAGGTTGCGGCTCAGACTAGGGGGTATGAGCCCAGATGATAGGCAGACGTGGCCGTGTGCATCGCTACTGGAGGACGATAGCCACGGAGAGAAGCCAGTATGGAGGCTAGAAAGAGGCAAAACCATCAGCCAAAGAGAATTGGACCAGGATACGGCATTTTGGGACTCCGAATTGGCAGACGACAAGAAGGACTATGACAGCAGGGAGATTTATAACATGCAGGATGGCGATGGAGACTGGAACTGGGTCTTTGAGGACGACGCCGTCATCAAAAACAGTACTGGCGAGACAGTCAGACCATTGACCAAGGTGCTGCCTGAGGAGCCTTTGGTAGGCTACTGGGAACGCTGCCTGTTGGCGCTGACTAGGGGCGAGCTAGATGACTGGAGGCTTGGGGAGGAAGGCGTCCCGGGAACGGTGAACGGGGGCAAGTTTGTATAAGAGATGGTCAAGACAAGAGACTATACAAAGTACATTTCCCCTCCTCAGAAAGGTCCTGGGTCATGTGTTTAAAGGTGTCAATTGGGATCGCGGTAGGGTGTCTGGATTTCTTACATCTGCCTGCTAGCCTGTAATTAATCTAACCTATACTTGGCATTAGCAGCAAGAATATTTGGTTCATCACAACGTGTAAGGCCGTTGTGAACCCTTCATGGCGTCTCTTTGGTCGGTCTACTTGATAGCATGATCATTCTGCCTGATCCGTGGTTAGGATCCTTGTTGATCCCCGACTATACATATTTCCAAGAGGTCCGTCATAACCTAGAGTAGCTAACCGCCAGTGGCCGAATGACACTTTCAGTTTGTCCAAGATAAGGCTCTGCGGCGATGGTTGCCTAGGATAACTTTCCCCAGACTCCACAGCATTTTGCCACATCATCCTTTACGCACCTCAATAGGCCTGATTTTCTGGTGCAGCCTCCACGACCCGAGCCGCAGGCCTGCAGGCCTAGTCTGCTGTAAGCCGCGGTAGTGTAAAAATGAAGGGGCGGGGCGGGGCGAAGCTCCCTGCCAACTAGATATCCTGCTGGTAATTAAATAGAGATCCTTAAATGTACCTTGCTGGGCCCTTATTACTACATACCATGCTAAGTCTCCAGGCACCCCTCTCTCTTTTTCTTCATCTTTTTTTTTATATACTTGATCATGCCTGAAAGTGGGGTGTAAAATGTATGATGAAGTCTTCTGGGCAAGTCATGTCGTATCACTGCATGATGTACAAGCATAGTACGTGTATCGTTAGATAGTCCTCTTCATTTCTTGTGCCCAGCCTCAGTTCAGACGTGTCATAGTATTTGGTGACTGGCTTGGTGTCTCAATGTGGGGGCCTCAGACAAACAGGCAACCTTTTTCACTTTACAAGTCAACAGGCAAGGGGTTCAACCTACGTCCGTTGAAAGTGCACTATGCAGATTGGCGCCCTGAAAATCTGTCATCTGCGTGGATTGATCTGATAGGTGTGTTGAGAGAGTCCACTTGTTGAAGGCAGCAACGCGTAGTAACTAATCAGTTCATTATGAACCGGGCTGTGACTCATTTCAACATTGATCTTGGACAGATGAGGCTGAGTAGAGATCGTAGAAAGATAGCGTCTCATATGTTTAGAAGGTCCATCAGTCAAGGCAACCCTTACCTGTTAATATCTGATAAGTTTTGAGTATAAATGTTACACCTCTTTCTCCCTCTCCCCGCAGAAATCTATTTACTTTACTCTCCTTACATGTGCAACTCATCCGTATTATAGAGCTTGCTTTTTCCCTCAATGACAACACGGCAAATTAAGTACACTTAACGCATACATTTATACTTAATCTTGTCAAAATGGCTCGTACAAAGGCCGCCATCAACCCAACCATCGCCGTGACCTACGGCAACGGGCCGACGAAGAAGGTGGGTCTCGAGGAGCTGTCGAAGCTTCTCAAGAAGGCGGATGTAGCCAAGGAGAAGGAGGAGGAGGAAAAGGACAAAGAATCTACTGATGATGCCAACAACCCAGACGAGGAAGAGGACGAGGACGAGGACGAGAAGAAGTCCGACCTCCCCGTCGGCTCCGTATCAGAAGTCAAGAACATCTACCGGTCCCAGAAAGACTCGGACGGCAACTGGACCTGGGTGGACAAGTACCCTGAGGACGCCCAGGAGCCTGCCGAGAACGCCGTGACAGACACGTACGCCGTGCTGGTGCGCAACGTCAAGAGCCAGGATGGGCGCAAGAAGCTCGAGGCGCACTCCATCGTTGTCCAGAGCCCCTGGCTGCGGCAGGCACTGGGTGAAGTCATCCTTAAGGACTATCCCGGCGTGGCGTGCGAGCTGGACAGACTCACGTTCGAGGCACCGTTCAAGCCTTTTGTGCACCGCTGGACGAACCTGGTGGAGTATATGCAGCGTGAGGACCTTGAGGAGAAGACAAAGGAGCACCTGGTGATCCTACATGACATTCTCAAATATGAGATTGGGGATAACATCAAGGCATATGAGGATTATGTCGTGAAGGGCGTTATCACCTTTCCGCACCTCTGGTAAGCCCCATTAAATCCTTCCTCTTTCCCCACAGAATGCTCTCATACATATACTCTTAGGGATAAATAAACTGACACTTTTCCTTCTCCAGGATGATCTTCCAGCCCGGCGCCGTCATCCTCGCAGCACACAAGGGCCCTCTCTCGGCTTTTGAGCTGAACGAGACGGAATACATGTCGAACCAGTGTGGCCAATTCCTGCGCGTCAGTGCAGACTGCGTCGACTACAGCGGCAAGGAGTTTGGGCGCCATACAGAGAGGATCAGCGTGCCCGAGTTTATCGGCACAAAGAAGATCACCAGCCTCAATGCTTTCCCCTTGGTCTTCCATGAGGCCAGGACTTCCATTGTGGAAAAGCTCGTGAAGAGAGGCCAGCTCTTTGAGAACCTGGCAGGCCACCACTACAAGGCCTACGACGGGACGGCCATCACCTGGGACCGACAGGGCGAGGAGATGCCCATCCCCATCAACGGGCGCATCGTGGTCGACATCCAGTCCTTCAACCGCAACAACATGTTCCGCAAGCGCTGGCTCAGCGACTGGAGCGCAAAGGACCTCGAGCGCCTCCAGGAGCACAAGAAGACTCACGGCCTGACCGACAAGGGCCACCTGAGACTCACGCCCTACTACCAGATGCTGGCCAGCTCGCGCACCCGCGGCTACTCGCTGAAGCGCAAGATGTGGCTCGAGTTCTATGTCGAGCAGGTCGACGAGATCCAGTGGAATAACGACGCCTTTGACAAGCTCGTGCTGCCAGAGGACCAGAAGGAGCTCGTCCTGGCCTTCTCAGAGTCGCAGCTGGAAGGGGGCGCCACCTTCGACGATGTCATCTCTGGCAAGGGCAAAGGAATCATCTGCCTCCTGTCTGGCCCGCCTGGCGTTGGCAAGACGCTCACCGCGGAGGCCGTGGCAGAGAACCTCCGCGTGCCCCTGCACACGCTCAGCTCGGGCGATCTCGGCTCGCAGCCGTGGGAGGTCGAGAATGGCCTGTCGCAGATCCTCGAGCTGGTCGCCCGCTGGAACGCCATCCTGCTCCTGGACGAGTGCGACGTCTTCCTCGAGGCGAGGTCCACCTCCGACCTCGAGCGCAACAAGGTCGTCTCCATCTTCCTGCGCACCCTCGAGTACTACGAGGGCATCCTGTTCATGACCACCAACCGCGTCGACAACATCGACGCCGCCTTCCAGTCGCGCATCCACGTCTCCCTCGAGTACCCTGATCTGACCACCGAGTCGAGGGCGCAGATCTGGAGGAACTTCATTGGTGGCTTCAAGGAGAAGCCCGAGATCACCGAGGAGGATGTCAAGGAGCTGGCGCAGATGAAGTTGAACGGAAGGCAGATCAAGAACATCCTCAAGACGGCACAGCTGCTGGCCGCGCGCAAGAATACCATACTCAAGCGCAGCTTCATCGATACCGTGTTGGCGATTGAGAAGCGTCGGCCAGCGGTGGACGAAAGCGCTCATTGGGCCACTATGAATAAGGGACATCAGTTTACAAGTGCGACACGTGAGGCGGTCCTAGAACGAGCTGATTAACAGAGACGTTTTCAACTCTTGTTCACCTTTAGGAAAGACGCAATTACAAGGCAACAAATCACAAATTACTTATAATGAAACAGGACTTCCCCCTCATCATTGTGATTATCTACTTAATCTGCTCTTTTCGAAATGGCACAGATCTGCTTCCCACAATCAATGTGACTAATACTTTCCACCTCATCAAACTGTACTTGACGTTCCCATATAGGACCCATTCCCTTGAGTTGGTAAACCTGAAGGTTCGGATCAGGATACATCATGTCCTGGCTGATGTCCTGAAGAAATTGGATCATACTCTTGCCTTTAGTTGTCGACCTGATCTTCCCCTTCCCGCCGTAATTTTCCATGTAGCTCGTCTCCAGATACTCGCAGAAGAACACACCGCCAGGCTTCACCGCTTTCCACAAGGTGCGCAAGCTCTCCATCTGCTGCACCACACTGTGCCCACCAGACACGATGATGATATCAAACTTGGTGTTGTGCTCCAGCAAGAAGCCTGCAAGGAATGCTTCGTCCCCTGGGTCGCCTGTGACAATGGTCGCATCGCTCAACTCACGCGACAACCTGTCAGCGCACTCGACGTCTTTTTCGATGAAATAGATCTCCTTTAAAGATGAAAAGTACTCCGTCCAGGTGTGATAAGCCGACCCAAGCCCGTACCCCAGCCAGCACCCGAGGCCGATCTCGAGTAGCCTGATCTTGCGGTTGCGCTTGGGGGACAGATATCTCTCATACATGTCTTGGTAGGTATGGAGGGTGACCTTGTCCGTGCCTGTCTCGATGGCTATTTCGTAGAAGGATGGCTGCTCCTCCTGGTCGTCCATGGGATTCTGAACGGCGCGAGGCGCCGAGTCGTCGACGGAAAAGGCATTTTCCACCACAGGGGATGATTTATGACCGAAGGCGGCGAGTTTTTCGTGGGATTCCGGTAAGGATTTCAGGGAGTCAGCTTGGGACGAGGGCTCTTTGGGTTGTTCAATTTGATCTGCGCCGAGTGACCAGGAGCCACCAGTGGTGTCGATGACGGTGTCTTCGACTTGGGGCTTATATTCTCTCTGTTGGCGGATCTTGATTATTGCAAAGATGAGAAATACAACCACAGCAGCGTAGAAAAGTATGGCGTTTCTTTTGGCTGGGGCCGCCATCTTGTGGGTCAGCGTCTCATGGGATTGATGGACAACTCGAGAACGGGGAATATCTCCTGGGCATGGACGTTTAATAGCCAGGTACCGTGAAGAGGGATGGTTCGTACTTTCGTTTCTATTTGAGACACTGCTAGACAGAGGGCATGCATTGAGGGAGAAAGCAGGGAGGGACGGTGGAGGTCCAGCACATCCCTTACAACAGCCAGGATTTTGATATGGCTACCTTGCACTCGATAGCAAAGGTCAAAGACAAATGTGCTCTCCATCAGTGTTCAAATGAACAATTCTAGACAAGAGAAAAAGAGACTTTGACTGCGAAGTCACATAACCATTGGCTGTAAAGAAGTTGCCTTGCAGTGTGGCCATTTTCTTTCCTACGTCCTACTAGGCCAGTATTCACATTACCAGCACGGGACTTCAGTGTGACACTATCAAGGCGGGAAGAAATGTGAGACATTCTGGGCATTATCACCTGTACGAATTGATACCTTGACACGATCGTGTCCGCAGTATGGTTTTCCAACCAAGTCATCACTGCTGTCATTCTTAGTATTGTATCTCTACTCCTATAAGCTCATGGAGACGTTCAGAATTTTTTAGGCCCGCTTGTCATGTATTCATCATGTTCCAAGTACCGGTGTTTCTTGGCCCTCAGCCGTGTTCCTCAACACCTGAGAGGCCTCGTTGTCATCCCCGTTACTAATAGCGCATCCATCGTGGCTAGGTCAGCGTGGCAACGACAAGTCCTTCGTGGGTCATCGTACTGAAATCACAGAGGCACTTCACAAGTTCTAGGCTTTGATCGAGGTTGCGATACTTAGGTTTCTTTATGGTACAACTACTAGAGTATGGAATCTGGTTGAACACCATGGTCGAGGATAGATCAAGGACTGGGACTGACAGACTGACCAAACAGTTGAATAGAGATGAGTAATCAAACATTTTTCAAACAACATCTCTGCCCCAAGCTGCCAAACATCGTAATAATGAGCTGCAATCTAGAACGATCGAGACGGGAATCTCAACACCACCATTGGCGGGGTCATCATTGGACTCGCTCGGGACCTCGGGACCTTGTGGCTGATAATTGAATGAGAATTTGACGTCACAAGACCTCACAACGAATCTCGAAGCTCATTCATAAACGTCTGTTTCACGAACAATCTGAAAATGTACTAATACATCGGGCTGTCGGAAGCAAGCGAATATTTGGGCGTCAGCCCTAGAGTTCCACGTGGCCGTCGAGTAAACATCCTTCTACATATTCTGTGTACAGTAGGAGAGGAAATCGTAGGAGAGAAAATTAGTGGGTTAACCGCGGGATTGTTGGTGCTGGATGGATGAAGCTACTGGATCCTCCAGTGGCGCAGTCCCCAACAAACCATGCCAACCTTAATCTAATACTCTAACGCTAGGCCTACTTCTTGAGTTGGCTGACATGAACAGTAGACACCTGTGATAGAACTATGATACATGGTAGTATGAATGCCTGTAAGTGTGGTGGTATCGATGTCAGCCGCTAGCCGCAAAGCGTCAACCAACAACTAGGCACCTATCATGCTAGTTTCGTAGACTCGGCGGCATCAGTAGCATGTTATGTATATAATTATAACCAGGCTTTGGTCCATCAACCTGATAAGTACCTTTGGAGACCCCACCCTCTCCTGGGTTGATCTGGGCTGGATTTACTTTTCGAACCCCTTTCTGTCAAGACCATTCCTTTCACCCCAAGATAGTCACAGCATACTGTGCCTTTTCATCTTACCAAAATGCCTACGGCTACTTCCATTGCAAGCTGGGGCTTGCGCAATCTGGTAAGGAGCTGCACATGTTAAACTGATTAATATCAACTCTGGGGAATACACACGCCCTAGGAGACATCACCCAGACTCACACGACTCGCAGGGCCCCCTCACAACAACCTTTACCCCAGCGCCGTCTTGTACAAGCCATAGTGAAATATGGATCGTTTCCGATTACACATATTCTGATAGTGCCATGTGGGATTATGTTGGCCACATTTGCGGCACGGCGTTCGCATCCGCCGCCGGCTGTGTACCCTCGGGCAGTGCCGTGGATTCCGACTACGCAGCATATACCGCCGCTCCCTCGGCGAGCTCGGCTGAGTACTACTCGCCCGGCCTGGTCTGCCCCTCAGGATGGTCCACCATTGGTCTCGCCACCAAGGTGGACAATGGCTCCGTCGAGACCACAGGGCCTGCGTTTGTCAGTTCGTTCCCTACGAGCGGGCCGCTAGTCGACTTGGATTATCTCGAGAATCCACTTGGTAATGCGATGGTTGAAGCAATGGATGCGGGCGAGACTGCTGTCCTGTGCTGCCCAAGGTGAGCCGTCCCTCCACCCCACCTCTCCCCCTCCTTCCTTTCTTTCCTTCTTCTTCTTCCTTTGGTGGATCTATCTCTTGAGTGCATGATGATGGGCTGACCATGATCTCTCCCCCCCCCCCCCTCTCTCTCTCCCCACCAGTGGCTTTGACGCAAACAAAGCTGGTCTCTACGGCTTCTGCACATCAACCGTGCCCGACTATCCCATCCCAACATCAGTCTGCATAGAGTTCCTGAACAGCAGTGATACAAACACCGTCAACACGACCCTCACGCTCCTAGATCATACTTTCACCGGCTCGGCCGAGCCGATCACGGGGATTTCAGACCTGCTGAGCACCGTTACGGAAACTTTCACCGCCCCAACTGGCACGGAAACCGGCGTCGGCGTTTACAACACGGCTGACATGAGCGCGGTGAACGTAGCCGGTGTAGTCTACCTTATCCACGGTGCCTCTGATACTGCTTCGGCCACGGGCACGGCCAATGTGGCGGCTACGGGGGCTGTGGGCTTGCCTGGCGTTGTTGCGTTATTTACTCTTGTCACCGCCTTTACCTCGGGTTTCCTGCTTATGATATAGTGAGATGATGGCCAAAGGAGACGAGGGGATCGGGTCATGTATTCATGCAGTAAGTCAAAGGGGGGGGTTTTGGGCCGGGGTAGTTTTGGGCCACCCTGGCCACCCTCACCGCCTCTTCAACCCCCTTTAGTTTGATAGCTATTACTCAACCAATTTTGATCCAAACAACTTCATCTTTCCAGCAAACCTTTATCTGACTGTTATGAAGCCCTATTCCGAGTTTGAGCTAGCCCAGGCCGTTGAGGCTGTCAGAAAAGGCAAGTCTCAGCGGCAAGCCTCGAGGGAATGGGGTATTCCAAGGAGTACTCTTCAGGCTCGTCTAGAAGGAGGGGAATCGCATAAAACAGCCCACGAAAACCAGCAAAGGCTCTCTATTGATCAGGAAAGAAGACTGGCCGAATGGATCCTGATTCAAGAAAGCCTAGGCGTTCCACCAAGCCATTCAGAACTCAAATACTTTGCTCAGCAGATCCTCGAGGTCCAGGGAGACCCTCAGGCCCTCGGGGTGCAATGGACTCAGGCTTTTTTGAAGAGAAATCCAGAGATAAAGGTCAGGAAGACTCGCTGCATTGCCTCTGAACGAACGAATGGGGCTACAACAAAGGTAATACAGCTTTGGTTTCGTCTTTTCAATCTTCCTCATATCCAAGCTATTAAGCCAGCTAATAGATGGAATATGGATGAAGCTGGCCTGATGGAGGGCCAAGGAACAAATGGATTAGTCCTCGGAGGCTCCTCTTCGCGTTCAATTCAAAGGAAAGACCCTGGATCAAAAGCCTGAACTTCTTTCCTCGAGTGTATCTCAGCTACAGGTGCCTACCTCTTCCCTCTGGTGATTTTCAAGGGCCAAACGGTACAATAACAGTGGTTTCCTCTTGATTTGGAGCTTTTTGATAGTTGGAAGTTTACAGCTACGCAAAACGGATGGACAAACGATAAAATGGCAGTTGAATGGCTGAAAGAGATCTTCATTCCTCATAGCCAGCCAGCAGACCCCTCAGAAGCCAGGCTGTTAGTCCTGGATGGCCATGGCAGCCATAAAACGGACGAGTTTATGTGGCTTTGCTTCCAAAACAATATCCTGCTTATTTACTTGCCTCCTCATACCTCTCACGTTCTTCAACCCCTCGATCTAGGGGTTTTTTCATCTCTCAAACGGGCATACAGAAAGAAAGTCAGCAATATGGGCCAATGGGGCGATTCAACTATTGCAGGCAAGCGTTTATTCCTCAGCAACTATCGTCTGGCTCGACTGGAAGGCCTTTCAAGCCAGAATATTAGATCTGGATGGAAAGCAACTGGTCTGTGGCCTCTCAGACCCTCAAAAGCCCTCTTGAGCCCTCTTCTCCTCGAGAACAGTCAACCAAGCCGTCAGACCCAGTCCAATTCAGGCTCAGCACAATCAACAGCACCTCGTCTTTCCCCAAAAGCCTCCTCAAGCCAGCCAGTCCTCTTTTCAACTCCTCGAAAGGCTAAACAGCTGTACTATCAGCTGCTAGAGAATCGACAACAACTTCGAACGGAACCAGGCCGCCGTATGCTATTCAAGAAGATAAAAAAGGCTTATGGGGAGAGGGATCTCGAGTTTGCCAAGGCATTGGAGGAAAATAAAGCGTTGAAAAGGCAGATTGAGGCTCTGAGGCCTAGTAAAAGAAGAAAGGTTGATATGGATCCGAATTCGAAGTTTGCAGGGATTGAGGATATACAGAGAGCTCAAAACGCGGCCAATCGCCACGAGGATAGTCTGAATGAAGAGAGCGATGTCGAATTATCTACTGATGAGGAGGATTGCATCGTGGTGGGTGAATAGAATAGATAAACAGTATATATATATATGGGTGTGTGTATTTGACGAGGGTGGCCAGGGTGGCCCAAAACTACCCCGGCCCAAAACCCCCCCCTTTGACTTATACGAAGAAAAAGAAAAGAAAGAATTGTGTGTATGAGCGTATGAATATGAATTGGTGATATCCCTTTGCGATGCAAATCATCCTTGTGTCTGCTTGCATGCTCTGCTGTGTTGAACCTTAATAACTCACATCTTTTCCTGTTATTTGATAGCACTGGATGGTCTGATTGGTGAGAGCATTCCTCTAGAAGCTAACTATACTCACACAGTTTGATCTATATATATCAATAGAGGTCACTTCCTGAGACTATTCACAAGCCTTGGCAATTTTTTCAAGTATACGCTCTGATTTCTTATCAGATATAGCTTACACAGGAAAAAAAAATTAATAATTAAAAAGAAAAAAGAGAGAAAGAGTGCAAAAATCAAATATAGAAGTGAGCTATAAACATTGATTAGCTCTCATTTGTTAAATATATAGTTTTTAAGTTAAAATATTTTAATCAAAAGAGCATACTGCTTCAAGAGAATAAGTAGCGGAGAGAGCAAAATGAAGCATCTTTTCAAGCGGGTGAAGGGGGGGGGGGGGCGGCTGCGAAGCAGGAGCCCTCAGAAAAGAAAGGCTAGAAGAGAAAAGAAAAGAAAAGAGAGAAGGAAAGAGAGAAGGAAAGAGAGAAGGAAAGAGAGAAGGAAAGAGAGAAGGAAAGAGAGAAGGAAAGAGAGGAAAGAGAGTGAAAGATAGGAGGAATAGATAAAGCTATTCAGAGTCTCTGATAGAAACAAATGGCTCCCGCGAACGAAGTAAGCTTGCCTTACGGAGGCTCCACGGTATTTGATGGCACTGGGTGGTCTGATCGGTGAGAGCATCCCTCTGGAAGCTGATTGTAGTCGTACAATTTGATCTATATGTACCTACCTGAAAATCGTTTCCTGAGACCGTTCACAGGCCTCAGCAACTTCTTCGTGTGTATGCTCTGATTCCTTCCAAACGCCAACGTATATATATCCCAAGCGCGAAGTCTCCCGTCTCTCTCTGGCGAGTTTTGTTCACTGAATCACTGAAGTTCTCTCCCATCCTACCATCCAGATGCCGCCGTCTTTCTCTCTTGTGTCCTTTCTTTGCTTTTCACCCCCCATGCAATCTCCGTAATGCAAGACCGCTTGCGTGCCTGACTACACATTCGAAACCTGAGGAACATACTCCGGCAGCCACTGCCCCCCATCAAACGGCTCCCCAATCCCATCATAAGGGCTTAATTCCTCCGCCGCCTTTCGCCAGGCATGCTTGACCTTGTCCACGACCCCCTGGCCACCAGCGCCCACCAGCTTCAGATTCGGTGGGGGGATCGGCACGCGACTGGCTGGGTCGCTGTGCAGGAACCCCGGATATGATACAGAGCTGTTGATTCCGGAGAGGGTATCCGGATCCCCTGGATTCTTGTACCCGGTGGCGTCGGCAACAAACTGCCACACGTTGGCGCCGACGTCGTACCGTCCCAGGTTGGGCAGGCCCCAGTTGTTCTCCACGCTGGCCAGGATGCTGTAGTGCGTGTAGAAGGTGTTGTCCTCGGTGCCGCGTAGGCTGGTCGGCACCGCGCTGCCCAGGAGGAGGCTCGCGATCTTGTTGGGCTGGCTGTAGTCCTCGCTCTCGTCAAAGGTGAGCAGGATCAGGGTGGAGGCGAGGGCGGCCTTGTTCTTGTTATTAGTGTCTGCCAGCAGAGGCGTAAGGAAGTCGTGCACCCAGGAGGTGGCCTGCTCGAGGGTCGTGTTGTGTCCGTCGTGGTTCATGTTGGGAGACATGAACACGAACTGTGGGATCTCGGCGGCGGCGAGGTCGCGTTGGAAGTCGTCAAAGGAGCCGACCGACCATAGGCGGGTGCCATTGTTCGTGATGGAGTCGAAGGAGACGTAGGGACTGTGTTGAGAGTGTTTCCTGTCAGCGCGTCCTTGTCCTCTTGTCCTCTTTTTTCGTCCCTCCTGTCCAATTCCACAGAGTTCTTGTACTCACTTGTGTTTTCGCACATAGTCCCATTTATCACTGCTTGGCCTACTACTCGCAATGCCCATATACCCAGGCCCAGGCAGGTCTTCAAAGTAGCCCCCAAACGAGATCCCCTTGGTATCGAGAAGGTCCACCACCGTAGAGACATTGGACGGGATGTGCACGGGGTCGTCATGGTCGAGACCAAAGTAGTCCCCGCTGATCGAGGCGATGTAGTTGGGCTGCGAGGGATGTGTCTGCGCGTAGTACTTGGTCAGGAGGATCCCCTCGCGCTTGAGGTCGGCAAAGTGGGCGTCTTTGACTGCTTTGGCGAAGTCCTGTTTCCACGACGAGAGAAGGGAGATTAGCAAGTCGTGCTGTGGAAAATGTACAGCTCGCGGAAGCGACAAAGAGAGGAGCAATGGACAGATGCAGAACGTACCTGGTTCTCTAGCCATATGGTAATGAATCTGTCGAAACCCTTCCCGCCCGGAACGATGCTGAACTTCCCGCCCGTGCCCAGCGCCAGCGCCGGCGACAGGAGGGCTGCGACACTTGTCAGAAAACAACAAGACAGAGACCTCATCTTTCTTTTCTTTTCTAGTCGTCGTCGTCGTCGTCGTCGTCGTCATATCATGATTGTTTGTTGCATGGTGTCGCCTCGTTATGATGAGCGACGGGCTACAGTACACGCAGGAGAAGAAGTGCAAGCAATGTGTGTGTTAAGCCGTGCTTCCTTCGAAACGCCCCAGGAAGACTGTTTCATCCTGCGCGCCTCCTCCTCCTCAAAGGGTCCAAGCGTGGTGCCAATTGCCCCCCGCTCAAAGTTAACCCGGCCAACTTGTCCACTTGTTGCAAGTGACCATGATGATTGCGAATCCAAGAAGAAGAAGGAGAAAGGATATGAACCAACAGTGCTGAATCACTCGATTCCCTGCGTGTGAGGCATCATCAATCTACGCTGCTGCTATAGCCCCACAGCGGCGGATTATGCCCGGAAAGCCATTCATGTGCTAGCGGCGTCGTCAGAACAAGCGTTGCAGGGGAACAATAAGCTTTACCTCCAGTGCGACCCGACCGCCGTTGGCCCTAGTGGCCCCCCCCCCTCCCCCACAGTAATACCCCTTGCAGCGGCCCCGTTCGGCCTTAATCCAGTGGGTGGGCAATGGATTCAGGAGGGTGGGTTCCTTGGAACAAAGCCTTGCCTTCGATAAGGCAGGGGCTGCAGGCGGGACTGGCGAACCATTATCAAACTCCCTGGATTCTTGGATCGCGCAAGCCATCAATCAAATATAACTTCGTAATTGTATTTTCACAGAGCCAAGTCGTACATTCTTGACTTTCAATTCTCGCTCATATACACACATAGCTAACAGGGGTAGACAAGAAAGACATCAAATCCAAACAAGTATAGCATCGGTCCGTCCTGAATAAGGTTCCTCGCCAAGCCGATCGAAACATCAAAAACAAGAGAGGAGGGTATCAATGCTGGTAGAGTGTGTGCTTTTTGTTTATTTTCCGTCAAATGGACCCCGTTCCAGGAAATTTGTCTAGTACGCCTCCCAGGCGTCCACAGCCCAAAGATCGTTCAGGTTCATACCGAGCACCTCCATATTGAACTCGGGGTTCAGAGTCGGCTGTGCTGCTTGCAACTGTTGGTGTGAAATGGTCAATATCTCTCTCCATAACTGGCTAGCATGTAGAAGCAAAGGGGAAGGAGAGAAAGATAATAAAGACACAAGACTACTTACAGCAGGATCTGCCGCTGCCAACCACCAAGGCGTGTTCGGCATGCCGTTCACCTCACCGCCTGCGCCTTGCACCGGTACTCCGCCATGATTGGGACCGTGGACGAAAGGCGTAATGCTTTTCGCTCTCTCTAGAAGGCTGGGACCCTCGGGCCGGAGCTGTAGTCCACCTGCCGCGTTCTGCTGCGGGCCATGTTGCTGTGCCACCGCCATCTGCCGGTGTTGTTGCTGCTGCGGGTGCTGCGGTTGCTGCTGCTGGTGGTGCTGCTGCTGCTGCTGCTGCTGTTGTTGTTGCTGCTGCTGGTGGTGGGCTAATACCGGTGGCTCCTGGCCTGCGAGCAGGCGATAATGCAAGTTGATAAACCTCTCGGCGCTCGAGCTCTTGGCAGTTTGCGAGTCCTTGATGCCCAGATGAGTTTCCAGCAGCCCGTAGGCAGCGCACATGATGCTGTAGCCCCAAGGCTCATTGTTTCCACACCGCAGAATGCGGTCCTCCTTCATCTGCAAGCACTTATCTAGCAGCTTGAGCGTGTGCTGGCTGTTAACCATGATCATGTTGGTCGAGCCGCGTGGCTGCAGCATCGTGACGGACGTCAGGTTGAGCGCGAGCGTCAGCGCATCCTCGCGCAGGAAGTTGAGGGTCCGCACACCGCACTCGGTGAGCTTGTCGTGCAGCAGAACCATGTCCCGCGCGGCGTTATAGAACATGACCTCGGAGAACTGGTACTTGGAGTTGACCTTGCGCATGCGTAGGAACGGCTGGTGCAGCGGCATGATGTACTGTCGCAGCTGCACGTGGAGCAGCGTGTACGCCAGGAGTGGTTTTGGCGAGCCGTCCTCCTCCATGCTGGCTGACGTGTCCCAGCAGGGGAGAGCGTCGATCTCCTGTGTGATTTCGTTAGTGTAGCGGATGACCTGCTCGTAGTCTAGATTGTCCGGGGGGCCGGCGAGCAGCCTGCTGAGCTCTAGACGCAGGGGGAGGCTCTGTCTGCAGAGGTGGTGGAACGAGGCTGCCGTGTACTCCGTGATGGGTCTGGAATCTGGCAGTTCCGTCGAGTCCTCATCAAACTCATCATCGTTGATGTTCCTCGGCGGTTTGGCGTCCATGTGGAGAGTGCTGATGATGGTAGGAAGACCATTGTCGAAGGCGGCCTGAAAGTCAAACTCCTGTATCGTCGCCCACAGCCTCCGCCTCATCTCCTGGTTGAAGATGGAGATGTTCCGGCTGGCACCGATCATGACATCGGGGTCGCGGTGCAGACCCAGCGAGATGCCTTCGCGCGTCAGAAGGCCGGCGTGCGTCCAGTATCGCTTCTTCTTGATGTTGTTGACCCGCTTTGCCAGGTAGATCAGGAGGGCGATCTGGTAGTGAATGAGGCGGCGATGCTTGTGGCTCTGGTTGCGGTACCACTCCTCGCACGCGGCTATCCACTCCTCGGCCGTCTTGTGTGCTGAGGAGACCATGCCGTGAAACTTGGGCGGCGAGGATGTGTTGCTGTGCATGCAGCTGGACACGGCCATCATGGAGAGAACCAGGGCGGTCATGGCAGCAGGCCGGACCTCGTTGGGCACCCAAAACTTGTCATACTGTCGCTTAAAGCTCGGGATGTGGACGATGCGGTGCAGCTGCTCAAACTGGTCCAGGTAGACAGACACGAGGATGTCCGTCTCCATCCTGGACGGCAGGAGGGCCTCCAGCTCGTGGTCGGCCATCAAATACTTGGCCTGGAGCTCTGCCTTCCTCCCGGGCTTGTCTTTGGTCCGCGCGGCCACGTGCAGCGGCTTGAGCCACTCCTCTGCCGTCTCCTTCATGAAGGGGGACAGGCCCGTCAGCTGGCTAAAGGCCATGGAGGCGTTGTGTGGTCCAAAGTACCGGGTGCGGAACTCCTTGCCGCGGAAGAAGCGCATTTCGTTGTCCGCGTCATGGCCATACTGCATGAACTCGGGAAGCTTGTTCTCCGGGACCAGCTCTGGATCCGGCCTCTGGACGGCGGCCGGCGAGTCGTGGAGGGTTATGCTGCCATCGCTGCCGACAGACTTGGCCAGCAGGTTCTTGAGCTGCGTCACCTCCATCTCCAGCCTCCGGAGGCGGTCAAAGTCTCGGACGCCATCCTTCCGGACCAGGCTGTCGTTGGATAGGGAGAGACGGCCATCGTACTGGGACAGCGGGATGCCCGCTGGCTTCGGCGGCGGTGCCAGGCCCGGCCTGGACTCATAGGTACAGCGGTCAGGCGTGCCGGACTTGAGACACCTCTCACAAGGGTAGCCTCGGTCGCACGACAACTTCCTCCGTCGACACTCGAGACAGGAGAGGCGCACCCGCTGCCTCTTCCGAGGCGGTTGGCCGGGCTCAGCGTTCTTGTCGTCAGGGTCGTCCTCGTCCCCGTCCCCGCCGAGGGAGTGAGGATCGGTGGTGGGTGAGGAGTTGTCGTCCGCGTGAGGGGTCTCGGAGACGGTCCTGATGGATCCGGAGATGCTGGGACTCATGGCTGGCGGTTGTCGATATGCTGCCATGTGGTCGGCGGTCGGTTGTACAAGCTGGAGATGGTCGGTCGAGTCGGCCAACCGAGAGGGCGTCACGCCGGAACCGAGATCGTAAGTACGAGGAAGGTGTAGAGAACCAGAGCCACCAGAAGCAAATGAGTCGCACGGTGCTGCTCGGCACGAGATTGCCGCTGTGAGACAGTGTGTCAAGCCACGACTGCGGATCCGCCACACTGGCTGGCTTGGGCCCGGGCTCACCTGTGTGGTCAGCTCTGTGCCGTCCGAGATGTAGGAAGGATGGCGAGGTGGTCTGATGAGAGAATCAGCTGTTTTTTGGGGATCCCAGAGCTGTTGTTCTGTTGGGCATTGATCTCAAGAGAGCAGAGAGGGGAACTCAGGAAATTCCTTTCAGCAGAGCCTGAAGGGGTGTGTGCTCGGTCGCACAACGATGAGTCGCGGGCACGCTCGCCTCCTATCCTAAATCGTCGTAGGACCAGCGAGGGCGAGTGAGACGGTGGCCCCCCTGACAACCCTGCTCGGAGCGACTCGGCCCTGCGAGCTGCATATTTCTTGTATCAACCTTACGTACCTGCCCCTCCCCGCCCGACGATCCCGAGCATGCCTGCAAGTCCGTACTTGAGGCGCTGAGGAATCCTTCTCTTTATCCTCTTTTTTCCCTTCCTCCAATACACACATACATACACATTCTCTCACACATACGGGTCACTTCCAGTTGCCTCTTGCGTTGAATAGCCTTTGGATCTGGAGGGCAGAATGATTCATCTACCATGATCATGCTTCGTATACACAAAACAGGTACGGAGTCAGCCTGCCTGCCCTCATTTCCTTGCTCAGCGCCAAGAGGCCGGTTGCCAAGGCTCGGCTACATTCTCGGTCGCCGAGCACAGTCAATGCGTGCCTGAGCCTTGATTGGCTGTATTTGGCCCCAGGGCGCTCTTTTTTGAGAACAAGAAGAGATGAAAAAGAATCTCCCAGGACTCCTTGCGGCTTAGATGGCGGTGTTGCATTCCTGAAATGCGTTCAGCCGCCATGCGGCCATGACGCGGCCACCTTTGTGCTCGTCACAGAAATACTTTGGTACCAGAGTAGCAGCAAGTGTTTAGTTTGTAGGTCGATCAATGCGCCCGTGCTCATTACTACCGAACGATCAGCGATAAGGGGACCGCTATCGACGTCGTCGTGATTCTAGCTCAGGATTGGATGACAGCAGCCTGGCTGTGCCCTCAAATAACGGTCATTAATGAGAAAGACGCCCGTCGTCTCAAGCTGTAGTCGGACGCCAAGCTCATCAGACGGACGACCTGAAGTAGGACGCGAGGACAACGACTCATGCTTGGTCGTATTGCGGTGGTCCTGCGGTGGTCCTGCGGCAGTAGCCGTAACCGTAACCTTAGTCGTTGGCCATGTGCATTTGTCATCGTCGCGACACCGGGGGTTGTGTGGGCCCTCTCATGTTGAGATATGCCGAAATGGTCCACCCAGCCTGGCGTCGGCCAATTTATGACGCTGTTGGGTACGCGAGACGAGAATATCCAGAACAGCCTGACGATCGATGCGACCATTGGATCATGAGGTCATCGCACTGCGACATGGCCCAATGTCGTCGATGTTGGCCTGTGAAGCACGGTGTATCAAAGAGGCTTGGTGTGCATCGGAAATCAATGCCAGACGAATGAAGTGCGCCTGCAGGAAGGTCTTCATAGGTCTCAAGTGTGACCCCAGGCTCGAGGTTGTTCCGCAGCAGCAGCAGCAGCAGCAGCAGCAGCAGCAGCAGAGGATGCAGTGGTTGCACTGTGGTATGTCCAGCAAGTGCAAGGACACCTCGACGTTTGAGGAGCTATCTCTCATTTGGGTGGAGGGAAGGGAGACGGAGAGTGTGGTCTTGTAGCACATGGAGATAGTAAGTACTGTGCATACAGGCGTGGTCAGTCATGTCAAGTCGATGTTGGGCGAGAGGACTCTTGCCACGTTCCCCATTTGAGGGAAGCAGTGGTGAGATGATACTACACTCAAGGTAGGCACGACCGTGGCCTGGTCGTCCCTTCCGTGGAAGAGGAGGGGCTTTCAACAAGAAGCTGCCTGCCTTCATTCAGCACGTCATGTCAAGTTGTGGTTTGTTTACTTCGTGCCTTCCTTCAAGATGCGCACAACAAATCTTCCCAGGCCAGATGTGCGGCCTGGCTTGTTTCTGCACTCGAATGATGATCATCTCTCACACTTCGTCCATCACCAAGTCTCTCTGTTCCTCGCGCGCACGCTCTCGCTCTCTCGTAACCTCCATCCCCCTTGCCTCCGCATCATCCTCCTCCTCCTCCTCCTCCTCCTCCCCATCGCTACCTCGATTGCGCTGGTGTCGATGCCTTCAGCACATCAGCTCTAGTCTGTCAGACATACACCCGTCTCGCTTTGATTTCAGCAATCATGGCTAGACTATGTTGCTGCGGTCTGCGGCACCAAAAGAAGAGACTCGATGGCGAGAAGATGCCTAGCCAAGATCCAGATGGCTCATCCACTCATTCTTCTACAGCCTGCCTGGACCCTCCTGATACCAATGCCCTGGCTCTCTCACCCCAATCCACAGCAGCCGAATCCTCTTTGACCGATCCCCTTCCTGGAGCTGCAGCAGATGCCCTCGTCCAGTCGGGCGAGCTCGTTATGGAGGACTCGGAAGACGACGATGGCGATGATGGCCTGGCGCAGGGCATCAGAAGCAGGGGCACCAGCACGGTACAGGTGGTCAAGGCTCGTCTCTGCCGCCATCTCTCCCAGGACTCCCTGTCACGCCGCGTCGAAACCATAGAGCAGATAGCACATCGCGCCAAGGTGAAGCGGCTCATGCGCAAGCGGATCCAGGAGGAGCTCCAGGACGAGACCGATGACGCTGTCAGTGAACCATCTACGTCTTCTTCCGGTCTCGTCTCGGCATCTGCAACCATTAGCGTCAACGGGCCCAGGGATACCATCGAGTTCATGGTACAGGAGGACTCGAACAGAGAACCCCTCATATCCTCGCGATCTAAAGTTCTGTCATTAGACAAGGAGACCCGCCAACCAAATGGCTGCTCTCTTTGTTCGCAAGATCCGGCGGGCACTGAGTCTACCTTCACGCAGGCCGACTGCCACAAACACTCCAAACACTGCAGCTCCGGGCCGGACAGTCCAGCTTCTCCAGAACCTGGCCCAGGCCGGGTTCCCAGCTTCCGAGATACCTCGTCCTTTGCCTCTTGGAGGCTGTCCCTCAGTGCGGCCAAGCTGGCTGAACTGCTCACGCCCGACAAAACCTTATCGCCATCCGGCCCAGTAGCTGGGAGCTTCTGCTCCGACGGCCTTTCCGTCACCGACAACCAAGGGCAGGCATCCGTTAGGCGCCCCAGGAGCAACTCATCATCACTTGTGGTGCAGGGCCCAAGACTTATGAGCAAGCTCAATGCAAGCCAGGTGTCTCTGACTTCCAGCTATCGCATGCGCATTCCGCCCTCCCAGTCTCTAGTCCGAGAGGAGTCGCCTGTTGGATTATGGCTCCGAACACAGAGCCAACAGTTTCGCCGCCCTCAGAGGAGGGATTCCGGAGCCGTCGTCATTGCAGATAATGACAGCCATGACCCAGATGACCCATATCGTCATGAAACTACGGTGTCTAGACTCTCAGAACACATTGACCACGTACGTGAGGATCATCAACTGCAAGTACCGGAGGGAGCTGCACGCTGCCCTCACGTCCTAGCTGGAGACGGATATAATGTACGTCCCAGCGCCTGGCAAATGGCTGTGCGTGATGGCAGCGACAAACTTACCCGGACGACCCCACCGAGCGACACGCAGCCTATCGTCCACTCCCTTGCAGGAAACCTTGGTGGTGCTTCTCGACCAGCAAAGCTAGACGATGCTCCTATCGTTTCGAATGTCGTCAAGAAAGGTGTTGGTAGTTTGAAACTCCCCTCCTTCAGATGTAGGTGCTCTCCGGTGATTCGTTGTATTTTTCTTCCTGTTAATGAGAGGTATTTGACGGTTTTTCTCTCTCTGGAACTTTAGGGCCTTTTCTCCCCAACAAAGGTGCAGTCGGTGTTCGGCCATGCCCAGCACCAAACTCGTGCCTTGACAACTCGATTCTGGGTCCTGCCAACTCAAGTTCTCGAGAAATGGAGGTGGAGTCTGGATTGAATACTTCTAGTCCCCGCCGAGAGCTTCTCTGCCGTCAAGAGCTCGCGAGGAGCCCTGAGGAACGGCCATGCGGCGGTTCGCACCTTTTTGAAGCTCCTGCACCACCGCTGCCTGTGTGGAGCAGAGATAAGGAGACCCATCTTGCGAAGCTGGAATTTCCATTGTTTCACCTATTCCCGAGTTCTGCTTACGGTATACCAACGATTTCACACCACTTCGATGGCAGCGGCTCCGACATCCGGCAGAAGGACACCATAGGTCGTTCCGACCACGGCCATCTCAAGGTCCCATTGAACGATAATCGGGCCAACGAGACGAGATCCAGCACCTCAGAAGCAAGATCTACGGCTAAGGATGGTGACATCTCTCGGCCTCGTGGTTTCTCTTCGTCCAAGGATGGCGATGAGACAGCCGAGCTGTGGAGACGGGCGCTCAGAGCTGAGTCACTGCCGAGATCCCAAAGGCGCAGCACGTCGTCACACGCACCCGCCACCGAGCTACGAGGGCTAGGTCACGATGGTGATCTACTTCAAGGCCCTCGACCATCGGTGGAAGGGAGACGCAGTGGGCCCAAAATGCATGTTCAATCTCTGATTTGCAGTAAAACATCGACGCAAGAGGACACGGAAGTGGTACGACAAACACCACTGGGAGCATACACGTCTCCGAGAGATCTGGCTTCACTGCTTGACAACCAAAAGCGAGCATCCAAAGCTATTTCTCGTCGTCCTCTGCCATCTCCGCCACAGGCCATCAGCACAACATCCCAGTTGCCGCCAGCCTCCTGGGCCAGATTTCCCTCGCATAACCGCGACGAGCGTAATGCTGTTGCTAATGAGGCAGATGATGTCAAGCCAAAGGATTTCGCTATTGCGAGCATATCAGCTACTGGACAAGTCACCTGGACTACGGACAAGGAGGACATCACACCGAAACAGAAAAGTGCTGTTCGGTCCTTCTCAGACAAGTTCACTCAGCCGTTCAGATCTCAGCTCAGTCGTTTTACGCCGGGACGTTCAACTACCTCATCCAGGGACAGATCCATGCGAGGGGAGAGGCGAAGCAGCATCCAGGCGTCTGGCGATCTAGAATATCCTGAGCTTGAGCTCCTTCCCACCACTGGTGGGTACAACGACCTTCGCGCGCTTGAGAGAGAGATCAATGAGATGAAGGGGCTTACTGCTTCGAGAAAGCCAATGACCTCGACCCAAGCTGACCATCTCACCAAGCCTAGCCTGGCTGAGGGGATGACCGGGGTCTTCGCACGGGACGGGAGCCTTGATTTCGGACCATTGAGGTTGACTGACATGGGTGGCTTTGGAGAAGGGCAGACGAGCTGCACGCTCATGCATTTGCCTGTGACCCCGGCATCGAAGGTTGGTCATCTGGACCTGACTCTTGCCAAGAATTCCAGTGACTCATCTGGACGGAGATATGCAACACCTCTCACCCACATCTCTTCTTGCCCAAATGGCCTTTCTCATTCCACTCCGCCTGACACCGCCTTGCATCTACCGCTCACGGGGCTTCCGCCAAATCTCGCGGTAAGTAGTACATCTGGGATGAGGCGCATGAGCCTGAACAATCCAGTCAGACCATGCAACCTAGGAAAGTCCGTTCCCCGCTCAAGAACATGGAATGGTCGAAGCAATACGAGAAGTCTATCAGATCCAGAGGCGGTCGTCCTTGCATGAACCTGGACATGAGGCTTATGTCTGGCTCACGCGCACAGTCATAGCAACCGACGTCACATGTCTACAATCAGCATTTCTCGGTGTCGAGGCTTTATGCAAGGTCATAATGAGCAACGTCTATACTATTGGCGCGGCGCGAACACACAGTAGCACAAAATTATGCTCACTATCAGGACTGGGGATACGAAATGAGGAGCCTCTGGGTGGCTGCAGCATATCTACTGCTCGTCTGGAAGATTTCGGACTTGACAAGACAAGACGTTGACGTTTCTTAGTAATATGGAAAGATTATGCACGGTCTGACTGATGATAAAGTCTTTTCACTGGCGATCACACAGATAGGGAAGCACTTCACCGCGATTCTGGGATCACCCTCGGTTTGTTAATGCTTAATTCCTCGTTTCCTCGGTTAGCTTATGCTGCTTCTCCGAGCGATTGTGAGTCGGGTCTGAGAGCCCTCACAAAGAAAGGCTTGCCACAGGCTCAAGTAATCAATTCAAGAACTCCTGTGCTTACTGTGTGCAATCAATTGAGGGTGTCAGCACTATCTTTCTGAGCAAAATCAGCTGATTAGTGTGTATCACAAGCCTCATTGGATGCTGTTCGTTGACTTATGGCACATCTGATCAACAGCGCGATCCAAGATATGCCCATATGCTTTGGTTCATCCGATGTTAAAGTACGGTCTCAATCCGACCCTCCCCCCCCCCCCCCCAAAACACACACACACTTTGACAGCCAGGACTTACGTCGAGCATTCGATTGGGTCTCAGCATAGTGCATGCAAGCCACCTGCATGTCTTAGCTTCACGTGCAAGGAAGAGAGGTGGCTAAACAGCCTTAGGGCTGAGATTCAAGGGTGAGAGTCAACGTGACACAATGAGTGCGAACGAATCGAGCACTTCAGACTTTGCCATACCATCCCTACCTGGGCGCCACACCAAGGTGTACCAGGGTGTCGGGTTTCAGCCGCATTGGCTGTGTGCTGCTGCTGACCATTTAATTCGCACGCGGTGAGGGCGTAAGGAGGGTTTCGCTTTCCTATGCTGTTGCAGTCTACGTGTGGGGTGGCTGTGCGTCGTTGGTCAGATCATTACCAGGTGGAATGTCCGCTCGTTCCGAAGTTCCCGAGAATCTCACGGGAGAACCGTGGCGTCCAGAGCCGTGAGGGCCGGTGAGGTTAGAGGCTTCAAAAGTCTTTGCCCACTTGCTCTTTTACAACACCCGAGACCCCCGCCAACACGTTCGCCACTAGCCTCAGCCTCACGAGAACTCCAGCCATTGGCTGCTTGATTTTAACCCGGACTTATACCTGGTTTTGTTTTTTTTTTTGCACTTTTACTGGACTCGACATCCAGCCGGACTTCGTCGACGAGGGAACAACGGGCGTAGGAGGAGAAGGAAGAGGGAAGGGGGTGGGGGGGTACAGGACTCTGGGGGCGAAATAGTACTCTGGCCAATGTAGTGTCTCGTATGAAATTCCGCTTCTCTCTTGTCCTCTCTCTAGTTCTAGTGAGTATAAGCTCTGAGGTAAGATCCGATAGTCCTTACATCCAACACTTGGCGATGACGGAGTCCAAGCCGCAGATGGATGCCTGTACAGAGCACCTCGTGGCGGTGACCATTGAGAGGATGTCCATGGATGATTGGAAAGAGAGCTGAAAATTGCAATTGAGTGTGTGTGTGTGTGTGTGTGAAAGAGAGAGAGAGAGAGAGAGAGAGAGAGATAGATTGAGTGAGAGGATAGAAGGGGAACGGGTCAGGCCCTCGTCTGCATCTTCTCTTGTCTTTTCTTTTCTTGTTTTCTTTTCTTTTCCCTCGTCAACTTGATGCTACCCAGTGATCATTTCTGACGAGCTGTGCACTTCGCTCTTGTGCTACCCGTCAACATGGGCTTTTTTCAGTCATGTATTGATGCGCTTTTGCAGCTCGCTGCACTGACCCCCTTTACTCCCTATGACGACTATTCTCAGAAGCCTCTCTTTGGAAGCTCGCATGACGCCGTGCAGAGCCCTTTGTCGGCGTCTCCTGACACTATCACCATCGAGCCGGAGCACGCCTCGCCGGGATTCCAGTGTGTCTATCCAGCTAGGTGGACGTCCTGCAACACGCCGACATCTAGAGACTGCTGGCTGCAAGATACCGAGTCTGCGGACGAGTTCGGGGCCTATTCTCAGATTGATATTCACACGGATTGTTAGTCACATGTAGTGGCCCAATATGTTGGGCAGGACGATGCTTACCTTCTGTATAGATGAGAATGAAGAGGCTACGCCTCGTGGTATTACTCGAGAAGTAAGTTCCCTTCCTGCATGGCAGCCTGTTAGAATCCTTAATTGGCATGGAGACTGACAGCTTGGTAGTACTGGCTTGAAGTAGACGGAGACTTCCTGGTAAGATTAACAAGACCTATATCAAAGCACCCTCTTTTGCAATAAAAAAGAATCTGCTCTAACCTAGTGTTTGTCGCAGCTCACGGCCGATGGCTTCCCCAAGACAAGCGGAAAAGTCTTCAACAAGCAGTATCCCGGACCGCTCATTGAGGCATGCTGGGGCGATGAGCTTGTGATCCACGTGAAAAATAATTATACAGCAAATGGGACGGCTATTCACTGGCACGGCATTCGCCAGCTGAACACTATGCAGATGGATGGTGTCAACGGCGTCACGCAATGCCCTATTGCCTATGAGGACTCTTTTACTTACAAGTTCAGGGCTTTGCAGTACGGCCACACTTGGTATCACTCGCACTACTCACTTCAGGTAAGCTTAACATTCCATTTCAAAAGAAATGGAATCATTTTTGCTCACACGCCCAACAGTATCCTGACGGCCTGGCTGGTCCACTGGTCATCCATGGTCCGTCAAGCACGAACTGGGATATTGATCTCGGTCCTATCTTGATCCAAGATTATGTCCACGACTCTGCGTTTGTGCGTTACCAGGCGGAGATCACTCCAGGGAGCATTGCCTATGCTGATAGCATCGTGGTCAACGGGACGGGCCATGATCCAGCGACCGGCACTGGAGCGTATTTCAATACCACCTTCACTAAAGGGAAGAAGCACGTCTTGAGATTGATCAACGGATCTTCAGGAACGCATTACATCTTCTCCATTGACGGCCACAACTTCACAGTCATAGAAACGGATCTGGTTCCTATTGAACCTTATACCACAACGAGTCTGAGTATCGGGATCGGTAGGCAATCCATCGCTGGCTCTTTCACTGCGAGTTTGCCAGCACACATTTGCTGACATGATTTGAATTCGTTCAGGCCAACGCTACATGATCGTGGTCGAGGCTGATCAGGAGCCCGGCGATTATTGGATGCGCACCCACCCGGCCACAGGCTGCAACACCTTCACACCGACCCTGCCCTGCGGCGGGCGCTTCAGCGCAACGTGTGAGCCCTTCAACGTGACGACGGGCATCATCCGCTACGACGCGTCTAGCACGGCCGAGCCTACCAGCCAGCCGTGGCCGTACAGCACCCTCTGCCTGGACGAGCCGTACAGCAGCCTGAAGCCCGTGGTGCCGTGGGTCATCGATCACCACCCGGCCAACGAGATCACCGACAACAGGTTCGCGGCTGTGCACCAGACGGTCAACAGCTCTGCGGCCACCGGCGGATATGCCCACTGGGAGCTGACGCCCGACTTTCTGTGGCTGGACTTTGGGAACCCGACCATCTTGAACTTTGACAACAAGAGTTATGACCAGGACTCGAACTTTCACATTGTTGATGGTGCGTGAATAACCGTCCCCGAGGGGAAAAGAATGCAGTTGATTATATCAATTCTGGGAAGGTGGGCGGTCACTAACACAGCTTGATTCATGCAGAGAACTTTGATGCCGGTTATGTCTTCATGATCCTCGAGGCATCGGCAAATACGAGTCTTCCCCTGCCGGACGGTACCACAGCCCTGGCTGGTAAGTGCGATCTCTTCAGGAATAGTCACAATCTTTTTTGTTCATCTTATTCTCCGTTCAATAGCTGACCGCTCTCATCTCAAGTAACCCACCCTCTACACTGGCACGGCATGGACGTCGTCGTGCTCGCCCAGAACACCACCACCTTCGATCCCGTCTCAAGTTACGAGACGTTCAACTTCGTGAACCCTCCGAGGCGCGATGTTGTTCTCCTGCCTGCTGGCGGCTATATCGCCATCGCCTTCAAGCCGGACAACCCTGGAGCTTGGTTGCTGCACTGTCACATCGCTTGGCACGCTTCGGCTGGTGAGTTACATGTTTCTCTCGCGACATTGCGTTTTTGGTGCATGTTTTTTTGTGAAGTATTCTATGAGAGTGACATATTACTGACATATTTCGTTGTTCTTCCCATAAATCAGGTCTCGGCTTGCAGATTCTGGAGCGCCAGCACGATATCGTCCGGAGCCTCGGCGGACCTGAGGCTCTTGCAGAGACGGAGCGAGTGTGTCAGAACTGGCGGCAGTATAACAGTGCTCATCCCGTCGATCAAGATGATTCGGGGATTTGAGGCATGTGTGTCTTGGCGTCGAGCCAACCCCTGAAGCGTTTTCATTTCGATCTTTTGAGCGGTGCTTCATGCACGAGTTTATATACTTCTGTACAACAGCTTCACAACGACAGAATTGTTTGATTATTTCCATTCATCAGCAGTATCTGAAGTGCAGGTAGTTTATTTTCTTGAGAAATGGGTTTTCAATTCACCACATTTTGATTATGATTATCGTTTCATTTTATGTACTGACCTGCACATGTCTTTTAAAAAACGACTGATAATCAGCGCTTACCTGCAGCCATTGGGACGAGGCTGTGAACAGGGTTATAGCCTTCCTCCGGGGTGTGGGGGTGGGCTAGGCTAAGAGTAGACTGACCTACAGTCCAGGACACATGATGATACTGCAGCGATAGGAGACCGCGGTAATGGAAAGGCCGCTTCTGGATCATGAACAGATAGACGCAGCTGGAACAGTGCTTCATATGGACCAGATACAAAATTCAGTGTATTGTGAAGAGTTGAGCTTACGAGATGAGTCACTAGGTATTTTTCGTCTGATCGGGTTGATATAATTGATGATGGGTTGTCAGAGCCCGAGGTTGAAGAAACGCAGTGCATTCCAGATGACGTTACCGTTTGGGTGTTGTTTCCTAAAGAAGAATAGTCAGTTCGAGACATTTCCGGTAAATCTTTCCTCCTGCGCCCCTCGCCCTGGTGACTTATTTTTTTCTTTTTTGCCCCTGGCTTTTTTGCCATCGGTACTGCCCGTACAATTGGTACACAGAACTATTACCATAATGCGCAGGAGCTCTGAAGATCTAGAGATGCAGGTGGTTGCAGTGACGTGTCATATGGGGGGGGAAGAAAGCGTGCATTAATGAATAAAATTAATCTCAGGCACAAGAGACAGAACTCCACAATGCATTTGTTACATTAGGTAAGTCAGTACTTTAGAAAGTAGGGAAGCAGAGACACGAGTCAGATGGGGATTAAAGTGTGTGCATATTTCCCTCCCCCTTCCTTTTCTCCCTCTCCAGGTGGAATGTGGCAGGCGTGGTCGTAGCACCATAGACTATGTGGTGGTGGGCAAGCGCAAATATTTTAGTGCGGAAGGGGTTGCAGCACGAGTGACAAACAAATCAGGTGGGAGGGTGCCTTAAGGGGAGGTACCTCCTGCTAAGAGCCCTGGAGTCTCCCCAGCTGACCAAGGACATGCTGTGTTCAGGCCAACACTATCAGCCCATCTCCCACACGCAATCGACCCATCTGTGAGATCCCACCTGCAGTGTCCAAGGCTGCCTTATCTAATCTGGGCTAGCTAGAACCAGCACCGCTCTCCACCACCCGCACCTTACGCCCTTGGGACTTGGGGCGGACTCGGGATCGAAACGGCCATTTGCACCCATTCTGCCTGCTGCCGCTGTGCACTTTAGACTTCGACTTGAGCTATGAACCTTTCACCCACAAGACCACAGACAGCCCTTATTCGAGGTCACCTCTTGTCAAACCACACACAACCACTCTACCTGCAGTGGCGACCTGACCTTATTGACCATTGGTTTCCGTGTAAGCAGCCCTGGACGCCTTGGCTCGACCAGGTTTAACGGCTCAACTTGCGTTTGCCAATTGATCGACAGGCCACCACCCACAACGATCCCTTCAATCCTGCTGCGCAAGGAGAGCAAGACAACTCGAGCAGGCGCAGACGACAGAGGAAGGAGAGCGACAGCAGAGGCGGATCGCAGGTCAGGTCTGGTCAGGTCAGGGTGACTTGCGCCACTTGACTGGTGCCGTTCGCATGTAGGCCGCCGTCAACCGCCATGTCAACGGACCCGACCGGCGCTGCGGCGCCGGGCCAATCTCACGGTCGTGAGCACGACCATGACCAACTTCAACCTCACAATGAAGGCGGCTCTGTCGTTTCCTCCTCTATTGCCGTCGCCCACTCCCCAGAAGCCCACCTAGGCGCCGACCTCGACCGCAAACCCAACGAGACTACCACGAACTCCTCCTCCCTATCCTCCAAGCCCACCGGTTTACATTCGCCACCCGATTCGAACAATGTCGACTGCAGTACCGATTCAGAGCTGAGCGATTTCGACGAGGCAATTGCCAATGCCGACGACATCAGGCTCGACTCGCCCGCCCCGCCTACTGTGTCGGCAGCAGCCTCCGATCCAGACCCCACCCGGGGCCCTGCCCCCGGCGGCGACAACGTTGGTGACGAGGCTGCACCAGAGCAGCCAGAGCAGGCCCCGACCCCCGATCAAGATGATGATATCGGCGAGGTGTTTCCAGACCATTGGTCTGGCACCGTCCCGGTCTTCAGGCCCACCATGGAACAGTTCAAGGATTTCAAGAAATTTGTACGTTTGCGCCGAGGCGGGCATGTGCGCCTAGAATGCGTCAAGCCGCTCACTAACTTTTGAATTCGAAATAGATGGCAGCAGTCGATTCTTATGGCATGAAATCTGGCATCATAAAGATTATTCCTCCCCAGGAGTGGAAGGACTCCTTACCACCCCTCGACGACCTCGTTAAACAAGTCCGAGTCCGCGAACCGATCAAACAAGACATCATGGGCTTCAATGGAACTTACCGTCAGGTCAATATCCTCCATCAGCGATCATACAATGTGCCTCAGTGGAGACAACTGTGCGATCAGAGCGAGCACCAGCCTCCCGCCAGACGTGGGGAGCGTCGCGCCAATGCCGACAAGCCCAAGCCCACGGCCCGTACCCGAGGTGCTGCCGCCGCAGGCAAGCCCAGCACTCCTTCTACTGCGAGTACGCCTAGCCGCCGTGGCAGGAACGCTAAACGAGGCCGAGGGGGTCGGGGTGGTGGGCGCGGAAGGCCTAGGAAGATCATTAAGGATGACGACACCGATGCCGAGGACCGACCCATGACCCCCGAGTCTCCTAACCCTGCTGTGCACGACAAGGGTGAGGGCGTCGTTGACTCCATCGAGCAGGACCCCGGTATCAAGGAGGAGGAGGACGACTGTGCGGATGAGCCGCCGAGACGGATGGGGTTCAGCAGACAGGCGAAACCCAAAGTCCAGTCTACGTCTGCTCGTCGCAAGTACAGCAGGCGCGAGGGCTCAGCCATGATAGACGAGGAGGCTTTCAAGGACTTTGACTACAACATGGACATCTCCGATTATACGCCAGAGCGTTGCGAGGAGCTTGAGCGCACCTACTGGAAGACGCTGACCTACGCCACCCCGCTCTATGGGGCCGATCTCATGGGCACCCTCTTTCACGAGGACACCGAGCTATGGAATCTGAACAAGCTACCCAATCTTTTGGATGTGCTTGGCACAAAAGTACCTGGCGTTAATACAGCCTATCTCTACCTAGGCATGTGGAAGGCTACTTTCGCATGGCATTTGGAAGACGTTGATCTCTACAGCATCAACTATCTTCATTTCGGCGCCCCCAAGCAATGGTACAGTATATCGCAGGCCGACGCCCGTCGGTTCGAGGCAGCCATGAAGAGCATCTGGCCCACCGAGGCCAAAGCCTGCGATCAGTTCCTGCGCCACAAGGCCTTCCTCATATCCCCCTCGCATCTCCTCCAGCAATACAACATCAAGGTCAACAAGTGCCTCTCCTACCCAGGGGAGTTTGTGGTCACCTATCCCTATGGTTACCACTCTGGGTACAATCTGGGCTATAACTGCGCCGAAGCCGTCAATTTCGCCCTGGACTCGTGGCTGCCCATGGGAAAGATCGCCAAGAAGTGCGAATGCGCACAGGCCCAGGACAGCGTCTGGGTTGATGTTTACGAGATCGAGAGAAAGATGCGCGGCGAGCCGACGCCAGAGTACTGGGACTCGGACGAAGACGATGATGAAGACGAGGATGATGACGAGGACGAGGATGATGACGAGACTGGCCTTCCGTCACCGCCTTCGAGCCATGCTGTCCGCATTAAGGCTGGTGTTCAGAAACGGAAGCGTGCGAGGATCAGCAAGGACAAGAAAGACAAGCCCAAGAAGCTCCGGCTGCGGGTCAAGACGCATGTCGAACCACCTTGCTGTCTGTGTCCCAACGACATGGCTGGGTGCGAGATCCTTGCAACAGACGATGGTCGCAAGGCGCATCGTTTCTGTGCACTGTACCTTCCTGAGACATACATCGAGACTGTCAACGGGGAAGAGATCGTGTTTAATACGTCGGGCATCGGGAAAGCGCGTTTCGAGCTCAAGTGCCTTTACTGCAAGTCAAAGCGGGGCGCCTGCTTCCAGTGCTCACAGAAGAAATGTCCTCGCTCGTATCATGCAACGTGCGCTGCAGCGGCTGGCGTGTTTGTGGAGGAGGGTGACGTGCCCGTCTTTGACAAGGATGGAACTGAGTACAAGGAGCAAGCGTTCGAGTTCAGCTGTCGCTTCCACCGGACCAAGCGGGACAAGACGATGGATAGCGGTATGCTCGAGGAGAATGCCCGCATCAAAAAGGCTGCAGCGTCTCTCAAGAAGGGCGAGATCTGCCAGATGCAGTTCTTTAGGAAGGAAATTTTTGCTGGTGTTGTCGTTGAGAATCGCCACGACGAAGAAACCCTATTACTGGATATCATCCCAAATGGGTACGCGCTCTATGCTATCCCTCCGAGCGAAAGGGAGATTGTGCTAACTATACGCAGCTCACGTGTCGAGGTAGAGTGGAAATGGCTGCTTCTGCCCGATCCTGCCGATTTTCATCTGCCCAAAGCCTCACCAAGCGCATTGCCGATGCCTTCGTCCAGGAAGGCCCAAGAGGAGATCAACGCCAAGCGGTCTGCGGATGAGCCCCCGAGAGCTGGCCTCAGGTTCGTCGAGGGCTCTATACCCGGCAAGGATTACGTGTGGGCGGAGTACCACACATGCGAACCAGCCGAGTGCGAGAACAGTGCTCAGATTAAGGTGGACTTGTCAAAGGAGAATCAAATCTGGCACTATCTTGGAAAGACTTCCACCGAAGCCAAGGCGCAGTACACCGAGGACCCGCGCAGGCCACAATACAACCCCAAGAGTCATTTCTTGGATACCATTCCGAAACCAAAGAAACAAGCCCCACTGCCACCACCACCTCCTCCACCACCATCATCCGCTGGACCACAACACCACGTATCCCACGGCACTACTCACGCACCGCAGCCAAGAGCCCAGGCGGCCCCAAAGCCAGAGAAGCCTTATGTCTACAAACCAAGGAAGCCCGTAGACACGTCGCTGATCACGCCGTTCAGTGCTCCGAAATTCGGCACCCAGACCCCCGGCACCATTGGTGTTCCGCCATTGTCATTTGGTACCGATCCTCGGTTCAACGGTTCAGGCGCTTTTACCGCAAATCGATCCGTACTGATGGCTCACAGTCCACAGCCGCAGCAGGCCTCACAACCCGTCAACGCCCCTTTCACGGCGGGACCTCCTCATACGTCAGACTGGGTGCATGCAGCCCAACCCGGCGCGTCTGCTCGCGTGATGACTCCTCAGCATACACAGGCTGCGCTGTATCCGTTTGCGCCAGCTGGTGCACCCCATCCGCAATCACAGGCCTCACCAAGCCCCCACCAAGGCCCATTACCACAGACTACTCTGCCTGCTCAGCAGCAGCCGGTGTCAGGACAGTCTTACCTGGCACAAACTCCCCCACAGGCTGCACCACAAGCTGCACCCCAGTATGCTTGGCAAAAGTTCCGTTTCTTCCAATCCTACCATAACAGGTGAGCACTCTGGCCAGCCTACCTTTGTGTGCCGTTTGTTTCAGCTTCTAACGCAGTTCTTGGCTCGTAGGGACACTTCGCGCTACAGAACACCCTATGCACTGTGGGGTGGATTCACGAATGGCTACGAAGGTGACCTTCGGAAACATCTCATGAAGAAACCCGACGCTGTCCCCTTCAGCAAGAACAACAACAACAACGGCAACCGGCGGCTTAGTTTCAACCTGGGTGGAGGCCTACAAGGCTTGACGGGCCCCCCACCATCGCACCCATCCTCGAACCCGGCCTCGTCAAGTGCGTCACCCCGCTACGGCGCGGCGTCTCCGACTTCTTCGTATGCTCCAGCTATGTCGCCATCATCATCTTCGGCTCGAGACCCGGGTCATCAGCGCACATCGTCAGTCCCTAAAAATCCATTTCACACTGCAATGAGAATGCAGGCCGACTCATCATCACAGATGACGTACAATCCGAGCCAAGCTGGACATCCAACGTCGGACCTTTCAGGTGGCGCGAAGACCGTCGCAGCCGCGTTGCAAAATTATCCCATGGCGTCCATACCTCCCATATCATCAGCGGGCATTCCATCAACAGGACAACGTCCCTTCAGCCCTGGTTCTATGGACGTGGACCCCGATACACACGAATCCCCGGCTCAGCAGCTGAAGCATCAGTTGCGCAGAATATCCGATGCCACAGAAACACAATTTCGAATGCCTCGTAGCCGCAGCCATACTCCGCGTTCCAGCCTGAGCCACTTCCCTCGTCTCCGCACTCCTTCTCAGCCAGACCTGGGCGCCAAGCATGAGCAAAGGCCATTCGGAACTCAAGCAACAACTCCCTCGGAATTAGCTGCGAATCGTGTGGCTGTCAGGCAATTTCCCGAAACTCCAGCAGGCAATGAAGACTTGGTGGAGAAGATGATGCTGGACTTGCGAAGAGCAAGTATGCAGAGTTAGGGGCTCGAAAGCAACGTGGCTGGGTACGACAAGTCTCCAGCAAACCTCTAGACTACCTTGTCTTGAGGACCTTTTTACCTTTTTCTGTCTTCTTCTTTCAATTCCAAATGTCTGTACAGTTTCAGAGCGGCGGTAGGCAAGGGGTGAAATAATACCTGTGTACGAGCGTCTCTGGGGAAGGAATAGTATATATCTTTGATGCGAACGGAGGCATCGTTCCTCGATGCCGCGAGGACATTACTTCTCTGCGGCGTTCAGAGGAGCTGGCGTTCGATTTATGGTTGGCTTTTCGGAATCTACTTACTGGTGTTGTGGACGGTCGGGTCCACAATAGAGCCTCGCCAGAACAGAGCGCTCTAGCGTCATTATTAGGTGACGCTACGATGGGACCTGAAGTTGAGGATTGCGTTGGCGTTTAAATACATGGTGCGGTGATTCTCTGACCTTATCTCCAATGAATCTTAGCACAAGCAAAGATGCATTCATCGTTGGATTGGAGGAGGAAGGGAAACGAAGAAAAGGGCCTCACTCGATTGGCCATGTTGAGATAGACAAGAAGAGTAAATACTTAAAACTCTACGATTTTCATTTGTCATGCTCTGCTGCTATTGATACATATCAAATGTAGGTGGCTTTGTGATCTGCCTTATATTCTCTGGTGTGATAATTGCTAGTATTAAACGTAAAACGGATTCAGCATCTGTTCTGGTGATTATCAATTGTATATGAGCTCTAGGCTACTCCTGTCATCTCGTACGGCTCCAGGTGAAGTGACACGGGCGCACATGTGACTTCCCTGTCCGAGTAGATCTGGCCAATGGTCCAATTCTCATTCTGATATGTTGTCTCGGTGCAGTCAAGCGTCAAATTGATCTTACCATAGGCGGTGAATGTTGTTCTGGGGTTTTGCTTCATCATCAGCCACCAAGTACCGGTCGAGAGAATCATGATGATGAATCATAACAATAATCAAAGAGGAAGAAAAGGAAGAAGAGACCAAAAACAAGGTAAAGGACTTGGCTTACGGGTACTGCGGGTCCTCATCATCACACACCCACGTCTGGTTGATGTCCAGCTCCCCGCTGGGCCTGCTGAAGGCGAAGGTAGCGGGCGCCGCGTCCGACCCCGCACAGTCGTACCAGACGGTCCCGTAGAAGAAGTCCTCGAGCTGGTCGCTGGATGCGCTGCACGACGCGACGGTGTCGGGCACGGCCGGGTTGGTGAGGTTGAAGCTGGCGTAGCCCCATGAGTTCTGGTGCGCGGGCGTGCTGAAGACGTAGGAGGCGTGGTAGTCGAAGTCCTCGATCGTCCAGCCGGCCTCGTCGAAGGATGTTGCGGAGCAGGAGGAGGTGGAGGAGGCATCGTCGCGCTGGGGCAGGGTCTTTGGTGTGGACCGGCCCAGCGCGTAGGGGAGGAGGGACAGGAGGGAGGAGGTGTAGAGGAGATGCATCGTCCTTGATTTTTAGATGAGTGTGATGGGGCGGATGAAAGTCAACGGCGGAATCTTCTCAAGTAGGAGCTGGATGTTTTAATTAGGAGTTGGATGCAGGTTTGGGCTATAATCTGATGAGAGAGAGGATTCACGATAAAGGGCATCGTGACGACTTTATTCTTTTTTTCCCCTCTTCCTTTTCGTCCTTTCCTGTTCCTGTGCCCTGATTTACTACTCCGCCTGGCGGATGAGCGCGATGATCGCCGCATAGTAGCTGCTGCAAGACAATGGATGCTACTACCATTTTTAGCCCTGAATCAACAGAGACCGCCTTTTTGGGATAGAAGGCCCAACCCAAGGGCCCGCTAAGTTGACCCGTTCGGGATGACATCGACAAGCCCAAAAAGGTGTGGATGGGATACGGGGTTGCCAAGCCCTCGTATTCCCTTGCGTCCTGGGAACCGCTGCGGGAAGATCTCTCCAACGTTACTTGTGGCTGGGCTGTGTTATTTTGTGCCTACCGTCTCGGCATCTGCTGTGTCCACTCACCGCTTTTACTGACGGTAGGGTGCCAAGATGAATTTTTACGCGGTGGAACGAGGACGTCCAAGACACTTGAGCTGGATGAGAAGATCCCTTGCAGTTTCTTCTAGGAGACTTAAGTGTTCAGGAAGGCTGTGTCGTGGTCCTGATCGAGGATGCTGTTCAAAACGTTGCTTCGTAGAATTATTGATGTCATGGTAGCCTGGAATGAGAAAAATACTAGTTACTTACTCATGTGAGGCTGAATTCGAATGGCAAATCGTACTCAAGAGCGTGCTGACTACTGACTATTAATTTAGTTCTTTTCTTGAAAGGTATCCGCTTGCTAACAACGTTACTGTTTCTATTCAGAGCTAGTACCCTCTGTGATCTTTTTCCGTGTCACGTTAGACAGCATTCATTTCAGCTGTGGGTGATGGTGGCGATGATGGTGTCGATAATGGTCTTGAAAACTATTTGCCTCCATCGACGTCTCGGAGACCCGGGTTCCAAGCACTCCACGGCAATGTAACCTCTCTCTCTCTCTCTCTCTCTGCCTGGGTCGGATGTCCGTCAATGCGATTCAGTTGTATGTGAGGCGCCAATCCTTCCGAGTTCGCTGAACGGGAGCGAGAGTTTGACCATAAAAAAGCAGCAAACTCGGCTGATTACGGAATGGAGCTATGCTCGACTGCTCATGAGGCCGAGGCTCGTTGGTGATGCTTCTGTGCATCGTGGTACACGGTTACTACCCGTGAGATGAGCGGGCGATACCTAAATGATGAGGTCATTGGTACAACGTAATGCTCCTTGACCAGACAGGACGAGCTTCCATCGAACCATCTTGCGTGGTTGTATCTCCGAGAGGGGCCTTAATAAGTTGTTAACAACAGGTCAGGAGACATGCATCAGGACCATTTTCATAAACCAGATGACAGACTGATAGTATACTTTGTAATTGATATTGTCGGGAATATGACGTTTCATAACAATACTTAGATACGCGCAATTTCGGTGAGATGCCTTTACAATATCTGCAGCGAGTGAGCAGATATCTATAGACTTACTCAAAACAGTCAACATAGAAGCCATAAGCTCGCAAGCTTCAATTACTTAATTAACCTTACGGAGCAGTTGTCATGAGAAAGTCCATAGTCATAGCATTCAGCAAAATATAATCAGAGTGAAGAGCTACGTAAAATTGATACAGTGTTGAGACATTATGAAATTCACAGGGCTATTGGAATGTGCTGTTGAGATTCAATCAAGTGAAATGAGACATGCTGAGGAATTTGAAGTGATTGTTTAATTCGTCGAGACCTCAGAAAGCCAGAGCTATGAAGGAAGTTAACAGCTTCCATCTCTCCGCAATCTTTCAACAGCTATCATCCCGTCTAAAACATGAGCCGACATAGCTAATCTCACACGAGTACAGACCATGTCTGCATTGAACTTCCACTGATGGGATGTGAAGCTGTGGGGTGAAAAGCAATCTGAACTCAAGAACAAGCCCACATATCGACATTTCTATACACCAGACAAATTCTAGGTAATAATCATGCTTGTAGGAGAGTGTTGCACTCGGAACTTTAGGCACCGCATATCCGTGCTCGGAATTTTAAATGGGGGTTGTTTCGACTGATGTCTTGTGGGTTTGGCCTGATTTGGTTTCAGGCTGAAGCTTATTCGGCAAGAATCCCCAACCGCAACCAGCTGGCCTATCACAGCATCCCTTTCGCCGCCACTGTTGTTTGATCCACCAAACGAATCGGCGCAGAGGCCATAGCACATCATGTGCCAGGGTTCATTCTGTCCACACGTAGCTAGCTTGCCATGGCAGAAGGCCTTATTTGCTACGCCCTCAGGCGCGGGAAGTGATCGGGCGGAGGAGCGCTCAGGCTTTCGGCCCATGTTTTTGACACTGATTTGCTGGGTGAAGCTGGTTAGAGGGGGTTGGTCGTCAATGGAGGCTAGGCAAGGAGAATGGCGAGACGTATCCGAACTGAGAGCTCTTCAAGGGGACGAACACCCTCTGTCGTCTGAAAGATGTGAAGTGCTCTTCAAAGACCGATCTGATCCTCTGAAGTATCGAGTGGGTGCCAGATGGCTTGGACGATTTTTTTGTTGTCGAGAATCATTCTATTGAAGTCACCGGTGTGCTACCGAGGACAATCTTCCCACCCATGGCTGTCAATGGGTTTCTGTCTGAGCAAGGCATCGAATTTTAATCCCTTTGAGGCCCATTCGCCACTACATCACACAATTTCGGCCTGTTTAGTGCTTCTCATCGGCTGCAGAAGAGATGGGAGTATTGCGGTGGAAGGCCGCCAGAGAGTCGTGGGAAGATCCAGCGAAAATGATCTCGGAACGACAAACTGCACAGCCGCACGAATTTCCTAACGACGGGAATTTCGACGCTCAAAACCAGCGCCCAGATCAAGCAAGCTCGCCGGAAAGCCATTCGGCTGATACAACAGAAGGTGGTCGAGAAGACCAGAGCAATGGTAACAACGGGCAACATGAAGATTCGAGCCAAGCCCCGAATCGAGGTCAGAATTATGGTCAAGATAAGAGCTCGGGCGAGGGTCAAGCCCCGCCGCAGCAGGGGAACAGCCGATTTGAGGGCGAGGGTAGTGGCAGTCCGGAGCCAAGTGAAAACGGATACCAGAAGGAGGGGCAGAGTCCAAATAATAGCGGCGACAAGAACCAGGGATCATCTCAGGATCAAGAGCAAGGACAAAATCAGAATCAGGGCAGTGGGCAGCATCAGGGTCAGAACCCAGAACAAGATCCCAAGACAAGCTCGCAACACAACAACAGTCGACCGCAGACGGAGACAACCACGACGCAGACATACTCATCCTCGTCATATACACAAACCTCGTCCAGTATTGAAACCCAGTCAACGTCTGTGCTGTCATCACCAACTCCAGCGGCAGTCCAGCCAGGAGTCGTGCCTGAGGTGGCGCCACCTGCACCTACTGAACTGACGACCTCTATCTTATCCCTAACTACCTCTTCGACTCAAACGTCATTCTCTACCCAGACTTCAACCTCAGTACAGTCGATCCCAGTGGCCAGTCAAACGCCATCAGTCGAAAACCCACTACCACCTTCAGTAGCACCATCAGTGCAATTGCAGACTGCCACTGCCACGCTCGCAGCACAAGTTACCTCGACAGCATTGTCCTCATCTCCCGCTCCGGCATCTGTGTCCTCAGGGTCAGGATCAGGGTCTGGAATGTCCTCAGCCCAAGTGACTGGCATTGCTGGTAAGTTTGCACATCCCACGTGTCCGAGAGGTAACTACGTTGAATCAAAGACTGACCTTCTCTCAGCCGGTAGCAGCTCTGCCGTCGTTGTGATTGCACTCCTCTTCTACTTCATAGTGCGGCTCAGAAAACGTGGCGGCTCTCTCCCTTATTTTGGGCGGTCCATCACCAAGCTCAAGAGTACGTCGTCGGGCACAACGTCCAGAACAAACACGTCTGCAAACGCGAGAGACGGCCTCGCAGATGCAAAAGATGCACAAAGCCTGTCAGGATCAACAGAAAAGCAGTCACCTGACCTGAACATCTCGGGGGCCGACGACAAAGACCTTGAAGGGCGCGATCAGTGTGCCGCGACTGTCGATTGCCCGGTCCAGAGACTACAGAATAAATTCAGGCTGCACAACTCGACTGACCCACGGCCGAAACGAGACCCGATCGACAGGTGCAGCATCAGCTCGTGTTCAACATGCTCGCCCCGGGAGTCGTCTGCGTTCTCTCTTGGCCTGCTTCTTCAGCCGTCTCTGGACTTTTTCAAGTTTCGAGACATCCGCACATCGCTAGGGGGGCGAGGGTCTGGCTGGTCTCTATGGTTTAGACAGGATGATCGAGCAAAAGGAAAGTCGGGCTTGCAAGATGTGGCAGCGAAATGATGCTTGTTTCAGTGCTGGATTTATTGACAAGTATATACTTTTTTATCTCGTGGACACTTGTATCTCTAATTTGCATCGTGGCTGCGTCCCTCAAGGTCCACCCTGGGCAAAGACTCATGCGGGATGGTACTTTGATACAGGCTTCATGTAGTAATCTATTGTGTACATACACTTTCATTGAGAAGATGATGACGTTACAGTGTCTATATGCCCTACGTCTGATGAACCCTCTTCGTTCACCTTGGATGGGCCTTCCGGCCAGGGGAGCACTGTCAGACCAGGCCAGATCCCCCGCCACCTGTCGACCTTCTTTTCATACAGCATTTTGTTTGCACTGACTGGATTCGGCCGCACGACCAGGTTCAAGATATCTGTGAACCCCCACGGCGCAAAAACCTTCCAGTCCCCGTCAGGTAGGAGCCGCACCCCAAACAGCGCCGTGCCAGTCATCCACCGCGAAATGGCCCCTTCTGTGGACGTATTCTCCGGAAACGGGACGCCAAACTTCTGCGGATACCAAAGGTGCACCCTGGCTTGATTCCGAATCTCTACTCTCGTGGGCAGACCCTCGAAGATCTTGGCCCCTTGCTGGATCACGCGGTCTTCTGCCTCCCATGATAAGTCTGTGTTGTCGAAGTAGACTAGGTCGTAGTCATCGATGCCAGTCTCGGGCGGCTGGTCAGTCACCATGTTCCACACGGTCTGGGTCAGGGAGCCAGCGGCGAGATACCAATCTGGGAGGTCCATGGTGGCGGCTCGAGACAGGACTTCAAGCAGGGTGGTGTTGCAAAGTAAAGCTTCGCGGAAGAGCGCCGCCTCTTCTTTGGTGTGAGGACCCTCAATCTGCATCTTGGGCTAGTGATGCTAGAAAATGGGGTCAGCTCGTGTTCACGCGATGTGAAGAAAAAAAGAGGTGGAACAAAGACTTCATGGAAGAGGGGACAAGGTCAATGCTTACGGACCCTCAGATTCGGTCGAACCATGTCAGGTTGCACATGATAACTTTTTGAGGTTCTTGTAAGTCAGTGCGGCAGCTTACATATGTCTACAAGTTTATAATGATTCCAAAGTGACAAGCCAAACACATAGGTTAAGTCTCCCCACCCTTTTTTTGTTTACTAATATTACTCGTGTTTTAGCCGTTGCTGCCTGGAGGTTTAAGATGAAAGGGTTAGGGTTCTGAACACATGCAGTATTCACCAGTCTCGTGTCTGAGGTATGATGAAACCTAGGAGCCCCAGTAGACTACGACGTTCATCGAAATGGGAGGCTTGAAAAGGCTAAAGGTTTTGTAGATTTTGTAAAGGTTGCCTCGTTCAAGTTTCTAAGACCAAACAAGCCCACAAAGACCATCAGACAAGGCGTACGGTAACGAATCACTATCTATAAATGACTCTGAATACATGACTGGCCAAAGTCCAGCTTATCGTATGATTGCATGGGTGTATTCATGGTCCCTTATTCCACCACTTCAACACTCAAGTCATCCGGCCACCGAGGCTGATCTACGCCATTGCCGCGCGTGCCAACGTGGAACCCAGGCTTGACTTCTCCCCCTGGGAATCTCAAGACCGGAGCAACAATTCTCAGATCGGCGTTGATACACTTGGAGTGGACCTGGGTGAAGAATGCTGGGTTGAACAAGGTGTCGCCGCTGCTTTGTTTCACAGCCTCGAGGGTGCGAGGGATCAAGTATGTCACTTTGAATCGCAAAGTCAGTCCGAGCCCCCTCCAATACAGAGTTACGCCGCCTCGTGAGAGAGATTCCTTCACTTTGGTGCTGAGGTACTTACTATTGTGGAAATGCCGGAAGACTGGCGATCCATTCCGTCTCCATACGTCTTGCCACACATCGTCGCTGTATGTTCCGACGTGGTCGACCAGCCAGCGAGAATAGTAATTCAGAGCGGCCTGTTTTGCTGGAGTTAGAGGTGTCGCAATATTTCAATATGCAAACAGATCAACTTACATCAACGGTATATGAACCTCCTTTCTCAGCTCGCTGAATCAGAGCGGTGAGAATACCCGTCAGGCCGGCAACTCCGGTACTGGTAACCAGTTTGGTCAGATTAGACTTTTGGAGATATGATCCAATAACACAGGAGGACATACCAGTAGTCTGAGTTGGGGAAAACAGGCGTAACCGGCTCATCATTTCCCATTGCTCGGCCGAACTCGTAGGAGACGCCACAGTTCTGTTCATTATGGTCAGTGGAAGACTGATAAATGCGGTCATCGGTAAACGCAGAAACGACTATTATGGATGATGAGATCAACACATACCGCATCGCTGATCTGCTGCCAACCACTTCGATGCATCCACGGCCCCTGCCAGCCGTAGCAGTTCTCCCTCGCAGAGATGATGCCCCTCTCCCGGCCCTTGCACATATCCACAATGTCCTGCTGGCCAAATCCATACTTATCAAGAACACCCGGCCGATACCCCTGAAGGACGACATCGGCATCACGAATCAGCGCACGCAGCGTCTCCCGATCCGCCTCCTGTCGCAGATCCAGAGACGCGTTCCACTTGCCGTGATTCAGGTCAGGGTGCAGCACAGACATATCCGTAAGGTGCGGCGCGGTGATGCGCATGACGCTGGCGCCCAGCTCCGCCAGCCCGCGCGAGATGGCCGGGGCGGCGATGATGCGAGTCAGGTCGACCACCTTGAGCCCTGCGAGGGGGCGTGCCACCGATGTGCCTGTCGATGCCGAGTCAGGCCACCAGCAGGGCTTCTGGAGCGGGTTCTCGTGGGCGTGCACCTCGAACAGCCCGACGTGCGCGTTGGCCTTGCCGTGCTCGCTGTTGCGGAACTCTTCGGCTGTGTTGCAGATGGTGCCGGCTTGGCGGTAGACGTCTGTCGCCAGGTGTTGGAGCTCGTCTGCGGTCAGCTTGGACACTGCTTCCGTGAATGGGGCCAGCGCCTCCTCTTCAGTGGTCAGCTCCATGTCTGGAGGAAGGCCTACGCTTCTCAACGTTGGGCCGGGATCCATCGAGCCTATCCCATTTTTAAAAAGAAAAATGTTTTAGTTAATAAGTAGAGGCTTTTTGGGGGTTGTTCGAAAGTTTGGAATAGAAGAGGGACTATGTACCGTGGAGGTGGAAGAATCGATCGTCCTTGGTTCGATATATGTTTGTGGCCAGGTCGCGGTAAAGAGGGTTGAAGTTGTCATGTTTGTCACAGTTGGGAAAGTATTTCGATATCACATCCTTCGTCTTGGGATCTGCGAAGGATGAGAGAGTCAAGCATTCTTTGTCCGGGTTGAGCTGCCAGATCAGTGTGGACATGATGAAGAGCTGAGCATGGTCCCTGGATCATGATATCAGTTGAAGTGTCCAATCCTCATAATCAAGCCACGTCAGAAGCACTCACGTATTGATATTCACTCGCACTGGCTCTGCACCGTACTTCCTTCTCAACAATACATTGAGAACTGTAGCCTCATAAGCCTTCAAGGCCGAAATGCTTTCTGCAAATCTCCAATTGATCGGCAGGCTTGGCTTGTCGCTTCCTTCAAAAGTGATGCGGTTTGCGAGGTCGAGAGCCTCCGGTGGAAGGGATTGTTGAATCAGGGGATTTTGCAGGACGCCATTCAGAAATACCTTCTGAGCCTCTGCTGGAACAGAATAACTGCCCTGCCCAGCGAGAATAGGAGCTGTGCTGTACTCTTTAGTCATTGTGAAGCTCAAAAGGCGTGGATTTGCGCTGTGAGTCTTGATGGTAAAGGGATGGACAGTGTCTTGAACAGGACAAGAGGCTGGGCTAAATATGAAACAGGCTTAACGATCAGGTCATTATGTCCGACCTCGCGGTTCCAGGAAAAATCTGCTGCAGACCCCTCGGCCCTCGGGTCTGAGAACCCACCAGGTATCCACAAAATATACTGTCAATGGTATGCATCAATACTATAGAAGTACTGTGAACAGAATGGGTGATGAAAGTTTAAGGGGCATCAACTATAGACAACTGACACGGGTTGCAATCTGGAGTCTGATCAAGTGCTCTGTTGAGACATCCTTAAGCGCCGTGCAACCAAAAAGGAGTTTGAACCCTGGTGAACAATCAATAATTACATAATAGTACACCAATTTATCAACTAGAGTGTTGTCGAGTGCCTGCACCCTTCGACCTAGTGAAAGGAGAGGATAACAAGCAAGTCTAACATCTACCGAAGACTCAATAATGCCAACTTTACATTTCCCAGTTGACCCAAGTTACAGACGCTCATCTCTGCCGATCATTTCTCTAACTGAGACATCCGTTTCATGCATGTTGATACCATAGCAGTTTGGTTCTCATAGGGCGTGCAGGAATACATGATTGATTAATATAGGGTGAGCTACCTGATATTTTTTTATTCCTAAAATCGGACAACTTAATAGATATCATCATTGGCTCAATTTGTTCCATTTGGACATATGGTTTATAGATGGCTTCTGCTTGGCACTAGGAACAAACGACGTAATGCGCCTGGCACGTAATGATTGTGCTGCTAAGCATGTTATCAAGGTGACTGAGTGGCGCTAATATAGCCTAATTGCCGAGTTTTTTGTTTTCTTCGTGCCTATGTCATTCCGTTCTTTCGTGCCAAGAGGTTCGCGATTCGCGACACTGCAAAAGACCGACGCTACACAATTAGAAGACCAGAGAGTGTCTTTATTTGTTTCACGGCTCTCAATCAGCTCAAGGAAGTACAGCTCAAGTCATGGAGCAACAGTCTGCGGTTCAGCCCCGCACGTTCAACCCAGAAGGCGTACCGGCCCCACCTCCTACGTACAACCACGTGGCGGTCACTCCTCTTTTCCCAATGTCGCGTCTCGTCACCCTCGCCGGTCTTACAGGGTGCGATCCGGCATCTTCAGACAACCCGAAGACACTGCCTGAGCAGGCCTTGATTGCGTATGCCAAGATCCAGGCTTGCCTGGCTGCTGCTGGAGCCACACCTCGAGACATTGTTCAGGTCAGTCGCCTTGCGCCGCACCTCGGGAATGTTCGAATCAATTAACACGTAGTCTGGGGGGTTTTTTTTCTTCTTCCCCTTCTATATTTAGGTCAAGCATTATATCGTGAAAGAAACGGGTCATCCTGAGATTGATCAGACGGATGTGGTTGATCGCGGTTGGGGTGAACTTTGGACAGACTTCAGTAAGTCGATTGTTATGCTATGCTTCCTAGTGTTCAATAGTTTTCGATGTTCAGGTTGCTTGTATGTAGTCTTTGACTATGGATGCTGCGATTATTCATCTGCATCTCGCAGATATCAGGCATGTTACTGACGCTCCTGAAGTGGATAGGACAGCAGGCGGACACCGGCCTCCCGATACAGTCGTTGGCGTTGCCAGCCTAGCCAAGAAAGACATTCTGTATGAGTGTGAGGTGTGGGCTATTGTGCATTAACATATCAATGTGTTGTGGAGAAGACTCGCGAGAAGGTCCCGAAGGTGAGAGGAGGTCTAGTGAAGATTTTAAAGAAGCGCACGGCCGAAGTTGCCGTCGTTATTGAGGGGTATTATCACAATGCACCCTCACTTCCCATTAGACCTGACTTTTTTTGTTTTGACTGTTACACAACTTTGCCAAAGTGGAGTTTGTCTTACAATTAAGACTCATTTCCTATAATTGTATCTTGCCGACCGCGGCATGATTACCCCAACGCCCTATACGGTGAACATTGAGGTTTGCAAGTGATTGGTTACAGACTACTTGAGTAATTAGGAAGACTGATATGACCTATAGGGGGTATGAAGGGAATAGTTTCCAACATTCGTCTTCGTTCTTGTTGAACATAAACCATGCACTATGGTTTGAGAGTGTGTCCGCAGCCGATCCGCTCACTTGTCAACAGCCCCATTGCCTTTCAACTGTGAAAGTGAAGATCGATCCTTCGGCATCCAGAGGGCGAATTTCCCCCGACAAAGTTGCAATCCATCTTCTCACTAAGTCTATGTTTCCAGATCGTCAACGCTCGAGTGTGGATAAATTCAGGAGACTCCACGCTTTGGTGCCCTTCGTGATGCGCATCTTCGAGAGATTCCAACCGTATCAAGGCTGTAGTAAAGATCTTTCCAGGGTGATTTCATATCTCAAGATCCGAGTCCACTCAGTCAACTCCATTTCGTGGATCGATCAGAGTCTAACGGGTCTGTTCTGATAGTAGGCTCTCTTTCCTTTCAATCATGCATCCTAGGATGACTTCTCCGTGCACAGCAGGTACCCCTTCCCACACCGGATCTCACATGAAATGGATAAAATCACATGTGCAATCACAACTCGACTTCATCCGAGGTATCACACGCACCTAGACGTGTTCTAACTCCCCGCTCTCAAAGGAACTCCGCTCGTGTCTTATGGTACAGTGAAAGGCTGTTGTCAGTAGTCTGACAATAAGATACTGAATGCGGCAAATTTTGCACCGAGAATGTGACCCCGGCGTTTACTCAGACGATCACGGCTGTGCTACCTAAACTGGTTTAGTAGCCGTCTGCCACGCTTCTCACTCCCCGCACATTTCCTCCTCGCTTCCAGGATATGCATCATGGGAGAATCTGGGGAATGCTGAGGGTGTGGGGAAATCTCGATCCTGTGATGCCCCACGTATGCACAAGACGTCGGGGTTAGACTTACGTTGCCGGCTCCGTATACGTAAAGAATTTGTCTTGCGCAAAAGGACTGGAGCCCGGGCCGATTGTGTGTGTTCCATTTTCTCCTTGCCTGTCTTTATGGTCACCACTGTTCTCTTTTCCTTCTTTTCCTACCTGTTTGGGGCGTTAACTTCTTTTCCTTAGCCTTAGTTAAGCTATAATTAAGTACGATGGTAAATTTTGTAAAACCTTATAGGAATTAATTGATCCCCACAAATATACGCGTCGTCTCTTGCTCACAGACCCTCGGGGGCGGCGGCTAGAAGATTGTGCCCTGGCAGCGAGCTCCTCGCAACGGTTTCCGGTTTCCGGTCAACAGCTGAGAAGGGCGCTTCTATTCTTGACTTCCAACTTTCAGCGTATGGGGCATGTTGCTACTTGCGGACGTTCCGTGTCCTAACAGAATTGGAGGGTGTCGTCCAGGAATCACACTTTCCACTACCGAGGGTCCATTTAGAAGGTGTTCAACTGCCGTTTAAGATGAATTTGGCATGTGCAGGTTCCCATCTTGGGGACCGTGCATACGCAGTCTTGACTATGAGGGCCTATCGCAAAAGACGAAATGGAGTCTGTAGCTGTGCACAGCATTGAGTGTGGCCACCTGCCTAGCTTGTGGATCGCCTTGTTTGAAAGGCCACTTGCAAACTTGTGTTATTCCGTTAATAGCAGAGGACCTATTACGGGTCTATCCGCCTCTAAATTTCTCACATTCCCATGTTGGACTAAACTCCCATTCTCAATTGTAATATCGAAAACGAGGAATATCATATCCCCGTATTCGTGGTCTTTTTCGGGTGGGCGCGGAGTGCACGATACCCCAACTGCTACGGCGGAGATATTAATGCTGCAAATAAATGTTTCCTCGGGGAGGATACCAAGCAAGACCCATCCCCCGAAGCGCACCCCCACTAATCCCCATTCGATCCCCATCTCCTCGCATGTAGTAGTCACCTGGTCTTGCAACAGGTAGCCAAGCAGAGAGAGGAGAACAAATCAACATACATGCAACAGCCCCGGCTGGAGGAGGGGGAGAAAAAAATTAGTACTGGCAACTGGGAGGAGACTAGACGTCTTCTTCTGACATGTGCTTCTACAAACATGGGTACATCGGACTTATTGTGTCCTTGTATAAGTCCTCTTCAAAGAAGAGTTGGCAGCATAAACCTATATAAATCAGGACAGCCACGTCGTGGGAGTGAAAGATATAGCCGAGTTCAGAGTAGCTCGAGTAGACGCCTCTGGCTTGTAGTATTTCAATTTAAACAACCAATCTTCAGGTCAATCTCAAAGCCCAGCCAAACTCAACAGCCAACTTCAGAAGCTGATCAAACAGCAAGATGAAGGGGTCACTGTTGCTCACGGCAGTTGCTGTCTTTGCTGTCCAGACTCTGGCGCATCCAGCCAAGTCTGAGCCTCCCCGCGAGCCCTCTCCAGTGGTTGAGGATCGAGCAACCTCGCCCACCGTTGTGATTTCTCCTTCAAACACGGTCATCGGCGCAGTCTCCGGCACTGTCGAGTCTTACAACGGTATCTACTTCGCAGATGACCCAACAGGCTCACTGCGGCTTAGGCCGCCTCAGAAGCTCTCTACAGACCTGGGCGATGCTTTTGACGCCTCAGGAACTGCAGCAGCGTGCCCTCAGATGCTGGTAGCAACTGCCAGCCAAGATGGTCTCTTTCTGGAGATTGCAGGGTATCTGCTGGACTCGCCGCCGTTCCAGACGGCGACTGATGAGTCGGAAAATTGCTTGACCGTCAGCGTCGCGCGACCTGCTGGAACGGTGGCTGGCGCAGGCCTACCAGTACTTTTCTGGATCTTTGGTGGCGCTTTCGAGGTGAGGCTAACTTCCAGTTCCCTTCTCTACATTTTTTAGAAGGAGATGCTAAGCCAGCAACAGCTCGGTTCGACGTCTATGTACGATCCATCCAGTCTCTTGAGCCAGGCTATCGACCAGGACCAGCCTTTCGTCTTTGTCGCGGTCAATTACAGAGTGGCTGGTTTTGGCTTTATGCCAGGGGCTGAGATTCTAGCTGACGGCGCTTCCAACCTTGGTCTTCTCGACCAGAGGATGGCTCTCGAGTGGGTGGCGGACAACATTGAGGCCTTTGGAGGTGACCCGACCAAAGTGACCATCTGGGGCGAATCGGCCGGCTCCATCAGCGTGTTCGACCAAATGGCTCTCTACGGAGGCAACATTACTTACAACGGTCAGCCGCTGTTCCGAGGAGCCATCATGGATAGCGGGAGTATTACCCCTGCAGATCCCGTCGACTGTCCCAAGGGGCAAACCGTGTACGACACCGTCGTTGAGGCCGCTGGATGCGCCTCCTCGAATGACACGCTGGATTGCCTTCGCGCGCTGCCGTACGAGACCTTCCTCAACGCAGCAAACTCTGTCCCTGGCTTCCTTGGATACCAGTCGGTGGCTTTATCCTACCTACCAAGGCCCGATGGGGTGGTCCTCATAGACAGCCCAGATGTCCTGGCTGCCAATGGACAGTACGCTGCTGTGCCCATGATCATCGGCGACCAAGAGGACGAAGGAACCATCTTCGCGCTGTTCACAGACAACGTGACTACAACCGCGGACCTAGTCGAATACTTCACCAGCATCTTCTTCGAAGATGCTACAGCCGAGCAGATCGAAGGCCTTCTCGACACCTACCCAGACGATATCGTGTCCGGCTCCCCCTTCAGGACCGGTTTGTTCAACGAGCTGTACCCTCAGTACAAGCGAATTGCTGCTGTTCTCGGCGACCTTGTCTTCACCCTTACGCGCCGGGTCTTCCTCGCTTCAACCACCGCGGTCAACCCCGATGTCCCGTCTTGGAGCTATCTTTCTTCCTATGACTATGGTACCGTGTACCTGGGAACCTGTCACGGCAGCGACTTGTTACAGGTCTTTTATGGCATCTACGACAACTATGCAGCCGATGAGATCCGCACGTACTACTACAACTTCCTCTACAACCTGGACCCGAATGAGGGCTACGGCGACTACCCTGACTGGCCGCAGTGGGCGGACACCGGCAGTGGTAACCAGCTGGCGTGGTTCTCAGCAGACTCGTCTACCTATTTGACGGACGACTTCAGAAACGACAGCTATACGTACATCCTTGCCAATGTTGATTCGTTTCACATCTGAGTTGTTGAGGAGAATCGCTTTGGCTACTGGCATTCAGTTCAGGAGGACACGAAAGGCTGTCGCGTGAGAAAATGATGTAACGAGAAGATTCCGAAGTGCTCGAGCCACATCGCCGAAGGGCTTGAATTTTATGGTACTTCATGATGAATACAATGATCCCAGTATGAAATCTTTCGAAGGTCCTCTTTGACGTGATAGAGTACATCATCAACATGGAAGGTGCCAGATATTCGTTCAATAAATGTAAACTGTACTCACCTGGATGTTTTGAATTCCCACTTTAAGACTGTGGCGCGAACATTCAAATCATACCAGAAAGATACTCGTACCATACACAACATCGCTTCGTCCTCAAATCGGTTGGCATTTACAGCAGATCAGGTGGATCTAGGGCTCTGTCCTGGATAATCAGGTAACCTCCTCTGCAGCACGATCATTAAGCAATTCCATCTCAGATATTATTATGATGAATCTGAGCTTAGGATAGGCGGATTGTGTTAACTTTTACCTATCGGCAGACACTCAGTATTCCAACCTGGTGCGTGATCGAAGTGAAGTCAGTTTCCCTTCCCCGTAAAAATAACAATAAGACGAACTTTTTGGGTGGCAAAGGTGCACAGTCAAAGACCAAAGAAGCCCATACTTGCTTACTTTATTGGCCAGGCTGGCCGCCACGTCTTGCCTTGAAATTCTGGCGCTGTATTCTCTCTTGTGAACCGAAGGGAAGCGGCCCACTTCTGCATGACTGCACGACACTCCGTATGCTTTCTCCGAGCGACCTCGAAGATGGCAAGTCATTGCCTCATCTGCAACGACCTTCAAGTAGACAATTCTACGAACACTGCCCCCGAGGACACTGATGACCCTGAAGAAGTACGGCTGCAGAGTTTTGAACTACACATAGTTATTCAGGACTGGCGAGCTTTAGCTGAGAGAGGTTGCACTACATGTGGTCTGCTATGGGGCGCACTCCTTCACTTCGACGAGGAGCAGGTGCTCAGAATCTCCGAACCAGCTGATGGCGACAAGGAGCCCGTACGCATCGTCGTCCAAGGACAAATGGGCGCACCGCTACTCTTGGGGATGTGGGGTCCTGAACGAGGACATGTGTACCCGAAGCTGGAATTCTACACCCCACGGGCTGGGACTCCATCACAACCAGAGCCGAGCAGATTTCCCATCATAGGCCCCTCCGACCATGTCCCGTCCACACTGACTCTCGAACACTGCCTGGCGCTCTGCGACAAATGGATAGGTCTCTGCGGGCAGACCCATCCCCAGTGCCGGACTGGTGTCTCTGAAAGGCTGCCCACGCGTGTTTTGGACCTGGGAGAACCCGACGGCTCTGTCCTCGTGCGACTGTACGAGCCTCCATCCGGCGCAAATGCCCGTTATGTCGCCCTGAGCTACTGCTGGGGCCAGGCGGGCAACCTCACAACGACCACACGCACAATCGCTGCACGGAAAACCGAGATCTCCTGGGCCCTTCTTCCCAAGACCTTTCGCGACGCCGTGCTCATCGCCCGCGGTCTCGGCGTGCGCTATCTTTGGATCGACTCCCTCTGCATCATCCAAGACTCACCATCTGACTGGGAAGCAGAGGCGGCGCGCATGGCAGAGGTCCATGAGAACGCCTACATGACAATCGCGACCGACGCGGCCTATGATCCCACCTGCGGCATCCTTAAAGCCCGACAATCCCTCGAGCCAGTGTCTGCGAATGTTTTCATGACCAAGACAGAGCCGCTGCCGTCGCTCCCGAGGCGGCGAGATCCGCTCCAGGTACTGCGCCCGACAGACGAGATTTGCGTGAGGAGACCGCTGAGCCACCAAGACATCATCATGCCTCGCGTGGTTCGTGACTCCACGTTCCCCTTGCTCACCCGCGCGTGGACCCTTCAGGAGCGGCTCCTCGCGCACCGCACATTGCATTTTACGGCTTTCGAGCTCATCTGGGAATGCAAAGAGACGCTCTTCTGCGAGTGTCAACGCGTCGCTCGTGACGCTGCGGGCTATGGGTGGCGATATTAGCCCTAGGGTGGCGCATGAGAGTGCTATGGCAGCGGTCTCTGCTGCTGCTTCTTCTGCGGCTGATAGAAACGACAACAAGATACGGTCAAGGGAAACAACGAGGATATGGATTAGAGTTGTGGGCGGATACAGTGGACGCCAGCTGACCTTTGCGTCCGACAAACTTCCAGCCATCTCTGGCATCGCACAGCGGTTCGCAGCGCAGAGAAAAAGAGGAGGTGGAGGCGACGACGACGAAGACGACAACACCGCTAGGAGGAATAATGCTGATAATCAGATGCAAATTTCCTCCCAAAAGGGCTTCTGTGTATCTCGCCGGCCTTTGGCTGGACGACCTCCCCTGGTTGCTCTGCTGGCGCGTGTTCCTGCGGCGCTTCGATTAACGAACCCCAGAATACGTCGCGCCGACGTGGAGTTAGGCGTCCCTCGCAAGCCCTGTCATCTGGGACGACGCATTGCTTGACGCTGTAGCCAAGGTGACGATCCTCCACGGGACAACAACCACGCCAAAGGGCCGGGACGTGTTTCGCAGGATCACGAACGGGAGAATCCTCCTGCGCGGGCGGGTGCTAAGGGCAAAGGTGGATTTTGAAGGCACAGAAGGGCAGGCCAATTTGGGTCTGCGGAACCAAAACGGCGGGCGCATTTTCTTCGTGCCTAATCAGAACCTATCTGAGGACCAATGCGACGCCGCATACATCCCTGATACGCACTCGGCATCGCTACAGCGGACTGCATTTTCTCTTTCCCACGGAGAGCAGGTGGCCTGCCTGTGGGTACTACATCAAGTCGAGAGTGATGCGAACTAATGGCTTGGTGCTAGCTTCGCCGGCTCGTGAATCGATTTCCAGATCGGTAAATCCTGCCGACACGTCAGAGCTGGGCCGCAGTTGTGCAGATGCTTCTGTATGGGAGCGGGTGGGTATCATCACCGCCATGTCACATCAATACCGAAGGAATGAGATGCCTGCGCATTCATGGTATGCTGAATCTCAGGAACAAACAATCATTATTATCTAGATTTTTGCCTGTTTAAACACCCATACCTTTCCCACAAGTGTTCATTGTGACAGGTAAAATCATCAAGGTAGCTAAATCAACGTTATCAGTTAAGAATGCCCCAAGCAGATACACTGGCAAATGCCAATAAATTGGGCCTTCTAGTAGCTAATAAAGATACTAACATTATACATAACGGAATCTAGTAGGCGCAAGAGTGTCTTAGATATCGAACTTCATAGCGTTACATTGATCCTCTGCACTGTCACCTTCCGATATTGCCCCCAGCCCCCAGAGGCCTAAGTCGTGGCCCCCACAGCTGCATGCGATGCTGACCACGGAGCTGGGATAGGCGCCAGCAAATGTCCAATAAACTTGATCTTGTGGCGATCTAATGGTGCCTTATAGACTAGAGCTCGGTAGATTAATCCTGAAAGGTGTCTGTGTCCGAAGTGGAACGCATCGCGAAAGGTGTCCAGCCAGCAACCTGCAGCAAGAACAGAATGCACTTGCACTTCTTTCCACAAGCTGAACACTGAGACAAAACTCCTGTGGTTACAATAGAGTTGCTAAAACGGTATCGGGTAGGGTTGCGCTGCAGATTGGAGAGATGAGCCATACGAGGTGTAGCCTTGAATGCCCACATGTGTAGTCGTGACAATCATCTTGAGGTTCCTTGTGCTAATTATTTAAATGAGTGCATAACGGCCCGGCCCTCCTTATTGGAACTAGTAAACTACAGGTTTTCTCGGCCCTTCCTTACAATTGTCTGACCGGCTTTAAATCCTCCAAATAAAGCCATCAGCATCATTTTCAGACACAAATAATGGATTGGCCAACAACTCCAGCATGGTCAGGAGCCGACCAAGGCCTTTCTGTCCAGAATCAAGTCCATCTTGGCCTCTGGACTGACTGGTCGCGCGGTCGCGTGCTAGGGCAGACGCTGACACTCAGCCGTAAAGACGGCAATCTTTTGACTGCTTTCACGGCGTCCTTTGTTGTATTCGTGGGTGCTCGAGTCTGGAGTATGACAAGCTTGTTCCTCCACCGCTACTATTCGACCCCCGAAGACCGTGATGCCCTTCACCACCAGCGCCAGGTGCTCTTACGCAATACGTCCTCCGCGGACGATGCCACGGTACGTCCTGAAAAGCAATGAGAGGAGTATAGTGGGGACGAAGAACAGTGATGACTGATCGACGTTGTTGCGTCTTGCGGTATTTAGCTCTCTTTCATACAGTTGTTCTGGGCATGGCGCGGCTCCGCTGTACGATGCCTACGTCGATTAGCACCCGTGCTGGTGCTGTCCATCATCTGCACAGTGGGCTTCACTTTGGCAGGCGGCTACTCTTCTCAAATCCAGATTGGCGACAATAATGTCGGCAGTGACGTTCTCCTCAGTGGGACCAACTGCGCCATCGCCAGCCCGAACGTCTCTACGCTGGAAGATGCCATGGCCTACGACAGACTGATATCAAAATGGATCGCCGACTCTGTCAACTATGTCCAACAATGCTACTCGTCCAACAGCTCGGGCCTAGCCGATTGCAACTACTTTGTGACGCAGACACTGCCAGCCTACGTCAATACTACGGCCAACTGCCCCTTTGAGGATTCCATATGTAAGAACGCCTCGACCAATATTGTTTTGGACACGGGGCTGCTCAACAGCCACGAGCACTTTGGCATCAATGCACCTCATGACGAGAGGATTCTGATTCGTTCTGTGCTGGAGTGCGCGCCGCTGGTGACTGAGAACTTTACCCTCTCTGATGGCAACTTCACCGCCTACGAGTACGGACCCCTGCTGGTACCAAGCTCTGTCGGTAACCCCATCAACTATACGTACGAAGCCTATGATGTGGAATGGCAGTATAAGACTATGAATGACCACCAGTTAGCCGAGGTTCTGTATCAAATAAGGTGAGGTCTTGGTGCCCTTCTTGGGGGTTGATGATCATGACTGACTTGGGGACCACAGAGGAGTCTTTTCCGGGACACAGAATAGTACTCCCGCCCTGGACCCGGGCAGCGGTTTCACGCCCATCAACCAGCTCGCTAGGACTGACGCAGATCTTACCATCGTCTTCCTCTCCGGCTACGGCGTCTTCGCTGGGACACCCATTTATGACCCCTGGTATCAATCTACGGTGCCTTTCACCAACATCAGCAGCCAGGGGAAGACCGGTATCGAACAAGTCTACCGCCTGGACAATGCAGCCTCCCCATTGGGCTGCGCCAGCCAGTGGCAGTTCTGCAACGCCGATTCTAGCGCCTGCGGACCGCTGGCTAGCTATGACGACGCTGTCTCGAGCGCTGCCTCTGAGGTTTTCGGCGACACTGACGCAGCTAATCGGTTTGCGTGGTTCACCAACTCTTTAAACCTCCTCACCAATATGCTGCAGGGCATGTTGGAGGCGGCACAGGTCAACGCCCTCCTCGCTGCGCAGAGTGTGGACGACGGCTACCAGGAGTCGCTCCCTGACAACCAGTGGCAGCTCGAGGTAACCAACTGGTTCGCCATCTCTCTGGCCTTCATGCAACAGGCCATCGTGGAGACTGCGTCCGGCTCCGCAGCACAGGAGGCCGAGCTGGTATCCGAAAAGCCCACAAGCGCAGCTACCACAGCCATGTGCCGTAATCAAAAGATTCGCACGACGAGATACGCCTCCTTCAGTTTCTTCGGCATCATGTTCGTCTATGTTCTTGGCGTCGTCCTCATCGCACTCTCTTTCTCGCTAGAGCCGATTCTGGCTTCTCTGTACCGGCGACGCGGCTACCGCCAATACAGCTTCGCTGAGTGGAACTCGCACGGCACGCTGCAGCTCCAGCGCCTTGCACACGATGATGGTGATGATGAGTGGGCCGGGTGCATGGAACAGATCCCGGTCCCCAAGGATTCCAAGTTAAAACTGCGTTGTCTGGACCTGACGGATCCCGAGAATCTTAAGTTGTGCGCGCGCAGTCTGCACATGTCACCGTCCGGTGCCTCGATAATGCACGAGGCAACGTTGGTGGAAACCAAGGAAGATCTTCAGTCTGCCAAGTCGCCGGTTGATGCGAAAGGTCCAGCTGCAGCTGCATCGAGTCCAGACACGTATCTGGGTCCCAGATGCTGTACCGCGGAGAGCGAGGAAGAAAGGATCGGCATTGTTTCCCCAGTTTCTTCTCTGCCTCCATCCATCGCGCCACAAGATCGTGATTCTTTGCCGGCCGGTCAATGAGTCAAATTGTCTACTGGCTCGAGAAGTGCACAAGACATGGAATCAGCTTACTTACCAATTGAATGGCAGGGGCGCACAGTAATAAAGCCCATAATTTCTTTGGCCAAATTGGCCCTTGTCTTACCCTAACATTACTGTTGTCACAAGAAAAGAAACCCATATTAGGACAATGTTAGACTGTTAGCTGCGCCCTGTTTCACCTCTGGTCTGAAGGCATGGTCCTTTAGCCCCCATGGTTGCTAAAGAGGACTTTTTGCCAATCCTTCGCACTTTCGACATCGATTTGGGCTCAGGGCTTACTGAGCCATTGACATATCATGTTTACAGTCAAGCCATCTTGGCCAGTTTTTCCGGCTCGCATACAATTTTGCATCTCAGTGATCCGCATTTGAGTGATTTGTTAGGCGTTATATTAGAGAGACTTTCCCAGTCTCTGGATGTGGCCAAAGCACGAGCTCAGCATCCCCTTTTATCTTTGCATACTTGACCAGAATCACAATTTCAGAATCGATGAAATGCGTAGCTCGTTCGAGATCGCCAGCCTCTGCTCGCTGTTGCTTGCTTCGTCTTCTGCCGCCATCAGCATACCGGCCAATGTTCAAAATCTCTACGACAGCATTGTCCGCCAAGGCGAGTGCAAGAACAAGGCAGCAACTGGCTTCTACGCCTTATCTGATGGAACAAATGGTAGTTGCACCTACATTATCTCACTCAAAAGGGGGAAGGCGAAATCTGACTGATCTTCTATAGACTTCTCATACTGCCAGGACCATCTAGACGATTATGGAATAATCTACCTCCAAGGCAGTAGTGGGGCCCTCGCAGACATGGACATTGATTGTGATGGCAACCAGGACGAGCCTTCAAGCAGTGCGAATGACGGTCGATGTGGCAAATCTAGCGACACACAGAGTGACACATCTTATGAAGATACTGTCAAGAGCTACGGAAAAGGAATCTCGAATCTCAACCCGTACATTCATACCTATGTTGTGTTTGGAAACTCCAACGACGGCAATACCGCTGGCTACAAGACCTTTGATCCCACAAAGTACGGAATTGAGCCTCTGAGCCTGATGGCTGTCGTTTGCAATAAACAGGTGGTTCGTAAAGAGAAAAATCATCCCCTGGAACAGGACATTTGTCTGCAGTAAAAGCTAATGGAACTGAAGATCTTTGGCATCTGGGGCGATACCAACGGAGACGACGACGGCTCGAAGGCCATGGTTGGCGAGGCCGCCATCTCCACAGGCACGCTCTGCTTTGGTGACTCGATCACGGGTGACAACGGCCATTCTGACTTGGACATCCTCTACATTGCCTTCAACGGCACGGATGCTGTGCCCGGAGCCAGCGGGGCCAAGTGGGATGCTACGAGCGCCGACGACTTCGAAAGCAGCCTGGAAACACTCGGTACCAAACTATTGGAGCGTATTGGCTCTTCGGGCTCCAGTGTCACTACCAACTCAACGTCAACATCGTCTTTAGCGCCAGCGTTGGCAGCTGGAATTGACGTGACCTCGGATGCAGTCTCGTCTCGTCCTTCTGCTTCTGTAAAATCGAATCCCAGCAGCGGCGGCGACGGTTGCAGCTGGTCAGGGCACTGTGCAGGTAATCCATATCCAGGTTGATACTATTTCGCCTTGAGCACCCAATTCCAGCAAGGTGCTAATTATTCATAATGATAGGTGCCTCATGTTCCACCAGTGACGATTGCTCTGGTGATATGGTCTGCTCGAGCGGCACTTGCTCATTGAGCTGAAGTGATAGACTGAATACGGAATATGGATACAGCCCCATCATCTCAGGATTTATGATGAGCTGGTGGACCTCAGAATACGTTGAAATTATGGAGTTAGGTATAGCATATAGACCAAGAACTGTCAAGGCGAGGAGTTGACCTTGATATGGAACATAGGATAGATATTTTTAATACTTAGGATCGTATTATACACTAGAACCAGAGATCCAAAAGGATGTATAATCATGTACCAAGATGAAGGTGGGCTGACGACAACAAGAAATTAAGTGGTGATGACAATGCCGCTATCCCTACGAAAGAAGTATAACAATACTATACATACCATGACTCCAGACCCTTTCCCCAATTGTGCTCAGGTTCCTTCTCAGATGATTTTCTGGTGATCCGAGATTGTGTGGGGGATCACAACTTGCTCTTGTTCCACACTCGACCTGTCTCATCTTTGTAAGAAGCCAACATGTTCCTCTTGTTGTCACCTCCATGCTCAACCTTGACAGGAGCATCAAACACAGTGGCGCCAGCTTTCTCAGACCGATTGTCAGCCTCCACATAGTCCCTCTCGCCCTCGCCCACGTAAACCTGTCTAGGCCGCCAGATCTTGACGCCACCGGGTTGCAGCATCTGCTGCCTCCAGTGGGCTAGCCACCCGACACACCTCGGCACGGCAAAGAGGACAGGGTAGAAGTCGAGTGGGAAGCCCATAGCCTGGTAGATCAGGCCGGAATAGAAGTCGACGTTGGGGTAGAGGTTCCGGCTGCGCATGAACTCGCTCTTGCGGGCATAGTCGGCCAGGGCCAGCGCGGTGTCGAGGAGCTGGTTCCGCCCTGTGACCTTGAAGACCTCCTCAGCCAGCTTCCGGATGGCGGTGGAGCGCGGGTCGACGTTCTTGTAGACGCGGTGGCCGAAGCCGACGAGCACACGCTCCCTCTTCTCGACTTTCTCCATGAAGGCGGGCACGTTCTCGGGCGAGCCGATCTCGATCAGCATGCGGATGGCGCTCTCAGAGGCGCCGCCATGCGAGGGGCCGTATAGGGCGGCACAGGCGGCGGCGACGACGGAGTATGGGTCAACGAGGGAACTGCCGACCTGCAGGACGGTCGCCGTCGAGCAGTTGACCTCGTGGTCGGCGTGAATGATGAACAGCGCGTCGAGAGCCCTCTCGAGCACGGGATGAGGCCTGTACTCGTAGCCTGAGAGGTTGTCGAGGAGGTACAGGAAGTTTCCTGTGTAAGAAAGGCCCTGGGCAGGGCGGTTGAAGGGCCGTCCCTGTCGCATCCGATACGAGGCAGCAGCCAGGGTAGGGGCCTTGCCGATGATCCTCAAGATTTGCTTGTCCAGCACCTCGAGGGCCTGAAGGTTTCCCGAGGCGGCGGCCGTGTAGAGCTTCTGGCCGGCCAGGGAAGGGTTGGCCTCTGGGGCAAAAGCGCCCAGCGTGGCAAAGGCAGATGTCAACATGGACATTGGGTGCGAGTCGTAGCGGAAGCTCTTGAACATGTTCTCAATGTCGGTGTGGACGTAGGTGTGATGCATGACCTCCTCGGACCACTGCTGGTACTGCGGCTTCGTAGGCAGTTCGCCGTACATGAGTAAAAAGGCCGTTTCAAGAAAGTCGCTCTTGTCCACCAGCTGCTGAATTGGGTATCCGCGGTACCTGAGGATGCCTTCTTGCCCGTTGATGTAGGTGATCTTGCTCTGCACGACGGCCGTGTTCATGTACGCTGGGTCGTACACGCGCAGGCCCTGCTCCGTCTCATCTTCTGGCCTGTCGCCGCCCGGTTGCGCCTTGATCTTCTTGAAATCCGTGGCCAAAATCGAGTTGTTCTTGATGGGCACTTCATATGTCTGACCAGTACGGTTGTCCACCACCGTCAGTGATGGACGAGTCGCTTTCTTGACTGTGACCATCTTTGTTCTCTGCTTCTTCTTCTTCTTCTTCTTCTTTCCTTTTGGACCGGGGCGGGGGGGGGGGGGGACACCAGCAGTGATTCCAAAGTGCTGCTTGCTTCTTGCAGGACTGTGCCTACACTTTCTTGGGGTTGAGAACAAGAAACAACGAGAAAAAGAAAAAGAGACACGACTGTATGCCTGAGCAGGTAAGACAGGCAGGAGTTGGCCAACTTGCATGTGAACAACACGCAAGACGTTTAAAACCCGAACAGTTGTCAAAGAAGAATCCGGGCTTCCAGTGCCTCGGTATGAAATCGAGAGCTCTAACTTGATTAGGTTAGTGGCGAGATCAGCAAAATGGATATAAATAAATTGGCACTTAGTACAGCCATTGGATGCACTGAGCACGCTGAGGTACGTACCGTAACCCTGTATTGAAAACAATTCAAACGGTCCTGTCCTGACTCTTGACAACGGTTGATCTCGAATTCCAACGACTCAACCAACCTCCAACCCCTATTAATAATTGCAACAGTGGCCTTGGATATTACTTTCCATAAGCATTGCAAACAAAACAGTTAATCAACCTACCAGCAAGAGATACAGCACTTGGGGCAACCCAGCATGGCTCTGCGCAGGCCGTTATTCTGGGTTCCGGTCGCCTTTGGGCTCCGTATTATGTTCACCGTCGGTGCTACTTTTGTCGAGTCTCAGTAGCTTCTTACTTGCTTGCAAGGCTTCCAGCGGCGAGTATCCACCCATCTGAGCGGAATCGTCAGAATTGGTTGCTCATGTTGTAAGCCGAGCCAGAAAGCCTGTCGATCTAGGGGTTTCTCTTTTGGTGCAGAGTGCAATTGCGCCTCCTTCTTCCCTCTTACTCTTTGCTTACTTGTGAGAAACGGGTAAAATCCATTCAGAAGTGTAGCAGAAATTCTTCATGACACATGACCTCACCTATCCAGCTCCCCAGACTAAGAAAGTGAATCATAGTAAGCCTTTTGATGATCTTACAGAGTCATTAGCCATGGCTGGACATTCACGCAACGTGTTCATTCTAGAGTTATACGGACTAGCCCCCCCTGTGTCCTGATGCTGCACCGCTCTTCTGCCCGAACTGCCGTCTCTTCCCTCTGGTCTTGTCACCAGCAGCCTCGTCAGCGCGCATGTGGGCCTCGGCCGCACGCTCGTCCAAGTCCATTCCGTAGATGTCGCCAAGATAGATGGTGAAATCGTTTCAAGCCTTCTCTACGGTGAGGAAATGCTTCAGTTTCAGATGCACGTGTGAGCTGGGCTCCTTCTCGGCGGACATGTCGCCTTCGAGCGCCTCGAATTCTGCCATTGCCAGTGCTGTCTGGCACGCATTGCGGATCTGCCGCCCGTTCCATCGTAGACCCTGCTTGTCAATGCTATCGTTGGCATCGAAGTGCTGCAGAGCGAAAGCACGAATAGCGTCCCAGTCCAGCATTATGTTGCGCTTCTGCTCTCGGAATTTGCGTTCGATGAGCTTGATGTTGATCTGGAAGATCCTCTCCGTCTTGTCACGGTTGAGCTTGGGGTAATGCAGGCTCATCTGGATTCGAGAGGCAAAGGCTTCGTCGAAGTCACCGACGCGGTTGGTTGTCAGGAAGAGGATGCCGGTGTAGTATTCGAGCACGCGGAGGAAGACTGCAATCGCTCCTATCAGTGGCTGGTTGAGTTTAAAGGACGAACAAGAACATTACCCGCGACGAGGGCGTTTCTCTGAAGGTCCTTTCTTTCCCTAGACGCAAGAAAGACTTCGGCTTCGTCCAGCAGAAGGATACAGTCCCATCGACTCGCCAGCGTGAAGTTCTTTTCTAACTCCACCTGGACTTCTGCGGCTGTTGTTCCGAGATCGCCTGTGTGCTGTATGTTAGTATGCCAAAGACGGACACTTCCTCATGTTCCGAATTGGATGTTCTGACCACATGTGATTTGGAACAGGGGCTTTTGGAATGTCTCTGCTATGCCCTCTATAAACAGACATTAAGTCAGCCATCCGTAGTATCATTCGGATCGGGGTCACCTCTTAAGTCGAGCCAGGGTTGACGCACCTGCCGTAGTCGTCTTCCCGACGCCGGGTGCTCCGTGAAGAAGCATAACCAGTCCCTGTCCTGTACGAAACCTGTGCTTAGTCTTGTGATACACGGATGTATATCAAATGCGAAGTATTTACACACCTTTTCCTCGGATAAGGTCGGTTCTCATGTCGGTATACGTCTTGTTGTCGGCGTGTTTTTCTCTGACCCTTTTGTCACGGAAATGCTGCGTCACTAGAGACTGGACCATGTCTTTGTGGCCATCGGGAAGGATGAGGCTATCGAAAGCATTCAGAACGCTGTTCCTGTTATCCTCGTTATCGTACTCGAGATGTGTCAAGTCGAGCTCCGCTGTTGAAGCACACTTTTATTAGCTCTGGAGCTTCCGATCTCGAGTTCGTGCACCCGAGTGTAGCAAGGAAGTGTATAGAATATGATAGTTTACCCACCCCATTTTCTGCTTCTTAAAATGAATCCAAAGACCCTGTAGCTCATGAGAACGAGCTCATCTTCAGTCGGCGTGCTCTTGACGTCTAACATCTCTTGCAAGGTCTGTGGGTATATGATGAGCGACGGCCGTTCCGCTAGTGTTGTAGGGATTAGGCTGTCGATGAAGTTATTGGTCTTCTTTCTATCGATGGAACGGTCTGCGATGATTCCTTGTGCCTCGCAGCAATCACTAGCGCAAAGCCGTTCGCTGGCGTCTGTCTCTGGATCCTCGGAGGACCTAGTTATGAATTCGACTTTGGGTTTCCAACTCTTGCCATAGTCTTCTGCATGGCCTAACACTTCACTGAAGTCGACCATGACCTGACTGTCTATCTCCTCCCTTGTGTCGATAGTGCGACCTCTGTAATGCATGGGCCTGACCTGTATCACTTCCCAAAGTTTCTTGCCCCTCTCAACCAGGCTATCTCGAAAGCCGTGTTCAAGATCTCTGGCAAAAGGATAGATAGGCAAGGATCGGATTGGCTTCTCTTGATCGAATCTAGGGATCTCAAAAGTCTTAGTCACAGGACCAAGTCTCTCGCCATCAAAGTCGATATAGATGCATTCGACAGTGGCAGGCTTCTCATAATTCCCTCTCTCGGACCGGAAGTAGCGCGATAATGGAGAACTGGCTCTGTGCATGGGTATCTGCACATGCAAAACCCGGTAGACTTGTTTATGCCCCTGATCAATGACTTCTTCGCCTGGCTGGAAGAGATGCCACACGTCGCTGAAAGTAATCTTTTCGCATGACGAGCTCCTGAGGTGCTTCTTTCTGGCGTTTATTTCCTTGTCCATGAAGTTGAGTAGGCAACGAATATGGAGAAGCGCGATGGGTGAGCGTCCTTCAAGGAATCGTTCCAGTGAGTTGTTATCTTCGGATGACCGGTCATCCTTCGCTTCTGCTTTGGAAGTGCCAGCCCCGATATCAATGTGGTCTCTCGCCGTCTCCCCAGAGTTATCAGTGGTGCCATGAGCAACATTGGAGCCTGCTTTGAGAAGATGTGCAAATTTATCCTCGAGTCTTTCCGCAAAATCACGAATTCGATTTTCGTGATAGACTAACAACTTGAATGGTCGCAGGATCGTTATGTTTCGCCGCACCGGTATGGCATCGGACGGTGGCACCAATACGCTGCCCTCGCATATTTCAAGCAGAGTATCGACTATATCATTGGAATGGATGCAAATCCGCTCGGGAAGCGGCGTGTCTCTGGTGTCAACATCATTCGAGGGTAACGAGCGTTCAGCGGCTTTTGGAGATAACGAGCGCCGTGCTCTCTTGTTGCTGAAGAAATCAAATAATGTCATCTCAGGCTCACCAATGAGAAGGTAAATCGGGTTGAGGATTACGTCTCCCTTCCAGGTTTCCAGAAACTGGATTCGGAATTCCTCCCATGGGACCCGCATGGCCGTCGCAGGAAGACCATCTGCAAGCATACTTGTAGCCCGAGCGATTAGCGGCTCCTCGTCCGATTTCGGGGTCTCCTCCTCCTGCTGGTCTTCTCGACGGCGTTGCTCCTTTCTCGTCCGAACTTTTCGTCGCAGATTTTTCACAGATACTTCCCTTATAGACCGAAACAACCAGAGCATTTCCGTCGCAGCATCCTGATGGGTTCTCGCCAGCTTATAAAGGTCATTCTGAGAGGGTATAAACATATCTTCGAGATTGAAAGCTGCGAGATCCTCCATGTTGAACTCTTCATCGGCCAAGGAATAATAAGATGTCTTCAGCGGCATTACTATCTCGTCCTCGACCACCTTATCGACCCGCTCCAGTTTAAGCTCCAACCCCCCGATTTTGGAAATGAGGTCTTCGAATTCATTTCGAGGAACTGCGATTGTTTCGACTGGTCCTGCTTTTGAGGCGTGCGAGATGGTTTCCGTGCTGTCGACAGCGGGGCCGGTTGAGTTAGCAGCATCCGCGCTGTCAACAGACACTTCCGTTGTGTTGTTTTTAGCATTGTGAGCCATATAAACGTTTTCGACATTGGTATCCAAATCCGTGCCACTGCTCTGGTTGGATTGCTGCGGGGCAGTGCTGTCCTCCATTGTAGCATCTATCTTGTACGTATGTACTTGGAAAGCTACTTTCTGCCTTCTGATTGGGTTCAAAAATTCGTGATACTGTGAGTGCTACCGAAAAGAAGGGATTGAATGAGATAGCAGTAAGGTAGGGGCAAAATGAGCGCAAGGAATGTAGGAATCATTAATCGAAGCAGGCCTGCTGAAGGGAAAACAGAGCAACTGGAAAGACTTGGTCTCGCAGCTTTAAGCCCCCAGCGTTAATGAATGATACGGGGGAAAGGGAGCAAAAGACGCGAGGCACACAAAAGGGTGTGATCATTTCGATCGGTTCTCTGACCATCCTACCAATCCGGGCATCGTGGACCTTGGAATTTATATCTGGACTGGAAGAGCTGATCATGCTGACTGCAGGAATGTGCTTATTCTTATGAAACATGGTCCGCGAATCACGGATGCATTCCTAATCATTAGTGCTGCAGTTACGACGATTTCTATGACGCTGGGGTTGCATTTGGGCAATCAAAAGGCTGTGGATGGGAAGTTGAATGTTGAATGTGCCATCTGAATGCAGGTGCTAGCATGTGTGGCCCTTCCACCCTTCTCAATTGGATGGTGTGGCTCCGGACCAAAGCCATGAAAGCTGACATGCATGAATTATTGATAAGGCTTCAGTCTGCCAACTATGGTGCAGCGCAGCTTGGAGCGGCCAAGAGGGATAAAGTGGCAGATATCAACAGCAACTAACGCAGCTGTTCTACCTAAGATGCGGAGGCAGAATTTACCAGACTTCGTGGTAGGCCTGATGCGATCTCAATATCTCATTCGAGGCAATGTGCCCTTGAAGAAATTGTCGGATCAGGAAACCTACATTTTCTCACCACGACCGATTATATCGCTGAGAGGCCTCTCTAGATAGATGTTTTTACTGCACATGGCTGGCTCGAGTGACTTTACAGTGACCGAACGCCGTATTCGCCTGCACTCTCCTGCCATTGACTTCATCGACACGATCCTGCCCCGATACCACGCAATTTCTGAGCACCCAGATATCGTATGTGACGGCGTCTCAAAGAAGTTTGCTGTCAAACCCCAGACACTCAACTCTGACTCGGAACCTGGCTCGATGGCATTATTTCTCTCGCCCGGCGACGAGGCTGTCGTGGCCCCAGTCGACGCGACCGGAGGCAGAACTCAGGCCGCAATCACGCCCCAGCTGGCTGTACGCCAACTCCCAACAGAAGTGGAGGACATGAAGTTTTGGGAGCCAATATGGCCGAAGGCTATAGCTCGCCTTAAAGAGACCGTCGAGGCTCCTCATCGGAAAGAAAAAGGATGCAGCATTCGAGAGACCAAGACGTGGGCGGAAATCCAAGAAGTTCTCGAAAGAGCCCGGAACGAATATGAGGGCATCAAAACGAGCCCCAAACTGTATCAAAAAGTGTTCAAGAAAGTTAAGGGACAAGGCCGTCTTTGGAGCGAAAAGGTTGCAACGCCCGTCCAGCAGTTCATCAAAATCATGCCCAACCATCCTGTTGCAAATCCCGTGCTTGGTGCAGTCAATCTTTTGATGAATGTACGCAGCCCTCTCTGGACAACGCAGTCCCTTCGATCTGGAGTCGTTCCCTGAGCACGCAAGCTAACGTGAACTGTCATCGACTGTTTACACCCAGGCATGGAAAGAAGCGGCCAAGATTCGGCGGGAACTCGCTGAAACCTTGGACGAGACTGCCCTGCGGTCCTTGTTCGCCGATATCAACATGTATTCGGAAATGTACCAAGACGACCCAAACATAATCAGAGCTTCTGTCAACCTCTTGTCAACCATATTTAAAGCTGTTGAAGGAGCTATCGGTTTCTACATCAGCTGGCAGGGTACGACAGGGCCTCTTTCCACTCCTACTACACAACCATCTCAGATATAGGGGCGGCACTAGATGTATACAATTACTATTCCACAAGAGTGTTCACATATTCCACTGTATTTATCGCTAACACGATTCCTTTCCGCTCAGTGTCTCGAATTGGTGGTTTAACCTTCGTTGGCGAAGAGTACCTTGAACCCTTCCGCAATTCTCTCAGACAGATCAAGGTGGACGAGGATAATTTAGCGAAAGAAGCTCAGAAGACCTGTTTATGGCAGCAGAATGAGTGTAAACCCCCCCCCCCCTCTTTTTCCTTTTTCTTTTTGTTTTTTTGTTTTCATTACAATTAAAATCACCGCACCCCTTTATCCATGCAAGGGGATCGTCCACGAGTTCTCTGCAACTAAGCTAATGTGAAAATATTTTGGCTTTGAAAAGTGGCCAAGCTTCTACAACGTGGAGTCTTGAGAGAAAGAGCTTTGAATGAGTTTCTCTTGCTGGTCACGCCCTACACAGCCCAGACAACTACTGGTAAGATATCAAAGATGACATTTGATCTGTTTGAGAATCCGTGAATTCCAATGCGAATTGTGTCATATAGAACTTCCCCGAATCGGGTCCGTTAACCACGACGTAGCAACTATACATTCAGCAGAGTCTAGGCTCCCCATATCCGAACCCAGAGCGCTTCCAGCCTCGGACAACAGCATCACTCCTCAAACCCTACTCGAACTCCTCGACAGCACTGCTGTCGACGAAGAAGACATGGACGCCATCTTCGACAGGGCAGGGGCCTTCTCGTCTGAGGATCGCGGGCGCGCCGAGCAGGTCGTCAGCATGTCGGCGTTTCGCGACTTGTTTGCCAGCCCCGGAGCGAGCAAGCTTCTGGTTCACGGCGAGTACGATAGCAATTACCCCGAGATATCGCCACTGTCGGCACTGTGCGCCAGCCTTGTGCGAGCACTGCGGACCAGACCGGCGTTCGTCTGCCTCGTCTTCTTTTGTGGGCGGCATCTGGGTCGACGTGACGACAACAATACTGGGGTCAGTGGTCTCATGCGCAGCTTTGTGTCACAACTCCTGCGGCAGTGTCCGTCAGTATGCCCTGACACGTTGGGTCCGGAAATATCCATGAGCGAGATTGAGGATGATAATCCCGAGCACCTTGCTATGCTCTTTGTTGATATGGCTCACCGGCTGCCACATTCGACGACGCTCGTGGTATTAATCGATGGAGTTCTATTGTACGAGAGAAAACAGCTTCGTGAGGGGCTGCACGATGTCGTCGATATGCTCGTTCGACTGGCTGAAGATGATGAACTCATGCACAGCACAGTCAAGATCCTCCTGACAAGCCCGAGTGAAACAAGGACTCACGAGTTGAATAATACCTTCCGAGATCATGGCGCAGTGGTATCGATGAGATCTATGTTGGATACTGGTCAGGGACCTAGTAGAAGTGGCGTGGCCAGAAAACTTGAGGAGGGGCTAAGCGACGGGTCAAACGCGGACGCAGAAGCATAACTAAGTCTTGATCACCTTGCCTCGGTATATGATATGGAACACATGGGAATTTACTGCGTGTCTATTCATTAAGAAAGGGAGGAGGATAGTTATCAGTCTCTTGACTCTTATGTTGAAAGAATAAAGCCCCTGGCTATGAATGGCCTGTGTTAATCCACAGACTCAGATTAACAAAGAGGCACATTTTGCTAGTTTTGTGTCCACTTCTCAGTGCCCATCGTACTATATCCTTATACGTAAAGTAAGCAAGCAAGCCTCGAGAGGAGATGATGAACTGTCAGCTATGCAGCGGTGTAGTGCTACAGGCTCCTCCATGGCACCGTGGACGCTGAGTAGAGTCAATTTTTCTTCTTGTCGGGAAAAAGACGGTCGCCGGTCTCTCAAAACCGGCTGTGCCTATGATTCCCCCCAAAGTTCTGCCTTCATCTTGCATGTATACACCATCATTTCGCACTAGTTGCCTGATATGGACGCCACTGTCGATCTGGATACAATAATTTGATATTTTCAGTATGTCGCTTAGCTCTCCTTTTCGTGATTGACGGTCCATATTACCTTACCTTCAAGATTTCTGAATCAACATCGCCGTCCATCTCAACTTGGCCTGCCTGACACTGAAACTAATTTGTATACCGTCCCGGTACTGATTACTGAACACCAAACGAAAAAGGGTGGCTTCATTGATGTTTATCCTACGATTGCTCATTCAATTTTCGCGTCCAGGTAGTTTGCAAATCTTCGACAAGTATGCGTTGCTTTGATATCAGTGCTCGGAGCCGGGGTGTTAGACGTATATTGGCAATCGAGGTCTACTACCTTCTCACCAAGAGAAAATTGGCGACAGTGAAATGATGAAATCAACAAAACCCACGGGTCTTGACTGACCTAGGTGTCTCAATGTACAAGATGTTACATCGCAAATTTGCAACTTTCGTTTTCCTTCAAATGGTTACCCAGAGGTCATGATTTTTCACATCTTACATAAACAGGAGCAGGCTCACAGCCTTGCATCGCCACACCTCACAACTCCTTCTCATCGCCACCAGCCTCACCATTGGTCTTGTCAAAATTCACACCAAATTTGGTGACAGGGTCCTTCTTGGCACCCTTGATCTCGGCCAGGAATCTCGCCGCATTATCCGGGTCGTCCTTGAACAGATGGTCGGCAACCATACGCTGCGGCGTCTCGCCCATCCACTGGAACAGAGAAAAGTCCTGGAACTGGTCTGCCCTAAAGACCTCAAGCATCTCGATGGGCTCGTCACCGATATTCTCGACAAAGTGACCATGGTTTCGAGGCACGATACCAACATCACCGGGCACATAGTCAAAGGTCCGCGCGGTGCCCTCAGCCGCGAAGATGGTGATGCGCGCCTTACCACGGAGGAAGAAGTTCCACTCGTCGGCGTTGGGGTGCCAGTGCATCTCGCGCAGGGCGCCCGGCTGGATGACGGCGTGGGCGGCGGCGACGGTCTTGGAAATGGGGAAGTTGGTCGAGTCGGTGATGCGCACCTCGCCGCCCGAGGTGACCTCGGGTTCCTGGGCGAGCATCTTGTGCGAGAAGTTGAGCTTGGACTTCTTGACATGCTTGCCCTTGGGTTGCTCCTCGTCAATGGAGCCTGGGTTGGAGCCCTGGAAGATGTACTTCTCGCCGGCGGGGAGGTGCTTGAAGACCTCCGGGTCGAGGTGGAAGTTTTCAGCGATGACGGACTTGGGGGTGTGTGCTGAGGATCATCAGCATGCAAATATATAGATTTGAATGCGGCTGAAGCAATCAATAAGAGACAAAACCTACCAAGCCAGTCTGTCAGGATGAAAGTGCTCTCCTCCGAGAAGCGGCCATCGTCAAAGATAAGCAAAAACTCGGTGCCATTGGGACTCAACCCCTGCAGGCTGTGAGGCACGCCGCTAGGAAAATACCACAGGTCGCCCTTCTCGAGGTCGTCGATGAAGTTGCCTCCTTCGTAGTCGAGAGCGGTGATGCGCACCGACCCGTCGAGGACGTAGGCCCACTCGGCCTCCTTATGCCAGTGCAGCTCGCGGATGACGCCCTCGCCCAGGCGCATGTTGACGCTGGCTAGCTCGTTGGAGGTCGGCAGCTCGCGTACTGTCGTCTGCCGGGTCCATCCTCCTTCCTGTGTTTTATGTTAACAATAATTACGACAGACATCAGTGAGAAGCTTTATCGTGACCGTGGATTCTCCCATGCAAGCTTGACTGGTTGGCTGGCAGGCCTTGAGACACAAAAAAGAAAAAGAAAATTGAATCGTCCTTACCTCAATCCTCACGTGCGAGTCTGCAAAGCTCCACCGCATGTTGGCCATGTTGCCATGATCTGTACTGGGCGGGCGGACGAGGTCGGGACTTTGGCGCGAGCGGGTCGGATTCCACGGCCCCAGAACGGACTGGCCCAATCCATTGCGCCATGGAAGCGGGTCAAGATCGTCCCTCTCAGGATCTACGGCTCGGTCATAAGGATCACGATAGTCAGGAGTATATGGGTTCTGTTTAGCTTTGCCACTGGTCAGGTATTTCTCTGGGAGCTCAAGACCGGCAGCCAGGCGCTGTTGGGGCGAGTCTCTGTGGGGGGCAGCCAGAGACAACGTCGCCAGGGAAGTGGTCAAAACAAGTTGTGGGACAAGCATGATGACGACGACAATAACCTTGATAAAGGTATCTGGATCAACCTGTCAAGGAGGGATAAGTTGTATTGCCTAAAGATGACGGACGATGGGAGCGGATGGCAAGACGGAAGATGAAAAGGTGTTTGGATCATATGTGAATGGAGAGAGATATGCAAGTATAAACTCCAGGGTATTTGTATCACATCCACTTTATAATTCATAGCGTCACTGTTGGTTGCAAGCCTAGCACGCAATGTTGTCTGTACCTACAGTGGGGAAACAGGCCCATAATTCAAGCATTGCCGCCTGGCCTGGCCGATGTAACAGGCGAAGAAGGGGACGACGACGCACAAGCATCCCACAACTCGGCTGCAGCGTCGAGAGGTCACTTCCTCCCCATCCTCTTCCTCATCCGAACTACATCCCTAGATGATACAGTAATGCTACGGATGGTAGAGCTTCTTCAAAGGGACAAAGCAAACAAGAGGGGTAGTGAGCACACCTCGAAAATTGCCGAGCAAAGACCGAGGCCCTGCGAGGCATTCCGGTTGGACATTGCTTGCGTGGGTATGACAAGGCAACCAGAAGGAATTGGAGAAGGCCGCGGAAGTGAAGGGCATCCCTTGACTTAGAACTTGTCCCTACTGGAATCGGCCTAGTTTTGTTCATCCTGCGCACTTCAAGAACGGGCTGTACACAAGGACACCGGATGCGGTTGGCAATATGTTGTGCTGGCTGTGCACGTGCTGTGCTGCGTATGTTGTACTACCCTGCTTGATCAAATATTGACTTAGTAGCCCTGCATAAGCGCCGAGGATCTTTAGACGGACCCCCTGCCTGTGAAGAGGGGAGATTGCGGGGAAAACAGGAGGCGAAGAACGATGAGTACGAAGAGGAGGAGATCAAGAACTAATCAAGACAAGAGCCATTTCTCTAGCGATATCCAGCTCTAGACATCTTCCTTTAGACGGACGGCCATGGCCAACAACGAGATAGCGTCGGAGATGTAACCTCGATCATCAAAAGCATGGCCGTCTCAGCTATATTAGCGGTTACGCCGCAGCTGTCATCCTGCCCCCTTCCAATTAATTGTCTAGCTCTCCCTCCTGATCCGCACGCGCTTTTCATCCCCCATCCACCACCCACCACCAGACGAGAATATACGCCATGATACCTGCGCGGTGATCGCCTGACTCTAATTTTGATGGATGTTGTAAGGAGTATTACCGTCTGAACGTTTGTCTGTTGTCCGAGACCCGCCAAGACGACCCCCGCAGTGACGACAGCGAACCAAGGGGCCAAAACACCGCAAGTTGATCAGCACTGTGTTATAAGTCTGTGTCATCAGAAATCCGTGTCTGAGGATCCAATTACTAAAACAAAAACCAAACAAAAAAAAAACTTGAAAACAAATCTCGGTCATTTGGCAACACACACACACACACACACACACACACACACACACAGCCCAATCACAAAAATTTGACGTGGCTCCTTGTTCAATATACGCCTGAAACAAAGGCCAACAAAAGGGCGCAATGAGCAACACCACCGGCCATGGTACTACTACCACTGCTGGGCAGGAGGAGGAGGGTGTGACAGGCCGCATCATCACCAACCATGTCTCCGATCTGGCTGATGAGGCACAACCGCTACTCAATGGAGGAGGAGGAGGTGGACTAGCAGGCTCATCATCTCGACCTCCAAAGTCCATCGGCAGCTGGGTGCGCAGGGCTGCGAGGGCAGAGATCAGGCGTGACTGGGCAGACATTGTGCTCATCTTTTGCTACATCATCACAGGCCTGCTGGACAGCGCCTCCATCTCAATATGGGGTTCTTTTGTGTCAATGCAGACAGGTGAGCACTGAGCAGAATTCCAACCAAATCCAAACTTTCCACACCGTCACTCACTGACAATAAATGAACGAATACAGGCAATACTGTCTACATCGGCCTGGGCCTCGCTGCCCCCACCCAGAGCACGCGCTGGATCAAGTCCGGCACCTCCCTCCTAAGCTTCTGCATAGGCTCCTTTACCTTCAGCCGCCTGCACCGCTACTTCTCTCCCAAGCGCCGCGCCACCCTCGTCGCCTCCTTCGGCGCCCAGGCCCTGCTGTGTATCGCCGCCGCCACCACCGTCACCTTCGGCCCAGGAGGGTACGGGCCCGACGACATCAGATGGGACGTCCTGCTGCCCATTGCCCTCGTCGCTTTTCAGGCCTGCGGCCAGGCCGTCACCAGCCGTGCTCTCAAGTACAACGCACTGACCAGCGTGGTGCTCACGAGTATCTACTGCGACCTGTTTAGCGATGTTGACCTGTTTCGGCTGGCCAATGTCGAGAGGAACCGTCGGGTGGGCGCTCCGCTTATGCTGCTCGTTGGGGCCCTTGTGGGAGGCCTATTTGCGCATAGCGACTTGGGCATCGCTGGGGCGCTGTGGACTGCGTCGGTCTTGAAGCTTCTGGTTGTTGTTGTGTGGGTCTTCTGGCCTGGAGAAAACGAGGAAGGCTTGGATGGTGGAAGATGAATGTGATGGGCTGAGAGGGAAGGAAAAAGAAGAGCGGGCATGCTGCTAAAGTCAGGTGTTATATTAATTCAGAGGATGAGAACGGTGCAAGGGGTTCTATAGGGTGGCACATAAACAACCTACACAGAACGATACCACTACACTGAGAACATAGAAACAAGAATCAGAGTATCGCTTCTTACTGTAGAGCCACTCGTGCCTAGTTTTACTATCTCGTTACCAGAAACAAAAATGCGGATATGTTCTGGTAACCCTGGCTCCGCGGATCTTCCACGGAGGAGCCGCTGACGTTATTTTAACGACATAGTGAGCTGATGACCCGCTCTGGAATTGGTAGTAAGTCAGCAGTTTTTGAACTTCTAGGATTGACAATGGGTGGTGCCATGAGATGGTGGAGACAGCATGGTGATCCTGCCGTGGACCATCCGGGACCAGTCGCGTCTTGGACAAGCGTGATGGCACATCTTACAGTAACCTCATAAAAGAGGTATCAATTAAGTTGAATAAACTTCCATTGATGGCATTGGTTATAAACCATAGGCGCAGTAGGCAGACTTGACGATCCCTTGACACTTTCTGGCCTATCAATCTACACCATATTGTCAGGGCATTTACATGTTGTTATCTCAAACAAAAAGTCTCTCTCTCCATCAAGATGGCTGCGAATAGCAACTTGGCAGGCCTCAATTCGGCCACAATGGGCGCCAAGATGCCTGAAATTGCTCTCCCAGACGGCACAGTTGTGCAGACGGGCACCGTTGGGTATGTCGAAGCATCCTGTTGATTAAGTCCACTGCCTAGCCTAGTAAAGACAGATGCTCAAATCACGATCCTAATTTGCTAGTAAAACCTCGTGGCAATACTGTCTTATTTATTCGTATCTAACCTCATGACTCCCAGTGCTCTCCTCATCAACATCAAATCCTATAACAAAGCGTACGCCGAGGACGACGAGACCACCATGGAGAGGCTCAAAGAAGCTATGAAGGCCCCGCTGCCACTGCTGGACCGCATCGGTCTCTTCGAGGTGCTATTTACGGCGCAGGAAATTGTTGAAGGTGCTGGCGATAATGAGGGGAGGAGGGTTTTTGGAGAAATGTTTTTGGATTATAAAAAGGCCCAAAAATAAAGTCTGTAAGGGCTATATATCCTTGGTGTGTTGTATGTCATCATAAACCGGAGAGTAGCCGGATGGAATGGTCGATTGCCTTGCGACTCAGGTAGGTAACAGGTTAGCATCCTACAAATCAAGAAGTTTGAGATTACTCTTGATCTCATATTACACCTCTGAACGTCGGAGAAAGACTATCAAGCTGAAGACATAAGTGGCATACATGAATATAAGAACGTTCAGCTCGTTTCTAATGGTTTTATAAGAACCCGTGGTTCTTGAACTCCAATCTATCGAGCCTATTCACGAGGAAAACTTCAAGAATTGTCTACCGTCATGACAAGGGCCCCATCAGATCCCTGGTCCAGACCGTTGAGCAAGGCCATGTCCTCGTCGTCCAGGTCAAAATCATAGATATCCCTATTCAGCTGTATTCGCTCCGGACTGTCGCTCTTGGGTAGGCTCACCCAGCCCTTTTGGATGCTCCACCTGATCAGGACCTGATTCGGGGTGACGTTGTGCTTCTTTGCTAGTGATAAGAGGTGTTCATCGTCTGCTTTTTTGTTACGGACGATGGGGCAGTATGCTTGAATCACGATGCCATTGTCCTGGCAGTACTGTACGATCTCCTTTTGTTGTGTCCAGGGATGTAGCTTCGCGATGGCATGATGAACGTCAGACTAAATAGAAATATTGAAACGAACGGCGGATGCAGAGGAGGTGATAATGAAGAAAGAAAATAAAAGTAAAGATAAAAATAAAGAGGAGGACTACAATCCTTGTGGCTGAAGCTTACCTCGATCTGGTTGACATGCGGCGGCCAGACCTTGCCAACACCCTTCAGATCCTCAATCTGCCCGATACCAAAGTTGCTTGTTCCGATAGCCCTCACCTTACCCTCCTCATACAACCTCTCCAGAGCCAGCCACATCTCCCTACGCTTCTTGCTCCCAGGGCTCGGCGAGTGGATCAAGAAACAGTCCACATAGCTATCCTCTCCCCTTCCACCTATCCTCTGCACGCTCTCCAGACACGAGGCATAGTTGTCCTCGACCGTCTCGCCAGGTGTGAGGATCTTGGTCGTGACAAACACCTGGTCACGAGGGATGCCGGACTGGTGGATGGCACGTCCTACCTCCTCTTCGTTCTCGTAGTACTGGCCTGTGTCAATCTGCCGGTAGCCTGCCTGCAGAGCTGCGAGGCACGAGTTGAGCGTACGGTTCGGGGGCGAGAGGTAGGTTCCCAGACCGAGCTGGGGAATGTTGACGTTGCGCACTGGATGCGTTGTAATACTATCCTGACTACTGCCAAGGACAAGGGTATCTGTGATTTTCCGATTTGTGGCCGACATTGTGGCAAAGGTTGAAATACACAAGCAAGTTGCACAGAAACCTATTCCATCCAGTTATAGAGCGCGAGTTCGAAAGTCTCCTTTTCCTAGAGATGGGAAACCATTTCTATTTTGGGGGGGGGGGGGGCGGTTGCCACTATTGTTGATAATGACAAGGTCTGCTTCTGTAACAACCCCTTCCTTTGCCATTCCCCCTTTTTTGCCCTCTTCGTTTTTTTCTTTCTATGATCTCATCACTCCGTCCTACAGTGGATAAGCCTAGAAGGTGTCTAGGCCGCTCCCGGGTGTCTTAGACTCGACGCCAATGGCGCACATGGCGAACTGGCTCGCGACAAGGAGGCAAAGACGCTAATGTGAGGGCCCTGGCGCCCACTGTTCAGCAAGCTCGGTGCCTAATCACAGCGCATCGTGACCTAGCCTAGCGAGTTTCGGTTATCTCATCACAGAGCCTGGACTTGTTTTCCTCCACAGCCCCTCGTTTGCCCTCACAACGTCCATCGAGATCGAGAGAGTGAAGGCAAGCAGAGAGAAGAAGAAGAAGAAGAAGAAGAAGAAGAAGAAGAAGCGGAAGAAGCAAAGAAAAGAAAGAGGACATGTCCAAGCACGTGCGATTCCAGGTTCACAAATGGAACCACGATGACGACGAAAACATGGGCGACATTGAGGAGGACGCAGTGTCGAAGAAGACACTCACATACTTCACATGCACCCTCGGCGAAGCAGCAAGATGGAATCTGAAGCACCCACACCCTTTCAATACTGTCAACCGTCTCATAGATGAGCAGGCAAAAGAACTGAGGCAAAGGCCAGCTGTCAACTTCGCGGGCGGCTGCTATGATGACGGAGGCAGGGAGATGAAATCTGGTAAGGCCCCAGAAGGACGAATAGTGGGAGACAACGCCACAAGAAGTCGACCAAGCCTGGCTGACAGTTGAGTTCTCTTCATCACAAGAATTCACGTATCGAGAACTACGAGACTACTCTCTGGCTACCGCAGTACGGCTGCGTAGACGGATGCAGATAGCCAGCCGTGCTGGGTCCTCAACAGCTGGCCTGCTCTGCTCGAGCACACCCGAGTTCCTCCTGACTTGGCTTGGTCTGATGAGACTGGGCATGTCCGTGCTGCTTCTTGCGTAGGTCGTCTTATTTACGCTCTCCTCCTCCTTGCCCAAATCCCTTGACGACGATGAAGCTAGCTTCCAATTTTTCTTTTCTTTTTTTCTTCTTCTTTTGACATTCTTTGTCATAGTCCGCAACTCGAGGCGAACGCTATCAAGCATCTTTGTGCCACGTGCCAGGTTTCCGTCATATTCGCCGATGGCCGTAACTACGACGCTGTCACGAGGTCGAAGGACGGCGGCACTTTCGCCATCAACATCAGCAACGTGCTGCACAACTTGAGATCCGACTCTCCGACAATCACAACCACCAAGAGTCCCAAACCAGGTGACATCGCCTACCTTTTTCACACCTCAGGCACCTCCTCCGGCCTGCCTAAGCCAATTCCTCAGACGCACCACGCTGCTGTCGGCGTTCTCCCACGGCTGACTGGAGGTGAGAGTCATGCCAGTTTCTCTACCACGCCCTTGTATCATGGTGGCATCGCAGACTGCCTTCGTGCGTGGTCCAGCGGCGCCATGATCCATTTGTTTCCGGGAACGCAGCCGATCACGGCAGTCAATGTGCTCCGGGCCGTCGACCGAGCCAATGCGTATCTTCAGGGCGCATATCCTGCCAAGTACTTCACCTCGGTGCCCTATGTCCTACAGTCGCTGGTCTCTGGATCTTCGATTCACGAAGACGATGCAGAAGCTGCCGCTGCCGGCATGAATGTTCTCCAAAGCATGGACCTCGTCGGCGTCGGAGGGGCCGCTCTGCCTCCATCACTAGGCGATGACCTCGTCTCCAATGGCGTCAAGCTCATCTCGCGTTTTGGTAGTGCTGAGTGCGGGTTTCTGCTCTCGTCGCACAGAGACTATGCTACAGACCGAGAATGGTCATGGCTGCGAGCGGATCCTTCTCTACAACCAGAGTACTACGATTTTATGCCTCAAACCGAGCAGCAAGAAGGCGAGGATGGTCCTCAGCTCTTTGAATTCGTGGTAAAACCACATTGGCCGCATCGCGGCAAAACAAACCGACCAGATGGTTCCTTTGCGACGGCAGACTTGTTCGAACAGCATCCTACGATCCCAAACGCCTGGCGGTACCACAGCAGAGCAGATGCGCAGATCACACTCGTGAACGGAAAGAAATTTGATCCTGCACCAGTAGAGGCGGAACTTCTGGCCTCAGCTGTGGGCAGGCGAGCTCTGGAAGATGCCATGATCTTTGGCACGGGGCGAGATGCGCCTGGCCTGCTCCTTGTTACAAAACGGGGGGTTGACTACGTCAATAATCAGCAGGTCATCGATGATGTGTGGCCTGTGATTGAAAAGATGAATTCTCAGGCGCAAGGGCACGCCAAGATAGGAAGGGGAAGTATTGTTGTTGTTATGGATAAAAATGGCGGGACTACTGCGTTGCCGAAGAGTAGCAAGGGCACAATCCTGAGGAGGCAAGCAGAGAAGCTTTTCAAGTATGACATCGAAGGAGTGTATGGAGATGGAGCGACTTTAGGGGGATCTCCTCCCCAAAAGGTCAACGTTCCTGACAGCAAAGTTCTGGAGGAGCTCACGAAGCTTTTCAGTAATGTTCTTGGACGACGTGTCAGCCCCACAGGCGATTTGTTTGCACAAGGCGTGGACTCGATCGCCTGCTCGCGCCTCAGAAATAGCATTTCAAGAGCCTTTTTCGACACCGACAAGAAGCTGCCGCTCAATATCATATACGAGCAAGGCTCTATCGATCAGCTATCGAAATACATACTACGATGCCGGAATGCAGCAGATAGTACGATGACTCTGAACGGTATTGCCGCTGAAGAAGACACCGACGAGGAACAACTTATGCTGGACCTAGTCGAGAAATATCGGCATGCCATACAAGCGCCGACGGGATCCTTCGACCATCAAAATAAGCGCGTCGTCGTCCTCACGGGTGCTACCGGATTCTTGGGAGCTCACATCCTCGATCTACTCCTCCAGGACGCCAAAGTCTCGAAAGTCTTTTGTCTGGTCCGCACCCAGAGTCATGATGATGGAGTCAGGCGCATCAAAAAATCACTCAAGTCTCGAGGGCTGGCGACGGTGAACATGGAGCATGAACAGGGAACAAGACTTGTCTGTATGCCCTGTGCTATCTCGAAACCAAGGCTTGGGCTTGAGGATAGCGACTGGACCCAGCTTACCAGCCAGGCTACCATGATTATCCACTCGGCGTGGTCAGTCAACTTTAGTCTGAGGCTGAAGTCTTTTGAAGATCAGCTGAGTGGCCTTCACAACCTCCTCGAATTGAGAGATGCCACGGGCGGCGCGGCAGCAAGATTTGTCTTCATATCATCGATAGCAGCTGTGTCTTCTGCAAGAAGTGCCGCAGAGCGCGCCATACCTGAGACACTCAGTTCCGAGCCAGAAGATGCGTCTCCTCTCGGCTACTCCAGGTCGAAATGGGTGGCGGAGAACATCTGCACCACGGCCAAGGTGGGCGGGAGTGTCTCTCCACCTACTATCAACGTCGACAGCACCCTTCCCGCCCAGGAAAAATCACCCATTGTCATCATTCGTGTCGGCCAGCTCTGCGGGAATAAACACGGGGTCTGGAACATGACTGAGGCGTACCCAATCATGCTCTCCTCGGCCAAGATCACAAACTGTCTTCCGGACCTGGGAGAGGAACCTCTCAGCTGGCTGCCTGCAGATGTCGCCGCGAGGGCTGTCCTGGACATCTCGTTCAACGAAGCTCTAGATGGGCCTGCGCACGGGTCGAAATATCACCAGAGAACACCTGTGTATCATGTTTTGAATCCGCACCAAGGGCCGATGTGGTCAGAGATGGTCGGTTGGATTGCCGATGAGAGTTCATTGGTAAAACAAGACTCGGGTAAGACCGGCCGAGTGTCGACCGACAACGTGACTGGTGCACATAAAATCCAAATCGTCTCTCCGCAGACGTGGCTGCACCAACTCGAGACGGCACTCGAGCATGGGAATCATCCAGCACGGTCCCTGCTTCATCTCTGGAAGAGCATGTATGCTCATTCGGACGACCACCACGAAAGTCTCAGTGTTGTTTTTGATGTGAAGCGGGCAGAGGCTGCGTCAGAGGTTATGAGAAGGGTTCAGCCGCTAGAGAAGGAGGCTGTCATGAGCATGTGGGCATGGATAGAGAAGAACATATACATATTAGACAGCGTTACTTGTTAGATACATTATTAAATTACTCACGATGTTGTTTCCCCCCTTTCTATGCCTTTGGGCCACTTCGTTGTAGAACACAGCGACGGTGAACGGCACGACCAAGATTCAATGCTATAAACCATGTCGGTTCTTTTGCTGCCCACTTGTCTATAAGGTACTTTTCATACTGGAGCCACGAAAATTCAAAGTGCCTCATAACCGGGCCGGTGTGAGTCGTGACTGACTGACTGGGTGTGTTCGTGCGTTGTTTTTGTGCTGTTTCCTTTTCAATATGACGTCTGCTGATCATCCTCGAATTGACCTTTGCTATGTCGCACAAGTCGTATCCAGTGTGGAGTGTCGTGGATGGGGCATTTATCGACAATTACTTGGAAGTAGGCTCCGGCAAAAGGCACCGGAAGAAAGCCTACCCATTCCTGTGAGCGGAATGATTACCTCAGAACTGGCTTTAGATATGATCAGAAATTATATACTGGACAGATAGACCACCATCTGTTTATATTTCATCTACAATCATCTCAGCCTTTTCCCAATATTCCACGTCCAATACATGTATTACTACCCTTACCTCATCGTAGTATAGTAGGTAGTCTAAGGTAATGAATTCATCCATTATGAGGGATACGATCCCGTCAGCAATGCTCTCCCGAGTCATGTTTCTGTCTCGAGCAGGCCATAGACGCCGAGATATGCTTAACCTCTTCACCAAAGCCCCCAAGTAAACCGGCTATAACACGGGGAAACCCCTCAAAAGATCCCCACGGGTCCAACCCCCAGACCCACCCCCAAGGTCCACCCCCCCAGATATTTCCCCTCCTCCTTCTTTCTTCCCACCCCGAGGTCGCCCTTCTGAATTGGCGGTGGAACTCCTTACGAAAGAGAGAAGGAAAAAAGTCTTCAATTGACTGGTAACATCATCATCAACATGGTGTAGATCTTTGGCTCTAAAGATCAAGCAAGGGCGATAAGGGGAAAAAAAAGAGAAAAGAAAACATATAAATACGATGACAGGATCCAGACTGCGCCACCTCCGAGGCCATGGGCTTCTCTCGTCCGCCCAAGCTCTTCTGGTCTCTCTCATACTCCCTGCCACGATGCGCTCCTCACTGGTAGCGGCACTGCAGGTGCCTCTTGTCCTCTCTTCCGAGCTCGCGCCCCTCGCCTCGTTGCCCAGCGCCAGCGGCAGCGGCAGCGGCAGCAACACATGTGTCGTCCAGCCCGGCCCTAACGGCACAGACTCGGCGCCCGCCATCATTCAGGCCTTTGCGCAGTGCGGCCACAACGATGTGGGCACCGCAAGGGGGAAAGTCGTGTTCCTGAACGAGACGTACAATGTCAAGTCGGTCATGAACACGACGGGCCTCAGCAACGTGGAGGTCGACCTGCAGGGCACGCTGCTCTGGGACACCAACATCCCGTACTGGTTGAACTACTCGCTGCCCGTGGGGTACCAGAATCAGACCAGTGCGTGGCTGTTTGGCGGCGAGGGCATCAGGTGGGATGGGCATGGCTATGGCACTCTTGACGGCAATGGGCAGGTGTGGTATGACTTTGTGAACGGGACGAACAACTATCCTGGTCGGCCGCACCAAATCACCTTTACGGGCGTGAAGGATGGTGTGTTTGAGCGTCTGCGTTTTGTTCAGAGCCAGATGTGGTGAGTAGAGCTGATCTTGTCGTCCTTTTGACCTCATTATGTGTTCTGGCCACTGGAAACTCACACACTTGCGTAATTAGGACCATGACCATCATCCATTCCGAGGATGTCCTTCTTGAGAACATCTATATCAACAGCACTGATTACGAACATGCTGTTGGCTTCGACTTCTCTTCTCTCAACGTAAGTTCTTCTTTCTCGTCATCATCACCGGGAGTTATCACAGTCTTTGACCAGGACGGAAACCGGGTGAGCGCTGACATGAGATTCATCGTAATTACAGACCGATGGCGCAGATACAGTCTACGTGAACAACGTCACGTTCCGCAACTGGGTCGTTGACAATGGCGACGACAGCATCAGCATGAAAGCCAACAGCACGAATATTCTCATTGAGAACTGCGACTTCTACACCGGTCTGGGAATCGCCATTGGCAGCATTGGACAATACGGTAAGTCCTTTTAGAGAAGAGACATTCACTCACATTGAATCAACCCCTCCCCCCCTCCTTTTTTTTTTTTTTTTTTTTGGCTTTTTACAAAGAGAATTTCGCATGCTAATACCAATCACTTATAGAAAACGCCTTCGAGACCATCGAGAACGTCACAGTCCGCAACATCACCATCAACAACCAGATGCGCTACGGCGCCTACGTCAAGACCTGGACCGGCAACAGCACAGGCTACCCACCCAACGGGGGCGGCGGCGGCCTGGGCTACGCGGCCAACCTGACTTTTGAGGACTTCAAGCTCGACAACGCCTCGGGCATCTTCGCCATCACGCAGTGCACGAGCTACAACTCGGCCACAGGCAACTGCGACACGAGCCCGTTCAACATCCGGGACCTCACCCTGCGCGGGTGGGTGGGGACGACGACGAGTGATGTTGTTGCTGAGCTGCAGTGCAGCGGGGCGAGCCCTTGCACGGGGATCGTCATTGAGGGTGTTGATATCCTGGACACGGTCAACAATACGGCGCCGAGTAATTACTTGTGTGATAGTGTGGTGGCTCCGACGGGGTTCAACTGCACTGGGGCGCCTTGGGGAGAAAACAACAGGTAATCAGCCAGCTGGAGAAGGGTTGAATAGATAAAAGAATCTGTGTACCCAGTGTGCAGATAGACCATTTTGCTCTAGACCTAAAATAGACTATCGAAAGTCCACAAAAGGTGTGAACGATTGAACAGAAGAGCTGAAAGTACAAATATAGTAGCAAAAAGACCTTGGACCAAGCAGTATCTCGTGGTTTCTTCACTCAGCATTGACCACCTGGGAGTATCTCGGCAACATTTCAGGACGGGCCTCGTGCACATCCCTGCCGTCCTCCACAAGATCATAATCCTCCTCCTTAGCCTTCACTCCGCCTTCAACCTGGTGCGCCTCTGGCTGCTCCCGCACAGGATAGTCCAGATGATTTTGCTTCTCAGCCGGCCATGAACCATCAGTCTCCTGAGAAGCTCTTTGATGAGCAGCCTGAGGAAGCTGAGAGTTTGTTAGCAATCAACTATGTCGAATACATCGGAGCAAATAGGTTGACCTACGGCCTTGTTGTCGCTGTACTCCTTGGCCATGCCGAACAGGCTTCGGATCAGGCCTGGTCTTCGGCGGCAGCCCGATGAATAGCCGCCTCCGCAGCCTCGTCGTCCGGTCTGGTGGTGATAGTAATATTGACCCTCGTCCGCAGCGGGCACGCTGGCGGCGTATCGAGCAGCGCGTTTCTTGTTGCAGCACATTTTGTACTTGTCTGGAATGAGACTGTGCGAAGAATGGTATCAAATCCTGATCGTAAATTTGAAATAAAGGGTGAAAATACACTATAAGACTGATACAAGTGTTGTCTTGAAAGAAGAAAACAAGATTATCAAAGTCCACTGCAACCTTGGGAGAGGTTCAATATTTAAAACAATTCTCGACCTACTATACTATGTACACATAACGCACCACCAGAACATAGCCCCCTTTCCATACGATCCTCTGACAGCGCTTCGTCCCAATTGCTCACTGATTCCATCCCATGCTGAGCTCAAGAGGGCTGACGTTTCCATTCCATTGCGCGGCGTTCGAAACGCAAAGCGACATGCACCACAGCGGGACGGACGAAAGTCTGCCCGGCGGGCTAATTTACCGCATCCGCCACGGCAGCCCCCAAAAAGTGTAAGAACCACAACACGACGACAGTAATAGACACGTCGATAGCCACTGGCAAGGGGCTGACTTACTGTCCTCGCTCGCATTCGCATCTACGGACTTTGGATCAGTGCACTAATTCATCCTTTAGCCAATTGAGAAAACCATTCGAGGGCTGACCGACAGGCGCTCAGTGACGTAAACATGGCGGCTGTGCTAAGCAAGTCTGGGGGCTATGGATGATGAGTGAAGCTATCTGTCTAGGCTTGCACGATGGTTATCCTCTCTTATACACATCCTCTCTTTTTTTTTTTTTTTTTTTTTTTTTTTTTTTTTTTCACACCCACATATGCCAACTCGACCCCTTCCGATACTCATATGCAAGAGGCACCTGAGGTCCCTCGGCATCGATGATATACCCAAGCTCACACCTATCGAACGAGACTTTAGCCTGCTCCTTATAGAACGCGTCGAATCTTACTTGCAGCGCATCAGACAGGCTTTCGACGTCTCCTTGCGGGTGGAGTACCCTCCACGGCTCGATACAGGTGTTTCCCTTACATGATTTCAGGACCATCATGAGGGAGTCGAGACGGTCGATGACGAGGCCTATGTCCGTTCCGAGCAGGCGGTTCTTGCCATTAGGTGACATGTATTTATGAGACTTGTTGTATAGGTTGTCCAACTGTCCTGGATCCGTCTGCGAGAACTTGCTTTAGTACGACAAGTCTTTTTCGTATTTCTTTTTAAAATTTTGAGAGGAAAATGCGCGTACCTTGATATCATATAGTTCGTGCTCGTTATTGCACCATACTGCGTAGTAGAGATCGTAGGAATCCCCGATGATTCTCACAGCTTTGTAGGTGTTGTTGGTCACGACGAGCTGCCCTTCGCCATCTACAACCAACAGATGAAGATGTGCCGTCAGCTTCAATGCCATTTCGTCATCTGCACAGAGAGAAAGGAGGGGAGAGAAGATCAATAAGCGATCCGTCCTCCTTGTGCCAACTTACCAAACCCACCACCTTCGCCTTCCGCAATCGCATAGCCCCAGTACTCAACTGCGACGTGCTCATGCCTCTTTGTTTCCCACCTTTCCGGTCCAACCATCTCCTTCTCACCAGCACGGTCAGAGGCCGACCCAATCGGGATCGGCACGCCGTCAAAGTCAGGCCTCGCCTCAGCCCCGACCATTTTCAGCACAGTCGGCGCAAGATCGATATGCGTAGTTACCGAGTCCTCAACTGCACCCTGCGGCACGCCTGGACCCCTCACGACCAGCGGCACACGGATGTCCTCCTCATACCCACACTCTTTCCCCGGCGGGAGTCGGTGCTGGCCGATATGGAATCCATTGTCCGAGCTATAGACGACATAAGTGTCATCCAGGACGCCAGCCTCGTCAAGCTGCGCGATGAGCTTCTCCACCAGCTCGTCCACAGCCTGCAGCGCACGTAGGCGCTGGCGGTAGTAGTGATCCAGGTACTCCACGGACGAGGCGTTGTGCTGCAGCAGATTTCGGACCCAGCTCGCCCCGCTCGGCGTGTCTGGGTTGAAGTTGGGGGTCCTGGGAACTTGGACGCCGTCGAACAGACCCTCGTGGCGCTGGGCAGGAATAGGCTCTGTCATCTGGGGCGTGTGAGCGTGCCTGTTGATGTCGATGTTGGAGTGTGGTGCGACGGGGGCTACGCCGAGGAAGAAGGGCTTGTCGGCTGCGAGGGCCTGGTCGAGGAGTCCTTGGGCCTTGATGGTGATGAGGTCGGAGGTGTGCTCATTGTTGTGGTGGACCGGGCTGTCTTTGTTACTCTGGTAGATGGGGTTGAGGTAGGAGTATGTGCCTGGGTCGAGGAGGAAGTCTGTGGCTGTCCAGCCTGCTGGGTAGGGCGAGTCGTAGTTTGCAATAGTGTGAGAGTTGAAGAGTTTGCCCGTGTAGTATGTGTTGTAGCCTGCTTCCTGCAGCCAGACCGGGAGATAATTGCTGTTCAGGCCCTGAGATACAAACTTTGGATATCCGCCTTTTTGAGACGACGACATCAATAGGTGTCTCGTTGTTAGCACATTGGATTTCCCCTAACTTCTATGCAGATCAAGGAACGGATTGCTTATTCCTTACCATATGGAGGGTTCACATCCGTGACATTTGTGTTGTGAGGCTGCTTGCCAGTCCACAATGACACCCGTGAGGGACAGCATATGGCTGTGGTAGTAAAGTGGTTTGTGTAGGTGGTGCCTTTGTCCGTCAAATACGTTTTGAGTAGAGGCATGTAGGAGATGGAGTCCATCGCCGCGTCCTGGTCGTCTGTGAGTATGAAGACTACATTCTTTGGTCTGCTTGCTGGGCTTGCGTCTTCGAGCAGTACTGCCTGACTATCACGGTCCAAAAAGGCCGCCTGCACGCTGACGACGAGCCAGGCTGACCATAGCACGGGGCCGATCAAATGCATCCTATGACTGCCTCCTTAACGTCAGGGGAAAAAAATTTGGCCACGACGATAGCCAGGAAGTAAGCAAGATTCTTGCTAGAAATCAAACGAGGCACTCTTCGAACATCTATTCGAAGTAAAGTCTGCCATTGTTTGGAGCAAGCAGTTGTTGTTGTGGATACAGAATCGAATTACGCCATCCGGAACGCGCATGCCGTGATGTCAGTCCCGGTCCGGACCTATTCCGGGGGAGCGGGGACCGTGCAGTAACGCTGCGGGTTCTCAGCATTTATGAGTGGAGCGACCGTCGGTGCCGTCGTATTATCATCCGGCTTTACGATGCGATGACATATGCTTACAGTAGATTTTCGTCTCGTCTCATGAATTTTTCTCATATGTCTATTTGAGAATGTGACCAGAGATTTTCACGTGGCCGGAAGAACCAGATTTACCCATCAGAATCAGAAATGAGTGGCTGTAAAGTATGGCGTGGGCCACGGCTACTCTCAGGTTCCAATTCTCTCTTTCTTTGCCTTTCTTCTTCTTCTGTATTCTATGCTGACATTCTCCTTCTGACACACCATTAAAGTGTAAATATGAACATTATGGCCATGATGGCCGTCAATACACTGGTTGACTCCTGATGGCCACCCAAGCCTTGCAGGTTGGGACCAACGGGTATTATTTTACCGTCAAGGGCTGATTGGATGGACGACCTTGTGATACTCTTTGGTTAAGAATTTTTCCAATAAATAAGAAAAGAGAAAAGTAGACAGAAAGGAAGCACAAGGAACTTTTCGGCATGGAGGCTTGGAAAGGCAGCCTGATGTTGTCGAGTCCCATCGGATATTGCCCTTATGTACTAAACGCTCTCAAAGAAACAGATGAGAACGAGGCATCTGCCACACACACACACACACTCTCTCTCTCTCTCCCTCTTCCCCCCAAATTGCTCCTTGGGTTCAGAATGACTTGGTACTTTTCAATTTCTTTATTTTTATGAAAGCATCCGTTTTTTGGCGCAGATGAAGATAGCACCACATACTATCGCTGCGTCGAGCATCAAACAACCAACTCAGGGACAATGGCGACAAAACCCGACGCTCCAGCGCCATCCTAAGAGCAACCACGGCCAACTCCTCACATCTTAGGTAGGATGTAGCTATGGAAATAGCATAGTTCATGATGATCGCCTTAGTACAATCTCTCTCTGTCTCTTCATTATCCATCATGACCCTGGTCTTGTACTACGAGGCAATGATAAAGGAGCACAACACCAGCCATCAGATGATTTTGCTTGTCCCCACACCCACCCCGGATTTTTGGGAAGTGCCAAGCCGAGGCCAAGAGGAAGACTTGAGAGACTGACAAGCGCCAAACTGTACCCACAGATACAAAGTATTAGCTCCGCCTCTTCTTCCTTCCCCAGCGGGGGGATTTTATGCAGACAGCAGCATCGAGTCTAGAGATTGCGAAGAGCGCTTCAAGTTACGGACCGGCGTACTCGTAGAGGCTTTTTATCCAAGACGACAGGGAAAGGGCCTCGGCAGGGCCAGACAGGCAGTCGAGAAGTTCCCTAAAGAGGCACAACCATGATGGCGCGAGGGCCATGGGGGTGGTGGGTGGCATTGGCCAAGACTATCACATGCTCCGGTGAAGAACGTAAAAGGGACAAGTGCTGACATGAAAGAGTTGGGCCGTGGAGGAATTCAGGGCCGAAGAAAACTAGCAACAACGGCCAGAAGAACAAGAAAGAAAAGCGCTGGAGGGGTCGTACGAGGATGGCGTCAACGACAACGGCCACAATCTGATCCTCGTAGATCATCCACTCAGGAACCCCTGCTGGGCTTGCTGCCAGTATCGGGAGGATGATAGCACTGGGGAGGGAAAAAGAGGAACAACGAAGACGACAGCGATTGGGTCGGATTGTAAGCGATAGGAAGTTATGCGTAGAAGGGGCAAAAAGAGGGCTTGGCGCTGGCCCATGCTGGCACGCGGCTGCCTGTTACTTGCTTGCCTCTGAACTCAGGCATAAACATGTTTGCCAAGAGTGACTATCAGTAGCCTAGTGCAAGCCCACTATGGCAATGTACAGTGGGGGCTATGACTCTGTACGCTAAGCACCGGAACCACCCAGCAACCCAGCAACCCCGCGATCCTTCCAGCCACCTCACCTACTGTAGCCGTTCCACTCGCCATGCCACAGGCCTCTTGTTCACCTGCCTGATCCGCCCAGTAGTGATCTTCTACCACACTGGAAGTGAGATTTCGAGCAGATACACCATATGATACTGCTCTGGCTGGGATGAGATTGGGGGTAATTATCTGATATGCATATATGTATGCATACTGCTTACTTATCTCTAACCATTCGTCCCCCTTTTAAGGTTTCAACCCCTCGAAACTTTGACACTCAATTCACGTGCAACCCAACCCTGACTTGATGCAGCCCCAAACCCAATTGCACTTGCTGTAAATACAACAAAGTAACACCGTCCTTCCTCCATCTCCTCCAACTGTCCATCACCTTCCACTACAACCAACTGAGCCTCATGATGTTGTCGTCATCTTAGACAACTACACCAAAGTCAAGATGCCACCACCCATAATAGTAGGGTTTCTTGCCCTCTTCTCCTCCTTCTCTCTCTCCTCAGCTCAGCTTCTAATCCCAGGCTCGAGTCCTGACGCTGTCTCCACTGGCGACGTCACAGGCACCAATACCAACACTGTGCCTGCTCCTCCCCAGAACACAATCAAGATCCTCGTGTGCGGTGATTCGATTACTCAGGGTGCAGAGGGTGACTTTACCTGGCGCTACCGCCTGTGGGAGTGGTTCCGCAGCAATCAATTCACCTCTCTATCGTCGTCGTCGTCGTCGTCGTCTTCCTCTTCCTCCTCCTCCTCCAGCATCGACCATCTCTCTCCAGCCCTCGAGTATGTCGGCCCCTACAATGGCACCCTCCCCAGCTCCATAGGCCCTACGAACCTCGACACCGCCACCTTAGCCACCTGGGGCACCTACGCCCCGCAGGTCGACCCAGCCTTCTCCCCCGGCGGCGGCAGCAGCCACTTCGCCGTCTACGGCCGGCCCGCCTGGCTCGTCGTTGACGCCCTGCAGCAGCAGGTCGCGACCTACCAGCCCGACCTCGTCATCCTGCACCTCGGCTTCAACGACTTTGCCTGGTGGACCCTCCACGCCAACGACCTGCTCGAGAGCATGCAGAAGCTGGTCTTCATGGCCCGCCTCGGCCGCCGCGACGTGAAGCTGTTCATCGCCGACGTGAGCCACCGTCTGCTCGTCCTGGGCCGCGAGGACATCCCCGGCACCACGGACGAGTACAATGCCATGCTGGCTATCAAGGTCCGCGAGTGGTCGACCCCTGAGAGCCCCGTGACCATTGTCAAGGTCAGCGAGGATTATGACTGTAAGCTAGCCCCAAGCCCAAAGAAAGCCTCTAGACCACAAAAAAAAAACCAAAAAAAACCAAAGTGGATCAGAACAAGGGAACAAGACAGAACAAGAAAGCTGACGACGTGACTACTCCTTCTTTTTCACATCTTCTCCAGGCCATGTCGAAGCTTGCCCCGCTGGCGCAGACGGCCTCCACCCCAACGCCCTAGGCGATTTCCAGATCGCCCGCGCCTATACCAGAGTCCTCCACGAGCAGTTCCTCTTCGGCACTGGGCCTCTCGAGGTCCCCGCCCCGGCCGACATCCCTGGCTTCTTTTCTCAGCAATCGGCACTCAAGTTCCCACCAGCGGCGGTGGCAGGGCGCCTGGCCTCGCCACCTATCGGCATCTTCATCGCCTTGTCGTTGGTGTGCCTGCTTGCTGTTGCCATCCTCCGCCCGCGCTGGCTGAGGCGCAGGGGCGGTGGTGGTGGTGCTGCGGAGACAAAGTATGAGCGTCTGCCGACGACAAGATTTCGCCTCGATAGAAGGTGAGGGCCAAGTGAAACCATAACGACTAAATATGAGATGCTTGCCCCGGATTATCCTCTGCCCATGCCTAGAAAAGGGCGTAAAGACAAATATCCTGACCAGCCATAACGCCAGCAAACAAGGGGATCATCCCATATGACCTTGTGCTGCTCATTTCGCGGCTGCAAGAGGCACAACTTTCAGAAGCAGATGACACCGGCACGACCCGATGAATGCTGGTGACAAAAAGCCAAGCGGTCACTACACCACGGGATTTTCAACATTATTGAGTTTTTTTTTTTTATACATACGGGATACATACATACCTAGATGTACAGACCATCCTTGGAGCATGACTAGAGGTTCTTCCAAGACAAAGAGAAGGGAGGGCTTGTAAATGAGCACATTGATGATGATATGATACCCAAGCGCAGATGTAATTAGATGCAAAGAATCTCCAAGAATAATAAATTCAAGCCATGAGAAAAAGGAACATAAAAATAGTGGTAATGCATACATAAATGGTATTTTGATGTGACAGCCAAAAATTGACAAAATAATAACATGAAGTCTTGATAACGTTTTCAACGTGATGAAAAGGACAACCCAAAGAAGAAGAAAAACGCAATCTCACGCGAACGTCAAGTCATACACTGAAAGACGTCTTGACCGAATAGGTACACATTCCTGTACCCTCATTATCCCAGATTAGATAAACCAGCGGCGCCCACCCCAAACCTTCTCCCCCCCCCCCCCCCCAATCAGACAACAACGCCGGGAAATGCTCATGGTATGCATGCTTTGGGCAAGATAGAGGAAGAAGAAGAACCAAAAAAGAAAAAAAAAAGAGAAAGAGACAGAATAAGAAGCCCGATCAAACATCACAAGTAGTTCATATAGCGTGAAACCCACCCAAAGAGGGCCCATGCTGCTGCTGCTGGTGCTGCTGCTGTTGCTGTGGGAAATATGAGCCTGGCGTCAGCGGGCTCACGTTCATCGCTACCCTGCCAGCCGAGACGAGCCTGCCCTGCCCACGCCCCATGCCCTGCTGCTTGTACAGCATGGCCCGCTCCACAGGTGTCAGCGGGGAGACTACGTCGTCCATCTCGGCGGCCTCGAGGGTTGCAAAGTCCTGTACATCCGTGCCGGTTGCTGTGGGATTTGCTTGTACTGCCGATACTGCCGTGGTAGGTGTCACAGGGGGTGGTCCAGTGTGTCTCACGGCGGATGTGGATGTGGAGGTACGTGTAGACTGGGGCGGGGAGGCCTGGGTGGAGGTGCGCGGGAAGACACTATACCGTGGAGAGTGCTGAGGTTTGGGGGAAGAAGAGCCAGGTAGACCTGCGCTCTTCTTCTGACGAGGTGGTGATGATGTCTGTGTCTGTGTTTCCGGCGAGCGGACTGTGCTGGCAGGCCTCGTGCCGTCGCCGTCCTGCCTGGGAGTCACAGGCCCGCTCTCGAGTTCTTCAAAGGAGTCGTACTGCGTCATGCCTCCATCTTCCTCCTCTGATCCCTCGTCGTCCTCCATGTAGAATGTCTCTGTTACTGGGCTCGGGCTCGGGATATCTTCATGCTTTTGTTGATTCCGCTCGCTGGTGGCCTTCTGCTGTGCGTCGGGGCCGTCTCGGGCCCCTTGGGCCTGGATGTTCGCGCTGGCGAGGAGCTTCTGCGCCTCATCCGCCCGGAGTGTGTCTTCTTCGTCTTCATCTTCATCGTCCTCGGTATTCTCAGCTGACACATCCGCGCTGTCACCCCGCGAGGTACTGGCGCCCTCTGTCAGGGACTCGGACGACACCGCACGAGACAGCTCGCCATTGTCATCAAGGACCAGAGTCCCGGATATTCTTGGTGACTGAGCGATCGCGTCCATGCTCATGCCCAAGTCAGCCTTACCATCATCATTATTGTGTTGCAAGACGAGCTCTGGCGAAGTGCCCCGGCTGGTCCTATCCTGAGAAGGGTCAGGCGATGCAGCAGTCCTCTGGCCGTCGGATGATGTGTTGACGCTCCCGTTCAGGCTGAAGTCATCGTCCGTAACAGGCGTGAACGGGGAGAAGGGTGGTAGCTGGGGGGCCATGCTTTGCACTCTCACCCATGGTGACAGAGGTGCTGTAGCAAGCTCTTTCTCCTTGTGCGTTGTCAAGTCCGAACCAGAAGACTTTGGTGGCTTCAGTAACGAGTTTGAGGATGATGAAACTGACTTCGCCCCGCTCGAGGCGCTGTGGCTGTGGCCATGACTGTGATTTTGAAGTCCAGGCCGGAGAGCGTTGCTGGCCATGCGTCGCAGGCTGCTTCCGAACCCAAAGTTGGACTTCTTCCGTGCTGCGACGAAGCCGGCCTGCACTACAGGAGGGCTCGTGGCGAGGTTGACGTTGCCGAGAACAGGCGACTCGGGACTCGCCTCAGCGCGACGGATGCTGTTGGAACGTTTGAAGGCGTGAATGGCCGAACCAGGTAGCTCGCTAGGGTCGGGGCTTCCGACGCTCGTGGGAGGGGTGTGCATGACGCTTGTCGTCGGCGCCAGGCCGGCACTGTCAAGTGCAGTGACAGCTGTCGTTGTCGTGGTGATGCTGTGGTGGGTAGCATTGCTTGCGTCGCTGCCTCTCCGGGCGTGCCGAGGCCCAAAAGTCCGTATAGATGCTTGTGCTAGATGGTTGTTAACGGGCGGTGCAACAGCAGGATGTGCAGGGAAGACAGGCGCCGTGCCCATGGCAGGCGAGTCCCCGTTCGATGAGCCAGCTGTGTTCCCGCCGGTCGAGTCACTTCTCGTCCTGTTGTGGCCCAATTTGGACGGACCATGAATAGAGATGGTGCCCGCGCGGTTGACACTGGTCAGGTTGGTCGGGCTGCTGCTGCGAATCGAGCTCGCCCCCGCCACATTGGTGAGGCTGCTACTCTTCCGCACTGAATTCGCTAGGCTATTGCTCCTCATCTTTAGGGCGCCGGGTCTGTCACGCCCTTCGCCGCCGAACGCCTTCCTGACGATGAGTTGAAACTGGTCAAGCATGGTCGGGTTGTCAACAATCTCCTCCATCGTGACCGAGAAGCCGTCGAGGCTGTTGCTGAAGAGGTTCGTCGAAAGCTCACCGACCAGCCTCATGGGGATCTCATCAGTGATGAAGTCAGCCAGCTGGGCGGCGGGGACAAGTGAGCCCCAGAGATCGTAGAAGGCAGCAGAAGTGACATGCTCCTCTGGTACGCCCAGGGTCCTTGGGTCAAGCGTGCTGCGCCAGGCATCCTCGATAGTAGACTGGATGGTGGTGATCTGGTCCGGCGACATTTTGGCCTCCAGCTGCGCGAAGTTGACTCTAATCGAGCCGCCGCCGAACGGGTTGTTGAATGTGACGCCCGCAGGTCCTGCAGCCGGGTTGCCTGCGTACGTGCTGTTGGCGAGTGGAATCTGCTTCGCGAGAGCCGAGTACTGCGCCGCCGTCGGTATGATAGACTGCATGATGCTGACGCCCGTCAACAGGCCCACGAAACCACAGACTTTGTGCAGGACCTCCTGCGCTAGGTTGGCAGGGACGCGCTGCTCGCAGAAAGACACCGAGACCTCCAGCTCTTCGTCACCTTCTAACCTCGTCTGGGCACTCGCGGCTTGTTGTTTCTCAGCTCCATTGGAGGCCGTCGCACCTATGGCTGGCTTGTTTCTGAGGAGACTTCGCACCAGAAAATCCGGCATGTCCACCACATCACTCTCAATCACGTTGATCTTGCACAGAGCAGCTCCCAGCTTGAAGCTCTTGGCCTTGCCGTCCATAAGCAGCTCCGCATCAGTCCGATGTTGCACAATGGTGCTCAAACGTGTCCAGTATGGCCACGGTGTGCACTTTTCCACGATGTCTAGCATTCCTAGGTTCTCGTACGGCATACCCGCGGTCCTCTGGTTGGCCACACACTTCAATAGGTGCAGCGGGCTGGTTGGGCTGTCCGCAAAGCAGATGCGAACTGGTAGGATGGTCGATGTAGGACCCAGCACGCCACCGCGGTTCACACTCGAGGGACCAAGGGTTTGTTGCATTCGAGAGTGACAGCCTTCGACAACCTCACCAAAAACGACATCAGGCGTCCCCGAGAAGGTCGCAAGCACCATACCCCACGCGGCCTTGAGCACGGTGTCGAAGCAGATACCAAGGGAGCCCATGGCGACCGTGTTCACCGAGACCGACTCGCGCAGCGTACGCACCGAGCTGGTCAGCTTGGGAGGCTTGGTGTGGGCCACCACCTGAGTCGGTACTGCATGCTCCAGCAGTCCTCGCCAGTAGCGTTCTGCCTCACCACCGACATGAGCAAGTGCAGCCTCACGGACAAAGTCGGCGAAGCCAGGACGACGTGGAGGATTCTGGCCACCATCATAAAGCTTTCTCAAATCCTTGACGAGGAGCGCAATAGAGACGTCATCATATTGGGCTCTGGACAGTCGGAGTACAAGCGTAGACGTCTTACCCGCGTCCAGGAAGATGAAGCGTGTAATGGGGCTGGCGAACAGATCGCACTGGGTAAGCAGGGCTTCGCGGTCTCTCTTGATCTCCTTCTCCAGAGTTGCACCCAGGCGCCAGCTCTGCACGCGTGGAATGTGCTTGAAGTCGGCCTTGTAGTTTCTCAGCACAACCTGGTAGAGCTTACGGTTCTGCCCTTCCACATGCGCGATGAAAGCTGTTCTGAGAATGGGATGGATGGACGCGAGGATGTGGCAGACCTCCTCAATGCGGCGGGCAGAGACAGACGACGTCGAGCTGGCGGCAGTGAAGTGGAACACGAAGTAGGACACATCAGCGAGACCAGGCCCGTGAGGCGACGTCGATTGTGATCGCAGCCGACCCTGCGTCAGCATCGCCGTCTCGATGGCGCGGACTTGTGTGGACGTGGCTTCAGCGACATCGCGGACGACTTCAGGTTCCAGGAGGAGCTTTGGCGCAAGTGTTTCCTCGATAAAGTTTCTGTCGATGACCTGAGGTGTTGGCGCGACCAGTGCGACAGAATTGGCTAGATTCTGTTTCGCTGGGATATCTTCCTGCGGCAGCAGCTGTTGTTGTTGTTGCTCATGTTGCTGCTGCTGCTGAATAGACTCGATCGCGCTGTCCAACGCTCTATCTAAAGTCCCTCCTCGCGCTTGTGAGAACTCATCAGTTTGAACTGCAGACTGATTTGGATGGCCAACAAGAGTATTGCTCGTGTGGCAGATTTCACCAAGTGGAACGTCGCGCATGAGGTCAGAGATGTTGGCAGGGAGTTTCGTCTTTCGGCACCTGACGACCACTTCGGCGGCTGAGACTTCGTCACCGCCAAGCTTGAGGAACCCGTCACTGAGTGCAATTTTGTTCTCGTCGAGGTTCAATACTTGGGCCCAGACGGCACGGATCTTAGCCTCCAGCCCACCCATCAGCAGTGGAGTCGAGGCATTGATGTCCGACAATTGCTCTGGGCTCTCAACCGTCGCAAGCTCGAGAAGCTGCTGGCGCGACAGGCCCTTGATGACCTTCTGTAGCTTGCGTCGGTTTACTTTGAGCGAGTATGTTGTCGGAAGATGTCGAACAGGGATGAAAATCTTCGGGATGATAAAGTCGGGCACTATTCCAAACAAAGCCTTTTCCACGATCCTCTTGGCCATATGAACACGCTGTTTCACCTCATCGCCCAGGTTAGCCAAATCTAGGGCATGCGGAGCCGCAGTACTCCCGTCACCGCCCAGTTCAAGGAAGGCTGCAAGCGTAGGGCTTCGTCCACGTTCACCCTTGAAGGCCAGCGCTTCGACCATGACATCGACGCGCTGCCCCAGAGCACGGCGGATCTGCTGCTCTAGCTCTGCCAAGTTGACAACGCGGCCGTTGATCTCCAGGTCATCCCGCTTGGACGAGACGTATTCCATCAGACCGCCCTCGATATACCGCACGCTGTGCCCTGTCTTGTAGTATCTCTTCTTCCCCTGACCAGTATCCTCAGTCGCGATGGTGCTGATGCTCTTCTGATGCTGGTGTCCTCGCACAAAAGGCGTCTTGTGGCCAGGGCTGGTGGGAGTGTCGGGTGCATCTTTGCCATCGTCCCCTGCTGTAGCAAGGCTACTCTTGCGGAAAGTTTTTCCCAGAGTAGGACCTTCAATGACCATCTCGCCTACTGCGCCGACGGGCATCAGGTTTCTGTGGTCTTCTCCAGACACAATCCACGCAGAGCCTGCGATAGGTCGACCAATGGCGCGAAGATGGTGAGGTCCATGAATCTCGAGAAAAGAGATACCAAGCGGGCAGACATCCGGCGCTCCATAAGCCATCACGACCCTCTTCCGGCCTCTCCACGGCTCATAAGTGTCTTCGTCCAAGCCGCGCGTTCGGAAGCAGACCGTCTTGAGCGTAGGAAGCATTTCCACATTCAGCTTGCGAGCAAGCAAGGGCGTCATGTAGCTCCAGGTGGCACTGAAACGCGTCACACATCCAGTATAATCGCTGTATCTGTCTCTGGACGTCGGGATACACATTACGCCGCCATTGACGAGGGTGGTGAACACTTCAGAGAGGGCAACATCAACATTGAAGCTGGATAGCTGCAGCACGCGAGTCGTGTTGTTGATACCACACACTGGACCCTGACCAAGGAAACAAGTCGACAGCGACGCATGCGTGAAGCTGATGCCGCGGACGGAACGTGACGAGGTTGGCGTGAAGAAGACGCAGGCCACGTCTTCGGGCTTACTTGGCGGCAGCAGCTGTCCAGGAACGGGAGCCTCACGTTCCAGGCGTTTCATGAGCGCATCGTCAAGGCAGATTACACGATCGAACGAGGGAACTTCATTATCGGCATTGTCCAGGGCCTCCGCCGCTGCTACGCAGGCGACAGCCACCTTGCTTGCAGGCCCGAGATGCTCGGCAATCTTGGCGACGAAGCCCATCTCGTCTGCGTCAACCGGGACAAAAGCAGCACCGGCTTTTAGAATCGCGAGCAGGGCAACTGGTGCCCATTTGGACTTGTCGAGGATGACTGGCACTGCAGCCCTTGAATTGCCTTTAGGAACGACACCCGCTTCGAGCAGAACGTGCGCCAGTCGGTGGGCAAGAACCTCGATCTGCAGATATGTGAGGTCACCGTCATGAGCGCAAACCGCTTTGCAGTCTGGCCGCGTGATGCTCTGCGCAAAGACGAGCTCGTGCAACAGAGTCCTCTGCTGCTGGGTATCCCTGTCCGATGGGTTGGTCCATTCCACAATCTGAGCGTAGTCGCGGTCCGAGAACAGATCGAGAGATCCAATATGTGCTGCAGGCGAAGCACACTGAAGTATGGCGATGACCGCACGTGCAAATGTATTCGTAATGTTCTGAGCCTGCGTCTCCGAGAGGATCGAGTGGCCAATATCAACAACCAACCGACCTGTGGCGTTGCTAAAACGCGTATTGATTGTAAGGTCGTAGTCGGTCGTTTCGTGGTTCATCACGTTCCGCAGCTCCAAGGTCGTAGGCTGCGTGAAGCGGCTGTGCAGGTCAGCGGGCTCCTCAGTGAAAGCAAAACACGTGTTGAAGAGCTGTACATCGAGACCAGCCCCCTTCTTGCCGTCGCACAGGGCATGTCTGATCTCTGCCATGGTGATATGCTGGTGTGGTAGAGCGGCATTGTAACCATCCTCGACCTGCCTGAGAAGGATGGCCAATGGTTTGAACGGAGACAAGTCAAAGGACACTGGAATCGTATTTGCGAAACATCCAACAGCGGACCTCATGCCTTCGAGTGTTGCAGACCGTCCAGGGGCTCTGTAGCCAAAACACACGTCACTGCTCCCGGTGACAGCGCGCAGCACCAATCCCCAAGCTAGCCTCAGCACTGTGCCTATCGTAGTCTTCTGGGCTCGGCAGAACTCCGCAACCTTCTGAAAAAGAACATCGGTAATCTCAGTATGGAGACTGGCGTATTGCTTTGGCCTGCTTGGGTCCTTGTTGTCGCCTCCGTAGTAGAAGTCCAGTCTTGGAAAGAGGCACGGCTGAGTGACCTCTCCTAAAGTTTCTTTCCACCAGGCGATACTTCTGTCTCGGTCTAATCCGCGCATGATGTCGACGTACCCAGAGTACGAGAAGACGGCTGCCTCCCCACTGGTGACTGGAATGGCCCTGCCCGTGGCGTACCCTCTCCTCAGATCTGCAACCATCCCATTAACGCTCATCATGTCGCATAAGGCAGCTGACACGTCCAGCTTTACAACTGTCTTCATGGGGGAGTGGCAGACCGTCAGCCTGTGTCTGGGCACGCTCTTCACCGCCGGGTAAGCAGTGAGCGGAGGGAGATTGTTCAGCGTGTCGATCGGATCTTCGCTAGGTGTTGCATCGAGGAACAACATATTCGGGGCCCACCGTTTCAAGACGACAGCGTTGAATAAGCCCTCTTCTGCAATGCTCTCGATAAAGACGGTCCTGAGTGCTGAGTGATGGGCGACGACTTGATCCCATGCAGAGACCACCCGAGCCAGATCCACAGGAGCGCCGTTTGGACTTGCGAACTCGTACATGACGTGAATATGACAAGCATTCATATTTCCGGGGTTGCTCGGCTGTGGCATATACTGAAAGCCGTTCTCCTCGCCATGTCTCCTTCCGCAGCCGGCAGGAAACTGAAGTGATTTGGCCTGGCTGACCAGAATACTCTGCTGTACGGGAGTGACTGGATAGACAGCCTCGACTTCGTGAACGCCACTTAGTCCCAATTCGCTTACCACAGTCTTGTTCAGCGTAGCCAGTCCCTCATACGTGACACCAGTAGCCCAGAGCTGTGGAATATCAGCCAGGGTCAACTCGGGATCAGCAAATCGTAAACGGCCGATGGCCTCGAGAAGCAGGTGCTCGTAGTTGCTGATCCAGGACTTGATCAGATTTAGATGCCGGCTATGTCGATTGTAAAGAAACTTGATCCTGGCCGACCCTTGGTCGATCGTCGTGTTGACCTCGAACAGAGAAATTCGGCCTACCGCAGGTCCAATGTCGGAAATTCTAGAGTCGAGTGTGCGTCCTGGAAGGGCAATCTGCTCGAGGACGCCATTCTCCCTGCCAATGTTTTGAATATTTCCAGCATAGCTAAAAAGTATCTCGATGGGCCAGTCACGAGTCGCAATCTGGAGAGTATTGGGTGACGGAGGCCGTGCTGAGTTCATCATGTCTGTGTTCCCATCATCATTCGAGTAGAACTTGCTGGCGAAGTAGTGAGCACCTCGGTGAGGTATTGCCCGTCGAGTATCCTTCAATCGGCGGAGCACGTCGACAAAGTCGCTGCTGGCATTGATTTGTTGGTTGAGGGGGCAGAGGGATGTGAACCATCCGACCGTCTCAGAAATGTCGATCTCGTTGTTCCACAGGCCCCGACCATGCTCTTGGTTCCAGACATCCGGTATCTGTCTTTCTGGAAACGTCTGGGCAAAGGAAAGAAGCAGTGCAGCGATATAAATGTCAACCGACTCCGTCCTCAGCACCTGATTGCACGTGGTCTCCAAGATGGATGTCAGCTCCTCGGATAACGAGAAACTCGCCTCGTTGGCGTCTGCATAGGTATTCGGTGTGTCCAACAGCCCCCAATAATCCAGATCCCCAGGACTCAACTCGAAGGGAAGCCCACCGGATGGCATCTGCGCGTCCAGCTTCTGCAGCTCGGCCCACTTCTGGAACGGCATGGCCCTTTGCGATGAGAGGCTACCATGTTGTAATAACTCGTCCATATCTTGAATGATCAGTCGCCACGACGCCACATCCACAACGAGGTGATGAGCGGCAACGTAGATCATCTGGTGGCCATCCGTGGTCTGGAAGTGAGCCACGGCGAAAACGGGTCCCTCTTCGACGTTGATGGATGCCTGGGTGTTCTGAACAACGGACTCGACCTGCTGATTAGTGCTGATGGTGTAATGCATGAAAGAGTACGAGCCCTCGACCTTGGGCAGTATGTGCTGCATCCACTCGCCCTGGACGTTGACAAATCGGGCGCGAAGCATTGCGTGATGTCCCACGACGGCATCCGTGGCTGCAGAAATATCGTAGACGCTGTATCCCTTGGCGACGCGGAAAAGCAGCGACGTGTTAAACCTGTAATTCCCCTCGCCCGAGTCGCGTAGCGTCAGGTCACCACCCATCTTGGTGTTGAAGTAGAGCTTCTGCATCGGTGAGAGGTCGAAGTGAGTCGAGGTCGGGCTCGTATTGCCCTCAGCAGCCTTGTTTTCCTGGTCCGCGGTCCATTTGTGTGCAAGCCCACCCCGCTGGGTAGCCAAAGCCGCGAGGTGTGCAAGTGTATTGTTGTGTTGCAGGATTTCGTGGCTCTCCAGAAAGATCGACTCAACACGTGCATTTGTGACAAGGGCCATAGCCGTAGCCTCATCCCCACCTAACGATGCGAATGTGAAGCTCATGCTCACTTGCTCCTGAGGAACGTGCAGTACCCGCGCCACAAGTTTCTGAACCTCCCTCTCCATCTCGCTAGCTGGCTGCTGCAAAGTCTGGTCCGTCGCAATCCCCATCACCCGCTCGTATATGTCGGAATTCGCGTTTTGAACCCAAGTCCGGAGCTTTCTCCGGTCGATATCGTCCGTCTCTGGTACAGTAGGCATATTATCCAACGGAATCCATACCTCTGGTATAGCCTTGTCGTCGACAAGCTTGGTGTCCTTGAGGTTCTGCTTCAGCGTTGCAATCTGCGTGCCTGCGAAGAACATCTGTGCTGGCTGGATCAGATCGACCTTGGAAGGATCAACCCCATTTGGGGATATGCTGGTGAGGGTCAGGCAGGCGACCAGTTTCTCCTCGAAGAGCCCAGCTCGTGGCCTGATGATGACAACTTTAGACACGGACTTTTCTGAGCCCAAAAAAAGTTCCACCTCTCCAGGCTTCTCGAAAGAATTCGTCGGCATTGGCGGCGGCGGATCGTCCACGCTCGGCATGCGCACATGCTTGTCGAAGTCTTGATTTCCAGCCCTGAGCCGTATGGAGTCCATGCGACTCGCCCTGTGGATCTTTTCGGGCGCAATCATGATAGAAGCAGACCGCATGTCGAAGTCGTCCTCGGAAGAACTGTCATGGTCCTCCTCATTGGTATGCGCATCGTGGTATTCCTCGGTCGCATCAGACTCCGTCTCGTAGGACTCCATATCAACGACTTCAGCAGCCATAGAATGCGCAGACGGCGGCACGACCTTGGTTTCTACATCTGCGAGCGTCCTGGAGCCGGCCAACACCTTGGTCTGAATAGTGAGGCCATCTATGTTTGCCAGAGGCATATCGCTTGCGCCGGAGTCTCCTGAACGCTGGTTCTCATGCCGATCTGCAGACAGGGACTCACGGAGCCGTTCGGGAGACAATGACAGGGAGCTGGCGAAGGAATCGAGAATACGATCCTCTATCGTACTCGGCCGGCCGCTTTTTTGTTGGCTACCGGAACTCGCGGCGTTCTGAGGGACAGAGACTCTCTCGAGTCTGGTGGTGTCCTGGGCCATGCTGGAGGGGCCACTAGGAGATTGATGTGGAGCGGTTCGAAATGTACAGGGTTACCAGTGCATGTGAGCGGCGCGCGCACGCAAAGATAGAGGGGTTGAGATCGGCGCACTGTCGACGGACAGCGCGTTGATGTCGAGACTCAGGTAAGTCAAGGTGAGACTATGGGAGACTCTTGTCGTCGGTTTGGTCGGCAGGTCATAATAATAGAAGAGCAGGTCTATGGGAGTAGAGTGCACAGGCTGGGTATCTCTGAATCGGTACAAGACGTCTACGCCGCAGTCGAATGGATTAGAAATGAAAAGACGGAGAGAGTATCGTAATGGCAAGGCAGAAATCGAAATGAAAGGCCGCGGGAAGAGCGTTGTCCGCCGTTGGAGCGAGCATGAGGAAGGGCGAGCTCATGCAGTGAGGAGTCACGATGAGAGAGTGAGAGAAGGTGTGCTTCCGGTCAAGTCAGGTCAAGGCTGTCGAATTCCCGGAGTGTATCGGAAGAAAAAGGTAGTGACAAGAGAATTACCATGCAGCAGCTGACAAGCACTGACAGATGACGAAGGCCAGGGAAAGGTCAGAGACCTAGAAAGAAGAGAGAATTTGGGGGGGGGGGGGGGGGGGGCGAGGAAAAGGATTCCAAGGGCGCAAAAAAGACGAACAGAGAGCCTGGCCGCAGGTGCAGGAACATTGATATGGAAAAGGATCTGCCCCGTCCTTGGGTGCAGATGAGCATGGATGTGCAACATAAATGTTCAGGTGAGTGTGGATCCTAAAAAGCCAGATGTCACCCTGTGGTGGCTGGCTGTAGGAATGGTACAAATCAGGCACCACCTACGACAGCATTCACCGGCCATACTGTACGCAGGGTGGTGCCGAGCGAGTGGCTCGGTCGCAGCGGCTGACAGACACCAAGAGGAGACCGACAACTGCGACGGTACCCCCAGCGACAAAAGACAAACCGTGGTAGTACCCTGCTTGTTCCGCAGCGAGGCAAGAAGAGGGCCAAGGCGAGATGAGCTGGTGCTGCACCGGAGTTTCCAGTTCAGAGCCTAGACTGACATCGTGGCCGAACAGCAGCAATAGTTTCTCCCTGGCAGCTCAAGATTCAATATTGATGTCAATCTGCTGCGGTTGAAGCATAACCCATAACAACCAACTAGGTTGATCCCGAGTCTCTAAGAACCGGGAGTGGACTTAAGGCGATCACGCAGCGGGCCGTTGGGAGACGGCACCGGCAGACCATGAGCTGTAGTGGGTTAATGGCTAGGGCTCGAGCCTGGCAAGTTTAGGTCGAGAGCGAAGACCAATGCTGTTGGTAAACAGGCACCAGGGTGTATGTGGGGGGGGGGGGGGACACCAAGTGGGCGAGTCTGTGGGTGAGCTGGGTGAGATTGTGGACATGAGATGAAATGGAAGTGTGGACGCCACGGCACTCCACGGCGGACAAATTGTGGGCAGCCCTCGGATGTGCCCTCTCTCTCTTTCCCCCCTCGGTCCTGTGCCCTGTGCGGTGGTGTGCTTGCTGGTTATCCATCTCCATTCATTTTCAGATGATCAATATTTCTTGATCTGTCGGGCTCACAATTCGTCTTGACCCCCTGGCTTATGCTCTCCAGATCGTTCGTTTGATGCACCTCACTTCTGTGATCGTAACCGAACAGCAGATGAGCTGGCTGACCGTTCATTGCCCGCGGCCATCGTGGTCACTTTGTGTGCGTGCGGCACGGCCGATCGCCGTCCACCCATCTTTCTTTTTTGCTGACACGCCGAGATGTACCAACCGCGTGTGGCGCAGGGTACTTGGTCGACCTATCATGCTTGCCGGGGCCCTCGAGTACTATGGTACTATGGTATCCATTTGGGGGCCGAAAAGTGGACTCGGTTGCCCTCCAGGGTTGCTGTCGCTTGTCAGCCGGATTCCATCTGGGGGGGGGAGGAATGAGTCGACACCGGAGATAGAGCCTATTCCAGGCCAGTTCTGTTGGCCGCAGAGCATCATCAAAGGGGGTTTCAGCAATCGTTTGATGGAGCTGTCTGATCTCACAGAGACTATTTAGAAGGGTCTGAGGGACGCTGATGCCTATACAGCTCTGTATGAAGAACGTGGTGGGTGGTTTATCCGAGACCGGTTGGCTGTTCATTGTGGTCTTCATAAGGGCCCTGGTGACACATCAAACTGATAATTGGGCATGTGATTGATGGTTCGTGCTGTACATGTCAATAGTATGTGTGAGAACATGGATATTAGCTCGCCATCCAAGAAAAGTTGCAAATGATGGTGTGGTGCAGGCATCGATGGAAGCTTGATGGAACAAGTTGAAGAAGCATAGGGAAGCATGTGCTGCAGGTGGGCCCGCAGTGCCGGAGCTGAGCCCTGAGAAGACCTGCTGTGCGTACGGTAGAATGTGCTATAGCATGTAGGTACGATCACCGTAATACCATAGTACAGTAGGTACCATGGTAGAGTCGGTCCTTCCTGAGACATACATCTCATGGTGGTAGCTCTTACTTACTTACTATGGTACTGCGCAGTGCTGTGGTGATCGGCTGTGACCACCATAATTAGGCGCTCCCAGAGCACCTTCCGCGGCAAATGCAGTGAACTGAGCCAATCATCTTCCGGGTCGCCCACCCAAGCTTCTGCGGGGAACGTGGGCTTTTGGGCTTGGGCTTAGTACCTAGGTACCCCACCTGCCCATCACTGTACCTTGAGTGTTCTGTCTGCAGGGGTGTCCTTGATTGTGTTCTCACAGGAAACAATCCTCCTCGATCCTTGGCCGTTGTTGCCATCACTTCTCATCACACCAATCCCCCCCACAGGTTCTATTCCTATCACAAATGTCAGATTTTGAGAGGGGGAAAAAGAAACCACAAAACAAGGAAAAGATTACTCCACTCACAATCAACGGACACTCCCTCTCGTCGATTCCTCTCCCGTGTCTGACTCAAGACTGATGCTCAGGAATGCACGACATTGAGACAGTGTCACCAAAAGAAGACTTACCATACCAAATACTCATCTACACAGCCGCGACCGCCCTCAGTCAGCCCTGCGGATCTCATGAATCCCCCTGGCTATATCTGGATTCTCGTTCGGCGAGATGACGGCATATCCGCAGTCTGTGTCAGTTCAGTGAGCCACCTTGCCACCTGTGAGCAATCGAAACGAGGGACGCAGCGGGGAAAGACGGGCAAGACCTCCTCGTCGCCGTTTCGCAGCCCTTATTTCGGTCAACTTCTTGGTGCGGACGGCGACTGATCATGGGCTTATGCTGTATGCTGACTGAATGAGTAAATTTGTAGCCCAGTGCTGAAGCTAGGCGAGTTCAGGCCATCAGAGCACCAGAAGGTCCCTATCTGCCTTGCCAATAAGAGATGCATAATCTTGACCCAGCGTGCAGCGTAGGGCGGAAGGGGGAAAGGGTGGTGATTCTAGCGCGCTGCAGGCTGTATTAACTTTACCAGGCTGCTGGTCCTGATGTCACACTCGAGATGGGACAAGAATAAGACCGTAAAAGGAACGAAATCCAACCACCCCTTTCTGCAGATGTTCACGGACAATTTCGGGGCAGTGAACAGCTCTCGGAACCGCAGATGGAGCATTCCTTTCTTCTTCAAAGTCGCCCCCGCGCTCACCATCGGTAGTATAGAGCATCACCTCGTGGTCCAACAGGGGAGGCCAGGCAGCAAGGCTAATTTGTCAAAAGACCACCTAGCAAGGCCTAAGCATGCCTCATTTCGCTGTGCAAGGAGGAGGAAGAAGTTCGCCACGTTGGCATGCATCCCTTCCTTGCCGTTGGCTGAATCTGTTGTCGAGGGCGCGTGGAAGTCATCATCAACAAGGCGTAAGGCCGGTTGAGTCTCAGGCAAGCCTCGGTCCCCGGTCAGGTAGACAGCCGAAGTTGGTCTGGACATGGATCTCGTCGCACGGCGGGGCAGCTGCGGCTCCTCCTTAGCAAAGTCAAGCCCTCCCATGATCCATGGATCGTGGTTCCTGCAGACGCAGGATCTAAGGCTGTCGAAGGATCTGGGCATCTCTACGCTAGCAGTGCGCGCATCAGCGAAACCTTCACAGAGGTCTTCTTGTCTCCTTTCGGTTCCGATGTCCTGGCCTATCAAACTTAAACAGATCATATACGTGATCCGCATCTGAGGGTGACTTGATGTCGAGATAGCCCGGGACCAGAACGAACGAGGGGAGAGCGGGCCAAGCACGTAGAATAGCATCTCCACGTCGTCCCCGCCGGGCTGTCCCGCTATGTCGCCAGGCCCTCTCACTGCTGGTATTCGGAGGGTGGCCATGTTAGTGGCGGCCCTGGCAACCGTCTGGACCCGTCTGCCTCTGTCCCTCGTGATTTGAACCTCACGCGAGTGATACCCTGCGAATCACGCCCCAGTAAGCTTGTGTCGTAAAGAGCAATCTGACACCCGAGGGGCACTTACCATCGCCTCTAGGGCTTGGGCTTCTCAGATCAATTCCATTGAAGCAAAGGTTCCAGAGACTTTCTCCTGATACGGACTCGGGCTTTGCGATTACTGACCACAAGTTGTGGCATCGGGCCGCTGCGATGTGCGTCTCACTACGCCAATCACCCGATCTAGGCACATTGGGCGACGTTCTTGGAAGACCCTGCATACGAGGAAACGCCATGAACCGAGTGGAGCGTTATGTATCATCATGAATCACCTTTTGGAAAGATGGGCAGTCCTGAATATTACACACAGGACTATCACGGCATACCATCGGCTCTCGTTGTCATCATCATTGTCGTCGTCGTCGCCGTCGTCGTCATTTCTCTCTCTCTCTCTCTCTGTGTGTGTGTGTGTGTGTGTGTGTGTGCGTGTGTGCCAGGCTGGTGCAGACCCACACATCTCTCTCATCTGGCCCATCGATAGACAGTAACACCTACAGCAGTTAATCGTCACCACTCTCCGGATACACACGTCCATTATTGGACCCCCACCTCGTCTGACCGTCTGCCGCCAACGCCAGGGACGATTCCGACGCATTTGGCACGATGTCACCACGACGGCGTGCCAAGCACCTTTGTTTTGCAGTTTTGCATCATCACAGGATGCTTATTATAACAACATACTAAAATAAAAGAACCGGCATCTACCGCCGCCGATACGAATGCGTACCACCATGACGGAGATGCAACGGCAGGTCGTCCTGCGTTAGCGCACTCATGCATACAGCCGTTGGGTTTGGTCACCTCCGCCTCCACAATCTACATAGGACGCCGCAGGTCACGCACGAGGAGTAGTTCTCAGATGCTCGATCGTGACCGAAGAGGTGTTAAAGGTGAAGGAGGCCGGAGGGGGAAGGAAGTCTCTAGCAGCTCACATTCCAGGCATTAGGCAAGTCACTAACGGTTCTCGGACTACCGTCGTGCCTCGAACCGGCCCCGAGTGGAGCAACCCGGAACCGAGCCCGGTGGGAGGGAGTCAATATGCCCGTTGTCAGTATCAGAGCCCGGCTGTAGTCCCCATCCCTCCTTGGGGAACAGGAAGAAGCAATCAACTTCATGATGGAAAATGCGAGCACTGCCTCTGACCTGAAAGCAAGATGGCAGCATTAGCTCACAGCAGACTATACGGCAGGACCATGCAGAAGTGTTGCGAAACCGAGCCGTCTACGCATGTTGCGTTGCGTTGCAGCGTGGCGTCTCTACCCGATGCTTCGCCGCAGTGGCCGTTACGTTACTATGCACTTCAGTATCACTTCAGTATTTAGCCCCCTTGATAATCAAAGTCTCATGTGAGCGCTGTTCTGTTTGGAGGTTACACTAGAGTGAAGTGTCGCCTGGAATGAAGAATGTGTGCTTGCGCCGCAGCCTTGAAAATACTGGCCTGCTCAATGGTTCTAGTGGGACTTTAACATGCCCTAGAATGCGCTGTAGCTTTCTTACTAGCCCCGATCGAGTGGGGAGCAAGTGTCTTCAGCGCGAGATGCCCAAGACAGGCTCCTGCAGAGAACAGCGCCTCGGGACCGAGTTCGGCCGCGATGGTATGATCCCGTTTCTTAACCCCTCCGAACTGTCCCAAGCTCGAACAATGGAAACAACGAGACACGTCGACGAGCTCCGCCTCGCCAGGTCACCTTCAACGCCCACCCTTTCCCATTGATCCGAGTCACCACTGTTGGAAGCCGTCGATCCCACGTCAAGGCCCCAGCCGGCGAGCACGCCCTACGGATCGACGCCGTGTGACGAGATGGCCCTCCCGCCCTTCCGACACTCCCGCTGCCTACAACGCATGACGGCTCAAGGAACTCATCAGTCACTACACGTTTCAGCCGGCACAAGTCTGGATTTCTTGGCCCCTTTCTCGCACAGGGCAGTTTCGGGACTCGTGGGGGACTGAGTGACGGCTTAGAAGGGGAGATCACTCTCTCCTCCTCTGTATTTTCAATATGATCTCTAGGCTTCTCTATGCAGTCTACGCGCTGCTTTACGTCCATATCTACCTGAGGGTGAGTCGTTGCCATTCAACAGAGAGAAACGGCGATCCTCGAATGTAGACAGACTTGCTGACTTTGGAATTGTTCATCTCGCAGTTCATCTCCCTCGTACGACCGCCACCGCAACAACGGGCATGACGTGACCTGTCTCGGTCCAATGCCTGGTCAAGCAAGACGACCTGAAGAGCGACAGGAAGATAACCCTCCACCTTCCTGCACCACAACAGCCCCAGACGAGCAGTAAACACAATGTCAGCCGCAACACTCACCCGTCCACCACCGACCCACGCATCCCAAGCCGTCCGGAGGCCTACAGAGTCACAGCACGACAATGGCTCTCTTGATCACATGCACAGAAAACGAAAGAGGCAGAAGAAGAGCAGGTATCCACCGCCGTTCACACAAAAGGTCGGCCTTGCGGCGCAGGTCTATGGCCTCCAGGGACTGTTGGGCACAGCAACATGGTTCCAGGGATGGCGGGAATGGCTCTACCCGCCGGGTGGCGGACCGAACATTGTGAAAGCCTACGAGGTGCGGCCGAGCTTCGGCGTGCGGTACAGTGACCTCTTTGCTTCTCTCTCATTCTCTCCCCTCGCTCGTGACAGAGGCGCGTGACGGACTGACGGACTGACTGGCTGACCTCAATGAAAACCCACCAACAGCATCTTCTTCCCGGTATCCTATGACCTCACGTCCCCACAAACACTCCCGACCGTCTTCTCGATCCACGGCGGCGGCTTCTGCCTCGGTGCAGCCCGTGATGACGATGAGTGGAACAGGGCGTTTGCAGACTCGCAGGAGATGCTTGTCATAAGCCTGCCGTACTCCAAGGCCCCGCGCGCCCCGTTCCCCGCTGCACTGCACGATCTGGAGTCCCTATACCTGGCTGTTCTAAGCGACGAGAGTCTGCCCATCGATCGGACGTCGTCGTCCTCGTCCTCTATAGGTACAACAGGAAAAGGCAGAGTTGCAGTGCTTGGCTACGACGCCGGCGGGAATCTCGCCCTAGGCCTAAGCCAGCTGCTTGCCATGCGCAAGAATACAGTGTTCCCCTCTGCGGCGGTCAGTATCTCGGGCTACCTCGACCTCGAGAGGTCCGCAGCGGAGAAGTCACAAAACAGGCCTTACAGGGCTGACCTGCTACCGTGGCCGCGAAACGGGACAGTCGACCCGCTGGCGAGCACGCACGAAGCGTATGTGTGGGGGTACACGCCGTACGGGCACGATCTCAGAGACCCGCTCCTGAGTCCTGCATACGCGACTTGGACTGACGAGGACGGGGCTGGTGCTAGTGGTGCAGGTAGAGGAGGACAGGGAGGAAGAAGTGGTGGGCTTCCGCAGCATGTTTGTCTTGTTGGGGCTGAGCTGGACATGTTGGCTCACGAGAGCTGGCGGCTAGCCTGTCGTCTGGTCCGGGACGGCGGCGTGAAGAGGGGCGACGGGCAGTATGAGAAATGGAGAGTGCCTGACCCGGATGCCGATGATCTTTCCGAGAAGATCTGTGGGCGGGGCCAATCTGGGCAAGGCGAGATGGACCAAAAGGCTGATGATGGTCTGAGCCTGCGCCATAGGTCTGGGTTTGAAGTACGCTGGGCCAACACGGGCAGTGCCTCTCCTGATGGAAGCGTAAAGTGGATACTGGTCCCAGATGAACTCCATGGGTTCGACCGTGTCGTAGCCTCTCGTGCCGGAGCAACACAACTACAGCCTGCGCAGCATCGTGATACTAACGCGTGTGTGGGAGAGATCGGAGAGTGGTTGCGCGAGACTGTTTGGGGGATATGACTGATTGATTCCCTTGCTTTTCGGCAGAATCTACTACTGTAGAATAATCCCAACCAACCTCTTGCATTCGTTCCAAACCTCAGGTGTCTGCCTATCTTATAGAAGCACTGACATGAACGAGCCTAACAGTTCCCTTCTCTTCCTCTCTCGCCTCTCCTCTTGTCACACAAACACACACGCACAAATCACAGTTCAACGACACCGATTGGTCAAGAGTCACTCTTTCTCGTCAATATGCGATGATGCGAGCTTCACATATCATGACCACACTATATAGTACAAATAGACAGACCAAGACAACAAGACTGGCCTCACCAACCCCCGCCCCAAATACGCGCCCCAGTCCCCATCAATCAAATCCCTATTTCATTGCACGACCGTCATCCGTGATGCCATGATGCTCATCTCTGAAAGTTTCCATACATGCAAGCAGCTAGCTACAATCTTCCTCGGCAAGGAGCCAGCAACAAACAGCAGCCACAGCAGCATTATGTCCGCAAGTCATTTCGTTAACTGTACAGCACAGCATTCCAAATCCCATGCAAAGACCCCCCCAAATGGTATACGTTATAGAGAGACAGATCCACCGTGGTCATTCTCTTCAGACAACAACCTCATCCTCTCCCTCGTCCGGCTCCTCAATGCTCGTGCGGCGCTTGGCTTCGACAGCAGCTTGGACTTTCTCGCCGTCCTCGCTTAGCACGACCGGGCGCTCTCCCGCCCCTCTCTTCTCTTCCTCGGCGCCAGATTCCGTCTTCTTTGCATCCTCTTCAGTCGTCTTGTCTCCCTCAAGATCTCCTTCTGCTGCCTTCTCTGCCTCGGCCGCATCATGCTCCTCCTTGCTGCTGCTGGTAGCATCCTTGTCCTTCTTCGTAAAGGGCCACAGACCCATCAGGCCTTTATTTCCCGAGGTGGCACCACTGCTGCTGCCAGCTCCTGGAGGTGGATGCACGGGCAACGGCTTCACGAGGATCTTCTCCCTGTCCGCATCGATGCCAGTTCCACCTGCCCCCCCTTGGCCCTCGGGCATGGCGAAATCTCCAAACTCCTCGTCCTCATCACTACTGTTTCCGCCACCTGCCGCACCTTCTCCCATCTCCTCCTCATCGGTAGAAGAGTCTCGCCCGTCACCAAACTTCTCGCTCTTCTGAGCAGGCTTGTTCTTGCGAGTCCCGAGTGCTCCACGCCACCAACCACCACGATTCCAGCTGCTGCCGCCGCGGGCACCATCGCCAGATCCAGCACCCAGATCTCCATCGTCACTACCCTCGTCGCTGCCTTCGTCGCTGCCCTCGTCTTCATCATCTGCAAAGGGATTCCTAAGTCCACTCTCGGAATGATCACCTTGCATGAGAAGCGAAGACATGCCACCACGACCAAGGCCAGTCTCAGTCTCTTCTTCCACATCACCACCACCCTCCTCTGCTTTGCGCTTAGAAGCAAGGCGTGCAGCAAAGGCCATGCGGGCACGCGAGGGAGGAATGTTCAGTGGTGGTGGGGGTGGCGGGGGTGGCGGGATGGATGGCGGGTTCAGGCTGTTGGATGCGCTGGTGGAGTTGAGCGGGTCCGTATAGGCGCGGAACTGGAGCATAGGTCAGCATCTTGCAGCAAGAGTATCATCTGTAAATCGCCGGAGGTCCTGGCAGACAAAAAGAGATGAGACGGAGAAAATAAACAGGTAATAGAGCGAAGGATAGTCGACAAGAATCACCACCAGAGCACGGACGAGTGACGAGAGCCCAGGATCCACACCAGAGTACCATGAATGAGCCGACTGAGGAGACTTGAGGCTTGACCGGAAGGGAACGGAACAATAGGTCGAGTAGGAAGGGGGTCCTCGATGCAAGCCAGCCTTGCCAGCAGTTCAACCCGCAAGGATTTCAAAACACAAACGACACAGACGACGGTGATCAAAACCCATAACCGACAAAGAACAGCAGCGTCCATCGTCATCCGCGCGGGAGAACGAATCTGGCGCATCTCCCCGGGCCGGAAAGACAAGACGCTGAACTACTCTCTGCCGTACCAAGCCAAACATCTTTTTTGGAACCCCAGCTCTTATAAGACCATTACACTTCCATAGAACCCTACATTAAGCTCCAACTCCTCCTCGTTATGCCCACATCGTCGTTTCCGCTTCGTGGCGAGGCTGGGCGAGCTCGAGCAGAAATCCTCCATTGCTCTGCTGCGTCTGCTTAATGGGATGCGAAGGGCCTGGGTTCCTGCTCTGGGGGGTGATGGTTGATACGGTCTCCGACTTGTCGCTCTCCACTTGGTCAACGACAGCTGTCTGCGACTCCCCATCTTCCGCTTGTCGGACAGGGTCCAATTCCTCTTGCTCCTCCCCCTCGCGATCTTCCTCATCCACGTCCTCCCACTCGTCAGGCGAACAATGGTCCAGGGACGCATCCGAATGTTCATCCAACGACACGTCCTGAAACGATTGATCCTCTGAGAACCAAGACCTGCTAGCTGCGATGAAGTCTAGGCCACCCGGAATGTACTTATCATCAGGTGACTCATGGCCCAGCTCGTCATTGTCTGACAGTCCAGCGCTTCTGATCGGGTTGGCAGCCGTGCGAGAGATGGGCACTTTGGATTGTTTCGGTGGCTCTTCATCATCCCCTGAATCCTCCTCGTCGCTGCCGTCCACAGCACTCATGCTGACAGAACGAATAAAAGATTGCGGCGCAGGGCGGCCCTCGAAAGACAAACCAGAGTGCCTCCTAGGACGGCGATTTAGGGAAGAACTAACCTCATTGTTGACATCCTCCTCGTTCTCAGCCTCCTCGTCCTCGTCTTCATCAGAGCTGCTTCCAAAGCCAGACATCAGGGTCCCAGCAGAGATGGCGAAAGGCCCGATCCCGTTTCCTCCTCCATCCCCGCCCATATCACCCAGGCTGCCGTTCAAACCTGCCTCCGCAAGGGCGTTGGAGCCACCGCTCTGAGAGCTGCCGAATGCTGCGCCGAGGCTGGATAGCCCTACTGTAGCAAGGCCGCCGGCTTGACGATTGCTCAGAGCCACCTCGGGGCGAACTCCGCCCAGTATGGCATTGTCACGTTCTCGGGTCTCAGCTAATGCACCCTCGACGTAGTTGATCCATTCCTGGTCCATGACCCTCTGCAAGACAGTCTCACTGAGAAGCTCAGGCGGGTGGCGCTCAGTGAACTTGACTACCTCCTCGGCAATGAGTGTAAGGTGACCCATGTAGCCCATCCGGGTCTTTGACTGCCGCTGCGACTCCTCACTAGCGCGTTGGCCGTTGATGATCTGGGTCGTCACGTCGGCAGCTTCAAACAGGGAAATTGCCAGGGTGGGGTTGTAGCCGCGGTCCATGGGCCCATTGAAAACTTGCTGCACGATATCATAGACGACATTATGCAGGAAGTTGTTCCATGGATACTTGAAGAAGAATGAAAGGATCGTCGGCACGACATTGTGCTCAACAAACTGCATCTTCAAGAAGTCGCCGACAACAGGTTGGAGGTTTGACAGATCTGACTCTGTGGGACCTTCCTTAGCATCAGTTACGGACGCGTCGCCAGCTTCCTGCGGGGGCTGAGCCGGCGGTTCCGCCGATCCCACCGCCGTCTGGCCTTCCTCAGCATCAGGTGCCACGGCCTTTTGCTCCTCCGCTGCAGCTGTTGTTGTTGGGAGAAACAGAGGAGCGGGCTTCTCGTTATCATCAAGAGCCGCTTCGACGGGCTCTGCCGCTTCTGCTGCCTCAGTTTCGACCTTGTCAGGCTTGGCCTCGGAGCCAGCCACAGAAGACTCGGCAGGTGTGTTGGTGCCAGGAGTGCTCGAAGCCTCGCTGTTGTCGCCGGCAGCAGCTGTGTCCTGCACCTCCGGCGTTGCCGGTTTGTCTTCGAGGATAGACTTCTGCAAGTCCTCCACCAGATCCTCAACCTTGTCCTCTCCGATGGGTGGCGGCGAGCTCGGCAGCTCGTCAACTTCGACAGCCTTCTGCTTGGATGGGGAAAGGGGCGCAACAACCAGGTCTGGCTCGTCGAAGTGCGGCTTCTCCAGCTCATCAGAGGCAACGTTGAGCCGAGGCGACGTGAGGGGCTCATCCACAAAATCGTCGTCGTCCTTGTCCAAGAATGACGATGGGTGGCCAGACTGTATTTCATCTGCGGCATTGACAAACTCATGTGAAGTGTCCTCGGTCATCTCAGTGCTGTGAGCCACTTCTTCGAACCCGTCGTCTTCCGAGATGTTGGTGATCTGCAGCCGACCTTCATCAACGGGAGACGAGTGGGATATCCTCATGGTGAGATCATCTGCAGACGAAGGTAGCTCTTCACCGCGCAGGGAGGACAGCCTTCCATCGACCCGAAGCCGCTGGCGCTCGGCATCTCTTACTGCTATCAATTCCTCCGACCCGACCTCGTTCAGCAGGCCCATGTTGCTGCAGTGCAGCAGCTCTGCCATCAGCTCGCATGTCTTGAAGCGGTCGAAGCCGAGCGGCTCGATCTTATCGCCGAATGTAGAGACCAGTCGTGCCTTTTGCGCCGGGGCATTCATGATCAGGTTCATGAAGTCAGGCACATTTTCTGCAAAGAGCCGCAACAAGGTCCCAAGGTAAATCGGATCCCGACTTGAAGGGATAGCATTGGCCTCGGCGCCGACATCAGGATCATAGTCTGAGTTGTTCTTGCGAATCACCTCGATGACGATGCCCACGCCGACGGTGAGAGCGTTCCCACCACCCAGCATGTATGCTATCAGCTGCTCGACGCAGGGCTTTGACACCAGCTGCCTAGTAAGCTCGTTGGGACCGATGCACGTCTGTTCATTCTGCGAGGCGTTGGCCGAGACGGTGATGATAGCCTTCATGAAATCACCAGCTGAGGTCTGGGTCGCCCAGCTGTGCTCGGGACCGAGGAAGGAGAGGAGGGTCGGCATAACGTCTTGTGTGTAGAGCCACTTTTGGGGGGGGACAGATGAGGTTAGCGGGGGAAGGGAGGTGTCAGGGCCTCTCGTGGTTTAAGCAGACGTACCTCGACAATGCCTTGTCCAGCTTCTGTTCGCTCAAGGCTGATAATCTTGAGCAGTAGGTCCATGATCATAGGGCAGTCGACATGCCGCAGCATGTCGGGAACGGCATTCTCGATGGACTTGAGCAGGTCGATCATCTCCTCGGTCTTCTTGTCGAAGAGGGCCTCGTTGACCTTTGTAAAGTAGCTGGCCTGCAGCGGATCAAGCGGGGTATCCCGCCGCAAAAAGTCCCAAAAGTTGCGCAGCATGGCCTTGTTCGCGAGGAGGGCCTCGCAGATAGACCAGTTGTCCGAGGCCAGGATCTCGGCAGCGACATAGGCATATCTGTTGCGCTTCTTCTCTAGCTCCTCCTCCTTGTTCTCGGGTTCGGATGCGCGCGAGGACACCCTGGGCCGGGAGAAAGGTAGGACGCGAGCCTTACCCTTGTCAGTGTCGTCATCATCGTCGGCGGCGGCACCGGCAGCGGTGGCATCGGTATCGGGGGTGGCGACGGGTTCAAGCCTTGGGGCAACGACGTATTCGAGCAGGCTCACCAGGACGGGCTCGTCCCTGAGATAGTCGATGAGCTTTGCATTGTGCTGTTTCAGCTCCTGGATCAGGTCGCTCTCGTCCAGAAGCTCCTCGAGGGTGAAGTCGGACTTGTCGAGGATGGTATCGATGGTGGAGATGTTGGCGTAGCCGCCGAATCGCCAGAACATGGTGCCAGCGCTGTGGTGAAGAGCCCTATGTCACGGCGCCAGCTGAGTGACGCCAGACGGGGCACAAGATGTGGAGGGGAACGTATCGAGGATGGAAGACGGCGTTCATGCAGATCGTTGATGTTGACGACGAACGTCAGCAGGGGAGCTTGTGTACAAGAAGCCAGGTCACAAGACCTCACACGACAGGACGTGGGCGTGCCGGCGATAGTCGGAAACACGGGTGCCCGTTGTTTTCGAAGGTCTCGACCTCGAATCAAGAAGAGATGACGAGGTGAAAAATAGCCGAAGCCCGCCAATCTCCAGTGCCAATCTTGATTCCCAGTCCCCAATCTGGAGTCCACCGGGACGCATGCAGTCCTGGGAAGGATGAATGCAGAATGAATACTGGAGGGGTATCGCAATGAAGTCTATGATGGTGTTTGTGGGTCGTGATGCAGAAAACGTGGTCGTCTGCCTGCGGATGGCAGATTGGATGGACTTTGGCTGCGTCAGTTGGTAACTGGGTTGGATTGAAGTCGGTCGGAGAGAACCTGACTTGAATGGAGGTTCAGTCAGCTTGAACAGTGTTTTACCGTACTCGGTTTAGCCTGGGCGGGTCGCATAGCAGGGGGCCCAGGGCCAACAGGGCACAGCCATCAGCTGCTGCCACGAGTGTGTCTCCCCATAGTAGTAATCAACCACATGGCCTATGATGTCTGACGTGCAGGCCAATCACGCGCCACGACCTCCACGAGGCAAGCCTTTTTCAGGGTGGATAGCAGGTGGGTAGAAGATTGTGTGCCCAGGCCTACCCTTTTTTTTCCCCTTCTCCTTCTGAACAGTTAACCGCCCCCCCCCCAGCCTCCTCTCTCTTTTTCGAACTCCGATCCACGATAAATCACTATCTTCCTCATTCATAAGGTCAAACTGATTTTAGTACCTCAATTGTTCAGCATGCCGAATATCAGCGTTTGGCCAAAGTTTTCGGCGCGTTTGTCCGGGCTTTATTCTCTATTATCCATCATGCCGTAAATCTGTCCTGCACGGGACCCCTATTCATGAATTGTCACCAATTCGGACAGGGCTCTTGGAACTTCAATGTAGACCTTCACTGGTGGATATTCTGTATGCTTTATGGGCAAGAGAAGAGAAGAAAAATCCAAGAGCGGGGCCAGGCGGGTGGACGGTCCTGACGTGGCCAGTCTGACGAGTCAATGTTGATGTGTCGCTGGCGATCATGTCGGAAGACCTCGAGGACCCATCAGTATCAGATCCAAATATTATTGTCAAAAAATATAGTACCATCATCATGTTCTCATAAAATTGATCAAATTCTCCCCGTCCTTACTTTTTTCTCAATTTGTCTTTTTCGCAGACAAACAATCGGCCTGACTGATGAGTCGAGGCTTGTCTCCGTGGTCACTTGCTGAACAGCAGCAGGTTCCAGCAGTATGCTGTCATCGCCGCAATCCCGATGACTTCAGTATCCTTATTGGAGCATTTGAATCATATAAAATCAAATTTGTTCATATGATACGCATGTAGAAAAAGGTCTTGCCTACCGCAGCAGTCTATAAGAGCTTGGGATGTACGAAGAAGCCTTGAGTTATTTTCAATTTAATCTTCAAGTTGTGGCCTGCACTAGGACAGACGGACGGGACTGACTGGACGTGCTTTCCCAGATGACTCTCATTGAAACTCGCAAAGCCGATGACGATGATTTAAGATGGAAGTCACAAAAAAAAAGTATATAAGAAAGCCAATGAGTACATTCTCTTCGAACATCACATCTCAGGAGACCTGATTTTCAATGCAGCCTTTTTGCTTCTTGTTCTTGTTTCCTTCTTTTTCTTTCTTTTTTTCGTCCTTGGCTGGCAGTGGCCCCTTTCTTTTTCACTCCCATCCAAAGAGCCTGCAAATAAGGTTAATGGTGCTATTGCAGGGCTCTCCACTTGGCGCCACGCTTGGGTGAACACCACAGATGTCTCTACCACCCAAAAAGTATCACTGCGTATCATCTCCCAGAAGCCGTCCTCACCCTCACCCTCGCCTACTACAACCAACCATGCATACCACGATCCAGCATCGAGCATCGCTCACCTTCTTGTGTGGCCGCTAATCTTCAGTCTCAGTTCGATCTGCCGCCCTCCAACCTTAGGCAGCATACAGAGAGGATGCATGGTGGATTGCGGCGCCAGTGCGTTGCACCTGCAAAATGGTCCAAAGGTTCGTCCGATGCTGTCCAAGATGCTATCATCCTTACACCGGCACCGACCTTGTTCAATTTTTCCATCTGATGGCCAATTAGGGACAGTCTCAAACTTCAGTGTTGAGAATGAATTGTTGGGTTCAGTGGGAGATAATCAAGTACTTGGTCTCCTCCCGCCTCACGATGATAGTTACGCTCCTTGACCACGAAACCCTTACAGGACGGGCATCACCAGGACACCAAGTACACCATCCGAGTGTTCAATGATGAAAGACCACCTCTTCAAGGACTTCTGGCCACTGTCAATGATTTCTACACACCATCACACATGCCTGATAGACTTCCCCTTCCCGCTCCCCCTACCTTTGTCTGCATGCACGTGCATGCCATGAAGTTACATCAGCCTACCTTGTCATGATTGCATTTCCCCCCTCCACGAGACCAAACATTCATACAGCACTGGTTTCCACTGCTTCTGCTCAAATAATTTTACCCAGCGATCTTCCTTCTTTGAGAGGGCACCCCTCCCTCTCTTTTTCCAGCACGTGTGATAAAAAACAGTATCTGGCGCGACCATTCCTGCAGGACAATGCAACTACTACTCTCCACGTGCGCGTTCTATTGGCCAAATACCCAGATTATTCACCCCGCGCCATGGCCCCCCCCTCTTCTCTCAAGCGAGCCGGCCATCCGCCCACGAGGGTGACATCACGATGCTTCTCATGTGGCCAGGGTCTATGCAATTTCGGCTCGAGATCATTACTCGACCGTATGCATAAATGTCGTGATAGTTCCCCTCCTCGGGAATATAAGATGAAGAACTCGTCTATGACTTACGACAGCACTGTTTACTTGTGTCTGCAGGAAGTCTTCGCCGTCTCCTGCCCCCCCCCCCCCTCTTTCCATATTGACAAGGGAAAGAAAGAGAAATTATAATCTAATCATACACTTTTCACCATGCTGCGAACCATCTTGGCCACGGCTTTGGCAGCCGCTGGTCCATCCCTATGCCAGTCCGATATCCCCATCAACTCGGCCCTGCAGTCCATTATCGCCAATGCCTCCACGGATCCAAAATACACCTATCCGACTTCCTTGACCCAGGGCATCATCCCCAAGAACTTTCACTCCCACAACGACTATTGGCGTCCTGTTCCCGTCTACTCTGCCATCTCGGTCGGCGCCCTGTCGATCGAGGCCGATGTCTGGCTGTACAATGGCACCCTCCACATTGGCCACGAGGAATCCGCCCTCACCAACGAACGCACCTTTGACAGCCTCTATGTCCAGCCCCTGCTGTCGATCCTGCGCGCTCAGAACCCCAACAGCAGCTTTCTCACCGATGGCACCACGTACAACGGCGTCTACGACACCGACGGCGGCCAGACTCTGTACCTCTTTGTCGACGTCAAGACCGACGGCGCCACCACCTTCCCCTACGTCGTACAGGCCCTCCAGCCCCTGCGCGACGCCGGCTACCTGACCACCGTCAACGGCACCACCGTCACCACAGCACCCATCACCGTCATAGGCACAGGCAACAGCCCTCTGAACCAAATTCAGGGCGTCTCCCCACGTGACTACTTCTACGACGCCCCCATTCCCTATCTGAACGGCACCTTTTCCAACATCACCGCCGACGTCTCTCCCATCGCCAGCACCGACTTTGGCGTCCAGTTCCCGGATGTCTTGTCTAACACGGGCTTCAACAGCTCCCAGCTTGCCCTGCTGCAGGACCAGGTCGCTGTTGCCCACGCCAAGGGTATCAAGGTGCGATACTGGGATCAACCAGGCTGGCCCATCGGCACGCGCAACGCCATCTGGCGAACCTTGTGGGACAATGGGGTGGACATTCTAAATGTGGATGACCTGGAGGGGGCGGCCAACTTCTGGGAGGGGCTGGGCTAGGTTTCTGGGCTAGGACTTTTGAGAGGACATCCGTACGGCAGCAGGAGATATTCTTTGGATATTCTGTAAGTAATTGAGCGATATGCAGCCTTTCGTGTGTGGGACTCATCCAGCTGCCATGAAAGTCTCCTACATATCTTTAATTGATCCAGCAAAAACTTTGAAAACGTGTAGGGAAAGTCATTCGAAGAACTCCTGAATGGATGCGTCTCCTGGCGCTGGAGAAGTCGCATTGTGAAATTATGGGAAATGAACTGTATTGGACTGCGCTGAGGGAAGGAAAAGGAAGGAAAAGAAAGGAAAAACAGCTGGCTATCTGAGGCTATAGAGGTAGGCTGGCGATAGTGGGGCCAGTGACTCATCTGGCCTCGCACACACCCCCTCAGCCAACCTCGCGAGCCTCGTTGGCGATCCTCCTCATGGTGTTTTCCATCCTCTAGGTCCTCCTCACTCTATCTCGTGTGCCAGATCCCATTTCAAATCCATTCGTCGTACCCTAATAGATAGAGCACCGTTTGAGGCCTAAGGCCTGGACGAACTGGCTGTGTTTGATGGCCTCCAACGGCTTCGTCAGGCCGTCAGCGGCCATTTCCTCTGTGCCGACGTGCTGAATGCTGAAGTTGCCCTCCTTCGTCTTCTCGACAACCCATTTGTACCGGATATCGATGTGACGAGTCCTGGCGGCGTTGTTCCTGTTTAAGACGTTGTATTTGGCGTTCAGGCTATCCGTAAACAACAACAGTGGCTTCTCAGGGTGTATACCAAACTCCTTGAGGAACGACCAGACCCAAAGCAAGGCCTGGCCGGCCGGGGTGAGGTTCACGAACTCGGCCTCCGTGGTGGATAGGGTGACGAGGTTCTGTACCTTCGATTTCCACAGCACGGGCGCCCCAGCCACGAAGACAACGTATCCCGCTGTTGATCGACGCGTTGAGAGGTCGTCACCAAAGGAAGCGTCCGCGTACGCCTTGATGATGTTGTTCAATGGCATCTTGCCGTTGATGACGATGCCCAGGTCTGGGAAGCGTTCAAGGTACCTGAAGAGGTGCTTCTGGAGGCGTAGATGCATGGCCGAGGGGCCTACATTGCCCTTCGCCACCTTGTTGACCGTGTATGTGATGTCAGGCCTCGTGCCTGTTGACAGCCAGTTGAGGGCACCAGTCCTCTTCTGATACATCTTCGTTTCCTCATCCATAGGCTCCCAGTCCTTGGGAAGTTCGAGGCCAGCAGGCCAAGGGGTCTTTGCCAGTTTGGTGGACTCGAAGCCGTACAGCTTTACGGTCTTTTTGGTGTATTCCTCCTGCGAGAGGAAGATGGTCGCGTTCTCCTCGTCCCTCTTGATATTGAAGCCCAGGAACTTCTCTGGGTCTCCCAAATGCTTGAGGTTAAATCGCTTGCTGATGGCGGCAGCGACCTCGTCGATGTCCGAGGATACGGGGCCAGCTATCAGCATGTCGTCGACGTAGAGGATCAAAAGGACTCCAGTCTTCTCGTTCCTGAAGATACACAGCTCGTTGTCGAAAGGCTCGAAGCCAAGGTCCTTGAGGAAGGGTGTGATAGTCTCAAACCACCACAGGGGGGATCGTCGCATGCCGTACATCCCCTTGACCATCAGCCAGACCTTGCCATCACGGCGTCCGTAGCCAGGAGGAGGTCTAACAAAGATCCTATTGCCCTCAGGGATAGGGGAGTTCAGGAAGGCAACGACGAAGTCGAACTTCTTCCAGGCCAGGCCTTTGATGGCAACAAAAGCCATGAAGAGCTTGATGCTTGTTGAGGATGCGACAGCTGAGTAGATATCCTCCATAGCCCAGCTCTCCGTCTCGTAATTGCCACATATAACAGGCCTTGCACGAGGAACCTTCTTGTCTCCCAAGGGGTCCTCAGGATCGTCCTTGAGGTCGAACACCCACTTAGCAGGGAGGATGTTTGCACCTGGATCAGGGTCCGACCAGTCGTAGGTGTGGTTTTCCTCAAGTTTGGCGATGCCCTCGTCGCACGCAGGCTTCCAAGCTTTATCAAAGTCAGGCGATTGCATCGCCTGTTTGTAGTTCTTGGGTATATCAGAGGTCTTGGTGTCGATGAGGTGCTGAACCTTGAGTGCCGACAGGCAGATAGACTCGAGGATTGGTTCATGACTATCGTGAGGAACGGTAGCGTTGATGGCGAGGGCACCCAGGCCCTTCGAGGAGTCTGGAAGGCCCACGCGGTTCTTGCCTTTGGCCGCTCGTTTTGGCTGTTCCCTCGTGGGGACCTGAGGAGTGCTTGAACGAGGTCGACGGGACCTCGGGATGGGTTCCTCCTCGACCAGGACATCTTCATCTCGTACGCCCTGGGGAATATCATCATGAGGAAGGTCTTCAACGGATGGCAGGACCCTAGATGGTCCTCCCACCGATTCCTCCTCTTGGTTTATTGTATCTCGTTCCTCTACTGTTGTGTCTCCAAGAACCCCTCTCTGGCCCTTTGTCTTGTTTGTAGGGCTGCACCGAGGGTTGTTCTTCTGGCTTTCCCCAGACCCTTCCCTGCCCTGCACCTTTGTATGTATTTCTGGCTCAGGGGTGCAACCTGGGCTTGGCAATTGGAAAGGCCCTGGAACCTCGGTTGGAGTCTCGTTCAAACGTGCGTCAGGAGCTTGATCTTGAGGGTCTGAGGTCTCTCGGTCCTCGATAGGCGTGCCTAGTCGGATAATAGGCTCTTGGAGGGTAGGTAGGGTGTTGGCTTCCTCGAGGATCGTCGTGATCGTCGTGAACTCGTCTTCGATAGAGGTATCGCCAAATTCAGCCACATGCTCGACCTCCTCCATCTCTGGGTCGTTCAGAGGGGGGTCTTCGCATTCTCGTATCTTGATAGCCACTGCTCGATAGACCTTGTCAGCTTTAGCATCGTATACCCATACGATCTTCCCTGAAGGTGTATCCCAGGAGAGGAGCTTAGTCTTGATGCCCGTTTTGGCGTATTTGTCGCTCGACTGGCGATATGCCTTCTTCACGTGGATCCAGACTTCGCTGCCAACGACTCTGAGGAAGCCAGCATCAGGAATCGCCTCCTTGTCGAGGTTTAGGCGTTCTCCCAACAACTGAATGGGTGCTTTGTTGTCCTCGTTTGCTGTGCACGGGAGAAGGTTGATTACACGGCAGGCCGCTTCCATCGTGAACGGCCACAGCTGTGAAGGAAGATTAGCTGCGTTGTGGGCTGTTCGTGCCTTCTCGACTATGTCTCGGCCAGCCTTTTCTGCCTTGCCGTTCATCCACGGTGAATGAGGAATAGTGCGGAGGATGGCGATGCCGTTCTCATTTGCCCATCTGATGAGCTTTGAGTCCTTGAATAGGGCTGTAGCAAGGCCAAACTCTGGTCCATTGTCACATCCAAGAGCCTGGATCTTCCTGCCCGATTGACGCTCGAAGAAAGCAACAAACTCCTTGATCTGGCCGAATGCCTCGTGCTTCCTGTTCGCAAAGTAAACCCAGTGGAAGTTCGTATCCATATCGACGAAGTGAAGGCAATAGCGACGGCCATTGTATCCCTCCTTGAACTCGACAAGATCAAAGCGGATAAGCTGGCCAGGGGCATTGTACTTGGACTTCTGGTGTTTTCCATACATGTCCGTCAGGCGGTTTTCAAGGCACGGTTCACAGTGGAAATCCTTGTCCTTGACGATCGTGATGCCAGCCCTCTTCGCTGCACCTCGTATGGCCGCTGGGCCAGCGTGCATAAAGCGATCGTGAAGGCGTTTGTACGTGACCGACGTAAGCATCGCCGGTTTGGCTAGAAATCCACCCCCTGAGGGTTCAGAGCGGTCGACAGCCTTCAGGACTGGCACCCCCTCTTTCCAGTTGACCTGGCATACCTCCTTTTTGTTCGTGGTGTTGACGATGTGGTTCATACGGCCGTCAAAGCCATATCCACGCGCCATCAGCTTACCCACGCTGATGAGGTTGCAAGGCGTGCTTGGGGAGAATCTGGCATCCTCGAGCGTGATAGTAGCGACCGATCCATCGTCGCGTACCACGTCGAACTGTACCGTTCCAGCCATTTCTATCTTGAAGGGTCCTGCTGCTGACTCCATGGCTTCCTGTTCGCGTAGTTGGACCAGGTCCAGGAACCACTTGGGGTCGTTGAAGAGCGTCTCTGAAGCGCCTGTATCAGCAATGATGCTATCCCTCGAGAGTTTTCCGTTCTCGACGAGGGCAGAGATGGCGACCGTAGCTGGTTTGCCGGCCACGCTCGATCCACCAAAAACTGTTGGTCCCGCCGTGGTCGACGAGTTCGTCGATATTGGCTGGGTTGCTTGGCCTTGAGTGTTGTTCCTGCAGCCTCGTGCAGACGTGCCATGGCACTTGCCACATTCCTCACAGTGTTTCCAGCCAGTAAGAAGGTATCTCTTGCATTGGCAACAGTAGGAAATCTTCTCGATGATCGACTTAGGCAGCTTGACGCCGTTGACGATGCCTGTGGAGGGCAGGGAGTCCTCGCGAGGCCACTGCCTCGCACCCCCTTGAGCTCCTCCTGAAGCATTCGACGAGGTCGACGTTTGAGCTGTCTTCTTGAAGGATGAAAAGGCCTTGTTACCTGTACCTGTGACGATAGCCGAATTGATCTCTGCCATAAGGTTGTCCCAGGTAAGCGTACCGAGCTTGTGGTCCCTTCTGGCAAACGCGTGCATTTCTGGTAGCACATCCTCAATCTTTTTCAGGACGATAGCAAGGAGGAAGCCCTCTGGGGGCTCCAGTTTGAGCTCCTTCAGGCGTCTCTTCATATACTGTAGGTCGTCTCTGAAGGCTTGGAGAGTCGAGTAGTCTGCCACCTTGCAGTTTGCCAGTCGTATGGCTATCTGGTCGATGTGGTCTTCTGAGTGCTTAGGGATCGTCTTGAGGACGGCGTTGTATATCACATACGGGTCCTCCTCTCCCACAGAGAGGCCAGCGTTCGTCAGCGTGCTCCTCACCTTGTGCAGTGTGCTTTGAAGGAGGGTAACCACTGTTCCCTGCTCTTGGTTCCACTTGTTCCATCCCTTAGGGTCCTTCTCTTCGTCAGGCTCAGGGACAGAGGATTTGATGTATTTGCTTAGGCACATTTGCCTAAGGGTCGATGCTACCATCACTGACCAATCCTCGAGGTTCTTCTCGCCGAGGAGGACAGGGATGGCGTGGGTGATCGGCTGCCATGGCCGACTCGTAGATTCCTCCATCTTCAACGAACTGTCTTGCTGAAGGGGAAGGTTTAGTTGTTGTTGTTGCTGCAGTTGAGGGGCTTCTGGCGCCTCTGTTGCAGCTGTTTGTTGTTGTTGCGAGGGTTCTTCGCCGTTCTCGACGTCCTCGCAGTGTGGTCGAGTGGAGGTTTTCAGGCCTCTTTCTCGTGGTTTTTGGTGATTTTGACCGTCGCGAGCGCGTACGAGGTCAGAAATCAAAGGTGGGCTCGTAATTCAGGGTCAATTGACGAGGAATATCGTCAAATTGATGAAAGAAGAGTGTGAGGGGTCATAACCTATGGGAAATGAACTGTATTGGACTGCGCTGAGGGAAGGAAAAGGAAGGAAAAGAAAGGAAAAACAGCTGGCTATCTGAGGCTATAGAGGTAGGCTGGCGATAGTGGGGCCAGTGACTCATCTGGCCTCGCACAGAAATACTTGGATAATATGCAGACCAGCCTGTCACAACACGACATACCACAGCAGGTTGATGATATAATGTCCATTGAAAAGCTAACTCTAGTGCATGTATGAACAACGACGATAGTAAGACACGAGCTTTTTCTTCAAGCAAGGTACTTAATGTGTAAGTTTTCAGCCTCATGCTAATCACTCTCTTTTCCCATACGAAATCCGAACAGTCCAGTTTTCTTTGCTCATGAATAAACGCTGATGATCTCATGTAGAACCTCAAAAACAACCCTTTACCTTTATCGTTATCTTCCATTGTCCGCCATAATCAAACATCTTGATCAAGTGTTCATACGCCGCCTGCAAGAAGTTCCTCCTCGCGCCCTCTAACCCTACGCCAGCAAATCCCACCCCAGGTCCGAATATTGGAGCTGTTGGTTATAATACCGCTCATATGCGTCCGCCACCCATTGCTCCTCCTCCGCTGTCATGCCCGGTCGTGGTGCGGGGGTAAGATCCAATGGTGTTGGCATGAATTCTTCAGGCCCCCAAGGGTTCGGCACCCACGGCACGTCGGCTTCGGCAAGCTCCGCTTGGTACGGCTGCTCAACGGCGGCGGCCACGGGGACGTCGATCTCGGCATCGGGCGCTGGCAGCTGGGGTTGCTGCAACTCCTGAGACGCTTCAACGTCCTCCATGGGGGAAGGAAAGGCGACACCATTCAGCATATCCTCCAGAGTCAACGGCTTATCGTCGTCGTCGTCGTCGACGACGGGCTGCTGGGGCTGGTGTGCTTGCTCGGGCACGACACCAGGCACCGCCGGGAGGAACAGCTCAGCGTTGGGAGCTGATGGCCAGAGTGGATCGACCTCCATGCCGCCAGGGAGGTGCAAGAGCGCTGGGTTGATGGTGGCGGGAAGAGCGGCCACCGTGCCAGGCTGGAGAGGAGCAAAGGGCTGCGGACCGGCCTGTTCCTGGACTTGTCCACTCTGCCTTGCGGCTTCCAGGCTCCTCGCAAGAGACGACTGTGAAGACGTGTCCGGCGACTGGTGCACGCGCAGACGTTGCTCCTGGTTCGCTGACGAGGGTAGCGAGGGCGGATCCGAAGGAGTGGGCAAGGGACTGGGAGGGTGGGGATTGAAAGGGTCCCAGTCAACAAACTCGTCTTGGTGGCCAAGACTCGGAGGGTGACTAGGAGCAGGACTTAGAGGAGCCTGAATGGGCGCAGGCGCCTCCACTGCAGGCTCCTCGACGGCACGACGAGGAGAGGGTGGTTGGAAGTTATCCGCCCCGTCGCCGTTTGCCGCCAGTTGCAGCCTGGCCCTCTCGATCAGGCACACCCTCCGTGCCCTCTCCTTCCAGTTGCTCTTCTCGGCCGTCTTGGCCTTGAGCTGCTCCGGGGTCGGCTCGTCGCAGAACTTGCCTTTGGCTCCGTACTTTTGGAGCTTGGCCAAGGACTCCTGGTCGTTCTTGCGGGTCAGGGTCCCCCCCAGGTAGAGGTCCCTGAAGTCCTGCACCGCGTCGCGAAGCTGCCTCTGGTGTTTGCCCAGCTGCTTCATGAGGCGCCGCTCCTTGGCTTCCCAGCCGGGGGCCGAGCCGTCCTGACCGTTCTCCACGATCTTGTCGATCGTGTCGCTGACGGCTTCACGTCTGCGGTTCATCTCCCGGTGGGCGACGGTCAGGTACTCGCTCTTGAACCCTTCTTTCCCGGGTCCGTCGGGCCATCTTGGTGGGGCACCTGTTTACGGCATGTGTTAATCTACGCGTTGGATTCGAGCTCGCCAGGAACATAAGGGAAGACGACAACGAGGTAAAGGAATGAGGACGAGGTTGAGCATGAAGAGGAGGTGAAGAACGACGACGAGATACACGACGACGAGGACAAGGACGGATACACGAGGACAGACGATCAACATAGTGCTCTCGGAACAGGGTGCTCTGGAAAACATGGCAATATGCACACACGGCAACAGGAGATACAGCAAAACATCATCGGATTTGCACGGCTTAGTCATAAGAATATAATTACAGGGTCACGCAACAATACAACAGACAGCACAAGTCGCGACATGTTCTTACCTCGCTTCCCCTCCTCACGTCGGACTGGAGTCTGGTCGATAACGGAGAGGTATAGTCTCCGTTGCTCTTGGAGAAGAGGCAGATACCTCTCCGGGACGTTGTCCAGCTCGCCTGGGCCTCGAGCGTGGCGAGTTCTGCCACGGGTTGCCGCGCCTGGGGCACGGGGACCCCGACGCTTCCTGACTCTGCCGCTGGCGACTTGGTCCATCTCGTCAGGTTGGTGGGTGGTTGGTGGTGGGTTGGGCGATATATCTTCTTGACGTGCAAGGTAAGATATACGCAGTCTTTCTTTCACAGAGATGTAAAGATTGATCTGACGATTTAAAGACGTACAGATCAGGCGTGTTACGATGTCTGCGAGTGACGAAGGATGCTTTCTCCCCCGAGCAGACGAGAGAGAGATGCTGCCCTTTTATGGGAGACCTTAAGATGGCACCTCGCGCTGCGAGAGGCACATGCTGAATGGGTCTATAAAGCTCTTGAGGACCGGTTTGGCATCTAAAGATGTTAGGGGGGCTTGCACGACTATGACTAGATCATCACGAGGTCTGGGGAGTTACTTTGGAAGCTCCAGAAAGCCGCCGGTGTCTACCTTCACTGATGTGTTCATGGTGATATAGCGTCAGAGCAGCGCGTTAAGAGCTACTTGAAAGACTACAGCACTGTGTACTCAGCGCCGGCTCAAGGCGTTGTGAGTCGTCTTTGGTCAGTCTGGCCATGGCATGTTTGCTCCCTACTGGGTGACTCGACTACCGCATGCGACGCCTTCCAGAGCGTTCTGGTTTTCAACTTAGCTGCACTTCTTGGAGCTTCGAGACACCACGGTTTGTACTTTCTAGTCCATGATTTCCGAGATAGAAAAGTCTAACAGAGCAGGCGACGTCCAGCCGTCATGATCCGGAAGACTAGAACCGCGTCACGGCTGCTCTGAAAGCTTTGATCAAAGCGATCATCGTTGAGGCTGAAGTTGATCACATGGTGGGTCTCGGCTGCTTTGAGGGTGTCTAAGAAACTATCAACTCGCAAAGTCTACGATAGCGGTTTCATCCTCGTCGGATGAGGAGTCGAGTCGAGTCTGGATCGAAGACACGCCAAGCAAGATGGACACTACTACTACAATACATGGAAGCCATTTTGTGTCGACCTGATCAACATTAGGTAAGATCAGATGTTTGACGGCAGCTAAACGACTTAGACTGCAGAATCTACAAGATCTTTGTCATAGGCCCAGGAGGTCAACTATAAGAGGCGCTATGCGAAAACTAGAGGATATTCCATAGGTAGTTAGACTCAATTCGATGGGTCTAGAATGATGCAATTCCTGTCTAAACCTACACGTATTGAGCAATGATTCAAACTTCTTTCTAGAGACCATGCGCGGGGATGAGTTGCGTCTATTCAGTTCTATCTGAAATGCTAAAAGGGAGCTGTAATTGGGTCTCGAACATGAGAGGGCAGGTGTTGGATTATGGCAGAGTGTGCCCATAAGAGATGGGACGGCCAACCCCTGCCATGAGCTGATACTGTACCAGCACGAAAGGAAAGGTTCTATTTTCGAGAGGGCGCCCTAATTACAGGAAAAAGAGAAAGAAAGGCCAAGGACCAGGGCTCGCGTACATGTATAGTCGAAATGCATGCGAAGCCAACCCAGTCGAAATTTGAAAGGACTCGGGAATAGACTAGAAGTAGTTTATGTTTGCTACATGCTACTATTATTGGCTACTGCGCCACACAATTTATAAGAGCAAACTAGGTATGAGGACCTACCTTAAGTAGTTCGCGACAATAAAGCAAACATGGAGGATGTAGAAGAGATAGCTATGTTCAATATACTATCCACACTACTCCTTAGAGTACACTATGTTCAGTTGAGGGCGAGGTCTTCGGAATGACCCCAAGTCTGTAAAAGTGTCAAACACCTAATTAAGGCCCTTTGTCGTCTCGTCATAGAATGTTGTGCTCGGATCCAGCCAGTCCATATTCTCTGCAGGTCTGCTTGTTGAACAAGGACTGAAAGTTGTGACATGAAATTCCAAGGTTGCCGTTACGTAGGCCCGCCAGTGTTGGCTATCCGTGTAGCTTTGGCTTCCACTGTTGGGCTCGACTAAAAGAATACTACTGTTTGAGAGTCTCGGAGACGTGCCATTAATAGAACAAGACCGTCCATGTCCCTAGGGATTGAAAATGAGCTAACGGTGCCTAGTTGTATTTCTAGTCCAGAAGAATATGAATTACGTTATGATATGTTCCTATCTGTCATTGGTCGTCTTATGAATCACTATTGTCCTAGCATAAGGCCACAATAGCGCTGGCAGTGAAATTGAAGAGGATACCAAGCACTTGTCCCGAGTCCCTGGCAGGCTCCAACGGACCAGCCCAATTGAGAAATACTTGAGATGGCGCCGGAAATTCGGCACGGTAGAGAGACACCTTAAACCTAGGATGCTAAATACTGGAATCATTGAGAGGTTGGAGTTGTCTCGCTTCGTCCTTCCTCGTGTTTTCTAATGTGCACACAGCGTGTAGACGTAATCACAGAATCAAGTAATAAGAATGCTAGAACCGTACAAGGCAGGCAGCACCCTGTAAGCACTAGATGAGTGACAGGAGGAAATTCTCCAGATAATACCACGAAATAGCCCATCGATGGTCGGGTGACCTCCTGGATGACTCTATAAGCCTATCAGGAGCCAGGCCTGCGCGGAGCTTCAACTCCTCTTTTACTTGGTCTCCAATCATCACATGCTATTATAATGTTCCTCAATGGGAATTCTCTCATTCCGTTTGTTCCGACCAGCCTGATTGTCCAAGTACCTTTTTCCGAGCTGCGACCTATCGACATGTACCTCGAGTCTGGCCCTGGCGCTTGGACGAGCCTCGAACCAAAGATTATCCACGACTATGACAGCATCAGCTAGAAAGCTCAGGGTAGCGTGACGAGTATCATGACGCAATGGTGCTATCTTTTTGTGCGTAGGCATGGTGTTTTCGTCTTCCAAGCCCACATGGTCCAGAACATCCAGCAGGCATCCCGGGTCAGACAACGAGAAGATTCTATAGCATTTGGAGGTCCTGATAATACTGCTTGTGCTGTCGCAGAATGCGCAATAGTGCTGGATATTTCTTGGGGCTATGAAGCAGTATATAAACACTTGATCGTGAGATCATGGTCTTAAAGTACGATTACGGTATATAAAAGCATTGCCAAGTACCAAAATTCTGAACACTGACCACTTGTTGGTGGGTAATCTGTTCCAATCTATCATGTGAGTATATCGATTTTGGTCAAAAGCTACCCAAAATCTTACTGGACTTGTACATATACCTAATGTCTCAATCCTCGGCCCAGAATTCTCCCTGAACTGCGGTCAGTATTCCGGTCGTATCTCTCAAAGGTTTCAAGGGGATAGGAGAACCTACAATACCAAGGAGTCTTTGTCCCCGGTTGAATTCCTTTGCATTGTGATCTCCCAACCACTGGGGCATTGTTTTATCGATGCCTTTCTCGGTATCAAAATATTTGCCTCCAGTCGCAAAGATTGCTGTACCGTTGAGTTTGGGATCCCCAGAGCACTGGACGATGATCTTGGCCACATCATGCGGGGCGTTCAGTGGCAGCTTCTGATCGATCCAGTCATCCCTGACGCTTCCCAACATCTGAGTGTCGGTAGCCCAGGGACATATTGCGTTGACTCGGACGCCATATTGGACGGGTGCCCATGGTCTCAAAGCACGCAGGAGGCCGATCACGCCGTGTTTGGAGGCCGCATAGGCGAAGAGCCCTGGCGATTCCGTAAGTCCAGCTATGGAAGACACCATGCAGATAGACTTTGAGAAGGCCGGGCCGTCTCCTTGTGGCTTGCTTGCTTTCATGTAGGCGAGAGCGATTCTGTTGAAAGAGATCACGCTTACGAGGTTGATGTCGATATGTTCCCTGAGAGGGGTCGGCTCCTTCGATTGACTTTTCAGTATACATATTTTTTTCGAGGTTGTAAAGAATGGCCAAGGCTTACCTTCTTCACAGATTCGAGGTCTAGGCCCTCAAACCAGCCTCTAGGCTCCCTGACTGCTGCACAGGAGACTGCCACGTCAATCGTGCCATGCTTCTTGAACGGAACATCGAACAAGGATAGCTGTGAGGCATAGTCCCGTACATCAAGCTTTTGAAAGTGCGCTGATCCTCCAGTACTCTTCGACTGCAACTCTTGCTCGACTTCCTTTCCTTTGGACTCGTCCCAGTCTCCGAAATACACATGCGCCCCGAGACCGTGGTACAAGGCCACAGTAGCAGCACCAACGCCCTGGGCTCCTCCTGTCATGAATTACCGAGAGTGAGCATCGACACGGCAGATTGAGAAAAGAGAGGACGAAGGACCAGTCTCACCTGTCAACACCACGACTTTATCCTTGAGAGCCTGCACATCGCTTTCGGAATACAGTATTTCAGTCATCTTCTTTAGAATTACGTGGTAATAACCAGTGAGCTGAGCGATAAATATTGATTGATGCCGGGAAGTGACTGTCTGTTCATTTTCCTTGTCCTGCGGGGTCGTCTAAATAGGGGGAAACTGTGTACAAAGTGGTGGAGCACCGGGTCAACCATTCCCGCCATGCTGAGGATCTCCGCTTTGCATTCTGGGCTAAACATCCGGCATCGCTACTGCGGTAAGAGAACTGGCATATAATTACAGCTATGAGGCAAGTCTCTCTTTTCTCTTCTCCCTTGTCATCTGGTGTGCCTTCATTGTCTGCAGATTTTTGATGCTGCTCAGTCACGCGTTACTTGCATTTGAGTCGCAGAGATTGGATCCACTTGATTATCCCAAGATGGCGCAGAACAGCACAGATGCCCGCGATCGCAAGACTGCCGTCATCTCAGGTGGTGCCAGCGGGATTGGTCTGGCAATGTCGCAGTATTTTGCTTCCATGGGGTACAATGTGGCCATATTCGATGTCAATATCGAGGCTGGTAGGAGAGTTGTGTCGGAACTCGCCTCAGAAAGCCCCAGTGCGAAGGTCGTGTTCAAGTCATGCGACGTTTCCTCATGGCAAAGCCAGGCGGACAACTTCAAGGAGGTATACACCGAGTTTGGCAGGGTAGATGTCGTCTGTGCCAATGCTGGCATCTCGGAAAGAGGGTCGAGTGCCCTTGCAAGCATCGAGGATGACGAGCCCAAGGAGCCAGATCTGAAGAGCTTGAGCGTGAACCTCTCGGGTGTGATATACTGTGAGTTTTGCTGTGACAAGCGCTTGTGAGTTCTATGCTGATTCACTCAAAACAACACAGCTGTCAAGCTAGCGATACACTATATGAACAAGAACACGTCGACAGGGCCTTCTCGAGGGTCGATTATCTGTACATCCAGCAACGCGGGTCTCTATCCATTCCCAGTCTCACCCCTCTACGCAGCGGCAAAGTCGGGAGTAATTGGGCTCGTCCGCTCGACTGCCCCCATCCTAGAGCGGCAAAAGATTCAGATCAACGCTCTAGCTCCAGCAGTCTTGGGTACGTCTTTTTTCCTGTGTCTCCCCTTCGGTCCCAAGAGATGTACCTTGGGACCACTCTGCTCAAATTACTTCGGGAACTGACGTATTTCCCCTGGTTATCAGTAACCAATATTGCTCCAGACAAAGCTCTATTCAAGAACATGATTATCACCCCAATGTCCACGCTGGTCAAGGGCGTCGTTCAGCTGACCTCTGATCCCAAGCTGACTGGCGAGGTCGCCGAGATACATGGAGACAGCGTAACACTCCGACCTCCGCACGACTACGTGGATGAGGATAGCAGAAAGAACCTGGAGAATTTTTGGAATTTAGGATATGCTTAATGACCACGGCTCGCCCCCAGAAGCATTTAGTACTCGGATATAAGTAAATCCTCAATGGCGAACTGCCGGATATTCCTTTGCTTCCCACATGAATCGTGCTCGTTTACCCCAGATTTACAGGAAATCCACCCCCGCACCTTAGATCCAGGCTAATGAAAGCCATCGTGGCTCAACTGGATGATGGAGCGTGGTGCGAGTTCGCTACCAAAAGCGTTGAATCACATAGCCAGTCTAAAGCAGACCTATTCTGACAATGCGTTTAGAGATCATATCTTTGACGTGGAACTCACGCTTCAACATCCAATGCCAGGTCGTATTCCTCTAGGAATCCACCTACACAGTTTATTTTCCTGCGTAGAATTGTTTCAGGGTTGCCAGGCTGCCTTTTCAACCACAATTACATTCTGATGAGCCAATAGCAACTTCAAAGGAGCTGCTTTTTGAGACATTTTTAGAGTTGATACGATATTACTTGATGTCATTGTCCGGCAATTTCAAAGGTTCATGTCTGATGGAATCTGATAATGAGCACAACGCTGTATAAGCAACACCTTTGCTATCCAAGTGATATTAATAAGATCTTCACTCACACTTGATCCTTTGAAGAACTGAAATGATTTGTTCAAAACACATCAGATGAGGATTACAAAGTCCTGCTCAAGAAGATTACTTGCATGGTTTGCTCTAATAGTGGAGCACACCAGGCACCCTTTCGATGAGAGGCCACTGTTCACTCACCTCAAGTCAGCACCATAGCTACATCGACACATTCACCCCCTCCCCAGGGGGGCGATAGATGAAGCAATTTACCGTTCACTCAAGCAAAGGAAATAATAAACCGTCGTAGTACAATGGTTAGTATCTCCGTTTCCCAAGCGGAGGATGGGGGTTCGATTCCCCCCGGCGGTAGCACTTGTTTTGCTCCCGTTTTGAACCTCCTCTTTGATTTTTGCTCCAAGGTGCTAGATTTCCTGTCTTCTTAGAATAGCTCGCGACGAGATCACAATTTACAGCAGCTGTTCAAGCGTTTTGTTGGTTCATTCAATTCGGTTCAATCACAAATAGAAACGACCAGGAGACTTTTCGTAAGGGGTCCTCCGTCATTATATCGACACTGACACATTTGCGCTTTATGCGTCAATAATTCCTCCGACTAGCAAATTGCATCACAGCATCGTCCACATCAAAGACAGCCAGAACGTTCTTTAAGAAGGCGTCTCCCAGAATAAAAGGCCCATCCTCGCTGGTTGCAATGGCCGTCATGCACAGCCCGCTCAAAGGATCCTGCGAATCCCGCAGTATCAGGTCTTCCGGGTGTAGCCAAAAGGGTGTGTTGTCGATGACGATGGCAAGGCGCGGTGGGGCGGCGTCGCAAGTGGTGAGGTAGCTGCCGTAGAGGAAGTCGTATTCCGCAGGGGGCTCGAAGGCGTTGTTGATGGCGTCGGCTAGGTCTGCTTGTGGGATTCAGCAAAAGGCTGTTCTACACTTATCATGCGTGTGGTGAATGAGATTTGCGTGTGTCTTGAGTGGCGAGCTGGTTGAGGCAAAGGCAAGGCTTACCGAGTGGAAGGTAGATGAGGGTGGTGCCCGAGTCCACAATGTAAGGAATTTTCCTGTTATCGGTGGAGGAACCAAAGATCCAGCCGCCTGGGATAATTGTGTAGAACGAGTACTCATAGGCTGTGGTCTCGTCATTCCCAATGTTGGCCTGTTGCAGATGTATCGAAGGCATCAGCACTTGACCCTTTGTAACGCACTGAAACATTTACTCACTATGATGATATCTGTCATTCCCATAGAGGAGTAGTCCACGCCGTCAAGATCATCTGGAACACCACCAAAGGCGAGAGCTCCGCCAGAAGCGTGCCTGCTGATGGCCACGCTGAAGTAATTCTCCACCAGACCCTGATCGACCATGGTTGTGAAGATGGGCGCGTACTCAACCCCATAATATGAACTGTGATCGCCAAAGGGGCCTGTAAAAACACTCGTAATGGAAGGGTATGCCAGTCCCAAGACGCCACTCGTGATATTGTTTCCGTCCCAGAGGGTGTCGTTCGCCAGGGCGACGGTCTGGTTCCTCACGGAGATGCCGGCGACGGTGACATCCATGGCTCCTACGGGTCCCTGAACGACTTCTCCGCCTCCATACTGGATGTAGAGGTGCTCATTCGAAATCAATCCTCCTGTAAACCCGCCAGTGTACGCGGTACCAAAAGAACAGTCACCGTGCCAGGGTGTGCAGTTCGAACTGGCGCTGACGGCCCACGTATCCGAGCTGCCTGTGTCGAGCTGCAGGACGAGGCTCTGCTTATTGAACACAACATCCACGCCGTACGTAGACCCGTATGCGGTGATGGAAGTGATGTTTCTGTTGCCACTTCCGTCGTATTTTCGTTGGAGCCTGCCGAGGACGGTGGTGAGGGGTGTTTGGCCGAAATCAAGGCCACCGTACCTATTGATCGTGGTCCAGTTGTCCGTCTTCTTGAAGCGGTCTTTGAATCTCTTTTCGGACGGCATTTGCAGGTCTGGGACAACCCGACTGAATCTGACGCCCGAAGGAGGAGTGAACACAGCATCAAGAGTTTCTCGAGGCAAGGGTCTCAGTTGGTGCGAGGACCACTCAGCTGCCACAGTGAGCGAGGAAGAGAACGCTGCAATCAACAGGATGCTATGCATTTCGCGTAACATACTCATAGAGGCCAGCGTCGCTGAGGCGTGCAAGAGCAGCTCAGTGGTGATGCTGAATCTTTGGCATCAAATATCGCTAATTGTAAAGGAAGGAATAGTATGCGAGTCTTTATATGAGTGATTTAACAGGTCACCATTAAACCCAACCAGACACCTTGCGTGGTCGGCAAACCATGATCACAGCAAATGCGTTGGGCCTCCCGGTGCCTATCTCGCCATGTTTGAACAAAGCAATCATGCCTGGATAGGCGAGATTGTATTGCACCGAGAAGAAAACCAAGGCATCACCAGGTTGCGTCTCAACGGTATTCTCTCATGCTCTGGTCAGCATTCATGTCACCCAGAAAATTCGTGAGGCATGACATTTGGAAAGGACTTGGAAGATCTCCAGTGGGACGGGACGGGATGGTTTTGCAACCAGAGGCAGATGAGACTGGCGAGTAGGGTGCGGACAAACTGTTTTTGGTGGTATCACAGAACTCTTGGGAGCACTTGCTGTTATACCTGCATGGATCTTCTTAGTCTAGTGAACCTCTTGCAATCCATGTGAATATGGGTTGCTTGAAAGAGACTGCATGAGATTCTATTGTTCAATGGTTCAATGAGTGGTCCTGGACAGAGGGGATCGTCAGACAGGCCAGCCTTCTTCTGGGCACAACGATCATGTCAAGCATTTCAGCAAATTGAAGCAGGACTGTGAGACCAGACCATAATGAAGCTTTGACGATAGGAGCAAGGATGAGGATATCGGTGACTCAATGCACGAGCGTTGCATGCAGTTTGGCCAGTTTGGACGAGGGAAGGAAACGCACACGCGCGCGCACACACACACACACACAGACACCCATTCCAACTTTTCAATTCTTGGGCAGCGGTTCGTATCCCGAGTCAAGCCTGTGCAGCGCAGTATAACCTACTGCTCGGGGGTTGTGCATGCCGAGAATCAACACAGAGTCCCCGCCACTAACTTGCTTTTGTGCCTCGCTAGTTCCCTCGATGGACATCATTACCTGACAGCAAATTATGAGATGAGCTTCTTTTAGAACAGCGCTGAGGTCAAGCGGTACCATGACTATAGCAAATGCATGAACATGTAAAGAAGAATTTGACTAGGTTGGCCCATGTTTGCGAATGTGGGAAGCATAGTAATCATAGTAAAGGAAGGCCATTAAGGGAAGGCCACCCGCTACAATACTCGCAGATTCGACCAAGCTCACACTCTCCCAACTAGCACTAGTAAGTAGGAAGGACGTCTCGGTCCGACAAGGGAGAAATTCAAGTTGGGAGTGACAAAGACCTGACGCGCGAGGATGAACACGGTCACACAAAGGCCCGACTTGTACAACTTGTACTGCTTGTAGCTGCTACCAGCGGCTCAACTCGCGCCTGTGCCATGATGGATCAGTTCCTCTCTACCTTTTCGTAAGCCGAGAATTCAGACGACAGGCTCCCCTGTGAGGAGGACGACATGAATGGGGTTTCTCGGAGCTGTGTCAACCAAATACGATATCTTTCGTTTTTCCTTCTTCTTTTCCCCCCACCCTGTCTCTTCGTCTTCTCTACTCTTTTCAGCATAGTTGGGGTGTCGTTGACGATGGCGTAGATCACATGCTCGGGTCTAAGTAAGATTCCTGCAGTAGTAAATTACAGTAAGCACTGCTAGCTAGCATTATCCGCGCGGCTTGTTTCCGCTTGATAGGAGCTAATGAATGATTAATGACATCTTTCAAGGCGGAGAGTCGTCAGCAATGTAGAAATGGGCCTAGTGTGGACCGCCTCTTGATCTTGAGAGAGGGGGGGGGGGGGAGGGTAGGTTTTATTCCTACATACTGTGTATTTTCCTCTACTAAGTGTTGAAGCCCAACCTCTTTCCCCAACGGCTTGTCGCCAGGGGCTGACAGCAGAGCAAGGGATAGTGGACAAGATCGAACCTCCTCCCAACAAAACAGAGCAACGTGACGGACGATCTTTCTTTTGCGGGATCCATCGTCTGAATCCCATCCCCAAAGTTTTGCGGTGAAGACACTCTGACACGTAGGCTCTCAAGACCAAGCCGACCAGGCCTTGGACAATCACTAACTGACATGTCTAAGGGGCCACTTTTCCTACCTTGGCGGGCTTTGTGGCTGCTGTAGGATGGTACAGTACTGTTGTAACAGTACTATTGCGTAATCTTGTGATCCACGGACCGAAGAGCCTCGGCCCAAAATCCTCTAGGCAAACGCGAACCACGAATTTACTAAAATCTCGGGGATGAAGAGGACGACAACAAATACAACATAACACTGCCAATATTTGGGACCCAAGCAGAGATCCTCAACGGTCGATACTTTACTTGCAAACTCGCTACTGTACCCAAACATGGCATCCACCGTGCCAGCAGTGCCTGCTAGTGGCGCCAAAGAGGATCCTCCTCTGTCCAGCTTTGCGAGGGTCTCCAAGATAGTCTATCTCTACCGGCCCAGCACCGACCGAAACCCTTCGGGATCCTCCTCCTCCTCCTCGCCCAAGCTCATCCTTGTCGGTGGTTGGATGGACGCCCGCGAGGCTCACCTCGCAAAGTACACCGCCATGCTCCAAGCGCTGTTTCCGGCCTCGCCCATCTTGCTAGTCCGGAGCTTTAGGTATCACTTCACCGGCCAAAGCTTTCCAGACGAGCTCGAGCCCGCCGTGCTCCTGATCCGGTCCATCCTGGCAGAGGCAGCAGAGGCAGAAAACAATAATGATACTCATGATGGTGACGACGATAATAATAATTATAATAATAATATTATCAACAAAAACAACAACAATAATAATAACAACAACAACATTGTCGCCGGGGAGAGCAAAAGCAGCAGGCGCCCAGAGATGCTCATACAAGTCTTCTCGAACGGGGGCTCGGCAGTCCTCAGCCTGCTCTACGACCTGTACCGGCGCTCCGCTGTGGCTGCAGCTGGCGATGTGGGCCACAGCGCTACAGCCGTCTTCCCGCCGCATGTGACCGTCTTCGACTCTGGACCTGGCCTCTTCCACTTCAGGCGCAGCATCACCGCCTTCACCCTGGCGGTGGCCAAGCGCAGCTTCATCGTGAGGTTGTTGGTCAAGTCGCTCATCGTCTGTCTCTGTGCTGTCTACTGGGTGCGCAACGTGCCCTGGGGCCGTCCCGGGTTTCTGGACAGGATCTGGCTCGCGCACAATGATCCGGCCAGGAACGGCAGCGAGGTCCGGCGGGTGTATCTCTACAGCAGGGAGGACCAGCTCGTGGACTACAGGGACATCGAGAAGCATGCGGCGCAGGCTCGGCAGCGGGGGTATGAGGCTCGGCTGGAGGAGTTTGCGAGGACGCCTCATGTTGCGCATGTGAGGGGGAACGAGGTGCGGTACCGGTCTATCTTGGAGCAGACCTGGGGCCATGGCGAAGTAGGTTTGAATAACATAGACAGGACAGGATAGGGCGTCCATAGGGATATTCACAAAGTTTGAGGCTTGCTGAAAATTTAGAACTGACTTCTTCTCAAAAACTCTATTCTCCATTCCCGGCCATGTGGACTCTAAACTCCTTCTCTTCTATCTGCTTTCGAAGTGGAAATCTAGAAATTTCAACTCTGCCATGCACGATGTCCACCCATCACCCTCTTGCGGACGTCTTTTTATGCAGTCTTGTTAGTAAAGAAATTCGTAATGGTTGTCGTTATCATCATGAGCAGTCGTCGCTATCGCTTCTTCAGCCCCGAGCCACTCTTGTTCCACTGTTGTTTACGCCTTGGAGAAAACAAATCCGTCCGCCAAGAAACAAACAAACATCAATATCAAAGTCAAAATCAAAATCAATATCATCGCACCCTCCTTCTCTTGCTTGACCCATGACTCGAACTGCTTCCTCCTCCACCGCTACCACCTCCTCCTCCTCGCCCTCCTCCTCCTCCTCCTCCTCCTCCTCCTCCTCCTCCTCCTCCTCCTCCTCCTCCTCCTCCTCCTCCCGAGCTGGCGGCGACGAGCTCATCACTGTTTCCGTCCCCCATCCCCATCGCGGCGCTGCAAGGGCCACACTCCAACGCCGGGTCGTGCTGATCGTAGTTGACGCCCTTGTGGCAGTCTCCGAAGCCGCCGTTGTTCTTGGCCTCGAGGCAGGAAATGCGCTGCTCGAGCTCGGGGATGGTGTAGTAGGAGCCGCAACGTATACATTTGCCGCTGAAGATCACCATGCGGCACATGGTGGGTGGCTGTATCGTGGAGGGAGTTTTCCGGTGGTGGCTTTTTGGTTCTTGGTCGGACTTGTTTTCTGGTTTGTTCTTCTTCTTTCTTGTTTATTGTCTGTGGTCTTCGTTGAGAGGCTCGTTGGGAGAGGAGAGTTGGCTTGATTTTTGGTGGTTTTTATATTAAGTGTGGCCCGTATTGTCTTGCCCAGCGGTGAGGGAATAATGCTTCGCAGTGACAATAACTAATGTACGAGTAAGGTGTGGTGGTGTATGGAAGATTGTGTGGGCGGCGTGTGTTTGTGTACACGCGTCTTCTGAATCAGTAGAGTGTCGAAGCTGGCGATTGTGATATTAAATGGGCGTCTTGGTCTCGTCGGAGTACAAACAGGGTTACCGACGCTCTGGGTCGAGAATAGAATGTGCCGAGATGGAGGTGGGGTGGTCCAGAGTGCTGGGAACGGGAGGCGAAGTTTCAGGGAGGCGACACAGGTTTCCGAACTTGATCAGGATTGCTGTGTGCGAGTACATGGAAAGAATTATGTTTCCTTTTTCCCTTTCTTTTTCCTCCCCCTTCTTTCCTGTCTCTCTTCTTCTTCCCTGTCTTGTCCTTGCATGGAAGAAAAGGGGGATTGTTGGTAAACGATCGAGACTCCTCAAACACATGCAAGAAGAGAACAATTTGACTGAATGGTGGAACGAATACAATCTTACACGCCTGCTTCTTCCTTGTTCGTCACGCGATATATAAAGCATATATATGGCAAGAGGGGATGGGTAGCCTGGCATGTGCACAGCTGGGCCTGCAATCCGTCCCATGGGATAGTTTTGCGCCGAGGAGATACTAATGTGCTCGACTTCGAGATCGTCTTCTGTGGACCTTCTAGCTCATGAGCTAAGAATCCCGGCCTGAGAGAAAAAGTGCGGGAATATGAGATCCTTTGCACCTTTAAGGGCGGGGAGGGGTCCTTTTGCAACACACTGGTTCACACTCGTTCCATCATCATCCTGGGACCAAATGCAGATCATGTCTATTTGTTCTCGTGTAGCGCGCTTCGTAAGCACACACACACACAGAGTGAGAGAGAGGGAGAGAGAGAGTGTGTGTGTGTGTCGATGTGTCGATGTGTCGATGTGTCGATGTGTCGATGTGTCGATGTGTCGATGTGTCTATGTGTCGATGTGTCTATGTGTGTGGATGCTTGGACAAATGGCAATCTACGCATATTATCGTCAAGGAGGAGGAGAGAAATGAGTGGGCGCCGGCGGGGTAAGGAGGAGGAAGGTAGGGAGTGACTCGTTTGTGGTCCTTTTCCTTCTCAAGAACGCATCATCCCCCCAAAGATGTGGACAATGGCATGCTGTCTCAGCCGGACCCAACCCTCTGGGACCGCCAGGGACCAGGGTCTGAGGCAAATTAAGGCTGCGTCGTGGCTTCTTGTCAGTGAACCTTGAAAGTGGCGTGCGTCGTGTGGGTAAGCAAGCGGTGCTGTAAACTTTTCTTTTTGTTATGCCGATCCTGTGCCCGTCGCAGCCAGGTACTGTTTCGAGCCAGAGGAATACTACGGTAGGTATATTCTTTCGAGCCAGAGGGGTCTTCTTGCGTCAGACGGTTACAATACTCACACTATGCAACCCTGTCGCGCTGCGCAGGACAAAGCGAGAACCGAGAAGGGAGGGTGGGAAGAGAAACAGAAGGGCATGGCTTGTCCTCCCTCTCTTTTCCCGGTTCACTGGGGCCAGCAATGTCTTGCATGCATATGCCGCTATCCTCAACCAAGGTAAGGGCATCATCGACCGCCCGCTCTCTTGGGTTCCCGGGAATCTGGGAAGGATTCTATGGATCCCGCGTTGTCGGGTGTGTTGGTCTTTTCTCGACACTGCTTCTTCTTCCTAAATAGCCCGTTCCCGCAAAAGGTTATGCATTATGCACATACACACACTGGGCGTCTCCAGACTGGGAGTTTAGTAGAATGAGTAGGGTGTTGCCCTCGGACAAAATTCTCAGAGGAAGATTTTTCATCGTTCAAAGCTGAACCTTCTCCTCTTGGGCATGCATGCGTCGACTAATGCATGATCCCACGGGTCTTGTCACCAGTTCAGTCAGTTCGTCCTGTTTTTTCTTCTTACCCTTCCTATTCTCCCCCCCCCTCTCCTCTCCCCACCGCCCCCTTTCTTTCTTTCTCTTGCGCATTAAGAAAACAAGGGAGGACGGCCCCTTATTCCATCACGGCGTCGAAATTGCTCAAAGGGATAAAATTGTCAGGCAGGCTGTCTTATTCTTGTCAGCTCGTTTCAACGAAAGGGGCGGGTCCAAGTGATCCTGCGCCCCAAGAAAGAAGGAGGAAGAAGAGGAAAGCCCAAATCCAGTGGAACGATGATGATCTGCAAGATTTATTCGACCAAGAAGAACCCGGGAGTGTGGCTCGTACTTCCCGCCCCTCATGCCCAAACTTTCTCTTGCAGATCCCATCCCCATTGTACGACAAGGAAAGCAGGGCAGTGGGTATCGCGGGTCACAAGGGACCGTCCCAAAGTAACTCTTGGCGGCATTACTCTCATACCTTTCCCCGCCTTGAGTCCTTGCCTTGAAGGTTCACGTTACTATGGAGCAAGGCGAAACTATACGCCTGCTGCTGCAGCAAAGGGGGTTCAACCTCTAGGTCAATTTTGCCGGGCTGTCCGCAGAAGGAAGGACATTGATTCACCAGCACCAATTCACCCCTCCCCTCCCCCCCAAAAAGAGATGTATCCATCTTATCATAGGCTTGACAGTTCTTTCCCTGTGCAGATCTCTTGCTTTCCCATCTTAGCTCGTGTTCTGTTGGTGCCAAAAAAAAAAAAAAAAAAAAAGCCCAGCTGGGGAAAACACACAGCATGTCGTCCCTGCAGGCAATCCTCTAGTCTGAAACAATGAACCCGAGGCTTCGGGCTGTGGAGGTCTCAAAGTACAGTGCCTCCTCTTCCCGCGATGGATCCAGCATGTCGGGTAAACAGGGTCCAAAATGAGTCACGAGCAACTGCTATCTAGCGGCACAGACAGTCGTCCCATGGAACGCTATCGGTTGCAAAGGGGGACGAGCGTGTCCTGGTACATGGCGTGCTGTCATTTGTCCAAGTACGGCCTTTGTGGAGCAACAAATGGTGTGTGTATGCATGCGTGCTGTTGTAGTAGCCCATACTAATATACTATATACTTGAGTGAATTAATAGATCTGAGGACCCCATCATTTCCTCTTTCATAAATACATCCTTGTACCATATACATACTTTGTAATTCATTACAGCCAAGGTCAAACAGGCCTCGTTTCCAGAGGAGAAGCAAAGAAAAATGACCTGTCGGCAGGATGATGATGAACAAAGCCCGGCGCGGAAATCACTTATCATGATTATGCCGAGTAGGCAATCTTAAACACCCAGCAGTACTCCTCACTGGCCAGCGCCTCAGCACCGACCTCAATAGCAAGGTATCCCTCCTCCGACGTCTTCCAGGCCAAGTCATCGGTCCCATTGGCACCCACCATGGAGACCACGTCGCCCTCCAGGACGGGCAACGTTGCGTTGACCCACACATACCCATCAAGGTCACTGATGATTGGCTCGTCCAGGAAGAGGATGTAAAAGGCGTCCTCCGTCTGGGTAAAACGCACCTCCTGCGGGCTCGCGATCTGCGTCTGCACGAACCAGTACGTCGTGTTGAAGATAGCCTCTGCATGCGCGTGGATCCACCGCCCGGCCTCCCTCAGATGGCTCGCCTCCGTCTCGTCCACCGTCCCGTCCTTCTTGGGCCCAATGTCCAGCAAGAAGTTTCCGTTCTTGGCGACAATGTCCACCAGGGTGTAGACGATGGTCGAGGCGTTCATGTACGAGGCCGCAGGGGTCTGGGCGTTGAAGCCGTAACTGTACGGGTCCATGCCCTGGTTCGACTCCCACTTGTGCCGCTGGGCCGAGGAGTACGTGGTGTACTCTGGGGTCTCAAAGTCTGCGGCCTGTGCCACGCCACATCTGCTGTTCATGACCACCTGGCGGTCCTCGGAGCGAGCCCAGTTCCACCAGCTCGAGGCGAACTCGGCCGTTTTGTTGGCCGTGCCGCAGTCACACCACATAATATCCGAGCCGTACCTGTACGCCAGGGTCTCCATCTGTGGGTACTGCAGGTCCTTGATAAAGTCGCCAATCTCCAGCCTGCCCGTGTACGGCTCGGTCAGGTTTGTGAAGGGGTTGGTCGCCAGTATGCCCAGCCAGTTGGTGGATCCGACCGTGTCGAACTGGGAGAAGCCATAAGGGCCAAAGTCTGGGTTGTACCACTCGGGCAGGGAGAAATACGTCCCTCGCTTCAGGCTTGGCTGGTATTCTGCTGACGCGTCGAACAGCTCCTGCACAATATCACGACCTGGGCCGTAGTGGAGCGAGGACCGGTTGGACGTCGAACCCGTGTCGAACAGGGCCAGGCCGTCGTGGTGTTTGGTCGTCAGCACAAAGTATTTGGCCCCCGCGTCGGCAAAGAGGTCTACCCACTCCTTGGGGTCCCAGGCCGAGGCGGTGAAGCTGACAAAGCCGTCATCATAGTCCCAGTCAGGGCCAAAGGTCTCGAGGCGGTACTCGAGACAGTCGCTCTTGTCACTGCCGAACTGGTGGTTGTTGGAATACCACCAGAACCACTCGGCATACGTCTCGTTGGGGGCGATGCCGCCATAAGCTGGCACCGAATACGCGCCCCAGTGGATCATGATTCCAAATTTCCCATCGTCGAACCACTGTGGTGACTCATGCTTGCCCAGGCTGTCCAGGTCCGTCGTGAAGTTCTCAAAGCCAAAGTCGAGATTGGTGAAGGCTGCTGACGTCTCGTTGAGGCCCTGTCCAGACAGCAGGACGTTGACAAAAGTCCCGTTGGCCGACCCAGTCACCCCAACCTGGACACGCTTCTGATCGCCAGGGCAGAGCCTCTTCAGAGAAGCTGTCTCCTCTGTGCGCACCCCAGGTCCCTTCAAGGACAGAGTCACACCCGATCCAGAGACGCACTCGGTGCCCACATTGTTGAGAGTGACCTCGACAACCTGGTTGCCCGCCTCGGTCCACTTCTGCGTCGGGCGCACGTCCTGGACCGCAACAGAGGGGCCAGCTGCGGCAGTCTCGCCTGCCCACACAGACATGGAAAAGACATGCACCCTTCCCACCGTTGCGTTGTTGGCCACAGGCAGCTGTACCGCCGTCAGAGTCTTGGTCGGGTCGAGGCGCCCTGTGAACTCAAAGATCTGGCTGGTGTTCCAGTCCTTGCCGGCAGGCGTCCAGGTAAAAGGGCTGATGATCTCGCCGTGCGTGATGGTCAGGAAATTGAAAAACGACAGCGCGCGCATCTCAGCCACGGCCGTGGTCCCGTCCGAGTAGACGTACGTCAGGTTGTACGAGACGATGGCGTCGCGCAGGTCGTTGGCGATGAGCATGTTGAGACTGAAGGGGTTTCCAGTGCTGGTGGTGTTGGTGCCATTGCTGCTGCTGGGGATTGGGATCGTCTGCCCCTCGCAGATGAGGTTGTCTGGCTTCAACGGGCCCGTGTAGCTTGGAAAGCTGTACCGGATCCCCGTCAAGCCTGATGTGTAGACCCCTTCTGGCGCGAGGTCATTGAGGGGCGGGTACGACCGGTTGTACGTGGTGTCAAAGGTGGTCTCGTTAGGATAGGTCCCGAACGCCTTGTGATTGAAGTAGGACGTCAGATCAATCTGTACCGACTGCTCGTGGCCAAGCGCAAGGCTGCCCAGCCAGAGCAGGGCGCTGGCCACGCGGCACACGCCAGCTCTTGTCGTCATCATCCTTCAGAGGAAGCTTTTGTCCAACCCACTGCGGCACTGTCTCGAGACTGACCGTGCCCTGTGTGAAGTGCAAAAGTGTCGGGTACTCTGATGAGCTGGCAAACCCAGGCCGGTACGTGCTTTTCAATTGAGTTCATGTTCACCTATCCACCTCCTCCTTCCTATGGGTAGCACAACATGCCAGGCAAATCTTATCAATTAATGCCTTCTCCTGTTGTAACGTTAACTAAACCGAGCTCAACGACGGCCTTCTGTTCTCGATAAGGTGCCTAATGCCGGGTCAAAGTTACTGCAAAAGTGGGTCCTTCATGGATAATAAGAAGATCAGAGGGCAGAAGTGGAGATTTATGGCAATGAGGGCAACCGGTTCTATCAACTGGGACCAGGACAAGGAGTACGGATGCACAGGGAAGCAAGTTGGAATTAATTTTGCAAGCAAAAGACCATCTGCACAGGAGAAACGGGTGCTGGCTTTCATTGTGCTTGATATCTTGTGTGGACGCATTGTGTTGAGACGATCCGTCAATCGAGACTCGGCAGTATAGTCAAATCATCAATGCTCAGACAAAGAAAAACCGTCAACTGAACTGGCGGTGAGCTAGTCGAATCCTAAACAAATCATTTCATTTGAACATCAAACGATTCATCCGTCTTTCTACGATAGTTATGCCTCGAAAACACCTGCCTCCACAAGATCCCATAATACCACCACAACTTCTTTTTCAACCTTCACTCAACTCAGTCGTAACCACAAGTCGAGCCTCTTCAAGACTCGCTAGTCTATGCGGCAACGCCTCCTTCACATAGTCCTCATGCTCCGTGAGCTTTCGAAAATCTCCAAACTTCTCATACCGAATAATGCCAGTAATGTCCCACCTGTCGCCTTCTCCTCCCGCTTTTCCCGTGAATAAGGAAGCGTGCGCCTCGCCAAGGTAAACCACGGTCACATTGATGCCGAGTTTTGCGCTCAACGAGAATAATGCGGGGACGTAGCGGTTCATGTAGGCCTCGCGACCCGATATAGGTGCTTCGACAGCCTCGCTAGAGCCGGCATACGAGGCGATGGGTCGGAAGCGATTGAGGTTGATCATGGTGACTGGCTTGTCGGAGGGGATTGTGCTGGTGAGCGGCTCCAGCGGCCGAATGTGGATTCCGTCAATTGAGTCAGACATGGTTGATCTTTCAACAAGTTTCAAGAAGGTGTGGTGTGAGTGGTGTGTGCAGAAAACCCTAGGCTAGTCTGAGTAACACTTTGCGTTCAGAGAGGATGGACTACTCTTATACTAGAAACACTTTGCACCATTAATTACATCTGATAACAGCTTGGGAAATTCCTCAATTCTGCATTTGTAATCTCAGGACTACACACGGCACAGATGACTCCTTCGCCGGATCAACCACCTCTCAAAGGAGTTCATATTGCCCCGGCGTGTCGTATTGCCGACGTGTCGTATTGCTGACACAACCGTTCAAGTTCGTCAAGCGAGTCGCCAAGTCGCGTGACTTGGCGTCTGTAGGATCAACGGCTTAATCGAAGTGCGAAGCACTGCTGCCTACCTTTGGTCTGCGGGCCTTGCAGGTATCGGACGCATCACTTCGCCCCGTTAAATCCGAACGCGTGGTAAGGTGTTCGGCCTTCGGATAGATTGATTAGCCATCCAGACATGAATATCTTCTCAGCTTGTGCTTTCTGGGCAAGTAGGCCGGGCGTTCGAAGCTCTTCGTAGTATTGGACATAATAGCTCAAATAGATTAAGATGGGTGGCAAATCAAACTTACATTCTGGTAGATAGGATATTCTCAAGTCTGTATCTACTTCTAGAATCTGTATAATCCAGCATGAAGAAAAGTCTTCACAAGTAACTTGAATGCAAGTCATACTAATTTTGAATGCACCTGGGAAATAGCCAATATATATTCATACATACATATACGTGTCCGAATATGGAAACTGTCACAATCGCTCCTTATGCGTCCTTCGTCCTGTTCTGTCCCGGTCCGACAGTATGATGACCTGGTTCGCCTGATGCTGGGGAATGAAAAAATGTGAATTGGCTTTGCTCGTCGGTGAATCCTTCGTCTGCTGCTTCTGTGGGCGCGAAGAATTGCCCATCGCCCGCCTCAAAACCTGTCCAATTTTCGTGCGTAGTCCACAACATGTCCAAAGATCTTTCAATAGGTTCATTGTTCATTTCCGATAGCATTCGGTCAAATATACTTGTGCTGACAGGCTGTGCAGCATGAGGATTGTAAGCCATCGTTTGGTCACCGTTACCCGCTCGCACAGAATCTGACGTCCTCATTAAAGAGCCTGCATTGCTGCTGGAATCAGGCTGTGCAGAAACGGGGCTCAGAAGCATCGCGCGGTCGGCACTACTAGACGGGGCGCGATTTGAGGTCTCGTTGGAAGAGCTCGGACTGTTGCTCGCTGCCGGTCGTTGTGATAGCCAATCCTGGTACACACGCCTGAAGGAAAGGTTGATGACTCGGCGAGTGGACGCATCAATATTGACTGAGGGGTCAGCGAGAAGACCTGCATCCCGCAGCGATGAGGAGACGACTCTGGGAGCCTCAATCTCGAGGTAGGCTGCCAGGTCAAGTGCGTGAATATGCACATCGCCACAAAGATCGAACGTGGGGCTTTGAGGACGAGGTATCCCAGGAAAGATCTTATCCCACACACTGAACCACTGCTCAGAGAGATCGTGCTCCTTGTCCACGCGACATTTTAGCTCCTCGACCAGTTCGTGAGGTAAGCCTTCTGGAAGCTCTGCAGTCGACTTCGGACAAGGAGACTCAGGGATTTGCGAGATATGGTCGTCTTTTTGCTGTTCTGTGTCGAAAATCGTTTTACACCGCGGACAATAGTTGGGGTTCCGCTGGTGCTTCCTCCAAAAGTGTTGCTTGATTTCAGCAACCGTCCTGAAGCCGTTCTTGCGGATGCCACATGAAGGATATCGTTGTGGATTCTTTTTCTGAAAATGGCACGCAAGACGATCTTGTCCGGGATCCACCTGCTTTCGACGTTTCTTGACTTGTGGTCCTTGACCATCTACTTCAGTAGGTGCTTCGATCTCCTGCCCAGGTCGCTTGAAGGAAGCTGGCCTGTCACCCGTCTGGGGAGACGTCGGAATGACGGTGAAAGACTTGGCCTGGGAACCGGCCTGTCCCTGAGCCCATGTGCGGTAGGAGGCGACCAATTCTTGAACTGCAGCAGCCTCGAATTCCGCAAATGGAGAGGCTGCATCCGTAGTCAAAGGCAACTCGAAGTCGTCCACCAGCCAATCCCAATCAACACTAGAGCCGAACGCCTCGCTACCGGCGCTGTTGTTGGCATCGCTAAGTCCGGCATCACTGGAAGTCCTTGGTGAGCCCTGCCTGTCAGAGCGTCTTGCAAATGATGCATATGGACTGGGCGAGCTAGCATCTGGAACCGGATCAGGGCCACTGCATACATCGCTTGTCGGAAGGGTTTCTGGAGAGTTTGGGTGCTGAATTTTCAAAGTCAGAGCAACTTATCTAATTCGTGCCAAAACAGAGACTTACGAGGGGTACAAATGAGACTGGATATTTGGAGTCAATGTATAGTTCTAAACAGACTCCAGAATCCCCGCTCTCTACTGAGCGTTTTGATCCAGATCTGGATGGTTCATTCATATAGGTCGGTGCCGGAGATAAAGCTTCCCGGAAAAGTTGTTGCGATGGGCTAGAGGGCTGGAGAGATAGCCAATGTTGACCGACGGTAGTCTCCGCGTCACTATCCGCCACGGTACTCTTCTCCCCCCCAAAGGCACTTTGGTATTCGCGAAGGAAATTCCGGCGTCTATGCTCATAGTACTTATTGTACCCGGAGGCGCTCTGGGGATGGTTCAAGTCGATACCCTGGCTGACACTGAGGCTCGTCTTGTATCCGTTGAACCTAGGCTGGTTGTCTGGAGCATGCCGCGCGACTGTTTCGAAAGAGAACGGAGGCGCGAAGGTTGACGGCGCAGCGTTGTACTCGATGAAACCGTCACATTCATTCACAACAGATTCCCTGTTGTTTTCAACACAATTCCATCTCTGGACTTGGGCCTTATAAGCTGCCTCTCTGGGACTTGAAATCAGTTTACGCGACATTCATACTTTAGCTTGTTCATGCCAAAGGAGCTGGAGAGTGCAAGGTATGCAAGTTTTTAACTCACGAAGCCTTGAGCCCTTTCCCCTCCATCACCTCCCGAATTTCAGCGAAAGACTTTGCCTGATTCTCGTATAGGTCAATGATGTCATCTTTATACTGTTCAAAGTTCCCCAACATGGTTGCAGCTTCTCGGGAGGGCTCTTTGGGCTCCTGGCTTGTGTCGGTCCTAAGTTCGTAACCGCCTTATAACAACGATTAGACACCAATGGTGGTACGGTTTTTTATGAATACTACGTAGGTAGCGACAGGGTGGAATACTGAACGTTTTGCGATAGAGTTCATGTACGTTGAGCGGACCAGAAGTATTTAAACAGCAGAGCACCAATAATGGTATGTCAGGTGGGGCTCCAAAAACACATTTGTGTTTTCGGCCGACTTGTGGTAACCCCTGCAATCATGCATGAATGTGTTGTAGTTCGGCATAGTGGCTTGAACACGAATCTGCGACCTCACTTTTGGCGTGATTGCTATCGCTCACTAGAGTCACATCTTGTTACGTCGAAGCATCGTTTCTTCAAGCGGTAGGTCAGTCCAAATAGGTCGCCAAGATTATTTGAACGAAGAGACTTTGGTGTTCACGTTTCAAAAGCTCTCTCAACGCGAACATAACCTACCGCAATTACCAAAACACAATTGCGGTTTCGGATATCTGTGAGCTAAAGAAATGTCTTTGTACGCGAAGATGAGGGTGACCCGAAATGGCTATATATGCTATCAGCCTGAGGCCTATGTGTCGTTGAATGAAGCATTAAATAAACTATACATACCTACTTACTTGCTCTATATTATCGAGACGTCCTTCTACAACTCCCCAAAAGATCGCATCCTGATAGACTCAACTATGTCTCAGCACTCAACCTGTTCCGCTGCTGTCACAGAAGATGGCCAGTAGGTTCTGCAAACCCGACCTTTTCCTCGGTTGCTCATGTACCTTTATTCTACCAATTCTAACAAATAGAAAGGAGGGCCACCTGCAAGACTCGGAATGTGATGCTCGAGGAGTATCTCATTAGCCTGACCTCCGTGACGGACCGACTCGCGAATGGAGTTCAGGGACAGGAAGTGCACGCGAAGAGTGGCGAAGTCCAAGCTATGCTGAACGAGTGGCAGATGAGGTTTGGGCAGAATGCAAGAGTCGATGAGCGGCAGGGACTCTTGGATGCGGCGAGGAACTATGCGATGGTAGTTGAAGTAATCAAGAAGATGGAAATGGATTTGAGGCAGTGATTGTGAGGCGACAAGGCATAGTAAGTGGTTGCAAGGCACTTTCAACTTATGCTATTGTCCGCAATGCAATGAATCGTGTTTCCTACTCTCAGGCTCAGAGCATATGAACTCCATGTGGTCGCTAGACATGAATAGCTGCTTAGTCAATCGCCTCATTGTGCAGCGGACCTCTGGGCATCGCATCAGTGTAAGAATAGACTGAAACATGTCCTTCAACGCCGAGACAAAAACGGTCATTCTTAGTGGCCTGGAAGGGCCAACTGAGTATGAAATTGCCAGGATTCCTTGACAGCCTATATGTACTGAAACTCTTCAAAAGTGACCACACCTCTTTTTGACAACCGGAGAGTCCGAAGAGAAGTGCGTAATGATTAGCAGGAGTCCAAATCGAGAGCGCTGAAAAATTCCGCGTCAAATAGCGAGATGTCGTGGTAGGATGAACGTCTGATGTTCGGATGACTGACAATAATCTAGGGATGCAGACCCTTGAACTGGGGACCGTAGGTCAGATGGCACGCGATTCCCTTTCTGCATCTTAAAGCTCGTCACCAAGAGCTACAGTGTTTTGATCGACGGATGATGTGCAGAGGAATGTGGGTGATCAGCAACCGTCAAACTGAAAGATGTGAAGTAAGACGAGATGATGAGACGTGTGGATAGAGAGAAAGAGAGAGAGACAGAGAGAGACAGAGATAGTGTGTGTGTGTGTGTGTGTGTGTGTGTGTGTGTGTGTGTGTGTGTGTGTGTATGTGTGTGTATGTGTGTGTATGTGTGTGTGTATAAGGACGTTTTTCGCCGGGTCCGTGTTGTTCAAGTTTGTATGCAGTCTTTCCTGACATTGGTAACAACCCACGCGAGCGGACAAAGCTGTACGAAGTTAGTGCAGGTACGTAGCACTCTAGGTTTGGTAGGAGTATGCTAATCTCGTCCTACGGGGTCTCTCTACCCTCTGAATCACCACTGCAGGTTAGGCTGCAAAACAGGGCCCACAGCCCTGCGACAGTGGACGGAGATGGTGGGGCCGCTGATAAAGTGGATGCACCCGGCCCTGCGCTTTCGCAATTTGGCGCTACAGGATTGACGACCCGTTGATGGACGTGGATCTCGACTTTTGACATTCCTTTTCCTTGTGCCACCGACTCTCTGCACCCGATCAATCACACACACCGACCACAAACTCGACTCGAGCATCATCCTGTTCCTCAAACTCACGGCGCATCGCAATTTCTGCCCGAGGCGCACGGCTCTACCCTCCCTCGAACCAGACGCGCAACGAGTATTAGCTTGGCGTGTAATCTCTTTTGCCCATCAGGCAGCTCAGGTGAAGACGCCTTCAACATTGAAGGTGACCGTTAGACCTCGCGCGTCGTTCGAAGGTGGAAGCAATGGTTACATCAAACACTCGCCGGAAGATCACAATAACATCTGTGCTGCGATTCGACCAGGCCTCCACGGCTGTTTGGCCATGAATTCGGCCGTGACTGCCTGCCACAGCCTTGCTATCTACGAGCGACGGTCTTGGTAGGGGAGTCTGAGCTGGCATCTGCCCCGTGCGAGCCAGCAAGAAGCATACGACCTACCCATCGCAGCGGCATTCGAGACACGTACTCGGCGCCCGCCGAGACACTCGACGAGATGCTAGGTCATCTTCGATTCCACAGGCGCGGCCCCTCTAATCCTTCTTCTCCAGTCCCGGATCAATTATCGCCGTTCGACCACGGTGAACATCCTCAGAGCGTGCAGGACATCTCGTCACGCCCCGACTTTTTACCAAGGCCCACCAATGCCTCAAATACTCCACCCGTTCATCCCTCAAGCAGCCGTCCAGAGCAGGAATCTGCGCCCGGCCAGAAGCCGCCAGAACAGCACGTCCGATCTCCTCTCAACAGCATCGACTCTGGCTTCATAGGCGGCCTTGCCCTCCAGAACTACCGCCGTGCTTTCGAGTCCTCACGCCCAGAATCGTCTGAAGCTGCTGCTGCCACACAGGGCTCGTCTGCTCAAGAGGGGATACGGACCAAACCTGTCCCTCCACCTATAAATACCAACCTGCCCTCGACACGACCGCCGCCCATGCCGATCAAGGAAGTCCGAACGAATACTTTGTCCTCCTCCTCCTTCGTTGCCCCGACAGATCTACAGAGCAATGTTGGCGCTACAGGGAAGAGACCGGCTGGGACGAGGCTCACCTCGGAGCCACCCATGCTGGCGAGGTCCCAAACAGCTGCAGAAACACAGCGGGCCAAGAAGGGGCTGCCATTCCTGAAGAATCCCATGTCTGGACTGCTGATGCGTCGCAAGGCCTCCCAGAATGCGCCCGACCTACGTCCTCTTCCTCTGCCGCAGAAATCTACCGAGTCGACTTACGATCCCCGGATCAGAGGTACGCGTGTGCACGACTTCAGCGCGCCCAGGCAACGGGTGATTCCTACGAGGAAACCAACTGTCCCGGGCGCTGAGGTCTGGACTGGCTGGGACAAGTACCACAATGGACCACAATCTAACGCCTCCGACCTACCTCTGCGGATGGAAACTAGCAAGAGCAGTAGTGCTGCATCGGAAGCCACACAAGCCGCAACGTCAGATGGTGACGACACAACGCAGCCTGACGACCGTGCCGAGGCGCCTTCACAGGTGTCGGCACAAGCGGGCAAAATGATATCTCTCGAGGACAAACCTCTGCCGGCGAAGCCCTCAGGACCGAATCATGTGGCTGAGACGACAACCCGTTCCGTGTCTACCACATCGAGGCCAGTGTCCGTGGCCTCGTCCATGCAGAGAACCAATCCCTCGACCCGGACAAATCGATCCCGTCATATTTCCCTGTCGGAAGACACCTTGTCGGCGCTACCTAAGCACATGAAGAGTACATCCTCGCGCTTCAGCTTCGACATGATTGGTGCAGCCAGGGCCGAGAAACTGCTAGAGGAGAGACATCGGCAGAGGGAGTTGGAAAGGAAGGCCAACGGAGGCGCGCCTGGCAGAGACTCAGGATTTGACGACTTCGACGAAGACACATTTGACTATGATGCTGCTATGGATGACGGTGGTCTGGAAGAGGCGATCCCGGGCGTGAATGCCGACTACGAAGATCATTACTATGAGGAGGACATCCCCATGGTTGGTGACGACGACATTATAGACGACGAGGACGATCCTGACAACGACCAGGAAAACTTCGCTGGCTTCGTGTTCTCAAGATCCAATCCACAGTCCTCTCTGGTCAGCCCAGCGACCCCAGGGATGGTCATCACGCCAAGGGACGCAAGCGGGAGGCCCATAGGGCACGCAATCACCACCGACAGAACGCCAGGCTTGCTGTCTGTGCCATCACCGCTGCCGGTCGAGGATGTGACCAAAGACAGGCACGAGGGGTTAGAGGATGTGCAGGTCGCAGGTCTCGGTATACAGGGCCTTCAAGCTCCACAAAAGACGCAGTACGATCCTACAGTCTTTCAAGAAAGACGGAACATGCCTATCGACGACGCTTCAGAATCAGCAAACACGCAAGACAAAGGGATCTACTACGATGCTGGACTATTAGAAGAATTGCAGATGGAGGCAGACGAGATTCAGAAGGCCGATTTCGATGAGTCCATATTCGACGACGACGACACAGACCACTTTGGTCGACCGATCCCAGGTGCTTTTGCTCAGAACCTAGCCATGAGAGAACATGAGCAAAAGAAGAGAGAGTCTGACGTGACGTCTCGCTCAGAGACATCATCGACAACGGCGCATACATCTGTCAGCGTGGGCATGCCGCCCGTGCAGCAGACGGACAAGGACGCAGAAGTCTCGAAGAAGCCATCGTCGGTACCCACCTCTCCGCCTCAAGGCCATGAAGACACAGCCGCTGCATATCAGAAGGCCCTGGCCGATGCCGCACACAAAGCTGCTGCTGTTGGCTGGAAATCGCGGTGGGATGACGGGCCTGAATCGTCCGCGCCAGTTGGTGACCCAGATGTGACAATTACATCGCCAACGACAGGTTCTCAGCCGAGCAGCGCTGGGTTGCAGGACGATCAACCGTTCCAGGCCGACGACTATGAGGACGACGGTTTCGGGGGCGGATTTGATGATGAATATGACGACGATCTCCTCGATGAGGCGTTCATAGCAGAGGCCAACGCCGAGGCCCTGGCCTATGATTCTGAAGGCTTCTACGGCGACGAATTCGGCTTCTACTCAGCACCCATCCCAGCTCGCAATGGCTTCCATGGGTACTCGGCTCCCGCTAGCGGGTCCTCCGTCGGGAACGAGAGTCAATACGGAGGGTATTTTGGACCGTCTGGCGCGATCGGCCGCAGCGCTAGCGGCCGTGTGCTTCGCGAGCCAAATCTCACGCCCATCACTGAGCGTTCTGAGTACTCGAACCGCAACTCGATGATGTCCATGGTCCTGCCCAGTGCGACCCTATCAGACCTTCGCAATTCGATGGCAAGCCCTAATTTTGCGCACATGGTGCCGGGTGCTGATGACAGCGAGACCTTCTCCCTCAGCGGCCTGCAACGCCTTCGCGGGAAGACTTTTGGCGGCAGCCAGATCAGCCTGAGCTCGTCGCGCGACGGTAGCCCTCGATCAGAGCGTGCGCCTCTGCACGAGCGGTTTGACGGGGCGTCGAGTCCCGCGCCATGGGAGCTCGGCAGGCCGCAGTCGCATCTGGGCTCGACTAGCGGTGCGCAGCCTCATGAGAGGAAAAACTCAGCCTACTCGGTCTGGAGTAACTCGGATGCTGCCAGTGCCGCAGGAAGTCCAACCCTTACCGTGGCGGGCTTGCCTCTGCCAAACAATACCATTCCGCCTCAACCACTCTTTTCGCCACCCCCGCCACCGATCCCACAGCCATCCCCCGGACCGCAATGTCCACCAGTCTTCGAGGATGAGGCTGAGGAGGTGCCGAATCCCGGGACGACGCTGGCAGACACTCCCGTCGACAGTGAGGCGGAGCCCAGCGCTGTCATCCCCCTGACAGGCGATATTTCTGAAACTGTGGATGGTGCCAGCTCGCTCGGCGCTGATATGGACAGCTCCACCCCCTCCGAGACAACCCAAACAGAGGAGGCACTGGAGAGCGAAGATGACACTTCTGCCGCAGTTATAATGACACCAGAGAACGGCTCTCTTGAAGCGCAGGTCGCCTACGCGAACAATGCAGCATTCAAAGCCAACGCGGCGACCGTCTCGATCAACAAAGATATCTCGGTCTGTTCCATACCGCTGTCGCCGGCGTCGCTGGATAGCCCTCGCACACCACCTCTGGACGCCCATGGTTCGTCTCTCGGAAGAATTGAAAAACAAACTTCGTCCGTGTCTCTGGAGGACGACCACCCCACTTTTCTGCGCGATACTCAGATCCCCCGCAGTATTTTTGCTTTGGAGAAGGAGTAAGAAGTTGACAAGGCGGCTGCTCGTAAACAGCGCGCTTTCGTGGGCTGAAGAAAGAGGGCGCCTGATCTCGTTGAACCTCAATGTTTGACTGGACCGGCCGCGGTATACGAACTCTGCCTATGCCTAGCTGGATCCAACGAAGTGGCATAATGATGGCCACAACAAAGTGCTGTTGGAATTTTCCTTGTCGAGAGTGCGACGAATATTATATAGACACAGGGCGGCATTTATCTTGGAACGAGGACGATATCCAAAAGTTAACAAGCATTTAGTAGCTGACGCGCAAGGCGAAGCATGATACCAAATCATATTATAATGGAGGGCAAATGATAGACTGCACCCGATCAGAAAGCAAACACCAATTTGTACTGTTTTCACCCTCTTTGATGCAGCCCAGTCCATTGATTGAACTCCTACGCACTACAGACCATCGAAGGCGTATGTCTACACGGTCGCAGGAGGCTATTGCGAAGAAGAGGGGCGTAGGACTAGACAGGATAACGGTGCATACACCCTCACGATCGTTCCTCAGAAGCCCTCCCCCACCACCCATGACATAGCAGCAAACGTCTTCGCGAGCAGTACTCAGCGCTCTACGACTGCATCACTTGCCCCAGGAAAAAAAAAAAAAAAAAAAAAGGCAAGGACCGCAGGTTCAACCAAGAAGCCCGCAAGGTCGGACAATGACGTTCGTTGTCGCGGCAGGATGCCTTTTGTCCCTGATTTTTCTCGATGTGGTCACACGGCTTCGGCCGACGTCGCAAATAGCCCAAATCCACTCCTCTAGACCGCTGCTGGTTGGGCATTCACAAACCCGTTTGAAAAGCAGAGAGAGGCCCAAGGGGGGGGGGGGTGGTTCGCGACAATAGCCTTAATTGACCGCCTACGGGATGAAACCAGGCATACGCATGGCGTGGCATGGAACAAGAGAAAATTAGCATTCATTGTAGATGTGTACCGCGGCCTTTCTCTTTCTCTTTCTCCCTCTCTCTCTCTCTCTCTGAGCCTCTGGCTCTCTCCACTCGGGTCCCCACCGTTAGGGCTGGGTTTGAACCACGGTCATCGTGGTTTCGGACACAAGATGATCGCTGTGGCGGCAATTTTTGTCCTCCTTTCGGCTGCCGGCGGTGAAGACCAGGGGGGGCTAGGGACGGGTCCAGAATCCACACTTATACAGAGGCATACATAGTACACATGCCGCTCCTCTTTCTCTCTGTCTCTTTCTGAGTCATGAGTGGATCTATAAAGTGGTTACACATATGCATGTTTCCCTTCCTACACGATGGAACATCGGTCTGCCGACTTGTTCTACCATAGTATATGATCCGGGTTCTATTCCAATATACACTCAGCCAGGGTTCAGCCCGGAAGGGCGAGCGGTGTCCCTTGCCGGACGGTGGCATGGTGGAACCCCTCTCTCCTTCGCCTCCACCCTCCTCGTGCCCCTCCACCCCTCCGGTGACAGGGACAGGTGACGGGCGGTGACCACCGAGGGGTCTATTGGACGCGCGCCAAGTCGGCAGTTTCGGTGGACAGAAAAAGAAAGGAAGAAAAGAAAAGATATGGGCGGACAAGCCGGAATGACGTCCCTGTTTAGACTGGTGAAGAAGGAGAAGAATAAAATGAGTGCATGAGCGATTATGACGACACTATCGAGGTTTTGTGTTTGCTTCTGATGAGTGTCTCTAGACCGCCATATTCGTTCCAGCAGTAGCAGCGGCCAGGAGGGGGAAATCCGTAAAGCGTGCATATAGACTACAAGGCAAATTAATGAAGCAAGAGAGGGGGGAAAAGGAGAGAGAGAGAGAGAGCGACTGGTTTTCTGCCCTATCAAGAGCAAGGTCGCTGTTCCAGCACTGCAGCAGCAGCAACAAAACTACTCAGCAATGCTCATTCTCATCTACAGTACAAGAGTCTCGATCTCGACCAGTCTGGCTGTCCCGGGGGTTGAGCCGCCAAGATGACGAATACGGCAGCGCCCGGCTACAGAGCTCGTAATGACCCCGGGAGCCGCACCGGCTGGGTTTCCAGGGTTTGTACGGTAGAAGGATGTGCACACCCCCCTTTCCTTCCAGTGCTCAACGTCTCGGTGTGTGGGCTGGAGCACCGTTGTGCATTCGGGTCCCTCCCCTCGCAAATCACAGTGCTGTGCCCGTCCTCGGGCGGCGAGGAAACACGCCAAAAGAGAAGGGCTGCTGCACATCCCGTCCGTGTCGTCCCCCCTCAAGGAGCGACAGCGGCACTCTCGCCGAATCAGATGTGTGTAAATGAATGGACGAGTGAGTGAATACGCTGCTAGCAAAGCATGGCTTGGCTTGGCTGGCTGACTTTTAGTGTGGGGAGGAAGATGACGACCGCCGACCGGTGGCCCTTCTGCCCTTGTCTTGGAGTGTTAGTAGCCACTCAGGCCCAAGGCAAGGCGTCGCCTCACTTTTGGATGCTGGGATCATCAGCCAATCAACCCGGGGTGCAGTGCGCTAGCTGGTGCAGCATGCAGTGTTCTATACAATGGGTTGCAGGGTTGCATTTTTGGATGAGTGGGTGGGTGTGCGCAATGCACATGGGGGGGGGGGGCTTTGTTGCGCCCGAGCAGGCCGAGGGTGGGTGGAGTTGGGCATCTGGGGAAGAGGAAGCGGCTTGGGCTTCTTCTGCGTGGGGGAATCGTGGGCGCATTCTGTATGTGTAAGCATGTGTACACTGCATGTATGTGTGTGAGAGGAAGAGGAAGAGGAGGGAGGACGAGGGAGGACAGAAGAGGAAGAAGAGAGGAGTGGGAAGGATAGCAAGAGAGGCTGGGCCCTGATCCATGGTCCCTTCGGTACATCGTACAGTGGAACTGTGTACGTCTTTCTGCCGGTCTTGTTCCCCGCTGTTTGAGGAAGGACAAGGTTCAGTGGGAGGTTTCGACCAAATGTTTCTGGAAGTCCTTGGTCAGTTCTGTCAGGGTCAGGCCCTTGACGATTGAGGTCCAACAACGCCTTTGAGCGCTTCTTTCTCCTCCTTGTTCTGTCTCGGGAAAGGTCATCTGGTAGAAGACGAGAACGAGGACGGCGGGGGAACGGTCATTAGGTAAGTCAAGTTTTGAGCTGGTCCTTCCATTTGTCGTCGAACCCTCTTTCTTTCACTCCCTTCCGTCCTCCAAAGCTTCGTTCCTTCCTCTCTGTCTCTCTCGCTCCTGCACACATACACCCTAGTACTTTAGTACACACCCTCTCTCGCGCGTGCTCCTGCACAGTCATCATCCAACAAGCAAGACATCCAACAAGCAAGAGATCCAATCAATTTTCCGAGGGGTCCTTGCGAATCGCGATCGCCCTTCACCCCTCCTCCACAACATTAATCTTGCCCGATCTCAGAAATGCGACATTCTTCTAGGCTCCACATCTAGTCTTTTTATTTACTTTCCTCTTCTTCCACTTTGGGACCCATGCACACATGGGCTGAGCTTACCCACATCCCGGATCTTTTTTGGCTTCTGCGCTTGCCAACTCATCAGTGCCGTGCAGACTCTCTCTTAAGGGGGTGGGGGCCACTTCTACTACTATGTACTCGTGTACTTGTGTACAAGCGTTACATCACACGACCATATTTTCAAACCCACCCTCCACCTTACACACACCACATTGCGCGTGTGTTTGTGTGCGTTGTCAAGAATGGCTCCACTGGGTTTGGACAGCCATCTGGATTAAGCTCATCTAATCAAGCATTTCTCGAGTCGCTAAATTGCAATGGGGCGACTCTTCAATGCGCCCGGACACGCCACGAGGCGCTAACATGTAGCTTACCATGCTTCTTATTAGGTACGAGTCCCAGCACTACCTTCTGATGACAATAGTGTTATGATGAAGAAGAAACTCTCATAATGCAATTATTACCACTGTGGGACCTCTAGTTGCCGCCCGTTTCACGTCACTTTGTGTTCCAGCAAGCAAACGTCGCATGATGATGATCCCTGCTTCTAGTGCCGTTGCCGCTGAGAAAGAAGGAGAAAAGAGAAGAAGAAAAAACAATACCATCTTAGTCACGAGCCAAGTGCGCCGGGAAAGAACAAGAAAATCCATAGTGTCTCCGTCCAGACAAGTCAAAGTTCCAGGACAAGGCACAGTCGGGCACAGCCGGGGGCAATAAGGCAATAGGGCACTTAACAGGGCAACACTGAATGCCGATCAGAAGGATTCATGCACTTGTTCTCAAGATGCTCACCCAGTTCAGCCAGGCCGAGAACAAGTTGTTTCTTTGCGGGTAATCATCCGAATAAAGACACTCCCACGGCGTATACGAAAAACTGAAAAGTGCGGCTTGTTTGTAGGAGGAATAACAAGGTCAAGAAAAGAATGCATCACTTTCACTCTTCCCGCAGACCATTCCAGACTCGACCACAAAGCCACTCATCAGCACTGGCAGAGACTCGTGTCCGGTTGGGCTTGGCTATGCAACGATCGATCCCGTCCCTCCCCGGTCCAACCACAACGGGTTTGTCTTCGAGGGAGGGAGAGGTGATGATGGAATGGCTGGCTGGCTGGCTGTCTGCGCCTGAAACGGGACAAGTCATCGAGTCTGTTTGCAGCGCTTGACCGCAGTACAGCACCGTTACAAGTGACGTGTCTCGCTCAGAGACCAGAACACAGACATGGAGCAGCAGTGTTGCACACACTTGAAGACCTGGGTATCATTTGGTATGCTGGAGGATGAGGACTGACCAGATAGAACCATGCATGCATAGGCACAGTCAGTCTGCTGCTGCAGTTGTCTGCATCTCGACATGATCACCATCACAACCCATGTTCTCCGGCTGCAGCATGTGCACTTCCATACCCACATTCATCCACGTCTCAACGCCAGCCTTTCGGAAGCGCTAGATTCGGATTGTCGCAGTTCCAAGTGATGACTGGGTAGCATCTGCACTTTGGTAACACAAAACACGCCCCCTCCATCATCGTCGGGAAGAGTCGTGGAGAGCCCATGTTGGTTTTGTTGTCCCCCCTCCATCCCAAATGTGTCCACCCCCGGGACTCTCCACACCCCCTTCGATGCCAGTGGGTTGCATGTTGCAAGGTGTGGGTTCTCTCGGTGGGTCAAGCGTCATAGCCCAATCCCACTCTCGAAAGATTGATTGCCTGAATATATGCAGCATTCTTTAGGCGCTGGGCCTCAGTGGGTACCTCTCTCTGTCTCTGCGATCGAAATTGATGACAGAGAAAACAAAGTGTCAGCTAGACCAGGCCAGCCAGCCCACTTCCCTTTCGAGTTTGAGTACGACATAACATGACTTCTCTGTTGTCGATTCTCATTTAAGCAACTTCTTTAGGTCGAGCACTTTCATGATCGCAGAGGTGTGGCGCCTCGCCTTTTTAAATTCAAGCCCTCTCCCCATTCCCCCGTTCCGCCGGAGCCCCTCTATCGCCTCGAAACTTCTTTTCTCGAAACCTCTTTACTCTATTTGCTACAAGATCATCAAGCCCCGACGATCTCCCTGATCTTCTCTCTCCTCATATTCAAAACCGCCAATCCTACTACGTCTTTACATTATCCACCACACGACTACAGCTAGTAGGAGGGCCTCGACTAAGAAGGCTCTTGACAAGTGCCACCCATCCACATCAAACACAAGAAATACATCCTAGGGTCTTCTGAGTAGAACTTACTGAGGCTTCTTTTCCTGTTGGCCGCTGGTTCGTCCTTCTTGTGTCGCCTCACTTACACACATACACAACACACACACACACACACACACACACACAGCCCGATATCGCTCCACCACTCGGCTACGCCATCACCGCCGTCGCTCTCATTCTCTATCTCTCTCCTTCCCCCTCTCTCTCGGACCCAAACAGAAATTATCAACATGATGAGACAGGACCCCAACAACCAAAGTATGATGCAGGCTATGCTCTTGGGGGACGAAGATGCAAGGTTGGCCCAGCAGGAGGCAGAACTGGAACAGCAGCAGTTAGAAGTGAGGCGAAAACGAGAGCAGCTCGCACAGCTCAAGTCAACCTCCAACAACAATAACCATAAACAACACAACCCGACCATCACTTTGTCCTCACACACTAACCACAGAGTGCCCTTTCCGTCCGCCTCGTGGGCGGTCCGTAATAGTAGTGGCCAGTCTGGCCTGCAACCTCATCAAAGTGCGGCCCTTTCGGCTCCCCGGCTTGCAACCCATCTTGCTCCTGTAAGCCATTCTTGTTCACATCACAGGAAGAATATTTCTTCTCCCAGAATGTCCCATACTGATCATACTGGACCTAGGCCCAGACCACCCAACAACAAGGGCAATATATGAAGCGCATCAAGACATGCCATCCCCTCCAACATGCGATCCCCCTCTCAGGCGCCGACATGGCCCGTTCCAAGACAACCAGTGCTGCTGCCATGTCGGCCTGCCCCTTCACACCGCCGTCAGGCTCCGTCTCCGTCCGGCCTATACCGGCAACAACCCAAGCTTCATTGTCACTTGATGGCCTCGCCCCTGGAGGAACCACATCTCATCAACAGCAGCAGCAACAACAACAATTACAACAACTATCCGCCAACCACCACAACAATAACAACTTCCTGGCTCAGTCCATGCGCCCACACACTCTGGGCACATCACCACAACAGCCCAACTCCTCTTCCGGCATGCCGCCTCCTCCCATGCTAGACGACAGCACAATAATGACGCACAGCGCCACCATAGAGGATCCGGAAATGTACCTCCAAAGACACGGTGCCCTCGAGGACATACCCAAGAGCTATTTTCCTATAGGTCTATCTACCATGGATTCGTCGTCCTGCACCATGCAGCCGCCGCCCACAACACCATCTATGTCCTTTTCCTCTTCCGACCTGTCGCACATTCAGTTCGGCTCCTTTTTCTCGGGTGCTGCCAGCAGCGACACTTCCATGACCAGGACCAACAGCTCCGTCACAGGTCCCTTCCAGATGCTGCGTGGGGGGTCCACCTCATCCGTGAGCGATGTACTGTCTAGCCCTGGTGACGAGATCTTCCACCATGGCAGCAACAGCACCAGCAGTCAGCAGTTTCCCGTTGGCGGCAGCAAGAAGCGTGGTGCTCCTCACGACGAACAGCAGCAGCTTTTTGGGACGTCGCCCCCTTCCAACTATGGCTTCGCAGGTCAGCAGCAGGCCATGTTCAATATGAGCCGGTCTACTTCCATCGACAGCCGACTCTCTATGGGTCATGCACAGCAGCAACAGCCCATGCAGCACGTGTCTGAGGCCATGAGCAGACAAGCCTCTATGCACGCACCACCTATGATGCAACACAACCAGCACCACCAGCAGCAGCAGGAGATGGGCATCTCATCAGAGACCAGCCCGTCGTCATTTTCGTCCGTCTCACCGCACAGCAGCAGTCTGACACCCGACGCCCTGGCCACCTACGGAGAACCCATGCTCCGTACCGAATCCGCCAGCAGCATCAAGTCCACCCAATCCCAGCGAGCCCGCGCCAAGGATTCCCTCCAGCGCCAGGTCGCCGCAGCGAACAGCAGCCAACGCCTGCTCCCTAAACTGGACAAGACAGACCCGGACGAGGAGGCCCAGCAGCCAAGCAGCAACAACAGCAAGGCAGATGCGGGCGCCAAGGTCCCCATGGCCAAAACTACCTACCAACGACCCAAGAGGCCCAAGATCTACTGCTCAAAATGCGACGAGCAGTCCGACGGGTTCAGAGGCGAACACGAGCTACGCAGGCACGACGACCTGAAGCACTCAACCATGAAGACGGTCTGGGTGTGCGTCGACCCTGGTGCCGCCTCGGATCTGAAGCCCTTCACGCCTATCGACCAGTGCAAGAACTGCAGGGACAGGAAGGAGTACGGAGTATATTATAACGCAGCAGCTCATATGCGAAGAGCGCACTTTACCAAAAAGACGCCTAGGGCTAGTCGCAAGACCGATAACAATAACAACAACGAGACGGACGACGACAAGAAAGGCGGGCGGACTAGTGAGAGTTGGCCTGTTATGACGGAGCTGAAGAAGCACTGGATGAAGGCCATCAAAGTGTCTGCGGACAAGGTCATCAACGATGAGGAAGACGCCACCGTCGAGGGCAAAGAGGGCAACGCTGCCACTGCCATCGGCGACGCCACCGCACAGGCCTCAGAATTGCTCGACGACAGTGCCGCCTTTAACCACATCAACACGGACATGAGCGCATCCACACGCTTCAACGATTCCATGGCCTTTGCCGTGGGCAGCAACACGAACCTCCAGGTAGACCTCCAAGTCGACACCAACGACATCTTCGGAGACAACTTTGGCGACTTCACAAACTACACCGTGCAGCCCACCAACACCACCCAGTTCGACGCCGGCCTCGCCGCCCCAGCCTCGACAGGGTCTGCCAGCTTCAACTACCCCTTCACCGTGACCGCGCCCGCCGGTTACCCTCATATCGACCTGAATGTTTTCCAGGGGTCGCAGATCTCGGCCTCCTCGGCGACGGACCCCAGCAGCCTGGCGCCTTTCGGTACTGCTAGTTTCGTTGCCCAGGATACGCAGCAGCAGTCCAGCCAGCCATCGCCGATGGACTCAAACCATACCGGGGACCATGTTGTGTTTGGGGACTTTGACTTCAACAACATGGGCTCTGGCTGCTGAATTTTCTCTTTCTTCTCGTTTCTTAAGCTCGTCCCAGGGACATGCTTATGATTTCCGCCTGTCAAAACCATCATTCGTCAAATTTGGTTGATGGCTTTGGCTTCCAATTGCCTTGACTCAACTTATACATCATGACGTTTCACTTGTTCTTCAGCAATAGCCGCAGCTTTGCGCCTGGGCTTCAGTCAGTTCTACACTATTCTTCTTCCATTTCTCTATCACTGTCAGCTCCTGTTGCTGGAGTCACTCAATGATGCACTGTGTGCACAACAACCGGTCAAGTACCTTTGGATAATCTCCGAATTGCATCAGCACTCGGCGTTGGGAATGATCATGATCACCAAGGCATTTAGCCCCTACGCACATCTGATTCTCGTGTGTGTTGTGTGTCATGACTTTTTCACCATGTTTTCTTTTTTTCCTTGCTGTCCTTTTGTTCCTCTCCCGGGGGGAGGGAAGAATCGAGAGAGACTCGGCACGAGGTTCTGCGGCGCATATTCTTCGGTCGTCAACGATGGATTGAGATTGGTAGGGCCTATTGACAAAGCTCTGGTTACGAATTTTAACGATTTGCATGGTCGAGGATCCGGGCATTTGGGATGGTGTTTAAGCCGATGCCTTTCTATTTTCTTTTCTTTTACTTCTTTTACTCGGGACAATTGGTTTTTCCTTTTGGATTTGGGTTGGGATTTTGTGATACCTCTCTGTGTATATGCACGGTGCAGTGATGATTGTGTCGGGTAGCGTCGCAGGGAAAGCTGTGTGTGACGATGGAGACAGACAAATGAATGCATTGAGGCACAAGAGCAGATACTTGTCCTGCTTGCTGCCTCCATGCTCAACTTGGCGTGTGCCTTCCAAACTCCAGCAGGATCAGTGACTTGACTTGATTGATTTTCCCTTGAGTGCTTATACCTCATGAACATATTTCAAGGTGACTGTCTTTCAAGGTTTGCTGGACATACTTTCTGTACTGTGAACGTCAAGCATCTGTATGCTCACCTCATTCCTTTGTGAACACGAAGTAAGCTCTTGTTCTAGCTCTATAATCCTCGAATCTCACGATAGCCTCACCCTTCAAAAGTCCAACAGTCTAATAATATGCCAATCTTTAACAACAGGTCGTCAGGCTGATCCTTTGTACCCTTTACACTAAAGCCATGCAGATTACAGATGTGATGATGTCTTGATATTTGAATACTGCCTCTGTCACTCTAAATCTGTGCTCGTGTGCATTATTTGAAGTCATCTCTAGGACGTTTCATAAGGGGAAAACTTTATTTCGAGACAAAATGTATTTGCTAGTCAAAAAAGATAGTCGTCTATGTCGTCAGATGGACCATCTGAAAGAAGGCAATGGCCAGATAGAAGCGAATGTGTAAGAGAAGAAAAAGCAAAAACAAAAAGAAGAACCCCAAAACGGCCACGCGTCTCTAAACATCAAGCCCAGTTTTTATAGCCAGCCCTAGCATCATCCATAACAGGAGAAGAGAACACCCAAGAAGAAAAAGAAACAAAAAACGGAGAACACACCCAACTGTCCCTTGCCCGTCTCCATACAGAGACAAGGCGTGTGTCATCCCGCCGACATCAGGACCAAAGTTGTATCCACCTAACCCTTTACCAGGGCAAAGCTTGGCATATCAAGCCTTACGGCGTCTTAGTTGGGGCAAGCCCTACGAGACGAACTGCCAGCTCGCCGTAGTCCTGCCCACACTCTCGCCGTCGCTGACAAGAGAGTCAAAGACGGTCGGCGTGAGGTCCAGGTCCCACATGGAGCACGCCGCGCAGCGGTCGGCGACAGTAACCTCGGCCGTGGCCCCGCCGCTCATGGTGATTTGGATCTTCTTGCCGCAGAGGCTGTTGTTGTTGGGATCACCGCCATTTGTGACTGTTTTATTTTCTCAGTGTCAGCCATGACCCGGTGCTCTGTCACGTTTTGGTTTTTCTTTGCTTTCTATTTTTCTCCTTACGATTTCCTTTTCCCCATTTTTTTCTTCTTTTTTCTTCTTTTTTCTTCTTTTTCAACGTCTTCTTGCCTCTCGGATGGTGAGGTGTGCCAGGAACAGGATTGGTAGGTAGGGAGCTGGCGGCGAGGGGAAGAAAAGGCACCCGAGGCTCAGATACGAAAAGGAGACACAAAAAGAAAAAAGTGGAAGAGACTATTCTTTACTTACACTCATCGTAGAGAGTGGTGCTTAGGGCGCAGATGGAATCACTGTCTGAAAGAGTGCTGCCGCATGCGCCCACACCGTTCTCAGTGTTGTAGTAGGTAATATCACCTGTGTGTGTGACGCCTGTGGCCGAGTCGTCACGGGCAATGACACCGGCCAAGGCGGTGGTGGCACCCAGGGAGAGGAGGGTAATCAAGGACGTGAAGGAAGGCATCTTGAATAAGAAGAAGAAGAAAAAAAACCGGCGGCTCTGCCAAGGAAAGTCTGGGTGTGGATTGAAGGAGAGTGATGTGTCTTGAGTCCTGCTCTGGATATGAAGAAGAAGGAATGAATGTCTTGAGAGCTGGATCCTGGCCGCTCTTCTTGAGGATGAAGTTGTTATGATACTGTAGAAGTGTGATGATGATGATCTTTCTTCTATCGTCCAGTCCAAAAAGTGGGAAGAGGAGACATCTTAAATATATTCACACATCAAGACTGACTTACTCACCACGCAAGCCTCAACAAGGCCATGGCCCCCTCAGCCCACCACAAAATGACCAAGAAACATCCCGTCCAAGTGAGCAATATCAGTCAAGCCTGCGAGGGCTAAGAGAGTGCGAGGGTGCGGTACACGACAGAGAAGCAAGCCATCAGCCGGGCCCGTCTCATTATCAAACCACCCGTGGACGCCCACACGGCCACGACAGACCCGTGGCTTTCCACGAAGCGACCCCCCCCCCCTTCTTTTGTTGTGCCATGTCCAACCCAATGTATTTATGATGCTTACTTTCCACACAACGGAACCGAGAGGTATTTGACAAAGTCCACACCAGGCCAACAAATGACTGGGTCGTTCGCTTGGGGGGGGGGGGGGCGTTCACACCCCGCTCTCGCCTGCCGTGCTGCTTTTTGCATGCCACGGCGTTCGTTGGCGGCCGCGCCACCCGGGATTTGGCCCGTCCAACGGCTCAGTTGGGCCGCAGCGTTTGAATGGCAACTTTGCATGCATATAATATATTGTTGTGTCTCGGGCCTTTACATATGGCCTTCGGCCGCGGAAATCACATGGCCCGTTTCTGGGTAAGACTTGGGGGGCGGATGCAGGTACAGGGGCCGTTTGCTGACGGGAGACGCCGAGGCCGAAACATGCACTCTTCTTTCGCCTTCTTTGTCCCTTTTCCCTCCTCCAGTAGTGCTGTGGCAGAGTAAGGACGTAAGCCGGGCCCGAGTGAGCTTAAGAGGAATTAGAACAAACGGAGGCCCGGGCAGGCCAGACCGGGCTTGTTGGGCAATCTTTCTGCTGGGTTTTGTTTCAAAAAAGGCAGAGGACTGAAACAAGGTATTATTCACTTCCTTCTACGAAACGTTTTATCCCCCTCAGCCAGTCAGCCAGACCTTCTTCCTTCTTGTACTTCATCTATCGTATTCTGTGACAATGTATACACCCAACTGCGCGTCCTCGAATCCGTTGCACATTTGGGGCAACAGATTGCGATTCCCGTCCGATCCTTTACAAGAAAAAGACGCCAGCCACAGCGTCTGGGCATATGCAGGATACTTCCTGCGACTGGCCGGAACCATCCTCTTTTACACTTCTGAGGGGTAAAATGGCACCACAACAGAGGAAAAAGTACCTCCAGCGGGATGAGCCAACAACTTCGTTACTTGTTGCGCGACGAGGCGCCCGCATTATGACGAGGAGGCGGCGCCGGGCCAGCTTTACATTGGACGAGAACTGGATGGTGCTCGCTCGCCTGCAGAAATGCCACTTCCGCACAGCACGGGGAACTTCCCTCGAATCCCGCGAATCGCTGCTCTTTCCCCAAGCGTTGAACTAATTTTGTTTCTGCACACAGGCGTAGGTCGGTTCTGCAGCACGAGACCACAAGACCAGCGGGACGCCGCCTGACCCAGGTCACCCCTCCTCCCGCTCGTCCTCCTCGTTCTTGTCCTCCTTCGCTCTTCTTATCCTCCTGCCGATCACTCACGAGCTTCTCCTACCGTACGGCTCAAATGGGAACACAGCACTGACCCCGGCCATGGCCACAAATAGCGCCGCACAGATGTAGATCGGCACCGGCGTGCTGGTATCGCTCACCGTAGCGATCACCGCCGATAAGATGCCCATGATCCGATTACACGCAACCGCAACCCCGTTGCCCGTCGCCCTGTGCGCGCTGGGCAGGACTTCTGGAGTGTAGGCGTAGAGCGTGCCGTAGTAGATGTTGAGGCAAAACCCGATGGCACACGAGAAGCCCACGTTCTCAGGCTCGGTGCGCACCGCCGTGTATGCGAAGAAGAAGGCTGCTGTGGCAAGGGCGCCGATGACCATCGTGTAGCGGCGGCCGAGGATGGGCAGGTTGCACATCCATCCAGCGAGGATGGGGCCTGGGATGCCGCTGATGTTGACGAGGGCGTAGTTGCGCCAGGAGTCGTAGGTAGAGACGTCAAAAGATGCGCCGCGCGTCTCGAGGTATGTGCTGGATGGCTCTTGTCAGCTAAGGCGAGTTCGTAGTCTGTCTGGAGAGGAAAGTAAGAAAAGAAAAAAAACTCACTCGAGAAACACATAAAATAGAGGGTATGCCAGCCCGATGAGAGTCCATGACAACCAGATCATCAGCGTCGAGATAGAAATCTCCCTCGTCGCGAACAGACCCCGGATGTGGATGAGCGCCTCGTTGACAGAGAAGCGATTCCTGCTGTGTGTGCCCTGGACTACGCCACATGCCTCAAGCTTCTCGAGTGTGAGTGAACACGGCCGGTTGTACTTTTGCGACATGTAGCTCAAGGTCTGGATCAGCTTGGCATCCTCGCCCATTCCGAGGAGGTACTTGGGTGTTTCTCTGAGCCGAACAACCGTGATACGGAGGATGGACATGACAAAGACGAGGGCGCCAGATGTAAACATTGTATCTGAGTTTTGTGATGGATTTTTTCTTCTTGTTAGTCCAGTACGCCTTTTGGAAGATTGTCGTCGCTCCGTCAGAATAGTGGTGGGGCCTCACTCACATCTCCAGCCCATGTTGTTGTCGCGGGTGCACACATCGACAGATGCGCAATTCCACTTCTCAGGTGCTGTCATTTATAATACTGGATGAGCATCCCATCGCCATCTCTGCCAGCTCAACTCTATTGCACTCACCCATGAAACCCCAGGCGATGAAACCAGTAATGGCCTGTCCCAGTCCCCACCAGCAAGCCAGGAGTGTCAGCACCCACTGCTTGTTGCCAGGGAGATACTCCAGGAACACGGTTGTGTCAAGAATCACTAACATGGCCCCCCATTGTATGTCAGCCTTCAACTCTCTCTCGCCATCTCTCTCACCAAACAAGTCAAGAAAAAGTAAAACAAACTCAAACTCACGGTTGCCACCTGCTCCAAACCCCACAAGAGCAATGAAAAACCCCAGCGACGCCCAGTTCGGCATGCCCCCCGCAATAATCGCAGCCGCCGAGCAGATGAAGAGCGACACATTAAATGCATACCGCCGCCCGATGACATCTGCCGACAGGCCCCAGAAAAGGGCACCCGTCAGCATGCCGACATAGACAGCGATGGTGAGGGCGCGGCTGAAGCCGTGCTCGCCGAATTCCATGAAGGCCTGGGTGGCGATGATGGACTGGAGGAGGAGGATGAGGGAGTCGACCGCGTAGCTGGTGGGTGCATGTGTCGGTCAGTCAGTCAGTCGGGACGACGACGGAAGGGTGGATGTTTGGATTGAACCCACCCGAAGCCGTTCAGGAAGAATAACTTCCAGTGATACGTCGTCCAGCCAATCTCATCGATAGCCTATTGACCAGCCCTCTCATATTAGCAAGCCTGGCCTTTCTTCTCTCTCTCGATAATCTATCCATGCACCACCACCATCACCAACTCACATTGTTCACGAGATGCATCTTCACGTTCAACACAGGGTCCAGATCCTGCAGGCCCAAGAGATCCTGCCCCTCGCCCAAGGAATCCGTATCCAGAGGGCGCACATCGTCAGAAGAGACAACACCATCCTTGACGTCATCCTTGGCTGACTTCTCAGGGTCGAGGGCTGCTGGACTCGAGGAAGTGTCCTGCTGTGGTGGTGGGGAAGCCATTATGAAAAGAGGAGGAGATTCTGGTGGTTCTGGTGAGAGTCGAAATTAAGAGAGGGGGAACTGGAAAAAGATGGAGAGGGACGCCCTCTTTCATTCAGAGGAAGACAAATGGAGCCGTAGATCCGTCCAGGAAGTAATGGATGCGTGCTTCGGACATCACAAGTGAGACATCAACAAGGCCCTTGTCTAGCTAAGCTGTCTGGGCAACGGTGCTGCTGGTGGTGGTGTAAGTAAAGAGGGGAGGGGGGCGGTTCAAGGAAGAAGGGGAAACCAGTTGAAAAAACAAGAAGAAAAGCAGAAAAGAGGTAGATAGATGAATGGTCACATGTTTTCCTTTCCTGTTTTCGTTAATATATTCTTTACTCACTCCTACGCAGCCCAACCCCCTCGGAGGTAACCTCCTGGGGAGCATCGAGACAGCGCAAGAGTCCTCTGTGGGGCATGAACGAACACCCCCCGTGCTATGTCTTGGAGCTTCTGATAGGCAGGTAGCGTGGGGGAAGGGACCACCCAGAACCAAACATGTTAGTCCCAAGGCGGGGTTGAGACAGCATCCTTAGCGCCACGTTCGTAGCAGGCACGGCAGGTTCGTAGTATGATACCATAGGCTGTTTGCGCTCATGTACTACAGTACTAGGCCTGTAGCTGAATACTAGGTAGCAGTCGGGTCTTGATGGCTGGGAGAAAACACGAACAAACCCCCCTTGCCAAGAATCTCCAAATCTGTCGCCATGCAGGCCATGATCCGATGGCGGGAGGATGGAATACGAGGGGATAACCATGTACACGCGAGCACTCGCTCGCTCACTCACTATACATGGGAGTCTCATAGTGAACTTCAAAGATACCAAAAAGTTGTCCACATCACATGGCCAAGTCGTGCGTAATATAGCGAAAGGTAAGGGCGTCAAGGTCAACGGGGGTACATTCCAGAGGCAGACAAGTCAATGTCAGTTCAGGTAAAATAATTATACTACGATTGCTTCTCTTCCCGAGATTTAACTAAAGTAATAGCCTTCGTCCTATCTCTTCCTTGTATTCCTTTTCTGTTGTTGTCTCTCATATTGGCCTTTTTGATGACCATAGGACCAAACCAAATGTGCCGATCATATATCCTGTCTGGACTAGCCATCATCATTATACTCACTAATAAGCAGCAGGAAGCTGTGCAGAGGTGAGAGACAACCGTCGCAATCCGCAGTCGAATTGTCAAGGAGGATGAGGGGGTAACGTGAATGCACAGCAGTGCGGGCCGACAAAAAAAAAAAAAAACAAAAAACGTAATATGTGCATCATATGCAGTGCAGCCATGATCTCGATGTCAAGATGTCCTCGCCTGTGGACGACTATGCCAGCTTGCATTTGCCATTCTTAGGGACGTGCGTGAGCGAGCCAGAATAGAGAGAGAAAAAGGCCTGGAGGATGGTCATGAGAGGGTCTGCCAACCACGAATCATGAGTATCGATGCAGAGCTTACTTGAATCTCAAGTTGCAAGCAAAGGTAGCGTGACAAGTGCTCATCGGATGGAGGACGGCCCCTCGAATGAGGAGAGAAATGGTCCAGAGCAGACTTGTTCAGGCTGCGCTTGTTCGCGAAGAGAGACAGAGTCAGCTGGTCAGGATTGCAGGCCTTGTTTGTGGGTCGACGTTCTCAAAAGAGTTGAGAGGAGAAAGACGGTCCGCATGAACGGCAGGTCAAGCGCAGAATCCCGGTGGTTTTTAAGTGGTCGCAAAAGGGTCCACACGAACGGCGATGAAGTCAAGGTGACTACGATCAAACGGAGATACCAGATTGCCACCCCAATGTCCTGCTCAAAGCTGCTCGTGGTTGCATGTGGTCGAGGCAGACAAAAAAAGAGGGCATCGCCCGGTAGCCTCATGCCTGTAAAGATGCCTGTATGTCATGGCCGCACGTGGCCAGGACTTGGCCGTGCGGTGTGTTTTCTTCCTCTTTTTCGAGAATGTACTCATACGATCAAAGGCGGAGAGAATCTGGATAGTGCAAAGAGAGACGGAGCCAGGGAAGGGTTCAGCGAGGCAGGACCCTAGCATAGAGCAGCTTCATCATGATTGCGGATAGGCGGATGGCCGCCATGTCAAGTCAGTAGGGATGGGTTGTGTGCGTGTATGAGTGATAAGTCGTGTCAGGCTGTGTGAGCGCTGTGTGAGCGCTGTGTGTGGGTTTGGGTGTGTGCAGCAGTCGGCGTGCAGTCTGCCAGGCCCATGGCTACACACGACTTGACTACGATGTGCCTGGAGGCTTGGTAGCATCACCCTGACCTCCGGCATTGGCAGCGTTTTGGGCGAAAGACTGGTACCACAGGGCAATGTAGTTCTGATAACCACCGTCTGTGCCATACATGTCAGTGAGAGTTTTCTTCTTCTTGTTTCTCTCACCCGAGAACAGAAACCATCAGGTTGAGCACATTGTGGTGTGTACTTACAGATGGCATAAGGATCAAGCTGTCCGTCACCGCCTGCGGGGGCTTGGGGTGGAGGGGCGCCTTGGTTCCCTGGGTGCTGGTTGTTAGAAGATTGGCCGTAGCCGGGATTGTCATAATCACGATGGTGACCACGACCGCGTCCACCGGCGCCGGCGCCAGGGCCGCCAGCGCTTTTCTGCTTCTGATGAAAAATAGGTCAGTATCACTAGGACTGTATTATAAAAGAAAAGACAAGGATATGCAGGCAAAGAAGAAACTTACCACTGCTTCGACTTTGTCTTCAATAGCCTGTTTCGCTCGGTTAATGGCATCTCGGGAGCCAACAAGCTCAATCTCTCTGTCGCTCGCACCGGGCTGGGGCTGCTGGGACACATTGATCTTGCAGCCAGTGCTGTTCTGCATCTCCCGAATCGTCTCTCCGCCCTTGCCTATGATCATGCCGACCGCCTCATTGGGGACGTATATGGCATCTTGGCTCTTCTCCGGCCCATTGTTGTCTCGGTGGCTGCTGCGGCCGCCCTGCGGGGCTGCATTGCCGTTCGCTCTGCTGTCGGAGTCGACAATCTCCATGATCATCTCCTTAGCCTGGGCAGCAGCGGCATAGGGACCAATCAGGTTGACGGGGCGCAGGCCATTGACGCTCTTAGACTCGCCGACAATGTTGACGTGGCAGCCACTCCGCTCCTGCAGGTCCCTGATCGTCTCACCTCCTCGGCCGATGATCAGGCCAACGGTTCTATCAGGGACCATGATCTGCAGGCAGTCCTCGCCCTCCTTCAGGTTTGCGACGCCACCACGCTCTGGGGGTGGAGCTGGCCGGGGCCCGCCACGGTCTAGGCCGGCGCGAGCGATGGCGCCCATGCCGCTGTCCTCGATGATGCGATTGATGGCCGCGCGGGCTTCGGCTCGACGGGCGCGGGGACCAGTGATCTTGCACTGGCGGAACTTTTCGTCGTTGGTGTTCGGCGGAAGGAACTGGACGCGACACTTGGTCTCGCCCTCAACGCGCCTTAGGTTCTCACCCTGACGGCCGATGATGAGACCAACCAGGCTCGCTTCGATTTCCATGGTCTCGGCGGCATTATCCTCATCGCCACGGAGAGGAGACCGTTGTCGCAGAGGATTACCACCGCGAGGAGAAAAGGCACCGCCGCCCTGGCGGCCACGGGGTCCAGGGGAGTAGGAGCGGTCGCGGGCATGGTGGCCGTAATCGCGAGGAGGGCGGTCGTCTCGGCGGTCGTCTCGGTAGGGGTTGGCATCGCGGTAGCTGTCACGGCGGGGGGATCGAGATCGGGATCGGCGCCACTGATGCCCATCACCGCCAGAATGGCTCTCATTTCCTCCATAACTAGGAGCGCGCTCGTAGGGAGCCAGATTGTTGGCGGCTGCGACAGCCTTCGCCTTGGCAATAGCATCTTGAAGGCTGACGGTGCCAGAGGTGACTGGCTTGATGGCGCTCAGGTCGACAGTGCCACTGGAGGAGGGCTGGGGGTAGCCGTACTGGGCAGAAGGAGGTGGGGGAGGATGAGAATAGTTGGCTCCTGGAGGGGGTACATTGGTCTGAGGTGGTATGCCATAGCCACCAGGCTGGGGAGGGTAGGCTGGGGCCACAAGGCCTGGCTGGACTTGGGAAGGGGTGGTTGTTGCAGGTCTCTGCTGGGTAGCTGGGTGGTTGGTGGTGAATTAGCATCATAACAAATGTTGGATGGTGTGTGTGCTAATAGGAGGGCAAGAAGAGGGAGAGCCATTCTTACCACGAAGCTGCTCCAGGATCTGCTGGATGTCTGGTGTTGCACCGGCCATCTTCTCTGTCTCTGTCTTGTTTTTTTTTTTTGTGTCCTCTGATTGGGAACCTTGTGGAATTGCCAATGTGTTGGTGTCAAGGTAGGACTGAGATGCCAATGTCTCTTTGTAGGATGGATCTTGTTGTTGCTGAACCTGATGGCAGACTCTTGTCAAGACTTTTGTAAAGGATCCTCCGTGTGTTGTGTGTCAAGTCGAAGTCGTCAAGCCAGGAGTCGCAGCCTTTGTTGATCAAGGTCAGTGCAGCGAACCCTGTCCTGTCCTAACCAGTGAGCGCTGTAGCTCTTCTCCTGAAGAACAAGAATAGGGACAAGTCACAGCCCCTACTGTGAAGCAGCAAGGAGGGTGAATCGAAGAACAAAGAGAAGGGGGAAGAAGGGGAGGGGGTTGATTGTTGTAGACGGTTAAAAAACTGCCGAGGAAAGAGAAAGAGAAAATGCAGGTTCTGGTTCCTTGGTGTGGGTAGGCGCTAAACTTGCTTCTGGTGGTCCGTGCAGCAGCAGCAGCAGCAGCAGATATTCACAACTGGTAGGTGGTGTGCTGCCCCGCCAAAAGTTCATGTGTACCCGGTGTGTACCCTGCCTGCAGCCTCCATGTTCTGGGCCCTTCTAAACCTTCTGTGAGCCCCATGTCAGGGTCTTGACTCACTTGAGCTTTGGGGCCCACTTTCAAAAACCCCTCCTGCTCTCTTCCCCAGCCAAAACTTCAGATGAAAATAAAGAGATTCCAAAACGTGAAGAAGACAAAAGAAAGCATTGGCTTGGTACTTTGTATTACATTAATTTCCTTATGATAATCACTGGTTCTCGCAAGGTCCATGGCGTAAGCTCCAATGAATGCTCTTGCTTGGGCTGTGTGCGGGTGCTTTGGCTATTCCAGTGCCATCATCGTACCTCAGCACTGCAGGCACGCCAAACACTCAGTACTTGGTATGGGTATGGATCTTTCGCTATGCTAGGTCAGCACGGGCCAAGGTTCCATTGACACATCCAAGCAAGATCTCTTTGAAACTATTCCCAATTCAATATGATACAGTATAAACCAAAGTCCATTGCATCTCAGCTGAGGCTCCAACACTATATGAGGCACCTTTTTCCCAAGAAGAATCAAGATAGTGGCTAGGGCAGGAAGAAGCAATCAACAAGGCCTGCAGTGCTGTCAGGGGCTTCCCCTCAGGGCCAGCCAGCACTAGATGACTTTTCAACCATCAACAATAACAATTGATAATCCATTCTTCTGCTGGAGGTGGTGATTCCACCTTCAATATCCCATCAGGACTTGTCAAACAATGCCCTTAAATGAATGTATGATTGTGTATAGATGGGCCTACCACCTTGATCTACTCAGCTCTGCTCTGAATCACTGACCCTGTCAATGGCAGGCAGACAATGGGTTTCTCCTTCTCTCTTTCTCTCTTTCCCCCATGTACCATCTCTTTTCCTTGCCCACCCTATTCCACTTCTTCTGTGATCCTCTGTTTTGTCACACTCACTTCAACAGGGACTCACCTCAGAAGTATACCTCATCAATCAAACCCCAAGCCTCATCCTCCTGCAAAGCCTCAACCAACCCATCGTCAATCTCATATCCCTTCTGCTTCCGGCCCTTGGAGGAAGGAGGGCCCAGCCACGCCTCCGTATGCCTCAGCAGCAGCTCAAAAACAGCCATACAGGCCGGCACCGTGATCAGGCCATCAACTCCGCCCTCCTCGTCGTCGTCGCCCTTGTCCGCGATCTCCCTGGTGAACTCGAACGCCGCCATGCTGAGCAGATCTCTGCGCATCTTTCCAGTCAGCGGCTTCTTGCGCATGGCATCGACAGAGCCGTCCTCGTTCTCCTCCTCGTCGTCCTGCTCCTCGTCGTAGCTGTACGGCGTGGGAGCAGCGGCCGCCTCCATGCCCGCCTCGGCAGCCCCATCGACACTCCTCCTCGTGACCGAGACGAACCCGCTCGCCACGCCATCCATGCCCAGCTGAGCGAGCTCGCTCTCCTCCACCGCCCCAGGTGCCCGAGGCGGGTGCAGCGTGGGCCTGGGGAGGAGTCCACGCCCCTTGGAAGTCGGAATCGGCACCGGCAGGCCTGGGTGTGGGAGCGAGCTGCCGCCAGTGATGCGCTGCAGCACGTGGTACATGAACATGAGCACGTCACGAACCTCGCTTGGGAGCCCAATAGTCGACGCCATGCGGAAGATGGCGTCCATAATGATCCGGAGCAGCTTCGCAGGCACGTTGATGAAACCTGGGAGCTTGAAACCTGGCGGGTTGGGCTTCTTCACCGGTGGGGGGTTGGGGGTGGGAAGAGGACGTGTAGGTAGATCCGTAGGGATGATTGGTGGTAGAGGAGGCAGAGGAGGCAGGTCGGGCAGTTTTGTCGGCAATGGAATTGGAAGTATGGGCAGCTTGGGCAGGTCCGTGGGCACTGGGACTGGGAGCTCAGGCAGCTTGGGCTGGGCTGGTATCCTCGTAGGCAGAAGGGGAGGAAGCCGGATAGGTTCCTTGGGCAGCGGTGGGAGGTCCTGCACCCCATCACCCTCATCCTGGCCACCAGCGTCACGAGACTCCACACTATCCTCCTCACTCCTCCTCCAGAGGGGCATGTCGTCGTCCTCGACTGCTTCACCCTGGCCCATGATCAGCTCCTCCTCCCAGCTCGCCGCCAGCTCCCGGTCCTCCATCCGCAGCTCCTCGAGCTCCCCCTGCAGCTCCGCCGTCAGGGAATAGCGCGGGCTGATCCGTGCATGCTCTCCTTCCAGGACGAGGCCGTCGTCGACGCCTTGATAGCTGGTGGTGGTGGTGGTGGCAACGTCCCTGAGGTTCAAGGTATTGGGAGTGGTCACGGGCCCGTTGACGACGACGACGTTGTGCAGGAGCCAGTATACCGCAGTATGGATGCCAATGATCGACAGCGCAGTGATGACCATGCCCAGCACGGTCCAGGCTACTATACGACAGAAGCGGTGGCCGTCCATTTTGGTGTGAACGGAGGGGGGAGGGTCAGTTTGCTGGTTGGCACTCATCGATCTTGTTTAGTGTAGAGGATGTCCTAGAGAAAAGGTGAGTGGGAGAAGAAACGCAAAGCTTCTGGAACAACGAAGAGGGTGTAAGAGCAAATCTCCAGATCTGAGAGACTGGAAATCCCCTCCGCCTTATTAAAAAAGGACAAGCTGTTCGAGCCTACCGTCCACTTGGATGGTTGCAATAATCTTGACGCTCACTTGCTGGCGTTCGCGCCTCGTCCCAGCGCTGAGCGCATCCTCTTCAGCGGCGACCATACCCAAACCGCTGCTTTGGGAAAATCGATGACGGCTTCAACATTGGCCTCGAAGCTCGGTCATTGGATGTGAGGCCATTCACATGTCGGAAGGATGTAGCTTTTCGTGCTTAGTATGGCAGACTGGCGGGAACAAAAATGCCTAGTCTGGGTCTTGGAGCTCTTTCGTATGATTGTAGTTACCTGTCTTCCCTTCCTCCACAGATGCATGCACTTGCTTCGTTCTACTGTGTCCTCCAACCCAAATATCCTCAAGTGTTGACAACATTTTCGTTATCTCCAGTTGGCCTAGAACCATAAGTGACTCGATATCCTTCTGAGCGTTGCAACGCACCTCATACCGTGGCCACCTGTGTAAACTTATCGAGAACGAGTGAAGCACGAAAGAAAGGATATAGCTTGTTAGGCAGCTTGGATTGGACTTGACGTATTGGTCGTACGAGCGGCGAGAATCGTCCCGCTGTCCAGTCTTACATTGAGTTCAGCCTTCCGGCACTATATCGTCCTTGACAGCCAGCTCCAATCGAAAGTGTTTCGAGGTAGAGATCTACATTAGATCCACATGCATCGTCGTTCAGACCATCCTAGATCCGGTCGCGACTTGCTCCTTTTTCCAGCTTCCCCTCTTGTTCTTTTTTTTTACTTCCACTGCACCTTTTGCATGCTACCTTGCTCAGCCAGGGCCTTGTGCATGTCAAAGCTATTCCACAGGAGGTGGGGCTCGTGGCCCATACCCTTGCGCAGGCACTCAAACTCGGCCTTGTCGAAGTATTCCCTCAGGATGGGCTTGTAAACGTCGTGCGCGCACTTTTCAATGATGACCCTGGCCCTCTCTCTGGGGCTTAGGCCTCGCACGTCAGCCAGGCCGCATTCGGTGACGATGACGTCCAGGTCGTGCTCCGTCTGGTCGACGTGCGTGCACATGGGTACGATGCATGAGACGCCATGGGGGTCCGTCTTGCTGGGCCGGGTGGAAGGGGTGTGCATGATGCTGTATTTGGAGGACCGCAAGAAATCGGCAGATCCGCCCAGGCCATTGAGCATGCGGCTGCCCATGACGCAGGTGCTGTTGGCGTGCGCGTAGATGTCCACCTCAACGGGAGTATTCATGCCGATGACGCCGAGGCGGCGGATAATCTCGGGCGAGTTGGACACCTGCTGGGAGCGCAGGAGAAGCTTGTTGTGGTAAGACTCCCAGTTGTCGTAAAAACGCTTGAAGCCGTCGGGCGAGAAGCGCACCGACGTGGCCGTGGCAAAGTCCAGCTTACCTGAGTCAAAGAGGTCCAGGAACGTGTCCTGGATGACCTCGGTCCAGACGTTGAGGTTCTCGAACTTGGAGTCCGCCAACCCGCCGATGACGGCATTGGCAATGTTTCCGATGCCGGATTGGATGGGCAGCAAGTTCTGTGGCAGGCGGCCGTGCTTGACCTCGTGGTCCCAGAACTCGATGATGTGGTCGGCGATGGCCTGCGAGCTGGCGTCGGCTTCCGTGTTGGGCGCGGTCTGATCCGGGTAGTCGGAATGCAGGACGCCTACCACCTTCTCTGGGTCGATCGGGATTGAGGTCGTGCCAATGCGGTCCTCGACACCCATAATCAGGTAGGGCTTCCGCCTTGGGGGCAGGTCGGTCATTGTGATGTCGTGCAGGCCCTCGAAGCTGGGGATGGACGTGTTCACCTCGATGATGATCTTGTCAGCCAGCTGCACCAGCTCTGGCGTCGCGCCGACTGATGCGCCGGGCACGATGCTGCCGTCCTCCTTGATGGCCGTTGCCTCGACGACTACCACGTCGAGCTTGTTGTTTGGTCGATCTTTCGTGTAGAAGCCCTGCGACGTATTCTCTCAGTATGCATGCCGTCTTTCTCTCGCTTTTTCCTTTGTTGATCTAGCAGCCACCTTTGGGCGAGGAAGGGCACGTACGTATACAAGATCCACGGGAAACATAGACAGATGCTTGTCGAAAAAGTTGATCCGCCCTTCATTGATACCCTTGGCAATAGCCTTGCCGACCTGATGTGGACTTCTTCTCTCAATCATATCCAGCCCAGCCCATCTGTTCTCCGTCTCGGCGCCAGACGACGCGCCAACAAAGAGTGTGTACTTCAGCTGGCCCTGGAGGCCGTTCTTCTCGACGTGATCGGCCAGAAATGTAGGCATCTTCCTGTATAAGCGCACAAGGCAGGTCCACTGGTCAGCCTCCCACCCAAGAAGTATGTACGTCCTCTCATCTCCCATCTCCCAATGCCCTATCTACCTGCTCATTCTAGGGATAGAAAGACTCACTTGGGGTATCCGACACCCGTGAATCCACTCCAGCCGATGTACGAGCCATTGGGAAAGTGTTTAAGCAGGTCCTGGGGGTGGCACAGCTTGTTGAGCATCGACGGCCTGCGGACGCGTGCCTTCAAGGCCGCAGAAGCTATAGGTGATGCCATCTTGTATTGTCTCCTCCTTCTTTTTTTCTTTATTATACAATTACGGTCTCACGGTCGATCGTGGGGGAGGGTTGATCCTCGTGTGTTTAGAAAATGGGCGTACAGAACGGAAAAGAGTGGAGAGGGTATAAACGGTACGCAGGCGAGCAGTGCTGCATCGAAAAGAGGAAGTAGAAGAGAGAATTTTCTCGACCTCCGAATCCGAAAGGAAGGGATCCGGGGCTTTATGTATTATGTATGAGATAACCGGGTCGTTGGCAGCACAGGTCCTGTCCTGTCCAGGCGCGGGTCGGACGATGCGTGCGGTTGCGGGAGCTGCTCTGAGCCAAGTGGCCAATGGGGCCGGGAAGTGCGGTGGGGCACTAACAGCTTGCAGCCCTCCATGCGGGAAGAGCCTGGCAGTGCCTGGGACAGGCCCCTAGATTCTGTTGTTAGGGAGGTTGATGGCGGGATGACGTCTGGACTCCCCACAGTAGCTTCTCTGTGCTGTTTCCTCTTGCTCTGTTACTGCTCCTCAGCCCAGGACAATTTTTCTTGGGTAGTCTGTAACCGCAGTACTTCAAGTAAACTCTCTCTCTCTCTACCTGATTCTCAAGGATCGAGGATTTGAAGTTTTGTTTTTCTCTCTTCTTACCCATCTCGTATGATGAATTGCGCGTGACACTGTTCCTTGTCCTTCCTAAAATATACGTACTACTCATTGTATTACTTGCGGATCCGGCCCTGCCCCAGAAGAGCTATCAAAAGGATGGGGAGGGGGCCACCGCCCCACAGCAGGCCAAAGTGACATTGCATGGCAAAGATGCGAGCCTCTGAAGCTCCCGTTCGTCCGTCCAGCCTCGCCTTGTCCTCGGTAATGGTGATGCATTCCCACCAGCACGGCGGTGGCTCAAACAGGGCCCCCAGTCGAGGCTTCCTTCAATGGATGGATGTTGATTCGTGCAAGACATGTACAGCTTACCATCTCAATTGTGATTTGCCATATTTCAATGTCACATTGGGTCATGCATGTACTTAGTCGACTACCACTGCATGAAAGTCCATTATTTCGCCTTCTTTTTCTTTTTTTTTTTTTTTTTTTTTCTTTTTTTCCCTGACTGGAGGCGCGGTTCGCGACCTCGCGAATGCCGAGTCATGGCACTGTGGATTTACACCTAGGGCTCCAAAGTCAATTCAATAGCGACAACACAAAGGCTCTAAGAGAAAATAATGATACGATAAACAAAGCGGTAGTGGGTATGGAAAGTCAAATTACGTATGAATGATTTATGACATTCCCTGCCTAACGCATGTGAAGAAGAAAATAGCCCAATGCTATGGTATCGTTTCGTGTCATCGTTCCCATCAATGCGAGGGCCCCATCCCTTTTAACCATTACAACAAGTCATGTTGAATCTGTTTCATGAGCCTGTGTTCATTTACACCCCGGCCCCTTCTCACCTCAGCTTGTGACCCCCTCGTTCCTTGCGCGACGGGACAGCATCGAATTATTTAGCGGACGCCCAGACGATGATCCGCAGCTGCGGTCCGATCTCGCAGCAGCTATAATCTAGACCACAGTCTTCTGCGTGTCCGGTGCGGCCCCGCCCACGACGTCCTCGACCGTCTCGTCTGTAAACTTGAGGTCCTCTTCGAGAGGAACAGTGTCCTGGACCCGGAGCCAGATGATGGGCGAGGCAATAAGCAGTGCAGCGGCCAGCAGGCCCCATGTCGCGCCGAAGATTGTGTTGTACGGCTTCCCGAGGGCATCGACGCGCCAGAAGATGGCGGCACCAGCGGACTGGATGCCCTTGTAGAAACCAGCCAGGTTGGCAGCCTTGCGGGAGTTGTTGGAGAGGGCGCCCATTGTCCTGCGAGGAAAAATTGCTGTCAGTATCACATACACACGCGCGCGCGCACGCACACACACTGATATTTTTATGGCTGCCAGGGTGCTGACGGTGCAAGGCTACGTACCAGTAGATGGTGGTCTGCCAACAGGCATCAAAGAAACCGTAAAAAATGTACAGAAACATGGGCGCGATGTACTTGTGACCACCGTCGGTCCAGTCAACACCAACAAAGGTCTTGGCAGAAGTCTCGGCGCGCGAGGGTTGATCCTTTTGCCAGGCCCAGCCTCCGCCCCAGATGATAAAGGTCAGCACGAACAGCGTGATGAAGGCAATCCTGGCCTTGAGGCTGCGGCGCATTTTGCCATAGTCCAAGGAGTAGCCGAAGATGACCGCGCCGAAGATCTGTGCGGACCAGTACAGCACGTTGTTGAGGGCACGGGTGCGCGTGTTGAACTGGCCGGCGTTCATGTCGTTGGTCTGGTAAGTGTAGAAGACATTGCTGGCGAAGAACATGGGGAACAGAAGCACAATCCACGGGTCTTGATACAGCGTCTCCCATAGCCCGAGGATCTCGGTCTGCCAGGATGGGTTCTTCATCAGGATGACGTGCGAGCCGTCCTCGCGCTGCACCCTGTCAGCGTTGCACAGGAACAGGGCCAGCACCGCGCCCACAAACATGAGCACGATGAAGGCAGCATACGTGCCATCGGTCACGGCGCCTGTCTGATTGTTGACGTTCTGGCCCAGGGGAATCAGCGCACCGACAACAGCGCCGAGGTTGAAGATGATCCAGAACCACGAGATGTAGCGGCCCTTGTACTGCTCAGGGGGGTAGGACATCATGATGGCTCCCTGACCGGTCCAGAGCAGACCGGCGCACACGCCCAGGAAGGCGCCGGCGAAGACGACGAAGCCCAGGTTCTGGTCATGAGAATAGGACAGGAAGGAGGCTGCGTAGAGGCAGTAGCCCAGGCCGCCGATGGACATGGTCAGCCTGATGCCGAGGCGGTTGGCGAAGGTGCCGGCGAAGAAACCGACCACGGCGAAGGTCGAGTACAGGGCGGTGTTGGCATCGTCAGAGGCAAGTGTGGAGAGCTGGCCAGCGCCGCCCATACCCACGATGGCGTTGAACATGCCAGGGCACAAGAAACAGACCATGGCGACCATGAACAGTTGGCACTTGGGCGAGGCGTACCAGAACTCAGAATTGCGAATCCTGAAGCCCTTGTACATCCATCCTAGAGGACGGGCAATTGTGCCATCAGCCTGGTGGGCGGCAGAATAAACTGGTGACACGGCAGCTTTTTCATCTACGCCGGTATTGACAGCGGTCTCCTTGGCCTCGGGGCCGACGTCGACCTTGGTCTCTGTGTCCGTCATTTCGAATATCTTATATGGAGGCTTCTCTACCCGCGTATGCGTCTCTTGGGTGTTGTGCAGTAGGTGAACAAGAATTAATGTGGTCTGTGGTGGAGCAGGTCGCCTTTGATGATGGCAGCGGTCTTCAGTCAAGAGCACTTGATCAGGCGAGGCGAGAAGAGCTTGTATGAGAAGAAAGAGAGAGAGAGAGAGAGAGTCAAGAGACAGAGAATAGCAAGGAGGAAAACCACGTCAATGGGATGTCGAGGGCAATGCGAGAGTAAATGTGGTTTTGAATTGGTGGTCTCGCGATCCCTCGCATGCAAGATAACAGGCCAGCAGCCTACAGAAGATGCAGGATCTCCAGGGTCTGCTCTAGCGATGGAGCATGTGAACAGGGGTTGTTTGGGGTAAGCTGTGGGGTTGGGACAAGCTGGAGGCAAAGTGCGATGCCCCTTTGCAGGGTGCCACTGCCAATTTTCTACGGCTGGTCAGTAGCAATGCTGCAATGTGTCATAACACGGCAAACCATGAGCCCTAGGTGCTGTGGTGGAAGGGTGGGTTGATTGTGGCTGGAGTAGTACCATGAGTAGGAGGTACTACTATCTAAAGTGATGTGTGTGTGTGTGTGTGTGTGTGTGTGTGCTCGATGTAATGTAACACTGGAAGGGATCCTTCACATGCCGCCCTACTTCCCCGTCCTTTGAAGCTGAAGGGCGAGCCCAATCTGGAGGATTCCTGGCAGGCGAGAGATAGGTGAGAGCACAGTCGGTAGGGGCATGCTATTGGGTGTCCAACACGACAATGGTTTGCAAAGATGGCTGATTGTGAGCCAGGAGGAGACCAAGGTGAAAGGCCACTCATATGTTGTCTATGTGGTGATACTGTTGTCTGGTACCTTGATACGAAAAGAAATGCTCGTGAGTCTTGCCGTCTTACTTCGTATAGTGAGTGGCATGTATGCATTTCTGGGACCAGGGCAAAAAACGGAATGGACTTGAACAGTTCGTATTGTACAATAGTATCGTACCACGTACCGTTGCAGACCAAGGAGTGCCAGACAGATTGCTCATCTTCAACGGTGCACAGAAGGTACTAGCGGTATGGGCGAGCCTTGCCCCTCCCCGCTACTGACCCCTGCCGCACTAGAGTCCTAGAAATCTTCCTTCCGTGTGGAGGAGAGAGCCTAGAGACCCAGACAAGACAGGGGTTCAGACCTCCCCATATTTCTTTCGTTTTTTCAAATCTTCTGACCACTTCGGACACGCTTGACCCTCACATAAACCACAGACAAGTCCCCTACATCAGCCTAGTCTGCTGTCGCTACTGCTATCACCTGCTGTTGGAGGAGAGAAACGTAGCCATCGAATCTTTTCGACTGGTCAGATCGTCTCGTTCTTCCTTCTTGGGGGCGGTCTCTCACGACGGCTGATAAGACCGGACCGACTCCCTTCAACCCTCCTCATTGGACACCAACCTGGGCTGGACACGAGTTCTTCCCGCCTCTGATCATCACGACCGTCCTGACACGCCGAACCTGATTGGGCCTTTCCTCCCAGCACGAGAGGGGACGGTCATATGCCACCCCCCTTTTCCATCGTCAGCACCAGCCAGCTTAGCATCGTTCTGTCTGGAACATGTGCGTGTCGATTCATGCCACAGTACACCCCCGACTGGTAGTGTGGCGTCTTTGCTAGGCGCGGTTCCATCCCGGACCATGGGTAGAGCGCAACCCCACCACCCCTCGAAAACCTTCCATGTAACGTTTCTCGGATCCGGAGTTTTTAGGTAGTGGGCTGCCAAGCTGTGGCACCGCAGCGGCATGATCTTGAAGGAGAGCCCCTAACCCTTTCCAGCACCAGCAAATGGGAGGTTCAGACGCCTTTGAGCAGACGCCCTTTTCCCTTCGCACTGGGCACATGCAGCCAACGATGAGGCTACCGATCATTTGCATTGCAAGAGTAGCTATTCATGATATAATAGGGAGAATAGGAGTATAGGAACAGAAAACAAGAACATGAGAAAACAATGGCAAGTGGTTGAGAGCCTATCAAACGCTGATGTTCGTGATGATGGAGAAAGGGGGGGGATCATAGCAGGTTGCACAAGGGAACAGGGGAAGATGGAACGTTTGATACGATGAGAAGGCAAGCCTTGAGGAGGCTAAAATACTGCAGAGCATGGTGATACCCATTTCTATTTCTTTAGGTAGCCTCCTTCTCTTTTCACAACATCTGCAGGGTTCCTAGACTGGCATCAAGACAGCCTCGCCTGATGCCCATTGCACCCATACTGGCAAGGAACCATACCTCATGGATGGTACTGTTAGTAATGGCTAGTTAAGCCCTCAAGACTGTAGTGTGGGAAGGGGAGGGGAAGTGGTTAGTCAGGAGCCGTACGCGACTCTCCCACATCTCAGAGTGTGCTAGGCGCATAAAAGCCCCCCCCCCCTCCCAGAGCACGTGTTCGGGAGTAGTGCGCGTTCGACTTCAGAACTCTTAGAGAAAAATTCCCTACTGTGATATACAAGGATATACAATTTGTATCAGCGCTCCCGAGTTACGCAGCATGAATCAGCCTCGCATCACCACCTGGTCAACTCTATCCGTACCGGCTGCCATGACAAGTCATACAATCGAATCGATCTGGCTCAGCGGTCAGGCCAAGGACACCTTTGGACCTCATATGTCCGCTCAGCAATTCCTGGTTTGTAGGAAATAAGTTGCTACGACTTACATAAAATGTCAAATCCAAGTTGATATAACGCATGACCTTGGCTCAAGAACAGAAGTTGCTTGCCTTTTATTTCACTGCTGGAGCGGTCGTCACACTGTGATTATTTCTTCAGAGGCCGTCTTTGAAGAAGCGTTTTCGAGGACTCAGTGCACCCAGATATAATAATCTTGCTTGTGTCTTCTAACCCGCATATCGCAGGGACAGCATTTTCAAAGCTTGAACCAAATATTATCACCACAATGAGAGTAGTCCACACACACTTTGAAAGTAAACAAGGTATCGTCACAACTCATGAACGCGAACCTATGTTTTCTTCTGGACTACACGAATTGCCCAGCGAGGTCAGACGGAAAGTTCCATATTTTAATAATATTTACAGTTTAGGAGTAAATATGAATGGAACTTTCATGCTCTGGGGCCCCGTATCCTTTGACAGGCACACATTGACAACATCGATGGCTGGCTTCACGGCATTTTGTCCATTGTCATAGGGAACGGTCTCATCGAAGAACATCTGAGGTATGATATTCCGTTGTTTTCTTCGACGTACCAGTATGGATAGTACGTGGTATTCTTCGAAATTGGCCACCGGCTACTTCAAACTTATGGAATAACGAGAAGAGCCGGGGGGGGGGGTTAGAAAGTGAAAAAGGTCAACCCCGCTGAGGGCGGATTTGTCAAGACTCGATCAAGTTCATATTTTCGGACTATAAAACTAGAATTTCTTAAGCCATGAATCAGGACATCTCTACATTAGATCAGACTTGCGTGCGTGGTAGACTGTGGTTCACCTCATTGCCCCTCAAGCCTGACCGAGAAAAACCTCGGAAATGTGCAGAGGTCTAATCTGAATATTATCGAGTCCCGGCAAAGGCCTTACAACTCGAACGACTGCAGTCTGATTGTCATTCCAATTTTACATAATCCTGATGCAGACTTGTTCTTATAACTCGCAAGCCTTGGGCTTGATATTATCCCATATTTGCTCGCGAATCGTCTTCCAGCAGCTTCCTGCTGAAGTAGCTGAACAATTGCTGGCGGACGTCTGGGTATTCCAGAGGGGACGGTATGCCCTCTTCGTCTGCCGCCTCCTCCTCCTCCTCCCCCTCGCCCCTCTGAGGACAGAACCCGTCGAGCTCCGTGTCTACCGCATTCTTGGCCGTCACCGTCGTCGAGCCGTCGCTGTCCCACCAGTAGATGCTTTCCTCCTCGTACAGCTGCCTGACAATATAGCTAAACGAGCTGGGCATCACAATGCCAAGTTGTAATTTGATCTTGGTCTGGCACCATCGTTCTCCGACGGCCTTATAAGCTCCCTGGCTTCGCGACGAGTACAGCCAGCTGCAGACATGCTGTGTGGAGGCGGGCGCAAAGTGGCACTCTGTGGCCGGCCGGGCTGGAGCTTGCCCGCCAGCTTCTCAACATCGTGGACTTTGACCAGAGCATCGACTGGCGCTTTCTATACAGCGAGTTTGCGCCTAGGCTACCAGGAGCAAATGCATCTGCTCAGAGGGGCGTTGACGAGGTATGTGCTGTCCTGGAATCAGTATGGCGCCTTTTTTGAGGATAGCTTCGCTTGGCCGGCGTCAGCGACGGTCTACATCGCTATCACCCTGACGACCATCGAAGTAGGTTTTGCAACGACGCTTGTGAAGAACCTTGCTTTCCGGTCTGCGTCGTGTGGATTTACTATCTTTTACATTGTGTGCCCTCTTATTGTATCCGCACTGGTTGTCCTTGGCTTCTTGTAAATGTTTATCATGAGCTGGGTATCGGTTGTGCAGCTAAAAAGACGTTTCCGTGCGCTCAAGGTGCAAGAAGCAGGTCGTTGAAAACATGTAGTCTTTCTATCACATATGATCAGTAATATCCATAGTACCATCTCAAACTTTTCATATGCTACTTTAAATTGTATTGGTTATGCCGGATGAAGACATTCGTCCTTTTTCCACATATGGAACATTGAAACGTGGAGTGGACGGTACAAATGCTTTGGCAATTGATATTGCAAGACCTGCAAGCTCCTCATTCGTTCAAATAGTAGCTGCGAATCAGCTTTTGGTTCCCTATATTCCTGCATTTTCTCTTTCAGCTACTGTGGTTGGCAGACACACCTGGGTGCTTTCTAAGTTGATATGAACAAGTAAATACATATGTAGACAGAAAACTTTGAGAAATATATATGTTTCATCGAAAACTGCAGAAATGGTATGTCTATGCTGCCATGATGGAAAAGTCCAAACCTCGGCACACCAGCTTTACGTGGAGCGTATTGTATCAATTGAATCATGACGCGACGGAATGACGATGTCTCAATAAAGCGACCTCGTTCTGCAGCATGTTCCGCCTGCTGTAACCAAAGAAAGTGGATCCTCCAATTCAGGCAAGCACAGCGAACCAGGCTCCAGTCCTCGAAAATGGCGAGGAGAAGATCAGAGAAAGGTGATGGGGCCCAGTGGTGAGCAACCTCGCCCAGCAAAGACCGTCTTCTGCTTTCTGTCTTTTTCCAAAAGGTAAATTGATACTTTAGATGGGCCCTGGCGGGCGAACGGACACTTCTGGATGCCGAGACGCCTCACCCACGATCTACACAGTATTTGCTACTTATTAAGAAGCTGAGAGCTCGTCGAACCTCTTAACCCCACCGCTGTCACAGATTCAGAGCGGGCTTGGCTCTTCCCCAGTGGCCTTCCCGAACAGAACGTCTCTTTGCTCAGGTGAGCACACGTCACGCGTCATGCAGCCGGCTAATTGTTGCCGCAGCGAACAAAAGTGCCGTTGCGACCTTCCCATGCACGCAAAGATTCGCAATCGTGGATGGGCGGTTCAGCTGCTGCATTGGGCAGCTGCTTTGGTCGCCCAACCATCCCCCCTGCTCAGGCGCGATGATACGGCAGCATGAGTACAGGGGCAGAGGGGGCGCTGCTTTGTTGCCAGTGCGCCCCCTTGTCCATAGCGATAATTGCGTGCTGGCAGTTCTTGTGCAGGCGGACAAACGGACTAACGTCTCCGCTATCGTCCATTCGTTTGTTTCTTGACCGTTGATTGGCCGATGGGCCGAATTTCCATGCAGCCTTCGATGGCACGATCAGAATATGCTTAATCTCGCACCATGGACGTACTGTAATATGTAGTCATCATCTTCCCCTTGTAGGGAATGCCCGCCTGGGCCATAGTATGGAAACTCCCGGTCAGGGACGCATAATAGCCTCGACGCTATGCTCCTTGGAGATAGCAACCGGATTTCGCATGATTGCAACTTGACTGGCATGGGGTATTGGTTCCACGGCTCCATCGTGGAAGAATGCAGCAGGTATAAAGCAATGACGCCTCCAAGGAACCCTCTTTTTTTTCTTCCCCTTCTGCCATCCCGCTTTCTGTCCAGAAGGTCGGGTCATACAGCGTCCCCTTTTTGCCCCAAAAAATCACCACCATGGGTCTCGTCCAGAGAGCCGCGGTGCTGCTGGCACTCACCAGCACCGCCCTCTCCTTCCCAACCCTCAGTCATGTGTGGTCCACCAGCGGCAGCAGCCAGGATGTCTACACCAAGGCCGTCGTCGAGTCCCTCTCCTCGCCCCCTCGGGGTTGGGTGCAGGACGAGACTCGTGCCGTTGACAAGGACGCCGCGACCATTCGCCTCCGTATGCACCTCGTCCACCAGGACATGGATAAGTTCTACGAGACGGCCATGAACATCGCCACGCCTGGCCACTCCATGTATGGTGCCCATATGAGCCAGAAGGCCATCGATGGTATCATCGCGCCCAAGGACGAGTCTGGCAGCATGGTTATGCAGTGGCTCGAGAGCGAGGGCCTGGTGGGTTCTGCCAAGTTCTCAAACCGTGGGGACTCCGTCATCGTTGAGGCGAGCGTCGCACAGATCGAGAGACTGCTTGATGCCGAGTACAGCGCTTTCTGTAAGTGTGGCTTTCTTGTCCCGCGGCTGTTGATCAGCCCGAGAAAGTCCAGTTGCTAACATACGTTTTAAAGACAATGCTGAGTCTGGCGAGACCGTTCTCCGCACTCTGGAGTTCAGCCTTCCCACCGTTCTCAAGGGACACGTCGACATGGTGCAGCCCACAACCTTCTTCGGCTTCCGCAGCTACAAGTCCACCATTTCTGGCGTCCGCCCCTTCGACAAGTCTTCTGTGTCCAGTGAAGATATTGACGCAGTCACGGGCTGCGCCTCGTACGTTGACCCAACTTGCCTGGCCAACCTGTACGACTTCTCTGATGCCGATACGTACACTACCGGTCTGTTCGGTATTGCTGGTTTCCTGTAAGTATCTGGATGGTCTAGTATAGTATTCGTCTTTTGATGAGAAGAAACAAAATCAGCTGACGACAAATCTCCTTGTTAGCGAGCAATATGCTATTGCCTCGGATCTCAAGACCTTCCTGGCTGATTACGCCGTCGAGGGCAACACTGGCGAATCCTTCACCTGTGTCGTGGTGAACGACGGCGAGTGTCCCACGGCCGCCTCTGAGGCCGGTGACGAGGCCAACCTCGACATCCAGTACGCCCGCGCCATCACTGAGGACATCCCGCTCAACTTCTACTCCACTGGCGGCCTGGGCGAGTGGGTCGGCTCTGGTACCAACACCAACGAGCCCTACGTCGAGTTCCTCGACTACCTCCTCGATCTGGACGACTCGGACCTCCCCAACACCCTCTCCATCTCGTACGGTGACGACGAGTCCACTGTCCCTGACGACTACGCCACCACGGCCTGTGATCTCTTCTCCCAACTCGGCGCCCGTGGCGTCTCCATTCTCGTCGCGTCCGGCGATTCGGGTGTCGGTGCCACCGGCACCTGCGTTTCGGACGGCGTCAAGGAGTTCGCCGTCAGCTTCCCCGCCTCCTGCCCGTGGGTGACCACCGTCGGCGGCACCACCGGCCAGAGTCCCGAGTCCGCCTGGACCGACTCCGGCGGTGGCTTCTCCTCGCTCTTTGGCCAGCCCAGCTACCAGGCCGCCGCTGTTGACGCCTGGCTGACCGACGACACCACCCACGACTCCGTGACCGCCTACTTCAACGCCAGCGGCCGTGCGTACCCCGACGTTTCGGCCCAGGCCACTGACTTTGTCATCGTCGTTGACGGCAGGAGCGAACTGGTCGACGGCACCAGCTGCGCCACTCCCACTTTCGCCAGCGTCATCCAGCTGGTGAACAGCGACCGTATTGCCAACGGAAAGGCTGGCCTGGGCTTCCTGAACCCCTGGCTGTACACCAATGCAAGCAGCGCCCTGACCGATATCACGAGCGGCTCCAACTCAGGATGCCCTGGTATCAGCGGTGCCGGCTTCGATGCGGTCAGTGGATGGGATCCAGTGACTGGACTGGGCACGCCTGTCTTCACTTCTCTGTTGGCTGTGAGCAGTGACACGTGAGGAGCCAAGTGAATTTGGCAAAGTCATCGTGAAAAAAGAGATGCTGACCGACTCTGCACATATACCTACGTTTCATTTGTGATCAGCACTGTTGTTTACTTCCCACTGTACATAGGAAAATCCTACTTGTATTTGCGTGTGACCATGCATACGTAACTCTTCGATAACACTTGAGCATTTACTGATGCGTGACGATGTTGTTATCACGGGTGTTCAATGGCAATACTGATTTCGACAGTTGCTACCTCGTGCCGAACATGAGAGTCCAGATGGGTAGTGGAAGAAAAGAAAAGAAACTGGAGGTAAATCATTGAGATGTTGCGTGTGAATTTCGAAGAAACAGCTCGGAGGCGCATGTTCATTGTCATATCCTGATATTCAAGACGCGGCATTCAGGGAAGCCTCGTGGGCCGAGCCAGCGATTTGGCCTGGATCATTCCCAACAGCCATCTAAAAGATGCCGAAGGCGGCCCGTCATATAGCTTCCGAAGCCATCACGTGCGTTTGCGTAGTCGCAGTCTGTGTAAGCCGTGCTTATCGGCCCTTTGGCAGAGTCCACAAATCGTCGGTGGAGCTACCAGTCTCGGTGGAGACAGCCTGCTTCCACAGCGTGTGTCTTAGTAGTCAACACAGTCCCGGCCCTAGATCAAGGTCTCGACAGCCAGCGTAAATGCTAGCCGAGAAGAAATCCGAAATCCAGAGTTCCGTAGCTCGGTGCTTCAAAAGACAGCACGCCAAGCGTGGAGGGGAATGCCTCTCTTGTAGCTGTCGGAGAGAAGGCATGATGAGAGACGAGACGGGTAGACCGAGTGTATCATCTCCTATAGGACGGGATTCGTCCAGACAGGGGCCATCAGCTATCAGAGCTTCTCGCCTCGGCCTTTGAATCCAAGTCTTGGCGAGGTGGCGCGCCCCATCGCGGCACCATTGACAGCCTCCCCTTTGAAAGGCGTCACAAGAGGCTATTTGACTCTCCCGGAATTGCGGTAGGTCAGCTCTTTTATTAGTGGTGACCCAACAAACTCCTTTTCGCTGGCACCACTATAATGAAGACGGGGAAAAGCACCGTCCGTCTAGGTGGCAGCTTAGGTGGGTGACCCGTCTCTCTTATCGTACAGCTCCTCCAGCCAGCGATTGGTTCATACCCAGAGCCTGCGAGGTGGGCTTGCGCGAGGCCGCCAGCTGCGTGTCGTAGTGTCTGCGGTCAATTTCCTTGAACGTGATTCCACACGGGGCCAGGTCGTCCTTGACCTTGATGAGCGCGTCACGAGCGGCCTGCATCTTGTCGGGTGTGTGGTCGTCCAGGACATACGAGACGACGGTGAGCATCCACTTGCCAGGACTGACCATCTCTAGTGAATCAAAGGCCGGGAGAGTGGTGGATGGGGCGTTCTTGCCGCCATCAGCCATGGCAGGCACTCTGTAGCAGCGAACCAGGTGAAACTCAACGGGATTGTCCCGGTGGTAGATGTCGTGGCTCTCTTCAATGTGTTCACCCTTGTAGATGAAGTCGTTTTCAGTCAGTATCAGGGGAAGGTTGAGCTGGTCATAAAGCTCGATCTTTTTGCGCTGCATAATGAGAGATTGGCCGCCCGCGACACTAGCAGGGTCAGGAATCTCGCTCCAGAACAGCGCGCCAGGGTTGACGCTGAAATAGTTGTCAGGTATCGGCTCGGATTTGCCAAAGTGACGGTCCTTGTGAACCAAATGGCGCGTGGTCATGGTGTACGACTGCCTGCAGGGCCCAGGTTAGCTTTGCTCGCGTGTCTCGATACAAGCTGCCATCATAAATGTGCGGACCAACCTTTTCAGGATCTCGCTCAGCTCCTTCCATGCAGGGTCTATGTGGCCTGATGGCATGAGGGGAGGGATATCAGTATTTGGAAGGCCAAGAGAGAAGATATCGGGCTCTGGTGGGACGCCGTAGATGTGGTTTCTCTTTGTAATGGGCTTGGGCTGGTTGGGATTCGCGCCAGCAAAGTGCAGGACGCGGTAGATGCGCTGGCGAGAGTCATCCCAAGTATAGCCGCTGAGAATGGACACCAACGCATCATGGTCGGCATCATTGATGAACGCGGTCATGAACAGCTCATACATCTTGAAGAATGTTGTGCCGCCGTGAGCCTGAGGTTTCGTCACAAAAGGAGGACGACGTGTCGGAGAGAAATAATCAATGGGGACTGCAGAACGTCAAGCCGTCTTTGCCGGGTGTGGAGACAAGGAATCTCCAAGGAATGCCGTGCAAGGCCCCAAAAGGTCGAGGTCGAGGTTGGTTGGCGTGTGGATGAGGAGACAGGCCTCTTAACTTGGGTCTGCAGTATGTAGGACACGAAGGAAGGCGAGCTCAGCAAACGGCAAGCTGAAGTAATATCAATGCTTATATAAGCAAGCTGAGTTCACCAGCGCCTGCAGACGCTACATTGCTAGAGGCAGGGGGTCTCCCTGCTAGCCCCAAACCAACATCAACTTCAAGTTCACGTTCAAAGAAGCATACTTACTGGTACTTACCTACTCAGGTACTCACCAATGTACTATGTAAGTACCAACCAGCCTCGGGCGCTCTGCTCGACCTGCAAACATGTTGCCTGGCAAGAAAGATCTTCATAAGATTGGCCCATTCTGCTCAGAGGGCTGATTCCCTTGGTCAACTCCACCAAAATCCATCAGTGGGGTTCAACTCTTTTTACGCCTCTCGTAAATCTTATTAGAGCGCTCGATATTCAGCTTTCCTATTCGTACAAAAACTACGTGTGATCCTTCGTGTAAGGTCCATTGACCAATACCCAAAAGAAAATGGAACAAGTTCTTTCGAGTAGTCACAACAATTGCTCATGCGCTGTTCATGATGACGGTGCGGGCAAAGGGACTTGCATTTGTATATCAAGATTAAGACCACCCGGCCGGTCAGAGAAGACTGCCGTTGGAGTTGACAGAGAATAGAATTATTTTCAGGAAGGCAGATTCACAATACCAACAATATTGACTCGAACTGCTGCCAGACCTCGACGTCTAATCCATGGTGCCCGTTCTATCTATGACTGACCAGACCAAATCAAAACATTCTTTATTGTTCATCAAAACTGAACTCAAACTCAGCATCTTGCACACCGAGGATTTTATTCTGCCTCGAACACAGCCTCGTTGTGTATCTGCGATATTCGTCACATGTCCTCCTCTCCGCCATGTTTATGTTATCATCTTTGGTGAGCGTGAAGGAGAGACCTCGTCACAGATCCAAAGAGTCGAATGTCGACTGTCCAGTCTTGTGTGGGTCCCCCAAACCATGGTAATACAGTAGTATGTAGACATATGCTGCACGTTCTTTGGCTAGAGTTAGTCACATAACATTAGGTAAAGCTTGTGAGTTGCTAATGTACCTTGAGTGTCAGAGTTGGATTTCGAGAGTTCACGGCCTCTCGGTAAGCATGATGGCCTAGTGACTAAGCCAAATTCCTACCACAATGCACGCTCTGCTACCAGTTGTTGTGAAGCTATGCTGTCTGTAGTATGTAGACAACTCAGGAAAGAGGAATGTAGTCGTCATCGGGCTGTGTGGGTGTTGTGTGGCCGCTGCCTCCGCCACGACCTGAAGTGCCTCTGGCGCCTTGAGAGCCTCTGGTGGCTCTGGGCCCTCTCCTTCCTCTAGCTCCTCGTGCACTTCTGGTACCTCTGGAACCCCTGAGTCCTCGAGTACCTCTCCCTCCTCTCGTTCCCCTTGTGCATCTCGAACCCCTCGTGCCTCTAGTACCTCGGGCACCTCCGGCGCCTCTGGTGCCACCGTGTTCACCTCTCTTCGTTGCGCCGCCATCAACCATGATCGTACTTTGGACCTCGTCAGAGGTACTCGTTGACACAGGCGACGCGAGTTTCAAAGTAATTCCCTCGCTCGCCTCGCTCCCTTTGTGCGCCGTGACCATGTTCTCGTTCTCGACTTCATCCAGACCCTCGCCAGAGCAACGTGTTCCCGCGCATGTTTTCACGAACTCGCACATTGGCGACCGTAGCTTGTGCTCGCGCATCGGATCGTCATTGGGGTCCCATGTGTCGAGGAAGATCTTGCAGCAGGGGCAGACGACGTTGTCGGGAAGGTTCGGCGGAGAGGGATGGAAGAAAAACCCGGCGCGGGCGAAGGTCTCGGGGGTGGGCTTGTCTTGATTGGCTTCCCACTCGAGGGGCCAGTCGACGAAGGAGGCGAGGCGGTTGTGGTATTGCAAGTACTGCTCAAGATCGGCTTGCAGTGATGATTGCTCCATTTTGGCGGTGACGATGGCAAGAAGGGAGTCTCTTTGACGGTGGAGATGAGGAAAAGACAGTGTCCGAATTTGGAAAGAAAATAGAGAATAGGGATGGTAAGAGAAAGCCCTGATAGTTTTTGAAGCCAATGTTGTTGCCCCTTCAATTGTCCCTTCGAGCGTGCTTGGGAAACAAAGCGGTTGTCAGGTTTTTATCCGATATAAAGGCCCAGCTGGAATAGAATAAACAATACGATAAATGTCAGACAATAGTTAATTTCCAGTTATAGACATTTTTGATGTTGAAAAGTGAGGAAATAGCAATGTGAATCAATGACAGTCACATCCCAGCTGTAGAGACTCTTGGACGACTTCTTTGGTATCTATTTCAGCAGGACACATCTGAATGAGCCGTAAGCATCATTCTAGGGCATCCTGCCGCAGACTCTGGCCCAGAACCATGAGAAGAAGTGTTCGACACTTCGGCCAACTCAAGTTCTCTGCGGTGGTTAAAATAAGTTAGAAATTCGAGGGACAAGATTCATTCTAGTCTTACCATGAACATAAATCACTGGTAGAAGTTGCATTGCGGGTTTGCAAAGATGTGCAGAGATGAGATGGCATCGTTACAGAACGAGTTGGACCCACTGAAAGAAACTGAAAAACACACCTGGACAGAGAGGATAAAAGTTTAGCACATTGATGGAACTCCAAAGCAAGAACAGAAATGTTCTGCACCCATTTCAGGTGTCAGCCGCAAAGTTAGATAAGCGACCTCTTATGCTCACATCAGTACACATGATGCCATCATTTCGTGCCTGCGCTGTCCCAAGCAGGCCGACCAAGAAGAGGAATGAGACCGTAGAAACTTGCATTTCGCAAGACTGGAGCGGAACTGGATTTCAGAGAGTGCGACTTGGATTCTTGCATGACTTTTATTTGGGTATGAAAAAAGACAAAAGCGAAAAAAACCGCTAAATGTTGTCGGCACGGGTTGAGCTACCCTAATTTATAGAGAGATACCCTTTAAGTAATTACTTAGTTGTGACCCCTATCATCATGGACTGCGCCTCCGACATAAGGCAAAGGATGTCCCTATAGGCTGGGATATTCACCATATTTCCTTATAGCAAGTCTGTGAGTGTATGTACTCACATTGGATTTACGGCCAAAAGGGGTTTGTCTTCGCATGGTGACCAAGATCTCGGGGACGAGTAGATAGCGGGATGATCAACATTTCGAGCGCTTCTTCACTGTGAGCAAGAATCAAATGCTCTGTGGAATCTTAGGGGACGTCAGTCATCTCCCATGGCACACACATAAGTCAAAGCACCCCCTTCCCGATCACCCTGGTCAACCACACCGTATATATATATATTTCATATAGATTTACTCATCCTATTCACCCACCACGATGCAATCCTCCTCATCAATAGGTAATTCAAGGCCGCTCTCTTCATCTAGACTATCCTCATCTCGATTGACTGCGTTTAGAGCCCTCTGTATATCCTCAATCCCTGCAAACTTCGAATTCGGGCTTACATCGACCTTTCTTCTTTTACTAGGCTTCAGCGCCTCAATCTGCTTCCTCAACATCTGATTTTCCTCCAATGCCCTTGCAAACTCGAGGTCTCTCTCGTCATAAGCCTTTTTTATCTTCCTGAATAGCATACGGCGGCCTGAGTCTGTTGAAAGATGCTGCCGAGTTTCCTGTAGCTGGTGATATAGCTGTTTAGCCTTGTGAGGCGTTGAAAAAACCACAGGCTGGCTTGACGAGGCTTTTGGGGGAAGCTTAGGTACTGTTGATGGTGTTGAGGCTGAATTGACTGGCTCTGAATGCTTGGTTGACTGTTCTCGAGGAGAAGAGGGCTCAAGAGCGCTTTGGAGGGTCTCAGGGGCCATAGACCAGTTGCTTTCCATCCAGATCTGATATTCTGGCTTGAAAGACCTTCCAGACGAGCTAGACGATAGTGCTTGAGGAATAAACGCTTGCCTGCGATAGTTGAATCCCCCCATTGGCTCATATTGCTGACTTCCTTTCTGTATGCTTGTTTAAGGGATGAAAAGATCCCTAGATCGAGGGGTTGAAGTACGTGAGAAGTATGAGGAGGCAAGTAGATCAACAGGATGTTGTTTTGATAGCATTGCCACATAAACTCGTCAGTTTTATGGCTGTTGTGGCCATTCAGGACTAATAGTCTGGTCTCTGAGGGATCCGCTGGTAGGCTGCCTGGGATGAAGATCTTTTCTAGCTATTCAAGTACCATTTTATCATTAGTCCATCCGTTTGGTGTAGCAGTGAACTGCCAGCTCTTAAAAGGCTTCAAATCAACAGGAAACCACTGCTGCTGTACAGTTTGCCCTTTGAAAATCACCAGAGGAAGGAGGTGAGCTCCCGTAGCTGAGATACACTCGAGGAAAGAGGTCCAGGCTTTTGATCCAGGCTCTTTTCTTTGGATTGAACGTGAAGAGGAGCCTCCAAGAACTAATCCATTCTCTCCTTGGCCCTCCATAAGCCCAGCTTTATCCATATTCCATCGATTAGCTGGCTTGATGGCTTGGATGCGAGGAAGATTGAAAAGATAGAACCAAGGCCGTATTACCTCTGTTGTAGCTCCATTAGTTCGTTCAGAAGCCATCCGGCGAGTCCTTCTGACCTGTATCTCTGGATTCCTCTTCAAAAAACCCTGGATCCATCTCTTTCCAAGAGGTTCAGTATCTCCTTTGATGAGGAGGATCTTCCGTGCGAAAAATCTCAACTCTGAATGGCTTGGTGGAAGCCCTAGGCTTTCCTGAACCAGGATCCATTCAGCTAGTTTTCTTTCTTGGATAGAAGAGAGCCTTTGAAAAGATTCAGCACCTATCTGATGAGACTGAACGCCTGTTAAACGGTTTTGAAGTGTTATATAAGGGATACCCCATTCGATCGAGGCCTTGCGAAGAGAACAGCCTGTCTTGATAGCCTCGAGGGCGGCAACGATTTCAGATTTCGTAAACTGCTTCATTGGACTGTATTTACTCTATGCTGAAAGTTTGAAGTGAATTGGAAGAGGATTGATGAAGAAAATTAAAAATATATCGAGGGGTTGAAAAGGCGGTGTGGTTGACCAGGTTGATCGGAAGGGGGTGCTTTGACTTATTGGCTCCAATTGGTATCTTGTTGCTTAACGCTGAGAATACACTTTACAGCAGAGAAGGGAGGGGGAAATGGTAATTGCTGGATATGGTGAGGAAATATGAAAGGAAGAGGCTCATAATATTAAACGATAATATGCATTAGCTAGTTTAGATGAGTCTAGAGGATGCACGCATAGAAGTTGGCCGAAGAATGATGATATTTATCGAAGTCGTCTATCAGCATACGCGGCAATTGCGGCGTGCCTAGTAAATATCAATCTGCTTTTCTGAAATAAAACTCGGTGCTTAGGTAGTAACGATATTTGTCCCGTTCAATGTCATGGCCAAGTGGTCGTTGGGCTAAGTGTGCTGTGACCATTCTCTCGACAAGATGAAAGCCCCCCAAAGGAATGTTCATGGTGTGCTGACTAACCTTGCTGGCCTCGTGTAATTGGTCGAGGAGCCGCAGAGATGCGAGTGTGACCTCAGATAGCTGATCCTGGACCCCGTCACTGGCCTAGCGGAAGTGACGGTTCAAGCTGATTCATGATCCTTGGCATAGTTACTTCAGAATATCCAGGTTGTCCCGTTCTGTCAACGGCGAGCCTCATAATGAAGTGACTGGCAATGACATCCTTAACAATGTTGGTCAGATCTTCTCTGTTGCTGAAGGAAGAACGCGATGCTGTTACAGATTACTATTGTTGTTGCAGTTGGGTTTCGCATTGCCTTGCGTTTACAGCCAACAGAGAGGTTGGGGGCGGAGGAGTGTGCATCTTGCAAAAAAAAAGTACGAGCCATACAGGGATCAATTGTTACTGCCCAGTGTGTACCCTACCATAGTCCATGGAGTAAGAACCACTCGGATATAGGCGCTGCCGGCCTCTGGGCTGATTGCTGCAGCGAGGTGCTTGGTTCAAGAAGAGACCTGATCGCTTGACCGCAGGCCCCTGTTTGTGGGGGCTGTTAACGCCCGTGACCCCTGTCAGTTGTACCTGGGCACTATGCGCTAGTATTGCAGGGCCAGGAATAGCACACACAGCGGCCGCGAACTGCTCTGGGCAGTAACATTTCCCGCGGTTTGCCTCGTTCTGGTTGGCCATCTCTCGGCCATGGGCCGGGGGCTCAGCCTGTGTGAACCTGCTGTCAGATACCGCTCCAGCCTCCCACCCAGTGTCCTAGTTGTCCTAGTGGCACGCTACTCGCGGGTCACGCTGAGGCCTGCACCACCGATCGATCAATCGACTGCTCTCGCTTTTGCCAAGGTTGTCTCTCGGATCGTTCATCGTTTGTGCTCTCCAGTTTCAATCTTTCATTCACATGTCCTGATCCATCATTACCAGTCCTAGGCCTGTTCTCCGAGCGCGCCCCCCGAACTCATCCTGGGCTGTAAATAACGGTTATCGCTTTCCATCCTTCCCGACACTAACTACCGACTTTTTCTAATTCATTACCCTAATCGCCTCATGAGCCTTGCACAGGAGTAGGCATGAGCGGCCTCTTCTTTCCCGTGTGAAGGTCACGTCCAGCCATCGTCGCCTCTTTGTCTCTCCTGCCTCTCTGCTCACGATTGCCGACAACCGTCGTTTGCCAGGCGAAAGCGGATATTCAAGTGATTGCCACGATTCGTTCCAGTCCTGGACTCCAACGAACGACGACGTCTGTCGGCCTTTGGCCATCAAGCCGGCTGGTGAGCAGTCCGGGCCGGCACCCACCACGAATTATGTCCACGCCCAGCGCGCCTCATCATCTTGCAACAGCGCCATCGAGAGAAGAAGAAACACAGGGCAGAGTACGTGGCTTGGCCCTTCTACTTGTCATCCCTGAGCTAGATGGCTGGAGTTTCAGCTGACGAGGATTGTTCTTGTCTCTTAATAGTTCCACTACACCATTGCCATTGTCTCATCGCACCGCCAGCACCTCGAAACCTACCGATCGCCAGCGCCATCGCTGCCGCACCCTGAACTGGGCCACTAGCGAGCGTCGATACGCCCTGGGCGGCAAGCCATATTTGGTCACCATCCGACAATTCGTACCCTTTCCGTCGTCGACGTTGTCGCAGATTCCCGACCATGGCCAACTCGACTGGTATGTCGTCGGCAGCCAAAGTTGGTATTGCCATCGCAGCTGCTTTTGGTATCGTGCTTCTCTTCTCCCTCGGTCTGTACCTTTGGTGGCGGCAGCGAGAAAAGAAGGAGATGGCCAAGGGAATGATCAACTTTGTGGACGGAGACATCGTTACTCTTGTCGACCGAGGCCGATTTGAGAAGCCATCCAAGCCGAATTACGCATACGACCCCTACTACGAGAGCGGAAGTTCCAGCCAGTCCTTTCAACCTGCCCCGCAATACTACCAAGCTCCGTCAAACTACACACTGCCACCAGTTGAGGGACAAAATGCACATTATGCAGCCGGTCCCGCTTCCGCTTCTACGAACTACACGGTGCCGCTAGCTGAAGGTCACAATGGCTATTATGCCCCCGGCCCCGCCCCTTCCGCTCCCAGCGTTTCTCCACACGCGTCGTCCCAAGACATGCCCTCTCCATCCGAATCGAACCGAGTCGTTCCTCCACCACCTGCGACAGTCGCCGACTCCAATGCCTGGGCCAATACTGGACGGCATCCGTGGTCTCCGCCAGACTACGAGGTCCATTTTCCGGTCTCTGCATCCAGCCTGCAGCCAGACTACGACTTCAGCTCACATGCGCAGCAGAGGGAGCCTATGATGACTGGGAACAGGAATAGCACTTATGCTATCGCAGGTTTACCTGCAATTCTCCCCGAACCGAAGCCGAACCCGCAGGCCGAATTGCCCGCCAGAGAAGGCCATCATGGCTGGGGCCACGAGCAAGAGTTGCCGGCGCCGCAGCAGGCACCGTTAAAAAGGCAGCCACCACCTCAAGGAGCCGAGATCGAAGAACAAAAATTCTTGTTGGCAGATATCATACCTCTACGACAGAAAAAATCACGGCCTGATATGCCAGGACCAGCTGGGTGAGATTGGGCGGATAAATCGGGGGTTCAAGTGCACAAAAGGGCAAATGTGCAAGCATGCATCATTTCCACGCTGCCTTCAAGGTTGGCCGTCACGGGCGCCTAGACAACAGGCGCCACGTGTCGCATTGGCTACAGACCGAAATTGAGCGACGAGAGAAATCCGAAACGTCCCAGCGGGTATCAATGGACTGTGGGTTACCTGCAGAACAAGGCATGTACGCAGGGCTCACTTCGCGGTTATGAAGTGAAGCTTGCGCACAGTACGGCGACATTTGCCTCCCTTGGACAAGACGACGCAGGGCCAGATTCCCAAGTCATGAACACGACTGACTGGATATGTGTCTCGCGATCAGAGTCGGCGCCTGTCCTGGATGATGCTGGCTGATGCCTCCATCCTGGAGACGACACGTCGTGAAGACGTAATGCCAGGGAAACGAATAGAGGTTGCACCGGTGATGGTTATATCTCCTCGGGAGGAAAGACAAAGCACAGACAGTCGATATTACTTGTCAATCACATTATTATTCCAAGTTCGGAGTGTAACACGCCTCGATTTCTCCAGAGAAATTCCACAATCATGACGCAAATCGTTGCTGAACATCTGGTGATACAGAAATTCCTCATACATCCACACCCGCCTGTCTTTTCTTAATGGTTTTGGTCATCCAAGCTGACAGCTGCCATCTCTTCTTGGGTAGAACATCAGATGAATCCAACGCCAGCGCCGTCTTCTTGAAATCTGGAAACCTCCTTGCTATACTCTCTTGGATCTTGGGCAGCAATACATCGTAGTGGTCTACTGAGGCCCCGTACATGACACTTTGTCGCTTGTCGATACACAAGACCAACGAGGCAAAGCCGTCGAGACCCTCGTAGTCAAAGCTATCGATCCGATCAACCCAGGCTAGATCCGAGGACGAAGTGGGCATTGCACGTCTCAGAGTGCAAATGGTGTTGAAGAGTCGATACGGGTCTTCCATGAGGAGAGATGACTGGTTTGAGTGACTATTTGTCGTTGTAGGACAGGCGCGCAGACCATCCTTGCCGCAGAGGTACAGCACGTCCTCGAGCAGATCGTCATCGACTGCATGTTTGAGCAGGACGACGGTTTGGAGTCGCTGGCTCTTCCAACACGCTATCTCTGCAGCGGTGGACCCGGGTGTCACAGGTGTGGGCACATCTCGCTGGATGAAGTCGATCAAGCCGAGGTACTTGAATGAGGTCCTGACGCGGTCAAGCCAGACGGAGCAAGGTTTGATGTACGTCAGGATGGGGAGATTTGGCACCGAGAGTAATGAAGGTGTTGGTACGGACACTGCTGCCGCACTTGTCGTTGTCAACTTGCGGATCAAAGCCTCCTGCAAGATGGTTCTCGCCTGGAGACCAACGTTGTGCTCCTCAGCCGCGGCCAACTTTTCCTGTGCTGTGGCTAGGTCCTGTTCGAGACTCGTCCTATTCCTAGCCGACAGCCGCGAACGAGGAGCCATACTGGTGCCTTTCCTGGACTCTGCGAGCTCGTTCGAAAGCCGTGCTCCTCCATCCTCAGTCTTTGAAGCACCTGTCAGGACGGATGAGACCCTAGCTTGGCCTCGACTGGAAGGGCGAGTGATACACCCATCTGACGTGCCGATCAATTTGGTGCTGGAGACATGTCCTATGCTTGGCGTCGGCGTTACGGCATACACGCCTCGGATTGAATTCCCACTGCATGGACGCGGTGAAAATGTCGAGCCAGGACTGGTGATTGGGCTGTCTATATCGTCGTTGCTCGTTCCTTGACCCTCCATAGCAGGAGAACTTGAACGCAGCGAGGCCGACGCATTATCATGAATGCTCGACTTCATCATCCCCTGGCTCTCGACATCTTCTCTCTGCGCGCCTTCCAGTGTGATGACCTCGTCATCCAACGTCACTCTCGGCACAGTCGATCTCTCGTCACCAAGGGTCGGCTGCAATTTCATCTTGGGTACCACCTGCTCGAGTTCCTCGACGCGCCCCATCAAATACCACTTGTCCTCTCTCAGCGTGGCATTCTCCCCGTTGAGGTTTGCCATCTCGGCGCCAAAGTTCTCGATCAAGTTCTCCCGCTCCGCGTCACTAAAGCGGAGCTCGCGATTCAGATCCGCGATAGTCACCTCATGGCGGAAGATGGTCGCCTCCTGCGAGTCGATGGTCTCGGCGTGGCAGGCGATGGTGTTCTCATGAATCGCGATAGTCTTCTCATGTGCTGCATTGAGCGCGAGGAGGGCCGCGTTGGCTGCCTGCAGCTTGGCCACCTGTGCCTGCATGTTGATGAGCGACAGCAGACTGGGTTCATATTCGTGGGAAAACTGTCGTGTTTTGTCGGTGCTGGTCCTGTTCTCGTCGGGTGGCTCATGCACTTCAGTACTGTACTTGTCCTTTGGACTCCGGGCAGCTGTGTTGTCGTTCCCATCGTCACCCGAGGTCCTAATCATCCTTCTCGCTTTCACAGGAGTCGAGTTCAGTGGCCATGACTGGCTCTCCGTGCTCATTCGCCCCAGGTCCACAGAACCAGTCGTGCCCAAGTCCACGCTTGTGTTATTGGGGCCCAGCAGATTCGTACTCTGTACAGCGTTGACACCTGCGTCTTGAACACCTAACGTCGTGGTACGCAAACTCGGGCGGACATGATGCTCCCCAGACACGGCGTCAGATGTATCAGCCAGCTGATAACTCTGCTCCGTGTTCTCGGACATTGGCGAGCAGACCTGGGCCACTTCAGGGTCGTCAAGAAAGGGGATGCGGATGCTCGCAGGTCTGACCGCCAGAGACGGTACAGAAGTTGCTGTCGTCTTCTCGCCATAACCACCATGATGACTCGTCTGGGCATTGTGAGACCGCTGGAGAAGCGGTGTCCTGCCATCACCGATGCTGTCTAGCGATGGGTTCCGTGTCGTTGGTAGCCGCTCATTTCTGGCTAGCAGGTTCTCACTACCGCCGCCAGCATGCTGCTCCTTGGAGCTCATGCTGGACTTGCGAGCGTGTGAGAGGCCGTTGCGCAGGTTGCTGATGCTCTGCAAGCCGTGTATGCCAAACCTGGAGGTCGTGCCGCGCTTGGTGCCTGCACGCTTCCTGGCTGATGCCGAACCCGGGGAAGGCGAAGGTGGCTCGATGGGGATAGGCGTGGTGGTATTGGTGGCCGTGGAGCCATGTGTTGCTGGGTGTGACGGGGTTGTGGGTGAGGGCCTCCGGATAGGCCTCCAGCCTATGTCAGGGTCGGACATTGTGATGAGATACTCCTCGACGTGGTGTCGCTGACAATACCCGTCTCTCAGTCCTGATGGCGGTATTAGGAAGAGTATATGGTGTTCGTGTTTGGAGACAAGGAATAGCTAAGATTTGTGAAGACCTTTTGGGTTGGGTCCTGCACAGACGGGTGATCATGCCCAGGATTCATGGCGAGCCCTGCGAGGGCACCTTTGGTGTTGTGGGCGAATCTTTTTCGTGAAGGACAGGAAATGATGAAAAGGAGGTAGCGGCGGGAACTTCAATGCTTGTTTCCCACCACGTTCTTCAGGGTTTTTGGTCAAGATGACGCGATCCGCGACGCGCTGTTGAATGATTCTTTCTCATCAGAGTCACATTCCAGCGAGGCAGTCGGGCCGCACGTTCGATAAGAAGGAAAACCCCTGAGACATATTTGCGTAAGGTAATTCATGCGCGACGGAGGGTCTTACATGTGACTGGAATCTTTCTGAACGCGTGTAGACTTGATTGCTGGATATCTAATGATTGATCATTGCTAAGACTGGCTGTTGGCTGGGGCGGTTCATGTTGGTGGTTAGTCATCCAGGGCCAACAATCACATCGGAAAGTGTGGGCTGTAGCAGGAATTGAGGGTGACATTTAAGTTATTCAATTGTTTAAAATATTATTTACATCGTAATGCCTTGCTTGTGGCAATTCTTTCATGATGTTGTGTAGATGGCCAGCTGAGGGCTTGGAAACGGCCCAGGGCAATTCCACGAGCACTCAATCCACCGCCCGTGACCAAACCTTCTTCTTCTCATTTCCCCACAAACAAAGCCTCCCTTAGGATTCTGCTTCTATCATATCACTTTGGAATGAGGCTTGTACGCATGTGCATCTGAAGTGGCCTATGATTCTGCACTGACCCTCTCCCTCTTGGGAAGAATCGAGTCACTTTTTCGTGCAGGCTCCAAGAGCGCACTTATCGAGAAGTCTCCCAGCGTACTAATATTTTATTTGTGTTTGTTGACTACTGAGGGTGAACAAGTAGCACAGCGAAAATCATCGAGCGAATAAGTACCATGTGACCTGGAATTCTCCCGTCTGTCAATACTTCCATGACCACGTTCTCCCAGCTCTCAGAGCAGACTACCTTATATGATGTAGAAAGCCACGTCCAAAATTCCAAACTGGGGCACATCAAGTCCACCGTGACGATTTCTCAGGTTGTGCGTCCACGCAAAGCCCAGCGGAACGTCTCGACTGTTTGTCCTGTCCTAGCTTTGCGTAGCTTCATATGCGCTCTCAGGGGTCGCCCAATTAATGACCACCCTTGCCAGCGGAGGCGGCAGTCTGGACATTCATGTCGACTGTGGTAGGGATCGGTTTGAGCTGTGGAGAGCGTGAGGGGATGTCGAACTCCGCTGGAACGGGGGTGGTCGGTACAGCAACCGTGGCAGACTGCGAGGCCTCCGTGGCACCGACCGTGACGGTGATGACTTCGGTCCATGAGGCAGTCGTGGTGGTGCTAGCACTGGGAGGTGCTTGTGGCGGCCACATCCCGTCATTGTTGGATGCCGAGGCGTACATCTGCTCCGTTGTTGAAACCGCGGGCAGCAGCAGGGAGGAGGTGGTGACAGCAGCAGCGGCAGCAGAAGCAGAAGCAGCAGTCGACGAGTTGGTCCAGCAGTTTCCCCAGCCGATCTGGCAGCCCATCTGGACGTTACAGAAGTCGGAGGTGTTGCCGCAGTAGCCCCGCTGGGAGCAGCACAGAGAAGGGCCGCAGGTGGCACCGTTGCTGTGGCAGGGCTGGAGGAGGCTGTCAAGGGGGAAGGCAGAGCATAGTGAGGTGAGCTGGAAGCCGAGGAGAGCCAGCAGGAGACCGAGGAGGGAAGTGAGGGAGAACATGTTGGCGATTCTGTGTTTTGTCTTTGCGTGTTTCTGCTTGGCTTGGTTGGAGTTTGAAGAGGAGGTGGACGATATTAAAGAAGCTCTCAGAGGTACATTGGGTGTGGCTTGAGAGAGGATGTTGTGAGTTGATCAGAGAGAGAAGAGGTGTCGAGCCAGCTGAGAGAACATAGAGTGCCCTTTTATATGGGCAGAGAGTGGGTATTCATTGATATCTTGTGACTATCGGAAAGGACTGACGGCCTCTCTCACAGTGAATCATACTACAGCCTTACTATCTATGATTGATGATTCCCCAATAAGAAACATCTCTGACCAAGTACATTGTGTGACTTGAATGGCTCACACAAGGAGGGAGGAAAAGAAGGTTGGGGTCCTGGTGCCCCATGCTGAAATATCAAATTCCTTCTCAATGTCTCTCACTTGTATGGTAATCATCACAGCTCAAGAGTCCTCATTCCATACATTTAAGCTATATGCTTGCCTCAGGCTCTGCTTTCGTCCAATGGTATTTTGTATCCATTACAGACACTGAGAATAATAATCATTGGAATAGGTGCAAGTGCTCCCTGAAGCGCAGGCGGTACAGCCTGTCCAGCCCTCGCCAGCACACTGCGCATACAGTGCGGCCGTGCAGGTCGAAGTCGCTGTTGCCGCGCCGCTGGTGCTGGTTGTGGATCCTACAGAAGTAGTTGATACGGTCGATGTAGCGAGTGTCGTGCTCGAGCTGGAAGCCACTGAGCTGGAGGCTGTTGTGCTGGAGACCGCGGACGATGATGAGCTGCTGCTCCCAGTCGATCCTGTAGTACATACATTTTGTGAGTCTTTCGTGCATGACGGATGGCGGCAGTCAGGAGCACCTCCACTTACCATCACCAGCAGGACCCGAAACACTGGTCGTAATACTTCCACTTTCTACATAGACACCTGAAAAGTACAGGTCCTCGTCCGTGTCCGGATAGCCGTCCCTCGGAAGCTCCAGCACGCCGAGATGCCAGTCCTCACCGTTGCTGCTGGCACTCGCACTGATAGGTGATACAAGCTCTACAAGATCATCACTTCCCGTTGAGTGCCAGAAGCCGACAGTACCCGACGTGAAGTCGATTTCCTGCAGCATTTGGAGTCAGAATAACAGTAGATACCTGCATAGAGCACTCAGCGTGCTAGGTGTAGAATAGTATAAGATCAAGGGGCCGTCAGGGCATACGTAGGCAATATTGTGCCACACATCTGCGGTAAAGTTGGTAGACCACTGCGTCACGCTGTTCACGTCCCAGCGCAGGTTCGTATCACTCGTGTTCGCCTCGCCCGAGATCCAACCGGCCTTCATCTCCGTGAAATGGCTCTCGAAGAAGCAGATCTGGTGCTCTCTGTAGATGCTTGGAAAGTTCGTACTGCTCGCCATCATGCTGAAGTGGTACCAGACCGTCCCGGCGTTGATGGCAGCCGACGTCTGCGGAATCAACTCGGTGCGGCGCATCGTCTGGCCCTCCCAGTACGAGGTGTTGTCGAGCGTGAACTTGGCGCCCTGGACCGAGGAGGTGTCGGCTGGATTCTTGTAGTCTGGCGAGAGGTTGATGTACTCTGTCACGTCGCCTGTGCCGTGGATATAGTATTGATAGGGCCCGACTTCGTCAGACCATGACCACTCGTCCAGATCGGTGGATGAGTTGAGGTCGTTGAAGCGGCCATCCCAGAGAACAGTGCCTGCGTTGGCAGCGACTATGAGGGCAGCCAATGAGGCTGCTACGCTGAGGAACTTCATTGTGAAGGTTGGCAGTGCCAATAAGATCAAGCGAAGGGAATAATTAGAAAAACTAGCGAGAGAAGGAGACGTATTTCAGATGACCTGAGTTGATGAACATGAGAATCATTATAGACAGTGCATTCAATGTTGCTCGCCGAACCATGTACCCATTATATCACCAGCTGGCAAGACCGACATACAAATCACTTTCCGGAAACGTGAACCTGCTTCCGCCTTGGCAAAATACTTAAATTGAAGGTCGAGTCGTCTGCTAACTTCCACCACTAGCCTGGCTTGCGGCTGTCACCTCAGGGGTCTTCTGGAGCGAACATATGGTTGCATTTTCGGTGCACGCGGGCTTTCCAAAAGTAGGGGACTACGCAAGGTGGTACACTACCTCTGATAGAGCCCAGGTGGAGAGAGAGTTCCGCTGGGAGGAGTCAAGCAGAAGCAGTTTGGGCGTGTGGCATTGAACTCGGAGAGAGTTCCGAGATTTCCTTTTCGGATAATACTTGTGCGTATGCAGGGGTTGTGAGATGTTACTGATCAACAAAGCCTCCCAGAAGCAAATTTGGGCGGGACTTCAAGAGGAAAGGGCTCCTTCATTTGGACCTCTCACCATTTACATGCTTTTTATTTGCCCTTAATAGTAAGACTTATGTCCTAGGCTTACCAGAGGTTCACAGAGCCAGAGTAGCTGGGGGGGAATGTAATTATTGTGTCGAAGCCACAGAGCAAGTATCACTGTGCTATTTTGCGCTAATCATATGACGAATACAAGCAATATCAGATCAACATCTGGTTTATTTCAGCAGTGCGTCATATTGTGTTCGAACACGTGAGGCTCGGACTACGTTTTAACTCTCAGAAGGCAGCTGCATAAGTCATTATGACACAGTTGCAACATTTCGCTTATTTGTGAGTTCAACCAGTTCGATGAGATCTGACTGCATTCTGTTCAACAAGCCGTTGACTATCCCACCCCCCCCCCCCCTCCCAGAACAAAGAAACCAACCCCCCCCCCTTCAAAACAAACGATTGATGGAAATTTACAGGTATATCCAAATCGTGGGCTCCTGAATTATTTCGTCATAAGCCTTGCCACTGACGTGTACTACAAAAGTATGAGTGGCAGATTGGCCCTTGTTGTAGTTGCAGATGGAAGGTCTTGCAAATCAGCTGCGAGACTTCAGACACGAGAAGAGCTCCCACTTTGAGCCTTCATCACCATCAATCATGGGGATATCTGCTGCGTCGAAGGGAATTTTCTCCCCATCAAGCTCTCTGAGTGTCGCAAACAGCCTCCTCAAGCCGAGGACAAACCAAGACCCATTCCCACCATAGTTGAGCCGAAAGTGCCCACGAGTCGAGGAGGAGAAGGCCTGGCTAGGCTCCAAGAAAACGCCTCTATCCATTAGATGCTCGAGGAATGCGGTCTCGCACGCGGTGTCATCGCCGTCAAAGTATGACAGCCAGTGAGATAGGTCCACAAAGATAAAGACACCAGCATCGGGTGGTATGTAATCGATGCCTTGTGCTGCGAGGACTCGTCCGAGATAGTCTCTTCGGTCTTGCAAGAGCTTGTGAAACTTGGGTAGGAAAGTTTCTGAGACGTATCCGGTATCCGATAATAACTTGGCTGCAACAATCCCGCCGAAGGCCGACACCCAAGTAAACATACTGGTAATTCTTTGTCAGTATTGTGTGTCAATATTCATAGGTTCGCTGACATACCTGCACGTTCGCATGGTCTGATATAGCTGCTTGTTGTACGTCGCCATGAAACCCACGCGACAACCCCCTAATCCGAAATCCTACAAAGCAATTCGTCAGCATGATTAAAGTCGACTTGGGGGGGTGGGGTTTTGATGCGTAGTCACTCACCTTGGCCATCCCATACAACACATGAACGTTTTCCACCATATCCGCCAAGTCCAAGCTCAAGACGCTCGTAAAATCCCTGCCTCCACTGAGCGCATACACCTCATCCACCACCAGGTGGACTCGCTCCTCCCTACACCACCTCACGATCCACCGCAGCATACCTGGCGAGTAACAACAGGCCAACGGGTTGTCCGGGTTCGCGATCAAGACTGCGGCAACAGTCCTACCCAGGGCCTTTTGCTCGTTCACCGCCTTGCTTAGGCGGTTTGTCAGTTCCGGCGGTGGTCGCCTGGGTCGGATGTGCTGTCGGAAGCGTGCTTTGGTGATGTCATCACATGACACGGCGACAAAGTGTACCCCATTGCGTGTCGTCAGGTCGTGTTGGAACATACCGTAACTCGGTGTGGGTACGAGAACGACAGTGCCTGCGTCAACGAGGTTGAAGAAGAGGGTATCGAGCAAGGCGGTGACGCCATTGGCTGCGAGGATATTGCTCGATTGTAAAGGGACGTGAGGGTGAAAGAAATGGTTTAGGAACGTGGCTGCTGCTTCAGGTAGCTCGGGAGAAGACTGTGTGTCATTGTATCTCAGGTCTAATTATTTCGCCCCGGTGTCAGTTGGATTGTACTCGCTTGGTTGGGGTTCTGCATCGACTCGAATGGTCTAGGAAAGGCCGTCGCAACCCACACTTCCTCCTATCCTCGGTCGTCTCTTTGTTTCTGAGCCATTTTTCTAGGTCATCGAGCATCAATTCATTGATTGCTGAGCCAAGGTCGACAATGCCGTCGGGATTGGTCTTCTCATCGTAGGCGTTCTTGGCGAGGCGCCGACTGAGATCGATCATGGGATCGGGCTTTACATTCTGCTGGCCCCGCTGGGAAGGCGGAAGAGCAGTCATGTTTTTAACTGTGAGATGGTAAGGTAGCTGGCTGTCTTGTCCTCTACGAGAGGTGGCATGTGTTACGAGGGGAGTAGATGATCACAATGAGGAGACAGTCGTGATGATGAGGGTTCAATGAGACGTCGTCCAACTTATCCACGTCGCCACATGACTAAGCTCCTGTTCTTTCTCTCAATTAGGAAGGTCATGTACTATGTACAATCGCCAATCGCTCCATCCCGCTCTGCTCAACACGTACGTCGTACCTTGCGGCCTAAGTACTTTTGCCACGGAATGAAAGTTCCCCCCCCCCCCCTCCCCCGAGGCTGCAGTGGTCTGTACCCGCGTTGAAGTACAGAAAGCATGAATAGGTTATGACTACATTTGCCTCCAATGATCCTATGTTCAACTTGAAGTCTCTAATCACATCTCTGAAAAAAGAAGCCAAGCTCGTCGCCAACGAGGTTGGTTACATTCGAGTGGACAGGTTAAGCTCCCCCTGGCGCCCCCCGTACTGACGTTTTGGTTCTGTTGAGAAACGAAACGGTTGACACTATCCCCTCACCAGGTCTTCAAACTAGAAATTCAATGCTTAAGGGCTTCAAGCCAACACACACCTAACACTGTGCCATTTCCTTGCTCAACAGGTTCTTGGCCGAATTTCAGGCTATACGACCTTACCTTCGACGCTCTCTCTTTCTCTCTTTGTCCTGAAGAAAAGAAAAACTATGGCCACTTCCTCTTGTTGGTGACTTTTATTGATTGGCTTCACGCAATTCCTTGCCCCAAATGGTGCAGCGCAGCAGGCCAACAGCACCTCCAATTCTTGCTCACCCAATCCCACAACCACTCCTCAGACACAGCAGTGCAAGCCCATCCCAGGTGATGCAGCATGGCCATCCAAGTCGGACTGGGACTCGCTCAACACAACGGTGGACGGTCGTCTCATTACCACCGTTCCCCTCCCCTCCCAGCCGTGTGTCATGATCCAACCTATGATGAGACGGCTTGCGAGGCGCTGCGGGCAGTTTGGGGAGTGCCCAATCAGCAGATACCTTATCCTGCCGAGTTCTTGCAGCCATGGTTCCTCAATCAATCCTGTTCGCCCTTTACAGACCAGGCCCTGCCTTGTGAGCTCGGCAACTATGCAAGCTACTCGATCAACGTGACGGACGCCGCCAATGACATTGCTGCCGGCATCGCAGGAGGCTTCATCCAGGGAGGAGGCCACTCGCAGCTGTCGGGGCTGTACGGGATGGCAGCTGACCAGATCCTCGAGAATGACCTTGTCACGCCCGCGGGGGAGTTCCTGACAGCCACGCCGACCAATAACACAGGCTTGTACTGGGCCATTGCAGGCGGTGGTGGTGGAACCTATGCCGTTGTCACGAGCATGACAGTCCGCGCCTTTCCAGAGGCCCCAATTGTCTACGCATCCTTTTACTTCACCGTCGCGACCGTGGCTGGCGACGTCGACGCCTTCTGGGCTGCCGTGCTGACGTTCCACACCGCACTCGACCTGCTTACAGCCACAGGCTCGAAGAGTATGTACTTCCACGCCGACTATTCCATATCCAACAACACCCTGTACGTAGTCAGCCTGCTCGCCCCAAACGGCACGACCGAGGCCGGGTTGACATCCCTTCTCTCGCCCATGATGGAGACCCTCGCCGCGCAGAACAACGCTTTGACGCCCGACAACCTGGGCTACACCACCATCACCGCCGCCATATGGTATGACGAGTTCCAAAGCACCCTTGCGCCGGTACTCGTCAACGCCTCGATGGTGCCCGTTGTCGGTGCTAGGTTCCTCCCGCGCACTGCTACCTCGCCAGGCTACCTCGACGACAATGCCACCTCACAGGCGGCGGCCGTCACATCGGCGCTGCGCACCATGGCAGCGGATGGGAGCTTCATCATTGGATGCGCCGCCGTCAATGCCAACAAAAGAGTAACCTCGGGCAAGGCGGTATAGCCTGTGGCGCCCAACGCCGTCTTCTCCTCGTGGCGGACTATGCTGGCCTCGTGCTTTGGGTATACTGCTGGGAACTGGCAGACCATGGACGCCACGGAATGGGACATAGTCCTGGCGCTACAGACGCGCATCGAAAACGTCATACAGCCCGCACTGGCCGAAGCAATGCCCACGACGGGCGCGTACCTAAACGAGGCCAACTGGGACACACCCGACTGGCAAATCACGTTTTACGGGCCCAAGGCGCACTATGAGAGCTTGTTAGATATCAAGAACACCTACGATCCCGAGGGTCTATTTTATGGGCTGACGGCCGTGGGGAGCGATGCGTGGGAGAAAGATGAGGATGGGAGACTCTATCGTGTTGCGACGACGCCCTGAGTGTAAGTCGGAGTCACCCCCGAGGTCTGGATGTGTGCTTTGTACTTGTGTTTTTGAGAGAATTCTTAAAACTGGGTGCAAAAAGAAGATACTTGCTATTATTCATGTACAAATTTTATTTTCGAGCAAGCCAATTGGATAGATAGGCAGAAGAGAGAAAAATAGCTGTTGCGATAGAATTCTATAATCTCATCCTGAATAAGTCAACACAACCATCCTTTTTCATTCCAGCAAATAATCTTTACTTTGAACACAGTATAACTAATTAACTTTGCATATAAACCTTAAAAAAAAAATAGCTCCTACGACCAATTTATGCTCACCCCCTCAAGTACGCGGGCTTCAAGCTATCTTGGGCTTGGAGTTGTCAATTTCCTTGTGGTCTCACCGTTTTTACGCTTCAAATCTTCGCACAAGAGAGTATAATTACAAACCTTGATTTGGATGATCAATCAGTGCTATGAGCTCCATCAAATTGAAGTGTTTATGGCCTCTATGAATGGGAAGTAAATTGATGAAAAGACCTCCATCAAAGAAAGCCATCACTTTCCTCATTACATACAATCAGTCAAAGACCTCGGGTGTCTCAGCAGCCACCTGATCATAGTACGGTTGAAAGGCCAACCACATCTTGCTCGGGTTCCCGCTCTTCTTGTGCGTCATCACAGCCGTCTCCTCATCGATATAGATCTTCTCCCAGCCGGGCCCAGCAGCGGCATTCGCAAGCAGCTGCGAGTGGCAGCAGCGGTCCAGCGCGATGAACAGGAAGGCAGCCTCGTCCACGGTGCCGCCGCAGGTGATGATGCCGTGGTTGCGGAGGATGATGCTCCGGTTCTTGGGCCCCAGCGCCTCGGCGATGCGGCGGCCCTCCTCGGTCGAGATGACGGTGCCGCCGTAGGCGTTGTACACGCTGAGGTCGTTGTAGAAGCGCAGCGCGTCCTGGTACAGCGGCTCGATGGGCCGCCCGAAGCAGGAGAAGGCCTTGCCGTAGACCGAGTGCGCGTGGCAGGCTGCGTTGACGTCGGGCCGCGCTTTGTGGATCTCGCTGTGGATGGCAAAGGCTGGACCGTTGATGGGGTACTGGCCGCCTCCCGGGAGGACCTCTCCTTTCTCGTTTACGAGGACGAGATCGCTCACACGGATCTGAGAGAAGTGTTTGGACAGGGGGTTGATCCAGAAATGTTCTACTCCAGTATTAATTTTATATTCTTCACACCGAAAAGGAGGAAGGCAAATTCGCCCGTAAGAGGTTGTTGAGTCTAGATGATGAAATGGGTGATCAATGGCCAGGCCTTCAGCACACGTACCGGGATTTTCTGGGTCTCGAAGTGAGATGTGTCCAGCCACGCCCTCGTCGAATCCTTGCCGTGCAAATACTCGAAACGCCGCAGCCAGGTGTCGTTTCTTATAGGCGCGCTCGTCGTCCACGCTGGCGAATTTGGGTGGGGACCGGATCACCACCTTGCCATCTTTGTCGCCGAGGAAATGCACATCCTCGAAGAAGTTGTCCTGCGTTGGTATATCACCCGCAGATGGCTTGACCTTCTGTTTGTCGTGCATGTCATCCTCGGTCAGAATAGTTGACGGCGCCATCTCTGGTCTATGGGAGGGAGGTATATTATATTTCTATAGTCAGTAGAGAGAGGGGTTACAATTTTTTGTGTAAGTAGGTGGATCGACCCCTCAGCGTGGGAACTTTCCAGTTTGAGCCTGGAGGCGAATCCTACTCTCTTTTATACTCGTCTCTTGGCGAGACCCGAGGGAATGAGAAGAACTATTGGTACGAACAATAGTGGCGGTTCTCCCACTACATGCCGCCGCGGTTGCAGGCGGCTCAACCAGAAATGCAACGGATCTTGTTGATTGAGAGTTCCTTACATAGGCTCGTATTCAAGTTTTATCTCCGATCGCCCGCGTGCTGGCGGCCTTCGGATGTGGTGAGGGGTATCTTCTGCGTTCCGAGTGATTGTTCATATAGAGAGACGCCAATGGATGTACGAGATTCCCACACAACGAATTGACTGACATGTGGGCTTGTGATTCTCTCAGAGCTATTCGTCCATTCTGTTGGTCTATTTCGTTCGCCAATCCTCTATCTGTACCTATATCATTGCTGTACGAGCAGCAAGACCACGCACCCAAAAAATGAAAGCAATCAGGGTCAAGAATGGCAAGGGAGATGCCGATGCTCTCTATGTCGGTGAAGCTCCTGACCCTACCCCAGGGCCCAGAGATGTGCTTATCGTGGTGAAGGCATTCGGTCTCAATCGCATGGACATCATGCAGCGAGAGGCAAAGTACCCTTACGCATTGCTGCCAGAATCCGGGGATATAATGGGAGTTGAGTTTAGCGGAGTTGTCAAGGAGATAGGAGCCGAGTGTTTGTTCTTCTTCTCTCTTCAGCGCCCACTTATGATTTCTCTCCTTTTCTTTTCACACTGGCTGAACAGGCGTACAAACCAGGCACCTCTGATTTCAAGGTTGGTGACAGAGTGTTTGGCCTGGCTTATGGTGGCGCTGTAAGTAAAGTCATGCGACCAGGACCAAAACACAAAAGAGCGGGAGAGAGAATTTGCAGAGCATTCATCACTAGATTCTGACAACCGGGGCAGTATGCCGAACTGATCGCCGTCTCCGAAGGCATGCTAATGCACATGCCCCCTGCAACCAGCTTCCAAGTGGCCAGTGGGATTCCCGAGACCTTCTTTACAGCCATTCAGGCAGTTCACCTGGTCGGCAGTCTCCAACCAGGCCAGACTGTTCTCGTCCACGCCGGGGCCTCGGGTGTAGGGCAGGCCGTCATCCAGATCGCAAAGGCAGCAGGGGCCAAGACAATTTTCACAACCGCCGGTACCGATGATAAATGCAACCTGTGCAGGTCTCTGGGGGCCGACTTTGCCGTCAACTACAAGACTGGCGAGGAGGACTTTGCGGACACGATCGCGAGGGAGACAGGCGGCAAGGGTGTGAATCTGATTGTGGACCTGGTTGGACGCGATTATTGGGATCGCAATGTGGCTTCGGCGGCCATGGATTCACGAATTGTCCTTGTTGCTCTGTTGAGTGGCGGGGTGGTGGACAATTTCAACCTGAGGCAGCTGATGAACAAGAGAATCTGGGTCCAGGCTACAACGCTCCGAACAAGAAACAAGGAGTATCAGCAGCATCTGAGAGATGTATTCACGACGGTAGCACTGCCCGAGCTAGCCAAGGGAATCATGAAGATCACGGTGGACAAGGTCTTCCGCTGGACAGACATTGCAAAGGCTCACAAACGCATGGAATCTAATGTCAACGCAGGGAAGATCATCTGTGTGATCGGCTGAAGAGTTGAATATAACTAGAGGAAATATAATGCAGAAGTAGTCTTCTCGGTATCTACAATACTCAAAGTGAATCAATCATGTCATGCGAAGATCCTATCCGGATTCTTGGACCATAAGTTCCTCCAGACCTCATCGTCCGTGATCCATTCCCTCAATTGCTTGATATGCAGCGCATCAGGAACCTCTCTGAAGCCTTCAACCTCAGTCAGCCTCTGCTGGTCAGTCTTGCCCTTTCTAGATACACCAAGTTGTGTGTGAGGCCAGTCTATATCTTGGTCAATAGCAAATTCTTAGGAAATCCCGCATGAAATAACAAAGGAAAACTGCCGTTTGCTTACCCGAACCGTACAAGATCCTCTCGGGTCCAGCTGCAACAAGCGTCTTAACAATAGTCTCCAATGAATCCATGCCTGAAGCATGCCCTTCGTACAGCCTCTCAAAACCACTCAATTTGACATAGACGAAGCCGTCTCTCACCAATTCGGTAAAGACATTGAAAGCCTCCAGCTTCTCCTCACCAGGAAAAACTCCACCGAGATGGTCCGCCACGAGTTTCACACGAGGGTCCAGCTCATGCCTGATCATGTTCGCCATGGCAGCCCAGCTGCGCACGTCGGAAAAGACATCAATAACCCAGCCCAGACGAGCGATTCTGTCGGCTGCAGCCTTGATCTTGACGGCGACTGCATCGGCACCACTCTGTGTGCCGTGGCCCCAGGAGACTTCATGCAACCGCACACCTCGGACGCCAGCTTCATGGAGAGCATTCAGCTCTTCCTCAGAAGCATTGTTTGGGTCAATAGTGCAGAGACCGCGGATCACGCTGCAGTCTCTTGGCTTGGCCTTTTCATCACTGAGAGCCGCCAGCAAGGGCTCTGCTGAGTGACCCTGCACAGTAGCCTGGACAATAACAATGTTGGAGCATGTTGTCTCTGCAAAGGGGTACTCGGCCAGGTGAGCTGGCTTGGGCGTATAGGATCGCGGTGTGCCGTATGGATAGGCGTCAGGGTCAAAGACATGGATGTGCGTGTCCCAATGGCCGGTGTTTTTCATCTTTGGCAGCGCGTGTGAGATATTTCCCCGAGGAACAGCGCTCCAAGTTAGAGTTCGGATGGCAAAAGTGAGTCCTCATCCTTCATGGATTGTCTCCCCGTCCCCCCCTCTTTAAAGGAAGAGGGTGGGATCAACCTCCCCCGGTCCTATCGCAGAAGGGGGTTTCCCCGCATCGTAGGCATATCCAATGCCCTCCCACATCTCTTGTAGGAATCCTCTTCCTATTGGTGTCCTGGGGATCAGTTGTGTCTTACACACCATCGGTGTCAACCTTTCAAGTTGCATTGCAGCAGATGGCACGGACTTGTGTGCATAAGATTCCCTTTCAATGTTACTCAGACAGGACACCGGGCAAGATGGGGCTTTCCAGGTTTCTATTGGCATTGGCCAAAGTCACTTTCACACTCCTGCCTTCTCTCTTCTGTGCATGACCGTCCGGTCTTCAGGAATCACTTGCATGGGGTACATGCACGGTGTCCTGTTCAATAGTCCCCTCCACATCCCGACGCAGCATTCCGAGGATCTTTAGCCCAGATTTTGTGGACTTTATCCCAAGCTTGGGACGTCATACGTCAGAGGGAGGCGGAGTGAAGCTTCTTTTTCGACTTTTGCGAGCCAAGCGAGCCAATGCAACGTCTAATGAGGAGTAGATACGACCATTCGTGTGCTGGTTATGGAGGATGCATTTTGAGAAGCACTGGTCTCTCTATACGTGGTACTCTCATCATACTAGCTGAATCCATTATTGGTCCTGCTCGCACATTGCATAGGAGTGCTACTAATCAAGATCACATTTGTGAATGCTGGGTGGTTCTGGTCTCTTGTCGACAATTGAATTAATTAGTCAAAACGATCATCTTGCCATAATTACTTGCGGCCATGAACGACATCAGCCCTCCCGTCGAAAAGGTCGAAAAGCCTGAGCATGTAGAGAGCCGCATCGATCCTCGTTATGATCTGACAGTCCTGAGCGTCGAGGACGCTGAGTTCCTCGCTTCTTTCTCTGAGCAGGATAGGAAGCGCGTTATCAGAAAGGCGAGACTCAATCAGTTGTCTTGACATTATGTGATGGTGATGTTGATTATTGAGAATTTAGATCGACATAAGACTTGTGCCCATTTTGACCTTTCTGTATCTTGTTTCTTTTACCGACAGATCAAATATCGGTTCGTCCTCACAAAAGAGAACCCTTCAGGATACAAAGTTCAGTCTTTCTAACGCAGAATCTGCTGTACAGGCAATGCGGAGATCGAAGGTCTCAACGAGGATTTGGGTTTGGATGGGGTCAAGTACAACATTGCGCTTTGTCTCTTCTTCGTGCCCTATATTCTCTGCGAGATCCCTTCCAACTGGGTTCTCGCCAAGGTGAAACGGCCCTCGTACTTTTTGGGGACCATGATCTTCCTATGGGGTATCGTCATGACTCTCACTGGTATTGTACAGAACTTTGCCGGCCTGGTCATCACGCGAATCATCATGGGTTTCCTCGAGTAAGTCAGCCTCTCCTGTTCTACTATTCCAAGATGATTACAGCCTAAACAACCCCCCCGCCGCCTTCATTCTCATTCAGCCCACTTTCCCACAGGGCAGGGTTCTTTCCAGGCGCCGTATACCTCATCTCTGCATGGTATCTACCCAACGAGACGCAAACCCGGATCGCCATCTTCTACTGCGCCAGCGCGGCCTCAGGAGCCTTCTCGGGCCTCCTCGCCTTCGCCATAGCAAACATGAACGGTGTAGGTGGCTATTCAGCCTGGCGCTGGATCTTCATCATCGAGGGCGCCGCCTCCGTGGTCTGCTGTCTCCTGGCCTTCCTCGTCATGCCCGACTCTCCCCGCCGCTCCTCGTCCTTCCTCACGTCCGACGAGATCCGCTACCTTGAGGTGCGCCAGCTCGCCATCCCGGGCCGCCGCCGCCACGCCCAGCAGGAGTCAGGCGAGAAGTTCCAGTGGCGCACCCTGCTCGCCGTGCTGGCCGACTGGCAGACCTATCCGCTCGCCATCGTCTACCTGTCCGCCACGGGCCCCAGCTACGCGCTCAAGTTCACCATGCCCCAGATCATCAAGAACATGGGCTACCAGGCGTCCATGGCGCAGGTGCTGACCATCCCGCCCTACACGTGTGGCGTGCTCGCCACCATCGCCAGCTCGTGGGTCGCAGACCGCATCACCTGGCGCATGCCCTTCGCCGTTGGGGCGGACCTGCTGATCCTCATCGCGCACGCCATCTTGTATAATTTTGGCCCTACGCAGGCAGAGCATATCCCTGCCTGTTACTTTGCGCTGTGTCTTGCCTGCATGGGAATCTATCCCATCCCGCCGACGGTCAATGCGTGGCTGATTAGCAATACCGCGCCTCAGACAAAGAGGGCTATGGCCATAGGGTATTTTGTTGGTTTGGGAAATATTGGCGGCATATTTGGTTCGTTCTTTGACAACCTCACAGTTAAACTGGGATCTATTATGAAGCTTGTACCGTATGTGGTGTGGATGCTAATGGATGAACGCCAAATCCAGGTTCCTTCATATACCGTCAGAGTGAGGCTCCCAAATATCCCTCGGGATATGCAACGGCCTTCTCTCTGGCGAGTGCTGGGGTGATTCTCGCGCTTGTGTTGGAGTTCACCTACAAGAGGCTCAATGAGAGGAGAGCTCAACTGAGTGAGCAGGAGGTGAGGGCAAGGTATTCCGAAGATCAGCTGGAGAAGATGGGCGACCGAAGCCCACTGTTCAGGTATTCCTACTAGTTGCTTGGTGGTTCGATGTGTTTTCAAAGGCTGTTTCCACGATTCTTCTACCTTGCACTTTTTTCTTTCTTTTTCTTATCTTTCTTTTATGATTCGGAAAGACATAGGGGGAAAGGGGACCCAGGTTGAGTTTCACCACTGAATCTTTGTTTCCTGTCTCTTCGTTGGCAGGCTCTAAGTCCCTGGGCGTTTGTCGGCAAGCGAGGCGATCCATCTCAACCAAGATTTCGCGGGCTCCTCTGGTCAATAAGTGTGGCTAAGAGTTCGTGAACCAGTTTTCCCGACGAGAAGCATGCTTAGATGCACGTGTCTGCCTGACAGGATTCCATAATTGGCTCAAAATTGAATTCATAATCATCTTGTAAGTTTCTCTAGCGCAGATTGAGGCGTGGCTCAAACCATGGCTCATGAATGCGTCGGTGGCATTTGAAGACACCGACTCTACTTGATCACTCAACTTGCCGCCCTTGCCGCCCTTACCATATTAACTGCTAAAGTTGATGAAGGCAGACTTCAGCGCGGAAACAGATGCAATACATGCTCGTTGACACCGAAGAGAGTGGGCCCTGCTCCTTTCCCGTCCACTCTCCTCTTTACCAGCCCTGCATGATATCGGAAAGTAAGGAGCACGTGCATGCTTTCAAGATGCAAAGCCGCTGCAGCCTCCAACCTAATAAGGCGGAGCTCGGACTTATCCAACACACGCTGTCTCACTGGCTGTGAGTCACTTTACGAGAAACGCACCAGCCACCTCATCAGGTCCATCTAAATCCCGCAAGCAACACCGGATGAGCATACCGGCCGTAAGGCGCATGAGACCCCAAATTCAGCCGACCGAGGGAATTTTTGGCCCTGCAGCGTATGGTGTCTAGCAAAAGTCAAAAAAAAAAAAAAATAAGCGAGAAAAATACTTAGGGACGGAAAACAAAACGCGCAGCTTCTCTAGCGGCTTCATATATCCCTCGAACCCGCCCGTCCCGCTTGGCAGCCTGGAGGAGACAGGGCGAACACAAGTAAATAAAAAGACCCTGTGACCGTTTCAGCTCGTCTTGGAGCTTGGGCCTTTCCCAGCTGCCTGCGAGCGCCAAGCTGTATCGCCTGTACTGCAGTGGAGAAAGGATCAGAGCTGCCCTGCAGATGACCTCACTGAGCTGCGAAAGAATTCACTCAACTTCGACGCAATGCACGTGCTTGATCCTTTCTCATTGGCTGACTTGTTGGTTTTGATTCTCATTCTACCGAAGCGCCAGCCTTGAAAGGTCGGATTGTTCCGTCTTACATTAACTTACTTATTGGACTGCTGCTGACAGTGGAGATTAGAGGTGGGAATGTGCTTGGCTCTCTTGACCGATGGCAGACCGATAACTAAACGAGGCCCGCGACGTTGAGTTTGGGGGTTCGAACCATGTTACAGACAGCCAAAAGCCCGCAACACTGTAAATCTGATCATATAAGAGATTGGCAATTCCTGGCTAGTCCAGCAGTAGAGTGTGTAAAGAGATAAGTTCAAGACTATTCACCTGTGCAAATCATAATAAAATAAAATGCTCCTTCATTCATCGGCCTCGTAGCTTCTCTTCTTTTCCCGAGGTGCTCCTCAGCCACCCAAGCACTCACTATCTTACCACAAGATTCACCAGCTCCCATGCATAGCTTGGAAAACACAAGCAGGACGCCGACATCCCCGTCCATCCCCTCCACGTCTTGGGGCCCTCGACACGAGGCAGAAGTCCAGCACCTGAACCATACTACCGGCCGCCCCCTACGCAACACTACTCCCTACGGCAGACACAGCAACGATTGGCTGTTTGGCTCCGTGGAGGTGAGAAGAACCATTGCGCGGACTGTCAGGAGAGCGGTTGGGACTTGTGTCGAGACGAGACGGTGAGGGGGAGGGGAAAGGAGTCGACAGCCTGTTGTGTATATGGGAAGAGAGTGCTTCCTGGCACAAGATAAGACGTGGCGGCGGTGGAATGTAGTGTGAACAGGCGAGGGAGAGACGGAATGCGAAATTGTCATATCCATGTTGGGACGCCAAACATTGTCAGATAGAGACGTCTCTTTAATACTACAATCATTATCTCATGCAAATGAATCTTCAGAAGGCCTAGCCCTGTACCCGCCTTGCCTGAACCTGATAGCCCAGTAGGGCCGTGACTCTGCGAAGGCGCGCAGTATCTCCATACACCTGTTCCTATCTTGCTATCATCATCGAATATTTTGCTAGGAGGCTCACATGATGAACTTGACGTTTTGGACATCTGGGTGTGCGTTTGGTTAGTCAAAACTACCGCCGCCAAGTCTGAACCTAAGAAGGGTCTTGATATACATACCCAAGGGGTGGCTGCAGCTCAGCTGGGGCTTCTGCGTGTACTTGCTCTGGAGCACCTCCCGGATGCTGTTAAGCAGCTGCAGGTACGTCTGATTGGGGTTCTGCTTGATAGCCGAGATGAAGGCCCAAGACATGGCACCAGTAGCCTGCGAGGCGATGGTTGCATCAGCACTCGTCTGATCGTCCCTGCTGCCGCTCCACGAGATGACGTCTGCAGGGCTGGTCTTGGTCCGCATCGTCTTCTCGTAGGCCTTGTCCCCGTTCATGGCCGACTTGAACAGCTTGCCCAGGCTGCCAACCACGCCTCCCATGTCACCCCTCGCGTAGGACATGGCGGCGCTCAGGAGGCCCTGGCCGGCCTCCTTGGCGAGGTTCGGCTCTTTCAGCGCGCCCTTTGTGGAGTAGATGTAGGGGAGATCGACGACCGATCCGGAGTGGCACGAGTCGAAGATGCACGTCAGGCGGACACCTGGTTGGAGCGGAGCAACGCATATCGCGTGGATCTGGTCGTCGACAATGTGGCCGCGCTGCTTGAAATCGACGGGGTAGATGACCTCGTCGTAGCCATCGTCTTCGTCGCCGTCGAGGTCCTTCGTCTGGCCGCCGTGTCCTGGGGGAAAAAAAATAAAAAAAATCAGATTCTTGTCAGCACACAGAAGCCGCCCCTCGGAGAGTCAAGATTGCAGATTGTTTTGGGTGCGCCATACCAGAGTAGTGCAGGAACAGCGCGTCGTTGGGCCGAGCATCCTTGACCAGCCATCCCATGGCTCGTATGATGTTGTCCTTAGTCGGCTGCAAGACCGGGTTCGATGCGTCGTCGGTCAGGATGACCATGTCCTCACGCTTATAGTTGTAGTTCTGCATCAGAAAGTTGGAGACGTTGTGGACGTCGTTGATGCATCCCTTCAGCTCGTTCTGCGACCCAAAGTAGTTGATGCCGATGAGAAGGGCCTTGCGCCGTCCGGTACACTGACTGAACTGGAATGTGTAGTTGTCTGGTGCACCATGTCCAAATCGCTGCGTTCCCTGGGGCACGAAGCCTCCTCCCTGTGCTCTGCCGCCGTTGTAACCTTGCTGGCCGTACTGCTGCTGTTGGCCATACTGCGGCTGCCCATACTGCGGCTGGCCGTACTGCTGCTGGGGCGGAGGATAGTTGCCGTAGTTTGGCGGAGGAGGCGATTGGTGGTACTGCGGTTGTTGCGGCGGGGGATAATAGCCCTGGGGAGGAGGAGGGCCTTGGTTGTAGCCTGCGTATTGCGGATGTTGAGGAGGCCCCCATTGGCCAGGAGGAGGAGGCCCGTGATGGTGATGGCCTGGGCCGTGACCTTGTCCTGGAAACATGTTTGGGGGGGGGGGGGGTGACTCGTGTATGTGGAGTAAAGTGTACTATGTACGATGATGGAGGGAAGAGAATGAATGGATGAGAAGAGGCTGTATTGATGTGGCGACGAGGGAGTGATAGGTCTTGGAGGTGTGTTAAGCAAGGAAAGTTAGGTTGGGCGGTTGTAGGACTTGTCAGCAGGTCGGGCTGATGTTTCGATTCCAAGGTTGTGACAACTTAAGGCTGAGTCTTAGCACGGCTACGCTGGCTCTCTACGTTGATAGGTGGGGTTGACGGGTTGGTCGGCGCTGTTGGCCGCTGGTTCAAGTTAGGCGCCCTAGCATCCTTCAACGTTCCCTGCAGTGATGCCCTGCATCTAGCCAATAAAGAGCAGTGGCTCGATTTCACGAAGCCCCCCTGCTCAGCGCAAAGACACTGCAACAGAAGATCACCACAGTCAGTATTTTTTAGGACTCACCTCATGAGTGACTTTGATCCCAAGTTATTCAGGAAGCATTGTGGCGCAACGTTGGCAGTTTTGCCGATGCAAGGTGCAGTTTGCTACTTTACATTTCTCTCATGCGTGCTTGTAACGACAATAGTTGATGGATCCTCCTCATGTCATCTAAACTCACATACCAAGGCCAAATACTTAGTCTGGAGGATAGAGCATATTGGAGCTCCAAGTGCTAATCCTTCATCGCAAAAAAAGGCTGGTCTGGACTGTAGAAAGCTGCACACAAAACCAATTGTGGATTAGGTTGCGCCCCAGATTTTGGCCCATACCTTTTATACGCCCTCGCACGTGGAGAGGTGTCCAGTGCCACCGCCCTCTGGCCATAATCCTGCGCTACTGAAGTGCTTTCCCTTCTTCCGTCATATTATACATTATATACTAATAATCATTCTGTGCCTGCCCACCGTCCTTTGTACTCATAAATTTTGTGTCTTTTGAAAATATTTGTCCAACTTTTCCTGGTCTCTGCTCCCATTAAACAAAAGTAATTAGGTAACTGTGCCATATGACCATCCGTCAGAACCGCAACCCCTTGATGGAAACCAATGTACCCTGCTCAAGTCCAATCTTTCTAATCGGTAGGTGTCCTCTTTGCAGTTGTCCAAGCAGTTGAGAAGGAAGGGGGGATGAGTTCGGAAGCGGGGTTGAACCGAGTGAAAACAAGTTTGACTTGATGCCGTGCAGGACGGACAGTAGTGGAGTCAAAGATGACAAGGTTTGGTGGTTCCAATCTCCTTGCCCACTACTTTCGCTTAGGCACCTGTAACCGCATCTGGACCGTCCGCGAACGGCAATTCTGTAGAAGGCGCCGACGACACGCTGGTGAAGGTATAGGCTCGGAAAATTTGTTGTGGAGATAGATGAGTTCTCAGAGGTCTTGATCGTGTTGGCATGCCAAAGTTGGGGCCAGACCTAGTCCTATCGATGTTGCAAGGGCCACGACCGGTATTCACAGGGCCCCAGACCCACATCGGGAACGCTTTAGAACCTTCATTAACTTGTGCCGTTTGTGGTTCCTGCTCCGGGATTGTGGTAGGACGATATTGAGTTGTAGGAGATGCAAATTTGTAATCTCTAGAGAACAACTGAATCCGTTGACCATCTGGCCGGGTCCTAAGTGTTGTATCTCTTCGATCTTCACGGTCCCATTCTGTCCAGCGAGGGACTCCACCAAGGAACGCAGTAATTCCGAAACGTCCTGAAGGTCGTTCTGGTTGCACAGGCTGCACATCTGAGGATCCTCCTGAGCCTTCCAGGAAAGGCGACTTTCAAGGGCAAGGGGTTGACATGGCCTGCAAGATGACGATCCAGACCAGCAAATGTGATTCAACACAGGAGAACTATGTAGCGCCGGGGAAGTCTGGAGAAGTGGCGTGTTTCTGCCTAGACTATATCAAAAAAGCTGGGAGTCTTGCCATAGCGCGCCTGCGATCTCGAAACTCGTGTGCATCTGCAGGCTACGAGGCAACCACAACGCCTAGTTTCAGAGCTGTAAACTCAAATTTTCCACCGACTTTTCGAGTTCCACTCGACTTCTCCCGATCAACAGATGCTCTATATCAAAAGGCAACGTTGTGAGGAGCAAATACTGTGCGCATATCGCGGTAAACAAAGGTTCTCGATAATAGCTCTTGAACCTAAGCTCGAAGAGACTGTCCCTGTCCATGCAAGTGGCAAACAGCAGATGTATGGATCCCACTCACCCCCCACACACACGCACGGGCAAAAGTTCCAAAGTCATGTTCGAAAGTAGTTCGGAGACACCGAAGCGCTTTCATTGATCAGTCTGTGGATCCATTGTACACATGACTGCCAGGTGCTGCGGAGCAGGAGGTGAAGGGGAAAGCGTGTTTGGACAACAGTTCGAGTCGCCGAAACCTGAGTGTGGACTTTTTAGAGCGGCGAAGTCCACAACCAGTCAAACGTATATCATGCGGGACAGTTCATCTGGTCCGAGCACTGTTCTCCATACGTTCTCATTCTCGTGACAAGAACATTTGTGAGGCTCCAAGGTGGGCTTCGAGCCCTGTATACCTGAACTTACATATGTATTGAGGCTCCTCGGCGGTCCGCGGGCACAATGGCAGATGTTCTCGGGACAGTAGCTTCAGCTGTGCAATTAGCTGGTCTCTGCCAGGAATTATATTATCTTTTGAAAAACGCGAGGCGCACATTGCGCCAATACAAGGACAGTGTCAAAGACCTCATCACTGTCTCGCACGAGATTAAAGATACCCCGGTCCTCCAGACTCCAGAGATCACAGAAATCATCAAGTCGCTCATCTCCCTTATCCACACCTTCAAATTCAGCCACCAAAGGTTCGACAACCGTCTCAGAGCCTGCTGGGTACTTCTCAGGAAGAGGTCCGACTTGGACTGCCTATTTGCCCTCATAGAGACCAAGAAGACCAACATCTCGCTCTTGGTGTCTACTGTGCAGATATCGCTCTTGCTAGACGTGCAACAAAACATCGCCCAGATGAACAACCAATTCGAATCGCTTTCCCCCACAACCCCTCAGCAGCCCAAAACATTCTCTCAGAACCATCAAAAACTTCCAGACACTCCTCCACTCACATCCTGTCAAGTCGCCGAACAGGGCTCTCAAACACATCAGTCACGTACACATACTGGATCTTCCTCAAGCACTGTATCTCTCCCAAGAACTGAATCCGGCATGGGTATCACACAATCATCTCAGTGGTGGGGGATTTTGGGCATGGGCGCATCGCTGACATCTTTACCAACTGGGATGGGACAGCAGCGAAAGTCAACCATGACATTCGGCAACATCAAGATGACGGGAAGAGGTCGTCAGGTGAATGGGTTTGAGACGGGTGCCAACCCTCAGCACGACACAGAACTGAATTTTGGAGATGTTGACATGAATGGAGATCTCGAAGGTCGTCAGGTGAATGGTTATGCCTGAGTTGCGTACATCATGTATTCACAGGTTGCTCACAAGTCTTTGCATCACCAGGCTGTTCTCACGGTCTCATGTACCTTTGCACAAGGACTATTCTTTCGTTTTTTTCTTCGTCTTCTTCTATAGGTGGTGTGTCAGTGTGCATTCGTTAAAAGCAGAACAGGGATGGACAAGTGATTGGTTTGCAAGCAGTGTACAATCGTTATCCAATTGGGTCATCTCAATACTCCAATCATTTTCTATACATATCATTGGTTGCATACTATTCCATTCGCCCAGCCTGCGCCTCTTTGGGCTGTTCCTTGACATCAGACTGCGCACTAACGTTTTCTAGATCTATCATTCCTTGGCATATCTCCTTAATTAGCGGCCTTCTTTTTTTCCTTTTTTTTTTTTTTGGTTCTGCTTTCTCTCATTAATCCTGGTGCAATAGCCATTCTGAGATGACATGTTTCGTCCTAGATGTGTTTGCTTTGATACAATAGATACCATAGTACTTCCATCCTTACTTTCATGATTGGTTCGTTGCTGATCTACGCTTCGCAATGCATTGTAGATCTTATCTAGTACCAACAGATGTTTTTTTCATCTCTTCACTATTTCGTTGAAGATACATCCAAGCGAAATCTTAAATAACCCCCCTCCCTCTCTTTCCCCAACCCCCCTCAGAGGTCAGACGCAAGCATTTTCCTACCTACACACCAGTCATATTATCTGTGCCTGGCTAGGTTCTGTGACCATGGATACAATTTCCGACTTGTAAGCCCAAAACAAGAAATAATCTGAACCATCAAACAGGGAGGACTCGTTCCGAATCTATACTCGCAGACTTTGAAACTATAGTGCTTCCAAGCGTAATCACGCGATCCCTCCCAGAAACAACTCGATTCTGCTTTAATGTCGGAGATGAGCTTCTTTCCACCATAGACATGAGCCAAGAACATAGCGCAGACGGGAATCACTACCGGCTCACAGATCTTTCCAAACAAACCTACCTGGCACCGATCTACCGTAATTTGCCCCAGTCTTTGCTCCTGGCTTTCCTTTTCATTTCTTTCTTTTCCCCATAAATGGCAAAGTTCTTGTCGCCCAGCCATAATATTGTGTGACATTGAGAGCATGTTTGTTGACGTTATAATTCCGGCATGTGGGGGAGTCGGGAGCCAGGAGAAGAACTTTGGAAAACGCGGGGAAAGCTTTGAACAGCGGAAGCAGATTGAGTATAAGATCTACAAGGAGGATATAATGCCAATGAAGACAGTATGTAAACTCTAGACTTTTCGGCTTGTGGGGGAGAAGAGAAACGTGGGGAAAGCTAGGGGGTTGAGCCCGGACTGCCAAAATATCAACGGCAACCACATCGGGTAATTCAGTAGTCAACCTGTACTCGCTTGCGATACAGTGCCCTGATGGTATACACAGAATTGTATGTATGAATATAAATACATATGCTCTATTTGCTCCTGGACATGGAGGCTTTTCCTTTGCTTCCCAAGCCTTTCACTTGGCATCCTACTCCTGTCGATCTCACAGCTGGACCTCGAAATCCTCTTCAAACTTCCTCAATCTCTGGCTGTTTTATTTTGAGATAACAAGAACAGAAAAATCATTGCTCACAGCAACAATGAAGCAGTCTCTTGTGACAGCAGCGGTAGCCCTAGTCTTTGCGGTGACGGGGTCCGCCATGCCTACCGCCGCATCGGTCGACAGGAGTACGTCCAACAGTAACTGCTCCAGGGAGTGTATGACAGACATAGTCACTCAGATTTTGGACTCCATGGTGGCCCGCAATCCATACACCCTACCAATGGCAACAGTCTATCAAGCGACTGAAAACTCGCACCCAGCAGCGCTCAGCACGATGACACTGTGGCGCACCGTCGTCACGGCAGGCCCGCCCAGCCTGCTGGCCATTGACACCACCAACGGCACGGCGTATTTCGCCCTGGACATCAGCGAAGGCAACAAAGCGACGGATGCAGTCCTTCGGGGCCGGGTCAAGGTGGTTGACCAGCAGATCACGGAGCTGGAGCTGTTCATCAACCGGAACCGCGGCGATCACGGCTTCTCCTTCTCGGCTGCGGAACTGCCGACAAATTACAAGGAGTTGATGTCGCCGCCGGCGAATCGGACCAAGGCGAGCCGGGCCACTCTGGAGGCTCTGAGCGAGGCCCTGTTCGCCACGTCTAGCAACTTCTCGGTCAGCGTCAGCGACAGCTGCCAGTTCACCGAGATTGGCTGGCGAGTCGTCGATCCTGGGACGTACGGCAACGGTTCGACCACCCCGCTTGGATGCAGCTGGCCCTCTGATCACCCTACCGACAGCAACGCAAGGGTGGGCCTGGTCATTGACGAGGAATTGGGTTTCGTCGTGACCAGCGGCACAGTTCCGGGTACGGTCTATCCCTACGGGAACGTCTCCGCCTTCATACCAAACGCCATGACTTCGGCACAAGAGGCGCAGGAGGTGTGGTTTGAGGAGATGAAGGCTCTGGGTACTATGCCGCTGCTGTCTCCCACCGGAGCCACTGGTGACACTCTCGAGGTGCTCCAGTACTACAATGACGAGCTCCAGGCCATGCAGATCAATGTCTACCTGAGTGGCCCGGACATGACATCGCCCTGGTTGTAGTGGATGTTGTTAATGCGATGTGGGAAAGGAAAGAAGAGAAAGGCCACACGGAACAAGATATGGCAGAATCTGGGTCCAGGATCACGCTCGCGACTGTCTCCCTCTCTATTGGCTTTGGATTGTATTGTTCGAGTGTTAGTACTTCTTTTCTTAGTCCATCTTTGGCGATCGATATACCATTGAAATCAATCATAAAGTGGCTCTCAACTGTACAATTCTTTGGAGAGCGGAGCGAAAATTGAAGCCAGTATTGATCTCAGTACAGCAACGAATATTGTAAATAGTTCAACTACAAAAGATCACACCTCTTGATGTATCTTGTTTCCCAGGCTTTCTGACTCCTGCAAATTCTTTGGGGAATGATACTATATGAGGCCTTATTGTGCCGTCGGATTATCGATAACAAATTATGCTCCGTGTGACTGGTTGGTTGCTCTTCCAGTAGTACTGTTGAAGTACTATAGTAAGTAGCTGTGGCTGCCAGCTGTGGCTACAAGCGGATCACACTTGCCCACTGAGCGTTGATTGGCTCTTGTCCTTGTAGTTCCTCACGTCCGTCATGATTGATTATCGAGGTTTGTCTCATTGTCTTGAATTCCGTCTCTCTCTTCCCCTCACTCTCGCTACGCTCATGATACCATCTAACATTCAGAAATGCGACGGCTATTAGGCATAGGCTGTGCGCATTGTGGTGGTACAATATGTCGGTCGACATTTGTCATCGCCACGCTGGGGAGCAAGATCCACCATCTCTGGACCCGGCGGAGCTGGCGGAAGTCTCGGCACAAGAGAATGATGGTAGCTGGCCAGCAAGGGTCAAGATCGACCTCAGATGGCCAGTCAACCCAAATATGGTTTAAATAGTCCCTAGTAGATCTTCCTTTTCTTCCTTCCTATCACAAGGGAGCCCAGGTTGACATAAGCCCATACAGCCAGCCACATACAGCTACTTCGGTGGATGAATTCTCTGAGCAGCTGCTTGATATTCCTTTGTTGTCGGAGCTTCGCCTCGTCAAGCCATGGGCATGGGCTCTGCAAAACTATGACGCAGCCAGTGCGTGACTCGGAACGTGGTTTTTTTTTCTCTAGTCAATAAAGCTCCCCCCGTAATGAACGTATACACAGTAAAGTATCTCAAGCATCAAATGGATGCCACAAGGTGATTGTACTCGTCAACTTATTGGGAGACAAAGTCGAGCCTTCTACACCCTCATATTGTCCTCAAAGTGGGCACCAATCAATGACTGCGGCTTTGTACGGTAGACTGCACGACGATCATTGCAGCAGGAGCTGAAAGAGGAGAACTATCTGCGTTGATTGGAGAATTGTGATGCAACTTAGGTGGTTCTCTAACACAAACAGTTAATTATTGTCAGCACCTCGCGTAGACTACCACCTAACGTCTCAGCCAGAGTGGTTCAAGGGAACATCACCACACCCTTCATTCCACCCTGGTCGGCATCACATGTGTTCGGAATACGCTGGAAAAGCATGTCTCCCATCCGCCAAGATGTCATACGTGGCAATTGTTGTCTGCAATACAACCACAAACTGCGTAATGGGCAAGCTGGAACGTTCTCGTTCCCTCAACGATCAAGTTTTCGGCGATTTAGTACGAGCAACCAAGACTCTATATATTACGTAGGTAGACTTGAGTGGCCTCCTTTTTGAATATTCCTTCTTGTTGTATGTGCTCTTGAGCAACCACACTCTGTCATCTCCTCATCGCTTACACATTAGTTTTTAGACAGTGACAATGGGGTCTTCAACCACAATTAGTCTCTTGTCAAGCATCCCAGCCACGAAGGCCGTGGTTGGGTCTATCATCATTGCTTGTTTCTATATTGTTGTCTCCATTGGCGTGCAATGGTATCGTCTCAAACACATCCCAGGACCACCTCTTGCGTCTCTGACGAGCCTATGTATATTCCGATGGTTCAGAGCGAGTAAGTAACCCATTCGCCACATAGACAATGTTCTCTCCCCTCCCACTTCTCCCACTTCTCCCACTTCTCCCTCTTCTCCCTCTTCTCCCTCTTCTCCCTCTTCATCTTCATTCTCTACTCGCTTTCACATGACAAGGCGTCCTCCAAGAATAGAAAGAAGACGCCACAGTATGTGAAAGAAGCCTAAAGGGTCTTTCCATTATGACTCCCCAAGCATCATCATCGCACCTTTCCTAAAACAGTCAATGTGCAAGTATTGATCAGAACCCATGAAAGTGAATTATTATACAACTGGTATCCACCTGTATGAGAAGTACGGGGAAATAGTCCGCATCTCTCCTACAGGTGTCCTAGTATCCATTCCCGAGCCTCTTTGGCAGGTCAACTCGGCCCGCTCCACTTACGCTCGCAGTGCCTTCAACACCTCCCTTCGGCTCAACCCCTGGGGCAATAACTTGATCTCCGAGCTTGATACCGCTAAGCATGACAAGCGCAAGGCAAAACTAATCTCGGGCTTCTCAGGCAAAGGCCTGATGAACCTCGAGAGCAACGTTGACGCACAAATTGCCACGCTGGTCAATGTTCTGCAGTGGCGAACCAAGGATGCCAATGGGCCTGCCGTTGTCGACATTGGACGCACACTTCAGTATTTCCAGGTCGACCTCATTACTCAAGCTGGTATTGGTAACACCTGGAGAGACCTGCCACTGAACGAGGATCGCTTCGGGTGGTTACAGGACGCAGAAAAATCAGTTCCCTGGATGTTCTCCCTTGCGGTGGTGCCTCTTTTGCGTTCTATCTATTTTTCACCGCTTTTTCTTCATGTCTTTGGTCCTAGTCTGACTAAGGGCTGGCTTGGGTAAGTTTCAAGTCACGATTCTAGCCAAGCTTGGTAAAGGCGGACATCTACTGAACACCAAACCCTCATAGTGTGCTCCATGAAGAAGTTCAAGAGAGCTTGAAGCCTGACCAGGAAAAGGCCCACGAGGGGAACATGCTGGTGAGTATTGAGTACTGTAACTGATGCCAGCCTCCAGCCAATCACTAACGACAACCATGCTGTGAAAGACTGAGTGGCTCAAGCATGGGCTGTCACCAGCTGAGGCTGAACTAGATCTCGCGCTTTTGATGCCAGCTGGGACCGAGACATCAATCACCACAATTCGTGGCATCCTGATGTATCTCATGGTCTCTCCAAATGCCTACCAAAAGCTCAGACAAGAGATTACAGATGGGATCCGAGAAGGTCGTATCTCGAGTCCTGTCACTAGTGAGGAGACGAAACATCTTCCTTATCTTCAGGTGAGCCACGTCGCGGCCCTCTGGGAGTGCAACAGACTTCATTTCAAACTTGCTTATCCATTTTCGGTTACTGATTCATTGCGTCCTAGGCTGTCCTGAACGAAGGCATGCGGCTTGTGCCTCCTGTCATTATGGGGCTCCCTAAGGTGGTCCCTGCCGGTGGAGACACCATCTGTGGGAAGTATCTCCCAGCGGGCACAGAGGTCTTTCCCAACCACGTTGGCCTGATGCAGAACCAGGAAGTGTTCGGGCCAGATGTGAGCATGTTCCGACCCGAACGGTTCATCGATTGCGATGAGGCCACCAGGGCAAGACGTCTGAAGGTGGTCGATCTGCAATTCGGGGTTGGTCGCTGGATGTGCCTGGGCAAGGTGTTGGCGTGGATGGAGATGCACAAGATCTTTGTCGAGGTCAGTTCAAAACAAGTCGCCTCTCTTCCTCTTTCTCTCCTTCAGTCAACCGTCCTTTGGCTGCTGACAATAATTACATAAACAGCTGCTCCGGTCTTTTGACTTTCAGCTCCTCAACCCAGAGAAGCCTTGGCACCGATACTCAAATGCAATCTGGATCATCAAAGATTTCTACGCTGTCGTCAGGGAAGATCCTATTACTGCGTGATTCTCAGCGAGTGCTAATCAACATCGGATGTTGGAGTGATGTGCTTGAGCACGACTAGTTACGTGCGCATGATTATGCATTCTTATAAAGACTAAAGTATGAATTGGGAACCAGATTGTTCAACAGATCGTTAGGTAGTATACAAGGTCCTTGTTTGATGTTTTAGTTAATTAGCTTTGCAATTTTACTCTATTGCTTTGAATCCGCCTCGAACAAATCCAGTCCGTGTTATTGCTTAGCAAGGATTATCATCTCCAAACTTGCTTGCTCTTCATAGGCAAGGAAGCCCACGTTTCTGCTACTTGTGATGATGCGCAAGCATTATTTGAAAATGAGGTGGATCTACGAAAACTGTTGTTCTAGTCAGTCTTGAATCACTGCATCACTTTCCAAGACTGCTAGATCGATTAGTCATGCAATACACGGATCAGGTCCTATTCTATTTTTTGTTCTTCTTCTTTTCTACGGCCCCGAAATACTGTTTGTCTCCAGGCGGAATTCCCGAGATTCCGAGCGACGGTACAAGATACTGATGAGCCCGTCCTGACACTGCAAATCGCCTGCGGTCTCAAAATGCGCCCTGTGCAGCCCTTGCGTTGTGGAGCATGTTTGTTGCGTGGGACAACAGCAGCGTCTTGGCCCGCTGGAATCGGAATGATTGCAGGCCAGTTGTTACTGCTTCGTGTTGATTTCCGCCATGCTTGGCGAGCTGCACAGACAGCACATACATACCACCCAAACCTTCATATCGAGGAGTAAAGCTGCGAGATTGAGACCCACTCACCTTGTTCGTGTCACTATTTCGCTCATTGTCATACACTGTTTCCAGTGACGAATGATCAGGACAGATATACTGGAGCCTCTCTTTTTTGTGCACGTGTGAGTCTTTTTTGCAACGCGACTCACCCGCCTGCACATTTAAGAGGGACAACCTCCCCTAAAACGAAGTTTCTCGAATCGAAGAATACTATCCAACGTACTTACACTTTTCTTTCTTACAACAATTTTCTCTATTTCTTACACTCTCTGAGATTGATAGACACAGCAGCCTGCAGATATGTCTTTTTTCAAGAAGCTAAGAGATGAGTTTGACGGCATGTCCGTCAAGGACCGAGACGCCGGAGGAAGCCAGGAGCATTCCGGACAAGGAGGTAAATACGCTCACCAGCCACTTTCATCTCCCTCACAAAGCAAAAAGAGAGAGAGAAAAGAAAAGACATTACACGCTGACATGCATGCATCATCGTCACCACAAACAAGGCTACCCTTCAGGAGGCCAATACCCGCCTCCACAACCACCATACGGCTCGCGTGATCCTTACTACCAGCAGCAACAGCCTCCCTACGGCCAGCAGCAGCCCATGTACAACCAGCCATCCCCTCAGCCAGGCTACGGCGCCAGCCCAGCACCCTACGGCGGCGCCCCGCCACCACCGAGCGGGTACCCGCCCGTGCCCAACCAGTGGCTGCCCGTCTTCTCGGAGCAGCTGCAGCGCTGGTACTTTGTCGAGACCACAGGTCGTGCCCTGTGGGACGCGCCCGTGTACGTCCCGCCGCAGCCGCCCATGCCTGCCTACGGCGAGTATGCTCGTGGCGGCGAGTACGCATCGCCTGCCGGCCCACCACCGGCTGGCGGGGAGTACCGTGGGCAGGAGGGGTATGTGGAGCAGCCGGAGAAGAAGGAGGAGGACCACGACAAGCGCAACATGATGCTTGCTGCTGCGGGAGGGTTAGTTGTTGGAGGGATTGGGGCGGCGGTTGTTGCTGAAGCCCTGGGTGAGTGCCATTGATGAATCATCTCCAAAAGACTGATTGTCCCCCTTCTTCCATCGCCTTGTTTCTTTTTCCTTTTTCCTTTTTTTTTTTTTTTTTGTTTCTTGGTGGCAAAACGTCAAGACTGACATGCAATGTCCAACTAGACGATGACGACGAGGAGCACCGACCTCCCCCTCCACCGCCAGAGGAGGAGTTCCACGAGCCCCAGCCTCCTGCTGGTCCTGCCCTGGACGCGTGGGGCAACCCCATCTCCGAGGATGACCGTGAGAGTGTCGCGGAGGCGCGAGAGGAGTACCAGGAGACGTTGGAGGACTCGGATGCTAGCGGTAGTGACATCGAGGAGGCACGCGAGGAGTACCAGGAGGAGGTTGAGGAGGCGTACTACGATGAGTAGGGCGGAGAAAGAAGAGGAGTGTTTCCAGTACCAGTAGGACTGAGAGAGGACTGACCTTGCGTTGCGGCTGCTGGAGCAGAAAAACCCCCACGAAGTGCATTCCCCTAGATCACCCGCTCCTCCTCTCTTTCTCTCTCTCTCATCCTTTCACTCGTGGATAGATGCCAGATTCTAGACGGAGTTGACCAGCACAACTCCGAGAATGAATCTTCCCAATCTCCCATCTTTTAGAATGTTGGACCCAAGGAAAATCGGCATGGTGGTCCGATCCTCACGTGAAATGAATGCTGTGCGCAAAGAATGACCACTTGGCCCCAAGAAGCTCCTTTGCCTTCCCTTTCTTTCACCTCCAAGAGGACGTCACCTTGTCCCTCAGGATTTGATAAGCAAGCTGAAATCATTTAGTTGCCAGCAAAGAAGGGCTGAAACTCCCAACGTTCCAAGGACGTAATTAACTTCGATGAAGGTTCATGTCCCCGAATGGCAATTGAATTCTAGCTAGACAGGACACCAACTAAGATAGACGAGATGAATTACAAGCTCGACTTGGATTGAGTGGGGGGAACGAGCTTTGCTTAGTCATGGAAGGAGGGCTAGACCTTTCCTTCATATTGCGCTCGACTTCTTTGGCAATCTACTATCCAAGGCAACACGAAGCTGAAAAAGGCAAGAAAAGGTACCACGATGATGGGGTCTCAATGTAACATTGACGATCCAATAACGTCTTAAAATTACTTACATAAATACTTGGTAAGTTTTAGACTAAATAGAATGTTGGATCTTCCTTTTTAGTACTATGACTTTGAGCTGTCAAGCCTTATTAGACCCCATCTAGCGGATACGAGTCAATGACCAACAGTTGAGTCAATGACCAACAGTCTCCGTTCCCCTGAACAAAAAAAACACCAAGTCTAAGCAGGCATCCCAGGCTATCTGGAAGCAAGTAAACTCATGCAACGCCTTGGCAGCGTGAAGAAGGGGTCCAGCGAGATGGGTAATACCGAGCCCAGAGGAACGCCTCTCTCTCTCTCTCTCTCTCTCTCTCTCTCTCCCCCACCTTTCCCTTACCTCTCTCTACTATAGTAGTATAAATGATCCTCAAAGGGATCTACGCAGTATCGATCGATGCTACTCTTCCTCGTCCCAGTCATGCGTCAACGCAACGCTGCGGAACATGGAGACTCGATGATAGATTGACTAGTGTCATTTCTAGCATGCAGTGGCACCACAGTAGCACAGCCGATGGGACCCATATCAGGGCTCCGCAAAGAGCCGAACGTGGGTCTCAGCCCCCGGAAAACCCTACCTAGCAAAGCCTTGGCTGATTATGACCCGTCTGTCCCTCTCTGCCTCTCACTCCGTTTTGTCTATCTCCTCCCCCCCCCCCCCCCCTCCTTTCTCTCTTTCTTGTACTCGAGCTTATTCGTCCGTCCAACCAGACATGATTTTAGGACGATGCTGAGACATGGGCTGGGCAAATTTGTTGCTGGACCTACTGCTTAAGGAAGTCTGCACCGCTCATGCTGTGGGCGAGGTAGGGCCGCGGTTCGCCGGTTCAAACCCAGCTCAGCCCGCAAATACGCTTGTGACAGCAGCGCTAGCAGAGGTCCCTGCAGTGTGACTGAACTATAGGAGCCTACATAAGTGCAAAGGACGACGTGATAGGAATGAATGCGCAGGGCTCTTCAAGAGACCCCTCGCGAGCGGGTCGGAGCTGAGAAATTCCCATCAATCTGACATGCACGGGCGGGCGGAGGAGGGGAAGAAGAGGAGACGGGGAGAACGGGCTGAAGGGGGTGGGGAGTGTGTGTGGAGGACAATAGTGAGCATAAGCACACCCGACCCGCTTATGCTTCGTCTTGTTTCTATCCCCATCAAAATCACAAATTCTTTTTTTCTTTCTTTCTTTCTTTCCTAGTGCGAATCAGGCACGCCAGGCTGCCAGGTACACGCCAAGTCCACAATGTCTGCCGTGTCTACTCTCCCGCGCGCCGCCAATCCCAAGCCGGAACAAAGTGGCGGCTCCAACCAGCGGCTACACGGCCTCGACGGGCTGCTTGTGGAAGCCTTGGGATTGGCACAACAGGATAATCCCTTGCAGCGAGACCCGGGCGACGATCCGTGACCGGGACCAGCAACCCCTGTTCCCACATGCGATTTGTCGGCCCGTCTGAGACTCGCACTTTCACTCCATCTCTTTTGTCTCTTCCGCGTGGATGGCGCGCATTCGACATGGAGACCATCTTCCAACCGCACCCCTGCCAAGTGCTTCTCTTCCCCCCCCCCCCCCTCCCTCCAACAATAGTGTCAGCCCGCCGTTAGGGCTAGCACTACAATAGGTAGAGAGACACAACAAGACACAACACACAACAGACCAAAGTGTGGTGTGGGTCGAGGCTCTTCCCCCCGAGGCTGGGCGGGAGAAGTCGAAGGAGACCAGCCAGTGTGTTTCAGATCCATCACCACGTCCTGCTGGAAAGGAATGAAGAGGTGACAGGTCACGCATGGTATTGTATTGGGTAAGATCAGAAGATGCTTACCGGGCTCCTCATCACAATCCCCACGTACAATACATTGTAGGTACCATAGGACTGAGGCGACTCGCCTCGTGCAATGGTCCCAACGACCCGGGACAGCTCCCCCTGTTCACCCCGCCAGAGCAACGCCGTCCCAGATTGCCCCAATATCCCCCAGAATCCGCTAGCAATGTCCAACCTGGGGGCTTTTCTGGGGCAATGGCACACAAGGACACCCCTTCGGCCGCCTTCACGCCAACCCAAAAAAAAAAACAAAAAAAACGAAGGATTGCCCTGGCGCTGGAAGGACCCTTAGTGAGGTGAGGCCTTTAGTCGCATGCCAATGGGGTGACCCCTCTCTGGTTTCTGGCTTTTTCTTTTTCTTTCTTTTCTTCCTTCTTTCAATATATCACACAACTCAAACCGTATACAGTATTTGTGTCGCCGTCGTCTAGAGGTCTAGATGAAAGTTGAGTGACCCACATCGTTGTTAGACGGATCCGCCCCTCACACACGCCTGGATGCACACTTACAGAGCGAGCCCGACATCGAGAACAAGAAAAGAGCGAAGCCTGTAGTGACGAGACGAGCCTTTCATCTGATCACCCGGCCAAAATTGGAAAAACACAGCGTGAGAAATCGTTCTGTCTATCCCACTACACGCATGTTCCAGCCGGACGGACGGAACGTTTTGATGGGTCCACGAGACGCCGCCCTCCTCCTTGCATCATCCTTCTCCTTCCCCAGGAAAGACTCCAGTCCGGTCCAGGAAACGTCGAGCGCCGGGCATATAAAGCCCAGAATCGATCCATCAACGGTCTGACGACCGGCCCGCATGGACGGGGTGCTTCTGGCGTCGACCGCCGCGGCGCTCGCGGAGGCCGACCGGACCACCACCATCGTCAATGGCTTCGTGAGAGACGTTGCACCCGCACAGGAGGACCTGGAGCCCGTGCTCTTCGAGCTCTTCGCTCTGACCGGCCTGCTCACCCGGATTCGGACCATCGGCGTGCCTGCCGAGCTGCAGTCCTCGGTTGTGTGGGTCGTTCGAAGCTGCGCTGACATCTGCAAACGCTTTGATGCCGTGCTGTCCGAATGCGGGACGGGTTCGCATCGCAGTGGGCGCTGGGCTCTCTCGGACGCCCCTGTGGAGGTTCGTGAGTTGAAGATGGCTCTGGAGGCATGTAGGAGGACAGTCGGCGTAGTGGCCAGGGCTACGGAGTCGTGAGTCGAACCCTGAGGCTGGTTGAAGCGGCCCCTCCCTTCATGGATGGCCCATGTGAATGTGAATGTGGGAGGTGAAGTTTTTACTGACCTTTGGTATTCAGAGCCTCGATTGAACAGGCAGATAACGAACTGGGGCGGCTGAGGCGAGAGTTGATGCCGGATATGTCACGTCTAGACGCGTTGCTTGTTAGCTGCCTGGACGCGGTGGAGAGTTACTGGGTCACTGACCACCGCACTTCGACTTACTCCAGTGAAGATGCCCCCTCCCCTAAAAGCACCCCAACCACACCCTCCGTCCAAGACATGGCCAAGTCTTTCAGACGATCATCCTCCATACGCAGCAGTTTCGACCAGCGAGATTCAATCCCTGATGCCATGGCACAACGACCTGAAGAACCCATCACATTTGAGGCAGCCCTGAATCTGCCTCTCCGACCTCTCGAGACGATCAAGGACGAAGACATCTCACTCAAGCCTGGGTCTCACATGAGCCCGCCGCAGCCTCGACTGAACACCAACAGAGGCCTACGAGGCTCCACACAGCGCCCAGCTCCCATCTACAGCCTCTTCCCCCCAGCCTCTCCTCCACCCACCAAATCCTTGCCGCCGATACCTCCAGTGAGGTCGCCATTGAGGCCAGGCCCCTCTGGTCTGTCCACCTCGCCGCGCACACCTCATATCCCGCCCAAGACACGGTCCAGTGTATCATCAGATGTTACTCAGGACTCCAAGTACTCCTCACTAAGCTCGGCACCCACACGTCTCTCCGCGTCCTCTCAGGGCTCGTATCCTACACCGGCTCCTCGATCGAGTTCTTACTCGCATCCGCCGCCGCCGCCAGCAACAGCATCAGCAGCCTCATCATCATCAGCAGCAACAAACGCAAGACCCGTCACAGCCCTTGAGGAGGTCTCACCGGTCTTCGATATCATCCCTCTTCGCCAACTAGAGACGAAAGACAAGGAGGCTAACAGCGGCGGCGTCAATGCCTTCGATACCTCACCAACATCAACCATCCTCGCCAGTCGCCATGGCAAGTTTCATGTCAAAATCTGGGACCTGTTTTCCGGCACACACATATCTACCATCAAGGTCCCCTTTTATGTGCAGGTCCAAGCACGCTCACGCGAGTTCTTCATCCGCTCCCACACCATCCTCTCTGAAACCCTCAACCTCGCTGCCATCGCTACGAATTTCGGCCACACCCTCGAGATCTGGGACTGGGCGAAACACAAAAAGGTCCAAACAATCACCGAAGCCTACCGCTGGGCCTCTGCCAGAGGTGACATGTACGAGTCACGGTGGTATCCGCTGGCCGCCTACCGCGAAGACGAGGATGCCATCAAACTCTACCCAGCAGCCCCGGCATCGTCCTCGAAGAAGCCCTTTGGCAAAGCCCGCACGATCGAGCTGCGCAGGTCAGGGCTACCGCACACGCCCAAGCTCCCCGAACTGGCATACTCGGCAACGGGTCCTCTCCTCGTCGCCGCCGCCGGCCCACGACCGCCTCGTCCAGGCGCCCCGCCACCAGCTCACGCCGGGCTGCTCATGGCATGGCAGCTCGACAGCAATACACGGCTCCACGAGCCCTACCGCTACCATGAGCCACGCAGTCATCCCGAGCTGGAAAACTCCCTCCCGCTCCTGCTCGCCACGTACGGCAGCTTCTCGGTGTCCATATGGGAGGCTGCCAAGTTCCGCACCATCGGCAAGCCGGGCATGTGGCAGGTCGAACCCGTCTCAGTGACCCAACGCATCGTACTGGTCTGGGACTTTGGCGGCGCCCAGGACAAGACTCGCGTGTATCCTATCCCAGCCGTGCGTGCGTGCATCTCTCCCGACTGCAGATTCGTGGCGTACTGTGACCCTGGCGGCAAAGGGAGCGGTGACGGCGCGCTGGTGGTCCTCGATGCCATTAGAGGTGGTAGAGAGCTCTGGCGGCTGGACGGCGTGGGCGGTAAGACAGACGAGGCCAGCTTGCGGGGTAGCCACATTAGTGGCAGGTCATTCGAGACAAGACGAAGCGCCCGGTCGTCGAGCAAGTCAGATTCATGTTCTGTGACCGTGGGAGGCGGCGGACTGGAGTTGTTGGCTGCAGATCTGAGTAAGGTGACCGACCTGTCATTTTCAGGTGACGGGAACAAATTGTTCGTGGGAGGTGTGGATGGTGGAGTTTCTGTGTATGAGATACGGGAGGGCATTGGCATGGCTGTTTAAATGGAATAGGATACCCAGGTAATTTGTCAATTGGATAGGAATTGTACTTGTCCAAGATCGTGTGTGAGACTCTTGTCGACTTGTCATATTTTTACTTCATCGTGGAAAAGTACTTCGCGTCCAGCTTTAAGCTCAAGTTGCGCCTTCCCTTCATGACGAGGCGCAAACTGCACTGAGATGGCAGGCACCATCCGGCCAACTGAGGTCAGTGTATTTCTCGGAGGCTTTGTGATAAAGTCCCCTGCCTCGTCCGGTTTTTTTTTTGTTTTTTTTGTTTTTTTTGTCGTCTTCGAGAGCGAACTTTTTGTCTATGCGAATTCCGAGCACTCAAGAGCTCACGATGCGTCCATCCTCCTACCCGCTGGCCACTGGTTTGGACTTATCTTCTCTCACAAACATCACTCACACATACAACTTGACTGACACAAATTGCCATGATGGCCCTTCGTACCTCGTTTGTGCTGACACCGCGTCTATCAAAGCTGAGGCTTGCAACGCCGTGGCTGAGCAAGCTGACAGCCAGACAGCACTCACCGCTTGTAATTGTGTATACTATTCCGAGATGATGAATTGCTACATGGCATCATGTTGGAACAAGGTTTGTCACCTCCTTACAACCTTCCTTCTTCACCAACTTGGGTTCACGGCCCACGTTGATGGGTGCCGAGGCTGATGAGAATTCGTGATAATTTAGGTCTACGAATGTGAATACCAAGAATATGCCATCCAGTATATCTCGGAGTGCGCACTCGACATCCGAACAGCGGGTATACCCTTTTTTCCTTTTCCAAGCGGTGCTCCCGACTCTTGCTCTTGCAACCTTGGCACTCTATACATGGCAATCGACAATAGCGAGGCAGAGGGCGCCGACTGCGCGACGGCTGTTAGCAGTGCGGCTCTCAGCGATGCAGGCACTGATCCTGTCACGACAGCGGATGAAGAGGCAGCCTGCGCTTGCTGTGGTGAAAGTGGCGCTCTGTCGGCGTGCGTGTATCTTATGATCCCACACGAGACATTATGAACGAAGAGACTGAACAGGAACCCTTCAGATTCTACGACATCTGTCCCGGCACAGACCCTGCCTTCATTGGCATCAACAACATCTTCATGTCTTTAGCCAGTTTTGACCAGCCCTGGTCCACCTGTGCGCCTTTTCTAAATGCCTATGCTTGTAATACGGACCTGAACTTCACCAGCCCTGCGTACGGCACTTTCTACACGCCAGACAATATGCCTGAGAACGGCACCGCATCACTTTCAAACATTGCGGGAACGGTCTCGGCTCCACCGTCCGGGACGGTATTCTCATATACGAACCATTACTACTCTACTGTCTACACTATCACGGCAGATATCGAGAACACGACTGTGGCAGTGACTGTGACTGGTACAACAGGTGCGGTTGGGACCCCGACCCAAAACGGCGCTGGGCCATTCTCCACCAGCCAAAGTGCTGCCAGGGTATTAAGTCCCATGACGGGTTGGCGGCCAAGTGCTGCTTTCATGTGCCTGATGTTCATCATCTGAAAGATAGAAGCAAGGTGTATAGGTGACATTATAGACTTTGTTATGTATATATAGCCTTGTCAATGAATCGATGTCACAGGACAGCTCAAGCTGACTAGCCATTTGTGAAGCTACATCTCAGTCTTCTGACGCTTTAAGGTCCGGGCACTTGGACATTCAGTGAATGCCCCTTATACATCTAAATCACCGGATCAGTAGGGCTATTAGATGTCTCACGATGTAGTATCACGTCAGCTTCGCACTCGATGTGCTTGCAGGGAGGTTATTGGTCCAATCCCCGTGAAATCTAACTTCTCAGTTTCTGTTTGCATGTTCCTTGTCCCTAAACTGTCTATTGCATGATTCCAAATAGATTCTAGAGGATACTTTGACGAGCATGAGTTCTCGGTCAGGTACTTTATCCCAGGACAAGGACATGCACCAGCAAGCTTTATCTGCACTTTGTCTACCACATCCAAGGGAAGGCGATACACAGTGCATATCCATGACAGGGTGACCAGGACTATTTGATTTAATTAGTAGTTATCTTGATCTGAACCTCGGATGACTTTGAGCCAGTAATCTGTCAAACAATTTTCTCTATTCATCTGAGGGAGTCTTGAGAGGTTTTTCACTCAAATTGAAGTGGCTTCCTGGCATCATGCTAACAAGGTCAAGGGATTTCAATGAAAGAACAGAATATTTACAAACCCAAGAAGTATCTTCTTCCCATATGGTGTCGTTTTTGTCCATATATGCCACGAAGGTGAAAAGGAAGGAACGACTGGACCATAAAGCCTAACCTTTGATATGAATCATCTGATGTCGACTACATTAACAACTTTGTTTGGCAGTCACTCACTGTTGCTATGACAATATTTCTCTAATCTTTCACATGATAACCTCAGAAAAGCGGAGCACAAGCACTTCCTGGGTACGGATTTTACGACATAATCTGTGCCAACTTCACTTGTCTGACCAGGCATCCTCTTTTCCTTTTCCCTCTTTCCCTTTCTCTTTAGGCCTCTCCCATCTTGCCGCGCGAAATTCTGTTTTCAGTCTTGAGACTGAGCCTAAGGCACCAAATCAGCACACCAAAGAGCATCGAGTCCACTTACTCTTTTCATCATCTCTTCTTCTCTTTTGTGTTCCTCTGCTTGCTTTCCAACATCCAGATTCGAGATGGAGGACATCAGCCACAGCCTTGCAGCTATAAAGCTGGACCCCACCAACGCCGATGCTCCTGATGAGCTATCTCTGATGGACCTACCAGTCGAGGTCCAGCTAAAGATCATTCGACATTGTCTCAATGACGTCCCTCGCAGATCCAAGCCTGACAATGGTATTCTCGGCCGACACGTTCGTCGTGATGAGCGAGTCCTCCTCGGCGGCTCCCTCCGCGACCTTACCCTTGTTAACCAACACTTCCGCCGGCTCACTGCTCCCATTTTGTTCCAGAGCATCTGCATCAATGACGCCAGCGAAGCCACACGAGAGGACAAGCTCAGGGACACACACGAGGCCCTTGTCGGCCTGCCCACCTACAACTGGCTGCAACACATGGAAAAGTTCACCATCTCTCTCGGTCGAACCCCCAACCCCCACAAGCCTTACGCCGGCCAGGATTTTATCGAGCTGCTCAGCTACATGCAGTGGCCCACCACCATGCGCTACGTGCTCGAGAAGCAAGATCCCACCTACACTGTGCTCAATGACGTCCGATCCCTTCTTCTAAAGTGGCGCCGCTGGGGTATGGACTTCCTGGTTTTCAAGGTCCGCCAGCTGGAGCTCTCCTGTCCCTGGGGTAGTCACTCCTGGGACTTCCAGTTCCTCACCTGGCCCTACCTCAACATGGAGCGCCTCTGGCTCGACTACGATACTCACGACCTGCGCCCTCAGAGCCTCGCCCTCGAGAAGCTGCGCAACCTCGAATACGTCATGCACCGTGCTCACCCCACGAGCTTCCTGAAGAGCGACATCGAGGTAGATGTGTTCAAGGGCCTCACAGCCCCCGACGGCCGCCGCCCACCCAAGCTGCGCCAGCTCTGCCACACCATGCAGCAGGTCAAGCACTTTGCGCTGTGCGGCCTACTCAAGGGTCCCGTCACCGAGATTGCCGCGCTTGTCCGCGACATGCGCTCCCTGGAGCAGCTCGACATCACCGATCAGCAGGCCATCAGCGATGACGAGGTCCATGCCAGCACCGAGCAGATGCTTCACCCCATATCCGAGATCGATTGGGCCATCAAGCACAGCCGCTGCATCGAGAAGCACCCCAAGAACATCGACCGCGCCGCGGCCGCCACCGTCTTCTTCAACACGCTCCCCAAACTGCAGCGCATCTGCTTCGTCCGCGACCAGATCGGCACATTTTACCACGCCATCCGCGATGAAAATACAGGCGCCCTGGACCGCGTCGAGAAGGGAGAGATGATCCAGGAGCGTCATCGCTACCTGTGCTACCCCGAACACTCCTCCGTCTGGCGCTGTGGATTCCCCAACCGTCTCAACTATGATCTGTGGGGCCGCACGCAGAACAGGTTCCGGTTCCCAACGGAGTACGCATTCTGGCTGAACCCGGCATACCTGGCTGGGGATGAGAGCGCTGTCCCGCCCCACCTGCGGTTCGCCATCGCGCTCAAGGAGGTCTTTGGCACCATGCCTCCTGAGGAGGAGGAGAGAATTGCGAGGCTGAATGCCCATTGGGCTCAGCGCGACCGTCAAGACGAGGAACGCAGGCGCAGCAGAAGGAGAGGCGCTTGAGGCAGTATCCCGCAAGGCTAGGACCGAGGCTTCATCTCAAAAGAAAATGGTAAGAGGGAAAGAAAAGAAGAAAAAGAAGAGGTAAAAAGGCGGGTGTGGTTTGATTGGTGGCCAGTGTTATCAGCAGGGCGCGGTCTCAGCTACTGTTTGGATGCACGGTTTCATGCACACAAGAATGGTGGGAGTTGTTCAAGGATGAACAGTGTCACACAAGTGCAGCCAAATCCGAAATTGACGCGGAACCAGGAAAAGTACGAGTTATTTCAAGTCAGAGAAATCCATTCAGTATTCAAACCATGTCGTCGTCGTCATCTGCCCATCTTTTGAAGTAAACAGCCTTGCGACTCCCAGGTGAAAGATCACCTGAGGACGGACTACCCGGAACCATCTCGATCTCATCACTGCAATTTCGGTAGTGCCATCGTGCCTGTATGGGCAGCGATATCGTAACCTGCTCACAAGTATTTTTGTTACTTGAGGGCAGAGACACTTTCCTCGTCGCATAGGAGGCACCACCATTAAGGCTAGACTGTCTCTTGGCAGAAACAGCAGCACTCATCCTGCGACCCGACTGCCTTCCATAATAATACAGCTTCCGCGAGCCCTGCCCCGACTGCGGACCATAGCTGGACGACGTGCGCGTCGTGGAGAAGATGGCGGTAAATTTCCGGAACAAGGGTTTGAGGGTCGCCAGGGACGACGCGGTCAGGGCGGTGCCGACCTCGATCGTGCTCCATGTCGCCAATGGGGTGAACTCGTACAGGTAGTCGTCATGCTGGACGAGTTCCTTGGCGTAGAAGACGCGTATGATGGTTGCGATGGAGGCGCTGCTTGCCGTGGTTAGATTGCGAAAAGGTGTTTTTGCAACCAAAAAGAAGATGCATGGATGGATGGGTGGGGTTCCCATTTTCTGTCATGATTTTGATTTTACTCACATTGATCCGATGGCCAGTATTACACAGATAGAGATCTTGGTTCTACTATCCAGCCTAGCCTTCCAAACCACTGTGGCCGGCAAGATCGCCAGCATCCAGTCCGCCACGCAGTTCAGCACGGTGGCGATGTAGCTGATGGACGTCGCCGCGACTGAAGGGTTGCACTGGCCGCTCGTGGGCGGGACAGGGTCGTCACGCGTCCAGACGTACTCGACGGGCTGGCAGGCAAAGATGGCGATGAAGAAGTAGGCGCCGTAGAAGAGCCCTACGACTACGAGCATGGTCCAGATGCTGATGCGCTGCCATTTCTGGTGGGAGGCTTTGAAGAAGGTGGGGCGGAGAAGAGCCAGCCAGACTGTCAGCTTTTTTTGGTGCATCGTACGGAATGGGGGAGAGAAGATGGCGAAGGTAGGAAGCCTACCTGAGCATATACGGACGAGAAAGAGGCCGACGATGACTTTTACCAGGTAGGATAGGGCGATGTAGACGACGGCTGCGAGAAAGCAGTATTTGGTCGCGATAGGACGGGCTGTTGGGGCCACGTCCTCCTCGTGTTTCCCCAGGCCGTGGCCGATACTAATCAACGCCAGCGTGGCGAATGAAATGTAGATCAGCTGTGAGGGAAGGTCTCTTTGTTAGCAGTTGAGACTGGTTTGGGCTATCGTGGTTGACTTGTCTGTATCTGTTGGGCTTCTAGAGAACCACGTCAGGACGATAAAGAGAAATCGGTGTCTCATACAAGTGCTAGGATAGCTAGATAGTCTTCCAGGTAGAAACGCTTGAGTATGAACCCCATGGTATACGAACGAAGGGACACGGTGATGAAGCAGAGGATGAAGAAGCTGAGGACCACGCCCTCCAGCTGAGGACCGCGATTGTCTCCCATTGTGAGTGAATTCACTGGCTCAGTCCCCAGCAGCGCGGTCTGACGGGGTTTGAAAGTGCGTGTGACGATGGTAGCAAAAGCAGAAGAAAAAAAATCAACACAAGAGACACCAGGTCACGAAACCAAGAGTGTGACCGTGTACAGACGTCTCATATCAGCTTCTGCGTAAACCTCAAGACCAGATCTTTTGTTCTGTTGAGGAGTGCCAGCACCCATCCGTCGCTCAAGACTGCAGCAAAAATGCACATCGGAACGGGAAGACTTCCTAGGTCTGTACATGAGGTCCGACATATTTTTAAAGAAGAAGATTGCGGGCTCGGCTGTGGACATAGAGAGCAGGTACGAGAGCATTGATGGACCTCCGGGGAGGGTTGGTTGTGCGGCAAGTTGATGATTGGTCTTATCAACATGCAGCATGCGTCTCTCAAGGTTACGTTGGAAAAGTTCGACAGTGGTGTGGCACATCCCATATACTAAGCCGACCCTTGCATCTGCAAGACATCTCCGTCGACCGCTGGTCGTCGTGGGGGTCACGAGTGTGTCCACAAAAATCGCACGGGGGCACACTTTGTATTTACAGAAACCCACGGTGGAAACCTTGATTCACACACAGAGAGTCTTGTCCATGTGTGCTCGGCAAGTGCCGAGATTGTGACCAGGCTGAACTTTGATGCACAAATGTTAAATTCTCGAGCTTAACGAATAATCAAAGTCGTACTGTGATTGTTATTTGAATGCATCCTCAAATAGGCAAACTTCAGTCTCCTCAGCGCTTTCGCGTGCGCTTCCTCTGTTGCTTGGCATACATACGGAGATTTGCCGTACAGTCTCGCCTCTTTTCATTTCTTTCTTGCCAAGCGCTGCTGCTCTTGCAGACTCGTAACTACACACGAACGAGTGCCCTCCTCGCTAACCGCATCCAGCGCTGCCATGCATGATCGACCGTGGAGGTCTTGCACCTGCATTTTTGTTAGCTGCCAATTCGGGACACTGTACCGGGCAGGGCCACCTCCTTTGGAGGGGTGGTCCTCCTCTCGCTCTGGAGCACCAGCTCCACCCTGCCGAGTCCTTGAATCTAGTAAAGCCGCTGAACTCCTTGCAGGTTGTGTGTTCGCCCACTGAGGCCGAGACCGATAATGTCTGAATATCTTCGCGTAGTATTTATGTACGTATCGGAATGCGACACTGGTAAGCGTGGGGCCCGCGGATTCTGTTAACAGCGGCAAAAGTCGTTCTGACCTCGAGGTTTGTTCACTTGGGCGGCTGTGGCGCTGAAATAGTGTTTTTACTTCTTCAAGGGCATCTGTCTAAGTCTTAGTCTACGAATGAGCATTCTTCTTTGCCATCGTCAAGCACTTCTTGCTGTGATCTGCACCTGACTTGAAACTTACGTGGCCCAAAGCCTCCATTTCTGGTGTTTCTAGAGTTTTCCCACGGCTCGGTCTTATGCCTAGACAGCGATCATCCCCACTTCTCCGAAGTGTTGGAGTCAGATTTGGTTGTTGAGACCGCAGGTTGGTATGCATGCGATGGGACTAAACTGCCGGTGGGGTTGCTTTTGTATTCCGTGGCTGCATGACGGCGGGGTGGGACCTATATCCGTGGACAGTAGGGGGGAAACTGGCCGAAGAATAGATAGAGACCAAAGTGTGGTTCTTCTCCGTACTCCAAGAGGCGCAGAGAGATGTTCACCACCAAGACATCATGCACTGCACAGAAGTGCGCAAGTAAGCAGGCAATGAAAAAATGCCATGTTGCAAACTACTCACTGTGCTGAGGTAGACTCTGAAGAAACAAGCCGGAGAAAAAGACGACAGATCAGTGGAGCCGTAGGAATCCAGGCTCCTCCCACATGCAATGTCAGGGTCACATTGGCAGGTGTTTTGAGGGTCTCTCTGTGATCCTTCTTTCAACCAAGAGCCGCCACTGCAATTGCAAGACCATGGCCAGCAATGCTTGTGGCCCACAGCTCGGCCTTACACGGAAGAGCCGTTCCAACATTGTAAATGAAAAGTGAGAGCGAGACCCGGCACTTGTTCACAATCACGACTTGATTCGGATAAATACTTGCAGCGATTCAAGATGCAATTTTATCCGCGAAAACCACTTCGCGCTCTGTCAGGTGCCGAAAAGCAGGGGCACAAAAACCAACTATGGCAGAATGGACTTGAAACGGTGTAGTATCTTCTCGGCCGAGATGGAGGGAATAAAAGCCGTTAGTATTTCTTTTCTGGCTGCAGTGTGAACCTTGAAAACGGAAAGGCCGTTGGGACTGACTGCATGCTACATGTATAACCATTTGGCGTGTGCCTACTGTAAGCACGGGCGTACCCAAGACTGGCTCCGACTTCTGCAAGTCTCCCATCAGGTGATCGACAGCTTTGTTCTTTTTCTTTTGCTTGACTGTAGAAGTTGGACGCACATTTGGCCAGAAGGGTAGTCAAGTATGCGAGTGCCGGTGCGTTGTCAAAGGCCCCACGTCAATGCCGACGGCCTGACACCAAGTATGCCTGGCAGTGGTGGACTCCAAACACGGTGGTACCTAAGTATGCATTCGAGGCATTGAAGGCTTCTCGACCTTGACAATTGGGTGGGGGATCCAAGTGCGACCGGTGATTCGGATCTTAGCGACGGAATTTCTCTCTTGTGCAAGTGGATCGACTAAATTTCTAAGTGCTATTATAAAACGCTGGTGAGATTTGCTCCTATAATTCCTGCAGGTCATACATATCAATGGGTCTGCTCTCCCTTCTTTCACACAACCACATTGGTGCAAACCCGAGACCTCAAAAGATAGAGGGATTGCAGCTGTGGATCTCGTAGTATGCGTGTACTGTACACCGCTTCTCCGCATGACCTCCTAAATGTGCCCCTTCATGCAGCTCCCATGATACATGGCGTTATCTACAATACCACACTCTTCCTCCGACACCTGTATCTCACTCTAGCTCAGAATACCGCCTTGGACACGCGCCCGAAACCATCCACTTCGTCAACCATCTTTGCCGCCCGTTGTTTGTGCTCTGCGCGAATCCCGATCGCAAACCTCAGTACATGCTCAAGATTTGTGTTCTCCGTGTGTACACGTAAAGATCTTGGCGAAGAACAGCGCCATAGCCAGCCCTCGGTTCTGTAGAGCAAGCTCTTGTCTGGGGTGGGAGTTTGCCTTCGAGCCTAGGTCTCGCGCCTGTGAGGTTGACAGACATTCAAATCCCTACACTTTGCTCTGCTTACTCCGCCTTGCCAGGCCACGACAAGCGATACTGGCCCCTAATTCTCAAAATCTGGGTTCTGGTGATGAATCGTTGCGCCTGCGCCACAGCAGCGGGATCTGGACAAGGTCGCGTTCCTGCTGGCTGGGGCTTGAGCTGGACGCCTTCGTATTGTTCTCAGGAGGGAACTGGAGCACTGCGTCCTGTAGGTATTTAGGGAGGGGGTACTTTCCGCTTGCATCCCGAGGCTCTACTTGGGCTGGCAATTCCACATGGTGAGAGACTCTTAAAATCGTAGAGAACTGACTGCTGTATGAAGCTCTCGAGATCACCACGACAATGGTCCCTGATATTACGCTCAGGAATGATAGGCCGATAGCGATCCCATATACTATCCAAAGAGTGCTCGCATTGTACTGGTAGACCGGCTTCGCGGTCCATTCTGTCACGCTGACGTTTGCTGAGGGGGCGTACGGCGAGGAATAGTTCGGGCTATATCACCAATACGCAGTATTATTAGCACTCCAGTTTAAGTTTCCCGAGTGGGACTAAGAATACCTACTTCAGAGCAGACTCGGCCATTAAACTTATAGTAGCATTGCGAAACATTTCCTCAGTCAGACTGGCCATGGTGGAGTTGGTGGTCTGAATCTGGGATACGCTGTCCCCAGTACCGGCCTGGGGTATATAGTTTATAGGTTCATATTGTGTGATTATGGTCAAAAAGCCACATAACTCTTCAGCTTGTGCCAGAGGTGTCAGCAGCACTGCACAAGCTAGAGTCAGCTATTGACGACGCATCAAGTAAGTAGTGGTGCACATTGGTTTTGTGGTTGAGGAGTCTGTCCTAAGAATGAGAAGTGACCTTGTAGCTGACATAAAACATAGCAACATAGATACAGGCAACAAAGCTTTTGGGTATACTTACTAGAGGTTTCTACCACAGTTTGGTCCCAAGGAATATCGTCTTTTCTAGCTTCGAGCATGTAAATCGCCCCACTGACCATAGACGCAAATGCATCAAGGACCGCCTGATAAGCAAACACCTCAATATCAGATTTACTAAAGTTAGAACTGGCGAAGTTTGTCGTTGAATTCCAGGCTATATAGTCCATTAGTATACAGGACACATTATTCAACGGGGGTGAGACGTTGAGGACGACATCCTGTGCTCCGTTTTCATTATGAAAATCGGCCTCGTAAGATACGTTTTGCAGTCTGCATTCAAGCACGATTGTACTGCTCCGCAAAACTGGGCTGTTATCAATTGAAGACTCCACGTTGAATTCGGCGAAGAGGCGGGGATCGACAATATTGAGCTCGAAAGGATAGAACCTTGAACAGCTTTTTGGACAGGGGTTTGAGGGCCTGTGTACTTTATGAACAGTTCCGTACCGAAAGAACCAGCTGGAGATTCACCGAAGGTAAAAGTTGCAAAATTCATGCTCGCAAAGTCAATCTGGGGCACGAATCGATTTATTGTGGTATTGACGAGGTGGGTCTCGATCGTTAGAGTTGACGGTGTGATAAGTGGTGCGAGAGAAAGCAGCCTAGGATAATAATCAGCATTATCTTGTATATATAATTAAATGGGTAAAGGGGGTTGAGGGGCTTGAGATGCACTGCTGAACATGTATCTCCAAGAGAGCAAGTGCCTACCAGAATGCGAGAAGGAAAAAAGTTGGCAATGGCATCTTCCACCACAATCTAGCATCCAGTGCATTTGGCACGCTGTCCCGAGATGCAAACAGAGAGTCGATGTGATCCATTTTGGTGGGATGTTTCCTGATGGCCCACCAGCTGATCTGCTCGTGTGCAGCCGCGATAGCAAAGGCCAGAAATGCTTTGGCCAGAAATGCCAGCGTGTTCCCGAGAGCAGTATTGGCTTGCTGCTTGGACATAAGTCAAAGCCCCCCCTTGTTGGCACCCCCCCCTTATTAGCACCCCTGAACGGCCACACCGCCATTTCCACCACCTCTACTTTTATAAACATTTCTCAGCCAATTCTTATTCAATTAACTTCATCTTTCTACAGGACTTCGACATGCCTAAGAAGAAGCCGTATACCGAATTTGAGCTTGCCCAGGCCATCGAGGCTATCGGGAAAGGCTTGTCACAGAAACAGGCCTCACGAGAGTACAGCATTCCAAGGTCCACTCTTCAACAACGTCTGGCAGGAAGAGAATCGCATCAAACAGCCCATCAACACCAGCAAAGGCTCTCTTTTACTCAGGAAAAGCAGTTGGCTGAATGGATTCTCGTCCAGGAAAGCCTAGGGCTCCCACCTAGCCACTCTGAACTCAAGCACTTTGCTCAGAGGATCCTCGAGGTCCAGAAAGACCCTCAAGGGCTGGGAAAGAGGTGGACTGAGGGCTTTTTGAAGAGAAATCCAGAGATACACGTTCGAAAGAATCGACGGATTGCCTCTGAACGGATCAATGGAGCTACAACAGAGGTAATACAGCCTTGGTTCCGTCTTTTTGATCTTCCTCAAGTTCAAGCTATCAAGCCAGCTAATCGTTGGAATATGGATGAGGCTGGGATAGTTGAGGGCCAAGGAGAGAATGGATTAGTCCTCGGTAGCTCTTCTTCACATTCAATCCATCGAAAAGAGCCTGGGTCGAGGTCCTGGACTTCTTTCCTCGAGTGTATCTCTGCTACAGGAGCCCATCTTCTTCCTCTAGTGATTTTCAAAGGGAAAACAGTTCAACAACAGTGGTTTCCTCTCCTCTTGGACTCTCTCGAGGGCTGGCAGTTTACAGCTACAAAGAACGGATGGACTGATAATGCTGTAGCACTTGAATAGCTGGAAAAGATCTTCATCCCAGGCAGCAAGCCAGCAGACCCCTCAGAGGCCAGACTATTAGTCCTGGATGGCCACGGCAGCCATACAACTGACGAGTTTATGTGGAAATGCTATCAAAACAACATCTGATTGATTTACCTGCCTCCTCATACCTCTTACGTGCTTCAACCCCTCGACCTAGGGGTCTTCTCGTCTCTCAAGAGGGCATACAGACGAAAAGTCAGTTATACGAGCCAGTGGGGGGATTCAACAGTGCTAGGCAAGCGTTTATTCCTCAAGAATTATCACGAGGCTCGTTTGGAAGGTCTTTCTAGTCAGAATATCAAGTTAGGGTGGAAAGCTTCTGGTTTATGGCCTGTCAGATCCTTCAAGCTACTCTTGAGCCTTCTTCTCCTCGAGAACACCCCTCAGCACATTCAGACTACGGCAAATTCAAGTTCAACAGCATCAAAAGCACCTCAGCTTACCCAGAAAGCCTCCTCAAGCCCATCAGCTATCATTTCAACTCCTCACAAAGGCAAAGATCTATACCACCAGATACAGAAGAATCGGCATCAGCTTTCATTAGCCCCAACACAACGGATACTCTTCAGGAAGATATGCAAAGCATTCAATGAGAGAGATGTCGAACTGGCTAGAGCCCTGGAGAAGATTGACGCATTGGAAAGCTAGGCTGAGGCTAGAAAGCTAACTAAAAGAAGGAGGGTTGATACAAGTCCAAATTCGAGGTTTGCAGATATTGAAGATATACAGAGGGCTCAAAACGCGGTAAATGGGAATGCCGATAGTCAGGATGAAGAGAGCGATGTCGAATTACCTACTGACGAGGAGGACTGTATCGTAGTGGGTGAATAGGAAGAGAAATGTATATAAAATAATGTATATATAGGTGGGCGGTGTAGCCGTTCAGGGGTGCTAATAAGGGGGGGGTGCCAACAAGGGGGGGCTTTGACTTACAAGGTGGGAAGCCCCACAGGCTCCATGATGTATCGGGTGGTGTTTTGCCTTCCAGCTGCGAGAAGAACACATGCTGCCCGGCTGCGCACACAACCCCAAGTCCAAAATTGAAGAACATGATAGCAAGCTTTTTCGAGTATGACCGTTCGGCAACATCTGACATACGTGTAGTCATTTTCCTTCCTGTTTCGGCGGGTGAAGAAAAGAAAGGGGGGGTGGGATAGCAAAACAGGGTAATCTCTAATCAAGGGAAGATTGGTCAATTGATAGACTTGAACGATTATTAGAACTCCCACAATAGATGGATGGAAACGAGAGACAGCATGGTATTGTAAAAAATTAATCAGACAAGGTACGATGTGACAGATTGCCAGTATATAAATATGCCTAGATCCAAACTCACCCGGCCATGAGCAGCACCTCGTGGCACAAGTCGAACCTGAGCAAAGTACACCCTCTGCAATGGAGGCACAACATGTTCACAGGGTGTGCGCTGTGTCGATGAATTCCACCCAATTGTTTGGCTGGCGCGCAAAAAATCTGTATTCAATCTGGCCCCAGATTGCCAACCGAGACAAGAACACAATAATGTACGCTACAGAGGCCAGCTTCTGCTGCCAACCAACCGAATGACTTTGCCGTGCGCGTGTTCGACACGGCAATGTGGTGGGGGTGACTCGCTGTGTTTACAGGAGGTCGTGGGGGACAATGGTCACAAAGTAAGATGCGAGGAAAGGGGGGGGGGTTTCAGATGAAGCCTGGGCACAGCCTGGCCGAGAAAAGCTTGACGATGTTTAGTCTGCAGCGGCCCCCACGCTTCGGCCCGCCATGCTGTAAGAGTGCCCATAGTGGCCCCAGCTGCCAGCCTTGCGGCCCCTCACCCAAGTAGCAATTCTGTGTAGGCAATAATAGCTCTGCGCAACGTTCTGGTATTCCGCGGTCCAGGCTTGTCTCCGAGGGCGGGCTGTCGGGCGCTTGGAAGCTGTACAGGACCCACCGGATACTTGCACACCTGATAACCAATTTGTGTGTAAATCCGCACCGGGTCGTTTCGTGCTCTGTAAACCCGGAGGGTCCGTGACGCTATGGACGAATAAGTGCCCTTGAAGGACGTTATGGGGACTGTAACCCAAAACCTAAATCACAGTCCTCCTGCGTCTAAAAAGTCTCTCTAATCTCTAGATAATCATTTCGTAATCAAATCCTGGCTAGTCATGACCCGTCGAAACTTTGGAGACTGCCACATATATGATCCGCCTTGGCGAGCACACGTAAGATACTGTATAAACAATGAAACAATAGACCTCAAGATCCCATAGAACAATAATTCAGGCAACCCCTCTTTTCTCTGCCGTCACTCCTGCAACATACCCTGCTCCTCCAGCACCCACACCGCTCATCCCTCCTCCCTCATTCCCATCATGAGCGACGACACAATCGTCAAAACCCCTTTCTTGATCGTCGGCGCAGGTCCTGCAGGCGCTTCACTGGCCTGCTTCTTAGGCGACCATGGCCTCAAGGGCATCATGATCGCCGCCGCCCCAGGCACCGCCGACACGCCGCGCGCCCACATCACCAACATGGCCGGCCTCGAGTGCCTGCGCGACATCGACCTGGAGGGCGCATGCCGCGCCGCCTCGACCAGCGGCGACAACATGACGCACACGCGGTGGTGCCGCACCATGGCGGGCGAGGAGTTTGCGCGCGCGTACAGCTGGGGCAACGACCCGCAGCGCATGGGCGACTACGATGCCGCCAGCCCCTGTGGCCACGTCGACCTGCCGCAGACGGCGCTGGAGCCCATCCTCACGACGAGGGCGGCGCACAAGGGGTGGGCGGTGCGGTTCCACACCCGGCTGGTGTCGTTTGTGCGGCCCCAGCCAGATGTGATCATCAGCGAGGTCGAGGACGGCGTCTCGGGTCTGCGGTACAAGATCCAGTCCAAGTATCTCTTTGGCTGCGACGGAGCCAGGAGTGAGGTGGTCCGGCAGCTGGGCCTGCCTCTGGTGAAGAAGCCCGGCCAGGGTCTGGCGCTGAATGTTTTGGTCAAGGCCGACATGTCGCATCTGATCTCGAACCGCACCGGAAACCTGCACTGGGTCTTCACGCCCGAGAACGACTACCCGCCGTGGTGCTGGGCGGCGCTGTTCAGGATGGTCAAGCCGTGGAATGAGTGGATGTTCATCTGCTTGCCTATCCCTGGGGCAGATCTTTCTGTCGACCAGTTCAGCCCCACCTACGAGGAGTGCCTCCCGCGGGTCAAGGAGCTTATTGGAGATGACTCGGTGGATGCTGAGATCCTGGACATCAGCAAGTGGTGGATCAACGAGATTGTGGCCGAGTATTACTCTGACGGCAACGTGTAAGTACAGCCCATAAGTACAGCGATGATGAGAGGGAGGGGGAATACATCTAACGACCGAGAAACACACACACACACACACACACACACAGACACTGCTTCGGAGATGCCACGCATCGTCATCCACCATTTAATGGTCTGGGCTCAAACACCTGCATACAAGATGCCTTCAACCTCGCTTGGAAGATCGCGTATGTGGAGACGGGCAAGGCAGGCCCCAAGCTGCTCGAGTCGTTCAGCCCAGAGCGCCAGCCTGTAGGCAGAGACGTCATTACGCGAGCAAACCAGGGCCTACGAGATCACATGCCCTGGATCCAAACCATCGGCATGATGGAGCCCGACAAGGAGGTGCGGAAGAAGATACTGCAGGAGTTTGACGACCCGGGCCCAGCAGGACGCAAGAAGCGGCAGGAGTTTCAGAGAGGCATCGAGAACACGTCGTCCGAGTTTCATGGATTGGGGGTCGAGATGAATCAGCTGTACGCCTCGGATGCTGTGTACCTGGAGGACGAGCCCGCGCCTCTACCTCCGCCTGAAGACCCGGTCAAACAGCTCGTGATCAGCACGTACCCGGGCAAGCGGCTGCCCCATGCATGGCTGAACAAGCGGATACCAGAAGACAAGATCTCGACAATTGATCTTGCAGGCCACAGAAGATTCTGCCTGCTCACCGGGCCCGGTGGCGAGGCGTGGAAGACTGCGGCTGACAAGGTTGGCAAGGCACTTGGCGTGGAGATCAAGGCGTACTCGATCGGCTGGAAGCAGGACTGGGAGGATGTGTACTTTGACTGGGCGCGGCGTAGGGAGGTTGAAGAGGATGGATGTGTGCTGGTGCGCCCCGATCGGTTTGTCGCCTGGAGGTCGAAAGAGATGGTGACGGACACGGAAGCCAAACTCGACAAGGTCATGCGCAAGGTTCTGTCGCTGTCATGAGCCATGCATGTTGCGACGACATAGCAGGAGGACCAAAGTAGAAACATAAATCACCTGCATCGCGTAAGATTGGTTGGTGGTTGTGGCATGGACCGAGATTGCTTTTGAGTTAGCAGGTTACTAAATAGATAAATAGATGGGTAGATAGGTAGATGGATAGATGGATAGATGGATAGATTATTAGAATTCATCGGGATCCATCCTTTTCAACGACAATAGACACGAGAAGTCACTGCCAGAGGTCTCTCCACATCTCTTTGAAGCCATAATGAGGCGCCTTAGAGTCATATACCTTGGAGGATCGACTCTCTCTGGCGAATCGGTCCAACAAACTTCCAGCCTCGTGTCCGCCCTGATTGAGCAGTGACTTCTCTGGGCGTCGAGCACGCTCTTTGATCTCATTGGCAAGCTGTGGCGCAACATCGGCAAAGCATGCTTTCAGCTCTCGGTCGAGGTTGAAGTAGGGCTTCTTGGCCAGCTCTGGAGCCATGAGGTTGTACGCCCGCGTCAGCTTGTTGAGATTGTCGATGGCCAACTCCATGTATGACCGCTCTGTGGATTCCCACGACTTGTCCCTGAAAGGGCGCACCAGTGTTACTTGGGGCTCGACAGTTCCTGCTGGAGGATTGTCCGCACCGGCAGCCGCTGGAGGCTCTGGAGGCTCTGGCAAGGCTTCTTGTCTCATGGCAACCATGACAACGTCGTCTGTAGAGTTTGTTGGCACTGCCACCTGGTCCGAATTCCTCCGGCGCGGGTTGTGTACCTCTTCTGCCCGGCCGTACTCTTCCGCCCTCCTCATCTGCTCCTCGAGAGACCCGCCATGGCTGGCAATCATCCTCGCCGCATGGCGCCTCCAGTCATTTCGCAGCCGCGCCCTGAAGACATTGGCCGTCTTGACCACTTCCTGCTGCTTTTCTATCCACGGCGGCACGATGTCCTGCTTCTTGATCATCTTGTTCATTATGTATTCCGTGGTGTCGATAAAAGGATTGTCCGACCGAGCGTCGCGCTCGACGCCCTTGCCGCGTGGGATATCCTTAAACTGCCCTCTCGCGATAGCGTCCTCGATCCTCTCGTTGGCTAGCGCTGCAAGCCCTGCTATTGTGTTGGGCAGCGCCCGCGCAGCAGGCGTGAAGCGGTCTCTGAGCTCCTTCTTCATAGCCTCGCGCTCCTCGTCGCTGAGGCCGCGACCCTTCTCTTTCATGCCCAGGCCAGTATACACACTCGCCGCCTCTTTCGCGTTCGCCGCCTTGCGCCCTGCACTGACAGAGGCCTGTTTCTTCAGACGCATGTCCACCGGTATGCTCGACAGCGAGGGTGTCCTCGGTTTGCCCCGCAGACCCGGCGCCAAGGGTTTACGTGCGTCTTCCAGCATTCGCAAGACGGCGTCCGACTGCGATTCCTGGCCTGTCCATGGCTGCGCAGAGGCCATATCTCGTGTTCCCTGGCCCGCTGCTTCGGGCACGTTGCCCACAAGGCCGGCCTCTCGCAGTACCTCCTCGTGGTCGTCTTGAAACTTGGCGTCGGCGATCTTGTTGAGCAGGCGGTTCTTCAGCTCCTCGTTGAAACCTGCGTCTTCGATTGCTCGTCGTCCTGCTCTGCCGCCCGTGAAGAGGGCTTCTTCTGTGGCCTCCTCGAGGCGGCGGGCCATGGGCCCTGGCTCTGGAGCGGAAGCGGGAGTGTTCGTAGCGTCGGCATCGTCATGCTTTCTTGTAGAGCTGGAGCCTGCACTCGCTGGGCTGTGGCTCTCTGAGTAGGCTCGCGTCGCGTGTAGGAAGGCGGGGGTCAGTCGAGGGGGTCGACGCTGGAGGGTTCTCAAGCAGCGCTCTGTAGCACGGGGCGAGAGCGCCATGGTGTCTGGAGGAGAGGAGACACCTTGAGCATAGTAAGAAAGGGTGCTTCTCGCGGAAGCTTCGCTTGAAAGAAAGAATGGAATGATTTTGCACTGTCGATGACGACCTCCCGATCGGGTTGCCACCTGCGAGTCCGCAGACCGGCGATAAGATAAATGAGAGCTTTAGCTCCGTGTTAGTGAAACCTACTACGGTACAGTCTCCCATATCGTAAGCGACAGTGCGATGAGAAGTATATCCTTCGCCTTCCTGCTTACTGTTAGAATTGATTTTCTACCATTATACTGCACATTGTGTTAATTCAGCACTCGGCATAATTCGCCATATTATTCTTTTACGTAATTACTACCAGCCTTCTCTTCAGCACCTCCGATTCCATGAGTGCTCAGTGACGATTCGATTCAGAGAACATTTCATGCCTTTCAAAAGAGTGACCAATTCAACTCTTGAAAATAAGTGTATACAATACAAGCATGTATTCAATGAATGGAGTGGAGCGAACTTTTCAACACACACAGGCGACTACCCTCGCAGAGCAACAAATAGCCATCGTCTTGACATCCCAGCAACCTCTTTGGCCTAACAATCCCGTCGTCTAATTAATATTCGAACTTCTGTCCGATCAATTCCTCAGTCAACTTCCACAACCTCTGCGCTTCAACATTACTGGTAGCCCATGGCTTCACCGTCTCGACCCAGGGGTCGGCAATGTGCGAGTCCTCCAGGTAGGTGCCGTTCTGGTCTGTTATCGGGGCCAGTCAGCCAGATCTGCACACCTCCCAAGATATGCAAGCGAAATGAAACGTGACCATGAGAGGATACTTGCCTGCCAAGGTGGGCTCAAACGCTGCATAGACATGCGTGGCCGCACCCTCCTGCTCCGTCTTGTACTTGTACGGCTCCCAAGCCTCCCGATTTCCCATGGATGCATCCACCGCTCCTGTCATGCATGTGTCAATCCAAATACGATGGATATCGCGAGATAACAAGTTAAGCAATAATCAATCTTGAAACTCACTTAGTTCGACCTGATCTTGACTGAAGTCCAGGTGCCTGCCCAGATTCGACGGAACCACGCCGGGGTGTACACTGAACGCCGACAGACCGCGTGTTGTCCCCAGTTTCTCAGCAAGGGCCAGAGCGAACAGCATGTTAGCAGTTTTTGACTGTCCATAGGCTCGCCATGTCTCAAATGTCTCGCCATTCTTCCCAAAGTTTCTAGTGTCAGCATTATGGCCCAAAAGATTCCAATCATTACAGAAGATTGTCGTGACATACGCGGAAGTTGTAATCCCCCCACCGGATAGGACTCAAACGATGCCCTTCACTGCTGACACTCACAACCCGCTTCGTCTTAGAAGCAAGAATCTTGTCCAGGATCAGATTGGTAAAGAGGAAATGTCCCAGGTGGTTCGTGGCAAAGGTGATCTCGAACCCATCTGGCGAGAGCGCATACTTAGGCACCGCCATGATCCCGGCATTGTTGACGAGGACATCGATCTGAGGCACGTCGTCCCACCCGTTAACGGTCGCTGCGGCCTCTCGCACGGCCTGGAGGGAGCCCAGGTCGAGCTGCAGGAGTCGGACCTGGACCTTCGGGTGGGCCTTGGTGATGGCATCCGCAGTCTGCTGCGTCTTGTCGAGGCTGCGGCCGGCCAGGATCAGCAGGCGCGGTTGGGCTTTTGCGATTGTCTCGACAAAGGTTGCCCCGATGCTGTGAGGGGACACGCCCGTGGTGAGGATGACCTTGTCTTTGATCTGGGCGGCGAGGTCATTGACCAGGCTTTCAGCCGTGGCCTGCTTGTCGTAGGAGCGGACCATGATTGTTGAGTGAGTGAGCTGGATGATTTTGCTGTGGGTTGGACGCCTTGTTGTGAATTGATGATTTGCTGAGGAGTCTCTTAATGAGATGGGCGCGCCATGGTCCTTATTTATGAATTTTGTGCGTCCAGAAGAAAGTAATGGAAGCTGCAATCATCTGCTTAAAGCCGAGCTGCCCTCCTCATTTCTAATCTTGCAGCTTGTCAATATGCATAAGCCCCGCAGCAGGTGAGTTACATGTGTGATAGGTATCGCAATGCTGACGCCAGCTATGTCCGTTGTCCTTGTCGCCGACGCCTAGCTTTGCGGAGATGTTCCCACAAAATACGGTTCGCCTACAATGTTTGCTGGTTGCTAACAAAAAATCATTACCTTTCTTGGCCTCTTGGGTTCATGCATTGGCACCTCGGTAGATTCGGCCCCGTATGATTGCATTCTTGCTTTGGTGATGTGAGAAGACATCCTCCACTGTGCAATGCAAAGCCTCTTTAGGTGCCCGTAAATACCCGTCTAAAGTCCGAAAGCTGGCATATGCCTCTCTTTGGCTTCATGGTCAGCGTAATTAATCAGCGTCATCGACAACGTCGAGTCTGTTTGGAATCTTTTCGATCCACACAAAGTCTTGAATCAGAAAAAATGATTACTCCTACTCGTCAAGTGCCATCATAATTTTTTCCTGCATTGCCCAGCATCAAAGCTATGTGGTTAGAGCACATGAGCATACACCAATTGCCGCCTTGCCCTTCATCATAAGCCAATTGCAACCTGGGCTCCGTACTTGTAGCCTTCTGCGCCGACTTCTCAAATTAAGATTATTTCATTTCCACTTTGATCTTGAGACGAACAGAGCATATTGTTAGTTTTACGCTGACAATCGCTGTAATCGGTCGTGACCCCTGATAAGAAGATAGACGTCGGCGGGAGGGAATTGGGCAGATTTCTCTCCTTTTTCTCTTGTTTCTCTTTACTCTTTCTTCTTTCTTCTTCTCTTTTTTTCCTCTGGTTATTATTCCATGCTATGGATGAGGCTGGGGAAGTGGGTGGGAACAATACTATCATCCGCCCAAAGGTTGCCGTGTCCCGAGGCTTTTCGAGTGCAACAGCCAGTACACATGCCAAAACACACACATGGCCGCCCTCCTCAGGTGTGACAAGTAGTGGCCTGAACCCTGACTTTATCGTTTCTTTTCATGACTGTCAGGCACCAAGCTAAGGGTCCGGCCCGTAGTCCGCGGAGGGGTGGAGTTTTACTATGGGTAGTTTTTCTATAGTATCTTTGTTCTTCCGCCGGTGAAGTGTGTAATTGCCAGCTTTCCTATACATATCCTGCCACCAGATCACAATCATCAAACAAGAACATCACACCACACAATACGGATTTGTGGCCCATAAAGGGCTGACGACCCGGTATACTGTATATCGCCGGTTTCCCTCCTGTCTGTAGGGCTGGCGAGTGCATGCTTCCGATGTCTTTCCATACTATCTTTGTGGAGACAACGCTTAGGGATTTTGTCGTGTAAAGCATGCTATTCAAGTTCGACCTTGCAAAATCGTCTTTGAAAAAAAAGTGGTCGGCGAGGTGGGTAAGAATTGAAAGAAGAAAAAATCGTCGTACTTGTCGTCACTAAGTACTCATGGCGCATGCGAAGATCTGCATGCTGTACCAAGTAGTAGTCGATCTGGGCATCTAAGCCCCTATTGAAGCTTGTCGGCCACTAAAGGCACCATTACCACGGAAAACACTATACTGGAGTTGGTGCAAGTCAGGGCCGTTCGCAGTAGTTGTGGGTCCAGGTTGGGCAGTAATTGATCAGCTAAGTGTTTGTCCAAGCCCCGTCGGAAACAAGAACCATCTTGTACTATAGTAGAATTCATTGGGCATGACGAAGGGAAGCGATCCGTACCATAATTTCTGATCAGCGTCCTCAGGAAGAGAGCTCGTCGTAATTCCCCCATTGAGCCCTCCTCGCAAATCCCCCGCCCCGCCCCCCTGAAGTGATAGTGATATGTGGCTGGAGGGAGCGGGCTGCGCTGTGACCCAACTAGAGCACATCACATCACAGTCGCACAGGGACGGGAAAGTCTTGAATAGGCGTGATCCATGGTTCATCGCCCCCTCACCTACCACCCCCCCCCAGGCTTCCTGGTTTTCTGTGTCTTGAAAGGAAAGAGGATTCATATATTGTCAGGGAAAGTAGAGGAATATTATTTCTTTTTCTTTTTGCTCTTATTGCAGCCCAGAGAAGGAAGTTTGTCCGGTACTTGGAAGGAGGGGGAGCATAAAGGAAGAAAATTCATAAGGAACAGGCAATAATATTTGACATGGATTTTCCAATGTGGAGGGGGTTGGGAGAAGCTGGCTGCAGGGGTTGTGTACTACCAGGCCCCAATTAGCAAGCTGGGACGGCCGGGACCCCTTCTATATGCTCCGTATATCCCTGCTAGTACTCTACAGCCCCTGCATGGACCCCTGCTCGTCATGCACCCGCGGTCTCCCTGCAAAGTGCCTGCAGGTCGCAGGAGTAAGGTTTAACATGCACGCCATGTTATTCATTTTCGTCGACGGAAGGAGCAGTTAACGTTTTGTTTCCTCTCTTCCTTCTTTTACTAGTACTCATGGGTAGCAAAAATCCTGAAATTCAAAGGCCTCCTCCAACTTTTTACTGTGCGCACAGCAGGTGGCATTCCAGCAGCACGGGGCATTGATGCTGAAATCCTTGCACTCTGCTGGCCTGTCTCGATCCTGTCGTCACCTGCACACAGTTGCGGTCCAGTCAAGAGTCAAACAGCAGAGACATTACCAGCACTTTTTGCTTGGGCTCTGAGACATCATATATCATCCCAAGACAATTGAGCGCACGGGGCCAGTTTGGCTTTGCAAACCCCGAGGGCTGGCTTTCTCAAGGTCATGGTGTGCTCATGGTCTCGGTGTGGTCTTGGAAAGTCCCAATTGAGGTTGGCGATTCATCAGACCGGGCACTGAATTCGAGAGAGACTCGCCGAACCTCGCTGGACCTCAATCTGCCTGTGTGCCTAGCTGGAGGAAAGCTTGACTACTTCAGTATTGTGGAATCTTGGATGGACACGGTCAGATCGGAAAATTGAGACATCCATCCAGCTTTTCGCTCAACACCAAGAGGTCGAACAGTGGGAGATTATCACATTAACACAGGCATCACCCTGTCTTCGCCCCCAGCTTGTCTCAACCACAACCAACGCAGACACCGACAGCGGCAGGGCAGCCTTTCCCTCTCTATGGTACATCTCGTCCATGTCTCTGATATCGAAATAATTGAGCTACAACGGTACCTCGCACGTACCACGGATCTGACACCGCACGCACACTGGCCTGTGCTGGGCTCCACCAACTCATTCGGATCCTGTCTGTCGGCTCACCACGCATCCATCTGCCGCCATGTCTACGACAGCCAAGGGCCAAAGCCCACGCGCTGCCCGTGCTGACCGTCCCAGATCCTCTAAAAGCTCCGTTTCTGCCTCGCACCCACCCTCGCGGTCCAGTAACAGGTATCCTTCCCTGAAGATGGCGCCTCAGCCAGGCTCCGAGGTCTCTCACAGCAGAGCTTCCTCTCCAGGAATACGACCCATTCATCCACCTCTGACGTCTCGTCAGCTTCAGCGAAAGGGCTCCATGGTTTCTATGAACGGCGACCGGCCTCCTACTCCCACATCCAAGGGCTCAGTTAAGGGCTCCCAGCACAGTTCCCAGCATGGCCCGCAATCCTCACTACTCCAGGAAAAGCTTCAACGCGAGAGGAGATCCGAAATTCAGCGCAATCTGTCCAGGCTGGCCGGCGAGATGGGAGCTACGACTGAGTCGAATGCTGCTGCAGTAACACCCACACGATCTGTTACAGCAGACGGGAGGCATGGCGACGTTCCAAAAGACAGCTCTGGTGATGGCAGGAAGCAGGGTCCTGCATTGAAGGAGATGGAACAGGTTCGTGTTTCCTTGTCATGGGGAAGAGGGGCGGGCCTCCGACGGATGACAAGCTGACCTATCGTCGAGTAGACCATGACGACTTTGCATAAACAGAACTTTGATCTGAAGCTCGAGCTTTTCCACAGACGCGGCCGCCAAGCCGCCTTGGAGGAAACGGTCGAGACGCTGGAGGCGGAACAGGCACGCATGAAGGAGACTTGTGGGGAGCTAATCCAAGAACTGGATAAGAGGGAAAAGGCCATTGAGGAAGCTGTCCACATGATCGTCTCTCTCGAGGCTCGGATTGACTTGCTACTACGAGACAGGGAGATGGGCCGACAACTCGACATGAAGGATGCCCTCGATTCCAGACTCAACGACACAACACCATCGGCAACAGACATGGGCCAAGAGGAGTCACTAGCACAGAATGAGTCACCATCCAACGGCAGAGGCAATGGTGCCATCGCTCGTATGCCCAGCTTCCTGTCTGAACGTACAGAGAACACGGAGACCCTGCGTAGTGTTTACTTGAACAATCAGGGCAGTTTTTTGAGTCTGTCCAAGACAGACCCCAGGTTGGACAACAACGGGTATGTCAGTCCCAGTATGAGCGTCTTGAGTGAGACCTCCTTCCTTAGCATCTACGGCAAAGGCACAAACCGCGACACTTCATCGCAGCCAAATATTCAACGCAGTATTCCGGGCTGGATGGGAAGCAATGGGCAGCGCAGCATATCGATGCCGACCAAAGTCTTGACGCCCAGCAAGCTCCAGGAGAATGACCGTCTTGGCAGTCGGGATGGTGCAAAGGAGGCTATCGAGAATGGGGATATGACTTCGCCCCTTCAAAAATTGGCAAAGTTGGAAGCCTCGCCAGTCTTGAAATGTTCCGATTCACGCTCTGACCGCCCAGCCAAGGATGTGGAAAGGTCAACCATAGTGAAGCCTTTCAAGCCGCAGCCTTTGTTGAGGGTGAAAAACGACAGAGACCGGCCCACTCGAAAAGTACTCACTGACGAGTCAGTCTCGAATCATCACAAGCTACCTCCGACACCAGACACAATGACGAGTTCAATGTTAAGCCAGAGTCAGACCATCGACGACCCCCCGCGCCGTGACCGCACTGCAAGCAGCACCACATATCCTGCTCTATCGAGACTGGCCCTCGATCACAAAGACCCAGCCGAACAGGGGCAATGGAGCTTCAAACCAGCTGATATCTCGCAACGACCGTCAGTGACGGCATTCACTGGTAGACAAAATAGCTCGGGCGCATCTTACTACGAACACCGGCTTCCCGTCCTGCGACGACCTCGGTCCGCGGATGAAACCACGATATCGCGCCAGAAAAATGACTGGGATTCCTGTAGTGAAGCTGATGACGTGTGTTCTGAGGCATCCAGCTTTGACTACTGGATGAAAGAAGGTCTGCGACCCAGCCGGGGTGGTACAGCAAAGCCATCGACGACCAGATTTGATCCATCGCAGCCGTACTCAACCCAAGATCCACCAAACCTGTTTAGCTTCCCCTCCAGTGATGAGGACTGGCAATCAAACGACATGTTTGGGGCTTTGGCCGGGAAAGGACACATGCGAGCGGGTGGTCCTCTTTCTCCCACACTAGATACCCTCGGTGACTCGCTGCCCTCACCTGAAACCGGACTTTTTGGTTCAGGCCTGGCAGGGTCAATTTCGCCCCGACCCGAGGGCACAATCGTGGCACCACCGTCTGCTCCTCAACGACATTCTAGCCTCCACGCTCGTACCTCGGCCCCAGGCACACCTATGATAGAGCGAGCTCCGGGCTTGTCTAACAAACACCACAATTTTGACACAACGAGCAAGAGATCCGTATCCGGCCACGTGTATAACAGCCCAATCTCTAACGGGTACTTTGCTTCCAACTCCTGCAGCCAGACGCCGAGCACACCTTCGCAATCCCAGCCTCCAGAGCAGCAGGACACATCTTTACAGAAGAGGCATTACCCTCCCCATGCCAGCCAGCCACAGACAGCGGCCCGTCCTCGCAGTAGGGGCCTCACGAGCTTATTCCGCCGGTCACTCGGATCGACAACGATCCATCCACAGCCTTCAGCCTCTGTGCCGGCTAACACTTCACCATTTGCGCCGCCTCCGAACAAAGAGGTCTTGCCGTACACAGTTGGGATCCCCAGTTGGGAGCATCGAAGCGACGCAGCGCATCACGATGCATCTGCTACCCCGCCGCCTATCATGCGAAGGAAGGCTCCAGGAGTGCCCGTGGATATACAGACTGGTGATAAGGAGATGGGCCATGCCGACACCTTTGCCGCGCGTGGTGCTGGCAGGTCCTCGACGCTGGCTTCTTCTTCTGGCCCTGGCCTGGGTGCTGGCCTAGGCAGGGCCATGGCCGTCCATGACGGCGGTGCGCCTCTGACACCAAGCGCTTACCAAACTCCTGACCAGGAAGAAACGAATGCCCAGCCGAATCAAGGCCATGGAAGGAGGTGGTTTAACCTTGGCCGAGTCACGAATCACAAATAAGGCGGAGCATAATTAGTCAGTAGGCCGTAGGTTCTGCAAACAGATGGGATAGTTTAAGAGCATCGGGACTCCGGTACTATATTGTCATCATGGTCTGCATACTCAAATGGATATATACATTTTCATTTAGGATGCAGGTGGTGAGAGGGTCGCCGGTGTAATGTCAGGCACAGAGAGAATGAATATCCTACAGTATGACTGAGAATATTCTGGGTTGGGTCAATCTTTTTTTTTTTTTTTGGTGGAGGGTTGGCTTGGTCAAGAAATTGAAAGTGTAGGCTTCGATACTGATGATAATGGCATGTCATGATATCATATCACATCATACCACTACATTTCAGCATTGATCTAAAGATATGCCTACTTAGCTGAGGGTTAATGTGGGGGGCAGACAGGGCGGAAGGCAGCCCTAATATGTCTAGTGTCAAGTGTCAAGCGCATTGTACCTTTGTTTGAGACCATAGTCTCAACTTGGCAAGTCTCTAATTCTACTTGAAAGAGAACTTACCTGAGTAACTCTTCGTCATGTTGTCAATATTTTTGCGCACTTATTCGTTGTCACTTGATCACGTTGGCAATATGGTTAAATATGAGCAGCTTCATAGGGATCTGTATGTACCATGGCTACGGTCCTGCTACTCCTCCTTGGTAGAGAGGCATGTGGACAACGCGAGCAGGTCAGGTTACGTAGCGGCCAAGATGATAGAAATGACAGAGAGAGTTTGACAGTGGCCTATGTATCCTGGTCTCTATCACGTACAGTAACGCACATCAACAATGACAGAGCGTATTGTTCACAGTCCATACGACCCTAGCTTGAGTCTACAAACTCATTCAGCTTCTTCTCATCGTAAACCTCCGCCTCGACCAGCTTCGACCAAGTCTGTATCCCGACTCTTTAGCATACAACAACGAATTGCACAGTTTCGGGAAGATAGCACGCAAGAACTCACCCCATCCGGCGTCACTTTGTAAAGTGTAGGCAACGCAGGAACCCCGAATTTTCTCCAGGGGTTGTCAGATTTCCTCCACCTAAACAGACATCATTGTCACATAGTCAGCAATGCACTGATATATGCGAAATCGACCACAATTCCCCACTGTGGAAAAAAAGGGTCGGAAGAGAGGAGCAACAACAACTCGGAACAAGCACCCCATCACTTACGTTTCTCTATCGCCAGCGTAGTAAATACCCAGACGCTTGGGCCCACCCTGAGGAAACTTCTTGTTGACCAGAGGTTCCGCCACTCTGCAGTCGCCGCACCAGCTCTTCCCGTCAACGATGTTGGCGTAGATGATGAGGAACTGCGGGATTTTGGATGCTGCGGCCTGGGAGGCTGCGGCGTCCGCTATGGATTGTGGGTGGTCGGTAGAAGACATTGGTTCTGTAATGAGCAAATAGGATAACAGGAGAGACTCGGAAATTTGGTTAAGAGCTGAATAATTGTAGCGTCGTTGAGAGAGAAGTTCTGATTTCAGTCTCGGGGAAGTAAGCAAAGATTCGGGCACCTCGTCGAGGAGAAAGTTGTGGAAAAAGTGGAGCATATCATATTTCGAGTATTATGCCCCTAACCCTGGAGACTTGTTTTATAATACTCTTTGATTCTTTGCTATTTTCTTTTCACCCTTGGCTGGGTTTCACGATATTTGATTTGCCATTTATATGCTCGAGTCCTGCTCCTTCTCACACGAGGTACTTGCTTGGGCTTGTTGGCAAATCATGTATGTCTCTGAATTCGAGCAAGGAATTGCTGCATATGCTTACACGAGAAGAAGGAGGTACTCAGCGTTATCGTGGCGACAAGCCCTGATCGCATTACATGAATCACACCGGCATATACTCATCTCATTTCTCTAGCCCACATGAACTTCACAACACTTGTACTAAAATACATATGCTTTCGATCTCTTACTGCCGAATGGAAAGACTTGAATACCAAGTAGTTACTCATAAATGATTACAACAATTAAATCAGGTGATTAATGACAAAAATACGCTTTGACTACCTTGACTCTCTATCCATAAGTTGTTGCATTTACGGTGCCAGTCTCACTGCAGATATAAATCCCCAGAGCGGTTCCTTGTTCCCTCTACCAATCGCGTTCCCAGTTGTGAACCAGGTTAAGGGCTTGTCGATGCTGGTCAGCACGATGCAAGACTCCTGAATGATAGTCCTGCCGACATCTCCGCCAGCAGTACACAAATGGTGCCATTCTTCAGTAATACTTCTTCATTTTTGATCTTCAACAGACCCGAGTCAACGCGCCTCGTGCCATCTGCCTCCACCAGATCCTCCTTGTATCTTTCAACGAGTGTCGGGGTATGGCAAGGCGATTGTGCCTGTATGTCTTGCGTGTCATCCTCCAAGTTCGCAGAAGGGTGGCCCCAACCCTCCAGTTATCAGGCGGTATCAGTCTTCACAGGGTGTATTGCTGATCACAGCGCAATCTGGCACCTGGCTCTACTTCTCGGACTGAAAGAGGAAGGGAATCCTTCAGCATAAGTAGACAAAACAAACGAGGGGGACAGGAATCCAGAACAATTCGCGAGAACGTACCGATATACCAGACGAACAGCAGCCTCCGCCACCATGGCTGCAGCAGCATCCCCCCCTACTGCTGAAGCAACACCCGCCACTCTCCGAGAAGCAACATCCCCCGGTGTCGCTAAAGCAACACCCGCCTCGTGTGCTGAAACAGCAGCCTCCAGTGTCGCTAAAACAACAACCCGCCTGGTCTTCGTATTTCATACCGGCGTGGTCGTCCTCGCGGGAGTTAGGGGAGGTGGTCATCTCTGGTAGCGATACGTAGGGGCCGGTGTCTTCACTGGGGAGGTTGTACGGCGAGGGCCTCGGTCGCTGTTCACCTAGTTCGTGCACTGATATTCTTGGGGAGGACGTGCCGTTCGATGTCGCATGTGTTGCAGCTGTAGCCGTAGCAGCCGTCCGCGGGCTGGCGCTTGCGGTGTACGGCGGGGGCGTGTCGAGCTCGTCCATAACCGATGGTGTAATTTGTTGGTGGCCACTGCACGACAGCGAGTAGCCCGAGGGGGATTGCGGTGCGAGTGGGTCTTGCTTCATTGTTCAAGAGTTGTCTTTTGGGGCGTGGAGAGAGAATCGCAGAGGACAGAGGTCCAACACGAGATGTGGGAACTGGAAAAGGTTGCAGCATAAACTGTCAGTCTCTATCAGAATTTACACGCCGACTATAGGGCGAGGAGCCAGGCTGATGGAGACCCTTGTCAACTCAGTTGAAGCTTGTTAACGTGAAAGAAATCAGAGGAGCGCACTGGGTGTGGCCTTTGCTCACTTTCAGGCAAAAGAACGCATTTGAGATAAATGATACGCAACTCGGGTGGCAAAAGATTGATGGGTACTTTCTAGACATATGTCCTTGTGTCGCGGAGGTTTCTGGCTGCCATTTATTGGTGCCTAAGATGAGGGGTTGCGAATCTCCCCATACGCTGGGCCATCAGTTAACTCCTGGGTGAGGTAGCCCAATGGCGTGAGGATGTCGTAAGCTGGATGGCCAAGCTAGCTGAAAGGGGAAGAGGATTCGAAAAGAGGCTGAGACCTTGGTCCAATGATTGAATGCTTCTATGAGGGACGCGCGGAAGCTTATTGTGCCGTCTCACAGGTGGTCAGCACCAGACTGGGCGCCTGAGGAAGTTGCATAGTACGCTGCGGTCAAAAATGGCTGAGAGCATGCGAAGGCTAGTGCCTGTTTGTAGACAAGTATGCACATGTCTATAAACAATTGCCTCGTTCTTGAATTAATGAAGAAACAATTGCATTTTGCAAGATCCCAATGCCTGCATTGTTGTTTTGAACATCACGAGAAGAAATGAAGCAAAGACTGGAGACATCACAATGATAAGTGAACGGACCATGATAGTGCATCACCAATTTCGATGTTTTTATTCATCCCGTATGGTCTTCAAACTCCTTGAAGAGGATCATCCGTCACCCACATGCAGGCCAGGTCAAGTAAACCCAGCCGAGCGACCAGGACGAAAGACATGCCATCCGAAACCTGGGCCCTCCCCTTTCCATCTTGCTCAGCCCTTGGTTTTCATACCATACGACAAAGAAAAGAAAGAAAATTGCAAACCAAGACCAGATCAATACTTGCCACCCAGAGGAAACCGGCCAAGTTTGCAGTGTTGTTGACGAGTGACTGCATGCCCCTGAAACACCTCCAGACGTCAGTAAAATGGGCAAATACACCATCTAATAGCACGCACACGGATACTCACGGGAATCCATCATAGGTAACAGAGACAATCTAGACGTCCAGGTCGTCGACAGGGGAAAGCTCCTTGGCGGGAGCCTGTGCCTTCTTGGTGCGACTGGCACGAGGCTTCTTGGTAGGAGTGGGGTTGTCGTTACCGTGGTCAACACCCGCGCGCTTGCCGCGATCGCCAGAAGGGGTGGCAGGACTGATCGTATTGTTCTCGGCCAGCAGCTTCTTCTTGGTAGCTCCGAAGCAAGCACGGGCCGAATTGGCGGACTTGAAGCCGGCCACCTCGGCCAGCTTCTCGTAGTCAATCTATGGAAGAAGGGCTGTTAGCTGGATCAGTGGCAAGGAAGGCTCGATGTGGACAAGGGCAAAAGCATCCAGTATGTCTTTAGTGGCTTTTTCTTTCCTTTAGAAGCTTAGGGTAGATAAACAGTGGTAGGTACTAAAGGAGGTATGAACACGAGGTTCAAAACAGACAGGCTGGGAGCGAAGAATTGAGCAGAGGGGAAAACACAAGAATCCGTCTTGGAAATTGAGACCAGTGGGAAAATGGGCTTGAGAATCAGAGAAGCATGAGGCACTCTCTGGTGGTGAAACAATATGGTAGGTGTGTGCATCACTCGCTCACGATGATTTCACTTACCTGCACGTCCTTGATCGCGCGCCAGGCCAGGACGGCCAGCTCGGTCTCCCGAGCGGTCAGAGCGGAAGTCTTTTGATCAGACATGATGATTGGTATGATGTATGATGAGTGGATAGTTATTGGTGTAGAGTCTTGCTGGGTTGATGGTCTGAGTATTGGTTGACAGGTTGGGTTTTGCGGAAGGAGAGAAGGTTGGGTGAAGGAAAGAAAGGTAGATCGGTTAGGTTACTGGGGAGGCTGAATATGGGAATGGGAAACTGCCTTTTAACTTGGAAACTGTTGGAAAAGCTATGGATCGTGATGATGTCGTGCGACAAAAAACATTGGGAGGTAATGCTGCTTCGATGAAGAGACATGTCAGATCGCGGAAACCAACATCGTGGTCTTCAGATGCTTGCACACTGCGACATAGAGACATCATTGGATCACTAATATGGTTTCCCGCCATGATTCTTTAACAGGATGAGCCCCTTGTGAGTAATAACGTAGACAAGTAGCCTTGCCCAACCCTGTTGCCCCTTTGCTCACTCCATTGTACTTGTTTTCACACGAGCATAATCAGGGTGCCATTTTTGCAAATCTGGAACTCTTTTTTGTTCCTCTATGGTCTCAGTCAATGAATATGGTGCAGAGGACTCTGCCATGCTGACTTGGAGCGAGAATGATGGGGTTCAAGGTGAAGAGGGAAAAATCATCAATCCGGATGTGGTGAGCAAGAACGTCTTGATAAAGGACCTGATCAATTTGTTCAGCAGTTGGCCCCTTAGCCTTTCAATCAGAAACCAAATCAAATGATCAAGTGTCTGATACAAGGCTCGTTTAGGGTTGAATCATGAAATGGACAAGTAGTGGGCTTAGAAGATGAGAAACCAAACTCTGACCATTGGTTTCCACTCTAGACACCTTGGGAATGTGTTTTATGTCACAAATACAATCAATCTGTTTTCTAATCTTCGATCATGTAACGTCTTGGTCTCACGTAGGTGTCTGATAACCAACGCCGTTGGCAAAGGCACGACACGGCTTCTGCTTGATAGTCAACAGTCACCAGAGGAGCCAAAGGGGTGCCATTCAACCCTCCAATTCCGCGTTTTATACGCGGTGACTAACTCTTACATGTGCTCGCAAGGCGAACCTTAACAGCCGACAGAAGCGGCGCGATCCTGATCTTGCTCCTTGTGGCCTACAGAGAAGTAAGTTGAAAGAGTAATTTTACCCATTGTCTCCATCCCTAAGAGAAGAAGTTGAAGCGACTGAGGTGATTAACTGAGGAACACCATGAATCTCTACCCAGCACTGGGGGCTCCAGATGTGTTTCTTCTGAAATCGACTGACATAACGAGAGTAGGAGGAGAAATGCTGTAGCGAGAATTGGCCACGGCCCATGAGATAGCCGTGAGTCGTAGAATGCCTAGCCGAGGCCCTTCATTTCCCAGCCAAGCTTCCTGGTTCCCTACAAGAAGCTAATTTGGTAATTATTACCTCCTCGCATTTCCCCCGCAACACGTCTCCTCCGCTAGCATTGCACTGCCCTTGGTCTACCCCATCAACCTTCTTTCTTAACCCGCCCAGAACCGCCTGCTCTAACCTTCCCAACCTCATCACACCCAAGCTGAGGAGAAAAAAGCCGAGATCCATATGGAGCCCACTAAAGCGCCGAGACTAGTCTAAGTGCGCCCCCCCCCCCCCCCGGCACATACATACGGCTCACGGACGACATGCGTCCACTGCCCCGTGGGGGAGGGTCCACTGAGACCTGATGGCGTCGCGGGGAAGGCAATGAGAGATACAAGAGGCTGATTGGCCTGTACGCTTCCCATCGTGCGGGCCATGACTGTCTGGCCGGTAGCAGCCGCAATAGCCTGGGCAACCTACATGAACATCCAAAGCGGTAATGAAGGCAGTTGGCAAACAGAAGAAGCAAGTTGGTGGCGCACCTGCACCCAGGGACAGTCTGAAAACTTCAGCAGGATGTGCTGTATATAGCAGCTAAAGCCGAGCATGTGATATGTTGCAGTCCAGCTTGAGGCTGTTCAGAGAATGGGGTCTGAGCATCCTCACGTGCCATACATGCTGGTCCCCAGGTTTGGATCCATGCAGCCCGGTGAAGAGGCCGATCTAGCATTGCAAATTGGTGAAAGATGTCGCCTCGACCATTCATGACCGCACATTCGCGCTCAAAAATTACATATGTTGCCAGTCGTTGTCATGATACGTACCCCAAAGGCTGCCCACCATATTGTGTGGTTTGTTTCATCCTGCTCACGTGCCATCCAATCCTTCGAGAATAAACGGCTTACGCATCTTGTGACCCTGGGTGCGAAAGAAGACAATGCAGTAGCGAGTACCGAGCACTGAGCCGCCCAGTTCCAGCGCTACTACAGTATGCAACTACTGCTGTGAGGATTGTCCACTTCCCCCTTGCAGATAATCTTTTGCATTAGGCGACGTAACAGTTCCCCTCAGTTCAATATAGAGGGCGATTAGTGTGTTTTTGGAAGGAACAAACTAAGTTCTGCGGAGTAGGGGAGAGAGAAAGAAGGAGGTGCCAACCTCATCTGATGGCCATTTCATTATGTCACTTGGCGTTTAGCGTACTGGGGCTATGACTAGGATACCCCATAAAAGGGACGGCCGTAGCGCTGGGATGCCGGGACTTAGGGCTGCTGTGACCTGCCCCACCTGGCGGCCCCCCCCCCTTCCCCCACACGAGCAGTGTTGTGTGTGTGTGTGTGTGTGTGGGGTAAACACAATTCCAACGTCTCTCCAGCTTTTCCTTTCCCCCCGAGACCGAACTTGGTTCGGACTCGACTTTGAAGTGGGAAGACCCACCAACACGCCACCATACCGTGGCTGCGATCAACGTCAAACTGAGGAACATCAGGGAGCCGAGAAAGAGAAAGAAAGGTAATGCGAGGGGACAGTTCCGAGAGGGAGTGAACAAGGTCTGAGGGCTTGGACAGGCTGGGAGGCGAGGAGACGGAGATCGCATGGCCCAACCATCAACCTGTCTACAGCGCATTTCGTGTCGCGACAGGACGAAGACATGTTGGACTCCGCCACCAACATCACCACGAACCACCATAATTACTACCTCCTCGACATAATGCAAATATCCTTTTTTCTCCATACTCCGCTCCCACTACTACCAACAACTACCCAGCATATCATCGGCTGCTGCCTGTGCCCCCCCCCCCCTCCTCCACCCCCAAGCCTGCCGAGCTAGTAGTCCGTCCGCCAAGCTTATGTTATCGCTTAGAACCCTCGAATGAGATGGCTCGCTTGAACGTGTTTTGCAAGATGTTAATTTGTATTTTGTTTGCTAATCAGCGGTCTGTAAGGTTTCACTGCTGCGGCGTAGTGCCAGCTGATGTTCCCACACTATTCTGGGACTCGACTGGGCTGAGGAGCCTCAGCACAAAGTGTCATCCATCCATCAGCCTCCAAGCGGGATACACTGCATGCGTCCTTGTGTGCAGGACTCGATGGTGAGCGCTGGGACGGCGGGACTGTCGTGGTATGCACTATCGAACTGCTCTTGTGATCGCAACCCTGCCGCGCCCGAAAGGATAGACGAAACCGCAGGTCATTTTTGTCGGTCCTGTTCTCTTTGCCTGGTGCCATGAAAGAAACGGACGGGTGCAAAGGCTTTGTTGACAAAAGACCTTGATAGGGATCATCTCGGACCAGGGAAATGGACCAATCATGTAGGAGAGGGTGATAATCTCTTAGCACTGTCAGTGCTCAGTTTACAGCGAGCTGGGTGAGAAGAAGGGTGGAGGGTAGCACGGGGAAAATACATCAGCACCAACACCGAGACAACAACTACCATAAGTGCCACAGGACATACTTCAGTAGTTATTATACATAATACTACGTAGTACTCGAGCGTATTCAACGTCATACGGCCCTCCACACCCCCCCCCCCCCCCCTCCTTCCTCTGGCACCCCTGCACCCTCTCCAACCCATCCTTCTTTCCCACATAACCCCGCATGACATTTTGGTCTCCTGTGCACCTGCCTGACCTGCTCTGTACTGTTTACCCTAGCACAGCTTCTTTTTCTCACAGGGAAAGTATGTATTTACATTCCTATCGTCCACGCACACTTCTTGCTCACCTCTCCGTACCAGTGCGACCCAGCAGGGACAGAACAAAACAAAATCCCCTTAGCTAGAAGGAGATTCAATCAAATCATAAATCTAGTGGCCAGCCAGCCAGCCAACGTCTCATCCGAGGGAGCCGCGCGGTCGTGTCCAGTAAGTTGTCTTCCGCAACTGGCTCGCATAGACAGGGTTCAATCAAGCAATAGGTTTTGATATTACATCCTTGTCATATGATACACTGCGAACACGACAGAAACACCCCATGTCCTGCTTTTTCTTGTCTCTTCCTTTTTTTTCTTTCCCCTCGAGCAGTCGGATGTTTCTCTCTCCTTTCTGGGTTATTGGTAACACGGAAACCGTTGAGATGAGGTTCGAGGCGAGTTGAGGCCATTGGTACAGAGAGGTTCGTTAGATAGGCAGCTGAGGGCTGCCAGTCAACCCCAATCACTACTATCATGGCACTTATGGTACCGGACAGGGTACTTTGCTGAAGAGGGAGATTGGTTGGAACAGGCTGAGCTTCGAGAATGCTTCCACACGCACACATGAAGGAGACCGGTGGAATGGGTCATATCCACCCTTTACGCCCCAAAACCCTGTGAAGGAGGGTGTGAGGCCAGATCCAACAATGATCGGCTAGCTGCTACATCTGGGGGATCTGCGTTCTGGGGCTCATCCAGTAAAAATAAAGTAGGTAGTATCACTTCTTCTTGAAGGTGAGAGACCCGGGGAGAGGTTTTATTTGTCCTCGGTCCCAAACCCAAATCCCATCCCATTTAGTCTGGTTCTTGTCCCCGTGACCAGTGAGTGACCACCCCTCCTCCTCCTCATCGTCCACTTATTCACTGACTTCACCACTCGATCCCGTTTCAGCTTTATCAGCACGATTACGACGTCACTTGTTTTCATCCTTTGTCTCCATCTTTTTCTCCTTCTCCTTCTTTCTTGTCCCTCTTGCCACTTGTTGGTTGCTGTCAAGTGAACAGTGTGGTTCTACAATCGGATCTGACTGACTTACACACAGTTTGGACCGCAAGACAGACAAACAACACGCACGCACACATACATACGCACTTACTTCACAGTCTCCCTTTCCCCCCCTCCTCCACCACATAAATCAGCTCGTCACCAAGACCAGTGACCGCAACAACCAACAACGACAATGTCGGACGAACTCGAAAAGGGCTTTACGCCCGCAGAGCCTGCTCCCTCGCACGCCAAAGAGGGACTTGGCCAGCCCATCTCCAAAGAAGCAGACCTCACTCAAAACAACAACAACAACAACAACAACAACAACAACAACAACAAGAGCCTCCCCAACTACTCGGCGCCCGAGTCGTCACCCATGCGCGGCCAACACAAGACCATCACGGACGCCGTCATGGAGGAGCCCTTGATGACACGCCTGGGCCTGACCTTCGACAGCTTCCGTCCACGCGACTACGGCCGCGGCATCGTTGAGCTGGAGCGGTCCATGAAGTCGAGGCATCTACACATGATCGCCATTGGTGGTTCCATCGGCGCCGGTTTCTTTGTCGGTTCTGGGTCGGCCCTGTCCACGGGCGGGCCTGCCTCGCTGCTCATTGACTTTCTGATTATTGGGGTCATGATGTTCAATGTGGTCTATGCACTTGGTGAGCTGGCTGTCATGTATCCTGTCTCTGGTGGTTTCTATACCTACTCGACGCGGTTTATTGACCCCAGCTGGGGCTTTGCCATGGTAAGTTTTTCTTCTAAAATCTTTTTTGATTTGTTTTCATGAGTGGAGGTCGTCTTCCTCTGGAGGGTCTCTTCGTCAACTCACCCAAATCACTCACTGATTTACTCATTTTTGTTTTCAACTTGACAACAGGGCTGGAACTATGTTTTCCAATGGGCCATCGTGCTCCCCCTCGAGCTGACCGTGTGCGGCCTCACGGTGCAATACTGGAACCCAAACATCTCCGTTGCCGTCTGGATCTCCGTCTTCCTCGCCGTCATCGTCATCGTCAACATCTTTGGTACCCTTGGCTACGCAGAAGAAGAGTTCTGGGCCTCAAGCCTCAAGCTAACGGCCACCGTCATCTTTATCATCATCTCCTTCGTCCTCGTCCTCGGCGGCGGCCCTTCCGATGGCGAGTATAGCCACTACTGGGGCGCCCGCCTGTGGTACGACCCAGGCGCCTTCCGCTACGGCTTTCGCGGCTTCTGCTCCGTCTTCGTCACCGCCGCCTTTGCCTTCTCCGGCACTGAGCTCGTAGGTCTCGCCGCCGCCGAGGCCGCCAACCCCGTCAAGAGCCTTCCTGGAGCCATTAAGCAGGTGTTCTGGCGCATCACCCTCTTCTACATCCTCGGCCTCTTCTTCGTCGGCCTGCTCATTCCCTCCGACGATCCGAATCTCCTCGGTGCCAACCCTTACGCCGATGTCAACGCCTCCCCTTTCGTCCTCGTCGGGAAATACGCCGGCCTCAAAGGCTTTGACTCCTTCATGAACGTCATCATCCTCGTCTCCGTCGTTTCCATTGGCGTCAGCGGTGTCTACGGTGGCTCACGCACCCTGACCGCCCTCGCCCAACAGGGCTACGCCCCCAAGATCTTCACCTACATCGACCGCTCCGGCAGACCCCTCTTCAGCGTCATCGCCATCCTCCTCTTTGGCTTCCTTGCCTACATCAATCTCAACGCCAATGGCCCCACCGTCTTCGACTGGCTCCTTGCCCTGTCTGGCCTCGCCGCCCTTTTCACATGGGGTAGCATTTGCCTCGCCCATATCCGCTTCCGCAAGGCCTGGCATATGGCAGGCCACACTCTCGACGAGATCCCCTTCAAAGCCATCGGTGGCGTCTACGGCAGCTGGCTAGGTCTGATTCTCGTCGTTCTTGTCCTGGCCGCTCAGGTATGTCCCCCCCCCCTTTTTTTTTCTTCATTACTTCCTCCTTTCCAACTTTCCAAGCCCATACTGACCGTCTATCCCATCTCAAAAAACAGCTCTTCGTCGCCATCTGCCCTCCGAAAGGCGGCTTTAACGATGCCTCGGGCTTCTTCCAGTCCTACCTAGCCGCCCCCGTCGTCATCGCTTTTTGGTTTGGCGGGTTTGCCTGGAAGCGTCAGGGCTGGCTGCGCACCCGCGACATCGACGTCGATGTCGGCCGCCGCGAGCTCGACTGGGACGAGATCAATGCGTACCGTGCCAGGTTGGCTGCGATGTCTACTTGGCGGAGGCTGATGCATGTAGTGTTTATCTGAGAGACAGAATGTTTGAGGGGCAAGGATGAGAGGTTGGGGAGGGGGGGTGGGTTTTGTTACTATGGGTTCTACTTGTTTGGTTGGTTGGCTGATGAAGCCGCTACGAAGGGGAGGTGAGGGAGGAAATACATGCATGTGGCCATGAACTTTCCCATTATCCTGAAATACACAAACTTCAAATAAGTAGAGGTGTAGGAACAGAGGAGTCACTCGGAAGTTCCGAGAAGGGAGAAAAGCGAAGGGGAAAAGCTAAAATAAATTATGAATCAACCAAAATGTGTACACCCTTCAAGTCAACGTTGCATGGCATGCGCGTGGGCCATCATAACCACGCACATCCTATCACATCATATCACATGCAGAGCGACCTTGGCGACTTGAGATCTTCATAATTACTGTGTGACAAGACAGGGGGTTGCTTAACACACACCGCCAAAGAGGAAAACGGATCAGGCGGGATTGGGGTGTCGCCTCGCACGAGAATTTGTATCCGACGAAGCATCTAGATTATACAATATAGTGTAAAAACTCAAGGAGCTCCACACTCAGAACAACACGCGAAATATGAAGGGGCATTCTTGATTTCATCGAGACCCGATACTTTGCCGACGATTTTATTCTTCACTATCCTGGTTTATGCAACGCGTTTTGGCTAGCGAGATTACCATCGTCGCCGGCTGCCGACCTCCACAGCCCCAAAATTTGCTCAGCGAGAGCGTCCATCGTCTGTGAAGCCTATCCCATGTAGACTTTTGTCTTCTTTTCAGATCCACGCTAGAATCCCCGAGAGGAAATGCAACGCCCACTCCCCTCCTCTTCTTTCCCACCCACTTCGCCCTGAACAAAAACAAATGAGTGCCCCATAACCGCAGCTGATTGTGGTGGCTGGGGTCATCGAGATGCAATAAGAATACTGACAATAAGACATGTTAACCAGTTGCCTCAAGCCTGAGGCGAGCAAAAAGAAAGGAAAATGAGCAAAAAATAACAAGACCAAAATTAGATCGATCAATCATTCCTGCAATAGCGCAAACGCCCCCAATTCATTATGACGTGACCCCTTTGTGACCCCCGTTTGCGCCCCCGCCTGAATATGTTCCGTATTAATGCGTGGGAATTTCCGCTTTTTCGGCCAACATTGGCGGGTTTTCCCTTGGTCATACCGGACATGAAAGACTTGAGAGAAAAATAAAGAGAAGCGAAGGGAAATAATCGCTGGTGGTGAGATAGATGCCAGAAACGCTGCAGATCGTGAGGCCGCTTCGATACGGGCTGAGTTGTTCCATTATCGGTTGCGTTCCGGGACTGACTGGCCCTCTTCTTTGAGACAGCTGATAATGATATTGGTCCATGATGACGTGAATTCAAAACAAAAGAGTTGGGTATCAAAAAAGAAAACAGCCTGTGATAACAAACGCAGCTGATGATGTGTGGTTGGTGTGTTATGGGGTTTGTGTGCCTCGACGAGATCTGGATTTCTTTTTTTCAAGGTGCCAGACTGTTGGACCTGTCGACCCTCCGCCAGACAAACATATTTGCGCTGGGTCCATCCACTGGCGTCTTGGGAACATTCGTCTCTCTTGGTTCGAGGAGGAGGGACTTGCGATAGTAGGTCACCTGTACGTTGCTAGCCGCATCCGATTCGCGAACTCGTTGCATCTCAGACTGCAGCCAGTCTTGTAGGTCTGGCACTTCGGTGAGCCTGTAAGGAATCTGAAATCGTTGCAGCTCGCCGATGATCTTTGCCGTCCGCGTGTGCTTGTCAAAGTTCACCACGGTCATGTCCCTACCATCGGCTCCCTGCAGTTGCTTCGTGGCAGGGTTGCCAATGTCGACAAAAGTAAGGTCTGTCAGGAACATGCCTTGGAAGGGGAGGCACGGGGGGACGTGGCCAGCAAGCTGCGCGCGCAGAGCCTTGTGGTTCTGTGCGGGCTCGACGACAGCTTGGAGGACCTTTAGCTGCTCTCGCCGCTTGGGATTCACCACTTCCCATGTCTTCCTGAGGCGAGTGATGGTGGAGCTGTTGAGACTGCAGATGATGGCCATAAGGGCGTCGTAGTTGTTCAGCTCCAGGCACTGCTGGGCCACTTTGATCCACTGCTTGATGGCAGCAGCTCGCTTTTTGACTTCGTTGTAGTACAGGATCGTGTCGGCCACCAGATTCGATAACTCGGTCGACAGTGCAGTCATTGCCTTGACATTAGGAGATCCAGCGCCGCCCTTCTTCATCCATTGCGAGCCCAGAAGCTCCTCGGGCAGGATAGAGCAGAAGATGCTCATTTGCTTCAGCGTCAGCTGGCGGGCCAGCTCGAGGGGTTCGAAATCCATTATCGTCGGCGAGCTTCCACCAGACTTCCACACATGAAGAACTTGGGCCTGGCTCTTGTTGAGCACGGGTGCCGGCAGTGGTGTGTCCATGGGTACATAGTGTGAGATGGAGGCGTTGTTGGCCTTGCCGATAGACGAGACCAGACGGGGTACCAGTGTGGCGTCACTCGAGGAGACGCGCCTCGTCAGGTCACAGATACGCTTGCTGGCAGACGGCAGCGCCGCAGCCAGTTTGGTCTCAGCAAATGGCCTGATGACAGACAGCGCCTCATGGTCAGTCTCATCGCGCCAGTGCGACTCGAGCCATTGCTTGAAGACGTTATAGACCCTCAAGCGAACGGGCCCTGACATGTGTGGATGATCGCCGACATACTCGAACCTGTCGATGAGCGTCTCGGCAAGTTTGGTCGGCGTACAGAAGAGCCGGAAGGTGAGGAAGAACGTAGAGACGAAGAGTGCATCAGGTGTGGACTCGTGGGTGGTGAGGCGCTCAACTAGTGCCGGCAGAGATCCTCCAGTCACCTGGCCCTCCTTGTTGAACATGAGTTCGTGCGCGAATGTCTTCTCGAGTAGCTTTGACTCGACGTCGTCGACCTCGTCTGCGTGCGCGGGATTGCTTGCGTTGCTCAGCTCGGAGATGGAAATCTGGGGCTTTGGTCCCATGTGGTCTGGTGTCGTGGCGCGTGTGGAGGTGGAGAGAAGGCTCGATTCCGAGCCGCGGTTCAAGTACGCGCTGTCGTTTGCGGTGCTCGATGCAACCAGGCTCTCGCGGTAGTAGGAGGAATGGCCATCGCTTTCGACACCAGCCGAGTTCTCCGTGGGGCTATAGTCCTCTGTGAAGAATGTTGACAGTTTAGGCAGCGGTGGTGGAAACGCAGGTCGTACCGACGAGACCGAGGACGCATTATCCGACAGGTCGCTGTCCATGAGGACAAGAGACTGTCGCCGTGGACCTTCGAGCGGTGGTGAAGTCGAGGTTGGTACATCCGGCAGGGGCTTGTCGAGTGGCAGTCGCTTGATGGTGGGCAGGCTCGCTGACCGAGAAGCGATGCGCGCTGCGGCTGCCTTTTCCCTGTCTTCCAGACTGCCGTTGTCTAATACGCCAAGGTCCAGATCGATACCAAGGCTGCCATTGTTGAACTCAAATTCGAAATCTCCAATCTTCTCGATGACCCACTTCGTCTTGGCAACACATTCGCCCGTGGCCCTGACACAGCCTGTCGAGGCGGACAGGAGCCGGCTGTTGTCCTGGGGCATGATGATGTCGGCCAGTTCGGGTCCGTTGTTGTGGTGTATGATATCGCGAGCAGCGTGCACAAGGTCTAGGATGCGATCATACATGGCAGCACGAGGCTGCTCCAGGAGTTCCTTGGTCAGAGAGCTGTGGGCGCAGACGACGTCCACGACCACCAACAGCTCTCCACCAGATGTCGCGGATTGTTTGATCGCGAGAGCCAGGTCAGGCCTGGACTGTGATTGGAGGTGTAAGCGGCCGATGAAAGAACCCATGTGCGACAGAAACGTGTCGTGGCTTGCGGTCAAACGCTCTGAGACAAGGTTTTGTGGGCGTGAGAGTGGCGATGGCCCAGCGAGAGAGACGCGGTGGGAGATGTTGGAGGAGAGGCGGCTAAAGTTGACCTGCGTCTGAGACAAGTGAGAGCTTCGGCGAGCAGACGAACGGCTGCTGGTGGGGCTGGCCGTTCGTGTCACGTCACTAGGCCTCAGGCTGGGTGGGCTGTAGACTGATTCGTCCTCGCCATGACGGGAGCCCGGGGGCGAGCCTGCATCCTGATCTCTAATCGTGCTGCGGTCATCGTCAAAGCTCGTTTGGTCGGCCGGCGGCGTCGGCGGCACGAAATTCTCCTCAAGAAGCGTTGGCAACAGCGTTACTGTGGGGGCCCGCGCCTGCCGATCCCCCTCCAGCACATCCAAAAAGCGGACACCCTTGGTCACAATCCTGAAGGCCTTTAATATCATCTCGTCCACGGTATTGTTTACCTCCTCTGTGGTGGACATCAATTTCTGCTGTTCTGTCAAGCGCTTAGCTGTCTTTACCAACGACGATAGCTCCGAGAGCAGGGACTTCCTGCCCCTGCGCAGACCTTCGTGTCGCTGAATCACAGTGGACTCTCGTGTCAGACAGTGCGTCCGCTCCTGTGAGACGGTTAGCTTCAAAGTGGACACAAAACGACGCCCATCAGCCTGGTACACCAGATAAGGGGCCTTGGACGCACCAGAAGGTATCGCACACCCGAGATGATGCCCTTCATGAACTCCTGATTCGCAAACATCTCATTATCATCGACGCATGCACTGCGTAGCAGGTCCCAGAAATTCAGCAACGCCTTGAGCAGGTTCCGCATCTCATCAGGATCATAAGCATAGCAATAGTTGGTGGGCAGCCAGCCCCTGGCACCGGACACCAGGAGCGTGCCGTCTGCCCAGCCGTTGGTGTGAATAGAGTGCACCAGCACCACGTCGCCCTCGTTCAATGGGAGGGTGACGGCGGAGTCGGTCATGGCGTAGGTCGGGCTAAAAGGGTAGAATGCCCTGAGGAAGTTGTGGAAGACGGGTGGTGACAGCGCGGGGGCGTCATTGTCGAGGGCGTCTCGCGGCCCTTGAGGCGAGGTGGGAGGAGTCATATCGGATCGTTTGTATGGACTCAATGAAGAGGCTTCGCTTTTGGAGGCATGGTCCACCAAGCCGGAATTTTTGTTCTTGTGTATGGCTAGGGGCGCCACCTGCAGACTCGACCGCATAGGTTCTTCGCTCAGCATAATCATTGCTGCGCAAATCAAGCGTGGAGACTCATGGGAGCTATCGTCTAGATCGTGTTCGCTTGAAGATGGTGTACAGGCGAGGGAGCGAAACTCAATCCACTCCGGATTGACGCTTCACCAGGTGCTGATTCGATATCCAGACCTGTAGACAGGGAGGAAATCGTTGCAGTCCCGAAAGAGAATTCCGGCGAAACAAGAAATTCGAATTTGTCCAGAGACCTGGATCTCTCTCTCTCTCTCTCTCCTCTCCGGCAAGACTCGCAGTGCCAATGACTGTAGCAAGGGCGGAGGCGGGCAGCGTCGAGAATGCGATGCAAAGGGCAGGACTTGTGTATGCCTGCTCGTTTCTCTGGGTGTTGTCTCGCCTTGGAGTGCGTGGACCCTCGCTAGGGCCAATCGGCTCGACTGAATTCGCGAGTGCAATGCAATGTTCAAATCCGTTTTGCCCAAGTGTTCCCTATCCGCACTCTTCGAGTGCACTCCAGTGCTTGTTGGTTTCGTGTGGAAAAGGAAAGGGGGATAGAAAGGGGGGATGTTCGTAGTGGTGTTGTTGTTGGTGTCGAAGAAAGGGAAAAAAACGCGGAGGAGGCGTTCGTGGTTGAGGAATGTAAAGGGTGGGAGGCTTTTCAGAGGCAGCTAAGGCTTGTTTTGTCAGGATGGGGAGGGGCGGCCGGGGACGCATGGCGGATTCTAGTTAGATTCTGGGCTTCTCGGTTCGGGGAGGGCAGCGGCTCAAATGCAGGGCCAAGGACAGGGGCAGAGACGGGGGAGGGGGTGCAGGGGTCAGGGTACGTACCTCGTTGCGTCGAGCCCTTGGAGTGCGGTCGCGCAGCTGCACTGTGCCCATCACATAGTCTGTGATTCAGGGTTCTGAGCCAACAACCAGCCCCGGGCAGGGGGCACCCGTGTCAGGCCCTGCCTTGCAGCACTAGGGGCAAAACCTCTGGAGAAGGGACGTCCCTCATGAGCTGCTGCTGCTCCTGCCTGCTCCTACTTCTATGCTCTCTGCCAAGAGCTGCTGACAATGGACACGAACGATAGCTTCCAAAGTGGCAGAAAGACAATGGGCTGATTCGCGGCCGGCCCAGTATCCCTTGCCATCTTTTTTACTCCAGTTCACGTTCTAGACTGTTCACTATGCTAGTAGAACAAACCTGGGGCTCCGAGGCAGGCAAGAAAAGAAGGAGACAAGAAAAACTCGTACCAGCACATGGCTTATCCTCGATGAGGGCACTGTTTGTGCCAAGTATGTCAAACAGAGCATGAATCCCTTAACTACAATGATTCATGGATTGTCAAGTCTGCTACACCTGAGGACAAAGGCTCCACAGGGGAGCCCAAGCAAAAATCAAGTACCGTACTGTAATAGGAGGTAAGGAGGCCCGGAGGCCAGTAAAGGTCAGCGTAGGTCGAGTGTCTTTTTTTTTTTTTTTTTTTGGTCACGGATGTGGGGTGAGCATGCCAGTCAGGCTCACTTAAATGAGAGCAGGAAGGTCGACGAAGTGAGGCAAGTCTAGATCGTCGGTCGACACACAGATTACCGTTACTACATGGTAGTAATGTCGAGAACGAGCATCAAGCCTGCCGTGAAGAAGAACGAGAGAAAGAGAGATGTAGTTAGTGAGAGAGGCAAGACTGAGATATCCATGGTCTCACGGGCTTCTGGAGCCCTCTTGAGCGACGGGGCACACCCGTGTCGAGTAATAGCCCACTTCGTGGACGCGAGATGATATGAGACGTCAAGGAGCCAATCGCTGTTCCACCAGTCTACCACAGGGTCTGCTTCATAAATTCTGTCATTAGAGTCAATCAAGAGAATAGAGGCTTGGTTTAGGTCGAGATTTCGGATTTCATGCTTACCTGATTTCCACGCAGGCATCTCATGTTATTCATCCGTCTCCCGCACGACCCAATGCGACGGCGTCGATGAGTTAGCTAGCTTCCGGGCTTTGGCCTGGGGGAGTAGACCCTGGAGCAGATTTCCCGATTCTGCAACCTCAGCCGCGCCTTGGGAGGACCTCATACGGGCGCGGAACCCCTTCCCCTGTCCACCGGGACCCTCTCTCGTGTCTGGCCCGTGTTCTACGTGTGATGATATGCACTACTACCATACTATAATATAGTGGACAGTTAAGGAGAGAAAGAGGGAAACAGAGAAGATATGGTCACAGCTGTTCGGAATGCCGCCCCTACAGCCTCCCAGGTGCAAGGATTGCTATGGACAATAAATAGCCTTGGCAGCGTCTCGGCTCGCCATGATGGGTGCCAAACTCGCGTGTGTAGCGTTACAGCCTGCAATCTGACCTGAGTAGCTGTGTGTGGGGGGAGAAGGGGGTCAAGGTCCGATCTCTAGCAGTAATGGCGCGCCCGAAGGCCGCGCTCGAGCTATCTCAGATACCTCTGAGTAGTTTCTCTCAGGGCTGTGCTTTCAATGTGCGGGCGCCTCCAATGCAGACGATGTGGGGCAGGGGGGTCCCATACCGAGGACTGAGCGGCGTCATCGTGCTTCTTGACTTTTGCTGTACCTGTCCTCAAGGGTCACCCTTGATGCGTATCGTCAGGGACGAGGAAAAAAAAGAAGAAGAAAAAAAAGAGTAGGGGAAAGAAGCTTGAAAATCATTCAGTGCTCCTTGTCAGTGCAGGATGGCCCCATCGCGACGAGTTTCGGTGGTTAGGCTCCATCTGTCAAAGCTGCGGCTCCACCTCGCATGCTGTAGGGTGCACCATGACATCTGCAGGCAGTCAAATCTTCCTCCCTTGTCTTGCAACTCGAAGACGTCAAAGTGGCGATCCTTTGCAGTTCCGGATCCGCGGTCATGGATCTCACTGGTTGGCACGGGAGGACAAGGGACGAGGCGAGGAGGTAACCTTTCAAATATCCTACGATCTCGAGTCACGTCCATCTGCCCGTGCGATGCTTATTGTGATACAATTAGGCCTTGCTATATTACAATATCAGCAGATTATCATATTGTATCTGCCTACTGCTCCACGTCCACGTCCGCAAGAGGATTCATCAGTTGTAACGGCTCTTCACGAGTGCTGGCTCCTACAATTTTTGAAGGCGAGGTGGCATATTTCTGGTCTTAGGTGGGCCCGCCTGTCGTCGCCTCGTCAGCCTGACCCTCCCTCAACACCGTAGGATGATATGTAAGCCCTGAAGCCCTGTTGAGACGTCAAAGCTGGCAGACTTGTTACGTGTGGATTCTCGCCTCCACACGATGATCGACCTCGGCTGTTCAATGTCAACAATACCCTGTAAAGTTGCGCACGGGGTCTCCTTGTAGAAGTCCGGAGCTGCAGCAGTTGCAGCAGCCTTGGCCACCTTCGCCTGCGTGGAGTCATCTGGCCTTGCGTTGCTAAATGGTGGAAGGAAGCGACAACTACCCCTCCCCCCTTTTTTTTACTACGTATTCCTCCGGCTATGTCCGCCGTCTGCCTATTGGGCCTGGCCGCTGCCGACCCCTCCATCCTGGCTGGTTGCGTTTGAACAGAGCAGTTGGTGAGATGCATGTTCACGCCGGGAGACACGCCGGTGCAAGTTACCTTGACAGCTGTTTCATGGCTAATCAGTCTATAATGGCATCGATTTAGATCCTTATTTGTTGTTCTTCATTCACAGAGGGGAAGAGGTGTTGGGGGGGAGGGGGAGCACAAGGTGTACGAAATTTCAGGGTCGGAATATTCCCCGGCGCAAAATAGGTGTTCGTGTTAGTGCTTGCACGGTCGCCTTTTTGGCCGCCCACGAAATGAACAGCGCAACGTTCGAGAAATTTGTGCGAGAGATTGAGTCAGAGTTTAATTGGTCGTCGAGCGAGGGGTGACGATGACGACAACAACAATGTCCACCACTACCAGCCGGGTGAAAGGGTTCAAGTCACAGACGAGATTTTGGCGAAGAATTCGTCGCTTGCTCTTTTACCCAAGGCCAATCATGCATAGGGGTTCCCTCGGAGAAGCATGCTCAGAATTTCGGCTCCGGTGGCGTACCAGGATAGCAAGAGCATGGCGCAGCTGATGGCCCGTTTGTGCCTGATCGACAGACGGCAAGAGACCTGAACAATGCCCAACGTCGACAGTGCCTATGACCCGGACCGGCTTCTACCATACATGCTTGCTTCGTAGAGAGAGACTAGTTAGACGAGGTGTCGTGCAGTAAAGGCGGCACGACGAAGACTTCCCCAGTACGGTACCAGAGGTTTAACACCTTCTGTCCCGAGATGTGCACCTTGCATTGTCACATCGCGCAGTCATTATTTGATGCGACCGGTGTGATCCACTTGTTGTCCAAACTCGGGAGTCGGATCCCCACAGGTTCGGAAGATGAAATTGAAAAAGGATCAGGAAGAAAATAGAAAGAAAAACAAGAGAAATCAAAGAGGTGACAGACCGCGGAAGGCCGGAAGAGCATCCCTAGCGTTGACCAATTAGGGAGGGGGGGAGGGCATGATGAGCTGTAATCTCGGGCTCTAGACTGACAGAATCCTATCCAAGCTGCCAGCCTCTGCCACTAGAAAACTCCCGCTCTGTGTGCCATGACGCACCTGGGGCGTCGTATTGTGATGGGTTTGCTGACGAATAAACATCCTTGAGAGTCTGTAGCCTGTCTTGTTTGTTTCTTTGCCGCCTGCTACCATCGTGGTACTACCACACGGGCGGTACTATGGCACGTAATCTGCGCTATTGTGTGTGTTGTCGTAGCTTGACCGGTGGTGTTGCTGCTCCTCTGCACGAGACGCTTCTGATTAGCAGATGCAGACAACGGTCCAGTGGCTCAACCCTTCTCGCCAGGCTCACATGTCATAGCAAGGTGGTGTGAGGCGGGATGTGGTGGAGCAACAAGTGCTTGTGAGGGTGACAGTGGGTGGTGGTGGGTGTGCTCGCTGCAAGCTGCACGCGACGGTCACTCTAATACTGCATGCACCAGACAGGAGCGCCCCGCGCTCACTATGCAGCTGAAGCTGCAGGTAAGCTCGGTCTCGGTCGCTTGAAGTCCC